GTGGTTTACGTGGTCCTGAAGCCCGCTACCATATTCATGAATTGGAGAGTCTCGCTCTGGTTTGGGGTCTGTTTACTTATAAACATCTGCTGAAAGGACGTCGTTTTCTGTTGGTAACTGATCATATTAGTCTGGTGCATATTTTCAAGCCGTCAAAGTCTACTATGAAGTTGAATCGTTGGAGTGCCGCTGTTCTGGATTACGAATTTGACATCATTTTCAAAAGATCCGAGGATAATCTAGCCGATCCATTGTCTAGATCTATTTCCATTGAAGAATTCAAGGACAGGTTAGATTGCGGTGAAGATGTACTCAAAATAGTCTAAGGGACTTATTGTTTCAAGTGTTTATATAATTAATTTAATTGTCAAAAAAAAAAAAAAAAAAAAACGTAGTGTAACTTTAGTTGTAGAAGTATAAATATCGCATTGTTAAAAAACTTAAATAAATAATCAACAAAAGTTTCTTAAATCCAAGATCCAAAAAAAACAAAAAGTTTCTTAAATCCAAGATCCAAAAAAAACAAAAGTTTCTTAAATCCAAGATCCAAGAATTGAAAAATTATCCAATATCCAAAAGGTTTCTATAATCCAAAGAATCATTTTATCGTTGGTGGAGACTTGTGTTTCGGTTTTGTGTTGGTGGTTCAAGTTGACTTTTGGTTCCCTTTAAATAAGACTTACCTCTGTTTTATTTAATTGTATTTGTTGACACAATGGCTATTTCTTTTGCGTGGTTTCTCAGTTTGTACTACTTTTTGACGAATGGTTCATATCCACAAGATGCTGATGAAAAGGTGAAACAACGGGTCAGGTATCAGTGTAAGAAATTGGTGATTGCTGTTGATGGTCGTCTCTTGGAAGAAAACTCGGGCAGAGAGCTGTTACATGAAGCTAATGCGTTGGAGAAGGTTAAAGAGATACATCAAGAGAATCATCTGGGAATTCTGAATACGCTAGACAAGGTTGTCAAGTTCTATGTTCTGAAGGATGCTCGTGATATGGTTACTACGGTGGTCAAGACGTGTGAAACATGTCAGTTTCGAGAAAGGGTCAAGGCGGTAAGGTCCAACCCTGGTGCGATTGTGAAAACTCCAAGACACCCGTTTTTTATGGTGAGTGTCGACGCTGTGGGTCCTTTGAGTGTTACTGCTCGAAATAATCGGTATATTCTTACGGGTATATGTCATCTTACTCGTTATCCGGTTGCTCTTGCTGTTCCCGATATTGATGAAAACACTACAGGAGAATTCTATTTTAGTTTCTGCAAGTTCTTTGGGGTACCTCAATATATTCTCAGTGACCGAGGTGCAAACTTCATTTCTACGTATGTTCATCATTTCCTGAAGAAGTTGGGTTGTAAAAATATCATGACTACTAGCTATCGACCGCAAGCTAATGGTATGTGTGAAAGGTTGAATGGTTCGCTGTGTTCTGTGTTGGCAAAACTGGCTAGTGATCAAGGCAAGATTGATCAGTGGGATTTGTACTTGGATGCTGCTTTGATGGTCTTAAGGTCTACAAAGAATGTTGGTACTGGGTTTTCGCCAAGTTATCTCCTATTTGGTTATGAATTCAGGACTCCTGCTGTTTGGGTTGCGCCTCGTTTAGACTTTGCGGAAGGAGAGGAACAACAAGAACTGGCGGAGCGTATTGAATTGATTCAAGACCAGTTAGTGAAGGTGCGTGAAGAAGCAAGATTGGTGTCTGATGAGCGCAAGAAGATGTCTAAGCGTAGATATGATGCCAAGGTGGTGTTTAGAAGACCTTTTGAGGTTGGTGAAGAAGTGTTGTTGAAGGTGGCTGTTCAAGACTCGAAGTTTGGTGACCGTTGGGAGGGTCCGTACACTGTTTTGTCTGTGAACAGCAAGTCTGGTACTTATCATCTTACTGGGAAGAACAGTTTGCGTTTGAAGCATGCAGTAAATGGTGATCGTTTGAAGTTGTTTCATCGTGAGGCGAAGCATATGGTTCCTGACGTTCTGGTGGCGCAAGCAAATGAACAGTTTCAACGGTGGGTGAACTCAAGAGTAAACGCGTATTCAATGGTGGATACGGCGGTTGAATTTTAAAAGAGAACTCCTTGCTCGGGGGCGGTACGTGTCATGTGTGCATGTTTGTTTTGGTTCGCTTCTTCGTTCTCTTTCGCGGTTTTTCTGGTGATTCTATTATGTTAACAAATCTTCAAATTGGAATGGTGCATGTCTCTGATGTTCCTTAAAGTACATACAAAGTTTGGTGTGATTTGGTCTAGGTCTGATGGTACAATGGTGTTCCAAAGATTTCAGCCAATGGTTCTGTCTTCTGTCAGACCCAATCAGATTCGAGTCAAAACTACTGATCGGTGTGTCAATTGTTGGGTCTGGGTCTCAATTGTTGTACTTTTTTTTGGTTCCTTATTTGTCCTACTTCTTCCGTATTTTGTTTCATGATATGTTGCTGTGATTTAATTGTGTATTTTATTTTGTTTTATTTTGTTTATTGTATTTGACAGTTCATCTCAGTTTGAATCTGTTGAATTTTATAATTTAATTGTATTAATTGTTCTCCTGTTTGACATTTCAAACGTAATTGCTTTTTGGGCAAGTTTGATCTGTTCTAGATTAATGACAAGCAATTGTCTTTGTAGAAATTTATTCTAAAGAAAGTATAAAAGCTTAAAGAACTTTAGAAGGAATAAAAAATATCAAGAAATTAATCTTTAATAATCGAACTTTTTTTTATAAATTTTATTTTACATATATCTTCATTGTCTTTTGAAGGAACTGTGCCTAAGGTTATAATCTCTCTATTTGTGTCTATCTCTCTATAATTACAATAGTCTTTACAGTCTTCTGTTGTTAATTATTGGTTTATCTCTTTTATTTGTTGGTCTCGTCGTTCAAGGTAAACACAAAGGGAAAGAGAGGGAGTTGTCATATTCAGCAGTATTGCTGGTTATATTTATAGAAAACAAAAAAGCTGAAGTTATGTGTCCAAAGTTTGCTCTAAAGTCTCTGCTCTTTTTTGTCTTACACTTCTTTTAGTAATTTCCCTTAAGCCTGAGTCTAAGAAGTAGTATTGTTTGTTACTTGTTTATAGAGATATAGTCAATCAAATGTTATTTTAATGATGAGCGGAATATATAATTTACGGTAAAATGAAGTGCCGTGATCAAACAATATAATCATTCAATTTAAAAGCAATGGGTAGTTGACTAGTTCTAAGAGCTTTTAATTCATACACTATTAGTTTTTTTTTAATCCTAATCTATTGTTCGAATTAAAACAATCATACTCAAATATATCTAACTTAAATTAAAAAAGTAGCCGGTGCTAACAGCAGTGTATGATGGAAACAAAGCAAAACCATTGTCTACACTAAGAGTTAGAAGAATCAAGATATTAAATAAATAAAATTGACGTACTTCATGCGAGACAAATTCATTTGAACTGTAATGATAATCAAGTAAATGATTTTAGATAAGCAATAAAAGTCAATATATAACAAGTAAAAGTAAAATATGCAACAATGCTCTGAGATGTTTTTTTACTTTGCCAATCCAATATCAAACTTTTTTTTTTTTTTTTTTTTTTTTTTTTTTTTTTTTTTTTTGCTGTAAGATTAAAACTTAATATGATATAAAAAAAACTTGTTATTTCTAAAGACGATCGTTATGTCTCAAGTAAGACATCCCTCAAGTTGGTTTGGAAAACTCAGTTGAATCAATGTTGTTGTGAACATATATGAGTTCATATGCATAGATCAATAATTGATGATCATAGCAAAAGACTAAATCACATCTATGACAATTTCAATGGTCTATAGTCACTGACATTTACTTATTCCACTAGAAGTACTACATCGTCTTCATAGTCAGAGATATGAACCTAGTTGTTGTGAACATATAGAATCTATATGCATATGATGATCTGACATTAAGTATGTCTTCATTTACATACTAAAATATATCATAATCAATTTACATCAGACATAGACATAAAAGAACCTCTTGTACTGAATAAGACAAAGTATCTTTTAATAGATCAAGACTTATAACCAAAATCCATAATTTACATTATTTAATTAATTTAAAGTAGTCTTTGATAATAGAGACTCAGCCATTTGCATGAACTCTACTACTACTTACTCCGACATCTCTTCATATATAAATACCTAGAGAATGAAGAGCTAGAAAACGAAATCATAGATATATATATATATATACTTTTAGATAATAAACCTATACAAGTTCTAATCGACTTCTTTGTCTTTATCTTCTCTCTTACATCACAACACTAGTAACTCTGTTATTATTAATGGCCCTCATAAAGTGACAGTTAGAGCTGACAAATACATTGGTATTGGCATTTGACAAATATGTAATAGTTTATTCAAGTTCAGGTCAGGTCATGTACTATTGACTGAGCTGACAACTTCCCCTAAAGGCATTTCTTTTAACTGTTCCTGATCTGACAAATTAATCCATGGTCAAGAAGCTAACCCCAAAACAATATTTTGACCGAGAAGAAAAAGTATAAATACCTCGACATTTTATAGCAATTGAAAGATAACATTTAAAGAAATAAAAACCTATACAAGTTCTAATGAACTTTCTCTGTGTTCTTACCATTCCTCTTATTTAATATCTATTCTCTCCTCATCTCACAACAAATGTTTTCATTTACAATCTTTGCTTATGTTTGTGACACAATCACATGCTTTCCAAAATAAGCTTTGCATACTTCATACATGTAGGAAATATATACAATCAAAACCAAATCTATATCTCAAAGATTAGACCATCTAATCAAGAAATTGATCCAATCAAGCAATCAAGTTGCACAGACTGCTTGCATTGTATACACATATGTAGAGAGTTAGGCTATTGCTGGGATGGATGGTGCAATCCTCGTTGTATACAAAAACTGTCGGGATCACTAGAACCAATTGGAATTCACAGATCAACCAATCAAATATTACTGGAAAGAAAATCACGCAAAATTCGTTCAATAAGAGATAATCTGTACAAGCTATTCTTTTTACAATGGTGTGTGTACATGGTTTATTCATCTTTTTTGATTAAAGCAGGATCTTTTTCAATGACTAAAGCACGAAGCCATTGAGCTTCTTTTTCTAATTCAAGCACTCGCTTTTCAAGTGCCTCTGCCTTGGCTGTCATCTCTTTAGCTGTGCGTTCAAGTGCTTGTTCTTTTAATTTCTTCTTCATACGAAATCGAGCAGACGCTGCTGTATTGCGTCTTCTTTTGTCTTCATCAATTGTTTCCTCAGTTTCTTTTAAAGGCGCTTTGCGTTTCTTTGAGTTGGGTGCGGGAGCGGCAGGAAGTGTAGAAAAAAATTGTGGTGGTTGTGGTTGAGCAGGTGCAGGAGCAATACGAGGCAAAGAAGAAGAGGCTGGCAAAGAGGGGTTGATAGTTGTGTTAGGTAGTATATTTAAATAAGTATTCATCATATAATCTTCCTGTTGATTCTTATCATTACTAAGGTGATCATTCAAGTTGGCAAAGGTCGAAAAAATATTTTCTTTATATGAATCATCGTGAATGGCTGTACCAGGCTTTGTATCGAACGTGAATTGTGCATTAGCCCAAAGAGCAAGTTCTTCGCTAAGTGTTTCTTCAGAAAGGGGAACAGGAGAATCGTCCCCTAGTAGATTGAGTGATGAAATATATGACATGATGGAAAGGCCAAAGAAGAGTTGAGAAAAAAAAATTAAGATGATCGGATTTTTATACACATTTTTTTGTTCGTCTTGGCTTGTCTTCCGTACCGGACTAACTGAAATAATTTTTCTATCGGAGATTGATGTACAGATAGCCCATTGACTGTAAAAGCAGAAATGTTTAAATCAAATGTACGGATATCAATGCTCTATTAAAGATATCTCTATTGATATAAATATATCTAAATTTAAGTCAGTATTGACCAAGAAATTAAGAATCGAAGTTGTCTACCCAGTGTGAAAAAGGTATGCATGCTAAAAATGACAAGTGCCCTTTTTTCATGAGCAATTCCAAATCAAGGACTATAAAGAAAAGTACAGTACGATTCAATAACTCTTTTAAAGAGTAGCTTGATGGTAAAGCACAGATACTAAATTGATTCGATGTTGACAACAGGAAATTAGAGATTGATACACTTGCTATAATACAGGAACCACATGCCAAGTACAAAAATGACCATCAAGATACTCAAATAACATTACAATTGCAAACCAGGCACATGCCTTAAAAGATTCGCGTTTGAGAAGCACGATGGTGTAGCTGATTGTACACGCTGGTTTTGAGGAGCCTTCACCAACTGCTAGAACAAACTTGTTGTAATAAGGACAATGGACAGGCAGTTCGATTGGGTAGCCCTTGACCTTAGCGAATGATGTCCAAAAGACACTAAAGATTGATCAGGGGCAATTGTCCCAAAATGAGTTTCAATCGCTTTAGTTGAGCAGAGGATGGCCGCAACATAACTAAGTCGTATTCCTTAGCAGAACAAAAAGACAACAAATAATACCAAGAATTAGCAAAGAATTATAGAAAATGTGTATTTTTTGATCTCCTGTTCTCGTTTCTTTTAATTACGAAATAATTTTATTGAATGCTTTATATAATTCGTTTCCCTTGAAATTAAAAAGCAAAAACTATATTTTTTGTCGCTACGGATGGTATAATTGTGTGCCGACAAAGATTGTAAAAGGCCCTTCTAAGCACATGACCTAATCCGGCTTCTAATTGCTCGGACTCACTCAGTTCATACGAATATATATATTGAATTAACCCCCCTCTCTCTCTCTCTCTCTCTCTTTTAAGAGAACAAAGGCAAAGAAAAGAGGCATGCGAGGAGAGGGTGCTAATCTAATGGTTTTTTATGTTTGTCTGTAACCAGAGAAGGAAGGGAGACAGTTGGTCAGTTGCTGGAATTAGCGGAGTTCCTGTAGTAGCACTCCACATAGAAGGAAGCAGACTACGAATCTTGGCTAGACAAAGGGCTTAGTCAAGAGGCACTTCTGCATTTTCTAAAACCACCTTAAGCAGTGTTCAAGAACGGTGACTGATTTTGGAGAGGCTCCTTGGTTAACTTTCTTAGTATCCTTTTGAAATTGAACGTCAGAAAGATTGTATAATAATTGAATGGTTCAGTTAGATTACCTTCCTTATGAATTGGAATCACTTGTGCGATTCGCCGACAGTGAGGTGTGTATGAACAATGCGAGTACAGGCCAAAAAAAAAAAAAAAAAAAAAACAGAGCAGTAGAAGGCTCGCTTAGACTTATGGAAATTCAACAAAACAAAGCTAAAGCGACAAAAGAAATTATAGTGAAGCTCGTAAACATCAGAAACCTCTTGAACATAATGGGCTAATTTTTTTTCTAAGATTTTATTATTGCTTCGCATAAAGTTACCCTAATGGCACTCAAGAGACGAGCGTAATTCATACGGAGTTATATTATGCAATTATGCTGCAAATTAACTATAAAGGATAATATGAAAGGTATGCCACTGCTAACAAGAAGAATCATTCTCAAAATATTTAGTTTCAAACTCAGCTAGCATTTATGCCGACATGTCAAGTATGCCATTTATACTCAAAAAAAAATATTCTTTAAAAAAAATAAAACCATTACTCTAAAATAAATCAGAAATATTTTTTGCAATGACAAAAGATAAAAAAGAAGTAAATCTCCAATTTTTCTGCTTAAAATTTTAAAAGAAGCTTGTTCTTCAATTTTTCTGTTCTAAAATAAAAAACGAATCTACCGGATAATAATCTTACTGTTTTAGTTTAAAGAAGAGATTACTGGTTGGTAGACTCGGTTTTTATCTTAAAACAGAGAAATCCAGAAACAAGCTTTTTTTTTAATTCAAGCGGAAGAACTAGAAATTCTCTACTTTTCATATTTTTTGTCATTACAGAAAATATTCTTGATTTAATTTACAAGAATAGTTTTATTTTAAAATGGCAGTTTTTATTATTTTTCAAAAAAATTTTTTTGAGTACACAATTGGCATACTTGTAATTTCGGTATACCTGTTGATATTTTTATTATTTTTGAAAATGCTTTTTTTTTTTTTTTTTTTTTTTTTTGCAAGTCCTTCATACTGATCACGTGCCTGAGGCTTACGAGTTTTTACATAGGTCTTTTTTATCGCTACATCGTAAGGGACGGAAGAAAAATGTAATCGCTTACTCTGTGGTGTATGATCGCTATGGCCGCTATTATGGTTGTTCTGGTTGTTATGGTCGTAGCAATCATTCTGCTGTAAGAGTGAACTTGTTCAAGGAACTGATAATCAAAAGCATTTAAGAAAGAGTTCAGATTACTGGTGTTGTCATTTGGGAGGCGAAGACGTTACAGATGGCTGACAGTTGCTTTCAAAATAGGGGCTTTAACTGCTACTTGCTTGATTAGAATTTGCTAAAATTTATTCAAGGGAAGGGTGTAGTTGACCATAACAACCAGAACAACCATAATAGCGGCCATAGCGATCATACACCACAGAGTAAGCGATTACATTTTTCTTCCGTCCCTTACGATGTAGCGATAAAAAAGACCTATGTAAAAACTCGTAAGCCTCAGGCACGTGATCAGTATGAAGGACTTGCAAAAAAAAAAAAAAAAAAAAAAAAAAAGCATTTTCAAAAATAATAAAAATATCAACAGGTATACCGAAATTACAAGTATGCCAATTGTGTACTCAAAAAAATTTTTTTGAAAAATAATAAAAACTGCCATTTTAAAATAAAACTATTCTTGTAAATTAAATCAAGAATATTTTCTGTAATGACAAAAAATATGAAAAGTAGAGAATTTCTAGTTCTTCCGCTTGAATTAAAAAAAAAGCTTGTTTCTGGATTTCTCTGTTTTAAGATAAAAACCGAGTCTACCAACCAGTAATCTCTTCTTTAAACTAAAACAGTAAGATTATTATCCGGTAGATTCGTTTTTTATTTTAGAACAGAAAAATTGAAGAACAAGCTTCTTTTAAAATTTTAAGCAGAAAAATTGGAGATTTACTTCTTTTTTATCTTTTGTCATTGCAAAAAATATTTCTGATTTATTTTAGAGTAATGGTTTTATTTTTTTTTAAAGAATATTTTTTTTGAGTATAAATGGCATACTTGACATGTCGGCATAAATGCTAGCTGAGTTTGAAACTAAATATTTTTGAGAATGATTCTTCTTGTTAGCAGTGGCATACCTTTCATATTATCCTTTATAGTTAATTTGCAGCATAATTGCATAATATAACTCCGTATGAATTACGCTCGTCTCTTGAGTGCCATTAGGGTAACTTTATGCGAAGCAATAATAAAATCTTAGAAAAAAAATTAGCCCATTATGTTCAAGAGGTTTCTGATGTTTACGAGCTTCACTATAATTTCTTTTGTCGCTTTAGCTTTGTTTTGTTGAATTTCCATAAGTCTAAGCGAGCCTTCTACTGCTCTGTTTTTTTTTTTTTTTTTTTTTTTGGCCTGTACTCGCATTGTTCATACACACCTCACTGTCGGCGAATCGCACAAGTGATTCCAATTCATAAGGAAGGTAATCTAACTGAACCATTCAATTATTATACAATCTTTCTGACGTTCAATTTCAAAAGGATACTAAGAAAGTTAACCAAGGAGCCTCTCCAAAATCAGTCACCGTTCTTGAACACTGCTTAAGGTGGTTTTAGAAAATGCAGAAGTGCCTCTTGACTAAGCCCTTTGTCTAGCCAAGATTCGTAGTCTGCTTCCTTCTATGTGGAGTGCTACTACAGGAACTCCGCTAATTCCAGCAACTGACCAACTGTCTCCCTTCCTTCTCTGGTTACAGACAAACATAAAAAACCATTAGATTAGCACCCTCTCCTCGCATGCCTCTTTTCTTTGCCTTTGTTCTCTTAAAAGAGAGAGAGAGAGAGAGAGAGGGGGGGTTAATTCAATATATATATTCGTATGAACTGAGTGAGTCCGAGCAATTAGAAGCCGGATTAGGTCATGTGCTCTATGTCTTAATAGCTCAAATAATTGTTTGGATTTTTCAGATATGTTGAGCGTAAATATCTTATACACTGTTCAAAGGCTTTAGTTTGCCTATCAAATGTGTAGGACATTTGGGATATCAATGTTTTTCTAAGCAATTACAAGAAAGAAAGAGTTTTTTTAATGAATATAGTCATGAAGATGGCTAGTACTACTATTACGCTGTTGTTGCTGAAGTGTCATGGCCACAATATCATCATTTCCTTTTTGTGTAGGAGAAACAGAAAACAATGAGATATTGGAGCCAGATTTCTGCTTCTGTACCAATCTTTGGTCCGAGAAAGGCAATAAGGCATCTACTGCATGTTGAATACGCTTCGTCAATTGACTCACTCGCATATCGGCAACAATCACTTCCCATGCAAACTCAACGCCAAACATCAGTTTAATGACATGAGAAAGTTTCCTGGCAGCAACTTCTGTCAAATAAGCATAGTCGTCGATAGGAGACATGGGAATCTTATCGGGGTCATGATCAAGCACACTTTGAATAAGCTTCAACAAAGAAAGTTGGATTGCATCTTCATCATGGATATCAGGTGTAGGAGGAGCGATAATCTCGAAAGGAAGACTCTTGACCATCACGCGGTGCTTACCATCATGATGATATCTAAATTCGAATATACCTTCTTGCCATGGTAGTTTTTGATTTCCCTTAAATATGATAGTGCCCTTTGTTTTGGAAAGAATTTGAGGGGGAAACAAGACAAGATCGGGGTCGTTTTCTTCGTCAGGATGGCCATTCGTCCAATACCAGCGTCCTTGAGAACTAATTGTTGTGGTGTCCTTGCTAGGATTAGCATTTACTTTGTAGATTCCTATCCAATCTTTGGGTCCATGATCAGCAGGTGCTACCCAGTCTACACGAATACGCTCGCCCATAATAAACACATTGTCGTAAGGTTGAAGTGTATGTTGATCATGAGAGAATCTAACTTGATACCCTTTTCGACTTCTTTGAGCATTACTGTCTTTTTCCAATAAATTAATGGCTGCCGTGGTTAATTCTAACAAGAATTTCAAATAAATAAAAGAAAATAGGCGGCATTCACTTACCAGCTTCTGTTTTTCCAACAGTATTTACTAATAGCTCTTCAACTTTGTTGATGGCATCGTTGACAAGATGACTTGTATTGTTTTTATCCTTGGGGTTATTTGTTGAACCCTGTTGCTGTTGCTGAATAACAAATTTAGCAATTTCATTTTGAACTTGCTTTGGTAGCGATATAGGTAACTGCTGAGCCGCAGTACGTAATGTTTTTGTCAAACCAGCTTCTTTTCTAATCTCATCACCGTAAAGTTTCTCCATATGAGGCCTTTCGACAAACTGTAATAAAAGTGAATTGGTGATTTGTGAAAACAGAGCTAAGCCAAATGTAAAGGGATGGTTTGTTATTAAACTAAAACCCCAAAAAGCAGCATGACCCATAATCTTTTCTGGGTTATTAAGAAATCTAGGCAATAGTGAGTATGCTATGGCCGTTATTGTGTTCTTTTACCTGTAAATACCAGTGTATAATAATTGAGTAGGATGATCATCCACAAAGAAATCACCATAGAACCAGCCAAAATCGCCTAATACTTCATAACTAGAAACCGAAGTCCAGATGTGCAAGCATACAAATGCAATACCCAGTGTATGTCTTAATATGGTCATACCATATGTCCAATCGTCGGGCAAAGTATAGAGCTTGAAACATAAAGTGATGAACGAAACGTAAACCATACAGGAAGACAGGTTGTAAATGCTTTTCCAACTCTGAAACGCTTCTTGTGCCCCACTTCCCCATTTAACAAAGTGCCTTGTGAACCATTTGTTTTTAGACTGGAAATGAAGTAGTAAACCCAATCCAACAGAATGAAACAGTCTCCAAAAAATAGCTTGAGCCATAGAAAACAAAACACTTGATCTAGAGCTCATAAACCATGGAGTAATGGCAGCATAAAGCATTAAAAGTGCGGTCACCAAATCGTTGGATTGACATAAATCAAAATTCTTAAAGACAATCATATCGCGGCGAAAATGATAAAGATGTGTATGTCGGCGGTTGTTGTAAATAGATTTAGCTAAAGAAGTAGCGACATCTTCATCCAAAGAAGCAGAAGCAAGAGGTAGTCTTTTTTTAGCTTGAGGAGGGTTGTAAATCTTTTCAATATGTGGGGTTTCAACGAACACCAAGAAAGCCATTTGCATCATATGAGCAGCAATACTGACAAACAGAACAGTATAGCTTGCACAAATAAGAGAGATACCATAGTAGCCAATGTATCCTACTGAATACATAGGATGTGGTGCCATTTCAAATACACCATCAAACGTCAATGATTGTTCTATCAAAAAGAAGAAGTCACCCCAATACCAAGCAAAGTCCTTAACTACACGTTGAGCATCTAGCTTGACCCAGATATTGAATAAAATTAGGAACAGACCGGCAACCCATTTGAGCAATTTAAGATCCATCAAGTAAAAGGTTGATTGAACAGGGTTAAACCAGACACAAGCAAAGCATATATAGGCAACAAAGTCATTCATAAGAATAAGGTCCACTAATTGTCTAAACAAAAGCCAGGTGTTGTATTCAACAGGTTCTTGTTTGAAACTGTAGTTGTCTGGGTTCATCTTTAAACTAAGTTGATGCTGTATCCAACTATTTTGATCGAGCTTGTAGTGTTTGAACCATTTGACTAAACCATGTTTTTCGCTTTGATACTTGAGCAAAAGGCCCAAACCAAGGTTATAAGCTAAACGCCAAAACAAAAACAGAACAAGAAAGACATGTTTAGACCAAGTAGTGGGTAGGATAAACAAGAGCGCGAGTTTAATAGACAGAATAGACAGAATAAGCAAATCAAAGAAAGTTTTCGATTCTTTGGGGTCCAACAGCGATTGAAGCATGTCTCGAGTCACAGGAACTTGAAAGACTATTGATGATTTTCATGAGATATTTGAGTATATAAGCCAATTAAAGTACCTGTTCCGTCCAAGGTCTTGCCCTTTGAATAGGCATCGTCTTTAGCATGTTTCATGTCACTGTCATTCACCTTTCTCAGTCTTCTTTTTCTTATTTCAGCCATGTTGAAATGAAGCTGCGAGTTGTTTTTTGTTGAAAAAAAAAAGGAAAGAATTGTAAAGAAAATAAAGAAAAACGAAATTGGTTGCTTTTATTGTTTAATGCGTGAGAAATTGGATGCTTTGTTGATTGGCTTAAATTCAGAATCCCGCCCACTCAATTGAATAATATGTCATCATTTCATTCATGATTGACGCCAACACAAAGGTTTTTTTAACATTGGTAGCCAGTCTACCCATTCCGACAAGCTCTAGTGAAGCAATTTCCTCTTCCGAATCAACAGTTTGTACGATGTACTCACTATGGACACACATAGGATCACCGGGATAAAGTAAGAAATCACCACCAAACTTGATTCCACTGGTAAGATAAAAACCTTTTGACCAAAAATACTCGAATACCATAGACCTCAGTGTTTCAGATATTTTGTTGTCCACAGTAGCAAAGTCTTTTTTCACGAGCAAACATACTTCTTCAGGCAATAAAAGTAACGGTAAACCATAAAAAGTGTTTTGAAGAGGAAATTGAGGCAAGGTGCCTTGCAGCGATCCTACAATTCGATACTGACAACGCAACTTTTCAACGTCTAATATTCTTTCAGACTATGAACCTATTTTTATCTCTCTCTTACCTTTTACATTAAACACAAAATATTTGTCTCCTAATTGTTTAATATGAACAAGTTCATTTGACATTGAGTGCTATAAAGAAAGGAAAAAAAAAGAAAGTCCTTTTCTCGAATTGCAGAATGGCATTTCGTATTCAAACTCAGTGTCTCAAAGAGGAGGAAAGACTGCATGTTTGTTTATAGAGAAATCTGATACTTATGTATTTGCCATGTGTAAATCACTCTTTACAGGAAAAGAAAATTCTACCTTTCTTTGCATCTATTTCAGACTGACTTTAAATGAGTTACCGTACTCCAAGCCGCACGTACTTATTTCACTCGTGAAAATGTGTAGTGAGAATTACTCGCATAAAGGAGCATTTCAGGGTTTTTTGGTCATTTCGATCCTTTTACAAGCTCAGAGGGTTTGAGATTAATACCTTGCCCTTGTCTTGCATAATCATTTAAATTACTTCTAATACTTGATGCAACATTGACGTCTCTATTTCAATACATAATATTAAAATTAATACATCGCATTTATTATTCAGTTGCTCTATAGATCACATACCCATTGGTCTTCTTTCTTCACTGGTTAATGAGGATGCAGCTTTAACAGATAGATGGTGCACATACGAAGAGTAATGTTTCCAGAAAAGACGTGACGGTATCTTATCAAATTCCGTCTATTTTTTTTTTATAAACAGCAAAAGTAAACCACCAAACATGCAGTGACGAAACAACGACGTGTTTCTCTTTTTTTTTTGTGTATACAAAAACCCTTCCAAGTCATTTTTTATCCTTTTTGTATTTTCATTCAATATGCCAAAATTACCAGATATCAATAAAGTAAGACAACTTGTTCCCCCACTTTCTGGAAAAATGCATAAAGGACAAGCAGGCAAGTCAAGTGAGCTCAGTTGGGTTGACGAGATAACTAAATCTTTTTTTTAGGCCGAATAGGTGTTGTGGGTGGCTCAGAAGAGTAAGAGAAAGAAAGAAGGAATTATTCTGCATGTTTATTATGATCTTCTAAACATTCTTTTCGTCTTATTTAGCTACACCGGCGCACCTTTCTTTAGCGGCATTGCTTCCATGAAAGTGGTAAGTCACTTTTTTCTTCTGCATAAAATAATAACATTCTTTCATGAAGGGTGTAGACCTCTGTCATATATTTTGTGAGCCTGGTGCAGGCACAGTGATCAAGGCAAGTGATATCTATATAATGTATATATATAACCTATTTTTCTTATTATAGGGTTATTCACCAGGTATGCTATAAAATAAACAAACAAACAAATATTCATGCTTCCATAATAGACTTGATTGTTCATCCCTATATGCGTACAAAAGAAAAGCTAGAAGCTGATTTAAGTATCGATAAGATTGTTGATCGTGTTTCAAGTGTATTCTCAAGACTCCATGTGTTGGTTGTCGGACCAGGCCTTTCCAGAGACGAAGTCATGCAGGAAACAACACGACACTTGATTCAGCGTGCACGCAAGCAGAACATGGCTATCGTCATTGATGCAGACGGACTCTATCTTGTTCAACAACATCCCGAAGCTGTTCAGGGCTATCAAAAAGCCGTCTTGACTCCCAATGTAGTCGAGTTCAAACGTCTATGTGAAAAAATGGTAATGACCAGCATCATTAAAAACCATGCTTATACTATGCATAGGGTGTAGAAGGTTCAGGCGAAGAAGCTGCAAAAAAACTCGCTCAATCGTTTGGTGGTCTCACTGTTGTCCAAAAAGGTTCTGAGGACTGTATCACCAATGGCAGCGAAGGTTTGTGTGTATTTATCTACATATTTGTATATATTTTATTTATGCATCTTTGTTTATCTCAGTCTTAAAATGTGATACTGAAGGTGGTCTCAAACGAATGGGCGGTCAGGGGATATTCTTTCGGGAGCCATTGCGGCTTTTTTAGCTTGGGGAAAAGCTTATGAAGATGGCGTATGGAGGTATGGACATTTAAAAATAAGGAGAAACTAATTTATCTAGTCATTCGAATGAAATCGCTTCCAAGGACATTGCCATGTATGCTAGTTGGGGTGCTTGTTGGATTTCTAGAACCAGTTCCAAGTTATCTTTTGAAAAGTATGGTAGATCTGTCCTTACCTCACACATGTTGGAAGAAATCGGCTCTTCCTATGATCAGTTCATGAAACACTAAAGAAAGAAAGAAAACCAAGAACAAAAACATTTGATAAACAAATAAACCAATTTCATATAAAAACAAAGCAGGTCTTTAGCTTCTCTCTCTTTTTTTTCTTGTTATCATACAAATGAAGACTTCCACACTTATCACTACCACTGCTCCTATTGAAGAAACCAAATGCCTTCCTGACTCTTACCTTGAGATTGAAGTAAGAGCTCCTCAGACACATGGTAAGGCTACTTTGATAAATCTAATTGAACACTGACATGTTACAGGTACTGGATTTGGCATGTACACAGACTATGAAATTATTTGCAGAACAAACAGTCCTATCTTTCAATTCAAGCAGTCCAGTGTCAGAAGAAGATATAGCAAATTCGAATCACTCAAGTTCAAGCTAGAAGAAAATGACTATGAAATTAAAGTTCCTAATTTACCAGGCAAGATCTTTACGAATCGATTTTCAGACAAAGTGATTGAAGAAAGAAGACAAAAATTGGAGCAATTCTTACAAATGTAAGTTGTATAATATTTATTCCATAATCTCTTACACTTTTTGCAGTCTTTGTTCCAATATCAACTTAATACAAGACTATGAAGAATCAAAAGCTAAAATGATCGTTCGATTTATTCAAGGCAAATATTAGTTTCTTTTCATTCTCTCAATATCATCCTTTGCGGCCTGTATTTTATAGAGTAACCCATGATATGCTGTGGATAATGTCTTGAATTCAGGCCCAATATCATTGTATTCTGTTAATTGTTTTGTTATATATTCCAATGTGGTTTGTGCTTCCATGTATCTGTCTTCCAATAAATTCCTTGTTTATAATTAATGCCTGTTGTTATCTGTCTTGAACTTACTTGAGTGATTCTAATGCAGTGATAAATTCTTGGCCTTGATATGTGTTCATAAGAACGCTTGTATGTAATATCCTATAGACCAGTTAATACAGTGGCTGTCATGTTGTTTCTTACTTGACTTTGATAAGCAGTGTATCTACAAGTGAAGTATAATAATTGTCGAATTGAATGTTTTTGTCTTTTTCTGCTTTGTACTTGAATTGCTCAATAACAGACCATGTCACATCAAGAATGTTAAGTACTGTCTATTCCTTGTCAATGCTCTTTTCTCTTGTATGGGCAAATACCTTGACATAGTAGACTACTTTACTCTCTACCAATGCTCTTTTGTCTACCAGATCTTGTTCATCTTGTTTTATTTGTTGTTTGATATCTTGAACAGATGTTATAGATGATGCAGACATAAACTCTTTTACTTTTTTATGCTTCAATTGTATTGCTTCCTTAACAAGGGCTTGCACTGGTATCTGGAGCAAGTTAAGAACTACATTTGATATACAATACATAGCTTACAGAGGACGTATTTATGTCATACTAGAAAAACAACTTAATATTGACAGCATACTAGTATGTATTACCTCAAACTTTTTTAGTTCAGTCAACAAGATCTTGTTCTTGAAATGCTCCACTTGCTAAAACGTGTGGTTAAGATCAAGCTTGAAATAACAATGACAAACCTCTTGTTGTATGTTGGTCATTAAGAAGAAAAGTAAAAATAAATAGAAAGTCTGAGTTGCTTTTTCATCCTTTCTTGATCATTGATGAAGACAGACAGACAGTTACAAGACACAAGTGCATTCAATCTAGATACAGCATTTACTATCAATGTCAGTGGAAAACCTTTTTATCTCAGTTGGAAGTCCTTGATTTCAGATGGACCCAACAACTTCTTTACTCGACAGCTTATCAAGAATAAAACCACGCGTGTTCTTCACATAGATAGAAGCAGAGATACATTTGAGTTTATTGCACGCCATTTAAGAGGATACCCAGTTATCGCAAAAGACGAATATCAGCAACAAGATATGTTAAGTGATGCTCATTACTATGGCCTCAATAAGCTCATAAGATCCTTGAGCCAGTTTGTTTATCTCAATATTGGTGGTACAACGTTTCGTGTAAGATGGGAGTTGTTTGATAAAGGTATACATGGCTGTCAAATAAATAAATAACAAAAAGAAAGTGCTTAAAAGTATGTATAGATGGTCCCTATAATTACTTTACTGGATTTCTAAAACAATCCCTACTATCTCCCCACACTTCTCTTGGTGAATCACCCCCAATTTGTGTTGAGCGTGATCCAGAGGTATTCAAGGACATCATTAGGCACTTGCAAGGTTATTCTATTTCTATCAGAAATGAACAGCATCGACAACAATTACTGTCTGACGCACAATTCTACCTATTGCGTCGATTGCGGGATAAACTTAAATGCAGTATATCTACTCAAGAAATGCTTCTTTATCACCAGGACATTCGCTCTCAATTCTTTGTTGTAGAAGATAATGTTGTGCTATACAGACAGGACAAAGAAATGTTTACTTTGCTTATTCAAATCAATGATACCCACGCTCAGTACAATCAAAACAACAAGACATTTATGCTAGAACAAGACATTTCATTAAGAGATCCTCGATGGAGTATTTCTAAACAGATCAAGGTTGACAAAGATTGTGCTATTATTCAACAGCCAAAAAAAGAATCTACGTTAGACGAATTTGTTGATTCTTTATTGTCTCTTGATGAACACGAAAAGCAGTTCAGTATTGAAAAAGCAATAGCACGTATCATATTTATTCAACAAGACACACTTTATTTGTCTATTGAGAAAATGCAAGTCATCTTGTCAAGAAAAGAGGCAAACATGAACAGGGATTTTCTGTAATATATATTATCCAGGACGAGAAGGAGTGACAACGCGAGCATGGTCTAAGAGCAAGTTTGTCTTGACACCATAATAAAGGCATTCTAAATCTACTTCAAACTCTGGTATTTTAGCTCGTTCATCTTGTTCATCTTCATCTTCCTCTTCGACATGCTCTTGTTGCATATATTCTATATGGGCTACAATTCGATCAAACATAGTCTCTAGGCGAGCTCTTAATCCACCATAACGCTGTTCAACAACTTCCCAGCCAAAAGGTTTGTACGTCTTTAGCCACATGGATCGATGGCATTTCCATAGTCCATCCACTTCTTGACGTAAGCTTTGGAGCCGGGTATGAGCCACATTATAAAGTTGGGCATAATCACGCTTTTTATAAAGTGCAATACAATGTTTGCGTAAATGTGATTTGAGACTCAGGACCTTAGCAATGCGACAAGGAAGTTCAAGACGTTGATTGAGTGGATGAGACGCCTGTTTTTCAGAGATAGCAGTTGATAAATGATTGTTAATCATCTGGTAATGTGTCTCTAAATCTTCGTCGTTGTATTGAGGCGAAAGAAAGCTCAAAAACGGGTCTGTGGATCAATTAGAATAAGTTGTACGGAGCAAAATTTACCTTCCCAAAGCAACCATTTACTCATGTTGCTAGCAAAATTAGATCTTGAATTGATAGGCGTACCTCCGGGTACATCGTCAATCTAGTCAAGCAAGTTAAAAACAAGGGCAAACACAGACAGCAAACCTTTGAAGCAAAAACCCAGTCATCAAAGCTTGCTCCACATATTCCTTCTATCAGCAAGGTCAATTTCAAGATAAAAAAGGATATTGCTTTTGATTACCAAAATCTCTTTTCAACATTGGAATATCAACTTCTTCTTGGTCTGTGTATCCATGTTGAGCATAATAAAACAAAGCTGGTAAAGCAGAAAGCCTAGAATAGAGAGAGAGAGGAGAGAGGGGGGGGGTAAATATATATTGTTTCTTAAGGATTCGACTTACACATCACATTCATTTCCTTCATCTCCCCAAGTAGTAATAAACGTATTTCTTACACCATCTTCCTTATTTTTTGCTGCTATCACACTTGCTCGAACAGATTCAAATGTAAAAGGCAAAGCAGCCCATAATCGGCTCCAAGTCCAGACAGAAGTAGCAATCCAAGGATCCTGACATCCCATTTGTCGGTGTTGCTGGATCTTTTGTGAGTAAATGTCAGGTGTTGTATGATAATAGTCCCAAAAGACAAGTTTGAGATTGTCGGGCATCTTTTCAGTGAATTCAGGTGTGCTTGCTGCAGGATTGTTTGATTCGTCATAATAGCCTTGTAAAGAATTATTCTGGACAGCCAAACAAAACAACACTATAAAAGGATTGAATACGAGAAATCTATGAGTAAAAAATGTCTTACTATCAGACCAAATCATGGGCTGCAAACCATTCCGTACACAAATTTCATTGACTCTTTGTAAATGATCTACAAAAATTTGTGTAGAGTCTTTATGGTATCCAAACAATTGTCTGTATCTTCCTTCACCTACGCCATGTGCCTCATCCATGCCAATATGAATGCGCTTTGATCGAAAAGGTCCAGAAGCAGCCAGGACCATCTTCTCTATAAAGTCATATGTAGGTTCTGACTCGGCCAATAAAACTTCAGTATTATCTCGTAAATGCGCATAGTGCTGCCATTGAAGTACCTGGCCCATATGGCCTAGTGTTTGAATACATGGAATCACTTCAATTCCTCTAGATACAGATAGTCAATACAAATTCTTACTCTAGAACATACAAGTCAAACGCATAGTCATCAATCAAAGAAAGCTCTCTTGCTGTGTATTTTCCTCGAAGATAACCAAATAGCGGTTCACCTTCAATTTCAAATGTATCTTCTGTATATAACTGAAGCATATTCAAGCCCATTAAAGCCATGTTATTCAGCAAGAAATAAACTATCTTGGGAAGCATCACGCCTCCTCGACTGCAATCAATCATAACGCTGGATTGTATCAATAAACTGCGGTTTGTACATCTTATTTACCCTTGAGTGTCAAATTGGGCTTGTTCGCTAAAATTGACGAGATCACCATGAATTCCTGTTAATATCATGTAATCCCTTGTGCTTCCCAACAATCTGCCTAATGCTCGAAAAGCTTGGGATGTTGTTAGCTATCGTATGTGCACATCTATCTATATATATACCATCAATTTTTCGGTTGTATCTAACTTGGACTTCGAACTTTTGATCTCCACCGACGCTATCATGATAATTGCTGTAATTGCTTGCAGAACGATATTCTCTTTCTCTCAAAGTGATATCATGAATAAAACTAGAGATGGTGAATATCAGACCATGCAATTATTTACTTTACTTGACATGCCACTTGTATTCAGTCGAGTTATGTTCGTCGTCGTCCATAGAACTTTCACTGACGAGATTTCGAAGAGGAGCATAACTAATAAGTTTAGAAATACCGTCCTGAAGTTCCAAAGGTTGCTGTGAAGGGTCTATCACAATAAGAACAGTATTGTATTGAAAGGATATGTCTTTTTCAGCAGAGAGGTATAGTTGGTCTATCATAATAGAAAGAAAAGAGGGAATGAGCCTAGTGACTTGTTTCGTTGCTAGTGCAATTTAGTGCATCCCATAGCTTCGTCGTGTGATTTTCTCCCCCTAAACAAAATTCATGCAAATTAAAGCTCCTCAAGCTCGTATTGAGTTCATTACAGCAAATGTCATAAAATTGAGCATTATTGAAGGACTAACAACAAAAAAGAAGAAAGAAGAAAGGGCATTAACTTATTCTTTGTTGCTTACATAACAAAATGATACTGTATGACAAGAGTTTTAGACCAATATGATAGCATAAGATATAATTTCTTCTACTGCAAAGGCAATATGTTGTTACAGTCATACATTGACTACATAAACTATACGTTGAAGCACGAGCGTATGACAATTTTTTTTTTTACTCCTCAAAGAATAAAACGAATTTTGATATTTAAATAAACATGCTACAATGCCAATAAAAGGCAATTGGCCTGACTTTCTTTTTTTTGGGTAAGATCATCATGTCCTATCTAAACTTGAACTATATACAGAAAAAAAAAAAGATAATACAATGCTATTTTTCTTTTGCCAAGAATGACAATTAATCATGAAAAAGGGAGAAAAAGAGGAGATGAGGAGAAGAAGGTAAGAGAAAGAATGTATGTATATATTATATTAAAGATTAACAACTACTTTTTTTAAGTTCAAGTATTAAAGATTATGATAACAAATGGTTTTAATGTGCATGTTAAAGAAAAGACACATATACACACGCACACACACACACACACATATATATATATATATATAATACATACATATACATACACAGAGTCAATTGGTGTTTTATAAGATGTTAAATAAATTCCACATAAGATTCAGGAATCAAACCAGTTTCATCCTGTACGTCCGCAATAAGCCAACCCTAATAAAATAAGATAAGTAATACAATTCGCACGACATTTTGTATACTTTACAGGACACTGGCGATATTGAACCCAAATGGATTGTCCAGCTTTAAGACCTATTTCATATTCTGTCTCTGGTGTGAAATCAAATAATGCTCGAGCATCTCTACCCGTAAAGTCTGGAGAGGATAAAGAAACTGTCGAATGGTTTTCCAACTTGGAATGTTGACCGTAATGCAATGGAGAATCGACCGGATAAGCAAAATCACGTACAAGTACATCTATTCATTGGTCAGATATAGGTCATAGCACATATCAATACTCACTTGGTGTTGAACTGGACAATAAAGACAAGGAAGAAGCAAGCCTTTGTTCAATCTTAAAGAGACATGTGAATAATAAACCCTAAAACACAAGACTTACTTGTAACTCATCATGATGTTTTTGTTTCATGTCATAATCATTTTCAATAATAGAACTCGACTTGTTGATGGATGTCGTGTCGTCTTCGGCCAGCAACAAGGAAGATCTTAAAGCTGCTTTGATTTGACTGTGAGATTTGATAGAGGGTGGCGAAATGATGACAGATGATTTATGATGGTTTTGAACAAATTCATATTCTTCTTCTTCAAGTTCACTGTCAGAACATGAACTTGTAGAAGTAGTAGGATCATCTTTGTGCACTGATTTTGAGTTGTCAGTCGTTTGTCTTTTGGTTTTCATTCGTTGTTGAAAGTTCTTTCTTCTCATGGATCCTTTTCGGGTAATCTATTAAAACGAGTTTTTTTTTAATTGTCTGTGATATATAGAATCAAAGCAAAAAAGAAAAAGAAAATAGGAGTATCAAACATACCTTTTTTAACAAAAGTGCAAATGCAATAACGGTATTTAAACTCATTATTATGATAAAGTTTTTTTTAAAGGAAAGGAATGGGTTTATATAAATATTCTCTCTTTTTTTTTCAGTTAAAAAAAGAAAGTATATCTTACAAAAACTCTTTTTTTATATGGTTAGTGTAAAGTGTGTAACAGAAGAGAGGAAAGAGGGAAGAAGGGGAGGAGAGAAGAAAAAGGAATAGTTGGTTCGAAGTTTAGTCAAGAAGGTATTTCGTTTTATTCTTTATATATTTCTTGGGAAACAAATAAAAGAAAAAGTGGGGGAAAAAGAATGGTTATAATACAAAGTACACACACACTATTCAAACGAAATGCTGGAATTAAACAACGAAACGCCCAAAAAGGTGTCTTAAAAAAAGAGGTGAAAAAAAAGACAGGTTGATAAAGAAAAAGAAAAGAGAGAGAGAGAGAGAGAGGGAAAAAAAAAGGGGAAGGTGAAAATAAATAAGAGAGGAGTACCAAAAGAGAAAAAAGTACTACCACTGTGCAACATATAGAGTTTTAACTTGGGAAGATGCGTTCTGCTTAAACCAATGAAGTTAATTTTAGAAGAGTATTCTTCTTTTTGACAAAACTTGATGCAGATAGACTTCATTCTCTATTTTCTTGCTAGAAGTACTTATTTGATGAATGATGGGTATTCCTTTATTCATTGTCCACTTCAGACTTCCGGTAGGAGGTAATTCCGATTTGTCCGACAAAGTAAAAGATGTGGTCAAAGACTCCAAGAAAAGGATGTTCAGATTTGTGTAAATAGGTCGAGTTCGAGGAAACAATGACTTGAGAAGCAACTTAGACTCTCTTCCTTCTTGTTGCTACCATTGGACCCTGATTCATCTCGGCACAATCCAATTCTTCACGGTAGTAATATTCTACTTTATTAGTAAGAATGCCAACCTATCCAGGCGCTTATTTTTCGATCTACGAAATTCAGGCAGCTCTTGATTGGTTGTTTTACGGTTTAATGCAATTGTTTATGAGCACATGAAAAAAAATTCTAATCTGTTGATCTAATCGAACAAGCATGTTGAATATTATTTTTAAGTTTGACTTTCAGTCTCACACTTAAGCCATAGCGTTAGAATAGTATATGTGTTAACTTGGCACTGGTTCACACAAAGAATGTCAATATCGAATGACCCAGGAAATATGGAAAGAGCAGTGACCCAAAGGAAGGTTACAAAGATCAATTATTCTATTCTCAGAAAGAAGACCTTATATTCCAACTCCAATTGATTTATGTTTATCATTGAAATAGCAATAGCTTTTTAATTCAAAAGAGAGCTTGTGCTGCTCAATAATTCTTCTCAAAAAGAAATATGTTCTAAACAGAATACAACCTCAAATTAAAATGCCGTACTACTAGACTAAAGGGACACATAAAAATTAATACATTTTGTGTTGCCATAGATTTATTGTATCTTAAAGCTTCGATTTTATATAATACCATTTGTCATCTCTTTCTACAACTTTGACCTTACGCTTGTACTTGTTTGAATGCTATAATTGTTATTTTATGAATGGCTCGCATACACTTACCTTTTCCATTTTGCCTTCCTTGTATGACTCTTTGTTCACATTGTATGGTGAGGCTTGAATGGTTACATTAGCCCTAAAATATATTTGTTTTTTAGGAGTCTTGTTCGTGTAACCTTTAACTACTTACACACTAATATCATGAGTATCGGCCTTGCAAGGTATTTTGCCGTCTATAAGGCGTTGCCAAGCTTCGTGCGTTTCCTTTACAACTGCTTCTGCATAAGCCTATATTACAGTGTAAATATGAATTACACACACATGTGCGTACTTTAATGTACCTTATTTTTGCATTGCCCGTCAAATGCAAATTTATTAGCTGCTTTACCATCAGGAATTTTGTAGATCTTGAACCACTGGCGCGTGGCTTGAATAAGCTCAGGAAAATGCTTCTCCACATCTTCTATATCTACAGTATACCATATGAATAAGCGATAGAAAAAAAAAGATATGCAATACTACAAACCATGCACTTTATCAGCCATGGGGTCTTTGATATCAATACCAATCAATTTCCAATCTGTTTCGCCTTCATCTAACAAGGCTATCACACCTAAAATTTTGACCTGTTTAACTTGTCCTCGATAGCCAATTTCTTCACCAATTTCACAAATATCAATAGGGTCATTATCACCTTTAGCGCCTGTATCGGGCGTAATAACTGTAGGATCTTCCCATGTCTTTTGATTGCGTTATTACTCGTGAACCTATATTTTCTTTTGGTTACCTGTGGCAAAGCGCCATAATTCCAAATGTATCCCTTAAAAGGGAAGCAGTTGCGTACAAATCTGACTTTTCCTTTTTTGACATCTTGTTTAATAGGATTGTATTTTTCGCCTGTGGCAATTTCAAACTTGGCATTAGACCAACGAGGGATTTCGACAATCATATTCACAATCTTTTTCTCAGCATCAGCATAAAGAGGGATATCATGGAATGGGGATATCATTTTACCGTCCTTTTCTAAACAGATTATGATACTGTATTGGCATGAAATAACATACCGAAATAAATACGATGATCTGGTGTATATTTCTTCCCAATAATAGATAGCTCGTATGTAGACATAAATAACGCGGTTCAAAGGAAGAAGAAGAGAAAAAGAAAAAAAAAGTGAAAAATAAGTGATGTGTATTTTTTTTAATAAGCAAGAATTGAAAATTCAACCGAGTGGGGCATCTTTTGTGTTGACACAAAGTTTGCTTCATTTACCCCGCATATTCTTTAATCCATTTTGTTTGTGTTATCTTTTCTTTTTATCTTTATGCGAATTACTTACTTAAAATAGTTTCTGTTATATGGTTCAGCTATATAAAGAAAAACAAAAAGAGAAAGAAGAGATACCTGTCAAATGGTGGCCATATGGAAACTTTGAAAATGTTAAGATTTTAGCAGTCATAAAGTAAAAATGAATAAATACTTGCTTAGAGATGCTAAACTCTTGACTGATACACCGCTTCTTGTACAGAAGGCTGCCGTTTTCAAATTCAGTTAAATGCTGGAGTGACTGACGCTTGAGGAGAAAGTAGGAAGAGTTTCATGAAAGAACAAAGTGGTTATGCCTGAGATAGCAATGGCTAAAGCTAGATACCTTATCTCTTCCACTTGTAGCTTTGTCTTAGTTCTACTGATAGATTCTTGACTTCTTCCTGCAGGTTGGTAGCTTTTTTTAAGAGTTGCATTGTCTAGTAGACTGATTCAAAATCATTTGCCATGTTGGCTGCGGGGTATTTCTACGATGAGGCTGCTCTTTAAGAGTAGCTGTTATCTGTCTAGAATTATTCTCCTTGGTACCTATTATCCTTGCATACTTTAAGCCGAGCAAAATAGTTATGAGCAAAAATCAATTTCGAGCTACTTGAAGCTGAATTTGATTGTTTTGTACGACAAAGGTATTGTTGCAAAAAGAAGACATGGTTAGGAATACAGCAAGTTGAAAGTCAACAATGAAATCAGACATGAGAGAGATGAACATGTTCATTTTAGTGTTGAAGATATTCATCATCGTTTGACCTAAGTCTTGCCGCAAGATAGTATTTAATCACATAGTACAGACAGCATAGTTTTCTTCTCTTTGGGTATCATCCCTTTCTAATGCCTCCAAAAAATCATCAGTCTCCATAAATATACTAGCAGAAGGGGAAACAGCAATACTTTTGGGAATACCTGCTAAAGAAGACAAACTAACAATACTCCTAGAGCTTTGTACTGTTAAAGGAGAAAGAAATTCGGTAGGTGTGTCTGTTTGTGCTAATGTTAGGAATTGTTGATGAAATTCATCAATATGCCGGTCTAAATATTGGTTCCAAGCAGTAGAACCTGTGACTAAGCTACTGTCCTCTCTAAATCTAGAAGACGCTTCTCCTTTGTTCTAGTTAACGACTTCAATTTTTGCAAAAAAGAAAAAAAAAAACCTTTAGGAGGAGACCTTTTTGCTCTTTATCTTTCTTTGAAAGCAGCAGCATTAGGTGTTTTGCGGATCCAATTCAAGATATAATCCCTAGCAGCATTCTCAAATGCATAAATGAACTCTTGTTTGAATTGGTTTCTATATTTCCTATAACTAGCTTAGCTACGAACCGATGAGGCCTTAGAAGCAGGTATTGGTTTTTTAACTTGCTTGCCTGTGTAAGCAGAATACTGTGTTGCAAGTACTTACATAACGGGATACGTGAGCCTACTTTGCATATTCATCTATCAGTGTACTATTCAGCTTACTTTGAGCTTATCAATCTCTTTAAATGTATATAGAAAAAAGAGCAAAGAGTTAAACAAACAGATATAGACTCTTTTTATGCATCTTTTTTTTTTCCTCGCACCAAGATTCCCCCTGAAATTGATTTCCTTATTTAGATTTTTTAATATTTCATTGTCAAAATCTCCTCAGAAGATGTCTACCACTGTATGATAACAAAAGATGATAGTAGCCAAAACTTTGTGTTAAGACTTAGCTGCAACATAGTTTTCATAGTTTACTGCTATAAAACAAGATAACAGTTTCCTAAACCTAAGCAAGTCCAGAATATAAACACAATGGAGTATAGATAGTGACACAAGTATCCATGCATAAAACGTTGTATTATAGAATCCTTTATCAATAAGCCATAAAGAGTAGTTTTCATTAGAAACTACGCCTAAAAACACAAACAAGAGGGAAACTATGATGATAGCTTTAGTCAATAGATCTACAATTAGACAACCAACAGGTCTGTATACTTTTAGTGCTCTTGTTCTATAATTGCTCCCATCGAAAATAAATGAAAGTTAATATATCGTTCAATTTCCCTTTGCTTCGATCAATGCAAATGAATACATTATAACTACTTATAGCCTTATTTGTGCGTTCGTGTAGTATAAACCCACGCTTTATACACTTTATGTCAAAATGTCCTATGTCATAACTAGGTGCTTTGGTTAGGATTGCTAACACGTTTAAAGCTGTCCGTAGCTATAAGAATCTGAGTTTTAATCGCGGCAACCGCGTATAGACATCGGGCAAATATCTGTATGCATCTCACCTGCAACCTAGATAACCCTTCTCTTCCAGCGCCAACATGAAGGTAAATAACATGCCATAGGAGATCATATCAAACAAGGACGATGGATGAATAGCTATGAGGAGACTTTGAATGATGGATGGATGAATGAATGCAACAAAATAGACCGAATAGAATCAGATAGAACTCGAGATCATCGATAAAATGAATTCAAAAAGAAAAAAGAACAAAATGAGTAGACAGACAGCATCGACGCATTAAAAACAAACACAATAGCTAAATGACAACAGCTATACGCAATCGCAGGGACAATCACATAAAACATTTGATTCAACATCTCCGTTAGCTCGATTCCACGTTCTTTGTTTGACATGTTGCACATCAAGATACTAAACATTGGCTATAGTTGAACATCGCTAACCCAGCCACCGGCTGTCAAAAGTTGATTGAAATTGAAGACGAACGTCGTCTGTAAGTAGAGATCACAAACAAAGGCAATGACATTGACTAATACTGACAATAGCCGTGGCTTCTACGATAAGCGTATGGCCCAAGAAGTCTCTGGTGATTCTCTCGGTGACGAATTCAAGGGTTACGTCTTCCGTATCACTGGTGGTAACGACAAGCAAGGTTTCCCCATGAAGCAAGGTGTTCTCTTGCCTCACCGTGTCAAGCTCTTGATGTCTAAGGGTCACTCTTGTTACCGTCCTCGCCGTACCGGTGAACGCAAGAGAAAGTCCGTCCGTGGTTGTATTGTTGGTTCTGACCTCTCTGTCTTGTCTCTCGTTGTCGTCAAGCAAGGTGAACAAGACATTCCCGGTTTGACTGATGCTACCGTTCCTAAGCGTTTGGGTCCTAAGCGTGCTTCCAAGATCAGAAAGTTCTTTGTAAGTTTGTGTATATACACAATGAACATGTTATTCATATATCATCTCTATAGAACTTAAGCAAGGCAGATGATGTCCGCAAGTACGTTATTCGTCGTGAAGTTCAACCTAAGGCTGAAGGTAAGAAGGCTTACACCAAGGCCCCCAAGATCCAACGTCTTGTTACTCCTCTTACCCTTCAACGCAAGAGACACAGACAAGCTCTTAAGCGCAGAAGAGCCGAAGCTTCTCGTGAAGCTGAAGCCGAATACAAGCAATTGCTCGCCAAGCGTGTCAAGGAATCCAAGCAAGAAAAGATCGAACGTCGTCGTACTTCTTCTATGCAAAAGTCTGCTTCTGCTTAAACTTTTCTTAATAAATAACAAAATTCCATAGCAAACGGTCTTATTTAAGGGAGCATTTCATATTTATTTATTTAATTTAATTTAATCTTACGCGCTCTTTAAAGAAGCATCTCTCTCTTTTTTTGTGTGTGTGTGTTTCATCATGGTAGCAACAGACGATGGAGTTGCTAGTCAAGATGACTTGATTTATTCAGCACAACAACAACCTTATGATGATATTGATCCAGACTATGACAATGGACCTGATGCTATTCCTCAAGTACTTGACTTGGACTTGAGAGGAACTCACATCAGACTTGATAGAGACACACTTGTTAGTCTACCAGAAAGTTTATTGGTTGCCATGTTTCCTAATGGACTTGTGCTGGGCAGACGTGATCCTTCCAGTTATGATACTGAAGAAGAAGACTCAGATGATTTTGATTCAGAACAAGATGAAGAAAACAATGCGAATTTGACCACTTTTGTTGATTTCGATGCTGCTTGTCTCAAATACGTGTTACAGTTCTATCAACAAGCACAAGAAAAAAAAGAGACAGTGACAGACTCGTCTGTCTTTGCATCTACACCTGCTGCTCAGTACTATCCTTCCTTATTGGATAAACAGCCCATCATTGTTCTTCGAGAAGAACTTGAATACTATTGTGTCTGCAAAACAAAGAATCCCCAACAGATCAAATTGGCTTTTGGACAGTATTTGAAGCAATACGACCAAGTGTTCTCTGCATTACAAAAGAACATTGCCCGAGAAAATAACGTCGCAGAGCAGCATTTGATTGACATGTTATGTGATGCTGGATTCACAAGACAAGATAGTTGGGGTTATCGTGAATTGGAGCCCAACAAGACATGTATTAACAGCATGAGTCTTGTCTTATTGAAAACAACAGGTCCTAACAACCATATGGCAACAGCTCAGAAACTGCTATTGTTCTGGAGAAAACCAGCAGTAAGGGGTTCTTAACACAAAATTGAATAGGATCACACTCATTTTTGTTTTATTAGAGAAAATGCTGGTGGGATGGAAGTACAGTAGATATTGAAAGTGAATCCATTCGTTTATGGGCAAGACGTACTTGGACATTAGAACTCGCTTTGATTTAAAAATGCATAAAAATACCATATATATATATATATTTTACATTATAATTCATAATAAACGTATTTTATTAATTACCGAATCGTTTTAATTCTTCACAGTGTGCCAATTTCATATTCAATGCTTCTTGGTACTGCTTTTCATTGCGACCTACAAATCCAAATGCACCACGGGCATTGTTTAACTTGGCCTGTTGTTGTTTGCGTTCATGCAAACAGTTTTGTTGTAGGGAGCGAACCCAGTCCACTTCCACTTGTTGTTCTACCTTGGATAGCTTATAATGGTTCTGTAAATAAGGCTTGAATGCATTGGGTTCGACATAATAAGGCACTCGGTGACTGGATGTCATACGAGGTTGAGAATAAACAGATGTTGATTGGAATGAAAAAATAGGTGTCTCATCTGTCAAAAGACCAGCAAACAAAGTATAACCACACAAGACAATTAATGGCAAGATTTGAAGCAGAATAGACCATCCTGACCTCTGTTGTGCTTGGAAATGCCGTTGTTGCTGTTGATGAGCGGTGTTAAAAGTACGTGCACGGAAGCCAGGACCGACAAAAGTAGCACTACTGAAGCCCGGTGAACCACCAAAACTAAATCCTTGTCTATGCATATTGGCCATAGGCACACCACCACCAAAGAACATGTTGAATAGATCTTCAGGTGAGATCTCTTCACCAAATGGAGAAGCACCATAGCTTTGAGTACGGAATCCAGAGAATCCCGGGTGACCGCCAGCTCCACGTCGCTCAGGATCGCCACCTCCAGCGTCATGAATAGCTCGTTTTTGAGGATCTGATAATACTGTAAAAGCCTTTGAGATAACTAGATAAAAGAAAAGACAGGTTAATATAAGGATGGAATATGGTTATAGAATGATATTACGTTTAAAGGCTTCGTCAGCACCAGGCGTCTTGTTTTTATCAGGATGGAATTTAAGAGCAAGCTACAATAGAATAAGTTCTATGAATATGGTCCATATTTATTTTACCTTTCTATATGATTTTTTGATTTCTACTTCTGTACACTTTTTATCAAGCTTCAATACCTTGTAATAATCACTACCACAGGCTAAGATTTCTCTCACTTCTGCTGATTGTTGACCACTTGAAGCTTTTCCTGACCGAGGCTTTTCTTCACTTGTTGTTGAAGGCTTTTCTGTAGGTGTGGTAGGTGCACTAGTGTTTTCAGCAGCAGCTTTTTCTGCTTTTGCTAAAAAAGCTTCAGCTTCATCTGTAGAATAAAGTCGAAGTGATTTCTTTGCTAATCGAACAGCAGCTTCATAGTTTTTATTGCCAAACTGGTTCTTTGCTATAGAAAGACAACGAAGTGCTTCTTCTTTGTTTATTTCCATTATGTCTCGTTTGGTATATAAAGAAAGAAAAAAGAAAAGAACGAAAAAATCAGCTTCGGTGTTTTAATGATGCACAGGCACAGAATGCTTCACGAACTGAAAAAGAACAGCTTTTTTTTTGGTTTATTTACAAGTCTAAACACTTTTGATGAAGAATTATGAAAAAATGATGCGTGTGGGTTTTACGTGTGTGTGTGTGTGTGGTGTGTGGGTGAATAAGTAATAATAATGAATAGAGGATTAAGGTAATAAATGATCTTACTTGTGTCTAACATATTTACCAACAACGACAGCGTGATCTCTTTCATAAGGTTCAAGAGTAAGTTGTTCTTGAGGCTTGATTCTTTCTTCTTGGAGTTTCTTGACTTCACGGGCAAAGACAGTAGCAGCATCAACAGTAGAATCAATACAAGAAGCCTTGATAGAAATAACAATGTGACCTTCATTCTTGAGGAAGTAATGGGCGTTCAAAGCAATAATACGGGCTTGATCAGGTTGAGCAACATCAGCAAAGATCACATCGACTTCAGGAATCAACATACGGTACTTTTGAGGATGACGAGCATCTTCAATAATAGGCACAACATTTGTACGCTTCTTGGCCATGTTGATCAAATCACGACCGGGACGGTGAGAGAATTCAACACCGTAAACAGCACCTTCAGGACCAACAACATCAGCTACGTGAGAGACAGAGGTACCGGAGGCAGCACCCAAGTAAAGAACCTTTTTACCAGGAGCAACATGGATATGGTCAAGACCACCCAAGACAGCAGCAGCCAACTTGGATCTGAAGGGGTTCCAGACGCGGTATTCAATCTTGGTGTTATCAGGGCCATCTACAGAGATACGCTTTTCACCATAAACTGCTTCACCAGGTACCAAGTTCTTGGTAACTAAGAGATCTTCCTTACCACGGGCAACAAAGATACCAGCATGTCTGTGAGGTTCAATGATAACCTTGGCACCACCCTTAGCACCACCTCTGGCACCACCACGACCACCGCGAGCACCACCACGGGGAGCACCACGGCCACCTAATTGTATATGTTAGTAAAATGGAATCGACTAGTATTCCGATGAGATCTTACCACGAGCACCGCCACGACCTCCACCGAAGCCACCACGACCTCCACGATCACCACCGAAACCACCACGGCCTCCACCTCTGCCGCCACGACCTCCACCGAAGCCACCACGGCCTCCACCACGAGCAGCACCACCACCACGACCGCCTATTAAAACAAGTAAATTGTCTGTTAATTTATCATTGTATTTCATTACCACCACGGCCTCCACGACCACCACGAGATTCAAAAGCCATTTTTATAAAGAGTTACGAGTGAATAAGAATAATAGAAAAAGAAAAAAAAAAAGCTTTTCTGACAAGCTCCTCTTTGATCAAATTAGCTTGCCAGAAAAAAAAAATCGTTTCATACAAGCCTCCGGATCAGCAAAAAAAGATTAAAAGCAGTCCCTTATTTCGAGTCACATATGGGTGCCTTTTTCTGCAGAGACTATCTTGCATCGAAAGTATGTCTTTGGCCCAGAAATGCTGAAAAGAAGGAAACAAACATTCAGAAACAGCGATTTTTTAACTTGTAAGGTTATGATTCTGATACATAAAAAATTTCAATTTCTAGTCAAACGTAGTCTCCTTCTTACCTCCTGGGTTGCCGAATGGCATGCAATGAGACATTATTTATTTCAAGTAATTTGAAAGAGTTAAAGAATGGTATGCACTATAAACACATATTATACTGACCATTCTGAGCAAACATCAAATATGCTTGTCATTTTCTTAAAGCTGTAGATAGTATCTTCTTTCTTTATAGTCTGTTTTGTGAGTGCAATTGATTTTTCCTGTAGTTGCTTCTTATAAAACAAAGACAAGCTTTGAATATATTAGCTCTTTTTTTTCTGGACAAGAGATGACCATGTAAACACTGTCGATCATGTCTATTGTTACACAGCAGATCATCCTTTTAAAAACTCACAGCCAGATATTTAAAATGCATAAACAATACTAGTTTTTATTTTTAGAAAAAAATATCAACAGGATTGTTACAGTTAGGGGCTGTAAAATTTGACCAAGTATTTAATACCCATAAAGCAATACCATTTGTCCAGCCAAAACCTATTTGAGAAACGTATTCACCTTGGCTTCCAGAAAGACCCACTGTATTGACGTCGAATTTCTCAAACATGTGTCCTTCATCTGTAACTGACTTGTTTTGTTTCTCAAGGATACCAGGAATTGAACCACCTGTGTTAACCCATCCACAGAAAGCAGAGACGGCATAACGCTCGGCCAAAGTACGAGACAGCTTGCTGAATGATGTTCCTTGAGTTGTAGTAGCATTGTCACCCAAAAGCTTTTCAACATTAAGCATACCTTCCATGGCAACATAAGAAAGAGGCGGCCAACCATTAGGATAGTCCCATTGCATTGTTGTATTATAATACGAAGTGGTCAAGATACCACGATATTTGCGAAGTGCATTCTCGGTTTCATCATACAATTTACTCAAAACAGTCTTGTTTTTGGCGATTTGATCAGGTAAAGCACCTACCCACATTGGGAAAATGTTGGCAGGTGTATATTCAATATTCTGGGAGTGGCTGGTCAAATTGAAGTCATAGAAACTGTTGTCGTCTCCATTCCACATTAATTTGTACATGGCTTGCAAACGTTCTTTGGCTTGTTGAGCATAGTATCTAGCCTTCTTTTTTGTCTTTTTGTTTTGTTTCTTTTCGAACTGAGTGTACCATTCTGAGAGTTTTGTTTCTGCATGCCATAAAAGTGCATTGAGCTCAATAGGAATCACATTCGCAGTGTTGATCGTACGCAGCATTTCATAGTTTTCTTTTTGGTCAGGTTTAGGTGCCTTGTTTCTTGTCCAACGAGAAGAGTAATCCCAACCAGATTCAGCACCAGCAGCAATATCTCTATAAAGCTGAAGCTTCTCGGTTTCGGTAAAATTGGTCTGTGTGTTGACTGTATTGTAGTCCTCTACATAGGATTCTGGACGAGGAGATTCATTCTCGGTGATATAGCGGTTCAAGGCATACTTGACCTTATTGTTCTTAGGGTCTTGAATATGCACAGTGGTATTGGCGAGCCAGCCCTGATATTCTTTGTCCAAATAAGGTAATGCTTTCAACATGAAATCATCATCACCTGTTTTTTCATAGTAAGCTTGTATCATATGGGATAAAAATGGAGGCTGGGAACGATTAAGATAGTAGATACGAGCACCATTAGCTAAAGGAGGAGAGTATGGGGAGGGAGATGATGTGTAAGTTACGTATTTACGTCTCTGTTTTTTCCCACTTACGAATAAAACCGTACTTTTCCACAAAATCGAAAAAGTTTTCAATCATGTTTCTTGCTAATTCAACTTGGTCACTCAACAATAAGCCCTTAATAACAAAGAAAGAATCCCTGGTAGAACATGCTTAGTAAAAAAAATTGTTCTCAACATGACATTTTTTTTTTTTTTTTTTTTTTTTTTTTTTTTTTTTTTTTTTTTTACCAGTAGTAAAATTCACGAAATCGACCACCAGGGACCACAAAAGGACGGCTTACGGGTAAGGTGGATGTTACACAGTCTTCACATAAAGCAGAATAATCAAAAGCAAAAGTCAGATTGCCCCACGCTTGATTCAGGAGGCTTGCCCAACCGCGATAGTCAGGATCAGTCACATTATCAAGCCATTTAAGTTCAGGAATAGAGATGTTTTGAAGGAACTTGAGTTCTGTACCAGCAGTCAAGAAGTTCTCATTCAAGAATTGTTGAATTTGATCCTTTGTTGCATTGACACCACCGATTTTATCAAATGCTGCCAAAACTTCAAATTCAGATTTGCTTGTAGGCTACATAAAAGTAAGTATATATTTACAAAAAAGAGAAAGAGCTACCATATCGACAAAGGTTTTGGAGTCGGGAAAGATCCGAGCGAATTGGACAGTCTTGAGAAGAGGGCCTTCACAATAGATGGGGGAGTCACATGAATAGACGTTGTCGTTGCTTTGGATAGCATTTACAGAGACGAGAGCAATTTGTGCGAGTAAGGCACCACAAATGAAGCGAAGAGAAGGCATCTCTTTTTATGGCGATATATATATTGAAAGTGAAAAGACGAACGGAAATTTACTGATTTTTTTACAAGGTATAGTTTTAAAGTCTAACAGAATAAAAAAAAACCTTTTTCTTTACGAAATGTGTGAATTAAGAGAAAAAAGGGGAACTATGAAAACATAATGGTTTATATAGGCACAGGAGTCTGTAGTTTAACCGATTCGGAGAAACAGACGAATGATGTATACAAAAATAACTTACAAAGGAAGCTGTCGAGATAGAAAAGAGAAGGAAAACGCGGCGGGAGCATTTACGAAACAAGTAATGTGCATCACAAGACAACTTGTATTGTGGTGATCTAAATACGATAAAAAGTTTAGTAAAAAAAAAAGCGGGGTAATACTATGGGAAATCACGGGAAAATTAAAAGAAGAAAATATAGGAACCTGCATAATCGACTAGCATAAATCAATATGTATGAATATCAGATTTACAATTTGACGAAATCATGGCTGCAAGATTTCTTTGCTAAAAAAAATAAGCAACCATATTGAATGCGTTTACCATTGTCTAGGCAGCTGTTGTAGGAAAAAAATTTTTGAATTAGCTTACATTTTTTGGAAATTATAATGTTAAATTAAATTATTCACCTCATTCTTTGTGGAAGGAAACTCCCATTCTTGTCAAGTCAAGCCTATTTCAAGTATTAGTTTGTCCGTAAATACAGAATAGAAGTACCTTCTCATTTGAATTCATACCTTTCTTTCAGGTCGATGTGTCTGACGTATAAGAAGAGAGTACTATGAGTACTTTATGGATAACATAACTTGACCAAAGAATGGAGTCAATACAGGGACAGGGACATTTCTTCGACACCACTCATCTCTCAGGATAATAACAAATTTGGTTTAGGATCTTGACAGACGATAGTTGCATAACATCCAAAAGCCGACATTGTTTGACGTTTTATACACAAGGGGGAAACACTGGAAATAGAAGAAGCTCGGTGGCTAAAATCTTATTATAGTTGATCTAAAAGGTAAGTCTCGGTTTAAAAGACCAACTGGATACTTTTTTCCTAAAAATAAAAAGTGGTCCTGTGACATCTTTTCCAATGTAGAATGACGTTTAATATGTGAACAATTTTTTTTGAAGAGATGTATCCGACACTAATTTCGTGCAATCTGTGCTTACTTTGAAATGGAGCTTTTAAGGGTGAAATGCAATCTGGAACTTAGAGTTGCTATAACAATATGTTGTTACAACTTGATTGCATCAAGTGTTTGTAGATATGGCTGATTAATCTTGAGACATTTATACCTGATTTGACCTTAACCATAGCACACGCACTCTCTTTCTCTCTCTCTGGCTAAATTGTAGACTAAAGCTTCAGCTAGTATTCATGTCTGATTAATTCACTCTAAAAAAAATACTCGGGAGTTTTCTTTTACTCGGTATTTATTGGAAGACAAAAGCTTTGTAACGTAATACTAAAAAAAGAATAAGTAAAAAAATAGTTCTTTAAACTAAAACAAGATGGTTTATTCATATCGATGAAGAGGAGATGTAGGACTATAAATGTACTGAGGATTATTAATACCACTCGCAAGAGAGTGGTAAGATCTATTATATATAAACGACAAATGGTTATTTTGAACAGGCAAAGCGCTGGCTGATTGGTTAGCCATCATTTGGCCGTAAGAAAATTGACTTGATGCATAATTGGACTTCGCATGTGGTGATTGCTTACTCGCATAGCTCGCATAGCTTCCATGCGTAAGATATGAACCTTTTGAACCTACAGACATAGCATCATTGTTATGGTTCCATTCTTCAGCGTAGAGAGCCTCTTCATATTTGTCCCAAGTCATAGTAGGAATTGATTTGGGATCAAACTTGCCTTCATCTGCACCCACAACTAACTTCTTGCCCTTGTCCCCAAGAACGACACGGGTATTACCCCATGAAAAATCATCAAAATGCCAGTATGCATAAATAGGAATATAAAACGAGAATACGGGAATAGCAAAAATAGAGACGATCATCCAAATGATATGCTCCCATTTCTTGTGCATAATAAAAATGATTGCTTGTAAACCATAGACACCGGCAATTGTAATGATAGACATGAGAGGCACATTATTTGAAGAAGTAGCCAACGTATAGATCAGATAGACCAAATAACCTACAATGGCTGGTTGTACTAATGTACTAATCAAGTCTAGCATAACAACAAATCGCATAGAGAAACAACAAAAACCACATAATTGAGGCAAGAAGACAAGTTCTCCCAAGTTGTGAATAGTAGAATTGATCCATCGACGACGCTGAGAGAGTAAGACAGACCATCTATCAGGCGCATTTGTCGCACACTTTGCATCAGGAACAAACTTGGTCTTGTAAGTAGGAAAATGCTTCAAGATAAGTGTCGTCAAGTATCTATCTTCACCCAAATGCAACAAGTTCTTTTTATGCAATGTGTCTACTCTGTTCACTTGATATTCCTCAATCACTTGATTGGATACGAGTAAAGGTTGATTTTTGGTAGGTGATCGAATACGATACATACAGAAACAGCCAGGCAAACAAGTAACGGATCCAAAAAGGGACTCAAACGCTTTGATCATATAATGCGAAATGAAATATTCATATACCTGAATCATTGTCACCCAAGTATCTTTCTCATTTGACAGCTTCGTTTCACCACATAAGCCAATGATCTTTGCATCATGTACAAACGAAGACACAAGTCGATTGAGTCCATCTGCTTCAACTTCAGTATCTGCATCCACCATCAATACAAATTCATAAAAGCTTGGATTTACACCAATCACATTTTTTATCTGATGATACATTTCTAGTTCCATAGGCGTCATGGGCGCATTGAAATGTACTTTGTTCAAGAAGCGCATCAAGATCAATTGAGAGTCACGCTTACCACGGTTTCCAGGCTTTTGACGTTCACTTGGTTTACCCACTTTGGAGACAACAATATAAGGAACAACATGACCTTGGCATTCGTAAAGACCAGAATAGATCTTGCCCATATTATGTTGTTTTTGACCTTCACCAATGGAAAAGAAAGAGAGTGGTTCAGGATCAATGTGTGAGTCAACACCCAGAATATCTAAGACAATACGAGGTGTAGGTCGATCATTACCTCCACCGACAATCATACCATCACAAATGATAAACAAGAGTTTTCGCTTATCGTCATACTGTAGAGCTGCAATAGAATCAATTGTCTTTTTTAATTCGTCTTCGCCTTCTGTATAGCAAGGAACTTGACAGATCACAAACTTGTCAAAGCTTTGTGGCATGCGTCTTGTTGAGAACTGAAGAGCTGCCAAAAACTTGAAAACAATGATTAGACACAAGAAGACAGTGACAATCAAAAGTAAATATTCTGAAAATACACAGCGTGGCGAATTACGCTCATCAAGCGAGCCAGCATAAAACAAGTTTCTCAAGCAGACTTCTTGACGATGTCGTACTTGAGGGTCTAAAGGTAAAGCAGACCAATACTGAGTGATATCCTCTCCAGATTTTTGTCGAAACAAGTTGACGACGACATCTGACATATAGTTGGTATCCACATTGTTAGGAATACCCATGCCCTCTGGTACTTGGATACGACGACCACCGCTTACATAATAAGTAAGATCATAAATGTTTCTATTCAAGATAGCCCAGACTTTGGTACTCTTGACACCACCTACGTCTACAGGCTCCGTTGCTTGCCGATGGACATCTTTATCTGTATAGCCCATGGTACCGATCTTATAGTTCTTGCGCATATAAATCATTTTTTCGAAATACCAATCTGGACGCGGATCGCTTGTCCAAGCACGAAAATCATGGTAATTTGAATTGGTGTCTGTCAAATTAAAATGATAGTCCAGCGATACAAAATCAGATACATCGCCATTTACGCCTTCACATAAAGCGGATACTTGAACAGGGAAAAGATCACTTGCATCTTTGCCGCCATAAGACATCACTGCATCCGTGGGGATGACTTGGCTTGCCCAATGATGGGGTGCAAATTTGGTCAGATCAAATACTTCACCACGAATAGCCACATAGGCATTTTCTGCTTTACTATGGGCTTGAAGCTCGGATAGCGAAAACACATCTTGATGAGGACATACAAGTTTACCAAAAAACACAAGAAACCAAATCACAAAAGCAGACATGAAAAAAATGATCAGACACAAAGTAAACTTCTCTCGCCAAGCAATCTGAATATCTTTTCGCTTCATGCGTCCACACCAGACCATAAAGGGAGTAGGAATCCACCAAGTCATAAACCAAACAAACATCAGCCATCGTTTACGCACACCTGTCACCTCTTCTTTTTCTTGCTCTTGCACTTCTTCTACAGTCTCCAAGGGCATCCTTTTTATCTCGAGAAAGCTAGAAGAATTATAAAAGTTCTCTGAACCCAGTTGAGATTCCGTTTCATAAGGACTTGAGTTGGGCTCTTCAGAAACAAACGAACGCTGGTCTTCTGAATACAGACTATAGTTTGACATCATGGGTTTATCTGCTGAAGGCTTCAATCCATAGGAAGTAGCCATGGTACGCCTATCTTGGTCAGCTAAGGATATGTTCTCTTCAGCAAGTAATGCTCGGGACTGTACGAGCCCAGGTTTTGATTCATCTCTTTGTTTTCGTTGACTTTCCTTTTCAGTAATACGCAATCTGTCTTCTAGACTTCGCCATGCATTATCGCTTAAAAAGATCTAGTTTATAAAATAAGTCAATTTATCGCTCTTGATAAGATCAAATAATACCTTGGAATGACCAACTACAGCTTGTTCTCTTGGCCAGTGATACATGTCGATGATGGCTTGACAATTATCACGAGCTGACATACGAGGATCTAGTTGCAATATATCTGTGTATCGATCACAAAAATCTTGATGAGTGAATATATTCATGTAAGCTTCTACTTGCAACCGTTGAGCAATGGGTACCAAATTCATCGCTTGAATCTGAGCTCGAACAAACTGTGTATCAAAGCCTGCAGAAGGTGTGGGCGAGGTAGCAGATTTTGGATGAGGCTGAATACAGTACACAAACCATGGCATGGTATCGTTTAATGTGGTCAATAAATCATCAAGTGAAGAGCAAAATTGTGCTAGAACTGTCTGTTGTTTTTTTTGTTGTTTTTCTTGAGTGGCTTCATTGGTACGAGGACGCATGGAAGGTTTACGACTTGGTTGATTTATTTGCTGTGCATTTACGATGGCGTCTATGTTCTTTGGATGTGTTTCAGTGAAAATGGAGGTGTCTTCGAACAAGCTGATCAAGAGATTGTTTGTTGAGGGAGGTGTATCTGAACTACCTCGAAAGAGAGATACAAAATCAGAGTTAAGGGCATCTCGATTACTTGAAATAAACCCTTCTATTTGATAAAGCTGAGTCCCACCAAAGTGCTGAATAGTGAAGAGACTGAAGTCTGTATTTAGTCTTTTAAAAACAGTATTGTTTGTTTGATACTTGGTCCATGTCTCTACCACAGCTTGATCATTAGGTTCACTGTCCAATTTACGCGAAAACTTATTCAAGATATCGATCAATCCATGACGAGGTTGATCAAACAAGGTTATGCATGCTGTGTTTTTCGTGTACTGAATGACAGGCAATTGAAACCCGTCTGCTGTATACTCTGAGCCACTTGTCTCAAAGATATAGTGTAAAATATGACCTTGTATTCTTTCATGACTATAATTCAGGCAAAATGTATCAAAAGGGGCTGCTTGATCTGTGTTGGACCATCCAGGCAAATCGAAAATACTGATAAATGTAAAAAACTTGTCATGACATAGTCTGGCATTGATACGTTCAATTAACCAGGTAAACAAAAGAGAATAGAGAGCAATAGCAAGTTGATCTCTTTGAAAAGCAGCCTGTTCTGCATTCAGAATCAGCGTCGTCGTGTCTTTTTTGATCAGTGTTGTTTTGTAAGTCAATGCGTTCTCCAGAGCTCTTGGATCTACACCCAGAAATTCAGAGACAAGTTCTAATGTCTCCAAGTTCTTTACAATAGCTGCTTCTTGTAGGGTTGTATCGTCAACAAATTGAAGTTGTCCTAAATGTAAGATAGAAGCAATCAACTGCATGATGCCTGCATGGTGCTTTTTGCCCAGTCCAAGATACTTCATGGATGCCTTGAGTGATTCATATCGCTCTTTGCTTTCTTCAGAGGAAAAGGGTCTTGTTTGTCTAGTGTATGGATAAGTAACATGATCTTGTAAGAAAAGAGCTGATTTTTCTTGTGCTGATGCGCCTTGTAAAAGCAGATAAAACACATGAAAGTTGCATTCCGTCGTCTTTTGATCAACCACTCTTTTCTTATCCAACAGATAATTCAAGAGTTTGCATCCCACCATTCGACCCCGTTCATTGAACTGGAGTTCCATGTACTTTCCAAACCGAGAAGCATGGTGATTCATGGATGTTTTTGCATGTCCAAATGCATCTAAAATGGTCTGCGTATGGAGTATTTGAGTCTGGATTTTGGATTCCTTTTTAGAATTACTGAGGGCTACAAGATGAGAAAGGATCAAACTACATATTTCAGTTTTTCCGCTGCCTGTGCTACCACTGATTTTTTTTTAAAAAAAAAAAAGAATTAGAAAATGAAAAAAGAAGAGAAAGCAAGCTACCTTAATAGTATGGATTGATCTATGCTTGTTCTTCGCATATGAAGATATACTTGATTGACCATTTGGAAAACATGAGGCGGTAAAGTACTTGTGACTAAAGTGTTCTTGTATTCAGCAGCATATGCTTGAGAATCTTCAAAGGACTGACCCACACCAGAGCGCATAGCAATAAGGATACCATCGCTGACTCGAGAAAATACCAAGTTGGCATGATGGCGGGATTTAAGATATTGGACAAAACTGTCTTGGTTTATTTTATCAAGCGAACAAACGTCATTATTTATTTCCATTGTTTAGAATAAAGAAAGAAAGAGAAAATATAGTTCAATCACTTTTTTTTCTGTTTAAACACTCAGAGAATTGCCATCAAAATCACAAAAAAAAGTAAGAGAAAAGAAGCAATTTACTCCGTGTGAAACGACTATTCATCAATTGTCTTTCCAATAAGAAGAGGGGAAAAAAAAAGGGGAAACAAAAGATTGAATTCTCAGGTTCAAAAAGGGACACAGTGATTGCCACTGTTTTTGCACGTGCCTAGTCATCATTTATCAGTATACTGACAAGTCTGTTCTTGTTGGTATGCCAAAAACTAAAATATGATATATATGTACATATAGCATATTAAGGGCATATATGTAATCTACTCCTCTCTATTTTTAATAACATTAAGAATGTTTAATTATTGAATTCATGCAAAACAAATAATTATTTTTCACTCTTTTTTTTCACTTTTTTTTTTTTTTTTTTTTTTTTTTTTTATTGTTTATGAATGTTACACATTGACTGTAATACAAGTATGACATTTGAACCTACAAAATGTCATTCTGAACATATTGCATAGAATTTTATGACTCAGATAATTGTGCTGTCTAAGCAAAAGAAAAAAAATGACGCTTAGAAAAGGGAAAAAGCACGTTTTTTCATGTCATACACTTACGGACCACAGTAACTTGTTCTTTTTGGCTTAAATCTTTGTCATACACTGATTTAAAACTCTCCCTTCTTTAATAAAAGGCGATAAAAAAAAGTTTTCTTTCTTCTTCTTCTTTCTTCTTTCACAACTAGCATGGGGTTATTAAAATTAGGCAGCATATACAAAAAGAAGAGCAAAAAAGAACCCATTATCGATCAACCACCAACACCTATAGCTCCAAAATTAGAGCCTTTGTCACTCGAATTGAATTTAAATTCAATAGCCACGATTGACAGTAACACGTCGTCAAAACCAGACAACAACAACAACAACAACAGTAAAGCACCTGCAGGAACAGGAAGCTTTATGGAGGATATCTTTTCTCAACTTGACACGAAGCCTAGTCAAAATAAAGGCAAGATTTGAATTCAATTTATATTGCATATATGACATTAATATATTCATAATTTAAAACAGATCCTCTTCATCAAGATTTTTCATTGGCCCTTGCTCTCTCACAACAATTAGGCCTAGAAGATGTCAAGCCAAGCACAACAAAATCAGCACCTGCCAAGAAAACAACACCTGCTGCCAGTAACAATGACTTTTTATTGGGTAATGATAGTATTTATAGTAGCTATCTACGAGCTATGGATTCAGACAATCAACATTCGTCTTCATTTGGTACTTCTATGTTTGATCATCTCTTGACAAAAAACAATACAACCACTTATCATCGTGAAACACAGCCACAACCACAACAACCACCACCACCACCACCTACCACCCAAGTTGTACTTGACTCGGATGTCTCGGATTCTGATGAAGCCTCTGAACACTCAGAAGACAGTGCATCCAAAGAACAAGCATCGTATCGTATGACAAAAGGTGTACGACCCATCATGGAACGACGCGCACAAGATAACCGACTCTTGGTTCAACGTAAAGTAGACAATTGGTCTAAACAAGTGGATCCTGATGCCAAGTTAGTCGAAACAAACGAAAGTATAATCAATCGTATGAAAGATAGACATCGAAACCAAGTGAAAATGGCTGCTTTAAGACAACAACAACAACAACAACAACAAATGGGCCATCCTCATATGGTTCCACAAGCATATGGCATGCCGCTCTCTCAAAATAATATGGTATTACCACACCCAGGTATGTTGATGGATCCTGTCCATTCAATGTATTATCCACAACCCGAATTTCCTGCAGACTATAATACAGTCATGCCTCCAGTACCTACTTCTTTTATGCCTCATCCTGCGCATGCAGCCCCTTCTTCTCCACCTCCTAGAGAAGAGATGGAATCATACAAGCCTACGATTGCCTTGTCTAAAAGTATGTCTACTCCCACTATCCAGAGAAAAACAGATCGATCAGCTATGATGTCTCTACCTAATCACAGTAGTAGTAGTGATAGCAATCATATTTCTACTGATACTGACTCGATGGTAGCTGAGTCTCCTATACCTGTAGAAGAAACCCCTAGTTTAGAAGATCAATCAGCTGCTGAAGAAGCAGATGCAGAAAGCAGTGACGATGAAGAAAGAAGATCTATCACTCTCCGTAAACAAAAATCAAAAAAGCAGCGTCAAAAGAGTGCTGAGACTGAACTGAGTGACACAAGAGCAAATTATCGACAAGTAAGATCGTCAAGATCAGCACCCAATCTGAAAAAGAACAAGAAAAAGAAATCAAGTACTGCCAGTAGTCGTCGTAATTCACAAGAATTGTCGATTACCAGCACTCCTCCTTCTGAAACTGTCATGACTCCACCACGGCCGCCATTACCTAACACATTTGCTCAAGCCATGATGGAAGAAGACCCCAATCATGGCGTACCTCGTTCAAACAGTCACCACCAAATGATGCAACCTCATCGCCATACATTAAGACATATGAAGAGTGAGCCTGAGTTACCTAAAAGGAACATTCAGTACCAACAACAATTGAATTATGAATGGGAGCGTATGCAAATCCATCAACGAGAACAACAACTAAAAAGTCAATACCAAAGCAAATTCAATACTTCTCAACAACAACAACAACAACAACAGTCTTATATGGCTATGTATGCACCTGTATATTATCCCACAGCAAGAATGCCTTATAGCATGGACTCACATCAAGATCATCGTGCAAGCCAAATGAGTATGAATAACCCTATGGTTTATCAACCCAATTATTATCCTCATCATCGTTAATACATACATATATATATATATATATATATATATATTTCTTTTTATTGGCTTAATCAGTCTATTGAATTATTATGATTATGATTATGATTATTGTTATTAATATTAATGAGTACCACATGTCATTAAGGACATAAAACTATGCCAAAAGCCACGGTGTTCTTTTGGTGGTTGTAGTTCATAAGTAGGTTGGTCCATATTGCCATGTGTAGGCGTAGAAGGCATTTTTGTATAAGATTCATTGACATTGGTCGTGGTAATAGCAGCAGTAGGTGTAGAAGGCATATGGGGTAAAGGTGGAGTCATAGTAGGCGTGTTTGTTGTGTTCAACTTAGGATGAGAAGCATGACGCTTGACGGAATTGGGCGCGTTGGATCGACGAGCATGACTCGTACCTTGAAGTGTAAGCTTAGATTGTTCTTCTCGAGCTTGACGGCGACTTTCACGGGTTTCCGTCTTGCCATTATTAAGTAACATCCAGTCGTATATGCCATCATCTGTTTCGCCCATACGACGGAGTACTTTGTTGAAAAGTTCTCTTAAAAAATCATAGTCGGGTGTTTCTTCAAAACCTAATTTACGTACATATTGTAGATAGATACCAAATTCCTCTATTGAAATAGATGAGACACATTCCTATTTTTTTTTAAGCTGTACCTGGAAATCCATCACATAATTCTTTGACCGAAGTCGTTTGCTTCTTTTCACCAATTCTTTCGTATTTCTGTTTGTTTGTAGCCGCCTTCAATCCTTGCCAAGGCAACGAACCTCTTAAAAAGTACATAAAGACATGACCCAGGGACTCTAAATCATCTCTTCTTGATTGCTCTGAGAATAAAATAAGATAATTAGTTTTACACAATGATTCAAGAGGGTTTAAAACGGAGTCTAAACTCGATGGGATCTAACTACGCTGTATCACACACAAGCGAAAATCAGAAGGAGGGGGGCAAGATATTTTACCTCTTCCTAAATGGGTATTAATGCTCATGTATCTTGCGGTTCCCGACAGACTCTTGCGTTCTCTATAAGGTATATGTTGTTTTGTCTTGGGGTCACGGTATAATTTAGCCATGCCATAATCAATCAAAAAGACCATATTGGCATACTTTGTTCCAGGACGACCAATCAAAAAATTATCAGGCTTGATGTCTCTATAAATCAAATTTCGTTCATGGACACTTTCGACTCGATTGATCTTGACAAGCTTTAGTAGATGATAAGTCATGTATCTCTCACCATTTGCTTAGCCAACATGGCTACTGTCTTGATAGAATGTTTTCTACCACACATGTCAAATAAATCTTCTAGACTCGGACCAAGCAAATCAATCACAAGAATATTGTGTAGTCCTTCTTGACCAAAGTAATAAGCACTCGGAACACCGGCTGATATTTCCGTATAGAAAATGTAGATGAGTACAAATAAGACTTGGAAATTAAATGAATGTTACGTTACGTAGACCGGCTAGTACTTTATATGTCCTGTATTCATCTCTTAATTGTGGTGCGTCGGATTTTCTAGGTTCGAATTTAATAGCAACAGATTGGTTGTTGAGTAAATTGAGTCCTGAGAAATAGAAAGATAAATAAAGGCACTATATATATATATATATATATATATATATTTACCTTCATAAAGAACACCAAAACTTCCTTCTCCCAACTTTTTTCCAACTCTATAATGAACACCAACAATATTGGTAGATGACTGAGACGAAGAAACACTTTCTTTCTTATGCAGTGCTGAAGACATGTTGACTACAAAACGTTCTTCAAAAATGGACAAAAAAAGAAAGGGAAAACAAAAAAAAAAAAAAAAAAGAGAGAGAGAAAAAGAAAGAAAGAAGAAAAAAAAAAAAAAAAGAAAAGGAGGAAAAAGGAGAGGGGGAGGTTCGTGGGGGTTATTGCCTTAAAACAAGAAAATCAACTGGTAGCCAAAAAGGCGGAGAAAGCAAATTTTTTATGCTCCATCAACAAAGTAACACACACACACATACATACACACATACACACACACACACTCTCTCTCTCTCTCTCTCTCTCTCTCTCTCTCACTCTCTCTCTCTCTCTCTCCTTATAATTCATTTCTAAATTTTGAATCTACAGTATCTCCTATTCCATTTGACAATCTTTTCACTAACAGGACGAGTATGTAGAGAGTAGATCATTGAACAAGTTGCATATTAAGAATGCTTTATTTGTTTCATGTAATGAGTTATTGTCAATTCTTCTGTCTCTACCAGTTTAGCAATCAGTGTTTGTGTTGCATTGATTTGCCATGTTGTGTCCATTACAAGATTGGGGTCTAGTGTTGTCAGATAGGTGAAGTGGTCTGTTTCTGTAGACCGAGCCAGTGGCGTTATTTTCTTTTCTTTTAAACTTGCCTTGTTGATCTTTAAGGGTGAGTACACAGGCTTAAATTGAGCTTCAAATTGTTCTTGAAATAGCTTGTGGATGGTTTCATTCAGTTCTATAGGAGTGTGGTCATTGTTATCATCCAAGTAAGGGATACTTGACCAGAAATAATACTTATGAAGAGGTAAATGAGACGATACATAGCCATGATAAAGACGAGTCAAGAGTCGCATTTGCTTTTCCTCTATCTAACATGACATAAGCAAAAAGAGGACTATCTAATGCTTACCTTGGCTGTTTCTAAATCATGCTTGGAATCTGCTTTGGATAGCCAATCCTCATTGAGTCTTGTAGTACATTTGAGATAAATAGCAGAGATAATCTTCATGTTCTCTATTGTTTGTATTAGAAAGAGGTTATCTTTAGAATACACGTACGATGTTTCCACTTTCTTCCAAAATAAGGGATTTGACTCTTGAATAGCTTTAATACATAATATTCAAGTGTGGGATGTCTTATTTTGAATACGCGTTTCAAAACATGCTATATCAAACATTAAGAACAAAAAAAAAAAAGACACAAGAATGTACTTACGCCTGATTTATACTGAACAAGGAGCATTGTATAATGTTTCTTTTGCTTTGTCAGTAAATGTAAAGTCTTAAGTGTGTTGATAATCCAATAAAGGTTTCTTGAATTGGTGGTGTCTTTTTGTGCCTGTTTCTCAAATGGTTTTGTAGCATCAAATGTAAAAAATCCATAAAATTCTACATCTGTCTGTTCTTTGACTGAATCCATGATCTCTTGAGACCCTATCACTCTTAAGGTAAGCAGCAAATAACCAGCATCCACTAGTATGTGTGAAATAGACTCAAATTTCAAAATATCTAGAAAGAGGATGGAACCATGAATGACTTGGCTGATTTCTATGCTTGACTTACGAGAAGATCGAGTCCATTTTAACAAAAGAAGCAAGATGGCTGAAATCGATTTCAAGTGAATTTCTCTGTCTCGCTTTATATCAGATGCTTTTATGTCATCTGTTTTGCCTGTTTCGTTCTTGATAGCTGCAGCCGAGGTCAAGAATAAGTTGAGTAAAACAGCAAGTGTGTGTTTTAAATCATTCAACATGGCTGTCTATAATATTTTTTTTATCCATCAGACTATAGAACAAGTTATTTAACTCACTTGCATAACATCTCTCTAATAGATCATTCATGGTTTCTTCTGAATGATAAGCACCTTGAAAGTAAATTGATTTGGCTTGCATCCGTTGATAGTCTACTAAGGAAAGATAGAGATGAGATTGAAACACTTTGTCTGCTTCTTGAATACTGTAAGGAACAGCATACGCATAGTGTATTTTTTGAGGCTCTATAAGTTCTGTTGTCACGCCCGTATCAGAAAAAGTATTGAATGGAAGATGCAATGCTTGATAGCCTGGATAGGTGCTCATCTTATCATGTTGAAATGCTACCATGGCTTGAGGTGAACATTTGATCGTACTGTCTTTAAGGACATGAGTGAACAGAATCAGGGTTTGATATCTACCTGTAGGACGATAACCAACGTTTGTCCATATTTGCTTTAAACGTTGTTCTTTTGATTGTTTAATATTCTCAAATCCTCCTGATAAAAAGAGCAGTGATTTCCAAAATAAAAGAACCAACTGTGTTGATGTGCTTAGTTTCTTGTCTTGTGCTTCTTTTTCTTACTTTTTTGATAGGAAATACATTCGAGTTTTTTGACTTAATAATCCATAGGCATAAACACGATAATAAGCGAGGACTCATTGTTTCTTTTTTTTTTTTAATAAATTAAATGTGAGTGAAACAAAAAAAAAAAAAAAAAAAAGGGGGGGGGACACTTACCGAATTCTGTCTTGAATGTTGTATACTTTATTTCACAAGATGTTAATGCTTGATACCTTTGGGTTTCAATCATCAAGTAAAGCAATGTCAAATACAGTTCGATCTCTTCCACCGCATGCTTATCACTAAAAAAAAAAAAACCAATAAGAAATTAGTCTGCTTCAGAAAATATACCTAAGATCCATATCTTTTGTCTTTTCTAGTCTTGAGAAAACAACAGGCAACACATGACAAGAGACAAGCAACTCATTATTTTCAATCAACAGTTGGACTCGCTTTTCTTTCTGAATTGGCTTGTCAAAATATCCAAGCGAGATATAGACTAGTATTTGAGATGTCTGGTGTCCTTCTTGGCTTAGTTTGTCTATCAAAGACAAGACAATATTTCTTTTGTCTATCAAGGGCGTATTGATCCATTGAACATAAGTATGGTTACTATTGTATTCTTTCTGAAAAGCACGTTGATAGTCTTTGAGTTTATGCTGAATGTCTGTATAGCTGAAGAATTCATTGATTTCGTTTTCAAATGAATCAGCGTCTGGTTGATAAGAATAACCACTATGATCATGCTTATCCTACTATGCATGGCTGCCTTGTCATTTCGTCTTACCTGAGTATCTAGGTGCTTGATTATATCGTTTAAACTTCCTGGTGTAAGAAGATTCATAATAAAAGAAGAAGAAGAAGCAATAAAAAAAAGGGAGAGTAAAACTTAGTTGCATAAACGAATTCAGGAGGTTCAAGTGTGACTCAGGAACGCATTTAACTGAGATTGAAATCTATATATTTTTTTTTTTTTTTTTACTTCATTTGATGCAAAGCCAATACGGTTCAAAAGAGGTATAAAGACAAGACAAAACAATAACACGATTGAATTCATTCCAAATAAAGAAAGGACGTCCGTTTATTAAAAACGGTCATATAGTTTACTATGAAGATAGAATTCGAATCGAGAATCATCCTCAAGTGAATCAAGGTAGACATATATATATATATATATATATATATTTCCATAATGACTGATCAAACTATAGTCATTGTTCAGTTTCGAGAATGGAGAGCACTATGGGAATCAACTCATACTGATGTTGCTCTTTCAGATATACCCCAAGAATACAAAGATCTGATTGCTATGCTGGCTCATGAAAGGTACAGGATCAATACAGACTATTGTTATTCACTTAGTTATATAGTGATCAAGATCTTGACACACTTGCAACTTATTTGAATGACTTGTTATCTCCCTTTCAAAGAAACCCACAAGGTAATGTACTGTTTAGTATAAATCTTATTGATCTTTGTTAGTCTCCCATGCATTCTTAGAAGTCATTAAACAAACAATTCACCAAATGAATTATCAAGAGCGATACGGATTAGCCAGTAGTGCTTTATCATTTGAAGGAGCACCTTCTCAAGTACCCAAAGTAAGTAAAAACAAAAGAACCGTGTCCACTCATGTCATATTAGAGACTATCACTCTACCGATGGCAAGCATACACTCTGACTTCACTACCAACAGAGATACAGACCATGGTTAACCAACAAAGAGAAAAGAGACGACAAGTAAAGTAAGAAAGCAAAGAAAGTTATGAACATTAACATACAATTCAGTTTGCAAAAGAATTGACGTTAGCTTATCAGCGATTACCGATTCAACAACGACTTGATGTATTATTTGATGACCATAGTCAGTGGATAGATCAACAAGACCCTTTATTTTCTTCATTTCAATACAACCCTCATGTCAGTATACCTGTTCGCCAAGTAAGAAAACGACTCTGTTCTAGTTTTGATACGCTATTTTATGTGGGTCTAAATGATTCTGTCAATCTCAAACAACGGTTTTTGGATGAATTGTCTGCTTCTGCTAAACAGAAGCGAGGTATAAAAATCAAAGTCAATTTGAGAAAAGTGTTGGATCATGGTGTATTAAACAAACATGTCAAGATGAAATTACTTCAATTCCATGAAGATGTACGACCTGCTTATTATGGTACTTGGACAAAATCCCATCAACATGTGACTGGCAGAAAGCCTTTTGCTAAAGACACAGATGCATTGGATTATGATATTGACAGTGAAGCAGAATGGGACCATGATGTAGATGATGAAGATATTGATACATTAGCTACAGATGAAGATAGACTCTTTTTTGATTCAACTGATGATGAAGAAGAAGAAGACGAAGAGGAGGAGATACATGCAAGTCGTACTGGTACTATGGCTGTTATTAATCTTAATTTAGGAAGATACAAAATGGTTAGTGCCTGAAGGTTATTTATCTCAAGATGAAGAGATGCCTAAAAAGAAGTCAAGGATTGTCAGTCGTCCTGCTAAATGGCCTATTGCTGGTAATAAGGTAAATGACACATATTGCTCAACTATATCACACTCACATGATCAGCATTTCCCCATGAAACCTGTCATTCTCGGTCCTTCTTTTGCATCACATCATGAACCAAAAAATCATCCGTTATCTGACTTTCAATTGCATCTCTATAAACCCATTCAAGAGGGTTATGCACCCTTTGACACTAGTTCTGCTTCTACCATACCAGAGACAGTGATAGAAGCTGAATCTTCAAATTCACCTTTGACTATGTGTTTTGAACTCAACAAGACAAAGCCACCTTTATTTCAAAGAGAAATTGACAAAATAGTCCAGACAAACAAACAAGAATTGATAGACATCATTTCTGAACATAAAACCAAGACAATGATGGGTTTAGTCGGTGTATTAAAATCAAACAAAATGTTTGAAGAATACACAACAGCCCAATTACAGGCTATGATTTATGATGTTGCTATTCAACAAATGCATGGTACACATAAGGTAAAAAGAGAGTCTACTAAATAACTGAATATTAACATGCAGTTAGGAATACATTTGGTGCTTAAGAAATGAATAAACAAAATAAATAAAAAGTGGCTTAAAAACTTTCCATATAAAGTAACGGAGTCCACGGAGTCGTTTTTTTCTCTTTTTTTTTGTAGCGCATGGCAACTAAATACTTTTCCATTGTCAGGGTCTGTTCCAATCGAGAAAGAATCCGATCGGCGGACACACAAAAAAATGAAACAGAAAAAAAGCTATTTAAACTCGAATTTAATTTTCATTTCCCCTTTATTTTAATTCTGTTTGATAATGAAAATGTCTGCTCATAACTTTACTATTGGTATGTAACATTTGTTACTGTAAATCATCGTTGGCTTACATGAATTCTAGTTAGTACACCTGGAAAGAGAATTTCTTTAGAAAAAGCCAGTCATCCTTGCCCTAAATGTAGACATCAGGCTTCTGTTCAGTTAATACGATCTGAAAGGCAATGGATTGTGTTCAACAAATGTATATCCAACAGTATGCGTGTACGATACGAATGCTCTAAATGTAGATGGAAAAATGAAGAATTACCATCCTACCCTAATGAATTCAACCGTATCTCTAATGATGATTTCCACTTTCAAGACACTGACAGCAGTAGTTCTGTCTTGAGTGATTTATATTGAAATGTTTGCCCTGTCCTGTAGTTATTATTTATTCTCCCTATGTGTATATATACCCTCTCTTTCTTTCTCTCTTTTGTAATTCAAAGAAAATAAACTTCTTCATCTGATCTTAAATATGTATATATGTTTCTATCTGAAATCGAGTGATTTGATTCGATCTACATATATCTTTTAGAAGCTAATAGAACCGTTAACATTTGACAAGTGCTCAAAAGATCGGTACTATGACTAAATTAGGCATTTCATTTGTTTGATTACCATATTTGGAATACTCGACTGACGTCAATTCCACTGTACCTTAATCATCGGTCAAAAGGCGATGATCATTCTGGAATAACTGGCTTACATGTTTTTATTTTGTCCATTCTTCTATATTTGGAAACGGCGCGTCCTTCTCTGGATTCCGGACATAGAAGAAGACCTTAAAGCGCGATAGATTGTGTTACTATCAAAACACCCAGAAATTTCTTGAACACATGTACACGTTTGTTAATTTCAATTGTTTTCTGGGGGGGGGTCATTTTACATATGATCTTACATTTAATGATGGATATGTGTGTGTATGTGTGTGCGCGTGTCAATAGGGATAGAATGATCACATGATCACATCTATCTTGGCAAACGCGTGTTGAGTGAATCTTGGCTGATTATGTAAATCCACCTAGCCAAGACACTTAACTGTAACGTCATCTCTTTTTTTTTTTTTTTTGTGGGTAAATAATAAGTAATTTTCTCACTCTCTTTCGCTTTTCGTTTTCTTTGCTTATTCCGATATGTATGATACAGTACTTGGTTATAGTGGAGGCTTTGTAGGCCTTTTAATCCTTATTCTTGACTTGATTGTGATATTTGAAGTCATGAACTCAAATCGAACTATTTCTGGCAAATTAGGCTGGTCTCTTTTAGTCTTCTTTTTCCCTGTTGTTGGATTGATTCTTTATTTGTAAGTTTATTGCACACAACACTAGCTGATGTATTTGTTCTATAGCCTCTTTAGTGAACGTAATGAACACAATGCAAGATATGAACCCATTGTTTAATTCTTTATTCAAAACGACATTTCTCAATACGAACTGTATCCTTAGGGCTATTGTTTGATCATGATTAGTATCAATAAATAAATAAAATTATAACTTCTCTTTACCGATCTGAAGCATCTGTTCTAACAAGACCCATTCTTTTGACAATGTTCATACCATCACTCACTCTACCGAAAATAGTATGCTTACCATCCAACCAAGGTGTAGGTGCCAACGTGATAAAAAACTAAGGCTGAATAAGTCATATAGACGTGTGAGTTGTACGTACTTGTGAGCCATTTGTATTAGGACCAGCATTGGCCATACTGAGAATACCAGCACCTGTATGTTTGAGTTCAGGATGGATTTCATCTTCAAATTTTTCACTAAGCAAGAAATAAGTTATTATTGTTGTTGTTTTTTCTTAGTAGCATATACCCATAGATAGAAGTACCACCACGACCAGTGCCTGTAGGATCACCACCTTGAATCATGAAATCCTATAAAACTAAGTACTTGAACGCGTATGTATGAATGTGTCTTACAGCAATAATACGATGAAACTAGATAAAGTTAACTGACAAGAACATGCATTGATTGACTTACGCTCACACCATCATAATATCCTCGTTTAGCCTGTGAATGAAATGAGTTCATTGAACAAAGTATTCTATTATACGTTATTTACAAGTTCATAAAAGTTTTTACAGGTTCTATGCAAAGGGTGAATAAAGAGACAAGATCTTGATCGACCTACTTTGGTGCATGATCCCAATAAAGTTCAATATGAATGGGACCCATAGAAGTGTCAAGAATGACAGATTGATGACTAGACATGATGTAAAGAACGAAGGAAAATATAATTTGCGCTTCTAAAAAAAAAAAGCACTAAATACCACCGAAATTTGACATGTCGTGATTTTTCCTAAAAAAAAAAAGTAAGAAAACAATAGAAAAGTGCTTGAATAGATACATGAAAGCAAAAACAATAGTTTGTTCTATCTTAATTTAGTTCTTTTTAGCCTCAAAAGACTTGTTGAAGTATAGCATTCAAAGCAAGAAAGAAAAAAAAGTATCGGAGATTGAAAATTACAAAGACAAATGTAGTTCTTGATTTTCAGAAAATGAATTTAGAATCAACCTCTATTCAATAATAGCTGGAAAAAGCAATTTTTATATGAATCGCTTAACAGAAAAAAATACAGAATTTTTTTTTTTTTGCATTTAAGATGATGTAAAAAATGTCTCTATTTCTTTAAGAATATTTAAACGAATAGACAAAATACGTTCTGAAGGTTTTTGGACAAATTAATAAGGTTAATGTAACGCTATCTTTATGAAATTAGTACCAAAATATACCTACTGTCTGTGTGTCTTGAACGAGTGCATAAGCATGGCTCTGTCTTCAATCATTATAACAAAAAATGACTTTGAAGGTTTAAGCGAAGTCTAAACTAAGATGCGAAAGGTAAACCCCTTTAAAAATGAACATTAACGACGTTTAAACTCCGATAATATCCTCAATTACAAAAAGAAAAAAGAAAATGTATGTAGTTTTTTTTATTTAATACAGATATCTTCCGTACTCCATACAGTCAAACGCCTGTTGACTAAGCAGTCCGATGAACAAGAACTAATCATTTTTGATTGAACTTACTTTCCTTCTTAGTAAAATTCATGCACTCTTTCCTTTCCCCCCTCCTCTTACACAACATACCCCCTCAGTCTTATTTATTACTCATTACTACATCTTTAGAACTTTAAATAAAACCGGAACATAGTTCCCCTACAAAAAAAAAAAAGAACGAAAAATAGCCATTTTTTTTTATATAAGCACACAATTACTATTATTGAGTACACTTGATACTCATTCACACAGAGGTGTTTTTTCCTATTATCATCTAATGCCATGTCAGTAGACAGTAAGCCTACTTAGGAGGATTAAGCAGGTAACAGCAACTTATACAATGACAGTAAGTGATCACCACCAAAAAAAAAAAATAACTCAATTACAGTGAATTATATAAATACTTTATTATGTCTAATCAAATACAATTTTGCTACCCTTGAATTCCTGAACAGTGGGTTTTTGTCTTTGTGCAGAAGACAATGCTTCTCCAGGCTTAACACGACCACCATCCTGTGTCTTCTTGGGACGCTTTTCTCTTGGATTGCTTGCATCATAAGCGGGTTTGCGTCTTTTGGGCTGAGGCTCTTCAGTCTCTGGTTGTTCTGTTGTTTGTTGTGGTGTATCCTCATCCTTTTTCATTTTACGCATTAACCAAGGCTTGGATCTCATATGAGCTTCAGGACTAGCAAATTCCACGCGCACTTTACGACCATCCAATGTATGTTTATCAGGTGCACGAATGGCTTTTGTTGCAGACTCCACATCATGATAATCAACATAGGCAAACCCTTTACATTTACCAGAATCTTCAAATGTAGCCACACGCACTTTACGAATGTCACCTGCCCAAGAGAACTGATCGAGAATAGATTGTTTGGTGGTATCAAAGCTCAAATTACCAAGGAAAAGTGTAGGTGATGGTGGGTTCTTTTGTTTTTTCATGGCTTTCTTTTCAACTTCTGTAGGTGGTTTTGAATCATCTGCACGCTCAAAGTTTTCAGAATCTTTAATCAATAAAGAACGACCGTCTAATTTTTGTTCAGACAAGGCAATGGCCTTGGTGGATGCTTCTTCTGTAGAAAAGAAAACATAGGCAAAACTAAGATGTGTTAATCAAGTGTCCATGTTGCGGCCCTGATGACTTACCCTTTGTTGTTGTTTTTGGCTCCATTGCCTTTGGGACATTTTAAGCGAGTGATTTCACCACAATCTTTAAAGAATTCTCTAATGGCATTGGACGTTGTTGAGTAAGCAAGATTGCCAACCCAAACACCATACTCGATCTCTTTCTTTTTCTTTTCTGGCTTGGGTGGTCTCACAGGTTCACTCTCGCCTTCTTTTTCTCCTTGAGGTTTTTCTTCGTCTTCGTTTTCGTCTTCTTCGTCTTCAGACAATTCGCCTCGCTAATCATAGATATGAGATGCCAATGATCGATGTTCTCATTTACCTTTCGTTTCTTGTTGATATCTTTCTTTTGTTTCTTTTTCTCTCTATTTTCTCGGTTGATCTTGCGTTGTGCTTCTCTTTCTTCTTTACTGAGTTCTTTCTTTTGTTTCTTTTTTTCGGCCTTAGAAGCAAGACGAGCTGCTTCTTCCTCGTCTTGCTTATAATCTGTTATTTCTGTCAGCACGTTAAAAGCGTCGTCTTTTGCCATGGTAATCACAAGGAGAAAAAAAAGAGAGAGATGAGAGCCATTCACTGTTTTTATGGCATGCAAACAAGTCACATACCCGTATGGATTACCCGTTAAGCCACCAGCTGGAGCGACTTTTTTCTTTTAATGATGCCACCTAAAGCAGACGTACGCAAGCTATTAAAGAAGCAACAACAAGAACGTAGCAAAGCAAAACGTATTGATCATCCGTTTGCTAAATATGACTCGATGGACCGGTTGATGTGTATCGTGTGTCATTCGCCTATTAAGTCTGAAGCTGTATGGCCAGCTCATCTTGCTTCAGCTGGTCACCGAGACAATATTCAAAAACTAAAAGCATTGAAGCAACAACAACAGCAGCAGCAGCAGTTAAAAAGACGTGCGTCCACACCGCCTTCTCAAACAGAAAATGATACCCAAGAACATAAACGTATGCGTGTTGATGAAGATGATACACAAGATATTGAACTTGAAGACGCGAGTGATGAAGATGATATGAAGTTACCCAATGACTTTTTTGATCAACAGCAACAAGAGGAACCAGTGGAGGAACCAGCAGAAGAAACAGTGGAAGAGTCAGTGGATAATAATACGTTGCCTGCTGGATTTTTCGACGATCCTGAAGAAGAAGCACGCGTTCAAGGTACTTTACCACCTGAAGAACAAGCCCAGGTTGATTTAGACAGAGATTTACAAGAATTCAATGAAGCCATGATTGAGGTCACAAAGGAATCAAGAGAAGTGCAAGAAGAAGACGATGAAACGTTTTGGAGAGAAAGAAATTATGAGATTTTTCAAGAACAAGCCATGTTTGATTCTCGAGTTGAAAAACTAAAGCAGCTACGAAAGACAGGCGAAACAAAAATGCAAGTAGATCAGCCAGATCATGATGAACTAAAAACAAGTGTACGACATATTCTTGTCAGTAAACCAACAAAGCAAGAAGCATCCATGTTTGATGATGACGATGAAAGCGGAAGTGAAGAAGAGGATTGGCGTGCACAACAATTATAATTTTTTATTTTTTTTTATTTATGCAGATGTACTATGAGCTCCAGGAGCTTGATTGAGAACTTCGTCGAGACTGACATGACGAGATAATTCATGAAAGACCTAAAAAGCGTGTCAAATGAAAATAAAAGCAAGTTTACTTACAGTCTCATCCACTGGTATAATTGATTTACGTCTAAAGACTTGATATTGTGCAGGAGGAACATCAAATTGCTGCATATCTGGGTGAATATCGTCTTTTTGTTCTCCTACATGTTCTGAAATGATTTCTTGACTATCACTGATGTCCAGTTCTTCCAACTCGGTAAACATATCTATCAACAATATAAGACATATATTACATTAAACTATACTTTACCATTAGCATCCGTATTTCCAAAAACAAACTCAGACTTGTATTCTTCAATGGCTTCATTTGGAGACACATTGTCAAGCTCTGTTTTTGATGCTGTGATTCTCTCTGCCTTTTGTTGCAAGTGTCTCCAATTGTCTTCTCTTTCTTTTTGAAGTTTACGTTCCCTATCAATATATAAGCCAATGCATTGTCAAATGATAATGCTACTTACAACTGCCTTTGGTTTTTGTATTCATTAGCACACTCATCAAACAAAGTGGGATCGATATCAATACAAAGCTTCAAGGCAGTATAGACTAAACTCAAAATAGTCCTAAATGAAGATCAGTACACAGAATCATAGTGTGTGTCTACTTTACTTATTCCAATGAGTCTTGGAAGTCTTGTATAGCGTAGGAAATATGATGGGCATAATCACCTTGATGTTCTCGGCCATCAAGCTTACAACATAGTCATTGTTCCAATAATACAAAGCTCTTTCTGAAACTTGGAAATGAGGGCTTGCAACACACTGACTTAGTTTGGTAAACAAGGGACACATAATTTGCTGAAATTCAGGAATATCAACAATATCCAAGATCTCTTCAATTTCATTCAAAAACATCACTTCCTTAGGACTGTTGACTTTTGGCCAGTAGCGCAAAAGACCAGTGACAACCTATATACACCAATAAGTTTTTTTTTAAATCTTTGTCTATGTTTACCTCAAACGTCAAGCCTCGATCTTTTTCCAAAAATTGGACTACACAATAAGCTAATTGAGGATGATACAATGCAAGTGATTTAGCTTTGTGTAAAGGTATCAATACGCGCGATAAAAATGTCTTGTGTTCTTCCTTCAAAGGTAAAGCAAATCCATTAATAATACTGCCCAAAATCTCCAGGAATTCGGCAACACCATTATGTCTTTCTGTTTCGTAAATAAATTGAAAAAAGATATTGTTGATGGATCTTCGAATAAACGCGCGAAGATTTAAAAACTTGCCGTATATTCGGTGCAACGTTGTCTTTAAATAATCGCGTTCTCGAGGATCTTCAGAGTCAAAAAGGTCTAATAACTATCCACAGAATCAATCACCACCTGTTTGGCTTTAAACCATTTGCTTACCTGAAGAATGAATTTATGATCAATATGTTTCTTGGCAAAGTTAATATTAAATTCAGGTGATTCCAAGAACCGTAAAAAGAATTCATAGACTGTCTGTAAATGAGGCCAAGCAAGTTCTAGAACAGGTTCATCTTCTTCAGGGTCAAATGCATCCCCAACAGGATTTACTTGAGGAGGAATAGGACGGAAAAGATTAATAGCAAACTAAAAACAAGACACATCAATACCAGTACATTCTTCTTATCTTCCCTTACCATATTCACAATTTCAGGATACACATTTTCAGTCAATACGCCTCTGTTCATAGAGATATGATCCAAGATTTCCTGTAATGTTTGACGTTTAATTTCTTTTTCTCGAAGTTCTGCAGATGCATCACTAAAATCAAATACAACAGTACATTGCTTGATTTTCTTGACAAACAAATCAGGACGCATATGACTTGGTACCTCTTTTATAACATAGCATAAGAAGACATCTCTTTTTTTTTCTTTTTTTTTCTTACCATGAAATGCAGGTGTTGGTTCTAACTGTACTTTTTCAGTAACATAAAAACGAGATGATTTTTGACGACGAGGTGCTTTGCTGATAGGAATTTGATCAATAGGAGCGTTTTTAAGACGATGATGCAAAGGACCTGTCTTTGGAACATCTTTGACATGAGGATTGTTGTGCATAAAAGTAACAGCATTATTATTAGGTGTGCTATTATTGCTGCTCACACGAGTGTTTTTTGGCTGTCATAATAGTAAGATCATCTCTCTCTCTCTTTCTCTCCTTACTTTTATGTATATACATACCATTTCTGGATTAGAAGAATCAATAATACCATTAGGTTTAGGTGAATCAGGTGGCATAGCAGTATTTGTGGTATCAATATTGGTTTCGATTGGCATAGTTTTTTCGCTTTTGGATCGAGTGAGCTATTCAAAATGTAAATAAACATTATCCTCTAGATTGGATACATACGGCTTCCTTCCATCCTTTAATCATGTTTTATAGATTGTTCAAAAAAAGGGGTAATCTAGGTTGCTAAGGATGTAGTTTAGTCATCTCTTTTGACAGTTGTCGTGGCAACTTACTCTCGAGAAATAAAAAATGAATGTAGAAATTAAAAATAACAACAAAAAAAAAAAGAGAGAGAGAAAAAAAGTAAAGAGAATAGGTTTTTAGGAGTACTAAATAAAATAAAATAAAAGAAAAGGGGTGCAAGTGGCTGTTTTCTTGCTAAAGTCTATTTAGTTTGATCCAATCAAAAGTGTAATGAGTTCTAAAAATTAACCTTTTGGCCTCTTGTAATTTATTTGATTTATTTATTTTTCATTTGCAATTATTTTTTCGGGTTAGACGTTATTATGTCTGTCAGTTGTCTTGTTTGTGTTTGTGATAAGCTATTGACTTGCTCTAGTTACTTGTTATAGGTGGGATCGCGCTTGATATAACAGCTACTGTAGGAAAGACACTTGGGTCTTCTATTTTACACACGTCTACTCCCGGTCACGTCAAGCAAAGTTTGGGTGGTGTTGGTCGCAACGTGGCAGAAGCCGCATGGAGAACGGGTGGCAAAGACGTCAAGCTTGTTTCAGTTGTTGGGGATGATTTAGCAGGAGAATCCGTCCGACAGGGCATGAAAGCAATTGGCATGGTAATTCACATGCTGGATGATTTGTGATAGAGAATGTGCTTATCCATCCTATAGTCGACAGAATACATTCAGACCTTGAAAAACCAGCCTACAGCAGCAAGTATTTAATCAAAACGTGATAATTTCTTATATACTGAAACAGGTTTACAATGCACTTCATTCAAACGACGGACAATTGGTAGCTGCAGTTGCTGATATGAACATTTTCGATCATATAGATTCTTCAAATGTAATACGACCATTGCTTCTACATGTTCTAACAAACAAAAAAGATTGTTTCTATTTTACAAACAGAAAAGCCTAGTTTTGTTTGCTTTGATGGTAACATTACGTCTACCTTAATGGAAAGCATTGCAACTACTTGTGCTTCACTTTCAATCCCAGGTACACAATTGGCTGCGTATGAAAAATGGTGTTTAATCAGATATAGCTTTGTTTGAACCTACTTCTGTTCCCAAGTCACTCAAGCTTTTTCAACGCAACAAGGCGATGCAAGCTCGTTCTGTTCAATATACAACACCGAATCAATTTGAAATTGAGGCTATGTGTGACCAAATTCGATCTGATCCTGCTCTTCAAGTAGGTCAAGTAGATGAATCATTATTAGGCCAACTTAAGGGTAATGGTGACACTCAAAGAATTTTGTCTTGACATGTTTTTTTGCTTAGGTGTGCCAAGACTAGCCGAGACAGTGGCTCCTTATGCTATCTTCTTGTCCAACTATATTCCTAATATTGTGACCAAGTTGGGTGAAGAAGGATGTCTCTTTGTGCATAATAAGTCTGTGATTGAATACTTTTCCCCAGAATTTATACAAGCAAATGAGATCAAGAGTGTCACTGGTGCTGGTGATTGGTAATGATCCTGAATGAAAATCATTTTTCCATTTTAACTTTTCTCTCAAAATAGTTTTGTCGGTACATTAATTGCCAATTTACAAAAGAGAGGGAAAACACCACTTTCAGGTGATATTTTGAAATCAATTATTCAAAAATCACAGCTATCATCCGTTTGTACTCTCAAATCAAATAATGCAGTAAGTAAACACATTTCAAACGATTTACTTGTGTAATCAGAAATAAACCTCCCCTGAAATCATGCCCGGATAAACATTATGGCAAGTGTGACTGAGATCATTGTTACCCCCGGGGTTATGTTTAGCTATAAGTTCGCTCTCTTCTATTCCATCCCGCGTTTTCTTTTTTTTCTTTTACATATCTTATAAACAATGTTGGCTTCTCGTCTCTTCAAGTCTGTCGCCGCTAAGCGTGCTTTCTCTACTTCTGCTGCTAACCTCTCCAAGGTTGCTGTTCTCGGTGCTGCTGGTGGTATCGGTCAACCTTTGTCTTTGTTGTTAAAGGAAAACCCTCACGTCACCCACCTTTCTCTCTACGATATTGTCAACACTCCCGGTGTTGCTGCTGATCTTAGCCACATCAACACTAACTCCAAGGTCACTGGTCACACTCCCGAAAACGAAGGTTTGGAGGTTGCTCTTAAAGACGCCCATGTTGTTGTCATTCCCGCTGGTGTCCCCCGTAAGCCTGGTATGACCCGTGACGATTTGTTCAACACCAACGCCTCTATTGTTCGCGACCTCGCCACTGCTGCTGCCAAGTAAGCTCATATTGAGATAATGAGAGAGAGAGAGAGAAAAAAAGAGAAAAAGAAAGTATTGGACGTGTGAAAACTCATTCAATTTTATATAGGCACTGTCCTGATGCTCACTTCCTTATCATCTCCAACCCTGTTAACTCTACCGTCCCCATCTTTGCCGAAACCTTGAAGAAGGCTGGTGTCTTCAACCCCAAGCGTCTCTATGGTGTCACCACTCTTGATGTTGTTCGTGCTTCTCGTTTCGTTGCTGAAATCAAGAACCTCGATCCCAAGGACGTCAATGTCACTGTTGTTGGTGGTCACTCTGGTGTCACCATTGTCCCTCTTCTCTCTCAAACTGGTATTGAATTCACCAAGGAAGAATTAGATGCTTTGACCCACCGTATCCAATTCGGTGGTGATGAAGTTGTGAAGGCCAAGAACGGTACTGGTTCTGCCACTCTCTCTATGGCTTACGCTGGTGCTCGTATGGCCAACTCTGTCTTGGAAGCTACCGTTGGTGGTAAGAAGGGTGTTGTCGAACCTTCTTTCGTCAAGTCTGATGTCTTTGCCTCTGAAGGTGTTGAATACTTCTCTACCAACATTGAACTTGGTCCCGAAGGTGTTGAAAAGATTCACGGTCTCGGTGAAATTTCTGACTATGAAAAGGAACTCATCTCCAAGGCTGTTCCTGAATTGAAGAAGAACATCACCAAGGGTAACTCTTTTGTTCAATAAATTGTATAAATCTATTATATTCTGACCCGAAATAAAAATTAGCCCAGTTTTTTGTTATTCGAACTCAGCAGCAAAGGTATCATGATCCAAGAGCCCTTTAACATGCCAAGCTGATACTTAAGCGCGCTCAGTTTTTGTTGAGATGTTTATCTTAAGATAATGTAGTTTAGTACTTGGTGGTGCAACCTTTGGCATCAATCACAGCTTGGTACTGGTTGGTCAAGCGTGTAGTAGTATGCATATAATGAGAAGATAGTATAGCGCAAAGAAACAAACAAACAACCTACTCCTTAATGATTGTTATTCTTTGTTATTCCTCAGAACAAGAGCTGGTTAAACTTGAGTCTTGATGAATAGCTTTACACAACCATACCAATAGCATTACGCTTATTGATACACACATCAATGTTTCCTAGTTTACCATGATGTATGGCTCTAGAGGAGGTATTCAACTACCTCCTCGTATCCGTTTAAGTATTTTACATATGCTGGTTCATATCTGTTACTAATTCATCTCCCTTCTATTCTCTGCTCTTTCTTCTAATCTAATGTAAGTAACAATATAAATATTGCTTATGTATCTCGTGCTCTGCTTAATTTCTAGAATTTTTTTTCAATAAATGTATAAATTTTGAAAACATCATCCGCTTCTTGTTTAAGCTAAATTGCCCATAAAAAAAAGACTGGCCATTCAAGCGTTTTATACTCTTTTCTGCTGCAATAGGACAGCCCTTTATAAGAGGCTTTACAAGACGATGCTTCATATGCTTTATAAAATTATTTACAGATGCTTACAGTGATGCTTTACATGATGAATTGAAGGATGATACTTCATATGATATTTACTTTTGGTACTTTATCTTTGGTTCTATACCTAATGCCTTACTATATTGATTTTAAAATGGATGATGCGTTATATACCAGCTCTTTATTTCTTTCTTTTTTTTCTTTGCTCTGTGAAATTGAATGCTCTGTAATATTATCGTACACGATAAATTAGTTCTTCTTTGACTTTCATTGATTTTTCTCTTGTATTACTTATCCAGGCCGTAATGACGTCTTAACCTGCAAAGAGAAAGAAAGAGCTTTGATAAAGATAAGATTAGATGTAGACTGGTGTAACATAACAAGGTGTAAAGGTATGCATGTATTTATTGTTTTACCAACTTTGCTTGTATGGTAAGAATTTACCATCCAATGTAATTTTTACGCGATCACCAGCGGGATCCTCAACCTGTATGAATGGTAAGTTTTTTTTTCTAGCATAATGTTGAAAATATTTGCCTTATCAACATGTGCCTTAAAATCAATAGCAGACATAATACCATCACCAAACTAGGACCAATAAGTAAAACAAAATCGCATGAATTGACAAACCTTTTCATGTATAACTGCTTTAATAGGAAATCCGAATACTTGAATCATTTCAACAAGTCTGTAAAGCGTAGGATCTTGAGGAGGCATTTCCATCAGTCTAAGATATGATGAGTTGTTTTTTTTTCATAGGCAAATCACGTACCCTCCTCTAGTGGGAAAGTAATGAGCTCCCATTTCTTCCAACAAGTGCTGTGTAGGTACATTTAATATTTCTGAAAGTTTATACAACTCTTTGTCTGTAGGTTTGGCCTTTTAAATGTTATCAATATTTTCTCCTTTTTAACTCGTCTGTGTTTACCTGCCCATAAAAGATGGCTGCTGCATAAACTTCATCGCATCCCAATTCCTTTCCAATTTGCTCAAAGCTATGTTATCATCATTTAACTTGAGGTAATCAAAGTGTGTGTCTCTTCTTACCTTAATTTTCTTACAGCTTTGGCTTGAAACATGCGCATTTGAACAGGTGAAAGTTTAGGATTCTAATATGAAGAACAAAAATAAGCCAAACCATGATAGTTTTTGAATTCATTTACACTCATTTTAAGGCAAGAAAATATAAGAAAAGAGGAAGGTGTGAAAAAAAAATAACAATATGCAACAAGACTCCAACATAATGTGATTTGATCTCCGGTACAAAAGTAATATGAAAGAGTGACGTACATAATCCTGCATGTTACATTCTGTTAAGGCGAATGCTATATGTTTGTTGAAAAAAAAATATTATGGTAGTTGCGTAAGAACAACTATCCCAAGTCTTTATTATTGAATTAAAAACAAAAGTTATAATGAACAAAAGTTAACCATGAAAGAAATAAAAAGAAAGAAAGAGAGAAAATGAGAAAGAAAGAGTTTGAACCCTCTAGATACAAAAAAATATAATTTTTCCCGCTTTACGGTATACCAAGGGAGAAAAGGGCAGTATTAATAAACCAAGAATAAAAAATAAATGCTCCTACAAGTTCACATCCGCTTCACAAAATGTCTTTTTCGGACAATAACTGTATTTATGCATCATGTCAAAATGATAAAATAGCCATTGCAGTTGAAACCATTTACCGCATGTTTCTTATAAGCTTATTTTGACATCATTACAGAAGGAAGCCTTAGCAAGAAGGTATGACAGACAGGTCGTGTATATATCTTCAGGAAGTTTTTTATTTTCGCCGAAGGACAATTTATAAGTATGGATCCTACATCACACACACGCACACACATTTATATATCGCACACATTCACACATGTATAAGATATCGTATGCCTATTCTGACAATTTGAGTCATACAAATCTCGTTTTCTATTCCTATTTGCTTACCCCACGATTTTGCCCCACAATTTATGTAAATGAAAAATAGGATACATCTAGAAGAAATTGAATAAGAACTTTAGTGGACATAAAGAGTATTGGCTTTTTCTACTACCTCTGCAGTGTCTTAAAAAAGTATATCTTGACTGGGAAAAAGCCTAAAGAAGGTTGAAGCATTCTCCCTCTCTCTTTCACTCTTTTGTGACACATTCAATGACCTGACTACTTTAGGTTCAATAAAGTAGGGATTGATGGTAACCCATCATGTTATCATACAAATGATATTTCGAAAATAAACTTTGAATGTGTACATGTATTGACTATAGACTGGTGCTTAACAAAACCAATTTAACTTTGATATGCAAGCAATAAAGACAAGCTTTTTTTTTTTTTTTTTTTTTTTTTTTTTTTTTTTTTTTGCTTAATAAAGAATTTTATATAATTCTGTTTTCTCACCGCAGGTGGTGGGAAAAGCAAAAGTGTTTGTGATACTTGAAGAATCAATCAGATTATGGGCATTAATACAAGATCCCTTTTCCCCCTCTTATTTGTATCACACAACATTTTTCAATATTACCAATGTTTAAGGATTAGTTATTGACTCTCACTTCTCAAGTTTCTATTCTGTGTATGTGTATATACACATGTTTATCCAAATCAAGAATAATTACAAAATCATAAAAGGAGAAAATAAAAATAAAAAACTCTCCACATTCACATTCACATTGGTTACATGTAAACGTATCTTGATATCTGTCTAACTTTTTTAAAGTTAAAGGAATAGCATCCACAAATGATATGCTGAAAAAAGAAACTTGTATTGGAGTTTCAAAAACCAAAAACCAAAAAATATAAACCTTTATTACTGTCATCTCGGAATAAAACTGATTTGAGCAACATTTTAGGAGAATTTAAAATGTCCTTTTTGTACACATCGAAAGCGTTGCAAACTCATATGACCTATGCTTCTTTTGTTTGGATTACATGAAGGTCAAATGCAAACTCAAGCATTGTCTTGTAATGCGGGGCATAAAAAAAAGAGTATAAAAAGACATGCTTTATTGTCATTTTATTGTTTTTTTCTTTTTCTTTAACAAGTGCATATTCTCCCATTTTTTCTCTCTCTTTTTTGATCCTTTGTCTTAATTATACCTCTATATATTTTTATAAAAAGAAAAAGAAAACAAGCACATTTATATAAATGAAGTATCTCTCAGAAATTGCGACAACAGTCGCATGTATCGGTGGTTTCTTATTCGGTTATGATACTGGTAAGACCAGATCAAATCAAATCAAATCGAATCAAATTAACCATTTTTAAATAGGTGTCATTTCTGGTGTATTGACCATGCCAACGTTTCCAGAATACTTTGGTATTGCTGGTAACGCAGCAGAAATTGCAAGCATTAAGGGTGATGTTGTATCTGTACTCCAAGCTGGCTGTTGTGCAGGTGCTTTGTTGATTAATTTTGTTGCTGGTAATACGATTGTTAAACGAACAATATAATTCAGATTATTAACCGCCTCATTCTAGATCCTTTGGGTCGTAAATGGTCTGTCGTTATTGCTTCTATCATCTTCCTTTTCGGTTCTGCTCTTCAAGTTGGTGCTCCCAACATTGAAAGTATGATGGCTGGTCGTTTCTTTGGTGGCTGTAAGTAGTCATTCAATTAGATATAAGATATAAACTAATCTGATCTTTTTTTTAGTTGGTATTGGTGCTTGTTCCATGTTGGTTCCTATGTATATTGCTGAAATTGCTCCCCGTAAATTAAGAGGTCGTTTGGGTACACTATGGCAATTCTTGATTGTCTTGGGTATCATGGTTTCTTACTGGATTGATTATGGTTGTCTGAAGCATATTCCTGCAAGCGATGCTCAATGGCGTGTTCCTCTTGGTATCCAACTTATTCCTGGTTTGGTTCTTGCCCTTGGTATGCCTTTCTTGCCCGAATCTTTGAGATGGCTTGCTGTCAAGGACCGTAACGACGATGTCAAGAGAGAATTGTGCAGACTTCGTGATTTGCCCGAAGACCACCCCGAAATTATTGAAGAATACGAAGAAATCTTGGCCGCTGCTAGATTTGACAAGGAATCCAGAGCTGGTACTTACAAGGAACTCTTTGAACGCAGCAATTTCCACAGATTGCTTATTGGTATCTGCTTGCAAATCTTCCAGCAATGGACCGGTAGTAATGCCGTCAACTACTACGCTCCTGAAATCTTCAAGTCCATTGGTCTCGACAGTGGTGAAACTGACATTCTTGCTACTGGTGTCTATGGTGCTGTCAAGGTTGCCTTTGTCTTTGTCTCCTTTTTCATGATTGATACCAAGTTGGGTCGTAGACGTACTTTGATGATTGGTTCCTTGATCATGATGGTTGCCTTCTATATCCTTGGTGGTATGATCTTGGCTCTCCAAAAAGAAAACGGTGGTACTCTTAGCTCTGCTGCTGGTGCTGTTGTTGGTGCCAAGGGTTATGTTGCTATCATCATGGTCTACCTCTTCGCTATTGGTTACGAATTCTCTTGGGGTCCCATTGTCTGGATTGTTTGTTCAGAAATCTACCCTACTCGTATTCGTGCCATGGCACTTTCGCTCACTACTGCTTTCAACTGGGGTATGAATGCCACTATCGCTAAGGTTACCCCTCTCATGCTTGCCAAAATTACTTATGGTACTTATTTCTTCTTTGGTTCTTGCGCTGTTCTCATGGGTGTCTTTGCCTTTGTCTTCTTGCCTGAAACCAGAGGTCGTTCTTTGGAAGACATTGATGAGCTCTTCAACAGAGGTGTTGTCTTGGCCTTCAAAGATGACTACAAGGTCGACAAAGAACAAATCAAGCGTGATGAAGAGGTTGGTATCTACAAGGATTAGTTATCCTCACACCAACTCTTCTCTCTTATAAATATATAAATAATGTATCTATATGAATAGTATCAATTCTCTTCCCTTGCATTAGCAAACCCCTTAATAACTCTTGAATACCATTTTTTTTCTCTTTCTCTTTCAATAAAATCATCTTCAATGATACAGTATTTCTACTTCAAATTCAGACGATGTTAAATTTTTTTTGGACGAAGTAAAAAAAGAAATTAGACAAGACAAATTTAGTTTTTAGACGAATAGAAATTTATGTTTAGACTTTTTACCTGTAGTGATCTTCATCCTTTCCGAAGAAAAGAAAGCCGTGTTTGCTACGGCGATACTTCAGCAGAAATTTGAATAAGAATAACTTTAATGCTCTTATAAAAGGCTCTTACCAAATTTATAATATTTTTTAAGCATTGGTTTTCTCTCGCTTAAATGGTTCTGGTCTTCCTTCTCCCATCCAAACGGCCTTCGATATTTTCATCATATTTGTGGGATAGACATAGGAAAATGGGATACAGGTACGAATGTGACAGTAGTAAAAGTTCCTTTGGTTGGTTGAGTTTGTTCAGTTGATGCATTGATTATTTTAGGCTGCACACTTCAATTGGTACTATTCTCTGGTGTCCCTCAAATTGTCTCCACAATTTATCGTTTTGTGTCTAATATACTGAAAGGGAATGTCTTGCTCGGACTCTGCTTGTAATCTCATTTCCTTCTCCATTTTAAACAATAAAATAAAATTGTACAAGAGATTTTTTTCATCTTTTTTTTCTTATCTATCAACATGTTTAAATTTATTATTGAAGGCAAAAAAGCTGATGTCTCTAAAAAACGACGAAACCAAAGCGCTTCAAGCGTCAATCATGGTAAGAATTAAATTCATGCAATACCCTTCAGTTAGCTAAAGACCTACAAAAAGACAGAATATGCACAGACTGCAAAGAGCCTGGTCATTATAATAGACAACATTATAAGTGCAAATTATACATTCAAGTCACTGCAAATGACGGTAAACTCCTTGATACTTTTTTCGTGTTTATTTTTTCTAATTTTTCTGTTCTGATAAGTTGGTGCCTCTAAAAAAAGAAAACAGACCGATCAAGTAAAGCAGGACAAGAAAAATGCAAAAAGGCCCAGGACTGTTGATAGCAGCACAAGTACATATACATGTGGAAATTGTGGTCAAAAAGGACACAAAACATCTCGTTCACCTGATTGCCCCAATCATATACGTTCAAAAAAAGAAACTTTTCTGATGCATTTAGGCCCTAATTATAAGGCATATACGCGAAAGCTGCCTTTTGAACAATGCGTAAAAAGAGAGTATCAAGCCATCCTCAAACCAAGAATTGTCTCAGCTTGTGAACATCTGCGAAACATTGTTGTCAGATCACAGCTTTTCGTGAATTTTTATATTATCAGCTTGGCAAAAGCAAATAGTCCTATTCCTCATGCGATATACGAACAGAATTTCTGGTATTCAATAATACAACTTGTTAGAAACCAAAGAGTTACAAATGGCAACTATTTACAGCACGGATTACTTGCTTATTGGAATAATTTCAAGCAAAGTCATCCTACTATTATTTATCAAGAAAAAATTGCCAGTGGCGTCAGTCAGTGCATTTCAGAAGCGTCCCAACAGCTACAAACAGTATACAACAATCACATAGTAGAAACATTTGAATCAAGAATATACAAGTATATATTCTATAAAACACAAAATATATTCATAGTAAGTACAATACTATTATAAAAGAGTACGTAAATAATACTATATATAGTCAATGGAACGTTCAGATGTTATAAAAATTGTCCCTTACGTTTACCAGTATGTGTGCCAAGGAAATCCCGTGTGGCCTCGAGTTCTTGAATTTACTGAAGAAAAGAAAACCATGGTTGATAAAACCTTCCTGCCACTAAAGGAGTCAATAACGACCCGGGTGGCTCTTACAACTCTGTCTCAAGCGCCTAACACATTTATTCCTTGTCTGTTTAACATTATATCGGAATACGAGATAGAACACAAGAGCCACAAAGTCTATGATGTCAGACGATTACCTCTACCAAGACTGTTTTCATTGTCACCAACGCCGGGTTTACATTGGAGATTCGTAAGCATAAGCGCTAATGCATTAGCACCATTTATCAAAGAGACCCTGCCAAGGGGCTATAAAGATCAACTCAACATGTTTCATCGTGTTTTTAATTTTAAAAAATTACGTTTAAAGTATGGTATAATACCGTCCACAATATATTCTTTTCTTGCTGATAATTATAATATATCTAGGATGGATGATCTCACACCCAACGGAAATAACAAGATATTGTTTGGAAACACATTCAAATCCGACGGTTTTTCTGTTGACCTTCTGTTCTATCGAAGGGAAAAAAAGAAGGATGACACTGGTGTTGAATTAGCTCTTGAAGACTTCAACTACGAAGAGGTCATCAATCAGTATCAACCGGTTTTCCTTGATCCAGGACGTAAATCATTATTTACAGCTGTTGTAGGCGTAGAGTCAGCTAAGCAAATTCGGAAGTCGTCCGCCAAGGAATACTACCATTTGACAGGTAGTACTGTGTATAGCAAAAAACTTGAGTCAAAGAAACAACGCTCTGGTATCCTTACACTCGAGTCCCAAATTCCCACGTCAAAAACAACAGAACCAGACTCATATGAAAATTATGCTACATACATATTAGCACATCTTAACAGGCTACTGACATTTTACGGCAAGGAAACCGCAAAGTGTCATTTCCAGCTGTATCAAGGCAGGCAACGGGCACCAGAAATGATGGTTAATATGTTAACTCACGGTACTGCCAAGTACAACAAATTTCAGAGGAAGAAAAAAGGAAAGAAGAATGTCAAGCGAGGAAAAAAGAAGAAGAAAAAGCCCAAGATAGATGGTGGCAAAGAAAATGAAGGGCTAAAATCAAAACTTGATACAACCGCAAAGAAGTAAGTAATCAGCCTTTCTTTAATAGAAGTTTCTAAGTTTTTTATTTTAATAGGTTAAAGTGGAAACCCCTTCCTTTTCGCGAAGAAAAAGAAAAGTGCCCTTTGGTCGTTTTTGGCGATGGTGTCTTTGGTAAAGACATGGTCAAGTTGAAAAATCTTCGATGTGGGGTGGTAGGGAAACTGTTTCAGACACTGAGAAAACGCGAAGCTGCTGGTGCGTTGATCGTTTTAACGATTGACGAATTTAAAACATCTAAAACGTGCAGCTCGTGTTTTTATAGCAACTTGGGAGTGGTGAAAACAACGCATTTCAAAGGCAATTCCGTTCTTGCTTGCCAAAATTGTAACAAAGTTTGGCAGAGAGATGTAAATGCTGCCACAAATATGATGAAAATATCGAAGGCCGTTTGGATGGGAGAAGGAAGACCAGAACCATTTAAGCGAGAGAAAACCAATGCTTAAAAAATATTATAAATTTGGTAAGAGCCTTTTATAAGAGCATTAAAGTTATTCTTATTCAAATTTCTGCTGAAGTATCGCCGTAGCAAACACGGCTTTCTTTTCTTCGGAAAGGATGAAGATCACTACAGGTAAAAAGTCTAAACATAAATTTCTATTCGTCTAAAAACTAAATTTGTCTTGTCTAATTTCTTTTTTTACTTCGTCCAAAAAAAATTTAACATCGTCTGAATTTGAAGTAGAAATACTGTAATTCCATTCTTGTGTTTATTCTATAATTGTCTAGTTCCTCATGCTTGCTAATCATTTTCAGAAAACTAACTTGTTGAAAAGCAAACAAACTAAACCTTCTCTGTCTACATCCGAACCAAATGATTTTACAAAGAAGGAAATCTCATGGGAATAATAAAATACAATCCAATACAATCTTTTCTTGTGTAAAGTTTTAAACATTCCTTAAGCAAAAAGAAATCATACAGAATACAGCAGATGTTGGACAAAAAAATTTCCTGCGATTGCATTCGTTACCTGTGGAGCAAGTGGAGATACCATTGACTCCTCAAGCTCTTTGATCTTTTGCATGTTTCTTATTTTTATTTTTGGCTACATGGATGCCACATTTCCATTGTATATGGCATCTGTTGCATTTGAAGATATCACTTCCTCCCTAAAAATGTTTGCTTGCTTCGATTTACAGGCATGGCAGGAGCTGCATATTTCAAAAGTAAGTAACTCATTGACCATCATAATCAACAAGATAGCAGCAACTCCTTTACTTGTGAACGGTCCTAACAAGAAACCGATGGTACCATGACGCAGCTATTTCAGCCTTGACCTTTTTTTTGGCATATCATCGCCAAAAGCAATTGGTAATACCTTTTTTATGATCATGTCTAAATTAAGAAGAGATTCCGATACCCTAATCTATTAATGATACCCAGCTAGTAACCAATACCGCAGTAAGAGCTCGTTTTTCGTCCTTTCTTTTTCCTCTACAGAATTGCAATTAACTGATGGTTTGTACCAATAGAATCCTATGCTTTTCTTTAGCTGGGAGGATGGATTATGCCATTCCGAGAATATGAGAGCAATCACAAGATAAGACTCGGTATTTATTCTGGGAATAAACAAAGAAATATAATTCTATCAAAACAAACAAACAGACCTTTCCAACTAATTGTTTTGAAAGGCAAAAAGCTCCGAAAGATATTTTGCTTCAGGCGCTTATTTTTATGAGCATCAATCAACTTTTCAGGTATTGGTAACCATTGCATTACAAAACTTATTTTATGCAATGACAGTTGACAATATTATTGAAGTAAAAAAAAATTGGCATTTTTATCTCTGATACCAACAGAAATTCATAAAAAAAAGAGAGAGAGAGGCTACATACGTTTTGATAGAAGCATATTGTTCCATTAAATACAGTCAATTAATGTTGTAAACCAATGCTTCATTCTGCATAGCAAAAATATGTTTGTTAATATTTATTGATATATGTTTGTAATATAGTAGCTTTTCGAGATGATCAAGAAAATTCTATAAGAGAAGATTCATGTTAATCAAATAAGCATTTCTTTTCTATTCTTACATGTATCATCTGACATGTAGCAGGTTTCGCTTCTTATCAACAACCATTTTCTTATTGAAACGTTGTCTTGTAATAATACCTAAGCTATTTGTGTTGGAATTATATGTCTTGTTCATTCTTGTATGCCTTAAGATGAATGTCAATTGCTTAATACTATAAATTCAGGCTTTGAGCCTAAAGAGGCTAAAAGCGATGATCGCAATTCGAAAAGAGTATTTATTGCCATTACTGGTTAATTAAGATGAAGATCACTTTTATGGGTATGAATCACATATTGCAATACCGTAGTTCAGCCACTCTCGCCACCTTTTTTTTTTTCTTTTTGTAGACAGTCTTGTACTTCAGGTGTGCATGGAAGCACACAAATACATTTACATAGATATATGCATACAAGTTATAAATGCTGTTTCAAGAGAGATGCTGAGAATCGATTATAAAATTATTTCTCGGCGTTTGTAACACATCACAAACTACCTTTTTTTTTTTTTACCTTTCTTTGTTGTTGTACATACATATACCTCTTCTTTTTAATACACTATGCCAAGTGGTGGAGAGAGCTTTTATGCTGTGATAGTAATTTGTCTAGTGATACTCTTTTCACTTTCAGCGTGTCTTGGGTTTCGACTGATAAAACGAATGAAAAATAGAAACCTAGCTTCTCATCAACAGCTTTCCTCATCAACACAAGAAAATGAATGGCAGCCTCTTAGATCAGTAGCAACAGCTTTAGATACCATTGATGAACAAACTTTACAAGCTATTCTAAGTAAGAAAATCTCTAAAGACGTTTACATTTAACGAGAAATAAAATAGAATGGCAGTCTAAATACCCACCTAACACAACACAATATATGGATGTAACAAAGTTTCCAGAAGTGATAGACAAAGGCGTACATGCATGGAAATTTGTCGAAACAGAAACAACTACTAATTCAGAAGAAGAAAGTAATGCAGCCATCATGGACGATGATTTTACCAATATTGTCTTTTGTCAGGGACAGGGCAGTATTACCACAAATTTTCCAGTGCCTACACAGGAATTTAGTTATTGGGAAGTCAAAGTATTGCAATTGAATGATCAAGACAGATTAGCGATAGGGCTTGCTACAAAACCATACCCAAGATGGAGAATACCAGGTAAAGACTGAATGCATCAATAAATAGAATATTAACTATCACATTAGGATGGCATAGGCACTCAATTGCTTATCATTCAAATACAGGAAGCATTTTTGCAAGTGATCCGGTTTTTGGCAGACCTTATGGACCTTGCATTAAAGAAGGAGATGTTATTGGCGTTGGCTATCTCTGTCATAGTGGCACTGTCTTTTTTACCAGGAATGGTCAGAATTTAGGTAAGGCCTCCATTGGCTTCAAATACCCTGTATATCCTATTATCGGCTCCATTGGTCCTTGTAATGTTTCTGTCAATTTTGGCTATGAAGATTTCTTGTTTTCTGCGGGTAAGAACTATTTTTTGTTGTACATTTTGCTCATTTTTTTATAGCTAATCATAGAGAAGCCGCATTTGCACCTAGACAAGGTTCATTACTTCCTCCCCCTGCTTATGGTGGGCACACAGACGATTTATTGTTCAGCGAAGATCAACAAAATTCATTAATACAACCAAACAACAATGAAGGAGAACTTCTAACTTATGTTGATCGCTCATTACAAGCTCCTCCTCCTTCTTATTCATAGTTTTTTTTTATTGTTATTATTTGCATTAAACAGTATTTATTGATAGAATTAAAAATATTATATACAAAAAAATAATCTAAATATTAGTGAACGATTTAGCAATATGAAAGACGCGATTGACTGAATCGTTGATGTTTTGATGATCAAGTTCAAGGTCGTTTCTAAACTCCCATTCTTTGCGTAAACTAGTCAGGTTCAAATCTTGTTCTACTTCTAATTGAAGACGCTCTGGTATTTTGTATAAATGATACACCATTTGATTGACAACAAGTTGAAATAAGGAAGCAATTTTCAAAAGTGGAACAATAATCTGCTCTATATTCTTATTACCAGCCTGATAACTTTGAGTAACAAACGTATGGATCCATTGCAGATTAGCATAGTCATTGCTAAGAATTGCCAGATTCGTATCAGTCTGAGGTCTCCAATCATTAGGTGGTTTGAAATGATGCAAAAGTTCTATTTCATTTGATGTAAGACGCCATTCACAGTTTCTTATGCGTTCCATAAATTGTTGTCCCTGATCTAGATGACGAATAAAGGTATAGAGCCAATTACGTGTAACAGTAATGCCTTGAACGAACATAGAAATATGTTGCATGAATTCTATTGAAGGTGGAGGAGCAAAAGGAATATATGCCATCAATCTACCAAAGAAGCGCATGCGACCCTGTTGATCATAACAGCAATGAATTTTGATAAAGAATTGAATCAAAGTACTGTTTAAAAGGCCACAAAAGTAGTTTGCGTCCTGCCACTGGTAATTGGGCTTGATAGTGAAATAGATACATTGGTTTGTAACAGCCATTTTTGATGTATCAACAAAAAAACGAGATCGAGGTTGAGAGCGAGTAAAATAACCACAATTGATAGGGTGGACAATTTTGACAGGCACATTGGTGCCACACTTATTGTATTGACAAAAAGCAAGTTCAGCTGTAGTCTTGTCTGGCTGTAAAGCAATTCGAGCTTCTTTCAAGTAGTAATAAAGTGCTGCTGATTCTGACTTGGCACCATGTTTGTCATGATCTAACTTCAATGTGTCAGCGTCTTCTTTGTTTACTGTAATAAGGGAGTAAAACGGAAGTGTTGGATTTTCGGGATCGATATTGCAATAGGGCCAATAAGCTTCAGCGGCCGAATTCTCTTTTTTAGCTAGTCGTAAAGGATCTCTTGTTCTCCAAAATTCGCCTTCTTTCCCCCCTGCTGTAGTTGAAGAGATCGTTTTGCCATTCCAATAGAAACAAGGCCTAAGCCATCGAATGTAAGTGGCTACACCAAATGTTTTGATTGCCCATGATGTCCTGACAACAAGAGAATAAACTGGATTTGTATTGGGTCCTCTATTCCAAACAAGAGGTACATCTTGTGAAGTTGATTCTGGACGATATATTTCGCCATCGCAAAGACGAGGTAAATGTTGTGTTATACTGTTGAGTTCTTCTAAACAAGATGCATTGGGTAATATAAAAGCAAAAGATGCATGTTTAGATGTAAGGATACGATTCGATTCATTCAAGAATGTTTGTTTGCATTTAAGATCATTGTCTAACCCTTGAGTGATGTCAAAGTGATTATAGACATGTAAAAGTTCATGAAGAGAGATTTTTCTTGATGTGTGTCTTAGGTACAATGTGAAATCAGTACCTAATAATGTTGTATTGCGTTTACAAACACGAAAAATGAGAGAATCTGTCTGCACTTTGGGCCACACTTTGTAAGGTTCAAATTCGTACATGTCTAACAATTTACAGTTGTCCCAAATCCATTCCCTAATAATCAATTATAATGTGCCAAAAAAAAAAAAAAAAAAAAGGAGTAGCTTACCTTAAATGCTGAGCAAACTCAAGTACAGTCCATTGACTAGGTGTGATCAAACAAACTTGGCCCTTTTGATCGTCACATCGCTGAAGGGCAATCCACATAAAGTAAAGATATGCTTGCGAACCTCTTCCGCCTAACTTGGTTTCGTCGTAAATAGCTGGATCAGGTTGAGTAATAAACCCCGTCTTCCTAATCATATAAGGCGGATTCGTGACGATATAATCAAACTTCAGTTGAGAAGCATCACGTAATAGATCTAAACAATTCTGCTCAAACAAATCCACTTGACTGGTGTTCGTATCCCAGAAAGGGTTAGTGTCGACGCGCATTTTTAAACTATCGTTGCAGAACAATCGAAGGCGTTGAATACTTGCAGGTTCTAATTTAACTCCAAGTTCTTTAAGACGCTCATAGAGAGGAAATAATTGGACCATGGTATTGATTTTGCAGAGCTGATAAGCAAACGGATCAAGCTCAATGCCCCACACATGATTAGGTATATCTTGTGTGATCAACGACTTTAACCGGTCTGGATCGTTCCAAACAATAGAAAATCGGCACGCTTTGATAAACCGTGTCAAGAATTCACACAGAAATGATCCCATGCCTAAACATGGATCAAACACGCGAGGCATTTGATCTCTTTGAAGGTATTGAACTAGGGTAGGCATCGAGGCACATTTATCCCACATGAATTGAATGACAGATTGAGGTGTATAATATTGGCCATGATCTTTTTGATGCTTTTGTGCCGCTGCTTCTAAAAAATAAAGCGTATAAAATTTCGAAAAAATAGAATCAATATGTTTTAAGATAAAGGCCTGATCAATATTGACTGAGATCTGTTTAAGAATTTCCATTGTGTCTTGAGAGCAATGAAGTGCATAAAACCAAAGAAATGGTTGGTTTTCTAGATTGAGAAGCGAATCATGTTGAGAAAAAAGCTGTATAAAATGCTGAAAGTCTTGTTGAAGTACATTTTCTATGAAACAAAGATAAACTGTCATAAATCCTGTCATGAGACAGTACACTTCCTCTTCTTGTACATTCATTCTACGCAGCAGAAACGTGACAGCGGGAGAAGGTACATGCGATTCTGTAAATATTTCAATAACAATGCTCCTTGCGCTTTTTTTTTTGTTTGGTACATTTAATAACCTTTTTTTTCCATAATTTCTTCCTTAACCTTGCCAAGCGCCCAACCTAATATAGACACAATTTTGTTCAGTTGAGATTCAACGTCAGGTTGCTCATGGCGACGTTTGTTGTCAGTGTATGTTCTCGGCACAGGAGAAGGAGGTGTAGACTCGAACTGTAATTCGATATGAATCGTCATTCTAGAAGAGTAAAAAAAAACAAGAAGAAAAAGGCAAAATGGAATATTTTTTTTTCGACTAGAATAAATAAACTTCCTTTTTTTGTTTTCTGGCTGACCAACCAAGCGGTCAATCGGAGGAAACAGTGACTTGCATTGTTTGTTGTCATTTAGGTTACTCAAGAAAAAAAATGCGAGCTCAGTAGAGATCAAGAGGAAAGAAATGAAAAATGCAATAAAACCAGGGCATGGCGTAGATCACTTATTACATAATACAACTATTTATGTATGCATATTTTATTTTCATAGAGGGGTTTTGCATGAATATAAGGGTAACACAGAAAAGGAAATGCTAAATACACAGTAAATAAAAGCTTCTGCTTCTTTGAAGCCTTTTTCTGAGCTTCTATGAAAGCCAAAACCAAGAGAAAGAAAGAAAATTAAGACTAAGACAAAAGAATCTATAGTTTTTCGAATCGTTATAGCAGACAGAGAATAACTGGGAGTATCACAAACATTCAGAAGACTTGTGCTATCAAAATGGAGACTATAATTTTTTAAGAGCCTATAATAGCGTATCTGATGCTGAAATCAAAGATAATGGAGCAATAGTTTCTGTGAATAGTTTGATGAATGAAATAAGTATTGCTAAAGTCAAGAGTCTTTTTTGACGTCCATTAACAACACAAAAACATTCAAAAGAATTTTTGTTACGGTTTTTCGCGAAGAAAATAAAAAATAGGAAATTCAACAAATCCCCTTTTAATTCTACTTGTTCTTAAGAATGAGAATATGCCTAAAGATATGACAAACAAAGAATACTTTTTATGTTTATAGAAGACAGAGTTTAAGATTTCGACTTAAATATCAAAGGTCATGTTCAACTTAAAAGGTTTCGAGAGCCATAGAAACATAATATGCACACTTATGTTTATATGAATAATGAGCTTAACACATCTCAAATATGTTTCTTTTACAAAGATCAGACATCTTTTAAAATTACCGAAAAAAAAATGATAGAGGCGCAAGCGTCAAAGTAATCAATAATACATGTACTTATAATAAGATTAAATGCAGCATCACATTTCACAAGCCAATGGACCCTTTATCAGCTCTTATCATTAGTATCTGTTGTGTATAAGGACTGATTGACAGCATCTTCATTGGTATATTTGATTCTACCATCTCATCTTCTAACAATTTAAGAGGGTCATCTTCACTATCTCCATCCACTTTTCTGGATTTATCTGACTAGTAGCTGGCGTCTGTTATTTGATATCTGCCATGATACTTTTCTAAAACTAAGACCAACTTATCTAAAGCTGATTGAGTCTGCTTTGAGGGTAGTTAATGCCATGGTACGTATGAGCTATACCTTGTGCATATTGGGCTGAGTGTTTTAACAGAATAGACTTTGGATGGCATTTCATGAAACATAACAACTCTCGGGTAGTTTCTAGCTCTTAAAGCTTGGTACTTAAAAGTTGTTTGTACACATTTTGGTATGCTAGAGCATGCAAATGGTATCGTGTCTTTTGAGCCAAAAGTATCTTTGTCATAGAAAAAGCGAGCAACTGAATTGAAACTGCAAACATATGGTAGCTTGCATCATGCTTAGTGTATATCATGCATCATAAAGTTAAAGTATATTTCTATCATTTTGATATTTTTGACAAGCACATATTCTCTTTAATCTAAGGTGACAAGTGTCTTTTCAATAAGCTATCTTCGTTTAAATAAGCAATCTGATAGTGTATTAACTATCTATGTGAGATACACTAGACAGACAGCTGCTTCAATTGTAAAAAGATAACACTTTATACAAATCTTTGTCTCTTTCTTAGACACATAAATGTAGCATAAAGCCTATGTACACACGCATAAATGCTCAAAATACCCATGAACCATGTTTACTAACACATAGGGTACTTTTGGAGTAGATATGGGTCAAAAAATCGACTTGTAGAAAGTGACCAAAAATCTCTCAATCCAAAAGGCACTGTTCATGAAAATCATCAAACTGACAACTTCTAATCTTCTTTTTTTTTTGGTTTAGTATATTTCGTTTTATTTTATTAACTTTCATTTTAATTACACCTGCCTCTTCACTTTGACTATTACTCTTAGTGTACGCGGCTCAATCAATAAACACATTTAAAAGAAAATCTTCTTTTTAATGCCAAACAACGAAGAATAGAGATATCCACAAGCTTAAATACTAAAAATGTGCGTCAAAGGCTCTAGTTTTTGATTAATGTGTTTGCTTAACAGTTATGCTATAAAGTAATGGTATATGAGCAAAAAACCTCTTAAACAGTTTTGCCTATTTGCTCAATATTTTAGTAGCAACGCTGTTGCTTTCTTTATATCAACAGACTCAAAATGCAGAGTTCTACAACTTTTTTTTGTACGCCAAAGCCAAATATCTTCGTCTTTATGCAGTTTTCAGCAAAAGCAAAAGCTCCATTTTTCATGCGGCTGGAGGAAGAGCTGGAGTTGCCTTACATTTTCAATCTCCGTACATTGCCATCCAGTATGCTCTATGTCCATTTTCCCAACATCATGACTCTTCCCAACTCTCAACACTTTCAGTCGGTTGCGAGGATTGAAAAATCTCCAAAACTAAAAGCCACCCAACAACTAAGATCATATGCTAGTGTAACAGCTAGAACTCGAGTATCACTCATGCACCAAGGCATCGTTGAAGCTGAAAAAGATGCAGACTCACCTTTGCGGGAATTTCAGTCGAGAATTTATCGAGTAGCTAGCCATGAGGATGCTTCTTACTCGACATTACTCCAGTTAAGAAAGAATACACTGATCTCCAGTGTATACAGGAAATCAGCGCTCAACACCCAAAGATCTACGCTTGCTCCATCTTGAGAGATGGTCCAACTCAGTACTTGGAATTGTATATCGAAAAAGATGATGATGACAATGATCTTATGGAGCATGGTGTTGTCTTTAAAAAGTCAAAATTGCGAATTTTCCCTTGCAAGGCCGCAGATGCCACACTCCGATTTGTTACTGTGAAATTGTCCCAATTACCTTTACGTCCCAAAAGGATAGTTCTTGAGGGCGTGCAACAGAGTTTAGCTCCATTTGGAAAGGTAATTGATGTAGGAATCAATACAGAAACCACCACCGGATGGTTTATGGGCGCAGGATATGCCGTCATTGGTATTCCTTCTGGTCCCTCAGAATCAACAGACAACCTCAAGTATCAGCCTTTGGAGCATAATATTCGTTGGTCCGAAAGCGAAAACTAAATATTCCACACAACCTGGAACAACATGCCCACTTGGTGTAGGTATTGCCACCAAACTGGACACACAAAATTTGAATGTGAGAAGTCGAAAGCTAGAATTATATGTTATGCGTGCCATCAATTAGGACACCGCTCGTTTGAATGTCCTAGGAAACAGTCTATGACACCCAGCAAGCGTTCAAAGAGAGAAAGATCAGTTCTTGGAAAGGCCACTCAACCAAGAAAAGAAGCATCCAAGCCTGAAGGGCAAAGCAGTATTGAAGTCAAAAGTAGCAACTTTGGCCAGACAGAGATCAATGTCGACAAAGATAATGATAATGATACTAGCGATAGTGATAACGATACTAGCGATAGTGATAACGATACTAGCGATAGTGATTACAATCCTTCAGAGAAAGAGAGCATGGAAGAAGATGAATCTGAAATAGAAAGTGGAGACGAGGATATAGACATGATGGAGATTGAAGTCCTCTATAAGGATACCAAGATGTACAGCGTCAGCCAACAATTAAAAGATCACCTCGTTATGAAGAAAGGAGAAAGAAGTAATGGATCAAATTTGAACCAACAATTGGACACGAAGAAATCTACAACACCATCTTCTGCCTCTGACAATCAGAGGGTAGAGAGTCACCCTTTATAGATCCGCATCAATGAATAAGAAAAATATCCTGTGCCACTATGCCTCACTAAACGCCAATAGTTTAGTGAAAATAAACTCCAAAAAAATACAAAAAGAATATATACGATACCTTCGAATGCAGAATTTCTCTATATTATGCTTTCAAGAAACTCATGCTTCCACTCCTTCAACTATAGATAACCTCAACATCCTCTTTCAACCTACACAGTCCCATTGGACCAGTCATGTGGGCATACTCTCCTTCTCTACCGATTACAACATCTCTATCATCGACACTTCCTCATCCTTTACTTCCGATCGATTTCAACTATGCATGGTTGAACATCCACATCATTTCTATGAACCTTTCTTTGTTCTGAACGTCTATGCACCGGCAGGCCTTGCTGCAAAACGTCGAACATTCTTTAGCAATCTAACACAAATGCTCCATGATTTTCGATCAGTTATCTCTTTTGACAGACTGATTATTTCAGGAGATTTTAATTACTCAGTCCTCAGCCGCCACTATAATTCGTCTTCAACATCAACGCAATGGTTAGCCCTCTTGCAAGCAAATTTCCAAAATGCTTTGGCTATCAATGGCCTTCACGAAGTTCCCACCTTTCAACGCACCGTCCCAAGTGAATTAGTGATGACTGTCATAGACTATATATACTTGGGTAAAATTTTGTACCAATGCGCATCAGAATCATCTATTACCAGATTAGGAGCGAAATGGTCAGACCATTCCATATTACACACATCCTTACTCCTGGGCCAATCCCAGTTTGGTCATGGACTATGGCGTGCCAATCCAGTGTATGCTTCCCACCCTAAGCTACAAAATACATTAGAGAGGAATATACAACATTTGGTTCAAGGATTTGATGAGAATATATCGCCCCAAGAAAAATGGGATGAAGTAAAACACAAAGCCAAGTCAATCATTAGAGGATATTCAGTGGATTATGTTGATTGGCGTACTAAGAGAATTCGTGCTTTAGAAAAGGAACGCAATCGTTTACTAAACACAAAGCCTCCTTCAGACGTTCAGCGCTTGGTAATTCCACCTATTGACAATGAGCTACAGATACTACAACAAGAGCTGGCTGAAATAGCTATTCTAAAGGCTGGTCTTCGCTGGCAAGAGAACGGTGAGTGCAATGCTGGGTACTTGGAAAAAATACATCAGAGTCGAACAGTCCAACAATATATGTCTGGCTTCAAGGATAACAATTCCGAAACACCAATAATTGTACATACCACCAAATCGACAATGCAGAATATTGTACAACGGTTTTATAAAGACCTATATGCGATTGATGCAGTACCTATGAATCAGGATGAAGCAAATCTGCTCCAAATGGAATTTGATTGGGAGGATATTGTCAGAATGACAAAGCGTAGCCCAAAACAAAGTAGCCCAGGTAGTGATGGACTAGGGTATATATGCCTTCAACTCTTGTTTGGTTTTCCTTGTTTGAAGCCCCTGATACTCCAGGTATACAATGATGCCATGATAAAAGGAATTTTCCCTCAGTCATGGAAGGAAACCAGAGTGCGCTTGCTACCCAAGAAAGGTGATTTGTCCGAATTAAAAAAATTGGAGACCAATTTCATTGATCAACTGTGATGGTAAAATTTTTACAAGGCTCATTACCCAATGTCTAGCTCCTATAATGAATCGAATTATCAACCCGCTTCAAAAGGGCTTTATCCAAGGACGTTTTATTGGCGAAAATGGGATTTACGTCCACTTGGTTCTACAACAAGCAAGATATGAACATCATCAAGGTGTAGGTTTGCTTCTCGACCAGGAGAAAGCCTATAATCGAGTATTACCAACATATCTTCAACAAGCTCTTGTGTCCCTAGGCTTCCCTACCTTATTTATACAGAGTATTTATAATTTTTTCTTTGATAACTCAATAGCAATCAATGTCAACGGATCCTTTACGGAACCAGTGCATCAGCAACGTGGGTTGAGGCAGGGCGATCCTTTGTCCCCTTTATTGTTCAACATCGCTTTGGAGCCGCTGATTCTTTCAATCCAGCAAGACCCCACATACCAAGGATATGTCCCGACAATGAGCACTACGTTTCAACAGATCAAGTACATCGCATATGCTGATGATATCTGTGTGTTTGTCAAGGATGCCGCTGATTTTATGCGCCTCCAACATCACTTGACTAAGTATAGTACTATATCAAATGCAAGGTTTAACAAGCACAAGGCGGAAACTTTCTCACTGAGTGGGGTCAAGTCAGAATCTTGGGAATCATTGCTTTTGAGTCATGATATCGAAACATACTACCACCATCATTCCCCTTCTGCTTTTCGATGCCTTGGCTTTTATATGCCATACACAAATTCTCAACAGAATCGTGTCCAGGATATCCTATTGGAAAAAGTACGTACACGGGTTCATGGTTATTCTCAGCGTCACCTCTCGCTTCAAGGAAGAGCTACCGTTGCCAACACTTTGATTTTATCCAAAATTTGGTACTGCTTGCGGTTGTTTGCGCCTACTAAGCGATTTCTGAATGAACTTCGTTCGATTATCTATGCTTACGTGTGGCAAAAGAAGTTTCCTTATGTTTCTTTTGACCAGTTATGTCTCCCTAAGAATCAAGGTGGCGTAGGAGCTCTCAACCCTATCACACAATACTTGGTGCTGCAGATGAGATGGGTCTTTACTCTGTTTAATTCGTCTAATCTAACTACTCAGCTCCGAGTTCTTATGACAGAACACTTTGGCATCATGTCTCCGGATGCTGACAATACATTGCTACCCTTTTTCTTTATAACTCTTCGCCTTCATGACCTTTGTCATCCCACTTTAGTTGTCAATGGTATTTATGCTGCCTTTGATCACTTTGGTATCGATTTCAAACTTGATAGTGTTCCTCTAGCCAACTTGCTTTACTTTCCGCTGATTAACATGTTTCAAGAGGCACCTCAGAACCACTGCTTCATCGATATTCAAAAGCACCAGTATCTCTTTTCTTCTTTTTTGACAAACAGAGTAACCGGTTACGCCTGAAGGTTCGCCATGAATATGGGACATTGCCAGAATTGTGCCATCAGCTCTTTGTAGACGTTCTTCGCAGACAAACAGTAAAACTTCAACCTTTCCTGTGGTAATATATTACACAAGGTGTGACACCATCTACTGTCTCTGTCTATGATGCTTTGGCTAAGCAATTAACTGACACAAGATTGTGGCGCTTTTTCTCTCCTAGGGATTTCTGCCTGCATCCTTATGACGACAAAGCTAGATCCCAAATAAAGGCTTCTCGAGCCTCGCTCTCTCTGTTTTGGAGGACTCCAATGCTCCCTCAGGCTAGAACACTGTGGTATCGTGTGCTTCACAAGAAACTGCCCACTGCGGCCGAACTTTTCAAGATTGGTACTGTCTCTACTCCTGTCTGTCGGCTGTGCAAATCACAACCGGAATCGCATGATCATTTCATAGCCCACTGCTCTACCAAGTGGAGTGTTTGGTTGGAAATACTAAACTGCTACTACCCTTTGGTATACTTTACTCCTTCCTCCCTCCACAAGATCCTCACTCTTCAAGCCTTTTCCTCTGCCATTAAAAACCTCTCCAAGCTTGTATTCATCGTTGCAATAGCTCAATGGAATATCTGGGAATCCTATTGGAACCTGATTCTCAACCAGGTTGCTTTTGAACATTCTTGTATCATTTCAGATACAATTTACCAGGTAGCCTTAGCTACAAAAGATCACTCCTTGCTAAAATAGCCCTGATCATTGTATGATCTTTACTTTGTCTTTCTTTACTCTTGTTTTTCTACTTCCTACCTCTCTGCAATGTGTGACTAATCAATAATATTGTAACTACAAAAAAAAAAAAAAAAAAAAAAAAAAAAAAAAAAAAAACTAATTGACTTATCCATATAGTCTTGATATACAGTTAAACTTTGCTTTGATTGATATACAATAGCAGTCTGCTACCGAAATATCTTGAACAACGCACACTGTATATTTAGATTATATTTGTAGACTGTGTCTCATGTGCTATACAAAAAAAAATTATTTATTAAAGGTATATGGACAGAGTCTTTTTCTGTCTTTGTCAGCTCTCTTTATCAAATGCTTCAGTGTTTCGTACGTTAAACCTTCTTTCTTCTTTCGACAAACAGACTCTTCTTCTTCTTTCTTTTGACATTCTTTCAATAGGCTTCTCATGGGCACAAGATCTTCAACTGTTATGATAAAAGATCTCATGTCTTTTAACGAGCTAGGCATTCTGATTGAGCAAATCTCGGACATAACGTACATACCTTCTTTAAATAGAGACGTAACATAAAAAGTCATTTGGAATCCTTTTTCATGCTGAATTAGTTTGCACAATTCTTGAATTTTTCTTTTAGTGGCTTACCAACTATCTGTACATTCATGATGCCTTTATTATTATACTTGTCAATAGCCTCTTTGCTCATCATTGCCAATCGGATAAGATCTATTGCTGCCATAAATTTGTCGTCCATCTTATCTTCTCCTTTTACTTCGCCAATACACGAAAGGTCTTTATATACGGTGTTGATAAGGTTCCTTCGAACAAAGTCTGGCCTTTCTGAATGTCCTTTTTGCAGTATATTGTTTGACCTAATTTAAAAGAAAACGAGTACTCAGTAAGGTATTAATTTGGGTTATCAAAGTAATTTCAATACCAAATTAAAAGAGCATCATTTGATGGATCGTCTAAGAATGGTCGCAGAATAGCGTCAGAGTATGTAGAAGATAATTGGCTTTCTTTTGTCACACAGCTTAATTTCTGATGAGGAAGTCTCTCAATTCTATGTTTCTGTAGATTAATCTTTGATAGGTCTTTGTTTTAATGAGGCTTACAAGTTGCGGAAAACACATATCGCATCATCAACACCTGTATCCATTTGATCTGAACAACTAGACATGATCATGTAGCCTGCTTTTCTTGGGCTAATTGTCTTGTTTGATGCCTCCTAATATACATTTCATGAATGTGAATTTGATTGTCTAATCTTTTTCCAAACCTTTAGCACAGCTCGCATTTCAAGCTCAACCTCGATAGGCAAGCTGCCAGGACTCATATTGATTTTTTGTGCAAGTTCTTGTTGGATTCGACCAAGAGCCTCTTTGCTTATGAATCTCACCAAGTCAGGAGAGTATTGGTTTTCTTTCAATAGTAAGATGTGAGCTTGCGATCTATTATAATAAACCTCTGATCAGTATATATATATATGTATAAAAGAAGAGTAAATCTACTAATTACAATATTTTTTGAATATCACTTTCAAATTGAATCTTGTCATTATGGATATGCTTAAATGAATCAATCTTGTAGTTTTTCCATTGATTTAGTATATCGACATCATCTACAATATATGTTTCTTGTATTTCATTATCCAGGTTGTACAAATCATCTACTTTAAAGAAAAAGAAAGATTAAAAGAACTTGGCATTATGGCATTTACCTGCATCATGTACAGCTTTTCTTTTTCCCTAAACAGTATAGATTAGAGTAGGATATATTTCCAAGTTATAATATGATTACCTTCTTGTCATTGAGTGATATGTCTCCAGTGCAGATGTTTGAACTGATGATAGTAGAGTTCGAGATGCTAATTGTTGGTTTCTGTCGATTTACTAAGGCCCCCAAATCTTCATTTTGGTACTAAATCAAACAAAATAAAAGACTTTTTAACAACAAAAAACACGTACACACAGATACATACTTTCTTGTTCATCAGGGCTTGAACGTATGATTTTAAGCTAGCATCCATTGGTTGTTTTTTTCGCAGTGATTCTAAGCTGTCCTTGTATTCAGCCAATCTTGCATTAATTTTTTTTAACGAAGAGAAGTCTTTCCAAGTCAAAAAATCTTCAAAGGTCCACTTATCAGCCGAGTGTGTCTCGAAAAATGCTTTGTTTCTTATAGAAGAAGAAACTTTGAATGTTTGGCCGATAAACTTCTTTGGGCATAACATAAAGAAAAGAAAAGTTTTTTTTCAGGTCAGAACAAAAGCCTTGAAGTGTAATCGAGCGAAATGGTCTGGCTATTCATTACTGTCAACTTAAAACACATCAAAATGGTTTGTTTATTGTTTCATATAAGTTGTCTAGATAATCCAATTTCTCCTTATTTTTTATTCGACCAATGATATCAAATAAATGACGCAACATATCATCATCATGGATACATAGTGAAAATCCCTCTAAACGCATTTGAATCATCAATTCTTTGCCCTTCTTTTAAACATCTAAATAGTTGGAGTGTAGTTTGGTGGAGATACATAGACTGACACGGATAGAAGCAGCTTTGAATGAATATGGATATCATTGGTCGAATGAAAAATAAGGAGAAGTTGGATTATCTAAACAACTTGTATGAAACAATAAACAAACCATTTTGATGTGTTTTAAGTTGACAGTAATATGTCTTTGATAAATATAGCACATGAGACACAGTCTACAAATATAATCTAAATATACAGTGTGCGTTGTTCAAGATATTTCGGTAGCAGACTGCTATTGTATATCAATCAAAGCAAAGTTTAACTGTATATCAAGACTATATGGATAAGTCAATTAGTGTCTTTATGTCCTTGAATAGCATACATCAAATGAAGTATTTAACCATAGAATGCACTGAATAATGTGATAATTAATTCTTTAGAACTAAGGTATTCTTGCTTTATTTTGAACTATTCATATTATTTCAAGAAAAAAAAAGAAACTCCCGTAATAAAGGCAAACAGGCAGGCAAAAAGAAGGTTATCAAAGGGGCACTTTATTGAAGTCATTTGAACACACATTGCTCCGTAGTTCTTTAAAAGTTGCAGAAAGGCTTGAGACAAATTCACTCCCAACGAGTTTTAATCAAATTTTATTTACCAACTAAGAAAGATAATTCTAGAATTGAGTAAGAGATACTAACCAAGATGTTGGTATTGTAAGATAGTTATAGTGATAATTGATAAAAGAGATAAAATTTGTAAAAGGTAAAAGTAAGAGGCTGTTGTTTGTTACATGAGGATGATCACAAGAGCTAATACATAAAACACAAAACACAAGACACACGCAGAAACAGGTTTTGAGTAAATTGAACTCAGCACAGAACAGAATGACAATAAAACTGAGTCAGTGTCTTTTTTCTTTTTTTCTTTTTTTCTTTTTTTCTTTTTTTTCTTAATTGTGCTTAAAGATATTCCTAGTAAGAACGTGGGGCACCGGCGATAAAAAGGTGGAAAAGAGCAATCTTTGACCGAAGGCATTATTTCAAGGTCTCTGAATGTTTCAGCCTCATAGCCTACTGCTTGGGAGATTGGGGGCTTGCCTTGGCCACGACAAACCCTAACTGCTGTTGCGGTGAAACGGCATAGCATATGCGTTTCGTTGCCTTCAGATAGGCGCAAACAAGTATAGGCAGCTAGGAGTCGATCAAAACGAGAACAACGTGGGGCACCGGCGATAAAAAGGTGGAAAAGAGCAATCTTTGACCGAAGGCATCATTTCAAGGTCTCTGAATGTTTCAGCCTCATAGCTTACTGCTTGGGAGATTGGGGGCTTGCCTTGGCCACGACAAACCCTAACTGCTGTTGCGGTGAAACGGCATAGCATATGCGTTTCGTTGCCTTCAGATAGGCGCAAACAAGCATAAGCAGTTTTGATCTTAAGCAACACCTGCATTGATATCTCTAGTTAACTAAAAAGATAAGAATTTGAAAAAAAAACACAAAACGTAACCTCTTTACTTACATGTATTTTTGTTTTTCCTTAGCAAAATATTGATAATTCTACTTGCTTCTATCGAACAACACTATCATGCTCTCTTGTCTCCATCTTTTGGTCTTGAATTAACTGCAAAGTCTATATCTAAGTGCATTTGTCTGGTCGCTTTTACAAGATGCAAGTAAGAAAAGTCTCGTTGGGAGTGAATTTGTCTCAAGCCTTTCTGCAACTTTTAAAGAACTACGGAGCAATGTGTGTTCAAATGACTTCAATAAAGTGCCCCTTTGATAACCTTCTTTTTGCCTGCCTGTTTGCCTTTATTACGGGAGTTTCTTTTTTTTTCTTGAAATAATATGAATAGTTCAAAATAAAGCAAGAATACCTTAGTTCTAAAGAATTAATTATCACATTATTCAGTGCATTCTATGGTTAAATACTTCATTTGATGTATGCTATTCAAGGACATAAAGACACTAATTGACTTATCCATATAGTCTTGACATACAGTTAAACTTTGCTTTGATATACAATAGCAGTCTGCTACCGAAATATCTTGAACAACGCACACTGTATATTTAGATTATATTTGTAGACTGTGTCTCATGTGCTATATTTATCAAAGACATATTACTGTCAACTTAAAACACATCAAAATGGTTTGTTTATTGTTTCATACAAGTTGTTTAGATAATCCAACTTCTCCTTATTTTTCATTCGATCAATGATATCCATATTCATTCAAAACTTTTCAAATAAATGACGCAACATATCATCATCATGGATACATAGTGAAAATCCCTCTAAACGCATTTGAATCATCAATTCTTTGCCCTTCTTTTAAACATCTAAATAGTTGGAGTGTAGTTTGGTGGAGATACATAGACTGACATGGATAGATAAAGCAGTCGGAACAATCAGACACGTACACAGTGTATGTATTGAGTTATTCAGATCCCAGCATCTGACAGAGAATTCATGAACTCTCATACCAAACCGAATAAATGCCTCCATATCTTAATTCATGTCTTGAAATGACAGGCTAATACGATCTATGGTACTGCAAGTCAAGTTCTGAAATTTCTCAATAATATAGGACAATCTATTGACTTCCAGTAAACTACAGCTATGAACTTGTAGGTATTTCAGTTGAGTGTGTGGCTTGATATGACCCGCCAACATAGGTCTATAGAGGCAACTACTATCAATTGCACTGTAAATAACGAGTGTTGTCATGATCTGACAGTCATCCATGGTCGTGTTTAACTCTTCAAGTGTGAAACAACCATGCAAGTGTAACATTTCCAATGCTTTAAAATGCTTGAGTCTCTTTTTGAATGCTTCATAGACAGGAAACAAACTTCGAGGATCATCGTTAAACAGATAAAGTGAGCTGATACTGTTTGTGAGTGCATACATAACATGGACATACAACAATTCTGTTTCTTCTTCTGTCTTGCAGAGTTCTGGAAAGATATGGTCTCCTAAATATTTGACTTTTCTTAAGCATTTGATGTGATTTGCCTCTTCAATGATACAAGGCCAAATCAAACTACGGGCAAGCGTAGAGTAATAAATGAGTTCAAGATTAGGACAATAATGAAAAATAGACTTGACAATCGTAGCCAGTTGACCATCTAAATCGACTTCAACAAATTCATCTGAAAAAGTGATTTTCTTTACTAATTCGCCTGGACGATAGGGCAATGTAGCCAAAGCATTCACAAAGTCAATCACATTCGATGTGACTCTGAATTGTTTATAAAGGAAGCCATAGGTGTGTCTAAACCAAGTCTGACAGACAAGTCTAAACTGAATAAGATCAACATCCAAAATATCAATGATTTGTAACACTATTTCTAAAGGTAATTGAGCCCAAGACATAAGAAGGAAATACTGAAAGAAACCAGTTGATGTGTTTTATTAAACAAAGTGTTTCAAGGTTTACTTTAATCTTCTTGGATCATTTTGATAATCATCTAATGCTTCTCCTTCTTCTGCGTCTGAATAACTCTTTGACAAATGCTATTTAAATTTTTAGAAAAGAGTTTTTGACACTTGTCTTTATTTACCTTTCGTCTTTTCTTGTTTCTTTCTTCTTCTTCACTTTCATATTCTTTTCTACGACTACGTCTTTTGTTATGCATATCTTCATCTTCATCTTCTCGAATCATGCCTTCTTCCTCTTCCTCTTCATCTTCTTTCTTTTCCTATTGCATAAACATGAATTGGTGGCTTCATTTTCTTTTTCTCTCTCTCTCTCTTGTTTACCTTGAGTCGTTTCATGTATCTATCAAATACTTCTTGTCTGTATTCTTCTTCAAGTTCCTTGTATTCCTCTAGATGTTCAACGCGTGACTTCACTTGTTCCCAAGTCTCTTCTAGTTGAATAGGGGGAATGGCATGTTTAAGAGCATATCGAAATATGTCCAATTTTTTTCTGTGCTTCTTTTCTTGACGTCTTTTTTCATCCTTGATACGCTGTGCTGCTTTGGCCTGTAGATGTTCAAACACAAACCTCAGATTGTCTTGACTGACTTCGGTCTTGACTTGCTCATCTAATGCATTCAGATAGTCTTCAAAAGAGGATTCAAGGCCCACATCATAGTCTGATTTCTTAAGTGAATGGTAGACAAGTTTCTTTTGTTGATAGAGCTCTTCATCAAGAGCATCAATGACATCCCAAAACATGTCTAAAGGCGTTGAATCAGGCAAACCAACAGCAGACAAAAAGCGAGGATCATCCTTGATCACTGGGTAAATCTCTTTCCATAAAGTACGCACATTGATCTGACGACGCTCAACTAATTCCTGCAAGAGTTGTCTGAATCCTTCGCGGGCCTTTCTCTCTTTTCTTCTACGCTTAAAGATTTTGTTGTTCAATTCCTGCATGGGTTCTTCCCATAAGGTTCGATTGTATTCTTCAAACACAGACAAGAAATCAAGCATATCCATGCCTTCTAGACTGACATGCTCTTGTTTCTGTTTCTGTAGATACAAGGCCTGCGCTTCTTTCCATGATGTCTTGTAGGAGATTTCAGGGATCGATCTCAACAGCTTACTAAACTTGTCCATACTCTCCTTTCTCAGATCACGTAACCTGTCCTTTTCTTCTCTTTGTACTTGTTGAATAAACTCATCAAAATAGATTTCTCGTTGTCGATCAGGCACAGCTTGATAGGCGCTTAGATGACCACATAACTTGGCCAATGTACGGTACCGTGTATAGGATTTGATGTTGTCTTTTTGATGACGAAGCATACTAAAAAAGTTGTTTCTCTGGCGTGTTTCGCGATGTTCTTTCTCTTCTCGTTCCCGTTTGGCTTCTGCTTCTGCCCATCGATGAAAAGCTGCTTTTCGTTCGGCTGTTGTCTTTAGGGCACGGTACAGTGGATTCGTAATAATCGCTCGCATGGCTTGGTCCCAACTCCAATCCGATTTAACACCCTATCAGGTGAGTGTACGCGTCAAAGATACAATGGTCACTTACTGTTTCTTTTAATAGACCATGAAATGCTTTTTCTGCTTGTTCTCGAGAAGTAAATTCAGGCACAGTTGTTTGATCAATCAATTGACTTGTCATAGGCATAGGGGGTAAAGTAGGTACAATAGGACGTACGGGTGGTAGTGGTGTGGGTTGTTCTACGACACGACTGAAGAGCATTTGAGTATACAGTCTAAAGCCTAATGAACACTTACTTTTCTAAAGCTTCTTTTCTTGCTTTTTCAATCTGTTGTTTGAGTTCTGCTGGAATCTCCCATACAGTTTCTTTTGTTTTGACATTGCTATAGTATTTTTTGCCTTCAGGTGTGGTATATTCTTTCCATGCGGATGTCTTTAATACTCTTTCTTCTGGGGTTAATAACTCGTCTGGTTTCTCCCATGTACTTGCTCTTGTTGCAGTATTATACCAATACTTTTTGCCTTCAGGTGTTGTGTGTTCTTTCCAGACAGACTGATCAGGCACATGTCAGTTGAATCACTCTATCATTATGACTTACCATGGGTGGTGCACCCCAAGGAGCAGCAGCAGGAGTAGCAGCTGGCATAGGTGGAGTACCATACTAACAAATACAAGTAAGTAACAAGATAGACATATATCATTACTTTACAGGCGAATAGTTTCCTGGTGGTGGTGGTGGTCTATACATGATTAAAGAAGAAAAAAAAAAAGGGAATGGGACTGTTACACACTTTTTTTTTATTTTTATATTTTTTTGACTTCTTCAACAAACTCTTCAATTTTTTCAGCTGCTGTGGGTTGTAATGGATGTTCTGGTGTTTCTTTCCACATATTAGGCACTTTGATCTTAACAAAAGTAGGATACACTAATTTATCTATATACACATTTCTGAGCTTGGTTTGAATCAAGTCTCGTAATTTAGGTATATCTTCTAATTTTGTCTTGGATCCAATCAAGGATTGTACTTTAAGGTCTAATACAAAGTCTGAATAAGAAGAAATGGCAATATATCTCTCTAATGGGATTTCAGGTTGAGTTGTGGTTGCTGGAGGACTGATCAATTCAATTGTGAGCTATGGATATGAGTCACATATCTCAAGGTGGAGTCACTTACTGTGCCTGAAAAACGAACAACAGACAGGACAAGCGAAATGGGTAAAGCAGCAAATGCTTGAACAGGCCAATTCAAGATCAATTGTGTCTCTATACCCAATGTCGCTTGGTCATTATATTTGAAATCAATCTCTGCTCTCTATAGGAACTGTAAGCCAATCAATTGAATCGAACTAGACCCTACCATGGAATCTGCTTCATCGGATCTTCGGATCCTTGCATTACTGAAGATGGGAAACTCTTCACCCAGATTCAATTCAGTGACATGGATGTCACCCAAGAAATTAGGCTTGACGCCTCCATTCAATATCTCATCCACAGCCAACACAAGTCGGTCATTGAGTTTGGCATCCTCTCTATACTGTAAAATAGCCTGGGCTAATAAGACATTGAGCCAGTCTGTGCTTTCGGGGGGATGATGGAATAAATCATAGTAAGTTTTGGATGTGATATGATCTTTGGGTAATGGCATAGGTGTATTGAGTCGAGAAGGAGGTGTGCTGGATAATCGAGAAGGAATGTATCTCTGTAGAAATATGAGTAACAAAAGCATGCTTGATGGATTACCTTTTTAACGCGCTTCACATCTTCTGTAAATAAGTACCGTAAAACAAGAATCACAATCACAACCACACTCAACTGTCCAAGAATAAAACCACCTATAAATGAAAGTGTACTCTTTTTTGAACAAGTGATGTCTGTCAAGAATTCAACGAGATGAGGTGTTAATTCAGTTGTGCTCTCCATTCATATATATAAGAGAAAGAAAGAGAATTTCTTTTTTTTTTTCTCTTCTTTTTTTTTTCTTATACTAGCAACGAAACGGTTACCATGACATCACATTATGATACCCCTCAAGAAGCATCCGTTCATAGTACACCGCTATCACTCTCTAGTGCAGACTATGCACTCAAGGTCATATTTAGTCAATTTGAACATGTAGCCGATAATAAAATGGCACTCATCTTAAATATGGGTGTGGTAATGTGCTCTGTCTATCATCACCCTATTAAAAAAAAAAAAACTCAATGTAGGATGCCGATGTCGACCTTAAGAAACTATTAGGACGTGGTAGTGACGAGAACTTTGATAAGCTCATTTGTTCTCTCTCTTCTCTAGCAGTTACACAACAAAGTGCTGTGATTGATGCTGTTATGCGTTGGAGAAAGCTTAAAGTAGAACCCTTGGATCCAATGATTATTAAACGAGTGAGGTAAACTGTTATTTGATACTTATATCCATACTCATGGCAAGCAATAGTGATTCTGCTCCTTTGTCTCGAAGTAGAGAAATCCAATCTGTACTGAAAGAAAGACAATCGGTATAATAATAGTGTCTATGTTTCGCCTTATTGACATATCAACATAGCTTGCTTCTGTATTTATATTATGTAGAACACTTATCGAAATCATCAAACGACTTACACCTGGCTCATTACCCGATGATCTCGGTGAAAACCTTGAAGAAATCGTCTTCAATCAACTCAAAAAAGCAGATCCGTAAGCCATTCTATCCCTAATATGCGCAATTCACTCATTTTATTAGTGATGCTATCAAGAGATCAAAAAATAGAACGGCCAGTATGGACTTATTTGCAGAATTGATTGGCGAATTATCCAACATTCGATTTGCTTCTGTCAGTGATCGATTTATTGCCGAACTAGAGAAATACAACAGCCAGACAATCATGAAAGAACGACAAGGACATATGGAAATGCTCATCAAAGGCATGCGATATCTAAAGATCAAGATTTACCCTGTAGACGCATTAGAGGAAACAGCAGATTTTTTGTCGAGTTGTGCCAGTTTCTTTAAGAATGCGCATGGTGCTAAAGTCAAACATACTTATGCTAGACTATTCACTCAACTATTGTTGCCTATTGCTGAAGTCGCTGTAGCAGAAGTCAATTTCCCTTCTTGGGCAAAAGCAGTGGATCTTATGTACCCCCGCGCATTAAAAATGACACTCAAGCCAAGGCATGTCTTGGCAGGCTATCCTCTTGTCACAACCTTATTATGTGTCAGTCGAAAAGAGTTCTTTTTGACCAATTGGATGTCTATACTCGAAAGTTGCTTTCAGAAATTCAATAAGGCAAGTCCATTGTGTGTGTATGTGTGTGTGTCTTCTATTTAACTTATATTATCTCAGGATAAATATACCCGTTCAATGGCATTAGGATGTGTGTCTCGTTTGACATGGACATACTTATTTCGATGCATTGAAAGTACACCCAACACATTCAAGAAACTAGACACAGTCATCAAGACTATCTTTCCACCTTTTAGACGCACAGTGTATCCCTCGGATACACCTTTGGATCATTTTATACTGATTACCTATTTTGCATTGATGCGAGATGTAGACACAGGCACTAAAAAAGTCTTGTTCTATCTACTCAACACAGAAGCCTCTTCTTCCAGTCATTCGTCCCATAGTTGGGATCTGATAAACCCAGAACGCATGATTATCGGTCTATCTGCTTTTCAAATGATGTTATCTGACCTTGAACAAAATACGGTCAAACCACCTTTTCCTGCTCAAATTGATATGGCTGCATGCGACCTTCCTTCTTCTACAGCCGATGTATTTTCAGGCCCTATTCGTGCTGTGAAGTCAGACATGACAGACAAAGTAGAAGAAATCATATCCAAAACACTCACTAGTTTAGACCAGACATTTGGTCGATTATTAGTGTTGGATGAAAAGAATATCATGATCCGTACATCTCAACTAAACAGTACAAACACGCCTACCAGTACAGCCAATTACTCAGTCCCTATCTTTACCAACAGTGTAGGGTCTTCCGATAATGGACCTCAGATCCATCATGCATATACTTCTTTTTCCGTCTCTTATACCAAAGATAAACAAGCTTATTTTGATGTGATCAAGACGATTCTTGACGGTATGCCTCGTATGATGCCTGCAGGTATTCAGTTGCGTACGATTATAGATATGTTGTCAAGATACACAGTGCATACAGACCCTGATGTGATCCAGTCTGCTTCACAGGCCTTGTTGCGCATTGCAGCGCAGATCGATGGTCAGACGGTGGTAGTTGGGTTCTCTCAGTTTATCTGTAAGATTGAAGACAAGTTTTCAGATGTCGTTCAGTCGTTGGCCTATGGTCCTTTAAACACAACGCATGCGCATGGAGGCATTCTTCAGCTCTATGTGGACTTGTTGTCGATCTGGGTAGATCAGTTAGAGGCTACCTCAGGCCTTGAAAGACCTGTCAATGCCGATGCAAGAGGGTCCGTTGAACTCAATATTAGTAAATTATGGGACTTGATTAAAGAAACAGAAGCCAATGGCCTCTTGTATCTCTGTCATCAATCACCCAATATACGCCGATTCGCTGTTCAGATCTTTCGTATGGCCTCCAAACTTGCCGACCGTATTCCTATCGCTCAAGCGCCCCAACCTACTGAATGGAAACGTATGATTGACATGCTTGAAAAGAGCGGCAAAGACTTGATATCATCCGACCTTTTGAACGCCACGGCAGAGATGCGCACACGTATTGCTCAACACCAACGACGTGCCATGGACACCATCTTGATCCAGCTAGCCGAAAGTGATCATGCTGCTGATATTGCGATCTGGAACGCATGTCTGCCTCATGTCTTTAAACTCTGTTTTGAGCATTTTCCAGCCAGTACAGCTGAATGTCGACAAAATATCTGTCATCGCTTATTACAGATCCAGCCGTTCATTGCTGTCTGGACAGAGACCATCAAGGCCAGTACAACAGGCACGCTCAGTATGGCCAAGAGCAACAATGCGAACCATAAAGCAGCCAGTCCAGAAACGATTGAACAATGGCGTATCTATCTCATCTTTGCCTGTGCGACAGCTGTCCCTGTAGAGAGCTCGAGTCCGTCTATCACGCTGCCTATCTGGTCTCATGTGGGTCGAAAGGGTTCTGTTGGTCTAGAGCGTATCAGTAACACACGCGACCTGTTTCGCTTGATTTCACCTTATTTGACTTGTGAACAGAAACAGATTCGAGAGAATGCGATTGAAGGTCTTGGAAGTATCAATGCTAGTGTGTATCCAGCCTTGATGCTTGAACTGGAAGGCTATGTCAAGATTGTGTTGGACGATGGTAAACAACGCAACAATCAAAAGCCATATCAAAACAAGCGCAGTAAAAAGAACGACCGGTTACGTATCTCTATCATACATGTACTTGACTTGACAGCCCATTGTTTAGCAGACACAGCTTGTGTGAAGAACAAGGACATCATGAATATCATCATGAGCTATATCAAAGAAACCAAGTCGTTTCTGGTGGACTCTGAAGTACAGTTGGAATGGGAATATCAACGATTGCGTATCTATCTGTGTGGATTAGTAGACAAGTTGTATGAAAACATTCTCAAGTTGGATCAAGATACAACGGCACTAATGTCCTTTGAGACACGGTTGAGTCTGTATAAAATGTTTGAAGAATGGTGTGGCTATGGTGTGGCAGCCAAGATAGCACAACAACGAGAAGCTACCATGATACGAGATGTATTAGAATTATGTAAAGATCCTAAAGAAAGAGCAGCCATGACCCAAGTGATGGAAGAAGAGAGGAAAGCATTAGAGTCTGCTTCATTGAGTGCTATGGCCACTTTATGTGTAAGTTGATTCGTTGGATATGATGAAGCTCATTCTATATGGTTAGCGTGGTCCCTTGTATGCGTATTTAGGACAAAAAAAGGCTAGACAGGCCATTATTCAGTTTGATACTCTAAATGTGCTCAAGTGGATTGATGCTATTTTTGAAAGTCGTGATCCTAAATATCATGCTATAGCCAGGTAAAGTGTGTCTGACCAAAGACAACATTGACATGAAACAATAGGCGTGCACTGGAAGCAGTGATGATATACAACCAGGACCAAAGTGTACTGTTAGATGATATCATTGAACAATGTTATGCAGGTAATCCTAAACTTGAATTCACACAGGGTTATTTCCAAGCACTTGCCAGCATTGTGACTCAGATGGAAGACTATCCATGTCATATTCATCAAATCATGAGCCTGGCTTTGTTCAAGACAGGTGATGCCAAAAAGTCCATACGAAAGACAGCCATTCAGTTGCTGCGTGTGGTTGAAGAGCGTGTGTTTGTGGATTCCTGTGCGAAAGAATACGAAATTGGTATCACCAGTAGTTTGCCTGCTATTTACAAACATACACAAACACTGCTTTCTGCACGTCTTGCATTGGATCATCCTGAACAGACGTACCCTATGCTTTCAGAAGTCACACAACGGTTTGAACATATCAGCACAAACGCTCAACGTGAAGTATTGACTTACATGCTGCCATGGCATCGTAAAGTGGACTTAATGGTGGGTCCTCAAGATACAGAACTGAGTGCTTCTGCCTATATGGTCTTGTCCAATCTGTACTATATCACGGTCAAGTTTGGTGATGTCTGTGTGAAAGAAACAGCAGCTTTATGGAGCCAATTAGTAGATTATGGTCGAAATGTACGTGCCATCATCATGTTCTTGCTGGATATGGGCCAAGAATTGCGCAATCCTTGGTTTCTGATTCATGCCAAACGTGTCTTTGTCTGTCTGGGACGCACGCATGCTTTTTCAACAGTGACAGAAGAAGTCATTGCTGAAATCACACCTCGATCTATGGTGCCACAGCTCAAAGATATCAGCAGCAGACATGCGCATGCATTTCCTCTCTTGTTTGTAGCCGATACCGAAAAAGTCTTGCCTGACTATCCCAAGAAACCTGTGTTTTCAAGAGGCCAGTTGGCCATGGTATTCTTAGTTGATTTGGCAATTGAAGCAGGTGCAGATTTAGCGCCTCACCTACCGCTCTTGTTGCATTGTATCTTTGTTCAATTGGACCATTTGACGAGTATTGTATGTGATCAGTCTCGATGCTTTTTGATCAACTTGATTCATTCGATTGTGGTAAGACAGTCAATGGATTCTGAAGCTTCTCAAAAAGCATCTGATATCATTCGATGGCTTGTGGACAAAGAAGGCAAGCGTTTATGGGCTTATGAGAACATCACACCTACGCACCGACGTATTGCTAGTGCAGATGAACTCAAGAGTTTATTACAAAGCGTCGTCCAGGTCTTTTCATATGAAGATCCTGATTTACGTCAACGCTGGGGAGAGACAGCGCTCAAATGGGCTACCTGTTGTTCTGTGCGTCATATTGCCTGTCGTTCTTTTCAATGTTTTCGTGCCTTGATGCCTGCGTTTAATCAACACATGCTGGCAGACATGTTGGCTCGCCTATCCAACACCATTGCTGACAAATCAGAAGAAATCCGTGGGTTTGCACTTGAGATCATCTTGACCTTAACAGAAGTAGCCAAAGCCATGGACAAGACACAGATAGAACAGTTTCCTCAGCTCTTTTGGGCAGCTGTGGCATGTCTCTATAGTCCTTATGAATCAGAACATTGTGAAGCACTGCTATTATTGGATGTTGTGTTGGAGAAGTATGGATTTCAAGCGAACTTGGCAGACAGTTTTCCCAAGAATTGGTCAAGTGAATTTGATGGCTTGCAGCCTTTACTTTTAAAGGGTCTTCAATTCTCTTCAGCAGAGGCAGACACGTTCAGGATTCTTCAGTCTATTTCTTTACAAGATAATTTACCCTTGATTGATCCTACTGAAACTCGACTGATGTATCTTTTGCTCGGCAGTGTTCCTCGTTTATTACATGGTCTTGACGACGAGCATGGTATGGTGGATCCTGAAGCAGTCGAACTTGCCAACACACTTGCCAAACTGTTTGAAGACTATGGCCTGTCTGGCATTCAACGTATCATGACGACCTACCCTATCCAGAAATCAAAGTTTCAAGAAGACTTTCTTAAACAGATTCTCGGTAGTATGCGTGATGTTTTTCTAGAGAAATATGTTCGAGAAGCCTTTATGTTTTCACTCATGATGGTTAAGAACAAAATATTGTCTTATCGTGAAAAGACATTGCTTTTGATTGAAAACCTGATTCCTTATGTGACAGGCAAAATGGTCCGAGTGCCTTCTGTCTCTATTGATATTGTTGCCTTGGAACCTTTATTGCAACTTGTACCTACAGAATACTCAGATCGAGCGCTGGCTATTTTGAACAGTGGTATTGAAACTGTCTCTTCTCAAGAAGGCGGTACTATGTCAGACGATAATGAGCTCATTTGGGGATCCACCAATTTTGTATCAGCAGCCAATACCACACGCCATAATATCCATGCTGTTGTGTTCGAATGCTCTTCAATTACAAACGAAGCGCCTATTGAACACAACATTCAATTCTCGGTAGAAGACTTTTCGATGCTTACAGGTGAAGCGCAAGGCAAGAGTCCAGACCTTAGTCGACGACAAGATCGACCTATGTTGAGTGATATTCCTCTCCATTTGACAGCAACACCACATGCAGGTCAATACGGCGATGATTTGATGAACGCATTGAAGGATTTAGATGATTTCTTCAATGAAGATGGTGAACCTATTTCTCCCTCAAATTCAAGTCATTTGTTTATGCTTCAGACCACTGAAGATATCAGTGGCTCTTTAGGACCAACTACACCTAATATATAATAAATAATGCTTTATTTCTCTAAATCTTTCGGCTTTGTTGTGCTTGTGTAGATTCTACTTTGCGATGATTGAATGTGATGAAAGAAGGTCGAGTATCCATTTTATCAATGGTCCTAATATGAGGTGAGTATCATAGTCTCATGTATCTTTTTTGAAATAGTTACATTTTAGCTACTTCTGCTTCAGCAGCAATAGGTTTAAACGCGTCTGCAGATAACACAACACCAATAAGAGACACAAGAGCTGATACTAGACATTCAATGGTAATCTAACCATATAAAAAAAAAGAAATAAGATGTCAATTCAACTTTAGAGTGTTTGTTTTACCTCGACTGGAAGTGTTGAATCCACTTCATCGACAGCTCTAATATATGCAAGATCTAGATGTTCATCAGTAAGCAAATCAAGGTTTAATATAGCTTACGTTCATAAACAGAGTAAGCAGAATGTGCAAGAAAGAGAGCACCCAGAATGCCCAACAGTTTGCCTGATTGTTGAATGAAGCTCATGTAATTGAAAAAGAAAAGGTAAAAAAAAAGGGGAGGAGAGAAAATTCAAAGACAGGTTTTTTAGATTTGTTTATTTCGAAAAAAAAAAGCATTGTACAAAAGAAGAGGTTGTTTTAAGCAGAAGCTTCAACAGAAGCAGCTTGTTTTTCACGCAAAAGACGTCTCTGCTTGACATCCCAGTTATAAACGCGTGCAGTATTAACTTCCATAGTCGTAATTTGTGATCGCAAAAATTCAAGGTCTTCTAATGTATTGCTTAATGAGTTTTTGGCTGTATCGAGTTTTGAAGTCAACAAGTCTTTGGCTTCTTCAAAAGTATATTCAAGCATGACATTGGCCTAATAGTATGTGAGCCAGGACTTCTATGTTTTCCTACTTACACCAAGCCAGAGATAGACAGTACCCGAAGCCTCAATCTTGGCTTTAGCATATAACGTATCATTCAATTCAAAATCAGTATATAAAGGTTCTTCGGCTTCTTGTTTTTCAGTCAACAAGTCAACCATAGCAATCGTCTTTTGAATCTCGGGTATCTTTTCTTCTAAAACCTTTCTACGTTGAAGCAAGTTGATTTCCATAAACTTGTACTTGCTGAGCATTCGTGAGTATGCAACATAAGCCAACAAGACGTAACTTACCTGATGGCTTCTTGAAATTTTTTCAACACGACTTCAACAGGTTCGGCTTCAGAAACATAATCTTCAACGCGTTCCTTCATGTCCAATGTGAGGTTGCATTATAGTATAAAGTAATGACTTACCACAAAGGGAGAACTAGGAATACCGCGAGGATTCGTTTCTAACTTTTGGTCACTCATCGTAAAGAAAATAAAAAGTAGATGAAGAGAACCATTGACCTTTTTAAAAAAAAATATTTTTAATTTCACTGAGCTCGAATTGTTGTAGGTTAGATATCCAAAGGCGCATTACAAGCTTAAAGATATAAACTAATACAAGAGAAAGGAAAAGTGTTTATGATACCTTTGTTGAATCATGTCTCTAACTGATTTCGATGTTGCTCCAGACATTTTAAAAAGGAAACCTGCAAAATAAAAGAGTTTTCATTTAGTCCAAAACATATGTTGAATGTGGTTCATCTAGTTTAAAACATCTGATCAACCCACTCAATCTATGATGATGAATAGAGTGTTGCTGATAAAATTTGGAAAGACTACCAACATTCATCATCCGACTTTTTTATAGACTATTGAGATTGGACGCTCTTTATCTATAACTGCATTAATAAACGTTATTCATTACCACAAGCATATCATCGCTTTGGATTGGCTTAGGCTTTAGTATATACCTAAGCCCTTTCAAATTTGTTTTTGACTTTTTTAGTCTGATTGCGTAACTTGAGTCTTAAATTGATTGGATAACACCAATAAGCTTTTCTTTGTATTCTTCGCTTTTTCTTTCTCTTTTTCTCCCCTCTTTTCAAGAATGCCACCTTTTGTTGAAACTGAAGAAGAAAAGACACTAAGATCAAGAGTTGTGTCTGTGGACCAAGACAAGCAACATCCCGATCCTAGACATCCACTTTACCTTGGTACCTGGAAGCGATCTATTCCCTATGTCGATGAGGATTTTGCTCGTGATGATATGGATGAACCTCACTTGAAGCGTAAACACACTATTCTGCGTGATTATCCTGAAGTGGAAAAGTTATATGGTACAGATATTCGTACACTTTATGTTACTGTTGCTATTACAGTGGTACAACTAGGGATAGCTTATGTTTTCGGTAAGGTCTGGTCACCTTCATGGTATGTTTTTGCCTTGACCGCTTATTTCATTGGTGGCACACTCACTGGTATGATTGGTGTCATTATTCATGAAGCGTGTCATTGCTTGGTGTTTAAACAAAAGTGGGCTAATCGATACGCTGGTTTATTGGCCAATGTTGCATTACCAGTACCTATCGCGCAATCCTTTCGACGATACCATATTCAGCATCATTCATGGCAAGGTGTAGAGGGCTTGGATCCTGACTTGCCTTTGGATTGGGAGAAAGAATTGATTCGCGGCCATGCTGTCAGTAAGCTGTTATGGATCTTGATCTATCCTGTCATGTATGTTGTTCGTGGTGCTGTGATGCAAAAAGAGAGAAATTTGACACCTTCTAAATGGGAATTGATCAATATCGCATTTACTCTGACAACAGACACACTTGTTCAACGCTATTGTGGCTGGACTGGCTTACTCTACTTGTTCTTTTCTCTCTGGTTTGGTTATTCGCTTCATCCTGGTGCAGCTCATTTTGTTCAAGAGCATTATACGTTTGATGATGGTCAAGAAACTTATTCATACTATGGTATTTTGAATATTCCTTTTATGAATATTGGTTATCATAATGAACATCATGATTTCCAAAAGGTAAGATATATATATACTTTAATCAACCCACTCACCATATCCCTGATTAGATTCCATGGTCAAGATTACCTGCTTTGCGTGCATTGGGTGGTGATTATTATAACAAGTTAGCTTATCATACATCTTGGCTTATGGTTCATTGGCGATTTATTTTAGAACCTACTGTTGGTCCACAATCAAGAGTGATTCGAAACTATGATGATTTCAAAAAGGGCCGCTCTCTCTTGGGCAAAATGCGTCTATTTGACTTGTCTCAAAAGAAGAGTTCAGAATAGATATATTATAGAAATAGTTGCATTGTTTATTTATAAAGAAAGCCATTGACTTTTAAATATGCATAGAAATATTTATGCATACTCAGGCACTGAGATAATAATTACAACAAACAACAACAAAGCGTTGATGTCACGTGAAAGGGATTATTTCATTTCTTTTATTTTTACTCTTTTTTTTTTCTTTTTGTAAAATAATGTCTGAACACCAAGCTCAGGACTTACTTGTACAAGCTGAAAAGAAACTCAACAGTTGGACTTGGTTTAACTCAACAAGCAAACAAGAAGACGCTGCAGAGATATATGAAAAAGCAGGCAACACATTCAAGTTAGCACAGAGGTGTATGTGTGATAGAAACAAACATACTGTTCTTATACTCTATCTAGGGAGAGATGCCGGTGGTGCTTTTGTCAAGGCAGCTGAACTCTACAAGGCAACACCTGAACTACAGCACGAATCGTCCAAGTCGTTTGAGAACGCTGCCAAATGTCTAAAGCGAATAGATGCACAGGGTAAAACAGATAGATTGTTGCTATTGAGTCTCAAGTAGCTTGTCCATTTAGCTGCCATAGAGGCCTTGAAGAATGCGATTGAAGTAGATAAGCAATCTTCCAATTTTAGAAATGCAGCCAAACACTATCAAGAAATAGCCGAGATTTATGAGTCAGAAATGATTGATTTACGAGGAGCCAAAGAACATTGGGAAAAGGCTTCACATCTGTATATGGCCGATGATTCACCAGCGTAAGTCATAAAATGATACTTGATCATCGATTGGCCAATCATGAATAGGATGATAAACAAGTGCCTCTTAAAAGTGGCTCATTTTGCAGCACAATTAGAAGAATACACGATTGCCATCGATCATTTTGAGCGAGTAGCAACGGATTCTATAGATAACCAACTGACGAAATGGTCTATCAAAGAATACCTTTTGAAGGCTGGACTATGTTCGATGTGTACTGGGGTAAGTAGAAACATAGTCATATATGTATGCTTATCCTCTATAGGACATAGTAAAAACCCGTCAACTGATGCAAAAGTATTGTGCTTTGGATTTGTCATTTGAAAATACGCGTGAATATCAATTTCTAGAGGGTATTTTATACTGTCAAGAAAACAATGATCAAGACTTGTTTAAACAAAAGATATACGAGTTTGATCAAACTTCTAAACTAGACAATTGGAAGATAAGTGTCTTGTTGAAAATAAAAAATGTCATGATGGTCTCTTTCAAGTAGACCCGCAATCAATGACGTAGGATTGCCTTTGTTTGATTGGATAGTACAACGTTTATAAAAGAAAAAAAAGTGGCATTTCCCTATTCTTTCTTTTCTTATTTGTATTCATTTCACATGACAAATACCTCTAGAAATAGTCTTCCTTCTTCTTTATCCCCTATGCCTCCTCCTCAGTCACACTCACCAACCACACATATCCATCAACAGTCTCCTGTTCAAACATATTTAGGCGTAAACCATCCCTCCAGTGGTCATAGTAGTGCTAACAGAAGTAGAAGTAACTCACAATCACAACTGTCTTCGAGTGCACCTTCTATTGGATCTTTCTTGACAAACAATAATAACAGTGGCACGGATCAATCTATCCGCAACAGTACGGGAAGAAGAAGAGATACTTTGTCCAACTCGCCTGTTTTGACCATTGAATTTGATGGTGGCAGTCATATAATTGTGCGTCCTAACCGCGTTATTCGAGGAAAAGTGATTTTAAACCTGACAGAGCGCATTCATATTACAAGAATAAAGATAAAAGTAAGTTACACAAGGGAGTACAATGACAACATCGATTTCTAAACTCCATGGTGTCTCTAGTTCCGTGCAGAAGAAGCGGCTATGGTTAAAGTAGATGAGGGTGGTTCAGATGGTAAAGGAGATTGGGTTCATGAAATAATTACCACCTTTTTCGAGTCTGAATGGAAACTGTTTGGCCAAGAAGCATCTCGTAAGTAAATCAATCAGCAACTATGACGTGGTACTCATACACACACACAAAAAAGCATATTCTCAGTGTGCTTGGGATGAACTAGAACCAGGCTACTATGAATATCCATTTGCATTAAAGGTAAGCCTAGGTAACGGTTAGGGAAGTCATAACACGGTTTGATAGTTTCCCAATGTCAATTATCCCCTTCGATGGAAGAACCTGCTGGTTTTGCTATTCGATATATTTGGACTGCTCAGGTAGATGGTCCTGCTCTTCAATCAGGATTGAAAAGCAGAGAATATGTTACCCCTTATAGACCTATCATTGTATCTATAGAAGGTAAATGTTGGCCCCTTCAAAGACAAGATACTAAGCTTTTCAATCTAGACAAAGAATGGGTCTATAAAACAACACTAAAAGAAAAAAAACAAGCTCTAGCAGAAGTACAAGCTAAACTGTTTAAACAAACTTACTGTCCAGGTAAGGTCTATATATCTTTGAATTTTTATAAATAGCCTGAATAGACGAACCTTTTAAGATGCAACTCAATATGACTATACTGCATTCTGATTCTAAAATCACTAACATTGCTTATAAGTTCCGTAAACACCATGAAGGCAAAATGCTTGTTCAGCAAGGTACAGCTTTCCGGGAAAATGTACGCACCATCATTCAGGATACTGTTAGCTTGACTTCTTCCGACTTGACTCAACTCTCTGAAAACATTCAATTTGATGTGCCAACTCGCCTTGTATCTCCTTCCTTTATTTCTCGTCATACACGCGTTTACTATGATCTTTATTTCCAAGTTGTAATTGAGCAAGGCCATCTGTTCAAAACAAGCTACACGACAGAATTTGCCATCCCTATCACCATTGCCAATCTTCCTTATGATCAATTGTTGCGTATTCCTGATTTAACAGCGATACAACACTATCGGGATTCAAGTGAATGTCCCTTGTTCTTTGATCCTGGACTCGACGAACCACCAGCACCTCAAGGTCTTCCTTCTGAACTCATTGGCCCATTGACAGCTGCCTTAATGAGTCCCAACTCAAATGATGAACAACCACCCAGCTATTTCAGTCTGCCTGAACTACCACCACAGTTTCAATTAAGAAGAGAGAGAAAAGAAAGAACCGTGTTTATGACCAGACAAGCTCGCGGTGCATATCATGGTGCAGATCTAACTGAAGCCACCATTATTCCTGGTCTATTTGATGAAGATTGGTAGATGGATTTTTTTTTTTATTAAATAAATTATTGCCAACCCCATACTTCTTTTACCCATTGACCTATATCCATGGCTACATGTTCCCATTTGGCTATAAATGGATGTTGTAACATACGAGCAGGAGGTGGTCTGTACTTGGGATCCTTTGTCAAACTATAAACGAGTTAAATACAATCAAGAAAATACATACGTCTTTACCAAACAGCAACAAAGTTCTTGCATTCCTCTGAAATGTGACTGCCTTGTATCTCAGGAACAGGTTGACGAACAATGAAATCAAGTAGCTCAAAGATAGATAGATGAGGTTGACCAGGAGGAGGCAAAGCAGGACAGTTTTGTGATACTTCAATCAGAGTTAACCCAAGTGACCAAATATCTGATTGTACTGCATAAGCATTGCCTTGAATACGCTCAGGCTATAGAATACATAAGTCGACTGTATGCCTTATATGGACTACTTACAGCCATGTAATACTGTGTTCCTGTAAATGTCTGTGCAATAGAATTGATCAGTTCACCAGAAACACCGAAATCACAGAGTTTGATTTCACCCTTTCGTGTTACCAGAATATTAGATGGTTTAATATCTATATTTGTACCATAAGCCCTCTGTGTATTTTTTTTATAGTAATGCGCATATATACCTCTGTGAATCACTCGTTTTGAATGTAAATAAACTAGCCCTTTGCAAACCTACACATATCATAAGCATACATGGTACAACAGACTTTTTTTTTTTTACTTTACAGATTCAGCAATACGTTCAAGGACAGGTTCACCAATGACACCTCCTAAATCTCGTGCTCGCTTGTAAATGTCTTCCAAACTGCCTGCTTCACAATACTCCATACACAATGACACTGTTGTGTCTCCATCATCCAGAAACGCGCCATAAAAAGAGACGATATAAGGCGAATCACATGTCTTTAAAAACGCAAGTTCACGTAAAATTTGACGTTGAACAGCTGGATCAGGTTCTGTAGAAATTGACTAATCCCAAAAAAAAAAAAAAAAATTGAGCATATTCTCTTTATGTTGGAGCATAATCAAGATACCTTTTTAGCCATAACTAACTGTGTAGGTTTATGCTTAACTTTACGCACGGTACCCGCCGCACCTTCACCTAACCTTGAGAGTGTCTCCAAGTCTTCTACTTTGAGTTCCATAAAATGGTTTGTTGGTTCAGTCGTCGTCTCTATAAACTGAGAAACAGGCTGTGGCGGCAAAGGTGGTTCACGTAAGACTGGCATATCTTGGTTCTGTATCTCTTGTTGTTGTTGTTGTTGTTGTTGTTGTTGTTGCAGATAAGAAGCAGCTAAAGAGGTTTCTTCTTCAGGCTTACTGTTGTATTCACCACTGCTAGGCGTATTTCCGTTCACAATATTTCCCAGTTGTTCTCGAAAACGGTTGTTTGAACTTGTTCCGAGGTAAGAAGAGTTGGGTGAAGTGGCGCCTGAAGCAGGCTCGAGATGCTTGGAGGAAAGACGAAGTCCAGGTTTGCGCTTACCTCCACCTGGCTTTGGTTGGCCTAGAGTGAGTTCAGGTGTAAGAGACATGATAGAAAGAAAGAAAAAAGAGTAATAAAGCGGCTAATGAAATATGAATTAGCGCCATTGCTGAGAGATTTAAGGGGGGATAGGTGCCGATTATCAAACTATGTCATTCTACCCTCCTCCTCCTCCCCCCCCCCCACAAGGCTGTTTAAACAGTTTAGGTTGAGAAAAGCAGATATCACTGTAGAACATCGAGTCTTGAAAAATCTGCCTAAAATGAAGCAAATATTTATAAAATAAGCTTACAATTCAAGAAAATCCATGACTGCCTAAATGTAAATAAGACTTGTTTGTCAACAATCAATTCAAGTGTAACAATAATTTACTAGTGTTCTAATCAAGAAGTTGACTTTATAGAAAAGAGAGGGAAAGATAATAAATTGGTTCGACAGTCATTCATATTCATTGTTTATTTGACTGTTCATAAAATAGACATGTAGGTTTATAATATACAAAAAAAATAAAAGAGGAACTTATTCTTGGTCCTTTTCACGTCGAGCAAGACTGTCTTCAAGAGCATTACAATAGTTTTGATATTTGATAATTTCATGCAACATATACTTTGATTTTGCTTCCCAATTAGTAAGAGCTTTAGCATGGTTTTGGCATTTACTATGAAACTATAAAGACCAGAGTTAGGCAACTATAAAGAACTAAACATTCTCTTACTTTAACTTGGATCTTCTTTTTGATTTCACGATGTTCATTGATTTCTCCATTCAATTGATCTACGTATTTCTGCAGATTATCCAGCTGAGTCTTTTCATCCAACATACTGGATATCATGGTAGCTGCTGGTGGTACCCAAGTAGAGACATTGACAGTATCAGGATCGTGTGTGTATTTGCCAATGATTTTTTGCCCTTTTCAATTGCATCTAGATCCAAAACGACATCATCGAGACAGCTGCCCCAGCCATACTCAATGTTGCTAACACCGCCCAAAAGAGGTTCTTTACTTTGACGTGCAGCCCAATAGTTACAGGTAGATACCCATTCCATGACTTGCTCATTGGATGCTGCTTGAATAAGATACACACCACCATTAGGTTGTTGAATAGCAAACACATAAGGCCTTGTGCGATTATAACCAGGTGGTGGAAGTGCATTTGAAAGTGAATGGTTTAAATCAAGAGACCCGATCAATTGCGAATAAGCCTATACCCAAAAAAAAAAAGAAAAAGTAAGTATATCAAACCTTGATCGTATATATGTATATACATACAGCCCAGCTATTATTGCTATTGTTGTGCGAAACACCACTATAGGAAAGTGATGTATTGGTATTTGGTCCATTTCTAGATAAAGAGTCTGCTAGATTAGCAAAACTAGCACTGCTAGCTCTTAGCATATTACGTCTTGAAGAAGTACTGATATCATTGAGGCTATCTGATTGTAAGCCATACATTTTCAACTGTCCTTGCGTAACGACAAGTAAACATTCTTTCCATTCACGATGCTTTGCTTTTTGATTTGCACTTTCTAACAAGTGTTTTCGCATGACAACACCTTCTTTTAAATAAGGTGGATGATTACTGAACAATACTTCAGAATGTGTATCCATAAAGTTCATCATATGGCTTTGATTAGGTGATAATAAGGCACCATTTGTATCTGTAGACGAACTAGTGTTTGGTGTAATGATACCAGATCCATTGTTGATAGAATGGTTTGAAGTAAAAGAATCTCTTCGTTGGATACGAGTGTTATGAGGTGAGTGCTGTTGACGATGTGTGGAACTTGTACTTTTCCTAGGCTATAAAAAAAAAACTGTATGAGATCTTTGATTATGTGATTCAAATTAGGTTTTTACCACTGGATCTTCTTGAACCAGTATACTTTCACGCGCAGAAGTTGTTTTGTGCATCATTGTATTCAAGCTACGCTTGATGTCAATCATGCGTTTTCCTCCCATCACACTCATTCGTCTACTACTTGAAGCTGACAATAATGAGTTGTTGTCAGTACAAGTAGGACTCAGTAAGTCATTTTGTTGTTGATGTTGAGTGGGTTGCAAAATTTGATAGTTCTTGACAGAGACATACATGTCCTACCCAAAGTGTTAATCATTCTTCCTTATTTTGCGGAACCTTTCATGCATACTTTCAAGTAAGCTTCCACATGTGCTTCCCAAGCTAAGATAAGGTTTGGGCTTTTTGATTTGTTTTTCATTTCAGCCTGATACTGATCTCGAATAGTAGACATTGTGTTCTTTACAAACGCTTGTCTTGTCATTCGAGTATAGCTGCCTTGTGCCACATGTAGATCCGTATTCAAAAGCAACAATGAATAAACAACAGCATATACAATATCTAACAGACACAATCAATCTACATCCATTAGAAAAATAAAGACCATACCTGCACTACCAAAAATGGTTTTAGGGTTACACTCCCAGTAACGTTTTGCAAATGCTTCCAAAATACGGTCGATCTGCTGTGCTTCTGCACGAAAATAAAGTTTGGAACAAACCTTTCTATTTTCGGCATAAATCAATCATGATAATACTGTTTCTAATTACCTGAACGCGCTATCAAGTCTCATAGTTGCAAAATCAAAATACTTCATGTATTCGTATAATGTGCTTGTATTTAATGGTTTACTATTTTTATCCATGTTAGAAGGGTTCTACTAAAAAAAAAAAAGGTACCTTTGACCAAGCCATTCTGCTATTCTCTCAGGTTCCACGAAACTCTCGTCCTCGTACCATAAACGAGCAGCGCATTCCTTAGGATCGTTCAAATACTCACGTTCTTTTTCTTCCTCCTCTTCCTCCTCTTCCTCCTTTTCCTCCTCTTCTTCTTCAGTGGTTGATAACAAGATTTCAGGATGAGGTGGTAAAGGTCTTTGAGGGTAAGGGCGTTGTGGAGGTATTTGATACACTGTGTCTTTTTCAGGCACCGTAGGAGGTAATGAAGAAGGAGTCTTTTCATTAAAAGGAATAGCTAATTTATTAGGCTGTTGCTCATTCGCGTGATGTTGCATTTGTTGTTGCTCAAGGGATGAAGCAAACTTTAAAAGTCCTTGTCCGCTGTGTCGCTTCCAATTCATCATCGATTGTGCTACATCTTCTGGTGGAGGTCGACTCTTTCTACGTTGTTTCTTGGTATCGGACGTAGAGGAAGAAGGTACCATGATGCTGACCATCAAGCCTCCTGCACTGCCAAAATGACCGCCACTTAATCTTTTAGACAATCGTGCCTCAATGCGTTCTCTTTCTATATCTTCCTGCGACATACCCGTGGCATCCACAAAGACTTCATTTTGCGTACCTGTACTCTCTTCTTCACTTTCATCATCATCGTCATCGTCATCGTCGTCGTCGTCATCGTCGTCGTCGTCCTCTTCTTCAGAAGAAGACTCTACAATAATCATACGAGCTGGGGTTTTTTTCTGAATGTTTTGTGCATCATTTCCATTAGCAGCCTGCTGCTCTCTGTCGTGAATATCCATCAAACTCATGGAAGCTGTCGTAGTAACATTATCAAGTGAATCATTTTCACCATAGATGGAGTCTGATCCAAATGTGCTGTAGATAGAGTACGATTCTGTTGATTTCCGAGTTGAAGCATTGGACCATCGTGTCGTGTTTGTTGATTGAGCCGGAGATACCTTGGCGGCATCTTGATTAGGAAGGGAAGCTAATGAGGGTTGTTCTCCGACTTCATAGCGATGGTATCGAGGTTTATAGACTTGTTGATTCGACAAAAGCACAGGCTTATCTTCTATACCCGTACTCTCCAACACTATCTCGGGTCCTAATGTATCTAAACTGAGTTTCTGTCTTTGACTGATGTGATGGTGGAGTGGAGGCAAGGGCTCAAATTTTTCATTTCCCGCCGGGATATTAGTATTTAAACTCATTTGATGTGAACTGTTGCCAATGCCATTGTAATCTTCTTTTTTTCTGTTGATTTAGCATTGTTTCTTTTAAACAGGTTGCCAAAGCCTCTAACGCTTCCTTGTCCGAGATTGCTGCTCGTGCTTGTAGCTACTTTCTATATATATATATATATATATATTTATGCATAAAATTATGAATTGACAAAAAAAAAAATAAGGGTAGCTTACTAACCTTTTTTGAAATTGAATCTTCATTTACTAAATCTTCAGCTTTTACACCCAACACAGCCTCATATTTCTTTTTTGCTTGAGATTGTGTGGAGATGGTTGACTGTGGTGTTGGAGGAGAATGGACAGGTTTTCTCTTAATCTTTTGTTGACCATGAATAGGTGGCAAAGTAGAAAGGATATTTGTCGAGGCTGAAGTAGTAGGAGACACAGGAGATGTGGGTGCTGAGGTGTTTGTGTTGGGCGACATAAATCGAGATAGAAAGGTGCTGCCCTTGGGTTTGTTACTACTGGTACTCCATAATGAAGACGTAGACTGAGTATCTGATTGACCTAGTTCAGAAGCTGAAAAAGATCTTCTTCTGTTATTGACATTCATGGTCATTTATTGGCATATAAAATAAAAATAAAAATAAATGAGAAAAGAAAAAAGGAAAGAAAAGAGGGAATACAACTAAATTTGCTTTGGAGGTACAATAGATTTTCTTGTACCACAACGCAGTTGCAGTTGATGAACGCTCTTTTAATTAGCATCGGGGCACATGCAGTAACGTAAATTTCATTGTGCAAGAAAGCAGCAAGGTCATTCATTAAGTAAGGTGTAGATCAATTTTGTTCTTTGACTATATCTTGCTTTCTCCTTGTTGTTTCTCTCCCTGATCTTGTTAGATCTCATTTCTTTTTTCTGTATGAAAAGGGTATTTCACTCTTTTTGTCTCCTTTTATGGGCTGATGCGGTACGAGCACAAGTTAAAAATACAATGTGTATCTTCAGAAAAACAAAATGTATATTTATGGAGAAAATTAGTTTTTTTTGTTAATGTAACGAATAAGGGCTTAAGCCACACGTTTTATTTTATTTATTTTATTCAATTGAGCCATTTTTGAATGCAGTTATTTCTTTGTCTTGGTCAAATGAAGTACATAAACATAAGCCGAGAATCAAATTGGAACACCATTTTGGTTTTCACAAGTATTCTCTTAATTATATTTTTTGACAAGAGCGTAAACAGTCAAGTAGTACACAAATAACTAACGTGCCAATAAATGCATACTTTATTTATCCAGAAAGTGGAAGACCACACATTTCACAGTTTTCATTTCCTGGAGGATTAGCAAACGTACAATGCCTACAGCTGATAGGTGCAGTGTTTGTGCCTGACACATGAGAAGAGGGTCCAGAAGCGCTTGCGTTTCCTCCTATCAAGACAGTCAGTATAAAATGAGTAAATAAATGTTATTTTGTTTACCTGCTTCTTTCAAGACCATTTGTAAGGTGTTCCAGCCATTCAACTGGTTTAATTGTTCAATGTCACCTTCAGGTTGAGTCACTAACTGACATAGTTGTTTAAATTCTTCAGAAGTCAATGTATCTGTCGATTGAATAAAGCACAAGACATGGAAATCTGCCAACATGGTCTTTAATTGTTGAGGTGTTTGAGCTGATTGAATAATCTTTGAAAGTGCTCCTATATCTTGATGCACCAAACCTTCTCTGTTCTCTACAGGGAAACGAGAGTCTGGATTGAATAAAGGTGAAGGATTTTGAGGGAAACCATGGGTAACCTTGATTCATTAATGTTTAAGCATTCTCTATCTAAAGTATAACTTACATTCACTAAAAGGTATTCGACAGGAAAAGTAGGCTTTGCAGATTGTTTGACCAGCACATTGTATTCATTCTTAAACTTGTAAAATACTTCAGGCACATAGCGTTCATGAGGAATACTTTCCTTGACACGCATGACAGATGGTTTTCTACTGGCTTCTACAATGCCTGCTTCATTCAAGGCAGTCAATGTGTCAGACACTTGGTAGGCAGTAACATCAATATTGCCTTCAACATCGCCCGAGACAACGCAGGTCACAAATTTGGATCCAAAGTTACCACTGACTGAATGCTTACATACATTTGGATGACGGCGTTGCATTTCAGCAGCAAAGATACATTCAAGTGAAGACAAGAAATACGAATTCACATGTCGCTTTGGCACGACACTACCACTGCCTGTACCATCATCCATCAAATCTGAGAAAATCATGCCTACTTTGACTAATCCACATGCCTCTGCTACTGCATTGATTCTGGCTTCTTCTGCCCATGGATCGGCTAATTGAATACCGTCTGAATGGTCTTGTTGAGGAGGCTCATAGATGGCTTCAACCACAGCTTTGATACCCAAAGGCACTTCAAGGTAAGGCTCATAGCGACCATACAAGTAACCAAATCGCTGTGAACCTGATAAACGCCAATAGTTCAAAAAGGATTCAATCAAAGAAGCAGCAGAGAACTCGACATGATCTACCATGCGATATGCCTAATAGAGCATAAGTATCATTTATGACTTAAATCAGTGCTTACTTGACTCTGAAGTGTGATAGCACTAGGTTGACATTTAGTACAGATACCTTCTGGCCAAGGAGCATGGCCGCCAGAACAAGGTATTTTAACTCTGAAATCTTGTTCTTCTAAAGGAGGCAAGTTATTGCTAGGAGCAGCTGAATTTTTGGAGTGTTGTGCTGCTGTATGTTGTCGTAAATAAGCATGAAATGACATATGTTTGATCTTGTTTTCTTCCAAATAAGTAGCATCATAAGGCTATGCAAATGAGTGATATACTGAGAAACTTGTTTACTTACCTCTAATGGCATACAGTAGTCACACATAGCATTGTTTCCATGACGACAACTATGTTAAAGACATAAGTAGGATGAACATACAAACAATAACTTACAATTTAGGGTCCTTTTTACGATCAATCAAACCTCTTTGCTTTTCCAAGTAATCATCCACTGCATCTTGCTTCACTCCATGCTGAGCTGCTTTTTGTTGTTGCTGTTGCTGCTGCTGCTGTTGTTCTTGAGCATCAACAAAAGACACGTAAACAATATCACCATGTCTATCCAAATAAGTAGATGTCAATATGAATATGCTTGTCTTACCTTAAACCAGCAGATTCAATGGCCTTGTCTGCTAACTGCAAGATACTGGCTGCATTGGCTGGATTGGGTTCTTTACCCATAGCAATAGTAGAGGGATCTTGTATCTTGAGTAACTCTGCAACCTTGAAAGCCAAGGAACCAAATGTTTCTCCAGCATCAACCTGGACTCTATTCATACCTTCTTTTGAACGAATGCGAAGCAACTATCATAATAAGTGCATGTCTACATCACATTCTTGCTTACCATGTTTATCTGTTTAAAGCTCTATGATATGCAAACAGGTAAAAAAAAAAAGAAATCAACTGCGTTTACGTAAATATGTACTTTTAATTCAATGTCCGGAGTAATATGTCCGGAGTAACTTTAAACTTGTAAAAGCGCTATTTTCGCTATAAAGTGTAAAATAATGATATAAAACCAATTCTTTTTTTTTTTATTTTATAGCATTAATAGCAAGATGATACTAAAAAAAGAATAGAAAGAGCTTTGTCAAAATTAAAATTAGCAAGAGAGCAATCGGAAGGTTTGGTTGTCTTTTAGTTATCAATATTTCTTGTTTGAGCCCAACAAACTTGCTTTGTAACCATGCTATTGAGCGAACTGTCATAATAGTCTTGACTTGCGCCTCTTAATTCAAAGTAGCTCTAATGATCAAAAAATCCTGATCTATTTCTTTTGAATAGAAGTAACTGTACTCTTTTTTTTTTTGAATCGTTTAGTTTGTTTATTTTTTTTTTAGCTTTTGTCTTTCTTGAATTTATTCAGTTACAATTTACTTCATTGACCAACAATCTACATAACATAACTTTGATTCTCTAAAGCAATGAGATATTGTAAGGCCGTACAAGATTCATTCTATATGGGCGAAGTCTATACCCTGCCACTAAGACTAGCTTCCAATGCAGTACAGCCATTACCGCCTGTTGTTCCCTCTACAAAAAGATCTGCTGCTGATATTCCTCTAGAAGAATTTTTACGTCTCTTCAGAATAGTAGCACGAAGAGGCCTCTACTGAATCGGCTGGACTTATTGCTAAAGAACACTTCGAAGTCTGTACTGTCTATCTTCATTCGTTAATCCGAGATGATTTGAACCAAGAAAATCAAGAATGCTTTTGAGACTAAACTGAACCAATTTCTGCTTTACACCTCTAATTTCATAAGTGAATCTCAAGCCATCATAATGACTACTATGTCTGTTAATTACCAACCAAAATCGTTCATGACGGTTTTGCAAGACAATAAGTAACAGGTATCATGACGCACGTGGCTTTATCTGATCCGTAACACTTGCAACAGGTTGCCGTAAATATACATTATCCGAAATATCAAGCATAAGAATCCATATCGATATACGTTAAAATCGCACATATTCTGTAATTAACAATAGCTTTTGATCCCATTTGACATGCAAAATGTATATACTTAATGTGCCTCTAATCTTCAGTTTAAGCCCTTTTCGAGTATCGAGATTATTGCAAAATCTTGATTTTATAGACTAGCTCTCTTTATCATTCTTTTCGAATAGATTTGTCTAGCCATTGACAAGCATAATAGCACCAGCGGCAGATTGACAACCTGCTGCATCATTTCTGCCTTCTAATTCCCTTTTTTTTTGGGGTTCTTATTTTTAAACATATATAAAACAATATATTTACGCAAAAATAAAGCAAGTTTTGAAATTGAAAAGATCGTCATTTTGCCCTTATGATACTCAGTAAAAGTTTATATTTTTATTTGTATGGCTGTGAAGACTGGGCCCTATGAGGCAAATGTCTTACCATCAGTTCAAAGAAAGAAAGGAGCAAAAAAAAAAAAAAAAAAAAAAAAAAAAAAAAAAAAAAACTATAAGGTTATGAAAACTGTAGAAAAAATGGTAGGAAGCATAAACAATGATGTATAGAAATATTTTCTTCACTTGTGAATGCCTTGTCAGGGAAATTATTGTTTTATGCGAAAGGTCCCATCAGTGAAAGCTGATTGAACCTTACATGCAGTGAGCCAGCCTCGAAAAACAAAATCAAAGGCCATTGGTCGGCGAGCATGCTCTCGCATATATTCTAAAGCACAGGTCAGTCGTTGTTGGTGGATCTCCTTCAATTTTGTTGCACGTTCTTCGTCATTTGTCAAAGTTTCGAGGAGCTTGCGATCACGAAGGTGTTGAGGATCTAATGGATTGAAATTGTGGAGAGGTGCAATCTCCCATTTGCCTAAAAGTCTATTGAATTCATCAGAATACCCGATATGGATGAGAACCGCAACAATTCCTAGTGTTGGGTAATGAATGTCCAAAATGCGGCTAGAAGCAGCGCCCAATTTGTGGAGCTTGTTACGCATTTTTGAAAGTCGATCTCTATATTTATTTGGAAGGTAGACATACTTAAATATAGGAGCATAGTTACCATTTTCATCGGAAAATGAGGGCGGATCATATTCAACAGGTGCTGTAAATACTTTAGCGGCTGCTTGTCGCTGTTTACCAGTAGTCCTCTTGGGGTTTTTTGGAGGCGGTTTTTATCTTGGACGCGGATTGAGCAGAGAGCTCTTGAGCTTCCTTTGGTGACGGATTTATCTTCTGACCAGATGCGGCTACAGAGACATAGCTTGAGGCTGGTGGGCTCAGCGCCCAATTCAAAGTAGCTGGTACTTTGGAGTTATCGAGAGCTGGGGGGTAGTGAGTATCTCAGTATCTTGTTGTGATTCTAAGGCTTGCTGCAGTTGAGTTTCCAATTGACAAATTTTCATATTGGCGCATGCTAGAGCAGCTTCCAATTGTTCGTTATTACGCATAATTTGTTCCAATTGGGAAGAGTGTCCCTCCTGCCCGTCAATTTGTATAGAGAATTTCATATGCTGATCGAATTGGGCAAAGTGTTTATCATTCTGTTCATTTGAATTAATTTTACTCATTGTAATTGGCCTTGGTTGTTAATGGCAGGCATTGATGCGGCATGATTCAGTTGAAAATTCAGACCTGAGAGAGTTTCGGAATTGAGTCTGAGACACCAGGAGTATCTCGGGTGTTGGTAGCAACTTTAGTCTTTAGTTTAAATGCTTTAATTTCTTGGGCTTGGTTTTATCTTTGTTTAAGAGCATATCAGATTTCGAGTGTTTTTGCGGGAAGTTAGTTGGCTTTTGAGTATCAGTGGTATTCAAGTTATAGGTTTCTTATTTGGGCAATGAGTAATGTCACTTGTGTTAGGGATCGCAGGCAAAAACTCGGAAGTTCTGACTTTAGGCTGCTCCAACTTAGGCAGTGTGTTACGATGAGTGTTGTTGCTGCTAGTGTTGAATGTGCTAATGTTACTGTTCTGTGTGGTTTTGTCGTTTGTTGATGTTTAAATTCAGAAAAAGTAATAAAAAAACCCTCCCCTTACGATGCTCTTTACAAATCTTCACTTTTCACTTTTTTGCGATTTGTGAGCGATAGAGACGTTGTAGACATGACATGCCTTAGTATGAATTGCTCCTTTAGGTCTATAAAACACACTCAAAGTGTTATATTTGCAAAGGTACCATAAAAGTGTACGCTAAAGTTCAGAAACGTAAAACACGTTTTTGAAGAATAGCTCACTGTTTCGATACTGAACATGCTGTATTATTTACATCATTCAATACTCTACACTTATATATACCAGCTTTATTAATACACTTTTTTGATAGCTCTTTGTTTTTGGGTAGTTTTGGTCCATCATTTCTTTTAAATGCGATTTTTATTTATTTATTAAAATCATCGTATAGATGAAAACTAGTGTATGTGAAGCAAAGTGGTTAGCCATATGAAATATCTTCAAGACAATGCTTTTGTGGAAGCATTCAGTACGATTATATGAGTCTTATAATTCCAAAGAAAATAGTCATCATCTGGACTACCCCTTAATATGTCCTAAAAGGATATATCAAGTGCTTCGTTCGTCGCTCCTGAGAGTCAGTACTCTTTATATCTTGTCTTGCTCAATGCTACAGATGGCAATATCAATACCACAAGTAAAGGACACCATTCCACAATGTCTTCAATTACTTGGTACTTGACACAATTTTTGATACCTAAGTGATACAGTCTTTCAAAAGAGATTATAGCAAAATCTGGAGCACCACCAAGAGTGACCAGACCATCGTACTAAAAAATTCTTTTGACGAAAGAAAGGTGAATGTGATTTTATCATTTTTTTGGATTCTGATTTTTGGTACAAGAATACAGATTAAAACTCAGGCAATTTCTTTGCAACCACTATCTACGCTAAGCTTTAAAGCATGACGTTTTTGAAATTTGTTGACGGAAGATCTATAAAGAGAGACTTTTGTAATTTGGATTTGGTATTAAGTGTTTTACAGGAAGGCATACTTTCTTATTGACTGCCAAAAAGATCCCCTTTTTTTGCTTTTTTTTTCAAAAAAAAAAGCAGTAAAACTAATCTTTTTTATGAAAAACTTGCCTGGTATCATAAGGCATAGTAGATCTAAAGTTGCTTTCGTACCTTAATGCTAAGATCAATGCTATCTTCGTTCGTCGAAGCATGAACGATTAATTGACTATTGGAGGTAGTAACCAGCTTTCAGTAACGAAACGCAGCTAGGTTTACTCTTTATACCGTCTAGGTAGGTGACTCTAATGTGTCTATACTTCATCATAAACACCTTTTGTTCATGTGACTCGAGATTATCTTTGCTCTCATAACTTTAATGGTAACTGTGACTTTCTTTACATTTCCTTTATCATGATGATTTAAGCATTCTTTTTTTTTCCTCTTTTTCTCTTCGTAAAATGTCACCCAAGTTTAAAAAAGTACCAAAACACAGGAAACCATCTATAACAGAAGAAACAGAAAAAGAAAGCATAACAGAGGAGGCAGTGACTTTGCTAGCTGCCGAAGTACCCAGCAAAAAATGGCAAAACTGGTGGATTCGAACAATAACAACACTTATTATGATTGGATCGTTTTTTGCTATACTTGCCTCGGGCTATATTTGGTCGATCGTCATGGTCATGATTATTACTGTAATGGTGTACCGTGAAGTCATTCAGATTGCGTACCATTCTGCAAAAGGAAATCTGCGCTGGTTTAAAACGATGAGTTGGTAAAGTATACAGCAAAGATCCCATCCCGTCTAACAAATGTGTAGGTATTATTTGATCACGACCGAGTACTTTTTATACGGTGAATCTATCATTCATTACTTTAAAGAAATCGTCTTAGTGGATGCGTTCTTGGTACCTTTTGCAACTCATCATCGATTTATTAGCTTTATTTTATATGTCATTGGTAAATCATATTTTACGAAGAGTAGTGACTCATATACATTTAGGCTTTGTATTCTTTGTCATGAACTTGAAAAAAGGTCAATATCGAGCTCAGATGTCACAGTTTGGCTGGACACACATGGCTATCTTCTTGATTGTTTTCCAAGCACACTTTATCGTGGATAACATTCTTGAAGGACTGATATGGTTTGTTTTGCCTGCAGCTTTGGTCGTTTGTAATGATATATTTGCCTATGTCTGTGGCTTTTTCTTGGGAAAAACGCCATTGATTCAATTGAGTCCCAAAAAGACAGTAGAAGGATTTGTAGGAGGCTGGATATTTACTCTTATTTTTGGCTTCTTGATAGCTACTGTGCTGATGCAATTCGATTACATGATTTGTCCTGTGCAGGATCTAGGCGCTTCTGCATGGTCTAATGTCTCTTGTGAGCCAAAAAATCCCGTATTTATTGCTACGCCTTGGGAACTTCCCTCTTTGTTCCGTTACATGCTAAAATATACGGTAAGATTGTGTTTTTTTTTTCTGGGAGGAGAATTATTTATGCAGTGTATTAGATCATGAAAGATGTAACAGAAGTCTGGATCGCCCCTGTTCAATTGCATGCTATTGTGATGGCTTGTTTTGCTTCGTTAATTGCACCATTCGGTGGATTCTTTGCAAGTGCTGTTAAGCGTGCTTTCAAGATAAAGGACTTTGGACATAGTATTCCTGGCCATGGTGGATTGACAGACCGTATGGATTGTCAGTTCTTGATGGGTTTATTTTCTTACATGTATTATCAAAGTTTTATCAAGGTAATTTACATGAGTCTGACTTGAGCATGGTTTAAATGCTTTTATTTTTAGATGCACAAGGTCTCTGTTGGTACCATTTTAGCTTTAGCAATCAATAGTTTGTCTACAAAAGAGCAACTGGAGCTTCTGGAAAGATTACAAACATATTTAGCTAATCAAGACCATTTATCAAATCAAATTGAAACTGTCATTTCCAAGGCACAGCACCTTCTTGCTGGAAATGCATAAAAAAATATTTACTAAAGTAATAAAGCTGCTTTACATAAAGTGGTATCATCAAGAAAATGAAATTAACAGTCTTATTTTATATATACATTTAAGCCTTTTTCTTCTTTTTTAATCTTTCTAATTCTTTTTGTTCTTCGATCAAATCTTCGCGTCTGGCAATACGCTCACTATTATGGTTTTATGAGTGATCTATGTAAAGTGAAACAAGCATATTACCTTCGTTTTTCTTCTCTTAATACATCGCTTGCATTTGCTTCCATATCATCATCAGACCAAACTGGCTCATTTGCATATCTAATAAAGAATATAAGTTATTCATAATAAATTTTTTAAAGGAGTATACCTATTTCTGTCATATCTAAAGATTTTACTGATTTCTTCTGAATAACTGCTTCTACGAGGATTTCTATTGTATCCATAACCTTCGTCCTCATCTTCATCATCCACAATAAACTCTGCAAGTTCTTCGTCCATTTCTTCTTCTTCCTCTCTTGGACGTCGTCTCATTATAGACTTGCGTGCGTTAGAGTCCATAGGTCTACCAGAAAAAGGCATTCGTCTAACAGGCGGTTGCGAAGGCGGTCTTCTATTGTCCATAGGAGGCCGTTTTCCAGCAGTTGCTCTCGGTGGTGGAGAAAGAGGCTTTTTGCGTGATGTTGGTAGTGGAGGACTTCTTTGTGATGGTCTGTTGAGCTTTCTGATTCTGTCTGATTCATCGTCTGAGTGAATGCCTTTACTATGGCGAATTTCACGCTGAACATCGGATATGCTTCGACGATCTCGCTTCTGTAAATTTACTTTTTTAGGTGGTTCTGCAACCATCTGCCGAGCTCGCTCTCGAGCTGATAAATTAAGGTTGGTTTCTGTGTTGATTTTTGTCGATTCAGGTCTTTTGGCACGATGATATAGGCTGGGGGTATGAGGATCGTTATTATTTACTTGACGACTAATGCTGTCACTTTTCTTGGTTACTGAAGGCTTTGAATCAGTTGCTTTCTTGTTGAGTGATTGTTCTTTGGCTTTCTTCATCAAATCATCAAAAGACATGTGAACGGGTTTCTATAAAGGAGAATGGATGAGACAAGGAACTTGAAAATATGAAATAAACCTTTTTTTCAGGTAAAAATGTCGAAACAGATGTCTTTTTAATGCTGAAAGCATTCTTACTGCTATTTGAGCCTAAGGAGCGTGATTTGTTCGCTAATTTTTCATTTTGTAGACGTCGTTTTTCTTGTTCCCTCTCTTGCCTCTTTTGTTCTAAGAGTATTTTTTGTTTCTTTTCCTGAAGTTCACGCTTCTTAGCCAACTGCGCCTGCGCTTCTTCTCGTTCTCTTTGTTCTTTTAGTTCTCGGCGACGTCTTTCCTCGTCCTCACGTCGCTTTTGTCGCGCTCTTTCCATAAGAGAAGCGTCTTGTTGTTTAGCTACTTGAGTAGCTTGTGCCATAAGCTGGTCAAAGTTAAGCATATTAGAGTCGCCCTGACCAGGTTAGTAGAACATAAAGAGTAAAGAAGTACCTACTTTTATTACTCGCATATAATTTTTTCTTGTAAAATATTTTGTTCTCTAGTAATGAGAATAGGAATAGATTTGTTTAAAGGGAAACAAGATGAGTTGGAGAAAGAAAACAATATGCAGAACAAGAGAGAAAAAAATAATTAAAGACTGCGTCACTCAATGAACCAATTATAGCCAATTAATCAGGAAATTACCATTATAAGGCAATAAATGCATACAAACTGTCAAGTAATTATATATGTTAGATTGTCATCCCAGCAAAGTACAGCCTGGTCTCTATGTATCATCATAAAATATGTCTTATGCCTTTGTGGAACTAAGGGAGGGAAAAGCGAAGCATTTGTAAATGTTTTCGACTCAGAGGAACTATCAACCGAAAAAAGAAAGCATGTTATTTTGGTTATCATTTTTCCATGCTAATTTTCCTTACTCAGAGGATCATACATCTTGGTGAAATCAATCAGCAGATATTATTGAAACTACATTTTCTTAAAAGAAAATTCCTAGCCTATTGCTATATGTAATAAAAGAAAAGTGGCCTTATACTCACTTTCGGGATCAATGCAAAAAGAAAAAAAAAGAGAGAGAATAAAGAAATCAAATACTAATTTCTATCGTGTGTGCCTTGATCTTCATTGTTTGACTTCTTATTAAGGAAGTGCTATATGTTTTTGACCTTTTGAACACTACATTATTGGTGAAGTTATACATTCATCTTTGATTGGTTACCACTCTAAAATGTTTAACAAAGAGAAAACCCCAAATTATATTTCTATGACACCATCAATAAACCAAGCGATCTTTGTTTATTTTATAGTTCTTTTTAAGTACTAATTGAATATGTTACATGTTATTTTATGGCTTGCATTCCAATTATGAGTTCATGTGAAAAGGAATACTTTCTGTACGTTTGCTTTATTTATTACTCCACAAGGCAAAATCATTGGTTAGCAGCATTGCAAAGTATATATGTACTATAAAGCTTTTGTCCTGCTGCGAAAAAAATTTTGGCCAATCAAAAACAAATCCATATCTGCAGGATAAAAAAGGAATCGTCAACTAAACACTAATATTTTATCTCTTTTTCTCCTTTTTTTCCCCTCTCTATTTCCTCTTAGTGGGACTCGACCTTTATTTGTTTCGCTCTATCCTCTCTCTTTAGAACAAAATACAGTCAAATATGCCTGCAACCGCTGCTCAAAGCAACTCTAAGAGCGATATTCAATCCAAGAAGATGACTGCTGTTGTCTCTGGCTCTAGCGAAGTTGAGACCAAGAAAGCTAAGGAAATCATCACCAAGCTCTCAGCTGCTTCCGATGCTGATCGCGAGTCTGTCGCCGAAGAACTCGCTGCTTTTGTTAAAGCAAACGGCGTCCTTTCCCTTACTCAATACAACATTGTTGCCACTCTTGCCAAAGAGCTTGGTAACAAGAAGAATGCAGGTGCTCGTCAAGGTGCTATTGCCGCTCTTGTTGCTCTTTCCAACAACTCTCTTGAAGGTCAAGTTGAACCCTATATCTTGCCTCTCTTAACTACTTTGTTGGAATTGCAAGCCGATAAGCAAGCTGTTGTCAAGAATGCTGCTCTTGCTGCAGCTCAGAACATGCTTGTCAAGATTAACCCCAATGCTGTTCCTCTTACTGTTCCTTACATTTTGGAAGGTCTCGGTAACTCCTGCAAGTGGCAGACTAAAATGCTTGCTCTTGAGCTCTTGACTAGCTTAACCAAGTTGCATCCCAAGCAATTCTTTGTTGCTATTCCTGATGTTGTTCCTGTCGTCTCTGACTGTATGTGGGACACTAAGGCCGATGTCAAGAAGCAAGCTACTGAAACTATGGGTGATATTTGTAAGCTCGTTGAAAACAAAGATATTGAACGTTTCATTCCCGCCGTTATTGGTTGTATCAACCATCCCGAAAATGTTCCTGAAACCATTCACTTGCTTGGTGCTACTACTTTTGTTCAAGAAGTTGACTCTTCCACCCTCTCTATCATGGTTCCTCTTTTGGGCCGTGGTTTGAATGAACGTGCTACTCCTATCAAGCGTAAGTCTGCCTTGATCATTGACAACATGTCTAAGCTTGTCGATGATCCCGACGTTGCTGCTCCTTTCTTGCCTGTTCTTTTGCCTGCTCTTGAGCATGTTCAAGATATTGTTGCTGATCCTGAATGTCGTGGTGTTGTTCAAAAGGCTCTTGCCACTCTTCAACGTCTCAAGAACCCTGGTACTGAAGTGTTCACAAAGGTTCAAAAGCAAGCCAAGGTTGAATCTTCTATCAAAGAACTTTTGCCTTCTGACATTGATTCTGGTTTTGAACCTATCACCAAGTACATGAACGACATTGCTCTAAGTCTTTGTGTTGGCAAGAACTTCTTTAAAGATGTCTGGATTGCCGCTCTTTCTCCTTATGCTAAGGCTTTCTATGTCGATGCTGATGCTCAAAGTTTGGCCTTTTCTGCTTTGAACAAGTGTGAAGAAGCTGTGACTCCCAAGGATCTTGAAGAAGAAGAAGACGAAGGCGAAGACCTTTGTAATTGTGAGTTCTCTCTTGCTTATGGTGCAAAGATCTTGTTGAACAGAACTGCTCTCCGTCTTAAGCGTGGTCGTCGTTACGGTCTCTGTGGTGCCAACGGCTGTGGTAAATCTACTCTCATGCGTGCTATTGCCAATGAGCAAGTCGAAGGCTTCCCTCCTCGTTCTGAACTCAAGACTGTTTACGTCGAACACGATATTGATGGCTCTGAAGCCGATACTCCTCTCGTTGACTTCATCCTTGCTTCCGAAGGTGTTGAGACTAAGGACCCTGAACAAGTCCGCAAGATCCTTTTGGAATACGGTTTCTCTGAAGCCATGGTTACCAAGATGGCTATTGGTGAACTTTCTGGTGGTTGGAAGATGAAGCTTGCTCTTGCTCGTGCCATGTTGATGAACGCCGATATCCTCTTGCTTGACGAACCTACCAACCACTTGGATGTCGTTAACGTTGCCTGGTTGGAAAACTACCTCTTGGGTCTCAAGACTGTTACCTCCATCATTGTCTCTCACGATTCTGGTTTCTTGGATCATGTCTGTTCCGATATCATTCACTACGAACCCAACTATAAGCTCAAGCGTTACAAGGGTAACTTGTCTGAATTTGTCAAGAAGGTTCCTCGTGCTGCTTCTTACTACTCTCTCGAAGCCTCTCAAATCTCTTTCAAGTTCCCTGAACCTGGTTTCCTCGAAGGTATCAAGACCAAGGAACGCGCTATCCTCAAAATGAAGAATGTTGACTTCCAATACCCTGGATCAGACCGTAAGCAACTCATTGATATCTCCATGCAATGTTCTCTTGCTTCTCGTGTCGCTGTCATTGGTCCTAACGGTGCTGGTAAGTCTACCTTGATCAAGTTGTTGACTGGTGAAATTGAATCCGAAGTCGGTACCGTCTGGAAGCACCCTAACTTGCGTATTGCCTACGTAGCTCAACACGCTTTCCATCACATCGAAAAGCATTTGGATTCTACCCCCAACGAATACATTCAATGGCGTTACGCTACTGGTGAAGATCGTGAAGAGCTTGATAAGAACGACCGTATGAATGCTGAGTCTAACAAGAAGGTCATGGAGCAAGTCTTTATCATCGATGGTGAAAAGCGCGTTGTTGAAGAACTTGTGGGTCGTCGTAAGCTCAAGCAATCTTACGAGTACGAGGTCTCTTGGGTTGGCCGTTCCTCTGTTGACAACACTTGGATCTCTCGTCAAAAGCTTGAAGACATGGGTTTCGGTAAGAAGATTGCTGAAGTCGACTCTGCTGAAGCTGCCAAGATGGGTCTCAACCGTCCTTTAACTGCCAAGGAGATTGAGAAGCACTTGGCTGAAGTTGGTCTTGAACCCGAATTTGCCACTCACTCTCGTATCCGTGGTCTTTCCGGTGGTCAAAAGGTCAAGCTTGTTATTGGTGCTGCCATGTGGAACAAGCCTCACATGTTGGTTCTTGACGAACCTACTAACTACTTGGATCGAGAGTCTCTTGGTGCTTTGGCCATGGCTATCAAGGAATTTGGTGGTGGTGTTGTCATTGTTACTCACAACCGTGAATTCACTGAAGCTCTCTGTAATGAAGTCTGGATGGTCGATGCTGGTCGCTTAACTCCTTCCGGCCACAACTGGGTTTCTGGTAACGGTTCTACTGCTATCAAGGAACAAGAACAAGAAGACATGGTTGATGCTCAAGGTAACACCATCAAGGCTGTTGAAAAGAAAAAGAAGTTGACTTCTAAGGAACTTCGTAAGAAGAAGAAGGAGCGTATGGAACGTCGTAAGCGTGGTGAAGAAGTCTACACTACTGACGAAGAATTGTAAACTACTTGATACTCCATTCTTTTTTTTTATTATTATCATTCATAACCTACATACATATATCAAACTTAAAAAATATACATTTATTTTTTGTTAATAAAATAACTTTGAAAACCTATATATCTATGTCTTTCTCTTATGCTGATCATCTTTTAACTCGGCTAATGTATTCGCAGTTTAAAGTGACGTAAAAAGTACAACACAGACGCAGTTTTTTTTTTTCTATAAATAAGATGTTTACTTTTGATTTTACATTTATTTTTTCTTTATAAATAAAATGTCTGAAAAGCCTCTTCGCGTTGGTATTGTTGGTACTGGTATTTTTGCCTATCGTCATCATAGAGCCTATAAGGCTATTGGAAACAAGTATAAAATTGTAGCTTGTTCAAATAGATCCAAAGAAAAGGCATTAGCTTTTGCTAAAGAGGTAAGTTGACAAGTAAGGATAAAATGTGTTAAGTCAAAAAGGTTGGCATTCCCGAATCTGCTGTGTACACCAATTCTGCTGATCTTATTAATGATCCAAACGTTGATGTGGTAGACATTCTTTTACCCGTCCAGTTCAATAAAGAGGTATGATGTTGTATGCTCTGGTTCCTGTTTATTCATCTGTATCATCCAGGTTATCGAAGCTGCAGTAGCTGCCAACAAGCATGTCATGTTTGAGAAGCCCATTGGTAAGTTAGGAAAAGTACAGTGTTTTGGATACTCAATTCATATAGCTGCTACTCTTAAGGATGCCCGTGACATTGTATCTATCTCTCAAAAGGCAAAGACAGTTGTTGCTGTCAGTGAGAATTGGTCTTACCATCCAGCAGCTTTCGCAGTAGCCGAGTTTGTTAGAAATGGTGGCATCGGAGAAGTAAATAACCATCGTTACATAAGCCTGTGCTCATTCTTTTTTAGATTGTCAACTTTACTTATGATTCAGCTCGTCCCTATAGCCCAAACTCGCCTTATCACTCAACTAAATGGCGTCAAAACCCTGAGCATCCTGGGTAAGTCCTTCATGCAATGACGAAACATACTAATGTTTATATGACAGCGGCTATTTAAGTGATGGTTGTGTGCACGACATGGCTCATTTGGTTCCTATCCTAGGCAACTTTGATACTGTGGCTGCTTTTGCCACAAAGAGACACAGTATCCATGTGTGTGAAGACACTTTGGCTACAACTATCAAGCTCGAAAGTGGTGCTGTTGGTGTTGCTAACTTTACTTTTGTAAGTAAATCAAAAAATAAGAGCATTATTTGTTCATTTGGGTATATAGTGTTCCGCAGGCCATAAGAAGCAAGACTTGCTTGTACACGGTACAAAGGGTACTGTCAAATTAATCAATGATGATCAAGTCGAATTATTCAATGAAAATGGTGAAGCTGTTGACGCTTCTAATGTTTTGTCCCTTCAATCCAATGCTCCAGGCAATGGCTTTTCTGATGTTGAGGGTGAGATGTCTGCTTTTTATGATGCTGTTCGCTCAGGCAAGAAATTGGGTGTTACCACTGAAGAAGCTTTCCACCACCTCGCTTTTATTGTTGCCTCTCTAGAATCAGTTAAGACTGGTCAAGCTGTCAAAGTTGAACAGATCTAGAATATGTATTTTTTTTAATATAAAATAAAGAATATTGGGTATATGTAAACTAGATCTTCAAAGTGTCTCTTCCTCATCTTCCAACCAAGTGTTGAGATTACCCAACTCTTCTTCTTGATTTTGCTGCGGTAGATGCTGCCACTGCCGATTATCAGCACCGCCTCTAACAAACCATAGCAAGCCTGTATTACGCAACATACTCCTACCAACTTGAAAACGAGTTCAGTATGAGTACTTGTATATGTATTTATTGTCTTACTGCATGTCCCACAGCAAAAGCACCAGCATAATCCTGCCAAGAACACTAATACCATTGCAGAGACAATTATCCAGACTTGCAATAACGTAAGCTCTGCCATAAGAGGGAAGAAGGAGAAGAAGAAAAAATAAAATAATTCAATCGGCGTTCTATGCTTGTTGAACAATAAAACTATGATAACTAAACCTGTTCAATATACAACGTTCGATCTTTATGGCGCCAGGTGTCTTGTGCTTCAAACAAAAGAGCAAATGCTTATGTATGACGTACATTGTACAAGGTGCAAAGATGCGTATCTACTATCATTCACTATCGAAATTGCTATATGTTCTGTAATAACCACAAAGTAAATATAGGTATGAATTATACACCTTGTTTTCTGCTTTGTTCAATCAAATATTCTTTCTGTTATGCTCAATTTCATACAAGGCAAAAAAAAAAAAAAAAAAAAAAAAAAAAGGTCGCACATAAAGTGGAACTTGCTGAAAATGTCTTGTAGCAACAGGCTGCTAAAAAAGGTCATGCTGGTGCCTAATTTATACATACAAAGAAATAGAAAAACATTCAAATGGATCAACTTTGAGACAACATAATTTTAGCTTTTTCTCTTTCTTTTCTTTTCTTTTTTGCAAGTTGTTGGTATTTATATGAAGATTGTAACTGAATGTTATTAGAATGGTAAGTTATTTCTCCGAGAAAGAAAGCCTAGATTTCATTCATTCATTTATGTGTCAAATAATACGACTTATTCTTCATTTTTCTTTTTCTTTTTCTTATATCAGTTTTTTTCTTAACTCTTTATTTATAAATTCATAGGCTAGACGTCCTCTTTTGATTTATAAATATAGCAGTTATGGGTAATAAAACAAACAACAGACAGCTCAATTCCTATGACTTTTCTAGAACACACGTTCAAATGGGCGGTATTCATAAGAAAGTCCATGAAGCAAAAGCTTCACGTGTGGGAAGAAAGGCAAAAGAAATACTTAAAAGGAATTTGGGCTTTTTTTTAAAAAAGGGCATTAGCACCCAACAGCTATTGAACTACTATGCAACTAACAAGTACAATTCACTTTCCAACATCAATAGTCAGAACACCAAGCTTCCTTCCAATGAACAAGAAGATCAACAGAGCCATCAAGCACTTATTCATGCTTTGGCACAAAAATATGCCTTACATGCTTCTCCTTCCTGGCAATATGTTGCTTCAACTATTGGAGAGCCTAAGCTTCCACCCGTAGATGCTTTGCCCCGTACCTGGAAAGAAAGCCTGAAGCCAGAACATCAACATCTGTATGGATTTACTCTGAAGCAAGCTAAATATCAAGAACTGATTTATGAAATTATTTTGACTGAACAGTCTTATGTAGATGATTTAATTTTGGTGTACAAAGTAAGCACACTTTATTTTTTAAAGGCATGTATGTATTAAATGTTCCGAATAAATAGATATTCATTAAAGAAGCACTTTGCTGGGATGGTTTGTCTTCATCCGTAAGACATTTATTTGAAAATATTTTTCAAATCATACGATTACATTTGCAATTACTCAAGGTAAGAACTTTTTATTAGTATTATTCGTGCCTTATTTGTTTGGCAGGAATTAAGAAGCCGGCAAGTAGCAGAATATCCTGTTGTCAATTCAATCACAGATATCTATAGATCATTTGTAAGTGAATGACACTAAAAAGAGTACAAATTGATCGAAAGAAACTACAGATTACTCGGTTTGGAGTTTATGCTTCTTATTTCTCAAATTTTGAAAAGGCAAACAACACAATAGCAGACAGTTTGAAATCATTAGATGAATTTGGATTTTTTGTTGCAGTAAGTGGGTTGCTTTGATAATGTATTGCAAAGTAATGACTTTGGAATTTATTAGCGCCGATCGTTATGGGCCGAATGTCGAAATCTTCCACTTTCTGCTTACTTGCTAAAGCCTATTCAAAGAGTTATGAAATATCCTTTATTCTTCAAGTCATTGCTAGAATGTCTGCCAACAAACGATGGCGATATGCACAATATTCAATGCTTCTTATCAGAGATGGATATTATACTGCGTTACTTTGAAAAACAAAAGAAAGAATCTGAAGACTTTATTAAACTAGAAGATCTAGCGGGAAGAATAACAGGACTGGAAGGATCTACCATTCGTTTAGCAGAGCATGGCAGAAAATTAATTTATGAAGGATACTTAACAATAGTTCCCAATACACAGCAACAAATGACAACACGGTTCGACGATTCTGACATATCATTATCGAGTTCCATTCATCCTCCAACACTCAGCAGACGAAACAGTACGTTCTCTTTAGCATCTAAAAAACAAAAAAGAGCCTATGTATTTTTGTTTAATGATTTGATTGTCTGTACAAGGGTAAGGAGAAGAAAACACGTACTTGTATTCATACAAAGCTACAGGAAAGAACCAAAAGAAAGACAAGTCAAACAGAGAACAGAATGATGGCACCTCCTCCTAAAAAAGATTCGTTTTATGGTCCTTCTCCAGATACACTTTTCAAAATTACTCATACACCAGGCAAACTGACATTAGTCGACAAAAATGTGGTCCGAGAAGCATGTCCAAACAGTGAGAAACTATCAAGGCGAGGTTCAGCATTGTTCCAATCTTTGCGTAGATATGGTTCTCGCTCTAATGAAGACAGTCTACTATCCCCACAGGCGATTTTCCTGCATCGTCTTATAGTGCTCCATTTTACAAAGACGCACAGCAAATGCAGGTCCAACAAGTGACATACGAGAAACATCCTCTTCAATTTATCTGCTCTGTTGCAACTCGAAATTTGACAAATATTCATTTTGAAGCAGAAACTCCAGAAGAGAAAGAGATATGGTGCCATTATCTTGAGAGTGTTTTGGAAGAACACGTTCAGAGAAATACCCAACAACAGCAACAGAAAGAGGAACCTTTCTCAGTTGAATACAGTCAAACCAGCTCGCAAAGAGCATCGCTAAGTCCTACAAATTCACATTACTCATTTGAGAGTGTCTCTTCCATTGATTCCATGGTCTTTTCGGCTGCTTGGACAGGCTATTGCGATGTTGAAAAAATGGAATTGGATGATGATCTTGATCCTCAGAAATTAGATACTACCATAGATAAAAATCAAGCACTTATAGATACGCTCTTGTGTGAATTTGACGATAGTGTTTGGTCTATTGGTACTCCCGCAGGATTGTCGCCTCATCAGTTACGAAAAACTTTTTCTGACATAGGCTCTAGCTTTCAATAATACCCTTTCAAGCATATGCATTCCCCTTCGTCAAATAAAGTGTGTAAAAAAATTCAAACACCATTTTCTTTTTTCCTTTATCGAATTATGGGAGCAAACAATATCAACTTGCTATGCCCACCTGAACAGTTTGGTATAGTAGAGCCTGGTATATACCGCTCTGATATGCTACAGCAACCACACTTTTCTTATTTGAAGCAGTTTGGGTTTAAAACCCTGATTATGCTTAGTCCAGAGTTACCAAACAGAGTGACGACCAACTTTATTGAAGAAGGCAACATCAATCTCGTCCATGTTGGCATGGCAACTTGGAAACCCACTCAACCGTCTACTTGGAGACCAGTATCGGAAGAACTCATAAAAGAAGGACTCGAACTGATCTTGGATGTAGAGACACACCCTATCTTGATCATGTGCACGTAAGTAAGAAGAATCCTTAAAGACTGTCTAACACCATATAAAGGTCAGGTATTCATGAAACAGGAACATTAGTAGGCTGTTTGAGGAAACTTGAAGGATGGAATTTTAGCTCAATTGTGACAGAGGTAAATAAAGAAATACAATGGTATTTTATTCATACATTGCTAGTACCGAGCTTATGCTGGAACAAAAGCAAGATATGTAAATGAACAATTTATTGAATTGTTTGATCTGGACCTTGTTACGCTACCTTTGCATCTGCCAGCTTGGTTTATAGATCAACAGAAAATGCTAGTAAGTCATTACATGTCTCACTAAGCATTGACAACTAGATAGGCTGATGAAGAAGAGGAATTCAGAAAAGAACAAAAAGCTCAAAAGTAACTTTCACTACATGTTGCTTGTACATATTCATTTCCTTAATAAACAATATACCTTTTGATAATCGCACTGTTTATTACATTTATATAGTTGCTAAAATAAGGGGGATTCTTTAGTCGCTCTTATGCTTGAGACTTGACATCTCATATTGAGTATCATGCCCATTTGTATTGACTACTTCTGCTAATTTTGCTTTTGCTATTTTGGTTCCTTCGTTTGCAATTGTATTTACAATCCTTTCAACTGGGCGCCATAAGTTCAATGCATAAAGTATATAGCCTATTGTGATACAGAAGGAAAAAAGGACAAGGTAGAAAGGGCTTTTGATTATTGCTATAAATTCATTCCAACCTAATACAGCCATCAACAGAATAACCCAAGTAGGTACTTTGGCAGTAGTAGTAACAATAGACCGCTTGGCTTCCAAATAGAATGCATCTGATTCACGTTTGAACCTGTTTGAAATGTCGATTTGCTTCGCTTCACCAAGGACTGTCAGTGTCTGATTGAAATCAAAATCTTCTGTAGATTCAATTGCAAAGTCGTTGTCTAAGCTTAAGTCTACTTTGGAAAACAATTTAATCAAGCTCAAAGTCTATCTCATGTTAGCCCGTAGCACATGAATTCAGCTATAGTATACCTCATCTTTAGCCTTTTTGAAGTATATATCTATATCATCTTCAGGTTTCCAAACTTTAGGAATACCTTCTTCGTCATACCGAAACTTTTCTTCAAATCGATAGCGAAGCTTAAGCAATAACAAGTTGTCTGATAATTCTTCATCTACTTTCTTTCGAAGCACAACCCAAGTTTGTCGTTTCAAGTCCTGTGTTGATTTTTCAATATCTTCTGGCGAAGAATCAAAGCCTAAACAAAGGATGAGTTTTTATTTTCATAGTCTGTGCGTGCATTCTACTTACTTTTTGCTTTTTTTGCTAGTAACTCTTTACCATCATCAACTGTAGACTTATAGACTTTGATAATATTGTGCCACATATCCTCTTGAGGGTGATTTAATTCAAGAGCAATAGGATCAGCAAGTTCTGACTCAACCTGCTTTTCGAGGGCCTTGTTCATTTTCTTGAATTCTGCAGCACGAGCTCGAGAGGAAATCTCACTCAAGTCTTCATTCATTCTCTCCTTTTCATGGTCAAAAGACCAATCAGTATCAGATAACAGAATGGCTATCATGTTACAAGTCATAAATGCTATTTTTTTCTGTATACACTTTACCTTTGGCTCCATTGATGAAGAATGTGTCGGCTTCTTGAGTACATGCATTGACGACTTGAGCAAAATTGTAATTGAGTGATTTTAACTGTTGCTTTAAACTTTCATCAAACATCTGAACCGCTTTCTTGTGTAAGCTGTTCAACTGTCCTGCAAAATAGAGACCTAATTGCGTGTTCAATTTTGCGAGCATTTCAGAACGTTTCTTTTGATAAACAACTTGGTTATAGCGAGAAGCGCTCTTGTCAAATGATTCCATTGCTTGTTGTCTCATTTCTTGCATTTTGTCACCTAATTCAGGAACAATTTGATTCTTTTCAAGAATAGGCGTTTTGAAAGGCATAATCTGTTGTTGGAACACTTCGAAAGCAGCCTAATTTGCAGTCATGTTAATCAAGAAAATACAAGTAGTCAACTTACATTTGAAATTTCGTCACATCTGTATTGTGCTAGTAACTCTTGCTGTGTAGGCAAGTCCAAATCTTTGTTTGTGAGCACCTCGTCCCAAATGCTAGAGGCGTACATGTCATAACCGTCTGCAGGAATACGCTTGTGATACTCAGGACGGAATACATAGTCTGGATTTTTGGGATCATTGAATCTTTGTAATAAATAATGATGTGAGTCAAATTTAGTGTTTTGTTGATCATTTTGAATACCTTTTACGAAGTTTTGCTACTTCTTGATCAAAATTATCTGGCTGGAGAATTTTGTGAGGTAAACCAGCAAACATGAAATCAAAGTAGTCTGTGATTTTACAGTTTTTAAGTTCTTCAGGCTATACATGTCCTTATTTCAGCTTTCAAATAGATATGGTATGATATCTTACCTTTGACAAGCTTTCCCAAATCGTTTCAAGATCCGATCTTAGCGTACTTGCCAAATTATCCAAAGGCGTAGCGCCGACGAAATCTCGAATGACCATTAACAATAAGGTTTTTTCTTTACCGCTGCCACAATGCAATTTAGCCGTGATTTATCATCCACCTTTTACAAACCTCTTTTGGTTCTGAAACAATTGCAAATTCACTTCGAATACAGTCTTTAAGAGACCCATATTGGCACCTTGATACAGACCGACTTGGTGCTCCCATAAATTGATGATAATGACTTCACTTGTAGCCATTGAGAATAAGGCAGACTTACGCTCAAAGTCTTGATCTTCACCACGCTCGCGACTATCTGTCCCTTCTACATCCATCACAAGTACAGGCATGCCTCGAGCACGGGACAACCAAATGCCCTTTGTGGTTTGTTTACGTTGAGCTTCATCCATTTCAACAAACCCTGTACCAAACAACCGATTCAGCAAAGTACCTATAGGAGGATAAGTATAGCTATAGACATATGTTCTCAAATTACTTTTGCCTGTACTTTGAGAGCCAAAGACAGCAACAACATCGTATTTGAAACCAACGTCAGATAATCCCCATTCTCTCATATACTCGGGCAGTTTTGTACTATAAACAATGAGAAAAGGAATCTATACTATCGAGTTACTCATACCTAAACTTTTTCTCTTCATTGATTACTTGAAGTTGAGGAATAGGCTGTGTATCATGGTCCCAATCAGCAATCGTAAATGATGATTTATTGCTTGCGAATGTATCGTTTAAAGGTGTAGGAACAATAGCATCTTTGTTTTCATGATGGCTAGCTGTCGTCTCCATAGTGAAACTCTTGAGAAAGAAAAGAAAAAGACCCAGGTTTATTTTTCTTTTTCTTTTTTTTTTTTATATGATTTCATCAGCATGGTTAATGCAACAGAGGTGTCCAATCATAATTTGCTCTTGAACAAACTTGGACGATCATTTGTTTTCAATTTCCGTAATTACAATTTCTTTAGCTTCTTTCTTGTTTTTTTAAAAAAATTATGAAGGCAATTGTTACTGGTGCCTCTGGACTCTTGGGCAGACCTGTCGTTAGAGAATTTCAAAACGCTGGTTGGGAAGGTAACTTGAAGAGGTGTATATATATATAAAATATCATGAAGCTTATGATATCGCGTTTTAGTTGTTGGTACAGCTTACTCTCGTGTTAAAGACAACCTTGTCAAGGTAAAAGGCACGCGTCAGAATATAGCATCATAGCTAAAACACACTGTTTTGATAGCTTGATTTGAAAGACGGTGCTGCTGTCGAGAAGTTTCTCGAGGAGCAAAAGCCTAACGGTATGTTTACAAACAAAGAAACATATCTCTCTTAACCATATGTTGCTCCAGTTCTTGTTCATTGTGCTGCTGAACGTCGTCCTGATGTTGCTGAGAAAGACCGTGAAGGTGCATTACGCGTAAGTCACGTCTTTTTTTCCCGAGAAGAAATCATAATGATGCCGTTTTCTAGTTGAATGTTGAGACACCTAAAAGACTCGGTACACTCTGTAAAGAAAAGGGCATTATGCTCATTTATATCAGTACAGACTATGTGTTTGATGGCACTTCGCCTCCTTATGAGGTTGATGACAAGCCTCACCCATTACAATTCTATGGTGAAACAAAACTGGCAGGTGAGGAAGCAGTCATGAGTGTTTATCCCGAAGCAGCTATTCTTCGCGTTCCTATTTTGTATGGTCGCACAGAATACAACGGTGAATCTGCCATCAACATTTTGATTGATGTAGTTTTAGTAAGTGATACATGAGTGGATATTCAAGTGGTTTATGGCTCACTATGATTAGAATCACAGCAAACCTGCTACTGTAGACAATGTCGCTGCTAGATACCCTACAAATGGTAAATGAAATATGGATAATTCATTCAAAAAAATACTAAGCTATAAATACTTTAGTCGAAGATGTTGCCCGTGTATTAAAGGATCTATCAGGTTTGTATGCTTCTTTTTTTTCGGAGGGAGGCTAATATAGCGTTATTCTTAGTTGCCAAATTGAAGGAAGGTAAAGACATTAAGGGCATTTATCACTTTACTGGTCAAGAATGTATTACAAAGTATCAAGTTTGTGGTAGGATTACATTATAATCATTGGTATGTGTCTAACTTGGCTTGTAGAAATCTTCGGTTCTATTTTGAATGTACCCATTGACCATCTTGCCCCACAAAATACAGTTGATAAAGCTGCTTCTGGTAAATGCACATAGTGCTAAATATATACAAACAATACTAAGATACATTTGGTTTAGTCTCAAGACCTGAAAATTCACATTTGTCTGTCAAACGTCTTGAAGAAAGCAATATTGACACAAGCTTCGTCAATTTTGCCAAATGGTGTTCGCAAAACCTTGGTCTCCAAAACAACTAAAAGTTTATTATAATAAACTATGTGTTTTATTTTGACATTTGTCGATCAACTACCATTAGACTTCCTACAAAAGTCAAGTTCTACAATTCAATAAAATAGTTAGAATGAAATCATCATTCTATTGTACTTGCCATCTTTGCTCTCACTTCAACAATATCTTCAGGTACAAGGAAAATAGTAGCACCCAGCTTTCGAGCAATTGAAATAGCCAACCTGGCATTATTAAATGCATCCTCAGCTGTGCAAAAGATGAATCACAATGTATTTTCAAAAGTTCATTTACCTGTATTGCCTGAAGTGGCATGAGTAGGGTCTACAATACCAGGTTTCATGCCATTCAATACATCTAAAAAGAACACACCAGTATTTAATGAAGGATCTCTAAATGACTTCATGGAATAATGACTTCCTCCTCGTTGAGCAGTTTCGTTTGCCCATTTAACCATATCCATGTCGGTCACAGGTCGACCTCCTTTACTCAACGATTGTAGAGTAAACACGATGTTCTCTCGCATCATTTGCCATACAAGACCTAATGTCAGTGTTTTGTTTTCATCGACAATATCAGCACCCTGAATACCAACAAGAGAAAACCTGTTTTCTTGTCCTAAACGTACTGCATAATTACAATTCTCTAGTTGTTTGAACCGAGAAAGCGGTTGTTTTTGGCTCACCAGGCGCCATTGAACAAGACCAGGAACAATCTTATCAAATGCTTGAAGCAAAATCAAGCCATCTTTAAGATCCTCATACAAGTTATACACACCAGGCTCTACATTGAGGCTGTTGAGCCACAAGGTAAACATACGTGCTTCACGTTCTCCTTCGGCATCAAATGGCTCTACTTCAGGTACTTCTTCTTCTGTCAAAGGCTCAAGACCAGGATGTGTGTTAAACAAATGAGCCACAAAAGCCAAGTTCAATTTGGCGTTGCCAGCCACCATAGCTTTGGGTGTCAGATACTTGCGACAACCAATGGCTTCTGCATTTTGGAGGACAAGTTCTGCACGTTGCATTAGATCAGGTTCCTGTAATGGTGCACGCGAACAGGATTCAGGCTTAAGTTGGTTCAGTAAGACTGTATAGTTTTCACCATCAGAGACGTCCTTTGTAAAACCAGCTACTCTTTTAAAGAAAAAAAGAAACTTGTTAGACTATTCTCATTTAAAATGTACCTTACTTTCTATGCCACCCTGCAGCCTTCAAATGAAAATTAAACCATCTTAATAAAATGATATCGGGTGGTAGCTTCAAGAGTTCGTTCAATGTTTCTCCTTCTTCCAATAAACGATATAATTCTGGATGTTGTTGAATGGTGATCTTGTTTAGTAGCCCACGCTTAATAATTTGCCAAATCAAGCCCAAGATTAAGTATTCCTTTGCTTCAATAATATCTTGAGAGCCAATATTAACAACAGAGCAACCTATGGCTTTTGCAGAATTGATCACAATGTTATTATTCTCCACCATTTGAAAATTGTTAATCTTCTTCTTGACATTAAGCACACGTTCATCAATGGTGTCTGGTACAGCATCGTTGATTAATTTACACAATATGAGACCATCTCGACATTCATCAAACAGCTGCATTGTATTCGTGGGAATAGGCAATCGATAACCGACATCTGGATCAGTTTCCATAACACTATTGATATGGCGAGTAAATTCTGTTCGTTCATCCTCATTGATTGTATGTGTTGCATCACTATTAGCACCTTGTACACGAATCTTGTGTTGATGTACATCAAAAGCGCCTTTGTTACGGCCTTCTTTAAGCCTGTTTACCAGCTAAAGAAAATGAGATACATTTCTTTTTAACGTTGCATTACATCAATAAACTCTTCCACGTCAATTTTACCAGTAGCACTTGTGGCTACTTGTTTCAAAGTAGCTCGAATTTCATCATAGTTGTATTCAGCACATGCTTGTTGAATTTCTCTTTGGTCAAGAAGCCCATCTTTATCTAAATCACATTCTCTGAATACATTGTTAGTTATGCATCAAGATTAAAATTAAACACTTGCTGAAACTTGTCAATTAGAGCATTTATGTCGTTTACTTGAAAATTGGGAAATTTTTTTTGAAGCATGAATGCATTTACAACCATCTTTGCTAATGATAAAAGAAAAAAGAAAAAAGAAAAAAATATGGTTTCAAACAGAAGAATGTCGGAATAAAATAGCCCTGCAACTCATTTCATCTCAAGAAAGAAAAATGTAGGCTTTTTGATTCATATAGAACATAGATTGCCAGCTGGTTTGTGAACAAAGAATGGCCAACTTGTCAATTGCAAATGAAAGATCATAACTTTTTTTTTTTTTTTTTTTTTTTTTTTGCATGAATGGCACAAGACATAATTCAATACCCGCTTGACAAAACCCATAGTACTTAGTGCAACGGTCCCAGTCCGTTTCTGATTGCCATTTTGGATGAAAAACTGAACAACGGCAAATCGGTTTTGTTTCTCCTCTTTTTGTTTTTTTTTTTTCCTGCTGATTAGCTTTTTTAAACATAATTATTCAGTGAATAGTAAATGTGTTTCTTGAGTTCAGAAAAGGTTATTTGATAATGTTCTCATTATTTATAACTCATATTAAAAAAATATTTCTATGCTCTTCTTCGCGACTATAATAAATGTATGTCGTACAAAGATTTTCGTTTTGTGCAGAGCCTCTTTACAACAGGTTCAGTGCGCAGAAATAAATTGACAATTAAGTAAATATGTCATTTCTGCTTCTATATGAGTTTTTTTTTTTGTGTTCATACTTACTCATGTATCTGTAATAATGATCAACAGAATCACAGCTAGTTCTATTTTAAGATGATCGTATCAAGTAAGGATATTTACCTAATTGTAAATCGAAAAGGATGGGGATGATAAGTTTTTTTTTTTTTTTTAATCGCAGTTTACTGCATCAAAGTATTTTCAATTTGGCTATTAAGTCGATGAATAGAATCAATTAAAATATAAAAATCACTAAATTGAGTAAATACATATGACATTATTCGATCAGAATAGAATGCATTGAATTGTTTAGATAAATATACAGGGTACATCGTGCCAAATAAGCTATGTCATATATTATGATTCATGTATATTTTCTTATTGTTCACATAGGTATATTGCGATATAGACACTGGCAAAAGAAATTAAATAGAAGTCTTGGTCACAAAAGCAATCGATAGTAGTCCTTAATCTCTTAAATCTAACTTGGTGGTCCCGAAAATGCAACAGAAACGTGGCGAACACTTTGTGTGCATCAGAAGCCATTTGCCGCACATGTTTCAGAGTTAACCCGTGTGCATCTTTACTGTCATTTTGTATGTGTAACCAATTCTGCAACTTGACAAGAAATTAAGGTACTACAGTTGCCATTTTCTTCATTAAATTCATACACATGATGAAAAATCTCGGTCTCATAGAAAATATAACAACTCTTTAGTTTCTCCATCCTACTGATTCCACAAGTTTGTCTATAAATAAGAATGGGGACGTGTAACAATCAACTGTAATGTGCTTACATCTTAAATTTGAAAATAGTATACTACAATGACGAAAATCAGCATTTCTCTATATCGATATTTATGGCCGATATGTCAATTCAAAATCAGGGAATTGTATAATTTCTATTTTCATCATATCTAATATTTCGTTGTAACTAGTGTTCTTGGTAGAGATTTGTAAATGAAAATAGCGCCATAAGACTGAAGCCTCTTTTTATAATAGCGGTAATAATAATAATCTAGTATTCAGTTGGTAAAAAAAAAAAAGAAAGAGAAATGAAGGGGTTATGAATTAAAGTTATAAACATACAAACAAGATATAGGATTGGTTTTAGTTCTTTGCAGCGTATTCCACTAAATCCATTTGAGAGTTTTCACCATCGTCTTCAATATGATCATCATCAACTTGGTGAGATTGATGACGATCACCACGAAAAGAAGCCTTTTCTTCGGAAGAATTAAAGTATTCTGAGTCTTGCAAAGGGATACCGGAAGGAGAAATCTTCATTTCGGGCACGATTTTCTTGTCTATAGTGCTATGAGGCAGTTGGTTGTGCTTTTGAAAAACTTTTTGATATTGTAATTGTTGTAATTTCAGTTCATCAAATGCGTTGTGACTCAGCGTACCATGTGCACCATTCTGGTTATGGTTACTGGCTGTGGCAGAATATTCTTGAGCAGAAAAGTTGGAATAAGTAACAAATTGAGGTGTTTGTTGACTGTTGGATCTTTCAGCACTGGACGTCTTCAAACCGAGGTTGGTATTATCATCAATCTTGGGACTAGAAAAAAAAGGATAAGTATTCCACCAACAAATTTATTTGCAACCTACTTGATAAGGATAGCAATAATAACACCACCACTTGAGACAGCACCCAAGAAATTCCAAATAATAGAAAGCACAATAGAACCAACATAGTTGATAATAATGATTTCACGCAAAATACCAAAGATCAACAAGAAGATGGCAAACATCATGACAGCAATACTGATAATAGAGACAACAGCACGAATCTTAAAGATACCTGTTTGAATGGCAACATAACGAGGACCAGATGTGTTGAACTTTTGTAAATGTTCTTGTAAAATAGCAACCAATCTAACACCAGCAAAGGCAACAAGAGCAGCAAGGGTTGTACAGTAAACAAACCACATGATATAAATCAAACGACTGAAGAGTTGAGCGAGTCTCAAGTCTCTTTCGGCTAAAATACCAGCTGATAGCGAAAAGACATTATTGATAATAAAAGGTGCAGTAAATAAGGTGCCACCAATAATATCCACTAAGCGTGGAGATGGCAACCAACTGTTGGCAATAGCACGGTGACTCTACATAGAGTATGTCAACAAATCACAAGATATAAGTGTTCCAACTTACGTCAGCCAATGTTTGAGCAATACCAATCAAATAGACAGCGAATCCACCATATTCAAACTGCCAAGGGAACTCGAACAAGACTAATTACTATATGTATTTAGCGAATATTCAAAACCAGACACATTGCTGAGGGATACATCTTACATGAGCGAGAAATCATATCTGGGCAAATATCGGTAAGAAGGACCATACTAACAATAAATCTCACTAATAAAAAATATAAATTAGAGGAGAGACAAAAAAAAAGCACATGGTGAAACATACATATATTGAAGATAATAAGAAACAACAGCATACAGTCAATGGGCTTTGGTCGAAAACAACCTTTAGAGGCAGAAGCGTCAAACAAAGTATGACCTTTGAGTACCACACGGTTGAACAATAAGCCAGAGCCTAGCATATAATATTAGTTAATAGACCTTAATTTTTTTTTCTTTCTCTGCTTTACCAATAATAAAGTTCATTGCACATAAAGCAGCATGGATTCCATAAACAATAGTCATGGCATGCGTTTCAGCACATCCTTCAATAGTTAAGCGCCAATCACAATGGCAAACACCATCAAGACAAACTTTTTGTAAAGTCTCTAGATCATACGCACTGTGATTCATACTAAAAAAGAGCTTCTTTTTTTTTTTTTGAGTAAATCAAGAAACTTAATAAAAAAAAGGGTATGAATAAAGAAGAAGAGAAATTAAAAAGAAAAGAAAGACAAATTTAATTTTTAAAAGGTGTCACTGTCAAAGGTAGCTGGGCTGAAAAGTAATAGTCTTGTGCAACTGGCTTTTAATCTTAATCGTAAGTTTATCCAGTCAAATAGCGTCGATCCAATCTATCGAAGTTGTTATGGAGATGAAACAGTAAATCGATCCGGTTTTTTGTTATCCTACAATATGCTACGCTTGTTGCATATTGTAATTTTATGAATTCTTTCAATTCATCAATTGAAATAAGAAACTGTTTAAATTTTTTATGTCTATAGTTTTTTTTTATGTGCTTATGCTCTATGCACTTATCGCCTGTCATTTCCGCATTACTAACTCTAAATATCTTTTTTTATAACCATTTGAAGCTGATCTTAATTAAGAAAACCAACGTGTGTGAGATACATAAAAGGAAACGAGAGTGGGAACGAGCCATTTTGGTTAATCCGATAGAAACTACCGTTAATTTTTCTGCAGGCTCGTAAAAAGATTAGATAATATAAACTATTTTTATAGTTTTCTTTGTAGTTATCTCAATGTGTTACCTTTTACCATACATTGAAACAAACTCCTACAAAAGGCTACGCATTGATAAGCAAACTATGACTTAAAATTAAAAAAATAGATCTTTTCCATTTTGATATTGTGACTTATGCCTATCATAAAAGTGCTCCGTTTGCTGACATAAGTCATGTGCAGCAAAAGAGATGCTATTTGGTATTAGAGAGATTCTCCCACAGTTTTATTTCTCAAGAAATATGGATACCAATAAGCATTCAGTTTGACAGCTGCTGGCAAAGCAGCAAATAAATGACTACCAGTAATTATTTGAGACTTATTACATACTCAGCATCATGAAACCAAGTGCTCGGTCACAGAAAAAAGTGCGTTTCTGGATTACTTGTGACACCGTCTAAGAGTTGGCGTGGATCAAATTATCCAATGGTCAACTTAAAGTTCTATCATGGCCAGTTATTTAAAGATACGAGTATACTCTCTATCAAACATTCCTCTTACCTAAAATAAACAAGGACTAAATAGTTCAAGAAATGTAACATGTTACATGAAATAAATGACATTCTAAAGTCAGTAGTAAAAGCAAGCCTTTGTGTAGATATACACAATTTGTAATTTCAGTATTTTTTTTACTTTAAAAGACATAGACAAATATGACAAGTCAGGTCGAGTAATTTGGTATATACATGAGACATACTACAAAGTTGATATATACATAGAGATAACTTCCTTATTTTGGTTAGAATATCTAAAAAAAAATGGCGTGTTACTTGAGAATTGAAGCGAGAGGAGCACACACTTCAAATGTGCAACAATTACATAAGAAATGAATTTAATTCTTTTATTCGTAATGCTCAATTAAGCATCACTTTCCCAAAAAGCAGTAGAAAAACTATCCGCAGATTTAAACAATCTAATTTGCTCTCTTACATCTTCCAGCATTTCTTGTGCCATTAAATACATTTCGGTTCCTTCTTTGTTATACATGAGTGAATTTGTTAGCATTAAGGTCACATCTCGCTCAAACTCAGTCGTTGTCTTTACAATCTAATCTAGAGATGAGTGACATAGATACGTGTATTTACAACAACTTACCCCATCTCTCACTCTATTCTTGATCGTCTTCAAATAAAGTGGTTGCTTGACTACTTTATCATAGAGAGGTGCATGGGATTTCTTGATGGGGTTCATAAACATGGTGCCATTCTTGTGGTTGGCAATTTCTTGCCATAAAAGATTGATATTCTTCTGCCAGGCTTTTTGTCGCTGTTCGGTTGTATTTAATGGTTTCTTGGATACAGAGGTAGGTGTAGAAGCTGTTTCATTCTGAAAATACTCTTCGTCAGGTGTGCTTGTTTTTATTTTAGGTGAAGCTAGTAGAAATAGAAAAAAGAAAAAGAGTTTATATGTAAATCATTAGAAAATGACTTGTGTTTTTATTGGTATAAATGTACCTGATGGTTCTTGTTGTGTATTTGAGGAAATTTCTTTAGGTATCAAGATGTTGGATACATGGTTAGTCTTGGCTTCTTTTGCCGTAGATTGATTCTGGGCTGTCTTTGTAGTTTGCTCGGTTCTCACAAGTGCATCTTCCGATGGAACTGTCACAGGAGTAATTTCAGGCGAGTCTACATTTAATACGACCTTTTCTTTTGTTGAGGATGCATTTGAAATAGCAGCAGAAAGCACATGAAGCTCCTTTAAAGATTCATCCTCATCTTGAAGGATAGTCAATCTGCATCTTTTTAGAGTATGTGATGAATCCACCAAAGATGCATCTGTTGTACGTTTTAAAGGATTTTCAGTAGTTCTCGGAGGTTCATTTTCATCCTGCTGTTTCTCTAGGCTGTTTGCATTCGACTCAGTGGTATGGTTCTCCAACACTGTTTTATTGTATTCAATGCTTTCGTTATTCTCCGAAACTGCTTCACTAGTATGGCTGCAACTATCGTTATTGTTACTGTTGCTATCGTTATTGCTATTGTCACTGTCGCTATCGTTATTGTTGTTATTGTTGTTATCGTCATTGTCACTGTTGCTATTTTTATTGTTGTTATTTTTGTCGTTGCTATTACTTTCTATTACTGGCTCACTATTGCTGTCGTCTTTTGATGTTTGTGCAGTTGTGCTATCACTTGCTCTTTGCTTCAATGTTGAATCCCATTCTCCAGCTTTGATAGTATCAATCTCAAGAGCAAGTCGACTAAACTCTTCTTGATCTTTCTTGAGGTTTTGCTTGATTTCTTCTACTCTTTGGATATACAATTGTCTCGCGAGTCGAACAACTACTGGCATATCATTTGTCAAATCATTTCTAAACATTTGCCTACAGGACAATGATTTAATGCTTTCCTCTTTATCAATCCAAATGTTACTTTTCTGCTTCCATATTTTCCACAAGCAAGTAATATTGAAAAGAGCAATTCTAGAGAAGTGAGAAGACGCGTTTAGTTGAGTCTCTTACTTTTTGACTGTAAAAGTCAGGTTGGCGTTGTAGGTTTTGTTGTTGAATCAGACCGTGTTGTTTCAGTACCCTGGCTACTTGAAACCACATATTTTCGCCATACTTGTAGACTGCTTGAGTCAAGAGTAATTTCTCAAGCAGTGTCCACTCGTTACTAAAGGCTGTCATGATACAAACAAAAAAAAAGAAAAAAAAGAAAAAAAATATATACAGCAAGGCGTGTTTACTTGTGTTTATTTGTGCAACATATACATTACTCTTCTAGTTTCATAGGTTGTGTAGGATCTGAGGATACAGAGTCCCATAAACCTTCCAAGTCATAATGTTCTCTCATTTCAGGGGTAAATAAGTGTACAACAATACGTCCTAAATCGACCAAGATCCAGCCAGACTTGTCATTTCTTCCTTCAATATGGGGTACAGGCTGTGTTTGATGAGGACTGGATCGAATAGCTTTCTTCACCTAAGTAAGATGTCAATTTCAATATATCCCCTGAAAATGCGTTGTCATTGCTTACCATGCCACCGATATGTTCAGCCACACTACTCAGATACTTATCACCTTTTGAACTAGAAGCCACAATCATGTATTCGGCCCAATCGCATTTTTCTCGCACATCAATCACCTTGACATGATCCATTTTACTTTCTTTTAAAAGACTACACAGACTTTCTGCAGTTAATTGACCGGATTCCATGAGATCTCTAGACGCTTGTTGTAATGCAAGACGGTCCTCTAAATGTTCGCCCAGTGCTTGACGTTGCCACATGGGTATGAAATCTGTTTCTGACAAGATCTTTTCGTCTGAATAGTCTGGGTCCACAAACCAATCTGTATCAATCTGTTCGTCACTTTCATTGAACTCTATATCTTTGTCGTTCTCGGGATAGAGTTCGGGATAGTCTTTGGGATCGATCGTTTCGAGATCGTCTTCTTCTTCGTTTAGTTTCTTTTCTGATTGAATAAAAGGCGTGTTTGAGAAGTTATGGCGCCAGACATGTGTGACAGGTGCAGTGTAAATCCTACTAGGAATAATAGTACGAGATAATGGTGTCTTAATAGCTAATCTTGTAAAACGAAACATGTTACAAAAGAAAAAAAGAAAAAAGAAAAAAAGAAAAAAGAAAAAAAGAAAGGTTCCCCCCATCAATGCATTTTTGTGACTTATAATCTTTTTTATTGATAATAAAGCCTATATGTTATTGCCCTGAAGAGTAGGTTACTGCGCAAAATATATATCCTTTTTGGCGGATAAATACCGGGTCATGAAAAAGGGGAGTAGGATATCATAATGAAGGAGGGGTATAGTCTATAAGAGGGTAATATGACTCATTGTGATGAGTGTATCGATCAAGTGCATAATTAGGCTTGTCTCTGACTGGTCCTTGTTGCTCCCAACAAGTTTCTTTGATTACACACAGTATCTTGTCCACAGCAGAAGAAGGGCCGCCTTGTCCTATATGGATATAAAGGTCTGAATTGTCTAAGGATTGAAGCCATAGTTCCATCTCCTGAAGATCAATCACATCTCCTTCCGTGTTTCGGATCATTCGAGCAGCAGTAAAGCCAATCATACAGCGAGCAGTAGGGTTATTTTCAATGACATGTTGATAGTCTTTAACAATGCGTTTAAATGTCTCGAGGGTATTATGGTTTTCGACAGGAAGAATAAAAGGCATGTATGGAATAAGAATGAAGAAAAAAGAAAAAAGAAAAAAGGTATTTTTTTACTTTTGACTTTTATAGTGTATCAAAAAGGAAATTATCACAAAAATCAAATGCGACCCAATCATAGACAAAGGGACTATTTATTGGTTCAAGAGTGTATAGAATGACCATGCATACAATGAAAGTTTAGCTTACATGAATCATGCCGAGATCATGAACCTTATGAGGGATTTGGCTCACAACTGTGATAGAACATTTGACATTTTTCATTACCAGCAGCCATGTAATCTTTAATTTGTACACCATCAGTCTGTGCTTCATAACTTGCTGCAATAAGTTGACCAACAAATGCACCTGTGTTACTGTCTATGATATGCGCTATATAAAACAAAGTCAGCAAGGTAGTAGTGGCTTACAATCACATACCTTGAGGAGCAAGCATCATACCAGAAAATGGGTGTTTGCTATGTCGTTGGATAACGAATTTACCATTCGACATATAGCGACCTTGCTGATCCACTGCATAAAAATGATACACTGTGTTACATGCATTTAAACCAGCACTAGGGTTTGTAGTCTTGATATCTAAAACTTGACCGTTCAATACAGGTACCTAATCGAATATTAACACATAGTTAGCTTGTGCATGTATTTACATTGAAAACAACAAGTTTGTCTTGTGGATAGACTTGTTGCACAGGCCCTGTCCAGGTACCATTACCAAACAACATACTGTCTGCTACGTTCGATAATGCCTCCTTGGGTATTTGGCATTCACGATTCTCATCACAAGAAAAATAAGTGCCCATGGATTCACATTGACCTTGACAAGTCATTGGTAGACTGAATAAGCTATAAGGCTGCTTAATATTAATCCCTTCTGCCATAATCTTAACAAGAACACCTTGCGAATCAATAGTCCAACTGGGGAACATATTAACTAATTGTCGAGATATATTGAGGGCCATAGTTTGAGCTTGGTCAAAATTATAACGATGAATGGACGAAGAAGGTATGGAGGTAGAGCATGCATTTACTTCAGAATCATCGTCTTGTTGTTGCAAATAAGCATGTCCATGAACTCTAACCTTGGGTGAATAATTCAAGCCATTTAAAACAAGTCCATGAGAAGTAGGGTACAGCTCGCAATCGTTGATTTGTTGACGCTGATTTATCATGGCACCTTCTCCTTTAAAAGATCCACCAATAGCCAAAGGACCTTGGGATCCCGCGTTTTTGCCTGTTATAAAATCACCAAAAAAGACAGCATTGAACCGAGTTAGCTAGTCATAGATTATTAAATCATCAGTCAAATGATTTCAAAATTACCATTCGACTTTCATTGGGCGACGAAAGTGAGTTTATTAGATTACAAAAGATATCGCCGGATGTCGTATTAGCAGAAGCATTCACATATAAAATACAAGTACTCAATGCAAGTACCCAGTTGATCTTGAATACCATCTTTTCTTTTTTCAAATAAATAAGAAAAAGGCCTAAGAAGAGACCGAAGCGATATCAAAATTATATATGTCCAGAGTACATTCCAAAGACTTTGTCATTTTGTGATTTTCTCCGTAACTATCAGCCAAGTAAAAAAAAAAATCGACTAGTTCTCTTGGCATGAACAATTACATTGTTTCAGCCAATTAAAAATGAAAAAGAATCTTCTTTTGGCGCGCCCATTCGGTCAGCGCTCCGCAGCATTGTATCGGGTTTAGTGAGCGCGCCTTTCTGATATTTATATAAAGCACTTGGTATTGAACTTATTATCTCGCAATAAACAACATCTCTTTTCCAAAAAAAAAAAACATGTCTATGATTAAAGTGGTCGTTATTACCAATACGCATGAACCGGTAGAATTTAAATTTCTTCTTGAGAAATTAAATTGGGATTCTCTTGTCCAATTCATTCAATGCTCTACTTCTTCTATTGATCCTCCTCTTGTTCTTTATTACAAGTGGAAGTCAGATACTGAATCCTTGGAGAATCAGCAGCAGCTGGCTCAACTGTTGCAAGATTTGGGACCTGTTTCTTTATTACGTTTCTATACGAGCCCTGGTGAGGTTTTATTACCTGTTTCTACACCTCCTGTGTCTGCTACTTTTGCCCGTTTAGGTGAACTAGTTGAGGTTCATAAAAATACAATTGAGTCTAGTCGAAGCCTCGTACGTTGGATTGGTATCTTTGCTTCTGCCATTGCTTTTCATGGCCAAGATAAGGAGTTTGAGGATGAGTTTCGTGTACTCGAGACATTGATCCAAACAAAATCTCAAAAGCAATCAGGTACTGTTCATGATGCTGAAGAAGATATGGTTGTTGTCTCTGATACAGAAGAAGTGACCGATCCAGAAGATAAACTGCTTGAGTTGCTGATGTCGCTTGATTTATCGGGTAGCCGTTGCCGTGGACGTAAATTTGGCCGTGGTCGTCATTCGAAGCGTGGGGGTTCTCCTCCTTTTCATTCTTTTGGTCCAGGAAGACACGAAGATCATTCTCCTCCCCATGGCCCCCATCATGGTGGTCCTCCTTCCCATGGTCCTCCCCATGGTCCTCCCCATGGTCCTCCCCATGGTGCCTATCCTCCTGGTCCTCCTCATGATGCTTATCCCCATCATGATGGCGGTCATCCTCCTTCCTTTGGTGGTCCTCGCTCTCATGGTTTTCCTCCAATGTTTGGTAGATTTGGTTGGTGTGATCGCTTTGATGCTCCATCTGAAGGCGCAGATAGGTTTGAAGGTCGTGGATTCCCATTTTTTGATGCTGATCAAGAAGGTAGAAGTCATCATCGACGAGGCCCTCGTTTTGATTCAATGAGTGAAGGAAAAAAGTATGGCAAGCATCACCGTCATCATCATCACCCTTACTCTTCTTCAGAAGAAGGCACTAGTGAAGAAAATCCTGAAGAAACTGTTGTTTGCTTATCCAAAAAAGACTTGAAGCACCTTGGTCGTCGTCACCGCCATCATGATCGTCGTCCCCATTAATGAAATATACTTTCGTATTATTGTTAGTATTATTATTATTATTACTATTATCTGAATAAACCCATAAAATATATAAACAAGTTATGACGAGATTTTTCGTATTTGTTATGCATTATGGAGTGATTTTTTTTAGTGTTACTTGAGCATGCTTGATTTAATATGCAGACATAAACAAGTTAAATCATACCATATGTACATTTTGCAGTTAAACATTTTAGCCAACTATAGGAATTTATAAAGGGAAAACCAGGGGCTGAGTTAGATCAACTGAAGCGGGAATATCCGGTAATATTACCTTATAAAATAGAGATTTTTTCAATTTCGTTTTTTCTTTATTCTTTTTTTTTTATTCATTATGGCCTCTACTTCTTCCTGTAATAACTCGGTCTTTCAAGGGTGGAATCACTTTGAAGATAGTCTACCAAGTTTTTATGAACAAGATATACTTCAATTACAACCACAAACCTTCCGAATCAAAAACTATTCCTTCAATGATGAATATAATGATGACTCGGATCCATTGTATGAAGCAGCATTATTGAATTCTAATCTCTTAGCTGCATTTAGCCCTAAACAACATGAAGCAACCAGTCGTTTGCATCAAATTCTTCAACATATTAATCCCAATGCCAGTTTGAATTACCCTTCCAATTAAATTTGACAGTTGGTGTAACACAAAAGGAGGGCCTCTCCGAATATGCCGGTTCTGATACCCTGATCTTTTGTCCAATTCGGATTTGAACGACAGTGAATAGATAGACAGAAAAAAAAATATCGGAAATCAAATCCTTAGGTGTGAATGTCAAAGGTGCTTATGTTTATGTAGCGTCAACACAATAGTTCACCCCCTTCTCCCCCCCCCTCTTCTCTCTCCTCTTTTTATCAAACAAGATTAAACGTCAAATAAAGTATTTCCCCTTTTTTTCTCTTTCTCCTTTTTCTCTCTCTTTTTTTTTCTTTAGATATCATGATTTTTAAAATAACACTAATATTACTATTCATTACTTATATTTGTGCTTTGAATTTTGGTGACTTGTGTGATCCAAGTCCAATTTATTCGTGAGTAACCAAGGGAAAAAAGAACACTTTTTGGTTAATGATTCAATAGAACAAGTTGGCAATACGATGATTCATGTGCAAGTGTCTACTTATTCTGTGACTCTAGTCTCAACAATACTTGTAATTATGTGACATGCTCTAACAGTGACTATATTCAAGGGTAAGCAATTTTTTTCTTAATCTTGAATTAACGGTATAACAAGTTGGAATGAAGTACAATACAAGTTCCCTAGTCGATGCAACAATCAAATGTATTGCCCAGACAATGGTTCTCGTTGTACTCCACTTGTGCCTGTAGGAGGTCATTGTGAATTGGTAAGCATCATGACTAGTTTAAGATAATTGATTTCTATAGCAAAGAGATGATGAATGCGCTGGAAAAGATGCTATCTGTCTCAATTCTACTTGCTTTGTGAAGGGATCACCTTTAGGAGGTAATTGTGGCTCAGATAGGTATACGACAACCACCAACACCATGAGCTGAGTTTTAATCAAATCTAATATAGAACTGACTATGTATCATATGATGCAAAGGGGTTTGCAGTCCAGCAAATCATTATTCGCGACAACTGTACAGAAGGTACATGGTGTAGTGACACAAGCCATACATGTACTTCCTCTTTGCCATTAGGGGCAACATGTTGGCAAGACCGAGAATGTCTCTCAGAGACCTGTAGTGATGAAGGCAAATGCATTACTGGTCCAGATGTCTTTCATACCATTGCAAACTGGTTATGGATTGTTCTCGGATGTGCTGTCTTGGTGTTTGTACTGACCATTCTAGGCATGTTATGGCTTCTGCATCGGTACCAGTCACGCAAAGAACATGAAAAAGTACTCAAATTTTTTGGGGATAATGATGAGTTCTTTAAAAAGTACAATAGCAGTACTGCCCAGTTATGCAGTAGTCGAGCTAGCGTGGTCTATTTGACTACACCAGACTACAATGAATCTACTGCGTTGACTACAAGACCCTCAAGTTGGAGACAATCTACAAAATAATAATAATAAATCTTCTGACTTTTAAGCGTATGTGCTGATCTCTTTTTTGTCCATATATACCCCGCTTTCTCTTTCTCTCTTTCTTTTTTTCTTTTTTTCTTCTTCTTCTCCTTTTCTTAGGATTGTTCACACATACACACATTTGTTTTCTCTATGCTGCCTCAATTTGGATTTATTGTTGCTCAAGCAGGCGCCGATTATTATTCCCCACCTCCACCTCCAGTCCACAGTAGTGTTTCAACTCAGCCAAATAATCATTCTTTGGCTCCCTTATTAAACAATACGTTACGTACAGGCAGTAGCTCATCTAGTCATGACTATTACAAGTACAACAGCCCTCCTCCACCCAGCCCGTTCTATTCGCGACAACCCTCTCCCTCATCTCAACCACTCTTGCCCCCACCTTCCTTTCTTCCCAACATGATAAAATATCAACCGGTCCTTCCTAGTCTAATGGATCAACACAAAAAAAAAGATTGGTTTGAAAAACCTAAGAAATATGAACAAGAACCTCTTGACACAAGACAAGACTACCATGATCTAATGACTTGCTTGGATAATGAGTTTTGGGAACAAGCGGACGAGTAAATTTTGGCACGTGCACACACGATGACAAGCATTGACATTTTTTTTTTTTATATAGAATTTATCAAGAGAAATTAATGAACTTACAGAATGAACTTGTATTGCTTCAGAAAGGTAAAAAAAAAGAATAAAAAAAAATGGCAGGCACACATGGCTTAAAGAGGGAGTTGAATTAGGCACACATTCAGTATTTAAAGAACTCATTGCTGACTATGAATTACAACGAGAGAAATCAATTCAACAGGCAGAATGTTTCATGAAATATCAAATTTCATTTATTGAACAATATTTCGATCAAGACTTGAGTGCATTAGAAGATGAATATGAGGTAAGTGGTTGATTGCTCTACAAATGCTTATTCTGGTTAGAATGAACGAAAACATTTACAAGACACGCTCATGACTTCAATTGAAGACAAAAGAAAGCAAATTAAAGAAGATGGTAAATAACAAACACTCAAAATATTTATATTGACTGATTATTTAGAAAATGAAGATGGTGATCATAAAAACAAAACAAAACGTACACTAAGAAAAAGAGCACCAGACAACAATAATTCATTAAGAAATGAACCACTATCTAAAAGAAGATTAGGTAACAAAAAGTGTATATAATTATAGCACAAATAACTCATCATCAATTGAATGATTAGTTCGACCAAGTACACTTTATAATATTCATACAATATCACCCTTAGAAGATGAAGAATTAGAAAATGAATTCTTGTATATGAAGGTAAAGAAAAAGAAAAAAGCATTTTGTTTCTTATACTCTTGTATTAGAAATTAGCCATAGCTCCAGCAACAACAACAACAACAACAAATAAATTGTTCTCCCGTTAATGTGTAACAATAACAATATGGTTTAATAAAAAAAAACAATACTTAGGCACCTAAAAGTGGTGTACGTTCACTTGGGGGTATTGAGGAGGAAGATTTAGAGGAATCTATCTTTTGACAGATATCAAATTTACAAATAGGACACTAAATAGAGATACACATTAAATAAAGCCACAAAAAAAAAGAGAGTTAGACTTACGAATTTCTTGTGTGACGTTAACCAAGCATCTACACATTTAGCATGAAATTCATGTTTGCAAGGCAATGTTCGTAACTTGTCTCCTTCAAGGTAATCTTCAAGACATATAGCACACTCTACATGTTCAGTATCTACAATCTTTTCTCGTTTGAAAGTATAGGTGGGTAATTTAGATACAAAATTGGTAGGTGCAATATCATTCTTTCTACGCTGTCTTTGTCTTATTTGCCATGTAAAGTAGATAAAGAGCATCATGACAGCAGGAGACAGTACGACAACAAGCAACATGTCTAAAAGAGGCCTATAGGATATGAATAAACCCTTCCTCCCTTATTTGTTTATATATAGTTTATGCTTTACCATGTCAGTAAATCATCGCCTGATAATCTTACAGGTATAGAGGTATGGTTATGATTGTCAAATAGCTGTAAAAGCAGTTTGTATTGATGTTGTGCTACAAATAAACTTGGAATATGTACATCAGACGTATCACCTGGTTCATTAGCCTAGCCAATCGAGAAAAAAAAAGAGTTTTACCTGGAGCATACATTGTTACCCAACCATTAAAGTTTCTATCACCTACAATAACAGCAATAGCACCACTTTCTTGCATAGCTTTCACTTTTTGTATAAAAGAACATTGTCCTCTCTCGACCAATGCAATCCAGTCTTGTTTACGTGTGTATTTGATGGGTTCACAACCATATAAACTATCTGCAAGTGGTGATAAATGACCAGTAATACCAATATCACCATCTATTCTTGGTCCAAAAGCCGCTATGCGATCCACCAGTGTATCATTGGTTTCCTAAGATGATAAGCTCAGGTTTTTTTTTGTATTTATTTTAACGCTTACAACAATAGTGATAGTTGCTTGACACTGTAAACAAAAGAGAAAGAGGAAAAAAACAACTATTGCTTTCATAGGTCTTTCTTGATTTATTTAGAGAGAAAAGAGAGAGAAAAAAAGAAAAAAGAAAAAAGATAAAAAATCACACACATATGCACACGCATGTTAAAAATCTGCTGATAAAAGCTGGTATATGCAGCCATTTTGTTTTTCAACCAATCTTGGTACGGCTAAATCATTCTAAAATGGTGATTAGAGCATGCTTATCACATTGTGAATTACCAGAGCATAATCCTGTAAAAATACGAGTTGTTTGTCTTTATATTGCCACAGTGGTTTGTTGTCGTTTGGTCTTCTTATCTGATAAACAGTGGCATCGCTGATCTTTTGCTTTTCAACACCCAACACTATTTGATGTTTAGTCGCTCATGAAATCATTCTCATAGTTACCACATCCAGAATACTTGTTGACCAAATGACCTTCATGATAGCACCATAATTGGTGCTTTTCATCTCTTTTTGGGCGCAATTCTACCCGTGTCAAAGGCTATAGCTCAAATCAATTTGTTGTCATCAACTTAAATTCCTTATCACCTGCATTGTCATATTTGCAACTGTTAAAACTTGATTTTGTCGAGTTGGACACTGAATATAAAACCAACCCACAGGAAACTCATCCAAGTTGGCCATGATACTAGTTTCGATAGTTTAGAGAAAAATAAAGAAAAAAATTTTTTTAATCTGTAAATAAATGGTATCTATTCTTTATGAAAGTGCTGCTAATGTCTTTTTAGATGCTTCAATCTTGTCAATGGCACTGTAATGCTCTCCTAATATGGTTGCATAAATATAACATGTACGCACGTCAAATGAAATCATACCTTTCTTTTCTGCTTCTGCCTGTTCTTTCAAATAAAATCGTCGGTCCCATTCAATGGCTGCTTGTTGTATAAAAATCACTGTGCCTGATACACGCAAAATACTAAAACTGCATGCCATATTGCCAATTTGCTTTATAAAGAAGATGGTGGACAGGTACATGTCTGTATAATCTCGGGGCACTCGAAGAATACCAATACGTGTGATTGAATTATACCATTTCACTGTTTAAATGAGTACTTGTTATCCACTATTATCACGCTTACCTGTCACATTCCCTTGACCTTTGCCAAAGTGTCCATAATTGAGTTCGATTGCTTGGAAAATGGTTTTGCTTATCATGGCGTCAGTTAGTTCGAGTTGTGTCTTGGGATAGACTACTTTGCCATGCTCGAGAACTGGATCCTCTACGAGTTGGAATAGAACCCAACGATTTTTAAAACGAACCATGAAAGAAGAAGAAAAAAAAACAAAGGCAAGTGACTGGATTTTTGCAAGTGTGACAGTGAGCCTCTCATGCATAAATGGCCTATATGGCTGGTGTTACAAAGGAAAGCGATTTAAAGTTTCCCAATGAGAACAGATGAGATCGAAAAACTATATAAAGGCAAGCACCATTTCAAGTATCTGTCTCTTTAAGAAAAATGGTTTGCTAAACAATTGATTCAACTGCTTGTTCTTTTCGGTTGTACTATTCTTGTTCTTGCTGACCGAGGAAATTATACAATCTCAGGTCTAGGTAAAAGAAAACAAGAGATCCTTGATGCTGGTGGTACCATTTGGGATTTGGCTATTGGTATGTAAGAAACTAATACTTTGACTGCCGACTATACGTATGGCGATGGCAAATCTTCTGATTCTGCCAACTTTGGCATTTTTAAGCAAAACTGGTTCATGCTTCGTACTTCTACTTTGCTATTTAAGAGGTACACTACTGCTCAATACAATGATGGTGCTATCTTGAACACGAATTTGACCCAAGATATCAAGACTAGACATGAATCTGAAAGCTACTATGGTACGGATGTATGGTTTGCTGGTCACCGTAATGGTGAATCTAGTGTGAATGATCCTGATACGCAAGATATTGCAAACTATAGAGCGGGCGTTGCTTGGATCCATGATCAACTTGCGAAAGATGAGAAATACCTAACGGACAATACTCGTTTTTGGTACAGTGTTGTACCCATTTAATATATTATTTTTTTTTTTTGCTAATTTATATCAAGTGCCCCTTTGATAACCTTCTTTTTGCCTGCCTGTTTGCCTTTATTACGGGAGTTTCTTTTTTTTTTTCTTGAAATAATATGAATAGTTCAAAATAAAGCAAGAATACCTTAGTTCTAAAGAATTAATTATCACATTATTCAGTGCATTCTATGGTTAAATACTTCATTTGATGTATGCTATTCAAGGACATAAAGACACTAATTGACTTATCCATATAGTCTTGATATACAGTTAAACTTTGCTTTGATTGATATACAATAGCAGTCTGCTACCGAAATATCTTGAACAACGCACACTGTATATTTAGATTATATTTGTAGACTGTGTCTCATGTGCTATACAAAAAAAAAAAAAAAAAAAAAAAAAAAAAATTATTAAAGGTATATTACTGTCAACTTAAAACACATCAAAATGGTTTGTTTATTGTTTCATACAGGTTGTTTAGATAATACAACTTCTCCTTGTTTTTCATTCGATCAATGATATCCATATTCATTCAAAACTGCTTCTATCCATGTCAGTCTATGTATCTCCATCAAACTACACTCCAACTATTTAGGTGTTTAAAAGAAGGGCAAAGAATTGATGATTCAAATGCGTTTAGAGGGATTTTCACTAAGTATCCATGATGTTGATATGTTGTGTCATTTATTTGAAAAGTTTTGAATGAATATGGATATCATTGATCGAATGAAAAACAAGGAGAAGTTGTATTATCTAAACAACCTGTATGAAACAATAAACAAACCATTTTGATGTGTTTTAAGTTGACAGTAATATACCTTTAATAATTTTTTTTTTTTTTTTTTTTTTTTTTTTTTTGTATAGCACATGAGACACAGTCTACAAATATAATCTAAATATACAGTGTGCGTTGTTCAAGATATTTCGGTAGCAGACTGCTATTGTATATCAATCAAAGCAAAGTTTAACTGTATATCAAGACTATATGGATAAGTCAATTAGTGTCTTTATGTCCTTGAATAGCATACATCAAATGAAGTATTTAACCATAGAATGCACTGAATAATGTGATAATTAATTCTTTAGAACTAAGGTATTCTTGCTTTATTTTGAACTATTCATATTATTTCAAGAAAAAAAAAAAGAAACTCCCGTAATAAAGGCAAATAGGCAGGCAAAAAGAATGTTATCAAAGGGGCACTTTATTGAAGTCATTTGAACACACATTGCTCCGTAGTTCTTTAAAAGTTGCAGAAAGGCTTGAGGCAAATTCACTCCCAACGAGACTTTTCTTACTTGCATCTTGTAAAAGCGACCAGACAAATGCACTTAGATATAGACTTTGCAGTTAATTCAAGACCAAAAGATGGAGACAAGAGAGCATGATAGTGTTGTTCGATAGAGGCAAGTAAAATTATCAATATTTTGCTAAGGAAAAACAAAAATACATGTAAGTAAAGAGGCTACGTTTTGTGTTTTTTTTTTCAAATTCTTATCTTTTTAGTTAACTAGAGATATCAATGCAGGTGTTGCTTAAGATCAAAACTGCTTATGCTTGTTTGCGCCTATCTGAAGGCAACGAAACGCATATGCTATGCCGTTTCACCGCAACAGCAGTTAGGGTTTGTCGTGGCCAAGGCAAGCCCCCAATCTCCCAAGCAGTAAGCTATGAGGCTGAAACATTCAGAGACCTTGAAATGATGCCTTCGGTCAAAGATTGCTCTTTTCCACCTTTTTATCGCCGGTGCCCCACGTTCTTACTAGGAATATCTTTAAGCACAATTAAAAAAAAAAAAAAGAAAAAGAAAAAGAAAAAAGACACTGACTCGGTTTTATTGTCATTGTGTTCTGTGCTGAGTTCAATTTACTCAAAACCTGTTTCTGCGTGTGTCTTGTGTTTTGTGTTTTATGTATTAGCTCTTGTGATCATCCTCATGTAACAAACAACAGCCTCTTACTTTTACCTTTTACAAATTTTATCTCTTTTATCAATTATCACTATAACTATCTTACAATACCAACATCTTGGTTAGTATCTCTTACTCAATTCTAGAATTATCTTTCTTAGTTGGTAAATAAAATTTGATTAAAACTCGTTAGGGGTGAATTTGTCTCAAGCCTTTCTGCAACTTTTAAAGAACTACGGAGCAATGTGTGTTCAAATGATTTCAATTAAATATTGTTTTGTACCTAAAATTTTCATCAAATGATTAGGTAAAATCAGAATAATGCTAAAAAAAAAAAAGTCGTGTCAATATTAGAGATGCAGAAAAATATCTTGGGATACACTTTGTTTAACGTGAAAACCAATAGGTTTCTCCATAAACATTGATACATGTATCGCTTTTGCCAAGAAAGCAATGAAATGAAATAAGACTATCCAAAAAAAGAGGAAAACGCTTTTTTTTTTTTTTAAGAAAAGGGTTGCTAACATTTGAGCGAAGCTAAATTGTATTTCTGAACTAATCTCTATAGAAATTAATCAATTTAGCAAATGAAGAAGACATGTGATATTTCTCCCGTCTTCCCCTCCCTTTTTTTCCCTTTAATCCTTATTTCCTCGATCAGAAAGACAAAAATACATGTACTGTCAAACTGAAAAAAGATTAGTTTTGTGTCCAGTTCTTTAGGTATATCAATTCACGATACAAACTATTTTAAGATCGAAATAATTCATAGAAAGTAAGAAAAAACTATTGTGCTCCTGCTTAAAACAATGATTATACTAGCTGCAACAGTACAGAAGAAAGCAGAAAGAAAGAGAGATTTGAGATGAATTTGATACATTGATTTGATCAACGAACCACCAAAAGAACAGACAAGTACGCATGATTTTAGAGTTACAAGTGGGTGTATAAAGCTTGTTTTTATACACATAACTTACTCTAAATACCTTCAAATCATGTTTATTAACATCCATGATGCATTTAGAGTTGATTTGGACCAAAAGAAGCTTTCTATCTTTTACCATTTCAATCTCAGCGTACAGCCATTTTGTGTGCATGATGCTACTCAAGGCGCACAAACTCGACGAGACTAGATGATTGCATTTCTGTGAACTTCAAAAAGAATATAGCCGAATCAAATAATGCAAGAATTTGTGTGCGTTTGTCATAGAAATAAAAATCAAAGACTTTGGATTGAGCTGTATTGTCTCGAAATTTCATTCTTTGATAAGCTCTATTTTGAAATGTATGGTGCGTCTTTTCTTTTTTTTTTTTTTAATTCATCATATTTCTATTTTCATGAAAAAAGGCCATTTGATAATTTGAGCAAGAAGTCTTATTTTAGCCGTCATCTCTTATGAAGTGATTGAGCTGTGACTTTTAAAAGATCATGTCTCAAATTTTTTTTCTTCAATGCCCAAACAAAAAAAGTCTTTCTTTTGTGTATAAAAACTTGTCAATATGAAGGACACCACTCTCCCTGAAAACGTCGAACTCTTACGTACCCGTGTTGTTGTCGAAAAAGACAGAGTGTATAGCGTAAGCAACTCAACTGTTTGTATACAGGGCACGTCAAACTAACCTCTTTCTAGGTCAGTGGAAGTGACTATCCCAACCAATATCCTGGTATTAGTAACGCTTTTGACCTTGAAGAATTCAAAAAGGTATACAGTATAGTGGCATAAAATCAAGACTGACATGTTGCATTGATAGAATTTCAAAGTAAAGATCCAAAGATTATCCAAACACAGTGTTGAATTTGACTTGATTGGTATTGATGCTTCTATTGCCAATGCTTTTCGTCGTATTATGATCGCTGAGGTAAGCCGAGGCGATAGAAAAAAAAAGAGGCATGTCTTTAACTGTTTTTTTTAGGTCCCCACCATGGCCATTGAAAAAGTATATGTGATGAACAATACTTCTATTATCCAAGATGAAGTAGTTGCCCATCGTTTAGGTTTAATTCCTATCAAAGCCGATCCTCTTGAATTCGATTACATGACTGAAGATGGTGGTCCTACTGACCTTAATACACTTGTCTTTAAATTGAAAAAGAAGTGTGAATTGAACCCTGAAGCTGATGCTGATGAAACTGACCCCAAGAAGAAATACATCAACAGTTATGGTATGATATAAACCATGTTTTTTTTATAGACTCATGTTTTTTTTCTTGTATAGTCTATTCGAGTGACTTGATTTGGGAACCCAAGGGTAACCAAGAAGAGAAGTTTGCCAATAATCCACCTAGACCTGTTCACGACGATATTGTAATTGCCAAATTGAGACCTGGACAAGAAATGGAAATGGAATTACATTGTCAAAAGGGTGTTGGTAAAGAACATGCCAAATGGTCTCCTGTTGCCACAGCATCTTATCGTCTTTTACCCGAAATTACCATCTTGGAACCTATTACAGGTGAAGATGCTGAGGATTTCAAGAAATGTTTTGTTGATGGTGTTGTTCAAGTTGTCATGGAAAATGGTGTAAAGACTGCCAAGGTAGTCAATCCTCGTAAAGATACAGTCAGTAGAGAAGTTTTACGACATGAAAAGTTCAATGGCAAGGTTCGCTTGACCCGTGTTCGTGATCATTTTATCTGTAAGTTATCATCGATGTGTGTGTTATTTGATGAACTCATTTTTGTATTAGTCAATGTGGAAACTTCTGGTATTATTCCTGCTGAACAAATTTTCCTTTCAGCACTTGATGTATTTATGGATAAGATTAAAGATATTCAACCTCTCGTTGACCGTGTTGTTTCTAATGATGTCTAAACAAAGCCATCCTTACATATACACAAAAGAACGCATTCATTTACATATTCACCCCCACACTTTACATGTTTTATAGAGTCACGCAGAAAAAACTATTGGATGTCTTTTAATGATTTTCAAAATCAAATAAAAATTGCATGCTTTCCATCCTTGAATAAATTCCTCCAAAGCATAATAGATTCACACTGTGAACCGTGTAGAATAAAAGCTTAGATTGTTTACTTGACAAAAATAATATTTGATTTAGCCACTATTTGCTTCAATCACAATTTGGTATTGGTTGGTCATATTGTGTAGTAGTATGCATGTAATGAGGAGATGGAGTGGTATTTAGCTACCTCCTCGTATCCGTTTAAGCACTTTACATATACTGGTTCATATCTGTTACTAATTTATCTCTCTTCTATTCTCTGCTTTTCCTTATAAATCTTGATTCTAGGATTTAAGTTTTGCTTTTTTAATTTTTTTTTCAAAAACCGCTTGAAATACTTGTGAAGCGGAAGTTATTTGTTCGATCTATAAATTATTCAGAGCACTAATGGGATGCTAAACAGTATGTATTTTAAAGGATAATTGAAAAGAAGGCTTTTTTTTAGGTAATTATGACTATAGAAATCGGCCCAAATGGGCCGATCGGACTAATCTTTACTTGTTAATTGTTTTTGAATTGATCTTCTAGCCTTCACTGCATCAGCTAAACATTGAAAGACAGATTCAGTATCTTCCCAGCTAATACAAGCATCTGTAATAGAGACACCATATTTAAGGGCGCAGGGTCCATCTTCAGGGACATTTTGTTTGCCTTCATTCAAGTGACTTTCAATCATGACACCTACCAGAGCATCTTCACCACGAGCCACTTGATCTGCAATCACTTGTGCAACTTTGGGCTGGTTTTTGTGGTCCTTGTTTGAATTGCCGTGAGAGCAATCAACCATGATAGATGCAGACAATCCTTCTTTGGTAAGCAACTTCTTGGCCTCTTGAACATACTCAGCATCATAATTGGGGCCCTTATTACTACCACGCAAGATAACATGACAATCAGGGTTTCCAGACGTATGAGTGATGGACACAACACCAGCACTGGTCAAGCCCAAGAAGTGATGAGGAGCAGCAGCAGCACCAATACCATCAATAGCAATTTTCAGATTACCATCAGTTCCGTTCTTGAAGCCAACAGGGAAAGAGACACCAGAAGCAAGTTCACGATGAAGTTGAGATTCAGTCGTACGAGCACCAATAGCACCCCAAGAGATCAAATCAGCCATGTATTGAGGTGAAATAGTATCAAGCAACTCAACAGAGACAGGCATACCCATATGCGTAAGTTCATTCAACAATCCTCGACCGATCCGAAGGCCCTTATTGATATCGAAACTAGTGATGATGACATTGTAAATAAACAAAATATCAAATAAATAAACTTGCCTTCCGTCAATATCTGGGTCATTGATCAGACCCTTCCAGCCTACAGTTGTTCTAGGCTTTTCAAAATAAGCTCTCATGATAATCACAAGTTCATTCTTGTATTGTTCTTTAGCTTTCAAAAGCAAACGAGCTATCGACTGAGTCAATAAACAGTCGCTCCTAATCAACTTACCATATTCCTTAGCTGCAATCGTGTCATGTATAGAACAAGGGCCTACGATAAGAAACAAACGATCATCTTTTTTATGAATAATGTCTGAAATTTGCTTTCTCGCTTCCAAGACAGTGGCCTTGGATGCACCAGACTAGAATATAAATGAGTAACAGACATGATATAAGTATAGTTACAAGAGGAAATTCTTCTTTCACATAATTGGGGGTCAATAAGGCATTATAGCCTGTAATACGAAGATCGTCCATTAAGTCCTTTGTCATTTTATGATATGAAAAAGAAAGAAAGAAACATAAAACATGGTTACCTATTTATAACAGTGGTTGTTTGTATCTGAAAGTATTTCCGTATACACAAATAAATCTAATTGACAACTACAAAAAAAAATAATCTTTTTTATTCTAAGAAAATGATATCTACGCCTGATTTATCCCATATCCAAAAACAGGACTATGGGCGTGTTTATGAGCCTGCAGGTATTTATCTTGAATCATACTTATAAATAGAAACTGACATGTCTCAGAGGATACGTTTCTATTGTTAGACGCACTTGAAGAAGATCAAGATCTGATTCAGTCAATCAAGCCACGCATTTGCTTAGAGATTGGGTAAAGTCGATAAGATCATGATGTATTGATTGACTTTTGTCTAGATCTGGATCAGGTTGTGTGACAACTTTACTTGCCAAGATAGTAGGGGACTCAAACGCATGTAAGCATGAATGTAGAATAGACATCCTTTGATACAGCCTATTAGTGTTCCTTACGACCGATATTAACGAGTTTGCATGCCAAACAACCAAGCAAACAGGACTACAGAATGCAGTCAAGCATATTGAGCCCATATGTACATCCTTAGTAGATGGTCTATTGTCACGCTTAAGAAATCAAATAGACATTCTTTGTTTCAATCCTCCTTATGTTGTCACTACACATGAAGAAGTAGGCAGCAAAGGCATTGAAGCAGCATGGGCAGGAGGAATTGATGGAAGAGAAGTGATTGATGAACTGTTACCTTATGTCAAGCACTTGTTGTCACCAAAAGGCATATTTTATCTGCTTTTGATTAATGAAAACAAACCTGAACAAGTTGTGGAAATCATGCAAAAAGACTACCAAATGAAGGCAAAGATTGTGTCTCAACGTCGAGCTGGTAGAGAAAGACAGTTTATTGTAAAAATAGAACACACTAATCTTGAGATGCATTGATCAAGAGTTGTGTGTTTCTGATCAAGGCATTGTATAGATATCTAAAGAGAGAATAAATAAAAGCATCATGTATTATTCCACTACTTACTTTGTCCATTCAGTAACACCATGTTGAATACCTCGAAAGAACCCAAACTGTCGAGGGCTCCTTGCATTCACAACGCCTCTTGTTCTATACCACTTCCAAGCTGTACTACATAAACTCCATGTAAAACCACTGACAAATGGTACAATGATTTGATCCTTAATCACAGCAGACCAAACAATCATCAAAGGAGACGCGCCCTTTTCTTGTAAATGCAGTACACTCTTTTCAAATTGTTTTTCAAAACGCATATCGGGTACAGTAGGTGCTTTAGGAGTTCTTGCTGTCACTGAGAAGTCATCATCGTCGTCATCAGTAGCTAATGCTACATTATCAATATCAGGTTGTAATAACTCTGTTTGTCTTCTTTGAAGTTCAACAAGGCGTGCAAGTTCCTCATTGCTATAGTCACTAGAAGAAAATAATACGCTTTCTGGTTCTGTCATAAGTATAAAGAAGCGTATATATATATATATATATATTTGGAATTTTTTGTTTTGTTTGTTACGCGTAAAAAAAAATGAAATTTTGATTGGTTAGCATAACAATACAAGCAAACTTAAATGTCATGAAGCCTTTGTTTATTGAATAATACAGATAAAATGATACGGGATTCCATATACAATCTTCTTATTTTCTCAAGTCAGCAACACGGACAGCAACCGCATTACGGTGAGCTTCAAGGCCTTCAATTTCGGCCAAACGCATCACAGTATCAGCCAATTTATCCATACCTTCAGCAGTGACTTCTTGAGAAGTAATGTGCTTGACAAAACCATTGGTATTGACACCAGAGTACATACGAGAATAACCGTAGGTAGGCAAAGTGTGGTTAGTACCTGAAGCATAGTCACCGAAACTTTCAGGTGAGTATTGACCTACAAAGACACTACCGGCATTGTCTACAAGGGGTAAGACAGAAGAAGCGTTTTCAAGGTGCAAGATCAAGTGCTCAGGAGCATATTCGTTGGAGAACTGCATGGCTTCTTCCAAGTTCTTCATGCTTAAGCTGTATGAGTGAGGAATACTCTTGCGAACAATATCACAACGAGGCAAAGCAAGTGCTTGCTTGTGTACTTCTTCTTCAATGCTGTGAAGGTGTTCTGGTGATAAATCAACAGCTAAGAGGACCACTTGAGAATCAGGGCCGTGTTCAGCTTGTGATAAAAGATCAGCAGCAACATAGACTGGATTACTAGACTTGTCAGCAATCACAAGCACTTCAGAGGGGCCTGCAGGCATATCAATGGATACCAAACAAGATGTGTCGTTTTGAGCGACCATCTTAGCAGCTGTGACATACTGGTTACCAGGACCAAAGATCTTGTCAACCTTAGGCACAGTTTCAGTACCATAAGCCATGGCAGCAACAGCTTGAGCACCACCAGCCTTGACGACGTGAGAGGCACCCACTTTATGAGCCACATACAGCACTTCAGGCACAACAGAACCATCAGGACGAGGAGGTGTGGCAATCACAATTTCTTTACAACCAGCTACTTTAGCAGGAATACCCAACATCAATGTTGTGGAGGGCAAGACAGCAGAACCACCAGGAACATATAAACCTACACGTTCTATAGGACGACTGAATCTTGAACAAACCACACCAGGCATGGTCTCAACCACTAACATTTCCTTGTCCAGTTGTGCATCGTGGAATTTATAAATGTTGTCATATGCCTGATCAATAGCAGTCTTGGTGATAGGATCCAATTCCATCAAGGCAGGATCAAAAGGTGCTTTGACTGTCACTTGGTCGAGTTCAACACGGTCGAATTGACGAGTGAAATTTTGAATGGCAGCATCACCGCCTTGACGCACTTGTTGCATGATAGGCTTCACACGGTTGATGATTTCGGTAGAATCAATGATGGGACGCAATAAGAGTTCAGCACGCTTTTCAGCAGAGATGTCTTCCAAGTTGAACTTCATCATTTCAATGCGACCTTCATTCATGGCTGTAGTGTTGACAGGTGCAGAGGGAGCTACTGGAGCAGCAGCATTGCCCTCGTCTTTTTGTTCCCACTTGGGCTTAGCATGACCAGGACGACGAGTGACCTTACGGGCCTTCTTGTTCAAGTTTTTTTCAATATCAGCTAAAGAAACACCAGCACTGACACACTTGGTCAATGCAAAATAAATCAAATCAGCAGCTTCCCAAGCAACTTCTTCTTTATCTGTGGCATCGCACAACTCTTCTGCTTCTTCCATGATCTTGGCACGCAACAATTTGGCATCACCAAACAAACGAGCTGTGTAAGAACCAGCAGGTGCATGGTTCTTGCGGTCTTTAAGTGTCTTTTCTAAAGCAGTTATACCACTGTCAGCACCGAAACAGGTACGCGTATTCAAGTGACAGAAACCTTAGATGGAGTTAGTTGGGACCATGTATGCCTTTCTTTACCTGCACCGTGCTGTTCAACAACAAAACGTAAAGCGTCGCCATCGCAATCATAATCGATGTGCTTCAAGGTTTGCGTAGCACCAGAAGTCAAGCCCTTGTGCCAAAGACCACGGCCACGACTTTGATAGACACCTTGGCCGAGACGAATGGATTCAGCAACACTTTGCTTGCTAGAATAAACTAATCCCAAAGCCTTGTTGAATTCATCTACAACCATGGTTGTATAAAGGCCATCGGCACGGTCTGTCTTGGCGGTGGCCAAAAAGGCTTCGGCAATGTTGATTTTGGATACATCATCGACAGCGGTAGTTAAACGAGAAGCAGGCACAAGTACATCCAAGTGTTGAGCACCAAAAGAACCAATGGTTTCGAGAGAGACATTGTCCAATGCAACGACAACAGTACGTTCACCGCCATGGCTTAAAAGACACTTCTTAGTGGATTGAGCAAATGCACGAATGGTTTCTAAATCATTGGTGTTTTGAAGAAGGAAGGTGGATACAGGCAAACCTTCAAGTCCATCAAGAGAATTAGCTGAGACAGCAATACGGTCTTCAGCGACAATGCTGGATAATTCATCTTTGGCTTGAGCGTAGGTATCGAAATCGAAAATGACCTTGTAGACACCTACATCCCAGAGTTGAACAGCTTCTTCTACAGACTTGGCAGAGGCCCAATACAAAGTAGAGCCAGTTTGGTTGACAAGTGACTTGATTTGGTCAACACTGCCGTTACTAAGAATAACGGAGCTAAAGAATGACAATGAAGAATAAAGTGAAGCTTGTGAAGCGTCGGCCAAGTCAAGTGAAGGCACAAACATAATTAAAAAAAAAAAAAAAAAGTTTCTAAAGAGCGAAAAAAAAGAGTAGACAGGAGGGTAGAATAAAAAAAAATAGTTGACATGCTAACAGTCACGAAGATGTGTCATGTTTTGTCTGTTCGTGCGGTGTTTTCGATCTCGAGAAAAAAAAGGGAATCGATTGGATAACCAACAAAGCTTTGTCAGCGTTCGGAATTCCTCTCGGGTTGTGCAATATCAATACATCAAAATGACACAAAATTAACATGTGTCATCTCCTTGAAAAGAGGGAAGACTTGCTTTATATTCATTATTGTCTGTATGTGTTACATGGAAACTAAGGTAAGAACGCGTTTAACAATGAAAATGTCCGACGCGTATATAAAAATATTTTTCTTCTCTCCTCTTGTGTATCGTTATCCTCTTTTTTTTTCTTTTATAAAAACTATGGCAACTCTCAGTTCTTTTGGCTTCAAAAAAGGTGTCCAATGTAGCGCACCAATCGATAAAATCGAACACAGACATCCATTTATCAGTCCAGCCATGGCACCTATTCAAAAGAAACAGATACTGCCAAAACCATCAAACAAGAAGAGTATTAAACATTATTTCTTGCCCATACAACATAAGCCAGAAGAACAAGAACAAGAGGAAGAAGCTATTATTTGTGTTGTGCGCAAAAAACTACCTATTTCAACTATGTGGGACATGATCCAAGCTGAATGCGAGCAACAAGAGCTCCTTCTTGTGCCGTCCATTCATTCGAGTCGGCACAAACGAGCCCATAGTAATGTGGATAGCCAGCATGATAAAAACAAGAAGAAGAAAAGAACAGACCAAAGTGAGATGACGTCTATTATGCAGCGATTCTTACATATGTAATTTATTTATAATAAACATTTAAAATACAAAATCCCAGATTTCAATAGCAATGCATTCAAATGATCCAGCTGCAGATAATATAGGGTTATTGAAAGTAGCACAAGATTGGCTGTTGCCGTGCGTCAAGTCTGAATGCAGCCATAATCCAAAGCGACCTTGTCCCCCACCCATGGCAAAAAAATCATGATCTGAATAAATCATGTAATCATTCGCTGTTGTCCATGGATAAGTCTGGACTAGGTTTGTCTTTTTATCCTTCTTCCATAAGAAACTAAGGTTTGTGTAAGTAAAAAGATAGAGATTATTAGTATACTGACCATTCACCTGTGCCATAGCAGCAAGATTGAGAGCGAATACCTTCAGACAAGTAAGCACCAAATACCTAATATCTGTGTTAGGGTCTTCATTAGCATCGTTTGTTTTTACCTCATCATGATTGTCTTGAATGACCAATAAACATGGGCCATGAATCATTCGACATTGATAGTACAAAGTATTCAGACTTGCACCATGTTGATCCAAACTATAGACAAGTGACCATGTAGATGAAACAGATATTCTTGAAGGTAGCCATGATTGGATCTATCAAATACTTAATAAAACTTTCTCTTTGTTTATCTTTATTTTTCTACTTGCGCACGTTTTGAGCCAAGTCTTTTTCAAGACAGATAAATGTACTGGGTTGACGATTGACCAATTGAATCGTCATGCTTGGTAAAATGGGTAAAGACATACTACGCTTTTTAGTGTCTTGAGTACAATTGTATTTCTTTTTGATATCATGAAAACAAGTCATTGAATTCCTCTTCTTGCGAGTGATCATGACTGGGAAACGTTCATTTTGACTATAGAATTCAGTGCATTCAATATTAGAAGGCGTCAAAATAGACGAAGGGATGGGTGTGAATTTTATTGACATTGGAAAAAGAAAGAAAGAGATAAGAAACCACATTTTTCTTTTTTGGTCTTATTTATATAGGTTATAGCGTCATTGATCGCACAGACCCTTTAAAAGAAGTATCTTTGCTTGTTGCTCTGCCTCTTTTTTTTTTTATCAATGCATGAAAGGTCTAGAGAGTATATATGTTTATGACAATCTTATGTTTGTTTTGACCACTTTATGGATTTTTCCCACAGTTGACTTACTGCTGAAAACAAAAAATGTCAATCATCATGATGGCACTGAATTCAATATGAAAATAAAACGAAACACTTTCTTTTTATCTTCACAACATAAAATAGTTTATTCTTTTTGAAGACAACAACACCTACAAAAAAAAAAAAAAAAAAAAAAAAAAAAAAAAGAGAAGAAAAAAATAGCGCATTGTTATTTAATACATGTACATAAAAATAACAACTCCTGTACGATGTTTCATAATGATTATTTCATTTCAAGTACTTTAATCATGCCTTTACTATTTGCGGCCAAGATCTTGTTTGTACCATTCTTCCAGCAAACAGAACTGACAAAAATAGGCGACTCTTCCTCTTCTTCTTCTGCTTCCTCCTCTTCCTCATTGTTCTGTTCTATTTAGTATGCATAAAAAAAATATAAGGATAAGTTACCTTTGTTCCTATTCTAGGAAATTTAAATGTAGCTACTGGCAAAGTTGATCTCTTGTGATACGTATAAAGTCTATTTAATTCTGATCCACAAGAAATCCAATCTCCGTTTATTGACAAACCCACAAAGTTCTTTTCGTTCTGATGTCCTTGGAAAGTACGAACACAATGTCCGGATTCTTTATCCCAGAGTTTAAGTGTGCTATCTGTAGATCTAAAGAAAACAATCAGTCTTCAGTCGGTTCCGTGTGACTTACGCAGAGACAAATTCTTCATCATTGATCCATTTGACATAGGACACTGCTTTCTTGTGCCCCTTATAGACATAAACAGGACTAGAAGGGTATCTTAGATCATAACAAGTGACATGGTGGTCTAATTGTAAAGATAAGAGAAATATATATGTTGTGTCTCTCTTACCTGCACTACCTACAGCCAAATAGTGACTATTATTAGGCGCAAATTTAGCACAACAGACATTCCCCTTTTGTTCTAATGTATAGATTGACTTGTTTTGAGAGAGTGACCAGACTTTGACAGTCGTATCATCACTACCACTGGCTACCATGGTAGGATTGGAGTGACTGATATCTACACTCCATGCCCTACGCTTGTGTTCATCAAATGTCTGTGTCTTGCGTCCAGTCGTGACATCCCAGATATTGATAAATCCTTCATAATCAGATGAAGCCAATTGAGATTTGAGATAAGGAGACCAATTTAAGCAGCTAATTTTATGTCCACAAGCCATGACCCTTAATGGACAATGGATCTGATTTCGGTGTTGCATACTGTTAAAGTCGAACAGCTTGATTTCTTTTGTGACACCACCCACAGCAAAAAGCTCTTGATCTCGGTCAAATTCGATTGAAGAGACAATAGAAGAAGGTGATTTAGAACTATCTGTATAATACAATGTATCATAGGGTTCAAAATGGTCATAGCGTGTTAACTCATAAATTGTGCTGGATAAATCATACAATAGTTTGCGACCTATAGCTTATGAGGCATGGAATTGATTCATTCAACTTACGCTTCTGCATGGATTCATGGGTTGTCATCAGTGTAGCATGGTACATTTCTTTTAAATCATGAAATCGATCCTCCATACGCTTTAACATGGGATCTTGAGGATCAGACAAAGGCACATCTGTTTCTCTTTTGATGTCTACTATATCATCCACAATGATTTCCTATTCAATCTTATCAGTTTTCTATTTATCAGCCAAAATATCATTTACTGAGAATTTTCTTTTCCGAGAACCAGTACAAGTTGTATCTTCTTGATTTATCAATGATTTTAAGTCTGAAGTAATACAAGCATTTTCATAAATAAGATCATTGACAGCCTATATGCTTTGTTATAAAACGATAGGTTGAATTGCCTATTACCATCTTGTTCTTTTTCTCGAGTTGATTCAAGAATTCGCATAATAGATGTTGTTTGATAGTATCTTGATCCAATTCCATCTTTTTCTTTTGTTCTATAGCAGCCTGTAATATCTTTTCCAAGTCTAGATGTAGAATGAGTATAGACATAACATCATGAACACACCTTCAGAAGGCAATGAATCTGCAAGTGATTTAGCAATAGCTGAAGGATCTTGTCTATTATCTTGAATGATTTTTTCAACAGAATCTTTATGTGAATAAAAAGGAATGTTTTCTTTCAATGTACGCAAACGATAATCAGCAAGCTTATTCACTACCAAAGAAGTTATGTATCAGTCTATTATATATATCTATATATCTATATATCTATTTTACATTGAAAATTTGGGTATAAACCATTTCTAGTTAATTTGGATCTACAGATTGGACAATCGGATTGATTCTCTAGATGAAGTGTAATACACTCATGACTGCATATTAAAAACTTCAGACAATGCTTATGACCTTACCAAAAAGAATGACCACAGTGAGTAGCATACACTTCTTTCATGATGTCTTGACAAATGGGACTAGAATGATGTATAAGAAAACAACAGGGATAATTTTATCCTATACCATGATAATTCTTCGTCTATTTTGTCTACTTGTTCTTTATGGCGTGGTTGATTGTTATTACGTGCACCCAGCAACGTCATGAACGTTGATATGGAGGACCAAGCCCGGTTATTACCTTCTGTTCTGCTCTCGTCACTGCTGTCTGAATGATTTGTCAGTTCGTCAGGTTCAGTTGGGTTGGTCTGTGACATAAAGAAAAAAGAAGAAAGAAAAAAGAAAAAGAAAAAAGAAAAAAAAAAGAAAAGAAAAAGGAGAGAAATACCAAAAAAAGCATTTTTTTATTTCCTTTTTTGATTTTAACTATATGCTTTAGCATAGACTTTTCTTTCTCTTTTTTCTCCATATCGCTTTTCTTATTTAAACCATTGTCAATGAAATAATGCAAATGGTACGATATATAACTATTTCAGTATAGATGTATAGATTAGAATCAAGACTCAACATTAATCTTGGTTCATTTGTTTGGACAAGAAGTATGCATGAAGAAAAACAAGACTTTGAATAGACCAAAGTGTATTCTCGTGATAGTCTATGGGTAGAGTAAAGTAAAAAAAAAATGCATTCTTTAGTATCAAAGTTACAGATGTATGGAATTTGCTTTTACTTCTAATTATTTTTTTGACGAATGAAGATTTACATTTACCTATAATACAATCTAAATCCGTACTAGGGAAACCGTGTTTATTACAGCGATTGGAACATATGAAGTCCTTTTGAACATTTCCAGGATTCCGTATTCACTCCAGGCAGAAATCATGATTTTTGCTGCACCAATGTCTCTTTGTCAAAATGTATGGCAAGTTGTACAGACAAATACACTATGGCCTTTGACATCATCCTAGTTTTGCAAGTGTTGCATATCTCAGAAGTGAGATATTCATGGATAGGAACAGCCAGAAGATCTCCAGCAGTTTCTCCAGCAGCTTCTCTTTTCTTAAAGCGCCTCCACAGAATTTTGACAGCACCACAACGTACGCCTTTCGGCTTTACCTCATCCTTGTTAAACATACCGTTTCCAAATACATCAAGGGAACTTTCAATTTGTCAACAAAGACAAACTTAAATGTCCTCATTTGTTTAACTTCGATTCGTCCAGAAAAAGATGACATTGTCTAATGTTAAAGTAAAATCCTGCATTAATTACGAGGGAAGATATTTTGGGTGGAGTTGCCTTTGTCGACTCTCCGAAGCATCATCGAAAGAATTGAGCAGACTGGCAGTCCTCTTCCTGCCAAACCAACTGTGAAGTCCTATAAGATTGATGAGAGGGCTGAGTTTCACACTATCAAAAACCCCAAGTCGATACTTCGACAAGAGTGGGAGAATCTCGACCAAGAATATGCTGCACGCTTGGTCGGAAGCATGAAAAGCCGATGCCAAGCGGTGGCTCCACCAAACACTAGTTCTTATAAATAATTCAGACTTTTATTCTGCAAGATTTATAGTGCTCATCATTTATGCTTCAAGGGACATATTCAGGGATGATAACCATCCAATTTTTTCTGTCTTCAGCAATTTATTTGAAAGCGAAATCTGTATGACTGGATAGATCAATAGAAAATAAACCTCAGACGAGCGGTGTTTCTATTTTTTCTTCTATCTTTTTTTTTTTTTTTTTTTTTTTTTTTTTTTTTTTTTTTTTTTTTTTTTTTTTAGAGGTTCTTTCTTTAGTTCTATAACTCATCTATACACACACTTACAATGACTCGCCTACAGAGACTATTGCTATCAAGTAGTATTTTACTTTTAGCTACTCTAGTTAAAGCACAGCTAGACAATCCTGTTGAAGAGGTAATCATAGCTCAGGCTTCTCCCCCCCCCTTTTTTTATATTTTTCATCTCATAACCGGGTTAGATTTTAGATGCCACAAATGAGCCACCTACTATGGATACACCTGCTATACTCGATGGACAAGATCTTATTGCATCAGCAGATGAGGCTGCCATTGTGGAGAAGTCATTTGTTATTTCACTCTTGATGATCATTGTCTCTGAAATTGGTGACAAGACTTTCTTGATTGCTGCCATCATGGCTATGAAACACTCTCGTCTTGTTGTCTTTGCTGCTGCTTTCTCTTCCCTCCTTATCATGTCAGTTCTTTCTGCTTTCTTGGGTCATGTTGTACCCAACTTGATCCCTAAGCAATATACAGATGTATGTGCTGCCCTTTTATTTTTGTGTTTTGGGTTACGTATGATATACGAAGCTTATTATATGGACGAAGCAGCTGGCAGTGAAGAAATGCAAGAAGTAGAAGAAGAACTCAAGACAGTAGAGGACCGTGAACATGCCAACAAATTAGAAGAATTGGAAGTAGGTGGTTTAGAAAACGCTGCTCATACACCTACCTCCAAGACAGAAAAGGCTAAAGAAGGATTGATGAATTTGATGCAACTTGTATTTTCACCTGTATTTGTTCAGACATTTGTCTTGACTTTCTTGGGTGAATGGGGAGACCGTTCTCAAATTTCTACTATTGCTTTGGCTGCTGCTAACGTATGTTGTATTTGTTTGTTTGTTTATGTCTAATTTTGTATTAGAATGTGTATTATGTCACTGCTGGTGTTGTCTTTGGCCATGGTATGTGTACTGCATTAGCTGTCATTGGTGGTCGTATGTTGGCCTCCAAGATTTCAGTCAGAACAGGTATGTATAAAGAAAATAAAAGAAAAGAGAGAGAAAAGAGAGCATTGATGTTTTCTCTAGTTACATTTGCTGGTGCTGTTCTTTTCCTTATCTTTGGTGTGTTTTATGGTTTGAATGCATACAAGAGCCTTATTCTTCAAGAATAAATTTCGTACCCGATTTTATTTATCTATCTGTGTAACTTTTTTTTTCTGCGGGAAATAGCTGGTAAAATAATGGGCTGTGTTATTTGGCTTTAAAAGCCACATGGATCAACAAACATTACTTGATCTTTCTCACAATGACACACTGTAATGGCCTGCCATCTTCTGTCTTTTTTATTTCATTTACTATGATTTCCATATGATGCATGTCTCCAAACACACGTTCTATTTCACCTAATTGTAATCGTTGGCTTAGTTTTGGCTGCTTATATATCATCCATTCTTCATGATAGAATTGTGACAAGACAAAGCATCCACCTGGGCTCAACAAGTGTGGCACTTTTTGCCAAAATGCTCTTGACATGAACCGAATATTCAATATTAAATCATACGTATGGATCGGTTGTGGTTCTGATGTCCATTTCCATTGACCACAGTGCTCGAATTTGACTTGAGCCATCTGTATGCGATCCTGAATACCCATCGACTGAACCAATTGAGTCATGCGTTGAATAGCTCCTGGTTGTGAATCAAACCCAGTGGCTTGCCATGAAGGTCGAGTAGACACTAACCAACCGATATCTCTTCCTGCTCCTGATCCTAGGTCCAGACATCGCCATGGTTTCTGTTTCTGAAGGCCTGATTCAATTTGCTCTATCTGTTCTTGTAAAAAGGGAGAAGGTTGGAAAAGAACCCATGGTCGTGGTTTATCTTGAGTAGCGAGTTGTTGATGGATCAATGCTTGCCAGTCAAGTGTATCCTCCGAGAAAACAAAAGGACAGGTCCATCCACGCTGCAATAACCAGTCTGAAGCATGAGGTATTTCAGCAGGCTCGAGTACAGCCATAGGGATATGTTTAGGAGGGAGTTCTGCTTGTCTTTGTGTGAGTTTCGAAAAGGGTATATTGGTGGAAGGTACCAAGTGACACTTGTGATATTGGACAGGTGAGCGTAAATCAAGACATAAGTGAGGTAACTGAGAAGCTTTCCAGGCATGTAACCTGTTCATTTTAAAAAAAGAAAAAAAAAAAAAGAAAAAAAAGTGGCTTGTGCATAATGAAATTCATGCTTGTCATTCTCACACTCATATTGCATTTATCAAATGGAAAAATGAGCATGTTGCAGGAAAAGATTGCGCCATATATCAAAATTGAATCAATGAACAAGGAAAATGACACAATTGTCTTTCTATCTGCATAAGTTGTACATGCTTATAAATTGCTTCTCTCTCTGTTAATTTCTTAAATTTTCTTTTTCTTTCTTATTTATTTATTTTATTCAATATGTCTCTTCGTCTTGGTTCTATTGCTCCTGATTTTGAAGCTGAAACGACAAAAGGTAAAATCAAATTCCATGATTTTATTGGTGACCACTGGACTGTTCTCTTTTCCCACCCTGCTGATTTCAGTAAGTTATATCTCTTGTGAATTATTGATCACTTATGTACTCTATAGCTCCTGTCTGTACCACTGAACTTGGTCTTGTAGCTGCCCTTCAAGACGAGTGGGAGGCTCGCCATGTCAAAGTGATTGGTCTGTCTGCCAATGGCCTTGACGAACACGAAAAATGGATTGCTGATATTAATGAAATCTCTCGTGTGAAGCTTGATTTCCCTATCATTGCTGATGCAGATCGTAAGGTTTCTACTCTTTATGACATGTTGGACCATCAAGTAAGAAAGCAGTGGTGGTTATATACATACTCATCTCATATTAGGATGCTACCAATGTAGACACAAAGGGTATCCCATTTACCATTCGTTCTGTCTTTATTATTGATCCTAAAAAGACAATTCGTTTAATCTTGACTTATCCCGCTTCAACAGGTCGTAATTTTGACGAAATTTTACGTGTGATTGACTCCTTACAACTGGGTGATAAACATCGTATTACTACACCTGGTAATTGGAAAAAGGGTGACGATGTGATTGTTCATCCTTCTGTATCAACCGAGGAAGCACAGAAAATCTTTCCCAAGGGTGTTAAAGTGATTAAGCCTTATTTACGTCTTACACCTTCTCCTTTTTAAGACTAAAACCTTTCAAAATAAACAAATCATCTGATTGGCCATGTAGAATTAACTTTTTTTTCTTTTTGCATATAAAACTAGCCTTTACGTCAAAGTTATGTTAATCTTTTTTTTTTCTCTTTTTTATTATATATATATACATATCAATCATGGACATTGGACAACTCAAGAATCCTTTTTCTAAAAAGTCAACTGAAGAATCTTCTGGTTTATTCAAGATCGGTGATTATGACTCCAAATCAAGCAACTCTCAAGACAGTAAACAACCCGGTCTAGTCAAACAAACTGCACAAACAGTGAAAAATGGAGCACAATCCACTGTAGATAAAGCCACTAGAAATCAATAAAATCTCTTTTTATTATTATTTCTCTTTTGTTGTTTCTTCTTTAGCAGCAGCTTTTTTAGCTTCATCAATATCTTGTTTCTTGGCAAGTTTAAAGACAGCCAAGAACAAGCCAACAATGAGAGCAGTAGAAAGAATGAAGCTAGGGGATGTAAAACTAATTTAAATGAGTAAAATAGACGTAATCATGATAAATATATACGTTACTTGACAAGTTGGTCAGATTTGTTGGAATCAGCATGCATGAATGCATCTTTGTTAAATTGTTTCCCTTTTTTAATGTCCAACAGTTCGACTTCAAATACAAGTGTGGCTCCACCGGGAATAACATTACCAGCACCACGGTCACCATAACCTTCAAGATATGAGTACGTTTACTGACAGATACCAAAAAAAAAAAAAAAAAAAAAAAAAAAAAAAAAAAAACTTACCGAAGCTAGGAGGAATCACAAGCTTACGCTTTTCACCAATACACATACTACAGTGCTATAATTAGCCCTCATTGTGTTTGATGGTTTTTTTTTTACTACTTACTTTAATAAACCTTGATCCCAACCTTTGATTACTTGACCTTGACCAAGTGTAAAGACGAAAGGTTGATTACGATCCAAACTACTATCAAACTTGTCTCCAGTATCAAAAAGTGTACCCGTATAATGCATAGATAACTCATCACTAAAAAAAATGGATTAGAGTCCTTTCTTTTTTTTTTTTTTTGGTACACTTTACCCATTATTTGATTTTATTTTGCATTCTTCAGCAGGAATACGCTTTTTGATACCTTTTATGTATGGATTAAGTATCATTTATGTTTTCCTAGAGAATTATTTACCAACTTGTAATTGAGTAGGAGGTTCTTTCAAGGCCATAGTAGAAGCTACAGCACTTAACAATAAGAGGAAGGCAGAACGCATAGTCAAGATATACAAAAGAGAAAAGAAAGAAAGAAAGAAAGAGAATGCGCGGTGATTCCTTTTTGTACAAAAATCTTCTAGATACGCGATGGAGTATGATTGGATAACAAATTCATGGACAAAGCTTAAAAAAGAAGAATGTATCTTAAAGGACAAGCAATATCATATCCTAAGTCCAAAGCGATCTTTATTAAAGACAAGCCTTTTTATCGTTTCTGTTCAAAGACTTTCATATCAACCAAGGTTGTGCACAAAGAAGAAAGGAGCAGTTGTTATAATTACAATCTATCTAACATAGATATTATAAATATATATATTTACATACAACATTAATGAATACTACTATGACTATTACGATCTAGTTCTGGTGCACTATTTTGTGTATAACTTCTTTTGATAGTCAATTCAATAGAAGATACAGAAGAATGACCGTCTTCTTCTTTTCGTGTTCCAGAAGGCCAAGACGCCAATGAATGATGAGACGCAGACCGATTATCCGGATATACCTGCGACACTCTTCGATTCAGTGCTCGAGAAACATTGCGTGGACTTGAAACTACCATCATCTCTGGCAAGTCAAAATTAAATTGTGAGCGGGACCGATGTTTAGCAGCAGCCAATGTATCTTGATGTCGCATTTGTTCTAAATGAATCAGGGCTTCTGCAGCTGTGGCTGGATGATGTGCATCAGGTCGTTGATCAATCAGAGCACCGCTAAAGATCAATTGGATCTCTTCTAATGAACGGCCTCGGGTCTCTGGGTAATAGGCATGGACAACCATAGCCATGATAATACACCATACGCCGAAAAATAAATAGGTGCCCCACCAAATATTACGAAACATGATGGGCGAGACAAGCGAAACAAACAGATTGACGAGGTAACTACAGGAGGTAGTGACGCCCATAGCATTGGCTCGAATCATTTGAGGGTAAATTTCAGCGGGATAGATCCATCCAACAGGACCCCTAAAAAAATGGAATATCAATTATCCTGATCATGCAAGAGCTTTCACTTACCAACTCATAGCAAAAAAGACGAGGAAAATACACAGCAAGACCATGATAGCATAACCAGCATTTTGGTTGTCAATGGCACTAGTAACCTCTGTTGAAGTCACAGAGGGAGCATTGTGCATGCTGAGTAGTTGTTGATTAAAGATAGCAGACACAATCGTGATAGCTATCATACAAACAGCCATGGCCAATGCACCTACCACTAAGATACGACGACGATCACACTTGTCAATCTAAAAAACAGAGTGAATACATCCATCGCTTTATGGACAACACCTACATAGAACATAACAAAGATAGTAGCTACAAAATTAATCAAACCAGCAACACCATTACCCAATAAAGTAGACACAATTTCTCTTATTCCCACAGACTGAAGTATGTAGGGCAAATAAAACCTAATAAAATGAGCATATTTCGCTTTTGATATTGCTCTTCTTACAAGATGGCATTGATACCAGACAATTGAGTAAATGCATGCACTCCCATACCGAGCAATGTTCTTTTTCGATTGTTGTCAATCCCTTTCCGTAGTAGACTCATAAACCTTTGTTTATAGGCCATCTTGTCAAACGTCACATCCTGCACAATACCTGTAAATTCCATCTGTACATCTACATCACGCTCATTTCCCTGAGACCGTAATTGAGCCAGGATTTTGAGTGCTTCTGCATTTCGGTCTTTGTAGATCAACCAACGCGGACTTTCATAGATGAAATAGATGCCTACAAGTAAGATAAACCCAGCCACAAGTTGTAGAGCAACAGGTATTCGCCATGCTGAATCACTGTCAATCTTATAAGCACCATAGCCCACCCAAAATGCAATAAAAAACCCCATGGTAACAAAGATTTGATAAAAAGTAATTAAGCGACCTCTGTTTTGTGGTCTTGCAACTTCACTTTGATCTAGCTTTTTTGTTTAATCAACGACAGATCAAACTGGTGACTTACATAGAGGAACAAGCATACTGTAGATCCTACTCGTTGTTAATTGAGATACTATTGTACAAGATCTATACTTTACCCCACTGCAAATCCAGTAAGAATACGACCAATGAAAAAGGTGGTTTGACTTTGACCTGCAATTTCAATGACACAACCTATTTCATGAATAACAGACGCTACATAAAAAAAGTTTTTTCTGCCTAGTCCATCTGCCACAAATCCAGAAACCTAAATTTAAGTCAATCATTTTATTATTTTGGAAAAAAAAACTTACAAATGAGGCAACAAAGGAAGCAGCTAAAGAGACTGGTACAATAGCATATCCTGCTGGTGTATCGCTATACAAGTTATACCTTTTCAAAAAGGAGGGCATAACAGTGACAGTTGTAATTGTCCCACTGTCATAACTAAACATATAAAGCTCATTAAGTAATTTCTTTTGTTTCTTTTTTTTTTTTGGTATCTTACCCATACTAAAAAAAAAAAAAAAAAAAAAAAAAACGTCATCGCCAAAAAAAAAAAAAAAAAAAAAAAAAAAAAAGAGCATGAGTAATGAATAACGAAGAATAAAAAAGTACCATAAATCCACCAAGAGATACAAAACTAATAAAAAATTCAATAAAAAAAAGACAAGTCGAGATCTCTGTTTATTTGCTTACCAGCATAACGAATATAACTTGTATTGTGAATTGACTGGAATGCCCATCAACCTTGGTCGTTTTCTTTTGTCAGCTTGTTTGTAAGAAACAAACGAGTCTGCCAACAATTCTTTTTTAGACGACGTATGCAAAAAATTCGACGTGATATTGTAGATAAATAACCAGCTTATTCTTTTTCTTAAATAAAACTATATGGAAAGAAAAAGAAAAAGAAAAAATATGAAAAAAGAAACACTGAAACTGACACAGCTCGCATATATATATAATGCCGAAAACCACCCTATATTGGGCTTTTTATTGGTTAGTATTGAAACCAGCGCCAGCCTTTTTTATATAAATGGTTCATAAGCTATAAAGTATGATCAATGAAAGAAATAGAGAATCAAATATTACCTTAAGTCTTAAAACAGTGTTTTTTTCTACTCGGTATCGATCAGGAATAAGCCATTCTGGTGGACTTGTATCTCCTTCAAATAACTGTTGTTGTTGAATTCTGTATTCTTGCTGGGGTGTAGGATCAGTGGCTACCCAATTGTCCATCGTTTCTAAATAGTGTCTCAATTGTTCTCCTGCGTGGGTGACCATCATACACATCCCATCAACATCCAAAGGCCTGTCTGCAGCCACACACATAATCAACAGATCTTCTACATTGCCTGTCACTAGTGCTTCTCTTGCACATTCTTCAAATGAACCATCCAGATTCGACTCTAGATACAAACTTGTCACTTCAAACAGACTACCGAAAAACAAGGCAAAACGCATATGCTTCTTTCTGTTCTGCATTGGTTCAGCACAATGTTGACGCCAAACAAAGGTATAATCTCTTGGTAAAAAAGGTGCTAATGGATGTTTGGTACTTCTACGTCTATATTTCTGCCAGTCATGAATATTTCTTATTTCTCTTATTAGTTTTTTTTTATTACTTACTGGGTCATGTAATACACGAATAGAAGGTGTATGGAGATAAAGTGATCGTACTTGTAAACACAGGTTTGCATAATCATGTTCAAGCCCAGCTTTTAAATCGTCAGACAGGATACGTTGAATCACAAACTGCTGTACAATATCCAATAGTTCTGTGAACTTGTTACGGTGTTCAAACTTGGGCAATTGTCCTACTTGTTTACAAATCAACTGTAGTATCTTATTGGCAAATTCATGCCTTGTTTCTTTTGAGTGGCGTTCAGAGGGCGTGATAGCTTCATAGAGCCTTAGGAGAGACACTATCTTGTAGTGGAAATTATAGTGTTGTTGAATAAAATGTAATACAGTGCTTGAGATAGGTTTTATTTGAACAAGACTATCTAGATCTTGGTATTCGAGATCTAAAAAGACAGTCCAAAGCAGTTCGTTTGGTAATAAGTGAAGCATATTTTTTTTTTACTGTAAAGAACAATAATAATAATAAAAAAAAAAAAAGAGAGAAAGGCTGCATAAAACGTCACGCACTATTTAGTTGTCATACAGGTGTCAGTTGATGAATCGTTTCTTCTTTTTCCCTTTCTTTTTTTTTTCTTTACTTCTTGATCATGTCTTGTACACAAACAATTGAATTGGTTCAACTAAAGCAACGTCCTTTTCATAAACAAGGAACACATGAAGAAGACCTGCATGGCTCTAGTCAAGACCCCTTGGCATTAGAAAGGAAAAAGATGGCCGATGATTATATCAAGAATTTAAAAAAATCAAAATTACAGCAATTTTATCAAAATCAAAATGATTTGATCGACACGATGCTGACTGCACTTGATAAGCAAGATGCAGAAAAGGAACAACAGCAATTGTTCAAGGCAAGTGATTTTATTTCATCTATGATATTCATCATGTGAGTAGCTCAAGCTGGCTATCTACGGTTCTGTTGTAGCCAATATTGTGTTGTTTGTACTTCAATTGGTTGCTGCAGTCACATCTGGTTCGCTTTCTATTTTCTCTACTATGGCAGATGCATTTATGGACCTATTGAGCTCTGTAGTATTGATGTGGGCCACAAAGCAAGCATCAAAATCGAATTTACAAAAGTACCCTGCTGTATGCCCGTATGTAAATGATGGGTACAAGCTTATTTGTTTATTTAGGGTAAATCACGTATGGAAACGATAGGGATTATTATTTTTTCTTGTTTGATGTCTTGCGTTGCTTTGTTCTTGATAGTAAGTATTTTAATTTATCTAAATTGACTTGTAATATGTTCTAGATTGAAGCAAGTCAGAAATTAGCAGATAAGAGTCATTCCCCTGATCTCACGGTCATGGCTATTGCATTTGTATCTGCTGCACTAGGTTAGGCACACTACACATGTATATTCAGATCTCTTATTGAATTGTAGCTGTCAAGCTTATCCTATATGTCTATTGCAAGACATTGTCTAGTTTTAGCTCTGCCAAAATATTGGCTCAAGATCATCGTAATGATTTGCTTGTGAATGGTTTAGGTTTAACAACCGGTATTGTCGGAAGTCGGATAGCTCCCTGGGTCGATCCTGCTGGGTCTATCATTATTGCATTAATTATACTTCAAAGTTGGGTCATCACTCTTTTAGGTAAGTTAAACTTATCATTACTATTGCTTAACACAATACAGAACATATTCCTTTAGTCGTTGGCAAAAGTGCTGATACACAGTTCTTAAACCTGATTACCTATATTGGTAAGGTTCACCTGATGGAGACTCAAAATTTAACTTGTGTAAAAAAAAAAAAAAAAAAAAAAAAAAAAGCCTTAACGCATCCCGGCGTGGTACAAGTGGATAACTGTCTTGCATATTATGCTGGTAACAACTTGTTTGTTGAAGTTGATATTGTTTTACCTTCTACTATGGAACTGCGCGAATCTCATGACATTGGAGAAGCACTTCAAAATAAGCTTGAATCACTTCCTGATGTAGAGCGTGCATTTGTTCATGCTGACTACGAGACAATGCATAAAAGAGAGGTGGGTTCGTAAGAAAAAGAAATGGCTTATTCATATCGATATAGCATCAAAAGTCGCAATAAAAAAGATTTTGGAGAGGAGTTTATACTGTTGATTTAATCTAAATTTGGAGAAAATAAAAACGATGATGAATTAATGTGGGATCTACGCTTAATATGTCACGAGAAAAAAAAACAAAAAAAAAAAGGGAGGGCAAAAATTGACGTCGTTGTTGTGTTCCCTCCACTTCTATATATATAAAAAAGAAAAAGAAAAGATAGAAAAAAAAAGCCTTCTTTTCTTTTTCTTTTTCTTTATTCTATCTATGATGGACATTCAAAGTACCTATTTTTCTTTCCAGTATGACCAAATGAACAAAGAAGAAAGGTTTTTTATGGGTGCGTATAAATCATTTTAGGGTAAACATAGATAGATTAACAAATGTATATAGATAAAACGAAATTATCGTCCATTGTGTTGGCTCAATTATCCCTTGAACAATATATACCATTATTCCATCAAGCTGGCATTGATTTTGACAGTTTTGTGTCCATGACAGACCAAGATTTCATTTCAATAGGACTGAAAGAGCCTTCCGACCTTGATTTATTATCCAGTTGTGCAAAAGCACTCAAGGCACATATTGCAAAACAAACAAATGTTACAATTTCAGAAGAAGAAGAGGACCTTGTCAGCTTGAGATCTTCCAACAGTAGTAGTAGTGATACATTAGCAACACCATCATCTTCTACTTCGACAGAATCTATTTTACGAGCTATCCATGCTTATGACTCGTATTATTATCGTCATGAACCAACTGTGACACCAATGATTCAGAGAAACACATCCTCTGGTAGTCTTGTAGCCCCACCCGGAACAGTTATCCGTAGAAACAAACCTGGTAGCAGTAGTCGGCCCCTTTCAATGCCAATTCAGTTACCTTCTTATACACCACCACCCGATTATACTCTAAGTATCATGGGTAAACGTTTAGAAAGATGTCAATCGATGATTATTCCCCGAGAAGAAGAAGGAAAAGAAGAATTACCCGGATATACCTGTACTGTCTTTAAGATGGGCTATGTGCATGTGAAAAGAGAATTTGATGCACCTAATGTCAAGAGTAAATGGAGAACTTGGAGGTAAGAAACAGGATTGTGTTGATGTTATAGACTGATAACAATATATATATATACATATATATAGAAAACTTTATATAGAATTATGGGGTACAATGCTTCGTATTTACCGTACACAACCTTCTTCTTCCAAGAACAATATGGGCTATTATCGCTGGCCTTTTCGAGCACCTTATTACTATTATCAGAAATACTATTATACGCCTATTCTTACCGTTTCTTTAGCAGGTGCTGAAGCATCAAGGGCACTAGACTACTTTAGGCGACCTAATGTACTCAGATTGACGACACAACAAGGTCCACAATTCCTGATGAAGCTATCTTCTCATGTTGAGATGATATCATGGATTGAGCACCTTCAAGCAGGTAAACTATACTTTTTTTTTTGTTTTTGTTTACTTAATATGCAAGTAGCTATCAATATTTCATTGGATTTAGAACAACGTCCTATGCCCAAATTCATTACAATTCCTACTCGAGGCTTAGCTACGGGTGCCTTGGATCCAAGATCAATTGAACTTGAAAGGGCTCGTGAACAAAGAAGAAGAGATCAACGTGAAGTGTTGATTTAAGAAAAAAAAATTTTTTTTTCTATATCATTTTTAACATCATGATTACGTATTTATTTTATTTTGTACAGTTTATCGCCCCCCTCTCTCTTTTTATTTATTTTATCATATCGAATAATATTGTAACCTATTCTTATTGCAACACAAAAACTATATATATATATATATATATTTTATTAATTTATTTTTATATGTAAAAGTAAAAGAAGGAGAGGGGAACATGACTTTTTATATATATATATTTTCTCAAAAAACTTTTTTTTATAGCATTGACTTTTGAATAAAATAAAACAAAGTCTGCCTTCCAAGATAGATCAAGAATTTATTGTTATATTCAGTAAACAAAGATCTATTTTCTCTACAAATATATGTAAAAGACGTAAAGATCAAGCATTGAATGAAAAGCAGATCTTTTTCTTTTTTGGATATAAAAATATATTTTTTCGTATTAAAAAAAAAGCGCGTTCCTTTTTTTAAATCTCAATAATTTTTTTTTGTGAAAAAAAAAAAAACCCAAAAAAAATTCAAGCAAGTCAACTGATTGGCTCGTCAAAGGTATTCAAAGACCGCGCACGCGAATGAATTTTTCAATATAAAAAGGATGTATTTTTTTCAACTCTTGTTGATTTCTTTTCTCCCTCTCTCCTTTCGCTTTTTTTTAAATAACAACTCTCTTTTTTTTTAAGAATGACTGCCGCCGCTACTACCGCAAAGAAGGCTGCCTCTACCAAGAAAGCCGATCATCCTACTGTAAGATATTCATGACTTTACTCTATCCATTGACCGTTCTTTTTTCTTTTCTTTTTTCTAGTACGAAGTAATGATTAAAGGTAGGAAATAATCTCACAGAATATATAAATGGATTTTTTTTTACTCATACCGATATGTTCTATTAGATGCTATTGTTGCTTTGAAGGAAAGAAAGGGTTCTTCTAGACCTGCTATTAAGAAGTACATTTTGGCCAACTACAAGGTCTCTCCTGGTGCTCATTTCGATTCTCAAATTGCTGCTGCTATCAAGCGTGGTCGCACAAAGGAAGTCTTTTCTCTTCCTAAAGGTAATTGTTTATAAAAAGAGAGAGAGAGAAAGAGAGAGAAAGAGAAAGAGAAAGAGAGAGAATGAAAGATATTTATGATCTATATCGTTATTTTCTAGGTCTTTCCGGTACTGTTAAGTTGAACAAGACTGAACAAACTGAAAAGAAGCCTGCTGCTAAGAAGCCTGCCGCTACTAAGAAGGCTGCTGCCACCAAGAAGGCTCCTACCGTTAAGAAGCCTGCTGCTACCAAAAAGGCTCCTGCCACTAAGAAGGCTCCTGCTACTAAGAAGGCTGCTCAATCCACCACAACAACCACTACCACTGCTACCAAAAAGGCTCCTGCAGCTAAGAAAGCCACTCCCGCCAAGAAGGCTGCTGCTACTTCTGCTAAGAAGGCCCCTGCCACCAAGAAGGCTGCTGCTACTCCTGCTAAGAAGGCCCCTGCCACCAAGAAGGCTACCCCCAAACGAAAGGCCTCTACAACTGAAAAGGCTGGTGTTAAGGCTCCCAAGAAGAAGTCCCCTGCTACTAAGAAGGCTGCTCCTGCTGCTGCTGCTGCTAAGAAGGTCACTCCTGCTGCTACCAAGAAGGCTGCTGCCACTAAGAAAGCTCCTGCTACTAAGAAGGCTACTCCCAAGAGAAAAGCTACCAAGGCATAAATTTCCTCTCATCTGCATCTATGAAAATTTAACGTCTTTTTTTTTTCCTTAATTATTACCCCCTTTTTTTATTTAAATCTTCTCTTTTATCATTGTAACAAAAAGAAGCATGAAGAGAACATTTGTTAAACATGTACAGTCATCCGTTTTTTTTCTATATCCATTTCTCTATTTTTTTTTAATAAACACCAGACAAAATAAAAAATAGACACGTGTATTTTTTTTTTTTTGTAAAAAAAAATATATACAAAATTTTTTTGTATAGCAAACGCGCTCTCGCTAATTTTTTTTTGTTGATAAAAAAAAAAAGTGTAGATTTTTTCTTTCCAAAAAAAAAAAAAAATACGCTCTCCTGTTTTTTAGGTTATAAAAAAAAAAGAACTTGGTTTTATTTGAACCAAATATCAACAGAACCATTTTCTTCACCAAAATAAGCCTTTTCTGCCATATTGCAGAACAATCCAACTTCATAAACACCGGTCAACAATTTGAGTTCCTTTAACAATTCTTGAGGATTTTTGATCGTACCAAAGTGTGCATCAATCACAAAATTACCATTGTCTGTCACAACAGGACCTGCTTTATTGACAGCCTATATGACGTTAATGTTTGTTGATGTGTAAACAAAATTTTACCATACGAAGTTTAGCACTGATAGGCTTAACTGATAACTTGGTTTCAATAGTCTTCATGAGAGACCTATATGTCATGGGCACAACTTCAATTGGAACACCCTTTGTCCAACCTGTACCAAGCTTCTTGCTTTTCTTTCTGAAATCTAAATAAAGCGTTAATAAAAACTACAAAGATTCCTGTTTTTTTTTTTTTTTACCAGCAACAATCACAAACTTTTTGGCTGCTTCAGCAATCACTTTTTCTTGAAATTGACAAGCTCCACCTCCTTTGATTGCATTTAAATCTTCGTCCACTTCATCAGCACCATCAATGGTCACATCAATTTCAGGATGTTGTTCAATACTACCGAGTTGAAGACCACCTTCAAGAATCAAGATTTTTGATTGAAATGAAGTAGGAATATAGACAATGTGTTTTAATTCGGGACGTTGTAAGATACGTTCGACGACATAAACAACAGTTGAACCAGACCCAATACCAACTACTTTTTGATCAGCGTTGATGTATTCGTCTACAGCGCGATAAGCAGCTAACTTCTTTCCTTCTTCAATAGGATTTGACATGGTTAAAAGGAAAAATAAAAAAGAAAAAAAAAAGGAAAAAATAGGTTTTTTTTAAGGTTTCTTTTTTTTTTGCGGGGACATTTGAGAAAAAAAAAGATATAGGGCATTAGTAAGAATCCATAAGCATGACGTCTTTACTACTATTTATTTAAATTACTGTTATAACTAGCTAATGGCCCACTGCCGGTGGTATTTGAAGATGCTTTTGATAGATAAGGATAAGCAGTACGAGCAATAGCTTCTGAAGATAATCTACTTGATGTTGTCTTGAGATAATAGAGTTCATTAGGATGAATAAACTGTTGGGATTGAGATTGTGTATTGTACCGAAAGCGATCTAATAGTGATTTATTCTTGGTGTTTTCATAGTTTGGACTGGAAGAGATGAGCGGTAAATGAATTGTATTGTTATTGTTGTTACTAACAGTACGCTTCATCATGACAGGCGAAGACATTTTGTTACTATTGTTACTGTTTTCTGCTTCTTCGAGTGTCTCTTTGGTTGGTTCGGTTTCTTCTAGCACTGTCAAGCTAGTTGTGGTTGGTGATACAGATGAAGATAAAGTTGAACTCGAATCATTATTGTTGATAATCAATGGTGGCAAATGTATCATGTCATTCATGTTATGAGGTATATTTGATGTTAAATGATCTGTAGTTGTTGATAAGATATGTGCATTAAAAGCAGTTGTGTTCGTATTTGTTAGTGTGGGTGATAATTTTGTCTTTGTGGGTGAAATAACACAGACAATATAGAGCTGATCGAGTCCATGTGAATCAAACAAGTCGGCACCAAATCCACCACCAAGATAGAACCGACAATTCATTTCTTCAGTCTTGCTACTGTCTCGGCCATATCGAAACTTTAATGTCTGTTTAAGTGTCAATGAACCATTAGCAATATTAAGAAGGGGCTCAAGTGAGAATGAAAAGAACTTTTCAAATGAAGAACGAATATAGTTCGTTGGCTGTTTTGATTTCTGATGTTGAGCTGCATTATCTAGTAAGCAGCGATGAAGTCTTGATAATGTTTGTTGACTTTCACCTGGTATAAGAAAATCGTAAAGAGATCGATGTGAGAATTCTTGAGGATAGAGTTCCAAGTATTCTAGAGACTTGTCAGATACTCTAGCACAGCATAAGTCCATAGATAACAGAATCTGTAGATATTTAATATAAACTATTATGTGTGTATATGGTACTTACTGTCATAACATCATGAGAGGAAACTGTCATTACATCAGAGGATGTTGATAGCATTAGTTTATTGTTTTTTGATGTTCCAGTAGCAGTGGAAGTACTGTTATTGTTTGTTGGTCTGATTTTGTTATTGTTGGCATCCCGCATCATTTTAGGTCGACCTCTTTTTTTATGCTGAATGTCTCGACAAGTGTCAGCCTTGTCTGTAGCTACACAACGATTACAAGGTCTTGATACTATATGATGTTAGATTTGAGGGGAAAAAAAAGGGAGCTCTGATTTACCATCGCAAGCCAAATGTGCTTTCTTACAATTCACCTAATATTAAAAAAGAGAGAGTAAACATTTGTAGAAGAGTTTAGAAAAGAGAGATCACTTTACACATGCAGCAGATACATGCATCTTATTTGGTCTTTTTTTAGGAGGATTCAATTGCGGTGGTGGTGGTGGTGGTGGTGGTGATTGTTGAGCATAATCAACATACATCAAGGAAGGTAAAGTGTCTGGTTCAGTCATAGTATGGTTATTGTAGTCCATTTTTCTTTGAGAAAGGAAGAAAAGGAGAAATAAAAACAAGATGTACGAAAATTAAATTACGCTTATTTAAACATATTTTGGTTAGGAAAATATAGGAAATTTTTTATTTTCCTAAATGCCCGACTTTCAGCAATTATAAAAATGGAATCATTTCCTGATCTTTTTTTTTTTTATCTTTTGTTCTTTATTAAGAATTTATGAAGAATGTTTAAAGAAAAAACAAAAAAGAATGTCGGTGTTTTGAGCTCAAATATATATATTGCTTTATAAATTATCTTTTTTTTTTTTGTATTGACAGAACATGAATGTTCACAGAATCTTGTTACTGCTTACATAAAGTAAGAGCTTTCTAAAAATGTATATTATGACTAGTGTTTGTAGAGTACTGAAACCAAGAGATTAAATTGTTCAATCATATGGAGAAGAATTAGAGTTTATCTGATCCAATCAAAATCAGATGCTGTTTAAAAAACAGTTGTTGATCTAAAATCCGATAAATGACGTAGATTAAATATCCAATTCGAGTAATACGCAGAAATTGAACTGTATAAAGAACGTTGAGTATTCTTTTGTTCTTTGCTTTCTTTTCTTTTTATAAACAATGTCTGAACTCAATAGATCTCTCATCATAAGAAAATTGGACTCAAGGGTCACAGAAGATGTATTGAAATCAATATTTGATTTAATATCACCTACACTTTCTATCAAAATAGAAAAAGATCCTTCAAATGTAAGTAGTCTAATTAATATATACACACATACGTATATATATATATATTTATCTGGTAAACCCAGCATTCTTTTTCTCACACTTCCTCCACCTTGTATCACTATAATTCAAAAAGAAGCCAGTTAAATTGATTAATCTAATCGCATTGACCCATAAAATAACTCTTAATTAGACTGATTTAAACTGTGGTTTTGTTGAATTCCATGAACACCAAACAGCGGAACAAGCATATCATACGATGGATGGACGTATCATTCATGGTCAGGTAAGGATTTTCACAACATCTTTCTTCTTTTTTTTTTTTTTTTTTTTTTTTGGCTCATATCATGCTATATAGTCCATCTCTATAGAATGGAATCATACTGGACCATCTATTCACTCAAGACGTTCATCATCTAATAGTGATGAAATAATACTATCCAACATATCCTATGAAGAGCTGTTTGCAGAAACACCATTGTACCATACTTCTATCTGTATTAGCAATTTACCGAAAGAAACCATTCGTCAAGACGTTGCTCCTTATTTGCAACAATATGGGTTTGTGTCAGATATCCATATGTTGCCAAACAAACGAAGAGCAATTGTTCGACTCGACACACATGCGAATGCTGCCACGGCCATAATCGCTCTTCAAGACACTATGATTGCTGGAAACAAGGTTCGCTTACGATGGGCAAAAGAAGAAAGACAAGAACAAACGGATAGTCCAACGAGATCGTTCAATGTATTCTCGTCAGGCTACGAACATCCCAAAGAGCTTGTTAATCAAATCACAAATACGTATGAGAATCATACAACCACAAGACCACCTGCTCCTACTTTTGATGCCTCCATGGATACAGAAGAAGGACTTCACGGTTGGAATCAATACTATCAACAATATTATAGCGCAGGACATATCACAATTTAAGCATTTATTTATTTATTTTTTAATAACAACGATTCTTTGAAAAAACTTTTTTCTTAGGTTTCTATTCGTGCTACTAATATGAACGAAAAAGACAATTAAGGATATTTAAGTTTGTTCTGCATAAAGCTGTGTGATGACAACATATTCTTTGAATTCTAAAAGATTGTCATCTTTAAAGTGATTGTATTTGAACCTACAAAGGTATTTTATTGACAGACATATATGAAGAAACCTTGTCATTATATTTTCTTACTATTCATAAAATTCAATATGGCAAGTCTCTTTAAGTATTATAGACTGCTATATGCTTTTAATGTTCGTACAAACAATCCTTATCATTATTTTTAAGATGACAACGTCAAAAAAATAAATAAATAAATAAAGCGTGGAACGTGTATACGCAAGTGGCTCTTAAATTGATGGCCAACAGTGCTGTTTGAGTCAAATCTCTGTTGGTACAACACTTGACTTGAACATTGTCTTGATCGAAAAATACTTTTTTTTTTTGTAGTGTTATAGCAACTTGGAAATCCAAAACCTCGTATTAGCGTTGTTCAAAAAAAACGCATCGTAGTGGAGAGAAATCAATACGCCATGTTTTGCAATGATTAATACGACATCATACTCTGTTCTATATGTAGCCTTGTCGTGAAAGGTTAATGAGAAAATGACTTGAGACATACTATATTTGACAGCCCCTTTTACTTCTTTTGCTTGGCTATCAACACCATTTCATTGCACATTATTAGGTGTAGTACAAGATTCATGTATTGCAGAAGGTTTTCGAAAACAGCTGCTCCGCGCACGTCAAAAAGAAAGAATGATAAAGAGTGAGCGAGAGGAAAAGAAAAAGACACTTTTTTTTCTATATATTTATTAATACCTTATTGTGCATAAATGGACAAACGCTTGCAATGAATGACGAGTTTCTTGCTAAAGCGCCATTAACTTCTTTTTTTTTTATAATTCCGAATTGAGAAACTTTTAACCGAGCCAGCTTTTTTTTTCCCCTCTTAGTCGTTTGTGGTTAAAAAGTAGTCAAAAATCGATGGACTTATCTAACTTTAGTTTTGTTCATTCACTTGACATGCCAAGCTTTTATTAGATTTACCAAGACTAGGTGAAATAATATCCCTTATCCGACATACCGGAGTTCTCAAATTGAAGAAATAATTGGCTACCATTGTTCTTTTCAAATCCCTTGGTTTACATAGTTTCTGCTTTTTTTTTCTCTTTTTTTTTTTTTTTATTTATTTATTGCTCTTTATTTTGTTCTTTTTTTTCTTTCATTCGATGACTTCCATGCCACATAACACAAGCGATAACTCGAGTAATACCGAAGAACTCGCTGAAGGTTCTCGTAGTATCTTGTTATCAATTGCGTCTCAGCTAACAAAAGGCATGGATTTGGTAAGCTACATATATGCACGATAAACCGTGTTCATTAACCCTTAATTTAGCACAAAGTAACTCTACCTACTTTTGTGCTTGAGCCAAGAAGTATGCTTGAACGCATTACCGATTTTATGGCTCATCCAGAACTTATCTTGCCGTAAGTATCATCAAAACAAACAAACATGAATCTAATCAGCACAAGTATTCCTGAAATTGAAGACGATACACAACGGTTTATTGCTGTCGTCAAATGGTTCTTGGCAGGTTGGCATATTAAACCTAAGGTAAGAAAAACGATCTCTACCTATTAAATATTCATTCTTCATAAAGGGTGTAAAAAAACCTTACAATCCAGTGTTGGGCGAATTCTTTCGTTGCAAATATCAATATGAAGATGGAACCGAAGCGTATTATATAGCAGAACAAGTTTCACACCATCCTCCTTGTTCTGCTTATTTCTATACATGTCCTCAACACAAGGTGGTTATTACAGGTGACCTTCGTCCAAAGTCTCGGTTTTATGGCAACAGCGTAGCTTCTTTGATGCACGGCCAAATCAACTTTATCTTGCCTGGAAGACACAATGAGCGATACGAAGTAAAGATGCCCAACATGTATGCTAGAGGTGTATTGTAAGTAAAATTATCTAAAAGATATGCTGTTGATATCTTTTTTTTAAAAAAAAAAGGTTTGGTACAATGACATTAGAGCTTGGTGACGCTTCATCAGTTAGATGCGTCTCTAGTGATTTGATTTGCGAAATGGATTTCCAAACCAAGGGGTTCTTTTCTGGCCAATGCAATTCAGTTGTGGGTAAAATCAAACGTGAGTCAACACAAGAAATTCTTTATGAGGTTTCTGGTCAATGGTCAGGTGAATTGTTTATCAAGAAATATACAGCAGAGAAAAGTAGCAGTACGATTGGTGGCTTACTGGTATGCACATACTTGTTTAAATCTTCACGACTGACTTTTTTTTTTATAGTCTCTTAGAAGCAGCACAAATTCGCCCGAAAAAAAACCAGATGTATTGGTAGATGTGTCAGATCATGCTGTTTGTCCTCTACTTGTAGCTGAGAACCAAGAAGAAAAAGAATCACGACGCTTATGGGCTGGTTTAACAGAGGGCATTATGGAGAAAAACATGGATAAAGCAACAGATGAGAAGTTTAAAGTGGAAGACCGAGAGCGCGCATTAAGAAAGGAAAGAGAGACAAACAAGATCAAGTGGCAACCTCGATTCTTTGATGTAATTGATGGTGACAATTATAAATTTAAGGCCATGGACAAGTATGTATATATATATATATGTGTGTGTGGTTTTGTTTTATTTAACTAATTTTCTTTTTACTAGACTGGATTATGACCATCTTGACCAAGTAACAACGACAATGCAGGCATTATTTTAAACTGTGTACTTTTTGTTTTACTTGATAACCAATGTATTCTGCTGCTTTGATTTGTTCTTCTGTGGCACCCACCCTTTTTGCGCCCAATCTATGATCTTGAAGCTAACAATAAAAAAGTCAAAAGACAAAATCTGCTTTTTTTTTTATCTGATTTTGTTACCTGCTGCAATGTATCCATTTGAATCAAGCTGACGATGACTTCCAATTCTGTTTCGACAGGATTCAGCCAAGTCATGTCAGAGACAATGGAGCTATAGACATATTTTACAAAATACCATACATCTGAACTTGATGTCTCAATCAGTTGTTGCTTATCTTGAGAATTAGTACCATAAACTTGGTGAAAGAAATTCATGCCTCGTGTGTCCAATTCACTTGCGTTTTGGCTTAGAGCAAATGTTCTTAATAATGGCTTATATTCGGCTGGGAGGCTATCGTACATTATGATCTCGGCATTGATCACCTATAATTTTCAGTTGGCTATCAATTCTTAAGTGTTCAACAACAGTTACTCTCGGACCACCACAAAGCACAATGCTTTTAAAAATCCCATTTCGAGTATATTCAATCCATTGAATTTTCTGTTCCAGACTATCTAATTGGCTTAAATAGTGGTTCATGATCACGGGAATACCATGAGGATGGTTTGATGCTGCTAGTGCAACACACTATGCAAAATTTACTTTAGGATAATGGTACAACATCGAATTAGAGTACCAATAACATGGCTACAAGTGATGGTACAAGTGTTTCTACTTGCAAAAGACTCAATTCTTTATAGACAGTTGATTCCATTCTGTTTTTTTTGTAGTAAAATAAGAGAAAAAAAAAAAAGAGAGAGAGAGAAAAAGGACCGAGGGCTGCTTGTTTCCACCACAGGTCGGAAATGGAATTTCAACTGACTGCATTGATTATCAGTTTACCCCTTTTTTCTATTTTTTCATACTGTTTTCTTTTTGTTCTTCTTTCTTCTTTTTCTATACAATGTCCCAAGTACAGAAAAAAATCAAATCGTTATCTCCTTCTGTTTCTGCTTTTCAATTCCTTGTTCAACCGCAAAAAACTAACACAGTCGAGTTGACCCGATCGGCAACACCAGATGACTATTTCTCCTCTTCTTCTACTTCTACTAGTTCCTCAGATGCTCAAGACGAACAGGAAGATGAAAGTACTTTTATCTATAGACAAAAGCTCTATGTAATTACTCCAGAAACAAGACAAAAGCTATTGGCCATGGGTCAATTACCACTAGAGTCTGAATGGACTTTCTGGTATGACAAGTAAAGTATATCTCTTTTTCGTCTGTATGGAATATCTATAACTAACAGTTTAGATTTGTGCCTAATCTGTCAGCGACAGACTATGAAGCGAATTTGAAAATTATAGCGACCATATCAAGTGTGCAGGTTAGTTTCAAATTAGAATTAAATGCATGTATTGTACTCACACTTGATTTAGAAATTTTGGAGTATCTATAACAATATTGATGGACCCGAAAGACTTGGATTCAGGAGCAACTATCATTTTATGAAAAAAGGTATTAAGCCAATATGGTAAGAAATAATATATTGGAAATGCATTATGTTTATACAAACTAATAGGGAGGATCCACATAATGAATATGGCGGTTCATACCATTTCAAAATACCAAAACAATACACAAAGACTACCTGGCGAGATATACTAGTACTGCTTATAGGTGGGCAATTAGAGGATTCGATAAAGAACACTATTTATGGCGTATCTATATCTTCTCGTCAGCATGTGGATAATTATCAAATTTGGACTGCACAGAATAATACAACATTGAGTGACGAAGTTGTTAAATCAGCATTGAATGAGCTATTACAACCCACTGAAATTCAGTCTATATATTTCAAGAGTAAGTCTCTATTACGAAATATCATGATTAACTACTTTTTATAGTACACAAGACACATGCTGACTTTAGACCAAGTACACCTACTTTTTCAAAGACTCTCAAGTAAATTGAGAGCATATATATATTTTTTTGAATAAATTGCAATGAGACACCAATTTACAGACCGGAAAAGCACCTTATTCGTCTTTCATCCCTATAAACCTGTTTAACAAAAAAGTTGTAATTTTACCCTAAAAATACTCTTGTGATTAGACTGAGTACTGGATTTACAAAAAAAAAAAAAAAAAAAAAAGGAGTGCTGCTAAATAATTACTCAAGATTGTAGTACTGAGTAACTTGTTATTTATATACTGTTAAGCACGCTTGTCAAGAACTGCCATTAAGTCGTAATCTTTGATCCATTTTTTTTTTCTGTTTAGAAGAATTTGAGGTCAGAGACGATGCTTCAAGGCCCGCTTTGTCAAATAAATTTTCTGTCGCCCCTGTTACGATCTACTTGTTGTATACATCTATTACTATCATGAGCAGCTTGACCTCTATTGAAGCCAAACTTGAAGCAGAATCTAAAGCTTTCCAACTATTACAAAAAGGTGAAAGAGATACAGCTTGCATGAACGCGTTTTATGCTCATCATCTTGATAGAGCTCGCTCAAGTCATTGAAAACAGACAACGTTTAGAATCACAACAGCAAGAAAATGAGCTTGTCAACACTGTAAGTTGCATTTCTAATTTATCTTGGACTGAATGTTCTCTATAGGAATTTAAGCATCTTGATGAAGAAAGCAATATTTACAAATTAGTTGGTCCTGTCCTTGTCAAGCAAGATAAGGCTGAAGCAGCTACCAATGTCAAGAACAGATTGAACTTGATCTCGAGTGAAATGTAAATCAAAGCTATTTATAAGCTTCTTTTTTTGTTAACCTCTTTTTTCTTTTAATTAGTAAACGCGTCGAGACTCAACTTGCTGAATTGACACAAAAAGCAGAAACTAAAAAGCAAGAGGTAAGCATATCTATATATGTGTTCAAGCCTTAACATTGGTTTTAGATTGCTCAATTACAAATGCAATATCAACAATTGGCAGCAAACAAATAATAAAAAAGAAACCAGAGTTTATGTTGACATGTTCTTAACAACAAACACATTATCAATGTTTAGAGTAACTATTCTATCTTCCTCTTCCTCCTCTTGCTCTTCTTCAAAATGTTCCCAGTCATCATAGTCTCTTTTTTCATGTGCTTTGTTATCGAATTTACCACCTTTTGTGTTGACATGATGAAATCCTGGCATGAACTCGACTGTAATAGAAGAAGGCAAGTGCAATTCTTTCAAAATGACTTGTTTCCATTCAGATATTTCGGGCGTGTAGTTGGCTGTCAACTCCAATGTCTTTATGGCTAGTTGGCTGCCAACAAAGGGCGTGTTGCTCTTGAAATCAACATCAGGATAGCTGTCATAGTTAATGGGAACATTGACCTGTTTGGGTTCTTTTTCAGGTTGCTTTTTAGGCTCCTTTTCAGTTTCTTTTTCAGTTGATGACTTCTCTGCATAAAACAGAGTAGAGACATCGTGAATAGGGTACTTATGTGGGCTCATGTTATTGCCTTTATAATAAGGATCTGATTCAGCAAAAGTAATAAATGCACGGCCATAATGGTTGCTAGTTGTTTGTTCAGGTTCATCTTGTACGGGTTCTTCATAATAGACATGCTGCCAATTGTCTGCTTTAGGTCCCTTCAAATGATTTTTCTTTTTGTTCTTGTTCTTTTTCAGCAATGTTGTTGAAGGTTCAGTTATATTGAGTGTCTGCACTTCATCTATCATTTGTTCAACTGGTGCTTGTGTCTGGTGTTGCTCCTTGCTTGACACTTGTTCCTGATATTGCTCTTCGGTTGGCGCTTGTTCTTGATATTGTTCTTCATCTGATGCTTGCTCTTGGTATTGTTCTGTTCCTGACTGTCTATATAGTTGCTTCAGTAATCTACGGCGCTGGTTGCGCTTCTTTGTTTTTTGAGAGCCTTCGAAAGGTACACTCTGTACTTTAGATGTCTTTTGCTTTTCAACTTCTGCCATGGGCTTAGAACCTTGTTTTTTGTTCTTGTTATCTTTCTCTTCCTTTTCAATATCTTCTGTATTCTTTTTCTTTTCTTGGTCCTCCTTTTGCTTTCCCAACTTCTTGGTTTTTTTTTTCTTTTCTCGGTCTTCCCTTTTCTTTTCTAACTTTTTGCTTTCTTTTTTCTTTTTAACAACTTTCTCTGGCTTTTGATCTTTTGATTTTTTTTCTGGCTTTTGATCCTCTGATGTCTTTTTTGACTTTTGATCCTTAGGTTTCTTTTCTGTCTTTTTTGGCTCTTTTTCTTTTTTTATTTTCTTTTTAAGATGCGTATCTTCTTCTATAGCTATGTTGCGTGTTAAGGAGTGCAAAAGAATGCAGTTAACTTACAGCGCTTTCTTTTCTTGACTATATCAGTATTTTTAGGTTGATTTTGTTTGATCCTGCAAGAATGTGAATAAGAAAAATCCAAGGGAAAAAAAAGAGGAGTGTATTACGTGATAAGATCTCCATCGCGTAAAACTTCTTTTATCTTTGTTTGTGGCAATAATTGATAGCCCTCTAATAAGAGTTTCAAATTGGAAGGTATAGCTTCGAGTTCAAGCTTGTTTACTATTTGTTTTGCAAGTTGATGTATAGATTGATTTTCGAGGCTTTTCTCGATAGAAAACCAACAATGGTATTTATCTAAGGGATAGCTGGTTGCAATCTTGACTCTCATAACATTCACCAGACCAAGAAATAAAAAAACAAAAAAAGAGAGAGAATTTTCAACGTGGCTTTTTTTTCTTCTTTTCTTACCCGACAGTTGTATTAGAAAGCCCCCCAAAAAAGGAACCATGCCTATGCTTTCTCAACGATTATTAAAGAAATGGTTCACTAAATATTCCTTCAACTGTTGTCTTTGCTACTTTCCTCGAGATGAAATGCATATAACCTTAAGACAGAAATTCTTGAATAAAACATTCTTAATTGTCATTGGCGAATTGATTGTCATGCAAAGTTTTGTGTGCCCATTTTTTCCTCTTTTCCTTTTTTTTTTCTCCCTCCTTCTCTCACGTATTTTTTTTCCAAGAAATATCGCGTTATCATTTAAACGCACTTTTATTGACTTGACAAGGTAAGTGTAGCGTTAGTGACAATTAAGTTCAAAAAATATATGGATAGTATGGAAGTATGCAGACACCAAATACAATATAATGGTTTATGCGCCATTTGTGGCTCTTTATTGGACATGTAAAATGACCAACTCTAAGAAACTTTATCTTAATATGTTAATAGAAATCCAGAGGATCCAGCAGGAGTGACAAAAAGTTATGCAAACAGTAAATTTGATGTAGGATATGATACAGTGGGTTTGACTGTCAGCCGAGAAGTAAGTCATATTTGACATATGCTTTACTAACGTATAAACAGGAAGCAGAAAGATTAGAAGCAGAAAATGCTAAAAGACTACTTCAATCTCGGAAATTATCATTGATTCTCGACTTGGATCAAACGATATTACACGCATCGTGGGATCAAAATTTAACTAAATACAAAGATGCTGATATACGTCAATTTGTATTACCAAAAAGCGATATTGTATATTACATCAAATTAAGGTAAAAGAAAAAAAAGAAAAAAAAGGCATGGAAGCCAAGACTTTCAATAGACCTGGGTTAGAGCAATTTCTCAAACAAGTGGACGAGCTGTATGAACTTCATATTTATACGATGGGAACAAGAGATTACGCAGAAGCAGTAGCCAAAGAAATAGATCCAAATGGCTCTATTTTCAAGGAGAGAATTTTATCAAGAGATGAAAGCGGAAGTAAGGGAAAACAAGTAATTAAATCATCATTGACTCTATTTTCGTTAAGGTGTTACACAAAAGAAACTACAACGACTATTCCCGTGTGATACATCCATGGTAGTTGTGCTGGATGATCGTTCAGATGTTTGGAGTTTTGCACCTAATCTCATTCGTATAAAACCATGCAAGTACCTTTTAAACAAATACAGCAAGTATTAATTAGCTTTCTGTAGACGAATTTTTTGTGGGCACAGGGGATATTAATAACGTCAGTAATGGTGCTTCTAAAGAGAACATTACACAAGCGGTGGCTGGTAAAAAATAGAGCAAGAAATCTACACTAGGGAAAACAATTTACCTTATTGATTTATTACTATAATAGAAAAAAACGACGATCTCTTAAAAGATGATGATAGTGAGCTTATGACTATACTAGAGGTAGGTTTGGAAATGATAATAGACGCAAAAGCTGATTGTTTATATACAGATTCTTAAAGAGGTTCACCGAGAATTCTATTCTAGACCTATTCAAGATAAAGAAACAGATGTTACGCATATTATACCCAAGATGAAAAAGCGAGTTTTGGCCGAAATCAAGATTACCTTTTCAGATAAAATACTTTCTTCCCAACATATCAAGGATCCAAGTTTATCCTGGATTTGGCAAATGGCCACTTCTTTCGGAGCTACATGCTCAGTTGACTTAACTGGTAAAACTACCCATCTAATTGCTATTAATACAAGCAAGAGCAAAGTAAAAGCAGCAAGAGAATATGGCCATAATATCCATATTGTTACTCCTGCTTGGTTATTGGACAGTACAGCAAGATGGAAAACTCAGCCTGAAGAAAATTATGCATTGCCAGAGATAGATGTAGAACATCCAGAACAAATTTTACTTGATTTAGAATCCCTTAGTAGTGAAATGACTACACCACGAAAAGAAAAGGAAGAAGAGGAGGAGGAGGAGGAAGATTTGATAGAAAACATCAATTGGGATGAAGCTAACCGAGAAGTGGAAGAGTTTATTAACGAAAGTGGGATCGATGACGTCTGGGGAGACACAGACTCGGATACTGTAGATAGGTAAGGAGTATAAACAAAACAAACAAACACGCTAAAAAAAGAGTTAACAGTCCTTTACCTACACAACCAACATGGAAACGAAAGCGAGAGAGTGGCGGAGAAAGTGGCGGAGATGGGTCTGAAGATGATGAGACCACTTCCACTGGTGGTAGTCTGTTGGCAAGAAGAAGATTAAAGGCTTCTAGAAGAGGCAAATCTCATTTATCAAAAGTAACAACTGCACCGAGTTCACAATGCACAAGCGGGAATACATCTGACAATGAAGATAGTTCACTAGATGCCTTTGTGGGTATTCTCGATCGAGAATTGGAATAAATAAATTTAATAAAAAAAAACTATAAAAAGCCATGCTTTGAATTTTATTTTATTTTTTATTTTTCTTTTTCTTTTTCTTTTTTTTGAGAATAATATGCCAACAGGTGAAGAAAGAGAATCACTTGTCAATGGTGGCAGTGGTCATTTCGATTTGTCGCCTGAAGAATTAAGCAAACTATTTGACCCTAAAAATGATGAATTGCTTAAAAAATTAGGCGGTGTCAAAGGTCTCTGTAAACGTGTCAGAGTCGATCCCTCGGTGGGTTTGTCTGCTGACGAAGGTTCCAGCGACTCTTCTCAACAACCCTTTCAAGATCGCCAAGCTCACTTCGGTCGAAACGTGTTGCCAGAACCTCAAACAAAGGGCTTCTTTACATTATTATGGGCGGCTTACAACGACAAGACACTCATTATGCTAAGGTAACTTTATGACGTCAAATGCTCATCACGGCTTATCATTTTTATTTTTTCTTGTATATAGTATTGCTTCTATTGTTTCATTGGCTGTAGGGATATGGGAAGATTATTCGCCTCGTCATCCTGAAGACGAGCCTCGTGTAGGATGGTAACATATTACATTCTAGCCACAACCTGTTTAGTGACACATAACATTTTAGGGTTGAAGGCACTGCTATTCTTATTGCTGTCTTGGCAGTTGTACTCACAAATGCTATCAATGATTATCAAAAAGAAGCTCAATTTAAGAAACTTAATGCTAAAAAAGAGGACCGTACTGTCAAGGTGCTTCGAAGTGGTCGCGAAAAGCAAATCTCTGTTTATGACTTGAATGTAGGTGATATTTTGATGTTGGAACCCGGTGACATTATTCCTGTTGATGGATTGTATATCAAAGGTCATAACTTAGCGTGCGATGAATCTTCTGCTACAGGTGAATCAGACACCATGAAAAAGAAGCCTGATGGTGAAGGCGATTGCTTTATTTTATCAGGTTCAAAAGTGTTGGAAGGTGTAGGTCGTGCTGTTGTTCTTGCTGTGGGTGAGAACTCATTCTTTGGTAAGACAATGATGTCTATGCGTGATGATCAAGAACAAGGTACGCCTCTTCAGACGAAGCTTGATACATTGGCTGAACAAATTGCCAAGCTTGGTTTTGCTGCTGCCATTACCATGTTGGTTGCTCTTGTTATCAAGTACTTTGTTACTGCTGCTTTGGCTCCTGAATTCCCTCCTGCTAGTGATATTGCTGCTTCCATGATTTCAATTGTCATTCAAGCCATTACTATCATTGTTGTTGCTGTGCCAGAAGGGTTACCTATGGCTGTCACTATGGCTTTGGCTTTTGCTACTACACAAATGCTTAAAGACTCCAACTTGGTTCGTGTCTTAGCTGCTTGTGAGACCATGGGTAACGCTACTGCTATCTGTTCAGACAAGACAGGTACTCTTACTCAAAACAAGATGACGATTACTGAGGGCACTTTGGCTCAAGAGGAATTTGAATCACCTGAAAAATCAAAGGAATGGTCTGAAAAGGTTGACAAGAAGAATGTACTCTCTCTTATTTTTGAAGGTATTGCTTTGAACTCAACTGCTTTTGAAGGCAAAGATGAGAATGGAAAAGAAGACTTTGTTGGTTCTAAGACTGAATGCGCTTTATTGGCTTTCTCCAAGAACTTGGGTAGCAACTATGAAGATTTGCGTCATGATGCTACTGTCGCCAAAGTTTATCCATTTGCTTCCAAACGCAAGACCATGACCACTATCGTTGAAGTCAAGGAAAACTCTGCTCCATCCACTTCTCAATCAGATTATCGTATTCATGTCAAGGGCGCTTCTGAAATTGTCTTGGAAAGCTGCAAATATTACATGGATTCCAAGGGTGAGTCTCATAAACTCAACAAAGAAGCTCAAGTGAAGGTAAATGGTATCATTTCTTCTTACGCTGACAAGGCCTTGCGTACGATCGCTCTTGCTTATCGCGATATCTCTAAATCTGAATACAAAAAATATTCTGATGATGAACCTCCACTTGAGGAATTGACCTTAATAGGTATTGTTGGTATTATGGATCCTTTGCGTCCTGGTGTTGTTGAATCTGTTACTGCTTTCCGCGAAGCTGGTGTCTTTGTGCGTATGATTACTGGTGACAATTTGAATACTGCTAAGGCTATCGCTCGTAATGCTGGTATCTTGACTAAGGGTGGTGTTGCTATTACTGGTCCAGAACTCCGTAACATGTCTGTTGAAGAACAGCGCAATATTATTCCTCGTTTGCAAGTGTTAGCCCGCTCTTCGCCAACTGATAAAACAATTGTCGTTACTCGTCTTCAAGAACAAGACCAAGTAGTTGGTATGACTGGTGATGGTACAAATGACGGGCCTGCTCTCAAGATGGCTGATGTTGGCTTCTCTATGGGTATTGCTGGTACTGAAGTAGCTAAAGAAGCTTCAGATATTATTTTGATGGATGATAACTTTAACTCTATTTTGAAGGCCTTGATGTGGGGCCGTGCTGTAAACGATGGTGTTCGCAAGTTCTTGACTTTCCAATTGACTGTCAACATTGCTGCTGTCGTCTTGTCATTTATCTCTGCTATTGGTTCCGAAAACGCCGAAAGTATCTTAAGTGCTGTTCAATTACTTTGGGTCAATTTGATCATGGATACACTAGCTGCTCTTGCTTTGGCTACTGAACCTCCTACCCAAGATTTGTTATACCGTAAACCTATTTCCAAGTATGCTCACTTGATCAACTATCGTATGGCCAAGATGATTCTCGGTCAAGCCATTTTCCAAATCATTGTCAACCTGATTGTCATTTACTTGGGTCCTCGTATCTTCCATTTGGGTGACTCTGAATATGATGCCGAAGTTTTGCGTACTATGGTCTTTAACGTCTTTGTGTTCCTTCAAGTGTTCAACGAAATCAACTGTCGTCGCATCGATAACACCATTAATGTCTTCAAGGACATGTTTGATAACTGGATCTTTATTGCAGTCCAAGTCGCTGTTGTCGTTGGTCAATATTTGATTGTCACTTTTGGTGGTATTGCCTTCAAGACTGTTCCCTTATCCTTGAACCAATGGCTTATTACTGTCTTGATTGGTTCATTGTCTATTCCTGTTGGTACTGTTATCCGCTTGCTTCCTGACTGTGGCTGTGAAAACAAGTTCAATGAAGAGGCCAAGCCTTTAGCTAGTTATTCCCGCATGCATTGGGAAAGTGCTATCGGTGATGTTCGTGATGAATTGCGCGTCTATAGCCTCTTGCGTCGTAAGCGTGGAAGCAAATCTCGTGAAATCAACAAGCGTTCCAACACACAAGATTCTGAGTCTACAGCTTTCAATGCACACAATTCCAACTATGGTGCCATTGGTCATGAAAACCATCAAAAGAATCGCTTTGCAGATCTCGTAAAGAATGCAAAGAAGTTCAATCAACAAAACGCTCATGACAACAGTGATAATGACAACTAGAGTGTATCTATTGTATTTTATTCGTTTCGTTAAATAAATTGTATTTTACACTTATAACGATTTATTCAATATGTTGAGGTTAGTTTGACGTTCGTTGATGCAAGTTAATTAGGTGTAGCATATCTGTGTCAATAGCAATGTCTTTGGCTTGTTAGTTCTTGCTTATCTCTAGATATACTGCTAAAAAAATTGTTTTGTTTCCAGTTAATGAACGATAGAAAGTACAGTACCATCAAATTGCTTACTCAAACAAAATATCTTATCAAAAAGACACTTGATCGGCTAAATAAAAGAAAGCGACGAAAGTGTCAAAGTGTCAAAGTGCTATAAGACTTTATGATACATAACATATAGCAAATAGCATACATTACACGATAAAAAGTGTCATATATTTACAACGCCAATTTAATTGCTCACTTTACAATAAAAAAAATCCGTCCTAAAAGGCACTATGACTCAATCAAAACAATGTCATGTTGTATCAAAGGGTTCAATCACTAATGTACATTTATACACCTAATATAAAGTATACCTTTATTGTTACTGAATGTCTTTTAGGCTATATTGCCAATGGTAGAACTATGATATTCATAAATTATTGCTGCATTATATCATTTGCACCAAGGCATTTAATTTAGAGACATTGATTCCATAGACGGTCGTTGCTCAGTCTATTACAAGACAATGTCCCCGCATGGATCCTTATGATTGACCTATTTAGACTATGCTTTTTCCTTGAGAAAGAACAATAAGCTTGATATAGATATAATTTCATGCAAAACTCAAGTTAAATAAGGGCTTTTTAAAGAATGCACTCAACACCTCGACCAGACATAAAATCAAAGCAAAAAGTATTTTGTCATGCAATTTGTTATATCTTAATTTGATGGGTTTGTTCATTACTCTTGACATCCAAACATTTTTTCATCAGCTCTAAATACACTTTATCGAAAAAAAATACTAGATTATAGAAATTCGAAGATAAGATTATTCAAGCACTTCTTATACTGAAATCCTCCAGAATAGATCACTTACAGAAGAAAAACCTAAAAACCATTGGCATTTTCATTACGGCCCTTTTGCAAGTCTACTAGAGATTTGTCTTTGACATCATTTCCTTTAATACCTATTTCTCCTTATAATAAAAAAAGTATTGTTTTACAGCTGCTTGCAGATAAAAAGCAAGTTCGCAAAAGACTGTAATCCTTCTTTCACTTTTCTCTACTCACAGCAGTGGCCTGCCTTTGCTTTTATTCTATTTGTTTATTTGATACATATTAGTTTAATATCCATATCTATATAGTTAACATACATATTTTGTGACTAATAAATAACTTTTGATTCCATTTGGCACATTGCACACCTAATATGCTTTTGATCCTCAGTTTATGCCTTTTCCGAGCATCAGACTTATTGTACGATCTTCAATCATAGCCTGAATTCTTCTCAAATAGGCTTTCAACATAAACTACCTTTCTTTTTTGAATAAATTTGGCAAACAATTTAATAGCACTAGCGGCGGATTGGCAGCCCGCTGCAAGCGCGAGTGTTATTTAAAGTAAACCGTTATTTCTGCCTTCCTTTTTGAGTTTCTTATGTTTGAGCATACATAAAAGAACGTATTTATTTAAGAATATAGCAAGTTTTGAGAAAGTCAAAAAATCGTCATTTTGCCCTTATGACACCCGGTAAAAGTTTACATTTTATTTGTAAGGCTATGAAGACTGGGCCCTATAGGGTAAATATCCAACCATCAGTTCAAAAAAAAAAAAAAGAAAAGTACAAAAAAACTATAGAGTGATAAAATATAGAAAGAAGGGCAAAAGACATATCTTATGATACCCTTTGCAAATCTTTACTTACAAGGATACTCAACACTAGAGCCATTCCGGCCTTGAACAACATTATAAATCAATTTTAGGCTGGTTTTGGGTCTGGTAGATTTATCGGTAATCATAGTCTTGCAGTGAAGGTAATAATGTGAGATACTAAAATCTGCAATCATAGAGGTATTGGCGTGGTTATTGATAGTGCCAAGGCATATGGCTATGTCAATGAAGAATACATCTGTGTGGCCTTAGAAAAGTTTGGCTTTCCTCATGAATCTATTATGATAAACATGAATGGATTTCTATCTGACACTGTCAAACAGCGCCATAGACTTCGACAAGGGGATTCTATTTCACCCGTCTTGTTAAATTCTGCCTTAGAACTTTTGCTCCTTGCTATTCTGAACGATGGTCATGTTTGCGGATACTCGATTGCCTCTCAATCCTCAAATCCTTTTTTGAATACGGTTGCACCTAGGTTAATCAAGTTGCCTGCTTACGCCTATAATCTTTTGGTCTTTGATAATGGTGTGGATGAACTCAAATTCTTTCAAAAACACCTAGAGTGTTACAGTAAAGCATCAAACTCAAGAATAAATGATCACGAACCTGTTGCATTCCCACTGTCGGGTCAATCTCGTTCATTGTCTGACACGTTCTATCGACGCGTTCGACAACTACAGCTCCAATGGTTCAATGCCAGCAGTCCTTCCTACCTTCGCTACCTTGGATATCCTCTTTGGTTTAATGCCATTCAACGAGATACGTTCTACAATGAAGCTATCCAAAAGCTGCAATATACCACTGATAGAAACAAATTTAGACAAATCTCTGTCTATGGTCGAGCAAGACTGTCCAACTCTGTTCTACTGTCTCGATTCTGGCATGTTATTCGTTTCATCACCCTCCCAGCCTATTTCTTCACAAAGGTCTCTTCAATAATTTGCCAGTGAGTTTGCTAAAGAATTTTTCCTCCCCTGGGCAAGACAACTATCTATCTTCCAAGATATGCTGGAGACTTGTTCGTGATGGACGTCTCTACAAAACGGAAAGTTTTCCAAAATCGATGCATTTGAGTCATTCTCCACGACAATTTCACTGATCGACCTATCGACCCATCTCTGCCTTCTTATTGCAGCTATTTGTATCGTATATCCAAGTGGATTTTGATTGCCCATATTATGAAGTACCTTTACTTTTTCCCAAGGCTGGTAAACCTACTCACCTCTCTGGTTTACACACGCTTTCTGTCATTTTCAAAGCGATCGATGAATGTCTCCTCTCTTCCTTCTGAGATGATAGTAAGCTCAACCTGCCTGCATGTCTGGAAATCCCTTTTGTTGACCTCTGCCAACCTGGACAAATATGTCCTCAAATCCTGGATAATGCAACCATTTAATTGCAAAAAGCTTCCTATTTTCTGAAGATGATCCTTCCTTAGGAATACTCAGGTTCAAAAAAAAAAAAAAAAAGACAGGAATACAATAGTCCTGTACTATTGTCACGGATTCACAAGACACACAAAGATGGTTTGCCTTCCCTCCAAGAATATTCCACTCATACATCAGATCTCTATCTACCGATTAGATTTGAGCCATATCTACAAAGATTTGTTTATAATAATTGTCCAATCCTCATTTTAACTACTCTGATCTCCGTTAAATCTACTCAAGAAATCTTCTTCTCATACCCTAGACATTCTTTTGCAGAAAAGTACAATTGTACGATGTTAAGCCTAAAGCCGGAATCATTTCTTGTCAATCAAAGTAAGTTATATTCTATATGGGATTTAACAAAAGAAGACTCTGTTCAAGGCCTGCCATCTCCCTCGAGAAGTTGCATAAAGAAGAAGAAAAAAGACCTTTGTAAGAATGCAATGTACTTGATGTTATATATTCTTTTATTCCTCAAAGACAAATCGATTTGCAACATGAATAAGAACTTGTTTATATATGGCTTTTCGCTGCAACCAGTGTCACTGTTTAAACAGTGTTAGCCATGGTTCGTGCAACCTGTTTATGTTATGCGCCTGAAGGAAACCATTGGCGCATAATGACTGAACTTGAATGTATTATTATTTTTTTCTTTCTCTTTTCTCTTTCTCCTTGATTATTTCATATGGATCGTAAATCTCGTACATCTCGATCTGCAACACTTGATGATACCAATGAAGAAGTTAACCTATGGAAACAGATATGCAACTCGCTTGCAAAATTAGAGAGCCTTCAAAGAGATACCACACATTTAGTGACTAATATTAACAATATTCATACTGCATTAAATTTCGATCAAGGTACAAAAATAGCAGTAAAGAAAAAGAGTATAACATCCTTCAAGGCGTTCCTGCTAATGTAGGTCCGAGATTGATGGAATATTATAAAGGTGGTATTGAACTATCAAGTAATGAAGCCAAGTAAATAACAAGTGTTTCTGTTGATTTTATCTGATACACAATATTAGAATTATTCATGATATTATTGAGAAGTTATCTGTTCTTGTAGCACTAAGAGATGCTTCGGAATATGGTAAAAGCATGCACCTATAGACGCATACACGCTAATTATGATCATATCAGTCATTGATGCTAAAAGGAAGAAAAGAAAAACGGAACAAGAAGATAGTCAACAGTTACACAAAAAGAACAAAATGTGTGTCTAGGTTTCGTTTGACATGTACAGCTCATATTGACCATTCCATAGATCCAATGGCATATTATCTTACGGAACATCGGTTGCCGCTAAACAACCTAAACAAAAAGACAAGAATGAAGAATGGATATTGGCTGTTGTCATTAATTACCATACAGACAAGAACAAGTAAGACCATGCTTATACTTTACATGGTACTTATTCCTGTCTAGATATCAAGTTGAAGATGTAGATCAAGATGAATTTGGCCAAAAACAGTATGTATTCTTTTCTGCTATACTGTGCTAACTATGCTTTATAGACGCTACATGCTACAACCTCGCAATATTATACCTATTCCTAATGCAGACGAAGCTAAAAGTCTAGCAGAATTAAGCACTGGGCAAGATGTATTAGCGCTCTATCCTGGCACCACTTGTTTCTATAGAGCCAAAGTCATTGCTCCACCCTCTAAGGTAAGAAAGTGAATGATAAACTATATATTACTCAACTAGCATTTAGAATAAGGACAATCACTTTGTGGGTAATTACAAAATTCAGTTTGAAGACGATAATAATGAAATCAAATATGTCATGCCTGGGCATGTCTTGGAAGTACCCAAAACAAAATAAAATTCTTTATTTACAATCAAGGAAGTTCACCTTCTTCCATCTCTGTTTTTCTCTTTTTCGCTTGAGGCGTCTCAAGTGTTGAAAGATGAGGTTGATGTGTGCCATCAAAACCAAATTTGAACCATCGAACATAGGCACTTTCAACCCGTTTTGATTTTTTGGCATGAAATAGACTGAGGTTGATAGGTGCATCATTATCATGTGGAGGTTCGCTCACATAGTCTTCAAGCCATTCCCATGGTTTACTTTGCTCTAGACAACTCTCTAGATGCTGTTGTTGTTGTTGAGAGTCTGATGTGGGTGGTAAGCCTAACATGGAGGAAGCAAGGCGGGTATTGGCTAAATAGATATTATGGGTAAGGAAGGGCATGATACGCTTGACTCGACTATGGAACATGGCTGGGATAGAAGTTAGTTCAGCATGCATAGAACCAAGTAGAGATAAGCTTGTCTTTTTGAGTTCTTTTGGTACCTCTGTTTGATGTGAGTAAAAGAAACTGTGTTGCTATCTATTATTTACCATCTACAAGTAAGGATACAAAATCCAAAGTAAACTCAAAGAAGCGTTCTTGACTTCCATTACCATGAACAATAGGGTTCTAACAAAGATCAATAAAGATAAATAAATATCAATAAACTTACACCTAATAACGGAACAAGGACTCGAATCCACTCTAAAATATGACATTCATCTTCTTTAGGATGTTCCCATATTAAAGAAGCAAATGGCACAACAAGACGTAATCGAATCAAAAGACTATAAAGCGATAAGTGATACAATATCAAGCAACAATGCCTACCTATGGCGAATGTCTTGTAAAGATAGCTTTTTCCCGTCATCTACGAATTCTTCATTCATGTTTTCAGGCAATCCTTCTGTCACTAGCAACGCAATAGCCATATCCTACAGAATATGAATATGCCTATCGATAACACATCAAGTTTATCTTACCACATTGCTTTTGACGAGTTGCAGTGCATTGACAGCATCTGCATAACATACATTGGCACTCTGCATCACTTTATAGACTGGCAATTCATTTTTAAAACGACTGATCTGTCCAAACACAGTCTTTACCAATGCAATCTTTTTTTCATTAGACCATACATTCTCTGCCAAAATATGCAGTGTGATATTGAGAAAGGATTGACTTCGATAAGCAAATTTGTCTGAATCAAATGGGCTTCCTGACTCTGTCACTTGCATCAACAGCACATTATCAGGAAAACTCTGTGAAGGGTCTCCTTCCAGTAATTGAACACCATGATGTAGTAATTCAAGCAACACAGGCTCTCTTAATTCATGAATCAAATTCTTGAAGAACTGAAATCGTCTCTGAACATCTGTTGTCTTGATATCTGATAGCACCACATCATAAAAGAAATACACAAACGACTGTAAGTCTTTGTTGGTCGTATTATCAGCATGAGAAGGAGGCATGTCCATGGCATCATCTCCCAAGATATGAGGGTTATTAGGATGCCCATCTGATAGTGAGATATTATCTAACAGCAAGTTCACTTGGACTCGACATTGTGCCTCATTCCACTGACTCACGTTTAGAAACACCCTGTGTAGTTTATCCACGAAATCAGGCGAAGTGTCTTGAAGCATGCTCTGTCGATCATTGCTGAGGTTATTTCCACCAATGAGTTCATCTACAATATTCAGCATCTTCTTCTTCATGCGTTTCTCCATGGCTGCCTCTGCTTCTCGGGCAGCAAATCGCTGGTAGACGCCATTCAAGTCACGAAGACAGGCTTGTCTAAACCAAGTAATCTGAAGTAAATCGGCTCGCAACATCACCAAGTCTTGTAACAGACTTGAACTAAGCGGTAAATTGGTCGCAATCAACACAAGTCGCTCCATTAATCCAAACATGGGTTCAATACGGTCTAAACTACTGGCTAATTCAGATCGACGCTGTACTTGAAGCCGATAATATTCCTCTATTCGCAATTGCCATCCCTCTTCTAAAGTATTACTGGACTGAACAACCAACAAGCGAATCAAGACAATCAAATTCTGACAAAAGACAACGAGTTTTGTATCTTCTGTATCTTGATACTGTTGCTGTTGCTGCTGCCTGATTTGCTCAAATCCAAGCAGAGCATAATCTTGAATCACCTTGGCTAGCCCTACCACATTGTATGATACCAGAATAGTCACCAATAAAGGCACCCAAGCACCCTTCTGTTGCATATCTTGAACTGCTATTGGATGGTGGCATAACCATTGGATGACAGCATCATCTGCTTGACCTGTCAATAGGGTAATATCAGCGACATCCTTGATCATTTTGACAAAGACTCTCATCATACGATGAAAATGCAATACATGAGTGTTTCTCTCTTGAGCCAGAATATCGCCTACTGTTTCTAAAATCGCACTTATCCAGCCAGCTGGATTTTGTGAGGGCATACATAAGGATTCAAAGACCAATTGTTGACAGGTAGGATCCTTGGCCAATTGAGCCAGCTCTTGCTTGATAGAGAGAGGACCATGACGGATCTTGTACTTGGCTCTAAGATCTTGTTGAAGTTGTATCTTGAGTAAATCATCAATCACATAACCTTCTTGTACCAATTGAACCATGTACATCATAATACACCGTTCTTTGTTATTTCTACTGGCAAGGATAGCATGTTTAGCCCAGACAGCATTTGCAATACGTGTACCATTGTTTGTTAGTTTCCAATAATTAGCATATTTGCGTAAACAATCCACAACATAAGGATACATGGTATGGTCATTCGATTTTTCTAGTACCCAAAGTGCCATTTCAATCAAGTTAAGGTAGTCTTTAGCATGCTCCATGATACGAACAATCGTCACAAACTGCCTTGGGTTTAACAGACAAGAACCAGGTGAAGTCATGACTCTCCAGTTATCTTCACCAATTCTACAGAGTATGAGTATTCTAAAGCCATGTTCCGTTCAACTTACTGTATACTCTTGACAATAAATCGTTTGACTTGATCTAACAGCCAATGACCCGTAAAGTCCAATACTGAATAGCGAGATGTAGACTGAATGGTCTCGATAAATTCAGGCTGAATATCACGGAATGCTAATTCATAAGATTGTTGTGTATCCAAAGATTCTGGCTGTGTCATGTCTTGTGCATCTGCACCAAACAAGCCATCCGTGTCTTGATGGTCATAGCCCATCACAGCCAATCGAGCCCAGTGCTTTAATGTCTCTAGTGTCTGTTGCTCAGTGCCATCATTTTTTGTACCATACAATGCCACTCTGCGCTGATTTGCAAGGTAAGCAGGTGCTGGATGTAATAAAGGAAAAGAAGCAAGATACTGAAGACATTGCTGTGTTTGGTGTATATGGCGTCTTTTGGGTTCAAGATCACCTCGAGCAATCAACCGAAGCAAGTATTTCTGATAGGAGAATAGCTTGAGTCGAATCAAGACATCAAATAGATACACAATGCTTGTATGATAGTCTCGATTGTCCAAAAAGCGAATCAGTCCATCTTGTAGCATGGCATTCTGGCTGTATTTTGTCTGTTGAAGCCATGACAAGAGTATGGATCCTACAAGATAGGCTTTCCAATCACCATAGCGAGAATCGCTTGTAGCCCAGCAACACATGATATCCACCAATTCAAAAAACGTAGTGGACTGTAGTCGAGTGGTACCAAAGATAGACTTGGCTGCTGTCTTGGCTGAATGACCACGTATGTCCACCCAAGTATCATGGTCCAACAAGAGTCCAGTCAGGCTATCGACATGTGTACCAATGCTGTCTAATACATGAACCACACGCTCTTCTTTTGATCCTAGTGAGGATGTGGCTACTTCTATTGTCTTTTTCTGTAGTTTGGTATCATTCTCTTCTATTGTGCCACAGAATACTTCATTGCGTGCCTTAATCATATGCCAATACTCTTTCAATACACGCGAGACATCAGATGGCCTTGTGGGCGTATCTCCCAAGATATTGTCAAACAAAGACCGATATTGATGGTATAGCTTGGGGATCACAAACATGTCTGGTGCAGACAGAAACAAGGCTTGCATGACATGCTCAATATCTTTCTTTAAGCCATCATATAATGTATGGGATTTCATACACTGTAATAGCTAGGGTATGTCAATGGCATGTAGGAGGTCATGATGGTGACTTACTGCACTATAAGACTTAATCAAAGTTTCAATCAAGAGTTTGGTCAATGTTCGATTTCGCTTGTATTCATCCACATAGTCTTGTACAATACCAGTCAAGACTAACCACATAATCTCAAATGAACTACTGGCTGCCAATGTGTCCAGTGTCCATTTGAGAAAAGTACGTTGATCCAATAATCCTTCAAAATACTGCCATCGTGCTAATTTGATACTATAAGACCATTTTTGCTCAAACTTATGTCTGGTCTCTTGTGTGCCCCATGGTCTGGGTGTATCATGGTGGACATAGCCAGCTCGATAACCACGCCCTGGTGTAGAGGGATGTGGACTAGGTGCATTGTTGGTGTGATTAGGCAACAATTCACTTAATTGCTTCTTTAGGTGAGTAGTCACAATGGCTGTCCATTGAATAGGTTGAGATCCTAAAGAAGCTGTTGCATTACTTGCACTTCGTTGACTCTAATCAAGATTAGTCAATGGATTGTATTTATGTATATACCATTTCAGATAAACCAACTGTCTTGATATACCATGTTGCACGTAAAAACGGTACTTGCTTGGATGCTAATGCCTCTAATAGTTTTTCACCCTTAAATCCATGAGGCACATTACGTGCTAATTTCCTCAGGGGAACAACGCCACCTGCTAATTCTTGCATCCATTGTTCTCTTTTTGTGTCTGATAATGCTGTCCTGACAGGTGGCTTAAAAGAAGAAGGTCCTGTCATCATTCCAGCTCTACTTTGACGTTGTAATACATCCACCATAAAACTGCCCAATTCACCTAACAAACGTTGATCATCTTGTAATTTGCCATACACAATATCATGTGCACACGTATGTTCATTCTAGGATAGAGTGAGTGTTGCTTTTTTTTTTATGTATATATATAGACTTACGGAAACAACAGGTCGATCAATAAAACCATGACGTACATTGGACTCTGTCAAGACATCTTCGTCTTGTCCTGGACGTTGAGGGAACATGCCGGGAAAGCCTAATGAAGGCATGGTTTTACTCAAAGGTAGTTTTCGAGAAGGAGGTTGAAGGGTATATTTCTTTAAGGGAGCATGTGTATATTTCATATTCGGTGAATGATAACCTGGTGAAGGTGAACTTGAATATGGAGATGGCATAGATGCATATTGATTATTGTTGTATTGATTACTAGGGGTTGATTGTTGAGGATAAGGCACATTCAGGTTGTTGGATGGATAAGGTTGATTCGAAGTATAGCGCGCGTATTGAGCTAATGAGAGGTAAGTACAAGTATCTATATGCTATGTTTACATATTACGTTGATGTCGACCAGCCATAGTACGCGTAGAGTAGAAAAAGAGAAAGAAAGAAAAAGACACACACACACACACAGAAAAAAAACACACACCCAACAGAGAAAAGCTGAATTCAAATTTATTATTTAAGGATGATCATTCAAGATTGACCCACATCTACCACACTATCATCGTCTTCTTTTGCTTTGGCTGCTTCTGCTTCTGCAGCTAATTTGGCCTTTCTTGCTGCTCTGAAATGAACCATTTTACGATGTTTGGTAAGTTGACCAGGCGTGACAAAACTCTTGTGACACCCATCAATGCCACAGACTAATTTCTTGGTGCCATGCATATTCGTTTCATGTGTTTGAAGTTGATCAAATGTAGTAAATGCTTTTGAACAGCCTGGTTGAGTACAGAGGAAAGGTCGAAAGTCTTTTTCACCTGCTGTAGAGGAAAAGAGTTGATCTATCTCTGCTACTGTAATAGGTTCCGTCGTTCGTTCATTGAGTTGCATCTTTTGATCTAATTCATTTGAGTTTATGCATATACCTTCATATCTATATACCTGATTGCCAACTCGACACTGTAATGGCAGATCCATTGAGTGTATAAAACACAAGTGGTTTTGCTTCCCATTTTCTAACTTTGATGTCTTTGTGTTTTAATAGTTCTTTGCGTGAGATGAGTGTGGTCGCGTTGTTCTGTCCACCTGGATTGGTGTTGATGGTACGTTTATTGACATTGGGTGTTGAGACTATATTGTGTGATTAATAACTTCATCAAATCAAACATTACCATCGTCTGTGCCTTCTTCATCCACTGCCATAGGTCTATCATAACAACAATAAGTATCTGATGGATATGGACAAACTCAATTACGTGTCGGGTGTAGGTGTTCCTTCTGTCTTTGGTTTTCGTTGACGACTGTTTGGATTAGGTTTGGCTCTTTTACGTGGCATCTCTGTTGGTGTTTGTTCATCTTTACTGGCTGGTGAAACAGACTGAGGTGATTCAGAAGGCCTTTTAGGACCTGATAGTTTTAAAGTGATCTTGAGTGAAGGTGAAGCCATAAAAATTAATGAATAAAAAAAAAAAAGAGGAAGTTTTTATTTACATGGAATAGTGTTGAATGATTTCTGTCAGTTTAACAAGCTGTTGTTCTCTAGCTATGTTTTTAAATACTTTGATTTTACGCTCTAGTTCTGCCTTGTCAATCGTCTTTTGATAGCCACTGCCACAACGATCACATTGTCTTAGTAAATTCTCTCTTTTGATAGTATGACAACGAGGACAATTCAGGTCTTGAAGGTCATTGGCTGTAAACCATGTTTGGATTTGAGTAATCATCCTGTCTTCAATCAGTCTTTTGTCGTATTCAGATCGACAGCCTTTACAACGCCATGCGGGTGGTTGTCCTTGACGAGGCATTAATTCTCTGTCTCGACAGAAATCCAAGTCGGTTGTGTAGTTGCAGTAAGTACAGATGACTTCTGTCAATTTAAAGTATTCACAAGGATTTTGGAATTGAGCCAGTTCGCTGAAGTCACTCACATTGCCCACGAATTCAAGTGCACTACGCTTCAAGATACGCACTTCATCTTCGACACGACTGTCTAAGCCCAAGACGGCACAGACAGACTTGACATACTCCAGGGCGGGATTGTCCATATCAAGATGAGAACCTGCTAATTGAGGAAAAACCAAGTCTGGATCAGGATGAGCCATCTGTTCTTCTTGCTGTCGAACCAAATTAGGCACCACACGAAGCATTTTACGAGCCACATCTTGCTTGACATACAGACGCAAGTTTTCTACTCGGGGATCAGGTATGGATTGATCTGTCTGCTTTAATTGTTTGCCAATGTCCCGAGGAAATTGTCGCTTAAAACTAAAGATCTTGAACACAAAAGCAGACGTCTGTTTGCTAAACAAGCTACGAGCCACTGGAGGCAAATATTCTTCAATATTCCATTTTTTAGTGACCATCGGTTGTCCTTGATTAGACGTACGAGAGACCATCACACCTGCATAGTTCTTTTCATCCATCCAAAGCAACACATCCCAATAGAGAACAGGCTTCAGATCAAGTACTTCAAACACTTGTTTACGCTGAATAGAGCGATACAAGTATTCGAAATAAGGCAAGGCACTTTCCAGTGTCTCTTTAGAGGTTGTCAAGACCACTTTATGGAAATTGGCAAACACGACATTAGCTCCCAATCGCTTGAATTCAGCGACCAGTTGCATAAACACCTTTTTCATCATACTATGAACAAGAGCATACAGAGAAGGATCGTGCATAAATGAAATTGGACTTAACAGCCAGCGATGAAGTGAATCAACCATATGTTCGCCAAATCGACTGGATTTATCTGTCATGGCTTGGTGAAACCATTGTTGAACAATAGACCGAAGAGTAGCAAATGTCTTGTTGGAAATCATGCCTTCACCATACATCACTGTGTTAGTGCCGTGTGCATAATCGTCCAAAGTATGGCCCACCACAGCATCAAAGCCACCTAGACCCATTGTTCCTTCGAGTTCATTCACCACATTGGCCTCCATCAACGTATTAAGACAGAGTCGAACGACATCAATTTCCACACATACTGTTTCATACACACCGGGATAGCTAAGTTCTGTATTCACAATCTCGTTCATAGCTAAACTTTCGTCTTCTTCACGCCCACCTAGATCTGGCAAAGAGCGAGCAGACCACCAAAGCACCATATCATTCTGTATCAGCTTACGAGCAAACATAACATCAGCCATGAACAAGCAAGGATCGTCCGAGATATTACAGAATGGGATATTAGCATATCTTGCTTGAGCCACTTTTTCATCTAGCCAAGTACCCAGTTCCATATAGGCCTTGATCATACGTAAAATGATAGGCTGAACCCAAGTCAGTGCTTCAAATCGATTGTCCTCTTGTAAAGAAGGAATACGCACAAAGGGTAAAGAAGTAATGGCACGGGCGTGTTGTATCAAGTGGGCAGAGGAACGAGGTGAATTGATGGCCAAGATGGCTTTACCACGTCTTGTGTCCAGATAGTTTGACAAGGTCTTGTTGATGGCTTTCAGAGCCTCGGATTCTGAATTACAGTAGGATACTTCGAAATCCATGGTTTCTGGCAAGACCACAGTTGTATTGGTGGGACTATGGGTGCCAAACGCACTTGTGTATTTCTCTCGATACATACGACTGATGTTGGGTACTTGCTGGTTCTTTTTGGAGAGACCCACAATAAACACCTGAGATACAGGTAGTGTAGAACCTACAAGCGTAAAGAAATGACGACTGTCTGAATGAGCATGGAACAAGTAAAGGTAATGAAATTGGCTGGGTTGAATCATATAATTCTTGGATAAGTCAGTGCGTTGTATCAAATCAAACAGGTTGAACTGATCGTCCATTTTCTTGTTTGTACCCTTGGATCTATCGAATTGGCAGGTAGCACCCAACTGTAAAATGGCTCGAATCAATAAGGGCACTTGTGTTTCATAGACGCCTTCTGTAGAAGGATGGTTAAAGATATTGAGGAACTTTTTGATTTCATCTTGATAAGTGGTTTCTGGCATAGACATTTGATATAAATGCATCATTGGGTGAGATCTAGGTAAAGTACGCATGCATTTGACCATTTGACAGTTTGGACGTTGCTCTGTCACGGACGTGGGGTTCTCTTGATTGCTGTTCAGATAAAAGATTCTTGGTACAGTCAAACGAATGTTAAACATTTGATCCTGCACCATGATCCACATACGGTATTCACCGGGAATATCAGTCTCTACAATCTGAAGCACCTCCCATGGACTTGTGGCAAGCGACCCTGTTTGCTTTCTAAAGAAAGTGCCTACACTTTCTCTGTTTTGTGTGCCTGTAGTTTGAATACCTGCTTGTCTGTTGTGTTGACGAATCAGCCGTTGACGTTTCCATTTACGCTTTTGAAACTCGAGCCATGCAGGATAATCTTCGTTCCAATCAGGCATGTTTTCTTTCAGGTCTTCAGGCGGTAAGGGTGCATGAATATCAAACACTTTACGTTTTGTTACAGTGCCTCTTTTAGGTAAGATACCATTCAAACTCGAACCAGAAACACCCAAATCTTCAATATCGTCAATATCCATACGATCATCTATCACCAGTTTGTCTGTTTTAGAAAACATGTCTGTGATGCGATGTTGTTTGAACTTGTCGTCTTTTGCTGCGACACGCTTAAACAACCAATCAGGATGTCTTACTCGAGGCACAGGGTTTCGTACTTTTTGCATAGCTGCAGGAATCGTAATCAGCTTCTGAATAACAGAGCCAAATCGTTCAAGATAATAGCCCCAATCAAGAATATCGCGAATATCAAAGGTTTCTAATGAATTGTCTCGAAGCCATTTTCTCAAAAAGTGTTTTCGGACTGTAGGTTCTGCTTGAAAGATAGCGACTGGCACAGCACGTTCAGACACAGGTAGATCATAAGGACGAGCTGAAATAATGAATTTACAGGCAAGACCTTTGTCTTTGATCATTTGGTCGCCCAAGAATTCAGCCAAACGTCGAGCTGTACTGATAGCTGTGGATTTCTGGGCACCATATTCTTCCAATGTTTTAGACATGCTACGGTTCTCTGAAATCAAATCAAACAGTTCTTCATCTGCCAAGTTGACTGCTTTACTGTACAAGACATCCAACCATCGATCTGCAATTTTAGCCACAGCAGAATAACATTCTTCTAATGAGTTGCCTTCCAAAAAGACCTTGAAGATTTCAGATTGGAAAATTTTGATGAGCTTCAGTTCACCACGACGCTTGACTTCAAACCCTTTAAGTTCAGCTAGAGATCCGTCCTTGTTGAAGACAGCATAACGTTTCTTGAGCAACTTGTCTTCAGCTGTAGAAGAAGGTAAAATCATGGCTCGATAAGGGCCATCGATTTCGAAAAAGATACTGTTTTCTTTACTAACACTGTATTCAAATGTCTCGGGATTAGCCAAACGTTGATATTGATCGTTTGTGAATTGTGCATGAACCAAGTGATTCAACATGGTACAAGGATAATCGATACGGAAGGATTTACCATTGGCCAGTTTAAATGTGAATTGTTCAGGGAAACTTTTAGGTAAAATACACCAAATACCGTCTGTATCCAATTCAAGAGGACGGCCAATGCGCTCAACAAGTTTACGAGCCATTTGAATGATATTTGAACCTGTTAGACAGACAATACCAGCCATTTCAAGCGAATGCCAACGAGCACCTTTACGCATCACATAACCATAAAACGAGTTGAGAATACACTTGTGAGCCAATTGAAGTGAATCGTACAGCACAATCATGTTTTTGGCTTCAGCAATCTTAGTAGCTGATCCATCACGGACAGCACCATCCAGTTTGCCTTTCCATGTCTTGTGGAGACCCTTGTATTCATAACGACGATCACGGAAGGCACGCACAGTTTCAATATAGAACGGGTTCTCTCTTTGACAAATGATGGATTCTCGTTCAACCATCTTTGTCTCTTTGACTTTTTTGTATACTTTCCGACTATAGTCAGAGAGACGTGAACGCAGTAATGATGATCGCTCTGCCTCTGATAAGGCATTCCAGTTTCGAGGTGGGCCATGCATTGTTTTTGAAGGAAATGTTTCAAGGCTTAATTGGTTTTCAATCATACGGTATTCATTACGTTTAGCAGGAAAGTATTCACCACGCCATAACCATTTCATGCGTCGATCACACGTCTTGTCTGTCACATTGAATTCACAAGTAGCACAGACAGACTCGTCAATCATGGCATCAGGCTGTAAACGATTTGTTAAGATAATGTTGGGATACATAGCAGCTACATCCAAGTGATAAATCAAAGGCGGTTCTTGTCGAAGTGGTTTATCACGCAGTATTTCGAGTTTTTCTTGAATCTCTGCCTTGACTTGATCATAATTGATAATATCATCCAAGTTCTTTTTCTCTTCTACTTGAATAGTGAATTTAAGTGCTTCATCGAGTTGTTCTATTAACTTTTTTTTTTAAAAAAAAAAAAGGGAGGTGTTAATCAAACAGAATCCAAAAGACTCGCTTACTTCTTGAGCAGCAGAAGGATCAAGTTTGAAATCACTATTGATATCACTTCTGAATACACCTGCTTCTAATGCTTCTACATGACCACCGACATAAGTCTCACTTTCAAGTAAATGACCTTCATAAAACATTTCTTTGCCATCAGCATGTTTGTTGGGCATAATCACATTGACTTTATATGCCTCCACCTAGACCCATATCAGTTTGCAGTTCTGTTATCCTTCCACTTACCATCAAGAGTAATTCACAAAGTGTACCCGTACCTTTTCTGAGTACTTCATCAGGGATCAAAGGAAGAATATTACATAATGAAAAAATAAAAGGATGGACATACTTCATGTAAAGATAATAAGTAGCTACAGCATCTGATACTGAATACTGTGCTAATACTTGAGGCTGTTCACTAGCAAACCGTGTCATGTCTTCAGGATCCAGTTCCATAGGATTATAGCCTAATTTAGCTGTTGTCACTGCCTTTAAGCCTTGACTACCGTGAGGCAAATAAGAATCACGCTTTACCCAACGAAAAGCATCCATATGGGTTGCATGTTTACATTTGTATTCGTCTTCTTCGTCTTTGTAGACACCAATTTCTTGAAACATATCAATGCCATGTACTTTGGCTCTTCCTTCCACAAATGGCCAATCAAAGAAATCACCGTTATAAGTGACAAAGATGGTAGGCCTTGCTTCTTGAATATGCTCAAAAAATCGTCTTAAGACTCCTTCTTCATCTTCTTCATTAAAGATAGTAAAAGGTCCTTCAAATTCTGGTTTGGGTGTATAATCAAAATCCTCGATATCTTGGCTGACAATCTCTCGATTTGTGATCAAATAGCCCTAAATAAAAGACATCAGTCTCAAATGATCTAAAACAAAAGAGAGACTTACTCTGCCATCAATCATATAAGAAATCATCATAATGGAATCAATTGTAACATCTGGAAATTTAAGTGGTAATTTAGTTGTTTCAATATCAAATGCTAAAATAGTAGGCTCTGGACGATGTACGAGTTCAGGCTGTCTTGATAAACTGACAGTGCCATTGGATGCTGCTTTTGCTGTATACCATAAACCCACTCGAATATCTACATTTGATGATTAGAAACACACGCACACACACACACAGTGTGTATGCTTACCTAGATCAATAGCTACTCGTACATAATAAGGGATATCATATTCTCGAATATCTGTAATGTATTTCAATGCATCTTCTGGATTTTTGCGAGATGACATGGCTGCTGAATGCGAATTTCGTTCATATCCAATATTGTTTGTCATGCTAGTTACAAGTTAATACAAGTCAATGTTGTGCCATTGGTTTCTTACTTGATCACTTCAGCATAAGAATCCACTGTATTTACTTTTTCTTGGTTTTTTTTAGCTATTGGTAGTAGAAATCTTCTGACAGTGAAGAGGTCGGATTGATTTCGAAAGACAAGTTGAATATAAGTACGGGTATTACCAATTAAATGGTTTGGCTATACCTTATTAGCATTTCATATCAATCGGTAATGCTTACTTGTTTCAAGTCTTCCTTTTTGACTCGCTTCAGTTTCTCAATTGTATCTTCAAAACGACGGGTCAAAAAATCTTCTATTTCACTTTCTGTTCCTGGCTATTGAACAAGGGGAGGTAAGAATACAATGACAATCTGAAAGGGGTCTTTTTACCTTACAACCTATATAGAAATAAGGACTGTAGGTTAATGTTGTCTTGAAGGTTTCACCATTATCGTTGATAAAATAATAGTCTACACCAGATCTGCCTGAAGGCCAGTCTGAATCTTTGACAAGCGTCTATACTCTGTGCTTAGAAACAAGGGACATGACTTGTTGCTCTCTTTCTCTTTGCTTACTTCATGCATATTCAATAACCAACCCAGTCTTTCAGGACCTTCCTGATATCGTTCAAATCCAAAGCGCATTTCGAGGTTATCCAACATGTTTATTTCATCGAATCGCTGATCTACACTGGAAGCTTCGTTTTGAACAGAACTGGTAGGCAGGCCATATTGTTGAAAAGAGGTGGTTGCGCGCGTAGATCCCAAAAAGGGCTTTTCACCTCTTCCTTTTAAGAATCTTGATGAAGATACACCAAATTCAGGCCTTGAAGCCATTGTAACAAATTAAAGAAAAAGAAAAAAAAAGTAAGCACGCGTTTGCACGCGTCTCGCGCTACATACATACAACCCATTGGGATCAAAGGTACACTTTCTTGTGTGGCTGTGGCTTCATTTTGTGACCATTTGTTCTCCGTTGTGAGATGAATTGCAAGAGCGAGCAAAGTCAGAAAAAAAATCGAGCACTTTTTTTTTTTTTAGAATTATAGTTGATCATGTCTGAAATTGGTGAAAAGAGAGCTGCCAACTTTGAACAAAATACCAACAAGAAGTCTAAAATCGGTGAGTCATATGAACATACCATTCCTTGTACTAATTTGACCATAGAATCTCGTAATGAACAAAAAAATGTTCGTATAGAGCGTAAATCTCATGACAAGAACTTTGAAATGATCACTCAAGCCAAGAAGGTATGGGAACAACTTCGTCGTGGTGATATCGATCGTGAAGAACAAAAGACATTGATGAACAAGATGATGAATATCATTGGTGGCAAAGTACAAGATGTATGTCGATTGAATGAAGTTCCTTTTTTTTTTCTAATTTTATGCATTAAATATAGGTTATTTTCAAACATGATGCTTCTCGTATCATTCAAACATGTCTTAAGAAGGGCAATGCTGAACAAAGAAATCAGATTGCTGAAGAACTCAAGGGCAAATATGCTGAACTCTCCAAGTCTATGTATGGTAAATTCATTGTCATGAAGGCTATTGAATACTGGTATGTTCTTTTTTCGTATACTGATGTAGTCTTATTAACATGACAATAGTCACAAGCAAAGGGATACGATTTTAGAAGAATTCAGAAACAATGTTAGAAAGTTAATTCGCCACAAGGAAGCTTCTGCAGTGATTGAAACCTTTTATGCTCAATTTTCTAATGCTGCACAAAGACATGTATTGCTTGCTGAATTCTATGGTCCTGAAATGACATTGTTTAGTCGTGGTGGAGGAGCCAAGACTTTAGAAGAATTATTAGCAGCATTCCCCGACAAGAAAGATGCTGTCCTTAGACACATGTCAGAAACACTTCAAGGTTGTTTGGATAAGGGTACTATTGTGAACAGTATTGTCCACAAAGCTTTGTATCAATACATGTCATTAGCTGACGACAAAGGCCGTGAAGAAATGATGGGACATTTAAAAGAATCACTTCAAGAAATTGTGCATACCCGTGAAGGTTCTTGGGTTGCCATGATTTGTTTATCTATTGCTTCACCCAAGGATCGTAAGAACATCATCAAGTCATTCAAGCCTTATTTGGTCAAGATGGCCTTGGACGAATATGGTTATCTTGTCTTGATTCGTTTGTTAGATGTAACTGATGATACTGTCTTGGTTTCTAAGGCTGTTCTTGGTGAATTAAGTAAGAGTGCCAAAGAGTTGTTCGCCAACAAGTTTGGTCGTCGATTTTTTCTGTACATTTTAGCAGGCCGTAACACCCGTTATTTGTCACCTGAAACTGTTCAATTCTTAAAGGAAGGTGATAAAATCAGAGTCAGTAAGAAGGAACCCGAAGTGAGAGCACAAGAGATCTTGACTGCCTCTTCACCTCAATTGATCAAGTTGGTTGCTGAAAATGCTCCTATTTTGATGAGAGAAAAGCTTTCTTCTCAAGTAGTTCAAGAAATTATGCTTCATGCTGTGGGTGACAAGTCTGCTGCTATTGATGCCATCTTGAACTTGGCTGGTGAAAATATTGAAAAAGAAAATCATATCATTACAGATAGATTTGCTAACCGTATTGTCAAGGCTATGGTGAAGGCTGATACTGCTGAAGCTGAAAATGACAAGGCTGTTGAACCTCTTGAATTTGCTCCTAAGCTTCTTGAAGTGATTAAGCCTCATCTTGCTCATTTCGCTGTGAACCACGGTAGCTACATTGTCCTTGCTCTTGCTGAAGAACCTTCTACCAAAAAAGAAGTCAAGAAAGAACTCAAACCTCACAAGAAGGCCATTGAAGAAGCTGCCAAGTCTAATTCAGGATCCAAATTATTATTAGAAGCTATTTCTAGCAAGTAAAATATCATTCTACATTTACAATTTTGTACATTTCTTTCATACTGTTTTTTTTATTATTAAAAATATAATAAAGGTTTATATGCTGTCATTTCTAGGACACATTAAATATTAAGAGTAGCTTAAAGTATCAGCAGGTGTATACACATCAGTCCATCCGAAACTTCTTTGGACAGCTTCTTCCCATTGGTTGTATTTTTGTTCACGGGCTACAAAAAGAAGTAAGAAAACGATGTTGGATTTATAGTTTTACCTTCATTATCCCATTTGGCATGAAACACATCTTCTCTGTCAACTGACTTTATATCTTCTAACTTTTTCCAAATACCTGCTGCATAACCTGCTGCGTAGGCTGCTCCAAGTGCACTTGAATCACGCATACCAGGACGAATGACAGGAATACCCAACACATCTGCCTGTATTTGCATGCATTGATCAGAATTTGACATACCGCCATCTGCTTTCAGTATTTTGAGAGAGACATCACCATCTGCTTTCATGGCTTCTAGAATGGCACGGGTCGAAAAACAGACGGCTTCTAAAGTGGCTCTTGCAACATGGCATTTGTTTGTATACTGTGTCAATCCAACCAAAGTACCTCGAGCATCGTCACGCCAATAAGGCGAAAACAACCCAGAGAAAGCAGTGACAAAGAAGACGCCGCCTGTTGATTTCACTTTGGCTGCTAATTTGTCAATATCGTCTGATGTCTTTATGATTTCCATGTTGTCTCGAAGCCATTTGACAGCAGCACCGGCTACACTGATGGATCCCTCAAGAGCATAGGATACTGGGCCATCAGGACCAAATTGATATCCAATGGTCGATAATAATCCATGTCGTGAAATCACCGGTGAATCGCCCACATTCATTAATAGAAAGGCACCTGTACCATATGTGTTTTTGGCTTCTCCTACTTGAAAGCATTTCTGTCCTACTAAAGCAGCCTGTTGATCACCTAAACAACCCATGATAGGCACACCCTCTAATGGACCCCATTGCATGTTACCATAGTTTTCTGCAGAGGAAACGATGGTGGGAAGCATATGCGATGGAACGCCAAAGAAATCCAAAAGACGTTGATCCCATTCGCGCGACTTTAAGTTCATAAACATTGTGCGACTTGCATTCGTTACATCTGTAATGTGTTTTCCACCTTGAATACCACCTGTCAAATTCTAAAATCTCTCTTTTTTTTAGGATGTCTCTCAAAGTTTGTATTTCCTTTACCCAAATCAACCAAGTGTCTACAGTACCAAACAAAGCACGCTCCTTTTCTACTGCATGAGCTACCTTGGGTACTCGATCCATAAGCCAACGTAACTTGACAGCTGAGAAATAACTATGAAGCGGCAAACCACACACTTCCTGTATGTTCAAATCACCTTGCTTCTCTGCCAATTCTTTCACAAGAGTGTTTGTACGTGTGTCGCCCCAGACAATGGCATTATAAAGAGGTTCTCCCGTCTTGCGATCCCAAACAAGTGTTGTCTCTCTTTGGTTACAAATTCCAACAGCTAAATGTCTCTTTTTTTTAATTTGTCGTGAGCTGTTGTTATTGTTATTTTATACCTTTTAAGTCGTTTAGGTCATGACCCATCATACCAAATTTTCTCACTGCTTCATCGGCACAACGAATGACTGAATCCAGTAAATCATAAGGATCATGTTCAACCCATCTATTTTTCATGTTAATCTAAATTTACTGCATTTATTTATTTTTTACCCTGGACGTGGATAGATCTGCTCAAATTCAAGCTGATGAAATGTTACCAAGGTACCGGTATTATCGAATATGAGAAATCGAGTAGAAGTTGTTCCTTGGTCAATAGCCCCAATATAAGTAGGCATTTTCTGTAATGTAAGATAAAGAAATAAAAAGAAAGAGAAAGGAAAAAAATCATCACATTTTACTTTTATACTCCGTGTGACGCGCCTCGAATCATAAGACATAAAAATAAGGGTTCTACAATGAACTATCTTTGTAAACCCAGTAGATTTAGAGTTGCCTGATTTACAGTCATTTCAAAAAGTAAAGTCGCTGATTTTGAGTTTGATGTTGTGCAAAAAAAAAAAAAAAAAAAAAAAAAAAAAAAAAAAAAAAAAAACTTGTGTCCAACAATAATGTCGAATGATTGCTTAACAAAAGGATAATACTCTGCGCGTACTTGACTCACTTAACAACATCTGCAAGCCACCATTATATCAAGCAATGCCTGAACGACATCGCCCAAAAATCACGACGTTTGCCTTTAATGGCGTTTTTTCACTATCCCAAGATCGCAAATGATTATGTCATTTGAAACAGCAACACAATTAGTAACTGACGCATAAAAAAAAAATAAAGAATTATTTGATCTGTGTGGGCGAAGCATTAGCTTTGTACAAACAGTAAGAGGGTCAACAAAAGTGAACAAATACAAAACCCAAACACCCAACAACTCTCGACAGCATGATTTCAGTGGTATTTACGTTTACCAAACTAGCTTTCATCCATCTCCACAATGACACCGTTGTCCCCCCCCCCGAATACTTAACAAAGTGCTTAACAATTTTGTCAAGCAATCAGTCAACATCATTGTTAGACACAATTTTTACTTTTTGAAATGACTATAGATATAATTAGATAAGGAATATCTTCGAATAATACACACTTGTAAAGTCAGTTTCTCTCTTTAAAAAAGTGACTCACAAAAAAAGACAATTAACAATTTAGCCAAATCAATGTATTTGATCAAAAAGAAAGGAAAAAATGACATGTTTTTTTTCGTATTATCGTATGTCAGATCAACGCACTAATTTTTTTTGCATTATATTTATTTTGAGCTTTTAGTGGCTATTGTCATTTTGATCAATTAACATCATGATATGTTAAGATGAAATATTGATGTTGACATCGTCAAAGTACTTGAGTCTTGTTTTTGCTGAGGATGTCAATAAGTTAAAGTTTCATAAATACATTAAAAAAGAATTTTAATATTAATAAGGTAAAAGAAAAGCATATTTCTCTTTTTTTCTATTTTCAAATAAAGACAAGTGCTTTTTCCGTTTTATTTTGTGGTGAAAGACATTTTTTTTTTTTGGTAGAAACATAGGTCGTTTGCCATGGCTTTCTTTGTAATAAACAAACAAACTTGTTTATAAACGAAACTAACTGTAACACTGATAAGTAATTTATTTTTAAAGTCATTGTTACTCAAAACCAATGCATTCACTCAAAAAATTATTTTTTAGTGTAAACGTGTTTCTCAAGCAGCCAATATAATCACTATCATTAGACAACAAGTTATACGCATAGCATGTTGTGTGGTCTTTAGTGAAATAGTTTCAAGGATTCTGTAAGGTCCATTGACGCACTGAGATCTTTGAAGTTAGCTACATGGACCTTTAGCTGTAGATTACTTGACATTTTCATGCACATACAAAAAGTTCTGTATCGGAACTTTAAGTTGATAAATGAAAGCGACTTCAAAGAAATTGGGCTTTTGCTTAGAACTACATGAAGACATAGTTGTTTTGTCTTGAAATAATAACAAAAGTTGCAAATCTTTGCTTTCTAAGTCTATTGATTTAAAGCCACGGCAAGGTTACTACTAAAATATAGAGCAACGCTTACAATTTTTTTGCTTATATTTCATCATTTTTGTAATACAATCGGCAAGCAAATACATTGACCAAAAATTAGAGCGTCGGACACGTATTTTGAGTAATTAAGCTTGTCTGTAGCTCTATTTTTCATCATTCGACATCAAAAAGAAGATCGAGAGTTTTCTAATTAAGATTTTTCATGAATAGTACCCTTTGGTTTGGGGGTAGTTTTTGGCCATTTTTTACAAGTCGCTTTTTTTTATCCAAATCATCTCCAAAGGTACCCTGTATGTTAGTAAGAATTGCTTAAAGGTATTTGGAGTATTTATGCATGTATAAATAGGTTCTATATACCCTTTGAGTGGTGAAACAATTGTGTGTATTTGTTCGTCCTTTTCCCTTATACACTCGGGCTATTGGTTAATCATAATGCATGAAGAGGACTTACGTATTTTTTGGCAGAGAAAAAATATCCATTTAAGAGGTAAAAGAGCCTTTAACATGATTTAACGAAACTAAATGACACTTTGCGGTTGTAAACAACGAATTCTCTATCTATACATCTCATGAAAAACGTAATAAATAATCATCAGTTGATAAACCATTTTTAGCATATAAGTTTATGCATAAAACACTTACGGCTGCAGCCCTTCGAAATCAATGTATATACACAAAATAATCATTTTTGGGCGTGGACATTAGCATAGATGGAGCGTTTTTCCATGAGCACATCGTTCTTCCAGGTTCAGGAATACGCCAAGTCATTGTTCCACAGTCGATCTGGTCATTACTTTGATTTGAATATATAGAATGAAAAGATATGTCTTGACTACAGCCACCTAACCTTTTAATCGAATTAATTAAAAAGACAAGCAATTCTAACGTTGTTGAGTAAACACCTTCTTGTTTCTGTCTATTGCTCAAATCAACTCACAAACTGCTCTCAGTTTTTTGTTCAAGTCTTTTTGAAATTCCAGAAATAGAATGTTTCTTTGCTATCCAAGGTTTCTACGAGTTCAAAAATCACAAGTATCGTTCTTTATAAAGTCTTCTTGTCTCTTTTTTTTTTTTTTTCTCGTGAAATGAAACTGCGGCTTGTCATATCCACGGTATGGTTTATGTTGACAGTGGCTCAAAACCAGCCAACAACAAACAATCAGCAAATCAATCCACATTATGCGATGCTCTTGATTTACTCAATGCTATTTTATGAGAAAAGAGCGGAAATCTGCCTGAAAATAATAGAGTATCATGACAAGTACTTGTAAAAGAAAAGAGGGAAGGGAAATAACAGGGCAACATGTATAGGAGAAAGGATTCGACATTGACAGATGATGCTGATCGTAACGTATCTTTGACAAAAGGATACTATGATGCAAGGTGTGTTGATATCAATGTTTAAGAGAACAAGAGATCTAATATTAGTGACAGAAATTATCTCAAATCTAATGTCCCCTTACCGCATACAGTCACTGTTTTAGCATGGGATGACATTGAATGGTTTGAATCTTACAGAAGAGCTAATTTGGTTGATGATCTTTGCCAGATTATTAAGTGAGGGCTGATTGGCTTATCAAGGCACATCCAGAACCCAATGTTCTGTTTTTTCAAGTAATCATATGATGTTGACTAAAACTACATATACTTATATTGCATTAGGTTGGTAATGATGATATCGATAATAGTTATTGGGGTATGTATACACTTTATTTATATATAAAAAAAAGAAGGAAGAATGGTTGAGTATTGTCTAATATTATGCATCTGTATAGAGTCAGATACTTGGGTTCCATTACCTAGACCATCTTATATGGTGAACAGCAGTGCTCCAGGTACAGATGCAACAGCGCTCACAGCAGCAGCTCTCTCGCCTGCTTCTTATCTCTTCAAGGACCAAATAAATGACACAGAATATGCCAATCTACTATTATCTCATGCAGTCAGTCTATTCAACTTTGCAGAAATGGCAAGACCATGGACACCTTATTCACAATCTGTACCTGCTGCTGTTGGTTATTAAAACACAAATAGATACCAGAGTCAGCTGATTTATGGCAGTCTTTGGCTTCATAAAGCAATAGGAAACAATACGTATTTAGAAAAAGCCAATGGATATTATTATTTGTTTTCAAAAGACCCTTTTTATGGTATTTCTGATTGGAGTGACCATACAGGAGTTGCTTTAATATTAGGAGCTACATTAGATCAAGTCAAGTACAGACAGCTAGTTATAAATTACCTTGATAGAACATCAAATACTGGAGTTTCTAGTGTCTGTAACTATACTTATGGTGACTTGTTTTACTGTAAAGGATACAGTGTTTCAAACTCGGTTATGCCTCCCTTAAACATAACTTTTCTGATAGCTCAGATGAACCATGCCTATCCTAATTTGAGCTTAAACTATACAGACTTTATTCAAAATCAAATGAGCTACATTTTAGAAGCAAATCAAATGCACGCACCCTACGTTTGTGATACTCACAAAAACTCGCCTCGAAATCCGCATCGGGAGGAACAAACTTGAAAAAGACTGATACATCTCCCAAGGAGTCAGCTTACATGCTGCATGGTAAATGCAAACACTAAATACCTATTTTCTCTTTTCTCACACATGTGTACAGGTGCTGCTGTTGGAGGACCTGATTACTATGACAACTTTTATGATATCCGTAGTGACTATAAACAAACAGAAGTCGCTCTAGACTACAATGCACCTTTTCAAAGTCTCATTGCCTATCAAATCTCAATAAATGCTATAGATCCATCTTATGTTAATACCACTCAAGACAGGCCTGATATCTTATCAAAAGAACCAGCATTGAAAGGATGGGAAGTCGTCATCATTGTTGTTGTTATTGTCGTCGTTTTGGTAGCACTTGCTATAGGCTTTTGGTGGTACAAAAAGAAAAAGAGGTCGAAAGAAATGGTTTAAAACTATTCATTCCTCGGTATACAATGTCAAAACAAAATTTCGTTTGGGTAGTGTTCCGAGGAAACAAAGACATGCTTACGAAATAAATCCCGTGATTGCCTTTGATAAACTTTTGTTGTCGTACATGATTTAGTTCCTCTTCTTATTCAAAGGGGTTGAAAACAAGGGTTGATTTAGCTTTTGTGTACGCGTGAGCGTGTAACAAATGGAAGAGTAACCGTCAATTTCTATATACACTCTATACGGTAGTACCATTAATTATAATGTTTATTTAACATGGAAAATGTATGAGACAGTAACACGTTAATTATTATATAATTATACAAACGAATATGAGTCATTTTTTTACTTTTTGCATTATAGCAAATATACATGTGTTTCCTATATTATCGATACAGGGAGAATATAAAAAAGAAAGAACGGCGATATAGACGGTATTTTTTTAATAATGTTGATCAATTTAATATGTCTTCATTAACCACTTCTTCTCTGTAACAATCACTGTACAACATGGCATGTATGCAAGAGATCATTAAATTTGTAGATATACAAACATCACATGGTTATAACAATAGTTGAAACATCTTTATTGATCATGTAAGCATAGTGTTGTAAGTTGATTCCTTCTTGGCAACAACAACGTCAAGTTTCCTATATAAACAGGCAATTCAATTAACTTAATTCAGCATTATTTTTTTCTCTCTCTCAATGTTGTTCAAACCTGTTGGAATTGCTGCTGCTTTTATTGGGTCTCTTTCTTGTGTTCAAGCTGGCTATAGTTCAGGCGGACCTAATGTTTTCTACTACTGGGGACAAGTATGTTTGACGCCATATGATGGTATACAAAATATTGATATAATCATAGAATTCAGCTGGTGGTGGTTCAACTCAGGCCTCTTTGGCTACTTATTGTAATTCAGGACAAGCCGATGCTCTGATTCTTTCTTTTCTCAATATCTTTAATGTGGGAGGCGATCCTGGTTTGAATTTGGCTGGTGCATGTGAAACAACCTTTTCAGGCACAAATTTGCTTAATTGCCCTGATATTGGCAAAGGTAAATGATTGTATTCATTAGGCTTCATTATTGATTTGTAGTAGATATTGAATCATGTCAGTCCAAAGGTGTGAAAATCATCTTGTCTTTGGGTGGTGCTGCTGGTTCTTATGGCTTCAATAGCGATTCACAAGCTCAAACATTTGCTAGCACCCTCTGGAATTTATTTGGTGGAGGATCAGCTACAAATCGTCCTTTTGGTGACGCTCAGATTGATGGTGTTGACCTTGATATTGAGGGTGGTGGATCTACAGGCTATGCTGTAAGTACATTGATGTAGACAATCACATTTTACTGACTATATTGACTAGACGCTTGTTACTTCGCTTCGCTCCAAGTTTGGTTCTAGCTTTTTAATAGGCGCTGCACCTCAATGCCCTTTCCCTGATGTTATTCTTGGTTCAGTCATCGATGCAGTTAGCTTCGACTATGTCAATGTTCAGTTTTATAACAACTACTGTTCTGCTGCTGGCGGCTCATTCAATTTCGATACCTGGGCCAACTGGGCTCAATCTACTTCACCCAACAAGAACGTCAAGGTTATGTTTACTATACCTGGTTCGACTACTGCTGCAGGTACTGGCTATGCCCCTATCTCTACTATTCAAAGCATTGTGCCTCAATTGGCCTCTCGTTATCCTGGTACATTTGGTGGTGTTTCTGTTTGGGATGCTTCTCAAGCTTGGAATAATGGTAACTTTGCCTCTACTTTGTACAGCACTGTGAAATCAGGTGGTAATGGTAATGGTGGTGGCGGTGATAATCAGCCTGGTCAAACTACCACTCGTCTTCCTACAACCACATCTGCTACTAAGACAGCTACTTCTGTCGGCCTTCCTACTGCTACTTCATCATGTGCTTCTTCTGGTCAATCGTGTTCCAACAATGGTCAATTCGTCTGCACATCGGGTGGAGGCTATGCAGTCTGTGATCATTCAAAATGGACCGTGGGTTCTTGTCCTTCTGGTACGACCTGTATTCCTACCACAGAAGGCAATTCAGTCTATTGTGGTTATGCTAATGGATCCAATGCTTGTTCTGCTGTTAGCTCAATTCAACGCTTGCACATCACCTTCAACAGCAAGAACTCTGTTATTCCTAAACCCTACAAGGCTTCTCAAGTTTATGCTCAATTGACTGTAGCTGATGCGACTACTAAAGAATTTGAAGTTGTACTTAATGCCCGTCGTACTAATCCTACTCCTTTCAAAAAGTCGATTACTGTCGAATTCAATACTCCTAGCAATATCAAGTTTACAGATGTGAGTTCAGGTACTATCAGACAAGTCGGTAACAGTGTCCGTATTCAAGCCCAAAATGCGTATAATACAAGCATGACCTTCGTCTTGACTCTGAAGGGTTCTGTTCAATCAGGTGTCTTTGTTGCTCCCAACCCTGCTTCAGTTCGCTTCAAGTAAAAGACATAGAAAGAGAGAGAGAGAGTACCGTCTGGCAACGGCAAATTTTGTATACTTTATGAAATAAATAGCTGATCATTCTTTATTTGGTATATGAGTGTATATAATAATTTACAAAAGGGAATCTGTACATGTATGTAGTGTATGTGCATAATGATTTTTTTCCTCAGAAATGAAGTGATAATGGTGGATTGGGCTTGTTTGCTATAGAGAGATTTAGTTGAGCTGCATAAAACTAACTGCCTACTTACTATTGCTTAATTGTTGATGCTGCTGTTGTTGTTGAGCTGTAGCCATTGCTATTTGCATTGCTGCTTTTCCTGTAGTAGGTGAATTATTGACAACAGCAGCCATGTTGGCAGCAAGCATACCATTAGCCATAGCGACAGCAGCCTGTTGAGGTGTCATTTTTGTGCGACCACTACTTTGACGCTTCATAGGTATAGCAGTAGCACTGTTGATAAGAGGAGAGATTTGTGGCTGACGATTGATAGGTGTGGATGGTACACGACCTTCTATGTTATTCATAGCAACAGTAGCAGCATTTCTGGCCTGACTTAAGTTGATCATGTTTAAGGGCGTCAGAAAAGGCACGGTAACAAGATTGCGAAGTTCAGTTTCTGACAAGAGTTGGGTTCTATGCTTCAAATACAAACTATCCATCTCATCTATTTGCTCTATATGATCTCCATGGTCTTCTTCATCGCTTACGTCTGAGTCAAATCGGTATCGGTTATAAGATGGCAAATCGCTAGAACCAGGCCTTGTCTTACCACCACTGCCATGTTCAGAAGTAGGCGAGAACCCAACACGATCAATAAAGACACGGCCATTTCGGCCCATTCGCTTTCTAAATTTAGGACCCATGGGCTTTGTCTTACCAGAAAGGGGTTGATAGAATTGCTGAGGTATAGACAACGGAAAAGGCTGGTGTCCAGACTATAAAAAAATATCAAAATTAGATTCTGTTTGTCTCTTTTTGGCTTTTGCTTACCTCTGTAACGTCTTCATAGGGAAGATCCGCTTCTTTTTTGCGAGCAAGTTCGGCTTCAATCGCAATTTGAGTAGGCGACTTGTCAAGTCGAACGTTACCTCTAAGTTTGTGAAGTGGGATCTTGATGGTGGCACTATAAACACGAGGAATTTAAGGTTAATAAAATAAACATCTGACATGATGTAGTACAATACCCAGAGCCCTCCAAAGAGATCCTTTGTTTCTTTTTTGGCAACAAGTCTTCGTCTTCTTTAATACCTAGAACACGTTGGTATTCAAACAGAGTATGTCTCTTTTCAAACACGGCATGCTCTAAAACAAGACCTTCTTTGCGAATCTTTTCACGGCGTAATACCATTTCCAATAGATTGCGAGCCATCTCCATTTCCGAACGAAGTCTGCGTAAACGTTCTAGGGACTGTTGGTCTGTACGTCTTGTCTTACGAACTGGCTTTGTTTCTCTTTTACGGAAACACACATAAGGGTCAATCTCATTTTTGAAGGATTCCTCAAATTTGAGTTGGGGTACAATCGATTTTCCTGCACGATTTCGACGACGCTGACTCCAATGATTGTAAACAACAGGCAAATTGGGAAAACCCTTAAGCTTTGAGTAACCAGGCACATATGGTAAAAATGCTTCATATTCAGGGATTTGTGGGTCCTATATGCATTTTTTTTAGTACGACAAAAAAAAGAAAAAAGAAATTTACTAAAGCAAGATGTGGCCATTGTTGGTTTGTGATTGTCTCGAACTCCCACATTATATTTTCAAATAAATCTTCAGATAATATTTCGCCAGGATATTGTTTGTTATAATCTTGTAGAAAAGCATCATCTTCCTCATCCATAAGATAAGGACAGCCAATACAATCTTCCACAGTAGACGAGAACCGAATAAGAGTAGAAGGATCCTTGTATTTCTTCTTGTAAAGAGCAGCATACTCTTTTTCATCAATAAGACGAGAAGCATCAGGAGTAGGAATATATTTCTCTACTTTGGCACCAGTGGTAACAGCAGCCTGAGCAGCAGAAATAGCGGCTTGTAGGTCATGCTAAAAATAAAGGTTTAGCTATCGGACATTCGTTTTGCCTGTAGAAATGATATTATAAACAGGGATTACGCAGCCAAATGAACGAAAAAAAAAAATTTCGCACACACACGCATACGTATATACAGTGTATAATACCCCCCCTCCCCCATACACAACAACAACAACTAGCTTACCTCTTCTTCTTCTTCTTTTTCAACACCTGTTTCTATCTGAGGTACTGCTCTTTGTATGTTGGCAGCGTCAGAAAGGTCAGGAAGCTGATATTCTTTGTATACAGGGAGTGGGTGCTTTGGTGAAAGCTTTTTGACTCGGAATCGAGACACCATCTGGTTTGTCATAGTGTTAAAAACAACAGCAAGTTTTTTTGGTTTTTATATACCAAGAGATAGCTACTCACGTTTATAAAAAAGTCAAAATAATTCTTGTTAAAATACAAGGACCTATGTATTCTTTTTTTTTGCCTCTTTTTTTTTTTTTTTTCTTCTATTATTTTCCAAAGGAGAGTTGTTTTAGAGGGTACGTCACAGACACTGAGCTTAAATTAGGTTTATTGACTTAAGGATATACATATACAATAAGAGAGAGAGAGAGAGAGAGAAAGAAAAAGAGATAATGATTGAGATGAACAAATGAATGGATGGGGATTTTGTTTGATATAGTAATCAGTTTATGCTTTCCTGAGCATTTGTTGAGCTACCTGAGTCATTAGAGGTACTGTGTGTTCCTGGTCTTTTGGCCTCTAGTTTCTTTTGCTTAATTTGTCTTGCTCTTTCGAGAAGAGCAATTAATTTCTCAATACAAGCAATCCAACGCATTTGATCTTGGGGTCCACTTGTACGGAGCACATGAACTGTAGGCGTACTCATAAAAGTAGTATTCAAGGAATCAACACCTTGAAAAGACGATGTGATTTCAATTGACCAATCTTCCAAGCCAGATTCCTGGGCCGTGAGAGCACGCACCTTGGCTCTGTCCAATACAATGTGGCCTTTATATTGAAGTCCGTTATTCTTCTTCTTGGCAAACACAAGAATATCAGAGAACAGGAAATACGATCTGTCTTCTCCACCTAACCGAATAACTTTTTCAAAGTGGTTCTGAAGATACAGTCTGCGTTCTGCCTTTACATTGAATGGTTGTCCTATCATGTTGTTGAGAATATCATAAACCTTGTCTACATTTTTGGTATCCTCAATTCTATTTATGTATATGAATATCACGTTATGGTATTGTTGACAATAAAGTGTAACTTGCCTGAATTTGAATTCCTCAGCAATGGTCTGAATTCGCACTTTACATTGCATCAAACCAACATAATCAGGATGCATGGAAGATGTGTTGTCAGAAAGTGTTTCGAGCAATTTTTGATAGCGAGAAATACAAGTAATAGGTGTTCTTAACAACGATAACAGTGATTGATCTTTCGTATGTTTCTTAAAAAAGACGTGGTTAGGAAAGCAAGATAGTAACGTTATCTTACCTCTGTGAATTTTTTAAATGGTTGATATCGCATCAATCTTTCAAAAGTAGTGATAGAAATATCATAATGGTCAAAATAAACATGGTAAAGCTGTTGCAATCTATGGAACTGTATTTCGGATGAGTTAAGCGGACTCTTTCATAAATCTAACTGTACCCAGGTCTGAATAACGTCTGATATGATTTGTGTCGGCCCCCAAATATTTAAGCTATATAGCCGTTATATATTTATTACTCGTTACAATGATCTATTTTTTACCGTTCGTCTAGGCTTTTCAATACACCAAGGTGGAATTGGTGAATCTCTTCAAGATTGCCAAACAACCAGAGCATTTCTTTCTCTGTACAAGGCGGCTTTTTTATGCTTAGAAATTTAGACGATTGTTGTCTAGTGTTTCTTAATGGCTGGATGTATAAATTCACTAACATATCCAACTTGTCAAAGTATTGTCTCTCGGTTTCATATAGCTGTCGAATCAAAGCGTCTCTTTGTTGATGCATCATTTCCTGATCTAAATTAAAATTTGTTAATTCTCACACTCACGCACAAATTATACACTGACGAACACCCCCCATTTACCTATCAATGTGTCATCTACATCATCAAAATCAAGGCTGTCAATTATGTCAAAATCGCTTAATTCAGGTGCTCCATAGGATTGTTCAAGAGGCGGTGTTATCAAATCATTATTTATTACATGAGAACCACTGCTGATAGAGCTTTGGAAGCTCATTGGATCAGACATGGTAGACTGAGTCTTGACTGGCATGTAGTAAGGAGTGTCAATCAAGCCTTCTTCTTTTGAAGATTTTTGAGCTTTTAAATGCTGCATTCGGGTCTTTTTTAAAAAAAAAACTGTTATATAAAAGAGAGGAGAGAAAGAGAATGCAGTAGAAAAAAAGAAAGAGAGAAAAAGAAAAGAAGAAATAAAGAAAGAAGAAAGGGGAAAGGTCAAACATGTTACTGTTGATCATCGTCACAAACTTTTGCATTGTACAACAGTGAACGGAATCTTATCACAAAACAGCACTTATGCCCGCTGATATTGTCATTTATTGCCTTGTGCAATAGTGAATAGAAAGCCCGAGTCCAGTATTCGTGTCCCCTTTTGCGTGTGACAGAGACTTGTTCGCTTTTTCTTTTTCTGTCTAATTTCTTGTTTAATAAATGGAAAACGAACAAGGTTAAGTATGTTTGGTTTTCATATTGGCTTGAGTCTTCTAACTGTATAAATAGCTATTTGTAGAGTATGTAGATCTGGATCGTCAGTAAACCAACCTTTATTTCACCCTTGTAAATGCTCTGGAAGTATACGTTTTGTTCATCAGGACTGGTACTCTTTCTCTTCTCTTTCACTCCTCAGTTCCAAGCTAACTTTTCTCACATTTGTTTAGTTTATTACAATGGCTTTCTCATAGCAACAAAAAGTAAGACTATATTATCTCCATTGCATTACATATTAATCAAATAACAAGATATTGCGAATTATGCGAGCATTATTTTGTCTTTACACCTATTTATCGACAGGATATGCCAGATCAACTTCCTTTAAATGTATTTATACGCCAATCTTTACAAGCTTTGTACAGAGGATTTATTGTCTGCCTTCGATCCATCATTGTCGTGTTTGTTTGGCTTGTATTGTTACCGACATTCACCACTTGGACATGGCGATTCTATTTTTGGAGTGGGGAGAACATTGGGTTTTATGTTTCCAAAGACAACCAGACAACAACCGAGAATGTGCTTCGATATCGATGGAAGTAATGTACTATTGGTGTTATGCAAAAAGGGAACAGGATACTAAGATTTTAGTGAGTTGCTATCAGATTGTGTTCAGGGCTTGATGACAACGGCCATTGTCGTTGTTATGTTTGTTGGGGCTTATTTATTTCGAGATTGGGTAGTTCAGAATACAGCACAGGAACGTACTTTGCCAGAACAAGAACAATTAGACGAAAGAGGACAGCAAATCACAACACGCTTAGAGGAATTACGCCAAGAATTAAAAAGAAGAAGAGAAGATAGCGAGGATGTAGTTGAATACAACAACCCATACACTAATGGATCAAATTTTGAGAGTCGGTTTAGGTCCAACTTGTGGGATGAAAGCGATAATCCACCAAGTGGGACACAGTCTCCTTTTGCTAGTTGGAGAGACTACCAGCAGAGCAATAGTAACAGTAGCCTGAATGATCATCATATAAACCATGCCAATCATGAAGGCATGTCGAGATCTACCAATGCTCTACCCGAACCAACAGATTATTTTGAAAATCAGCAAGTAAATGAAGAGGAAAACACGCCTATGCCTGCACCTGCTCCTGTAGATAATGCAAATCAGGAGCCCTTTGAATTCACAGAAAATATAGACGGCTTTTTGGAAGCAATAGGAATGCGAGGAAGCATCTTAACACTAGTACAAAACTCTATGCTGATGACACTGATGATAAACCTTTGTTTATGCGTCACTGTTTGGATTCCGTATGTGATTGGACGTTCAGTGATTTTAGTAAGAAGGATTTGGTTTATCTATCCCAAAAAGTAGACTGATTTGTTTATCTTTATAGGTTGATCCTGTGAATCTGATAGGTGCTCTTGTACACATTGTACGCCTTATTCTCTATCCTGTACTCTGCTATTCACTAGATCATGTTATTTCACCTCTTTACTATCATGTAGAAACCTTACTCAAGCTAATCTTATCGGATTCTATCCTGGTTGCAGTTCAAGGCATTCATGATGATATGTTATCATGTCTCTACTTTATCTTCAAATCTATTCATATCAGACTCATAAGCGATGATCCTCTTTTAGGAGGTAGTCTGGCTTCTTTAATATCAGACACTACCAGCACTCTTTTTGTCAAAATCAATGGCTGGGAGTTAATTCGTGATAACTTGTATTCCATTTCAATCACCCTTTTTAAGCGTTGGCGTCAATGTGCTTTTGGTCAAGGTAGTCTGGATCGTACCGTATGTACGTGCACAGGCTATCTTCTCTTGATCTCTATCGGGTCTTGGTATCTGTCAAGGACAACCAACCACACAGGATCGACGAATGAAATCCTTCGTCAACAAGGTGTTTTTCTCAAGGTTCTTTTCTTTATGTTACTTGAGCTTGTGATTTTCCCCACAGTGTACGGCGTCTTGTTAGACATTTCTACCCTGCCTTTGTTTACTGAATGGTCCATTAAGACTCGATTTCATTTTGTCTTGTTAAATCCTTATTCAGGTATCTTTTTGCATTGGTTTATTGGAACAGTGTTTGTCTTGCAATTCTCAGTGTTTATTGAACTACTGAGAGAGGTGGTAAGACCGGGTGTATTGTATTTCTTGCCAAATCCAAAGGATCCACATTTCGAGCCTGTTCAAGATATCGTGGATCAGCCTGCCATGACTTTGATAAGGAAGTTGTGTCGGATGGCATTTATTTACTTTATGTTGATTTTGGTTGGTATGGGATTAGTCACCATCCTAGTAAGCAAATATGGTGGTATTTATCCTATCATCTACAAGTTCAAGTAAGTTTTTTTTGGACTAGTAGAAAGCATATATTGACTGTATCTATAGTAATCCCATTTCATTTCTGCCTATTGACTTACTCATCGTTCAGTTTCTGTTACCACCCATTATGAAATACATTGTGCCGCGCGAATTTTTCAAGAAATCTGTCATGACATGGTGGCATATTGCATCTAGAGGTCTTCAGCTTTCTTCTTACATGTTTGGTGGTCGATATCCTGAAGAAGAAGGCCAGAATGTCATTTTTCATCAACACGGTGGTGTCCTTGCCCGTGTACCTTCATACGATCATGTTCCTATTGTTATACCTCGTCGAAGAATGATAGTCCCAATTGACAGTATAACACTAGAACCACTCGACACAGTAGAGCGTAGATTAGGACATCCAGCTGTATCTAAATCAGGAAGTCAGGAAACAGATACAACTATTGTATATATACCACCTTACTTTGAACTTCGTATCACTATTTTTCTTCTTCTCATCTGGGCAACAGGTTCAATTTTGGTTTGCTCTATATCTGTTGTTCCTTGTAAGTGAAATGATGATGTGAATGTTACTCATTCCCACTCTTTTATTTTTCAAGTGCTTTTAGGACGAAGCTTGTTTGCCAAACTACAGTTGGGATCTGATAGACCTGTCCATGACTTATATTCGTTTGCTTTAGGTGCTTATATTATGATTTTGATGCATTCTTTGTTGAACTCCATTGTGCATAAATATCAAATCACAAGACAAAATCATGGAGAGGTTGATTGGGTTTCTGTCAAATCCTATATCTCAAGGAAAAGTATTAAGGTAATACAATTTATTTTCTATATATGTTTATTTATGTTGTCTCTTTTCAAGGCAATTAAGTTTGCATATGTACTGTTTATGTTTGGCCTTGCGGTGCCTTTTCTGTTAGGCATTCTACTTGATCTGTATATATTTATGCCATTAAGGCCTTCGAGTATCCAACAAGGCTCTTTTGAATTATATCCGACAATCGTAAGTTGTTTTATATTTTGGGGTAGAAAAAAAAAACTCATCAACAAACCCCATCAACATTTAAGGATTGGGCTTTAGGTATTGCAGGAATGAGTTTATTCCATAGTGTTATTTGTGTTTTACCTCACATAAACCCGACAATTCGCGAACAAGTTGTACAGTTCAATTGGAATAATATTAAACATTTGGATTTATGGCATATCAATCAATCGGTAGTGATGCCTTTGTTTGCGTGCTTAAGCTTTATGATAGCTCTGCCTAGTCTGTTGACAGTAGTCACTATTTATGCATTTGGTAAGTATGCCATCTTTCTAGAATTTGACTTAGTAATCAATCTTCTAAAATATTAGCCATTGATGATCCAATCCTAAAGCTTTTGATATTCCGATGTGCCTATCCCATCCTGTTCTGTGGGGTTTGTTGTTTGGCTGCCATCTATATCTGTTGGAGGTTATGCAAGATTTGGCTGCGCAATATTCGGGATAATATCTATCTTATTGGAAGAAAACTTCATAACTTTGAGGATAAAGTTGACTCATGCCCTCGGACACTGTAATTCTAATGTTTCACCCGATTTTACATCCCCAATAAAAAAATGTGCATGAGGTTTTCTTTTTTTTTTTTTTCTTTACTCTTTTTCAATACATAATGCCTATTCTCGAAATCACATCTGGTACTGCTCCCAAGGATCTTAGAGCCTTCACCAAGCGTTTAAATGCTATTTTTGCCGAATACATTGGCAAGCCTGAAAGCGTAAATAACAATAAACATGCGCGCAATAAAAAAAAGGGACTTATGTTTTGTGTTAGTATTGTTTAGTCACTTTCACCAAGGTTGATAGCTTTTTCTTTGCTGGGTCTGATGAGCCTGGCTTTTTCGCCAAGGTTACCTCTATCGGTCATATTGGTAAGGGCATGATAGTTTAGAACGCGTGTTGCTCACTTAATTTTCACCAGACAACGATCGTAACTCGAAATTGACAAAGGCCGTCACAGAAGAACTCGAAAAGGAATTGGGTGTTAGTGATGGTCGTGGTTACTTCTTCTTTATCGATGCTCCTGGAGAAAACATCGGTTACAAGAAGGACACTTTTGCCAACTTTGCTAGCAAGAACTTTTAATGTTCTTTTTCATAATAAAACAATAACTTCAATTTAACAAAATGCGGACTTTTGACTCAATTTGTAAAGTAGAACATTTAGTGGAAACTTATAAATTACTGCTAGTGTTACATTCTATTTACTTGCACATACATACAAAAGGGGGAATCACCTTATGAATATAGAAAACTATTAACCAAATAAAGGTAAAACTTATAATAAAACATTAAAGTTTAACTCGCACAACCTTCAATAAAGATCATAAAAACCACTTTTTTTTTTTTGCTTTTTCTTCTTTAACTTGACAACAAATTCTACAGAAAAATAAAAAGGCTAAGCGCCCATCTTATTTACCTCTTTCCAATCCTTGATTTACTCCCCCATTACATTTCATTTGATATAAAAAAAAAGCCATTATGCGCTTTACTCATTCCTCTCTTTTTGCTTTGACTACGGTCATCACTTCTTCTTTGCTCTATCAAGCTCAATCAGCCCCAGTATTGAAGGATGTAACCGATGCTACTTTGAATGAGGAACATCGTGTTGTAGCATTCAATTCTGGTGAAACTGGTGTCAATGAATGGACACATCATCTTGAAAAGAGATGCAGCCATCATGTTGCTAGTGCTAAAAGAAGAACAACAAAGAAAAAGACTACAAAGAGAAAGAAGTCCTCGAAGAAGAAGACCACCAAGAGAAAGAAGTCTTCCAAGAAGTCTTCCAAAAAGAAGACCAATAAGAAGAAGAAGACCAATAAGAAGAAGAAGACCACTAAGAAGAAGACTACCAAGAAGACTACCAAGAAGACCACCAAGAAGAAGACTATCAAGAAGACCACTAAAAAGCATTCTTCCTCTTCAGGATCAGGTCAAGTCCATAGTGGCGATGGTACCTACTATACTCCTGGACTTGGTTCCTGTGGTATCGAAAGCACTGAAAGTGAAATGGTTGCTGCATTGGTAAAGTATTACACAATTATATTTTGCAATTTAGATTAATTTATTCTTTTTAGAATGCCCCTGAAATGAACAACCCTGCCAACCCTAACTTGAATCCACTCTGTGGCAAATACATTACTGTCAAAGGCCCCAAAGGTTCTGTTCGTGTAAAGATTGTTGATACATGTCCCCCTTGTGCCAAGGGTGATGTTGATTTAAGTGTCGCTGCTTTTGGCAAGATTGGTGAATATGTCGATGGTCGTATTCCAATTACATGGCAATGGTCTTAATCTTCTTTCTCTTTAGCTAGTCTAAAAGATTCTGTATGTTTATTTTGTATTTAATAAATCAACTGTTCTACACCATAGAAAAAATAAATAGTGTATGTAAAATAGTGATACGGATATGAGGGAGTAGTTGAATAATCTTGTCAATTGCACAATTGCATTCATACCACTTTTGCTTGATCAACAATACGACTGACCAATATTAAGCTGTGATTGATGCAAACAGCGGCTACATCAAATATTATTTTTTGTCAAGTAAACAACCTAAGCTTTTATTCCACACGGTTTACGGTATTATGCTTTGGGGAACTTGTTCAAGGATGGAAAACATGCAATTTTTTTTCAAAGACCATTAAGAGACATCCAATGTTTCTTCAACTGTGCTATAAGCGCTTTTTGTTTATACATGTTGCTTCAATCCCTTTTTTTTTATCACGACAAACATCAAAGCTTTCCCTCTTCCCCTAGAAAAAAAAAGGGGGCAGTGTTATCAATCATATGTATATTTTTTTCTTTTTTCTTTTTTTTTTGTGTCTTTATTAAAGTTAATTGTATAGTATGAAAAGAGTAAAATAAAATAAAATAAATGTAATACAATTCCTTCTATTCTTTCTTTTTTGTCGACCAATTGAACACAAAGTTTGAATACAAATACAAAAAAGCTTTGACACCATAAATATAACTGATTTAGACAATGTTACATCGATATCCATAGTAGGCTAGCTATGTTTAACAACAACGAAAAGAAAAGAAAAAAAAAAAGAGGGTATTTCTATTCTAAAATATCCAATGATGAATACAATAGCTGAATTAAGAAGAAGCAAATTAAGACGTAATCTTGTCCCTGATTAGTATGAAAAAAAAAAATTGATTGTACAACTTCTCATTGAAAAAGATTTAAATTATGAATGCCTTGTCCGAGAATTAGCAGAATTTTACTCTTTTTTTTTTTTTTTGACAATATCGGTATTTTCCTTGTTTAAGTCAATTGTTGATATTTCTTTGTTCCATAAATCTTTATTCCGTGGTAAACAAGTTATCTGCTATTAATATACGTACATGAACATGCATAAGAATTTCTCTTACATAACCTCGTCCTTGAAACCTGTTGGATTAATAATCCCTTTTATTCTTTTTCCTTGTTTCAATTGCCAAAATATCTCCTCTTCAACCAATAACATGTACATATAAAGAAGGATCTGAAACAGGGGCATTCTTTATCTGGATATGTTCTTATGTAATAATTCTCGACGGCAATATAATATAATACGTTCAAGGAAACCCTTCAAAGGATCTGATTGGATGTGAATGCCACGTGTGATTTAATACTCAGCAGTAAGCGAACTGATCTGATAATGATAAAAAGAAAAAAAAGAAAGAAAGAAAGAAAGAAGAAAGAAACAGAAAATTAAAGGAGACACAGTATGAGTCTTTTATATTTGTATACAAACCAGAATCACACTGGTATTTGTATTTATAAATAAGCAAGTAAAATAAAAAGGACGTTCTGCATTAAAAATAGAAAGCCGCCTTACTCTAATTGTACACAAACCAGAACTATCGTTTTCAGTAGGACAAGTGTTCGCAAATTGCACGTTGTTCCTATATCTGAAAGAACAATGATATCCGAGAAGCGAAAAGCCTATATCCTCTTGTATTCACTTACCTCTAATAAACTATAACAAGAATAGTATTTAATGTAATGCAGTTAAAACAAAAGAGAAAGAGAGAGAGAGTATATATATATATATATATATATGTCAGTATAAAAAAAAACATATGGTTGTTCTATATCAAGTAACCAAACGAATATTCATTATATATACACTTCTTTTTTCTTCTCTTTTTTCACTCTTTTATATCCTTTTTTTTTTCCTTTTTTTTTTTTTTTTACTTTTATACGGCCTCTATTTTTTTTTTTTATTATCATTATTTATTTTATAAGCTTTTATAACCAATACTAATGGAATCAACTACAAATTTGTTTGATACCAACTTGTCACCCCCTCCTTACTATATGGACAACACATTCATCTCATCATATCAAGACACCTCTATGTTCATAAACGCATCCAATTCATCTCATATCTTCCCTTTAGACTCATCAAAAACAGCATCCACAAAAACAAATACAAAACGCAGAAGCCAAGTCAAGAACGCATGTGGTAAGTATCCCTATTCATCCCTTTGTTACACGCTACTTCACGTGCTGACTAAATCGTAGTCAACTGCCAAAAAGCTTGCAAAAAATGTGATGAAGGCCGTCCTTGTCAAAGATGCATTAAGCTCGGTATCACAGAAACATGCATCAACTCACCCAGAAAAGAGCGCAAAAAGGGCTTCAAGAGAGGACCCTACAAAAAGAAATCATCGAATACTCAGCAACAAACAACATCAAAAAAAGGTACATTCCATACATGATTCATTGATTGATACTGACATATCAAACAGTCATTGCAAATGAATTGACAAGTCCACCTGCAAAGCTAAAAGAAAGAACGATTAGTAACGCATCCTCATTATCATTTTCACCTTCCCTTGTTGATTGGCCTCTTGATTATTCACCTCTTTCTTCTGGTCAAGGACTTGCTCAGTCTGGAATCATACCATCTCAATATCATACCCAGTATACTAGCAAAGACACTGCTAACCTAGCTGAACAAAACTTTTATAATTATTACAATAATAATGCTAGCACATACCAGCCAAAACAACCAGAGCCACCATTCATCATGGAAAGCTATGATCCTTCTGTTCCTGTCATAGACTATAGTACTCTCGTCCTTCAACAAGAACCTCTGTTTTCTATTAATCAGCAAAAAGATCTTTGCTATTATCCAAACGATTACACAAATCACTCCTCGTACAACAAATCATTCAATACTTCACAATTGATACCTAAATTAGAAATCCACAATAATAACGGGATCGCTCCGCCAGCCTACGATGATATCATAAATCAGACTGGATTTGCAGATGATTATTTGAATAGTAAACACCGCCATTTGAACCAACATGAAAACAATTTCCTTTATAATCAATGGCCAAAAGAGACCAATCTCTTTAATCAGCAAACTATGTATTATGACAGCCAGTTTTTTTAATTATATGAACCTCCCCCTTTAGAAGAAGAAGAAGAAGAAAATTATTATTTTATGTTAATACTGTATGCATTTTATTTTATTTTTAATATTTAGAGCCAACTACGTAGATTTGTATATGAACCTTTTTTTTTTTTTTTTAATAAATATGTATCTTTTATCAATTCGTCACACATGTATAGAGAACCTTATCGTATATTAACATGTGTATCTAGATACAGTGCAGAACACCAAATCTAGTTGTTTGCTTTACGTCATAAGCGTGTTCTCTTTTACTGCCATTTTGGAATGCATTTCTTCTGAACAATATGTAAAGGAGACATGATGTGCAGTAAGTCATCAAGGCAACGTATTTTTCTTTTTTAAAAAAAATTATTTTATTTTATTTTTTATGTTTGATCCAAAAACACATATTTTTGTGCTTTTCATAATAATTGCAATGGAGGGAAATCAACAACATTCAAGAAATTTATTTCTTGGAAGCCTTGGCAGCAGACTTGGTAACCTTACCACCCTTTTCGACCTTTTCAACGGCCTTGATGACACCGACAGCGACGGTTTGACGCATATCACGGACAGCGAAACGACCAAGAGGAGGGTAGTCAGTGTAAGCTTCAACACACATGGGCTTGGAAGGAATCATCTTGACGATGGCAGAGTCACCAGACTTGATGAACTTGGGAGCATCTTCCATCTTTCCGTAACAAATCAGTTAAAAAGGTTCAAAAAATAATTATATATATATACATACCTTCTTACCGGAACGACGATCAATCTTTTCGATCAATTCAGCGAACTTACAGGCAATGTGGGCGGTGTGACAATCGAGAACGGGAGCGTAACCAGCACCAATTTGACCAGGGTGGTTCAAGATGATAACTTGAGCAGTGAAAGAACCGGCTTCCTTGGCGGGGTCGTTCTTGGAGTCAGAGCAGACGTTACCACGACGGATATCCTTGACGGAAACGTTCTTGACGTTGAAACCGACGTTGTCACCGGGAAGACCTTCAGTGAGGGTTTCGTGGTGCATTTCGACGGACTTAACTTCAGTGGTGACAGCAGCAGGAGCGAAAGTGACAACCATACCAGCCTTGATAACACCAGTTTCAACACGACCAACGGGCACAGTACCGATACCACCGATCTTGTAGACATCTTGGAGGGGAAGACGAAGAGGCTTGTCAGAAGGACGAACAGGGGGTTCGATGGCATCAATGGCTTCAAGAAGGGTCTTACCAGTCTTGGCACCAGCCTTGGTTTCCTTGTTCCATCCCTTGAACCAGGGCATGTTGGTAGATTCATCCAACATGTTATCGCCGTGCCAGCCAGAGATGGGGACGAAGGGAACAGCCTTGGGGTTGAAACCGATCTTCTTGATGAAAGAGGAGACTTCCTTGACGATTTCGTTGTAACGGGCTTCGGACCACTTGGTGGTATCCATCTTGTTGATAGCAACGATCAATTGACGGACACCCAAGGTGAAGGCAAGAAGAGCGTGTTCACGGGTTTGACCATCCTTGGAGATACCAGCTTCGAATTCACCAGTACCACCAGCAATGATAAGAATAGCACAATCGGCTTGAGAGGTACCAGTAATCATGTTCTTGATGAAATCACGGTGACCGGGAGCATCAATAACGGTAACGTGGTACTTGGGAGTTTCGAACTTCCAGAGAGCAATATCGATGGTGATACCTCTTTCACGTTCGGCCTTGAGCTTATCAAGAACCCAAGCGTACTTGAAGGAACCCTTACCGAGTTCAGCGGCTTCCTTTTCGAACTTTTCAATGGTACGCTTATCAATACCACCACACTTGTAAATCAAGTGACCAGTAGTAGTGGATTTACCCTAAAATTCACGTTAGGATACTTGAAAGGTTGTATGAAATCAGCTACTTACGGAATCGACGTGACCAATGACGACGACGTTAACGTGAGTCTTTTCCTTACCCATTGCGACTAAAGAAGGAAGTAAGTAAATGCTTTGGATGGATGGATGAATGCAAATAATACCTTCTTAAAATTGGATGTGATAAAAGGGAAAGATTTCTTTAGCACTAGCTGAAAAATGTATTTATACCAGCCAACTTTTTTTTTCTCGTTTCTCCGAATGAACTAATTTTTGAACCAATTGAATTAAGAAGCACTGTGACTCTCAAAACTATATATATATATGCAAACAAGTGCTTTATTTTTAATCAATATTGTCTAAACAGGCTTTCCTCTACTACCTCTTGACGAGAATCCACCACCTCGACTACCATTAGGTTTGGAAAATCCTCTGCCTCGGAAAGATCCTCTGTTTCCACCACCAAAATGACTTCCACGGCCTGTCTTTTGAAATGTACTACCATTGCGCCCTGAGAAAGCATGATTGCTTTTCTTTGACGACACATAATCAACGATGGCAACTTTTGTTAATTCTCCAGGCCATCCGGGCCATCCGCCTGGTGTATTGGGATTTCTCATATTAGGTTCAAGTTTAATTCTTCCTTCTTTGATAGCTTTTTCAAAATCACGGCATTTTTTACTCTTTCTCTTTTTGACAGATTTTTTCTTTTCGGCTGCTTCTTTTTCGGCTTGTTCTTTGATAGATGGAATGTGAATAACACGGCGAGGAAATTTAGCGGTAGGATACGGAATGGTTGATTGTTCCATAATAGTTGTGTAATCAATTGCAACTTCTTTGACACGAGCCAAGAACTCTGGTTCTGTTTCATCAAATTCGTATTCTTGTTTTTCAGCTATTGCTTTTGATAAACTATCTGTATCATCTTTTACATCTGCAATAGTCACTTTGGCAACGGGTTGACTGGCGAAAAGACGAAAGGCAAATTCTTCTTCTTGTTCCTGTTGTGCATTATCGTCTTGATCCATGTCGTCTTTTTTACAATGATTAAAACATAACTTTTGATTGTATCAATACCTTGCTCTTCTTCGCTTTGTCCACCCAATAAATTTCTCATAAGTGCGTCCATTCTTTCTGCTTCTTCCTTTACTTCTTCTTCTTCTTCTTTGACACTTTCCTGTTCATAAATATCATTTCTTGAACTGACTTGTGTACCAGGACTGACGACTGTAGTCACTTTCTTAGATCTAAGGCCGGGCAAAGTCAATATTGTAAAGTTTGGAGAACGTATTAGTTGAATCGACTTACACTCTCTGTAAATCCATTTTATAAAGAGAAAAGAGTTTTTTTTTTCTTTTTCTTGTGACCGTTCCAGATTTATCTTTGACAGGCTCAAAAAAAAAAAGGAGAATGTCTTACTACATATATTTCAAAATTATTATGTCTATTAACATCCTTCTTTTAGCCTCTGGCTTCACTTTCTCTTGTTTTATGATATACAGCTGAAACACACTTGCTATACAATTATAGAAATTATTTCTTTTTTATTTTGTTAAAGCAAATTCATCTGTTATATTTCTGAAAATTAGATCACCATCAGAGGCAAAGAGTCCCACAATTATTAAATGAACGAAGTACTTGACGCTCAATTTTTCCTGTTGGGTTTCTAGGTATATTTTCAACAATATATAGGCCACCGCGAAGCTGCATTTCGTCAGGTAGTTTTGCTTCAATTAAACCAAGAAGCTCGTTTTTAATCTGTGCATGATCTGTAAGGTTTGTGAATTTAACAAATGCTGTAGGAAGCCAAACACCAAGGCTTTTTGAATATATGCCAACTGCAGCACAATCATCTACTAAAGGATGGGATGCCTAGTGTCAAAGCTAGGTTAGTTTTCTCTTCATGTAGGAGCTGCATGATACAAACCAAAACACTCTCAATGCTTAGAGGATCAATCTAAACAATCAAGTTAAAAGTTGTCTAAAAAAAACATGAATCTTACATGAAAGTGCTTGAATTTGATTATATCATTAGCACGCTCAACAAATATAGCACTTCCGTGTTCAGTCATTTTAAACAGGTCACCCGTACGGAAGTAGCCTTCTTCATCAAAAGCTTCAGCAGTCTTCTGGGATAGTTATAATAACCCTATATAGCAAAAATTCAAATGGTCAGATGAAGTCATATGATCTTATCCTACCAAAGTTACTGAGGGCCCTTTGATATATAATTCACCAACAGTGTTGTATCCAACTTCTACAGTGTATGCGTCAGTAACTTTGTATATTCGCCAGCATAACAAACCATTTCCATCATTATCGATTAACTTGCATTTGTATCCTGCAGTAAGAGGTCCGACCTCGCCTATTTAGAAGAAATTAGACAATCACGAATGAGCATTGATAACCTGCCTGCTAATGACGTTTCAAAATTGGGTTCAAAAGGACCAATGACTTCTGTCATTCCATAAGTATTCACAACTGGTACTTTGAAGCGTTTATAGAATTGCAGGCATGTTGATTTATCTGTAGCTGCTCCACCTACTGCAACAAATTCAAGTGAAGACAGGTCATATTTAGTGGCATTAGTCTCCCTTAACATCAACATAATGTTTCGAGTAACCGTACAAAGGACCTTGATCTTGTATTGCTGAACAGCAAGAAATACTTTTGGAACAGTATGATTTTTGAGTAGATAAGTAGTAAATCCACGAAAAGGATAACCTGAAAAGGTAATAAAAAGGGTACTCACATAATGAAAATCACTGATACTCAAAACATGAGATGATGCAAGCAACACATTGTCGTCCCTCGCAAGCATAATGGAGCATAGATTTTTCTGACTAAACAAGTTAAGACAAGTACGCAATGCTACATTCTTTTGAACTTACGTGATGGTTACCGCTTTTCTTTTCCCTCCTGTAGTGCCTGATGTGAAGCAAAGGTAATAAGGCATTGTTGCAAGCTCTTCTGAAGTATATTCGATGGGCACAGCAAGTTCATCATGCGACAAGAACGTATCGTCAAACGAACAAGCACCTTTGATTGTTTCTGCGCCAAATACAAAGACGTTGCATTCAGAAAGACCAATCATCTTGGCTGCTTCTAGTGCATTATTGATTGTCTCAATGCAGGCGATTAGAATCTTGGGTCTTATGATTCTCAGACAATCAGCTGCCTGATCAGGGCTTGTATAGCTAGGAATAACACCAGAGGTACCCCCTATTATTGTGCATAAGTTCTTTGTTCAATTCATCATCTTATTATATCAATTTACCAACGATAGGAGGACCATGAATAGCAGCTGCATAAGTCATCTATACTTGTACTTAATGAACGCTTTTTTTTTTCTTTAGCAGATTTACCTCATTTGTAGCATAAAAAGCAACAACATCGCCTTTCTTAAAGTCAGGAAAGACAAGCTTGATACCAGCAGCAAACTTTAGTATAATTTCAATTACTTTTCTGTAAGTGAACACTTCCAAATGATTTTCAGCATTAATATAACAAGGTCGATTAAGATCAATACGTTCATTTTTGGCAAACACGAAATCATAAAAAGAAATATCAGGGCATTGGATAGAAGCCTTTTTTGATTCAAAAATCATTTTTTTTTAGTGCAAATAAGCGAAAGAAAACAAAACAACAAAACAAAACAAAAAAAAAAGTTAAATGTGTGATTGATAATAAAGGATTTTATATGCATTCATGTTTTTCGCTATACAATCTGTGTAGCAAACAATATGCTTAGTGACCTTACATATTGAGGGTATAAGTATGCAAATAGAGGATGCAAACAAAAAAAAACAAAAAAAAAACAAAAAAAGAACAACTGATACAAAAAGAAGAATATTTTAATCCTCTTGAATTGCCGATAGAAACAACAGCATTAAAGTGAAGGTCAAGACTTTAGCTCTATATGCGATCGTGCTTCACAGCAGCATAACCAGTGGAAAATTTGTTTATAATCCCACATAAAATTGTGATTGTGGATTTACCTTTTGTATTGCTGCTGTCTATTCTTTCCTTTTTTTTCGTTTTCTTTTCTTGTTGTACTTGGCACCGCCATTCAACAGCATATTTACCATTATTTTGAGGGCCCTTTGTTTTCCTTGATAGAAACTAAACCGATACTTAGCAGTACGAAACTCATAAAAAGCAAATAGCTTATCCATATATGAAAGCATGTGATCTGCAAATCGTGAAAAAGAAACGTTTCTTGCAGTTTTTGCGGTGGTACTTGCCGCCTTCTTCTCTCGTCGTAACCTCTTTGTGTACACTGTAGACCCTGTTAAATGATAGTATTACTTTGTAGTTCAGTACTTTATTTCATGTTGGTTTAGATCTAAACCTACAGCAGTATAGACACTTTTCTACTGGGACCTAGAAAACTCAGTCTTTATAATTGGGCAACTTCTTCTATTGAAAAATTTTCAATACCCAAATCATGGTTTCTTATTAATATACGACCTTCGTTTTCGCCAAACGCCCTTCTGCAAAACATTATTACCTGCTTGTTGTGAGCGAAGTGTAATATAATAACTTGTAAATATTTGAGCACAGAATACTATATCTCTCACATCTCTGCTAGCAGCAATGATTTTGGACTTTAGCTGGATTGTTACACATTTATTCAGGGGAAGCTTTCTGGTAAATGCTTGATATCCTTAGTCAAGGTTTTTGAAATACTTCACGTTTACTAAGGATATGATGCTCGTAGTTGGATAATCTTGCTGATTTATATCCGCTTTTATGACACTTCTCACACGTATCCACATTGGCAGTTGCATTAGTTGTTCTTCTTCTTTTTGTAGCCTTTTTATCTCTTTTAACACAGTAGCTTTGTTTCCTTTTTACCTGAAGTTCCAACTTTATAGTTAAAGAATATTAGCCAAGCAAGGCTTGAAAAAATATGCAATATGATAACGTACCATCATTAGCATTAGCTTCCTCGTGAAGTTTGTCCTCAAAATAGGCTTTAGAAAAAAAAACGACTAGTTTCATAGCAGTTTCTACAAACATGAGTAGATGCAGAATCTTCGATTTATTTAGAAAACGCATTAGCACAACTTATCATAGTGCCCTTTGATTGCGTCACCAGGAAATATATGTTTACCTTCGTATGATGCTCTTTTTTCTTTGACAGAACGAATTTTGTTCAATAAAAGGGGAAAGATTTAAGATTAATTGTTTTTTGTTATTAAAAAAACCATTAATACGAAATGTAAAGCAAATACGTAACTTGTTCTACCTCTGGTGTTTGCCTTCTTTGAGTCATTCTCTTGAACATCAATAACATGTAAGAGTTCTTCAACACTTTTTGTTGATAGACAAAGCTGCTTTCAATCAACATCATTCCTTGCCTTTATGTTTGAGGTATTTCTGACTCTGATTCCTTAATCACTTGATACTATGTATTTATCTATTAACTACTCAACACATGGAAGTGCTCTGTTTTAGAATGATATGTATTATGCTCAATAAAGCTTATTTAAACCACTACTAATAGCTTATTATATAGTGTTTCATCTACAGCATAGTAAAGAATATAACTCAAGCAGGACTTAAAAGTATTCCAACTATTAAACTTCAGGCTGACAACTAAGATTCCTTTCTTCTGATCCAGTGTAACATGGAGTCTATTATGACCTGTCAGAATTACAGATCTTGCTGTATACACAGCATTATTCATCTCTTCTTACACTAGTTATGTCCTAAAAGACCAAGTATTAATGCCATGTATAAATATATCTTTCAATCACAGTTTTATCCGCAGCTTCGATGGATGTCTTCTATCTTAGTTTAAACATGTTAAAGATCAGACCATCACATAATCACAAATTGACATTTGCATCAACACCAATGGTAGACGAGGTCTGTGCCCTGATCATGTACCCAGTTCTTGTGTACCTTAATCCATTCAACCGATTAGCTAGTGTATACACCCTCAGTTCCAAATCAAGGATAATCAATTATCATACAAACAGTATAAATACAATACAAAATATAGCCTTTAATAAAGCAGGACTGTTGTGAGATGAAGAGAGAATAGATATTAAATAAGAAAAAAGGTAAGAACACAGAGAAAGTCCGTTAGAGCTTGTATAGGCTTTTTATTTCTCAAAGAAATGTTATCTTTCAATTGCTGTAAAATGTCGAGGTATTTATACTTTTTCTTGGTCAAAATATTGTTTTGGGGTTAGTTTCTTGACTACGGATTGATTTGTTAGATCAGGAGCAATTAAGAGAAATGCCTCTAGAGGAAGTTGTCAGCTCAGCCAATAGTGCATGATCTGACCTGAACTTGAATAAACTATTACATATCTGTCAAATGCCAATACCAATGTATTTGTCAGCTCTAACTGTCACTTTATGAGGGCCATTAATAATAACAGAGTCATTAGGTTCATAATCTCTGACTATGAAGACGATGTGGTACTTCTAGTAGAATGAGTGAATGTCAGTTGTTGTGAACATATAGAATCTATATGCATATGATGATCTGACATTAAATAAGTCTTCATTTACATACTAAAATACATCATAACCAATTTACACCAGAAATAGACATAAAAGAACCTCTTGTACTGAATAAGACAATGTATCTTTTAATAGATCAAGACTTATAACCGAAATCTATAATTTACATTATTTAATTAATTTAAAGTAGTCTATGATAATAGAGACTCGGTCACTTGCATGAACTCTACTACTACTTACTCCGACATCTCTTCATGTATAAATACCTAGAGAATGAAGAGCTAGAAAACAAATTATATCTATATATTTTTTTTGGATAATAAACCTGTGATGTTTTGATAATAGAGTTATATAATAAGATGATATAGAGACAAAGGTAGATACTTTGAGACTGTTCTATACAATTTTATTGTTGTTCTTTTTTACTATAAATTATTCTAGCATATTTATACATGAAGAGATGTCGGAGTAAGTAGTCGTAGAGTTCATGCAAATGACTGAGTCTCTATTATCATAGACTACTTTAAATTAATTAAATAATGTAAATTATAGATTTCGGTTATAAGTCTTGATCTATTAAAAGATACATTGTCTTATTCAGTACAAGAGGTTCTTTTATGTCTATTTCTGGTGTAAATTGGTTATGATGTATTTTAGTATGTAAATGAAGACTTATTTAATGTCAGATCATCACAAAACCTATACAAGTTCTAATCGACTTCTTTGTTTTTATCTTCTCTCTTACATCACAACAACTATAAATCCATTGCAATTGCCATAGATGTGATCTGGTCTTTTGCCATGATCATCATTTATTGATCTATGCATATGAATTTATATATGTTCACAATACTATTTATTATATTTTGTATTGAAAGTGCTCAGAACACCACATTTCTATTCTACACGACTTATAGTGCTCATCGTTCATGCTTTAGAGGACTTATCCAAGGATAAAAATCATGCGATTTTTTTTAGACAGGTATGAAAGCGATATCTGTATTACTGTGAAATTTATTGAACAGCGTTGGAAATATATATTATGTAATTAAATTTGTATATTTGATTGGCGCTAAGGCCTCTATTCTGTTATTATATTTACACTATATAGTATTTTTTGGTTAAAATTTTCGTACAGAGGGATTAGCTCAGCGGTAGTAGCGAAAGATTGCAAATCTTTAGGTCCCGTGTTCGAATCACGGATTCCTCTTCCTTTTTTATCATTTCTCATTATTGCGGTGAGTGCAGCTCATGGACTCTGTTATGTCTTCTTATTGCAAGAAGTTCATGCTTTTTTGCGCTAGATTATTTGTATTTGATACAGCTGTGAGCCAAAAAATCTCTTAAACTAATAAAACTGAATTTATTGAGACCTCCAGTCTTTTGAAAATATGCACATAAGTCTTGAACCCTTATACAAACAAACGAATTTTCCGACTTCTCAATTGTTGAGAATGCGACCCTGAGTCGACCGAAGATCATAAAGAGTCTATTTCACTCTAGTAGCTGTAATCAAGAGACAAATTTGGAGAAATATTACTCAACATCATCAAAATACTTTTTGTCTTTTTCACAGGGCATGAATTTTTTTTATTAACACCCTCTTTCTTCATCAAAGTAATTGGAATAACCTTGTTAAACATAATCAATTCGTTTTGAACCAGACAAATGTTTTTTCTTTTAGAGGCTTAAGCTTGCAATACCCACCTAACATCATTAGTTGGCTCATGTTATTTAGATACCAAATCAATCACATCAAGCTCTGATAATACAAAACTACAAGAAGTGCTATCAGTAAAATATTAACTGGTTTTCTTGATCTCAATATAAAAAGGTTATTCTCTTCGAAACATGCATTCGAGAAAGGAGAACTATACTGTAGTTTGTTCAGAGAGACTCATCAAAGAGTTATTGTTCTTACTCTTAGAGACTATACAGATCTCTTGTCTTCTTCGGGTCAATTCAGACAATCTTTTAACTGAAATAAAAATGAAGAAGTAATCAGCCTTAAAAGTTTTGAATTAGTCGATACTTGCGAGGTGTTTGATCCAGGAAGCTCTCAATGTTCCCCATACTCTTTTTCTTCTTTTAGACATCTTGAGGAACACATGACTTGCGGCTTTGAGATCTTCAGAAGTTAATACATTAGCGTTTCAACAGCGATTGTAATCGAAGCGATCCGGCTTGATAACCCTCATCCTCGGGTATAGCTCAAATGAGCCGTATTAGACAAAGGCATTGTATTGAATCAATGCTTTGTCTCATCCCAGAGATAATTTGAATCGCATTCCATCATGCATATAAAAGTGTCAAATATAGGCTAGTTTTTTACTGTTTAGCATCATACATATCTAGAAAGATATCGATTTCTATCGTTTACTTAGCAAGGACAAAGTAGGTAGTATATCCGAGATTAACATGATAGGAAGAGTTACTTTATTGAAGTGGAAGAACTTTATCATTCCTTATGCAGCAGGATACGCTAGTCTCTTTTTACCTGATTCAGTTACAATCAACTCAACTTTGTTTGATCTGTACATTAAAGTAAGATTTACGTCATACTGGAAGTAACGGTACGAAGGATAATACAGCCAAGCTTGTAGTAAGAATCTATAGTGTCTGCTTTCGATAGTATAAATGTATTTTATATATTTCTAGTATTATTTTGTACATTGAAACAAGCTGAGGCTATTTAGAGAGACATGTAGCAAATGTCTCCTAATGTGATTAGTTTAAAATATTTAGCTAACTAAACAAGAAGAGGCGCTTTTCTAGCGCATCAAGGTCAAAGCTTACTATGAATAACCTTATTATCTATCTTAGCGCTATCATTAAAAAAGCATTCTAAACAGTTATGATAAAGTTTGTATTGATCATGGCATCATTTCACTAAAAAAAAAAGCTTAACAGTGAGGCACTCTTTTTTCTCTCCAATTATCCATTTTTCAGTATGATTTTCTGTATTTCTGCAGTTCAGCCTGTCTTGTAATTCATTCGGGAAAATTGAAACTACGCGATTACAAAAAAAATTTAATTGCTTTTCCTTTTTGTTAAACACATAAACAAGTATGGGAAAATCAAAGAGAACGATGAATCCAGCGGACGCCTTGCGTAAAGTATTACAAAAAAAAAACAATTTCGAGAAACACTATAGACTAACTTAAGTATAGGTAAAAAACAACGCAAGCGCGAACTACAAAAAGTAAGATATCTAAAATAGAGCGTTTCTTAAACCTTGCACAATAGAACAAAGAAGATCGTAAACGTGTTCGAGAGTCAGCACTTGCAAAGAAAGATATTGGCAAAGTTCGACAGGATATTGCAAGACTTGAGCATTTAGGTAAGTTAAATAAAGATATGCTTGAGAAGCACGCGTCTTTAATACATATATATATCTGTAGTTAGATTAGGTCAATTGGATAAAGCTGGTCAAGCACGTCTAGAAGGCTTAAGAGCAGAAGCTACCAAGATCGAAAAAGTCAAAAAGGTATGTAGATTTATGCAGATACAGGAATGTGTAACTCACAATCCATTATCTAGGCTACCGAATTGACAGGGTAAATAAAACATTGCAATATGTATACGTATGTATATAACTCACAGTTGATAGTGCTCAAGCAGCTTATGCTGCTCGTATACAAGAGCATGATAAAAAGCATGAAAATGATGTTAGGAGGCTAGTTTATGATCCAAAACGTGGTGCTTTTGTTCCTGCAAAGAAAAAAGAGTCAAAAAAGATAACAACAGGAGATGATGAAGAGGATGAAGATTCATCAAGTGATAGCTCAGAATCAGATTCAGATGATAGTGATTCTAGTATGGAAGACAGTGATGAAGAAGACGACAACGAAGAAGAAGAGGAAGAAGAAGATGTCCCAATGCCCAAAGAACAGCATAAAGTATTAACAGAATCAGACGATGAATATGAAATCCCACTTCCTCCAGGTCCACCACCTCAAAGGCCCTTTGATAATCAATTAGCACCTTTACAAAATAGATTGCCAGCTCCACCCCCACCCCCACCAGGCCCACCACCATTTCGAGGACCTTATCCAGTACATCAAGGACAGAATAGAATGCAGCCACCACCACCACCTCCCATTCCTCATGGGTTTGTTCGTCCTCCTGTCTATAACAGTCGAATGCAACCGCCTCCACCACCTCCACCCACGATAACATGTAGGTTTACACATATTTATTTAATCATGACGATTCATATTATTTATAGACCAAAGGCCACCACCATCACCTGCAGCATTCTCAGCACCTGTACACTATGAAGCCAAACCTAAAGCAGTTGAAGTGGCACCTACTATCTCTGCCGAACCTCAATTACGTGACCTTCAAAAAGAATTACTTGGATTTGTTCCTGCTGCTATTCGACGCAAACAAGCCAAGAAACTACCGAAAGAATAAAATTCGAATTTGTTTGTTATACAAAAAAAAAAAAAAAAAAGAAAACTCGTCATTTTACTCTTACAAAAAAAAAGATAAAAGTGGAAATTTTCTGACGGTGGGCCGTTTTTTTTCCTTGTGCAAGGATACACACATGAATTTGAACAAAAAAAAAAAAAGGTTTCAGTGTAATGAGTTACAGCCAATGTTATTTATGATTTTTTTAAGAGGGATCATCATCGATTGCAAGTATTACAAAAGAACAGGTGAGAAAAAGAAAATATCTTTATTTGCAATATAACTTTTTTGGATAATAATGATACATGGTAATTGGGTATTTTTTGATGTTGTTATTTTAACCAAGAACAGCTTTAGGCGTTGTGGGTGATGAGCGAGTAGGATAATAGGTAGAATGGAAAAGATTAGAAGAGGAAGGTCGATAATACCTTTGAATCATCTCATTCAATGCACTAAAGTCGCTATTGTCTTTAGTGTCTGAGAAATAAGAATGGTTGGACCATAAAGGGTTTGTGTCAACGGGGGTAGTAGGTGAAAGAGGTGGTGATAGGGGCTTTTCACAATGATTATTCGTGAGTGATAAAGGTTCCATTTTCTTGACTAGTAAATCGTCTTCTTCGTGTTGAATATCGTCAAACGTGTTTTGTTCATCGTCTGAATCCGAGGAAGATCCAAATTCATCTTGTAATTCCGTATCTGAAACAATATCAATTCTGTAATTCTTACAGTTGTTATTATCCCAAAACTCGCGGTCGTTGACAGTGTATTTGACAGCTAAATAGAGCGTCTTATGGGCAGGATGATGTAATTCAATTTGGAACTGGAAGCGGTCCCATGTACCAGTTGATGTTTGATAAAGACCTTCGGTTGTCTTGACAGTCTTCCAATCATCCAGTGTATAATGTATCACGACATGCTTCTGGAAGGCCAAATTAGCTACTTGGACATGGCCTAGCAGGTTGATACCTTGTTGGTGTTGTTTGAGTTCAATATCTTGCATTTGAACAAAGCCATTATTCAATTGTTCTGGCCAATTAGGACGGGAAAGATGAAACATGGGTTGTCTATTAAGAGGAGGATCTGAGCGACAAGCCTTTGGCATTTGCGATTTCAAGAACAAGCGAACATTTTCTAGTGAATCATTATCACAAAAGCGCACGGATTTTTTTTGTTTAACTTTTTCTGTAAATACAGGTGATGTAGAGCGAATAAGTGGTGGGCGTCTAATTAGATTTACTCTTTTATGTTGAAAGCTTGAATGGTTCATGTTTGGAGATAGAGAATTGGAATAAGAAGAGAAAAATAAAAAAATAAAAAAGAAACAAAATTCGCTTCTTTTATAGAAGCATAAATTAAGCCCAAAAAAGTAGTACGCCGTTTTACTAAAGATAAAAAATGTCAATAAAGAGATGGGAAGTTTTTTTTTTTTTTTTTTTTCACAATAAACAATGAAGCTTTAAACTTAATTTAGGCGGGATCAAATCGGTAGTTCTTAAACCGGGTCTACAAAGAATATCACACACACGATTCGTATTATTTTCTCATAGACAAGAATAATATATAGTTTTTATTTTATACGTCACAAGAACAAGTTGTTTTCTCCAAGAATAAAAAGCCCTTTTTGGCATGCATACAAGTAAGCTTACTGGCTATTCTCACGTGGTCAACTTGTTCAAAGAAGAATAGAAAACTCGTACTCTCCTGATTTTTTTCTCTCTCTCTTTTTATGTATATCCACATAAAAGACGTCATGAACCTGTTCTTGTTCGGTAAAAAGAAAAAAGAAAAAAAAAAAGAGCGATAAGATGTTGTTAAAGCAAACCAGTAAAAACTAAAATGAATGCGTATGTATACATGTATTATAAAAAAAAAGGAGAAGGCAATGGTATAGATTTTAATGTTGTTGTCATTATGTCAAACTAGTTGATTGTTTATTATATCTTCTACGCTTTCTCATGACAGTAGGGGTTGGTAAAATAGATGGGTCTATCTTGGTAAGTAAAGAATAATAATGGTTTTTCTTACCTTCTTCATGATGATACATGTTTGTCGTACGTCTTTTTCTTTTTGTGACAACAACAGGTATAGGATCATCTTCAATCATTTCGCCCTCCACTAAAAGTACATGATCAGTTCCCTTATGATTTACATCGTCTAATATTTGGGGTAATAATCGTCGTCTTGCATTGATAAACCAATTACTGATTTGGTTCAATGTCAATCCAGTTTTGTCTTTTAAACCAATTTTTTCGGCTTCTGTTGGGTATGGATTACGACAGTGCTCAACCAACCATTGTTTCAAAACGGCTGTCACTGTCTTGGGTAAATTGCCTCTTCTTTTACGAATCATATTGGTGTTATTAAGCGCAGAGGAAGAAGAAGGGAGAGGCGATTTGATGGGATGATCTTCACTTTCACAACAACAACTGCTATCACTGCTACTACTACTGCTACTACTGCTTGTCAAATGAAAGTCTTCTTCTTCAGAAATAGCATCATCGTCATCATCGTCAGAGAACAAGTTTGATTTATTGTTGGGTCTTCTAGTCTTTTTTGGTTTTTTTGACAATTTAGGACTTTGTGTTGGTTTTGGTGATAATTCTTGTCTTGTACTTTGAATGATATCATACCAAGCCTTTCCATTTGATTTGAGCATCATGCCTACAGTCTGTTTCTTTTGTTGAATCAATGGGATATAGTACGGGTCACCATAAGGAATATGAATACGATGAGTTACACCCGATGGGTCTGTACTGTAAGAATGATCATGAAATAAAATGACAGGCTTAAATATACGATGTTGCTAATAAGTTTTGTTTAGTCATAGAAAAAAAAGTAAAGGCTTACAGTCATCTTGTTATATTTTGAAGGGTTCTATAATGACAACTTTACAAAAAAGAAGAAAAAAAAAGAGAAGAAAGAGTAAGAAATTAAGAAGGTGGCTCTTTTTATTACTTTTTTTTTTGGGTATATATAATGAATTAAAAGAAAAAAAATCAGTAAGAAAAGGGGTTATGCATGATAAATAAAAAGATGTAACAATTTGTTTATATATATTTATTTGTTTATGATTGTTATCATCACCAAGAAAGAAGCATAAAAGAGAGAAAAATAAAAAGTGACAGCAATGGGCATTTACTAACTTGACAGGTTACTCTTTCTTTCTTTTTTGTCTCCTCATAATATACTTGTTCGGTATGCAACATTGATAGCATCATTTAAAGCTCAACTTGTAAAGGAGCATATAAAAAGGAGAAAAAATAAAAAAAAAAAAAAGAAGAAAGAAGAGTGAAAAAGAGTTTATTGTTTCATCTGCACCAATATTTTGTCTAAAATGCACGGCACATACATCTGTTATAGAATAATAATAACTTCTTACTGTTTCGTATCATAAAACGCTTGTTGAGAGGAACTGTCAATCTACTTTTAGGATTGAAATTTGACCAATTTAAGCAAAATGAATTCTTAAAAATGTTATATATTTATGTAAATAAATATGACCTATCCACGTGTAAATCATTCTCCATTATCCGCTCTATCTTGGGCAAACCAAATGACTACAATAAGAGTGTAAGTGATATATGCCTAGTGTTTTGCAAGTGATTTATCAGGTAAATAAGTATTAAAAAAGAAGAAAGAAATACATGTTGATTGTCATTATTATTATTATTATTATTATTATTATTATTGTTGTTGTTGTTGTTGTTGTTGTTGTTGTTGTTGTTGTATGTTTCATTCTCAAGTATGGATCCCTTTTAAATACGCCTTAAGGTCTTCTCCCTATCATTTTATACCGAAATTTGCTGTCAATAATACGCCTCGTTCTGCTCTTGTGACAAGTGTATGAATTTAATTTTGATGCATACCAAATTCTATCTGGACTCAGGGGCTGACGAATTTGACAGCGGAAACATCAAATACTCCTGGGAAAGGGTAGTCAAAATCGATTCGATACACACTGTAATTAGACTCATCCGGTTATCGTATATCTAGCCAACGTATCGCTCCTTGTAATGGAAAATGTATCAAAGTGACTGATGTTTGTATAGAAACAGGGGAATGTTTCTTGGAAGAATACACCTGTAGGTGCTGACATTCTGTCTCTTGCATATAGGTGATGTTGGTATTTGACAGATGGGCAGCCAATATTGTAACAAAGAAGAAGTCCGTTTACACCTCTGTAGGTTGTCTTTCCTTTTTCTGGTGATCATTGGCCTGGGATATTGAAGTTTGCCGAAACAATATGCATATGTTTGAGATACATTGTTTTCATTCGTAACAGACAATAATATATTTGGCATGAATACCTTATTTCTAGATATCTCCAAAGATAATGAATCGCTTCTAGCTCAGCCAAACATTTTCATATGTTGTCGTACTGTGATATAGGTAAAGAGATTAGGCTAATCTATACTATAAAAAAATGAGTCGTTTCTTTTTTGTCATTACTTTCTGTCACTTTGTTTTGTTAAATTCAAGTAAAAGTGTCTATTCCATTCAAATCATTGCTAAGAGTACCATTGGTTATGAGAGGCTTCTTCAAACATGTTTCAGGCTTGATTTGCTTGTTTGAGTCTCAAGCTCAATTGATTTCATTTTCTTGTACACTGACTCGAAATAAAAATTAGCTCAGTATTTTTTGTCATTCGATCTCAGCAACAAAGGTATCGTAACCTAAGAGTCCTTTAATATACTTAAGTGCGCTCAGTTCCTTGTAGATGATTTGTTGAGATATTTACTTCAAAATAATATAGTTTAATACTTGGCGGCACCGCCTTTGGCATTAATCACAGCTTGGTATTGGTTGGTCATATTGTATAGTAGTATGGATGCAATTGAGAAGATCATTCAACTATCTCCTCGTATCCGTTTAAGTATTTTACATATACTGATTCATATCTATTACTAATTCATCTCCCTTCTATTCTCTGCTCTTTCTTATAATCTAATTTATGTATCTTATGTTCTGCTTGATTCCTAGATTTTTTTTCAATAAAGTGTAATAGAGTATGGACTAAAACACTCTGCGATGAATAAATACATATCTTTGATGTGAACATATTCTAATTGACCAATACATGAAAACCAAAAAAAAAACAAGGTTGAAAAGATCATTGCCCTTATTTTCTATTGGAAAGCACTATTGAACCAACATAGTTCTGAGGGCCAATTATAGTTTATTCCAAAGCTACTTTTGCTTCATTTTATGGTCAATTTGTTGCAAAAAGGCAAGGAAAAACGACTACGACTCACACTTAACATTGTTGTAAAAAAGTAGCTGCATAATTTTAATATCAGGCACCAAAACTCACTCAACAGTGGTCACTCAGTTACGTCACTCTAGACAAAAAACCTTGGTGCGCCACCTTGGTGCGCGGAACTTTAGTCTTTTTTTTTTTGAGTGTTTCTTATATATACATATACAAGAATGGGTAAAAAAAGAAAGTCAAAGCCTATGAGGCCTTGGTGTTGGTACTGCGAAAAAGACTTTGAGGATGATAAAGTACTAGTAACACATCAAAGAGTAAGTATTAGAGATATTTTGGCTCGTTTTAACAGTAGTTTTAGGCCAAGCACTTCAAATGTGAAGAATGCAACAAGAAACTAAGTAAGTTGTACATATTCTTTCATCTTACTTGAAACTCATCTGTTTTATTATAGCTACTGCTGGTGGTATGGTAGTTCATGCTCAACAAGTACACAAGATTACTATTTTCAAGTAATTTTATTCAATGATACAAAGACGTGTTTTAACATGATGTAGAGTACCCAATGCTTTGCCTGGAAGAGACAAACTCGATATTGAGATTTTTGGTATGGAAGGTATACCTGAAGAAGACATGATTGCACATGAAATGAAAATATCGGGTGCCAATAACAGTAACAAAAAGTCAAAATCAAGTGGATCCGGTCATTACGGTGAATTGACACTTGAACAGATTCAACAACAAATGGCTGCTCATAAAGCAGGTATGCCACCAGGGGCTATTATTGCTGCTCCTCCCACAACAACATTAGCATCGCAACAGCAATACTATGGTAACCCTACTTTCAATCCTTATTATCAATATTATCCTCCTCCTGCTCCTCCTGCACAGAATGGATATGGTATGCCTCAACCCTATGGTTATCCTACACCAGGGTAAGTGCCTTGTTTTATTATATGAAGCGAACTGACTGATTTGATAGTATGCCAGCTCCTTATGCTGCTGGGCAATGGGGTTATTATCCTGGTATGCCAGCTCCACCACAGGAGTCAGCAGAAAAGCCATCTCCAGAAGTGCCCGTAGTGACTGCACCCACCTCTGCAACAACTGACGTGGTAGCCCCACCTACTCCATCAGAACCACAACCCACTGGAGAGAATGTGACAGCACAAGAACAAGTGGCCAATCATAATCATAATCATGGTAATAGTAATAATGCAGGAGTAGGATTAGGAGGGAAAAAGAAGGCAACCAAGGTTGTGTTGATTTATAATAACAATGACATTTCGCCTGTAAGTTCTCTTAATATATGTGATGCATGTTTATTAACTTTTGGTCTAGGAGGAACAACGTGCTCAGTTAGAGAAGCACAAAATCTTTTCATAAATTAAAATGCCATTTTTTTAAGTCTGGTAAGAAGCTGCAGTTTTTTTATTATTATTTATTTTTTGTTTGTACATGTACTTTAATAAAAAAGAAAAGAAAAAGAGCTGCCTTGTTGTATATTTATATAGATACACACACTCATTGTGTCACCTTTCTTTTTTTCTTTTTACCCCTTTGTTTTTTTTATTTCTCTCTCTCTCTCTCTCTCTCTCTCTCTCTTTTATATATATATTTTTTTGCCTGTATATACCATTTTTATAGAATTTCAATGTCTACTCATATAAATCATGGCCCAACCAGCCCTAATATTGCAGTAGGCCCACATCAGCGCGCTTATTCTGTAATGGCAGTACCAAGTGAACTAGAACAACATCGCTTTAATAAATATCAGCAATCGTTTAATAAGCCTCATGACTTGAGTTGGCATCAAGAAATCTATAAGAAATATGGCTATGAACCCAAACACAAAAATCCATCTTATTTTGGGCCTTATTTGTTATTGCAAACATTAGGTGAAGGTGAATTTGCTAAAGTCAAGGCCGGAGTTCATGTAAAGACAAATCAAGAGGTAAATGCATACATACGACATTACACAAAAACTCATAAATACTAGGTGGCTATCAAATTAATGAGAAAAGACCTTGTTAAACACGCAGCACTAGAGACAAAATTAGAGAGAGAAATCTCTGTTCTTAAAGTAAGTTTTGTTATTGACCACACTACAAAAAAGGGAGTTGAATAACATGATAAATAAATAAATTAATATATGTTAAACTAACTATTTCTTCAAGTCTGTTCGTCATCCTTATATTGTTCAACTCTTTGAAGTCTTGACAATAAAGAATTATATTGGCATTGTATTACAACGTGCAGCAGGTAAAGCCCAAAAAAAAAAAAGAGAAAGTACTGATTAGTTGCCTAGGTGGTGAATTGTTTGATTATATATTAAAACATCATTATTTACAAGAAACGGAAGCAAAGCGATTATTTGCTCAGCTAATCAGCGGTGTTCATTACATGCATCAAAAGCATATTGTTCATAGAGATCTTAAGCTGGTAAAACACGAAACAACACCATAATTCTTTGTTTAACAAACAAATAGGAAAATCTACTTTTGAGTAAAGACCGTAATATTATCATTACTGATTTTGGATTTGCGAATCGTTTTCAAGTTGCTCAAGAAGATTTAATGGTCACTTCATGCGGTTCACCATGCTATGCTGCTCCTGAACTAGTGATCAATGATGATAGCCATTATGTAGGCACAGCAGTCGATATTTGGTCGTGTGGCGTAATTCTGTTTGCCATGCTGTGTGGTTATTTGCCCTTTGATGATGATCCAAATAACCCTCAGGGGGCTAATATCAACGTGTTGTACAAATATATAGTGAGCACTCCACTTGAAATACCGAACACCATGAGTGTGGATGCAACCCACCTGCTTCGTCGGATGCTTGTACCGGATCCTACTAAGAGATGTACAATGGAAGAAATTCGATCGCATCCTTGGTTAAGCGATCACTGGGATTTGCTGAACCAGTCCATTGAAGAGCTTGAGCAACAAATGGATCACCTGACTATTTCGGATCCTCAGCCCGTTGTTGTGGTTGCTCAACATGACCCACCACCACCCACTCTACCACCAAAACCTCCTGTACCTGCACCTACACTTTCTACAATTGAAAAACCAATTGCTATTGTGCCTGTTTGTACTACACCTCAAGAAGATGATGAAATACCTTCTCTTGAAGTAAAGAGTGTCACTTTAGAACAACCACCTGCTACTTCATTCCTTCATGATAAATTCCTGAAGCTTCAACGTCGTGTCTCAACAAACTCTCATTCTTCCTCTTCTTCTTCAACAAAAAGACAGTCTATCTATAACGACAAGATACCCGACCGCTCACAAAGCGTTCAACCTCAAAAAGCACGTCGTGATAGAACTATTAGTGAAAGTTATACTACTTCTATAGATGTCAAGAAATCATCTCATCACCAATCACTGCATATTCTACCCTCTGTTTCAGAGCAATCAACAGTGACCCTCTCAGCTCATAAAAGAACAAAAGGACAAAAGCTCATGGACTGGTTTAAACGTAAACCATCACAAAGTAAAGTACCCCCTTTTTTTTTGAATATTTGTAAACTCATAATCACATCATTTAGGTACCAAATTTCCTCGTTCAAATGCAGCCAATCATACGCATATGCCAGCAATCGAATCATTAGACAGATTTCCATTACCAGAACGACCTATCAGCGCACTGCCTAACCCTATTCGCGCCATGCCAATTGGTAAGCCGTTGGGTTCCTATGCTGCAGATTTCAATGACTCCAAACTCCGATTACACAAAGGTGCTGTAGATCAAGATGCACTCACTTCCAAAGCACCCAACGAAGTATTGCAGACAATCAAGGAGTCTTTGTCCATAATGGGCATAGGCATGAAACGATGCCATGACTTCAAAGTCAAATGTGTACGTCCTGCTCGTCAACATCATGGTCAGTATAGATCAAGAAAAATCAGTGCTGCACCATTCAAATTGTTCTTTCACCCTAATGCTACGCATAGCTCAAATGATAGAAGGACTCAAGCAGCAGGAAATGTCATTTATGGCGAGCAAGGCATTGATTCCGGTGATGAAGTTCAATTTACAGTGGAATTATCCAAGATTGAAAACTTGCCCGGACTGTATGTGGTAGATATCAGAAGAACCCGTGGTAACATTTGGGCCTTTAAGTTCCTGTATCATACATTACTCGATTTATTGAATTTGAGTGGTCAGAGTGGTATGGGGTACATGGCTCATCGACGTGTGTCGGATGCAGAAATAGAGAATCAAGACCAGCAAAAAAACCGTATTAGTTATATGACTACTAGTAGCAGTAGCAGCAGCATGATGGTTTTTGAAGAGTCACATAAATAATAAAAACTGGCAATTAGTCAACATGCAATTTGACATGTCCAATTGGATTGATAATGGTAAAAGATGATTAGATTTTCGCTTCTGAGTTTCGTTTGTATAAGCCAATGAGGAAATCAGAAAATTGTGTGCTTAAAGACGCAATGTTCGCAAATTTTAACAGCAAGTTATATGCCAACCAGGAGATTTCCTTTTTTTTTTATCTTTCTCTCTCTCTCTCTCTCTCTCTTGAATTATCTTGTACATAATACAATCTTTTTCTTTAACATTTGTTTGTCGAAAGAAGAATTTTTTTGTTCCCCCAACTCTAGAAATTAAAAGAAAATTATGTCCTGCCTTTTAAATGGTGAAAATGCTTCTATCAAAGCTGCCCAAGCTTTGAGTGAGCATATATATACATACAAGAACATCACTTCACCAATTCATGAAAACAGCATTTGGGGATCAAAGGCAGCTCAAACTGTATATAAACAACAACAAGACATCACTTCTCGTTTACAACATGGTATTCATGCTGCTGCACTTGTTTCTTCTGATGCATTGATTGCTGCTATTCCCCAACTTTATAAGTTGGCCTCTGAAAAAACAGGTGTTGTCCTCCATGTTTCTGCTGAGAACAACACTTCTAGCTCTTCTTTTGCTGATTTCTCTAAAGTTATGGCTGTGCGTCAGAGTGGTTTGGCTCTTTTGAGTTCAAGTACTGTTCAAGAAGCTCATGATTTAGCTGTCATTGCTCATGTTGTTGCCATCAAGACAAACACACCTGTCTTACACTTTTTTGACTCCAAGCGTATTGCTCAAGAATATGCCACTATCAAGTTGGTTGATTCATCCATCATTAATCAACTCATTACCGAGCAAGATATTGAACAATTCCGTCAGCACAAGCAAGAACAATCTCAATCTGCTTATGTGCAATATAAGAACAAGGAAAGTAATGAAAAGGAAGTGGATATCTATATTGCTGTTCAGGAAGCAATGGGTCAATTCGCTACTTTGACTGGACGTCAATATGCTCCTTTGGAATACAACGGTCATCCTGAAGCTGAAAATGTGGTGATTGCTATGGGTGCTGGTGCTACTGTGGTTGAGAAGACTGTGGATGCTATCCGTTCTCAAGATAAGGAGGCTAAAGTGGGTGTGCTTAAGGTCAGACTCTATCGTCCTTGGTCAGATACAGATTTGTTGAGTACTTTACCTAGTGCTAGCGTGAAGCGTATTGCTGTCTTGGAACCTTCTCATGACTACACTTCTACCTGGAACCCTCTTTTCTTAGATGTCGCTGCTGCTTATCAAACTGCTGAAGATAATGATGTTGAAATCGTCAGTGGTCAATATGGTGTAGATGCTCAAGATTTCTCTCCTGCTCAAGTTCAAGCTGTCTTTGCTGAATTGACCAAGGCTCATTTTGAACGCAGGTTTGAAGTGGCTCGTTTGAGTGTCGAGAGTGATCCTGTTGTCTATAGCGATGTCAAGCAATTCATTCTTGTGGGTGATGAAGCTTTGGCTTTGAACTATGCTTCAAGTGTTGTTGCTGCCGGCAAGAATGCTCAAGTCTATACTGTTGATGAACAATCCCATATCCGTGTCTCCAACAACGTTGGCTCTTTGTTGCCATCCTTTGTCAGCCAAGCTGAAGCTGTTCTTATCCAAAAGACCAGTGTCAATGCTGCTGCTGCTATTGAATCCCTTGCCAAGAACGGTGCTGTTGCTATTGTTCAAGACCACATTGATCAATTGGCTTCTTCTACTAAGCGTGCTATTGTCTCTGCTGATGCTAAGGTGGTTTCTGTTGCTGATCTTAAGGAATTGACAACTGCTGATCTTGCTGGTGTTTTGTCCAAGGCTCAAGCTGTTTCTACTCCTCAAAGCTGGGATCAATTGCAAGCTGATGCACCTGCTGTTGTGGCTACCAAGACTACTGAAGAAGCTCTCCCTGTTGAGACTCCTTACTTGAAGATGCTTGATCAAGTCTTCCAAGACCGTCTTGAAATTGCCAATGCTGTCAACAGTGCCTCTATCTGGTCTCGTGATGAACACAATGCTTCTGCCGCTGCTCCTGAATTTGGTTATGGTAAGATCCTTAACAAAATTCAACAACGTGCTCGTTTGATTGATGCCGTTGAAACTTTGATCAAGGAAAACAAGGTTTCTGAAGAAGCTTACAAGACATTGTCTCAATGGCTCTTGGCTGTCAAGTCTAGCAAGGTCGATGTCAAGGCCATTAATAAGGCTGCTGAGGCTGTCGTTGCTGCTATTGCTCAAGTTCCTGCTGCTGAATATGTTGCTCAACACAAAGACCTCTTGTTTGCCAAGTCTCAATGGTTGGTTGGATCTGACAGCTGGGCTTATGATCTTGGTCAATCTGGTGTTCACCATGTTATCACTCAAGGTGAAAACGTCAACATGTTGATTGTTGATACTTTGCCTTACTCTTCTGAGCTCGCTCGTGAACAACGCAAGAAGGATATTGGTCTTTATGCTATGAACTTTGGCTCTGTCTATGTTGCCTCTGTTGCTGTCTATTCTTCTTATACCGGTGTCTTGCATGCTCTCATGGAAGCTGATGCTTATAATGGTCCTTCTATTGTCTTGGCTTTCTTGCCTCAAGAACCTCAAGCTACTGCTTCTTCTTCTGTCAACCCTGTCTATACTTTGAAGGAAACCAAGGTCAGCGTTGATAATGGTTCATGGCCTCTTTACCGTTGGAACCCTGCTTTGGAAGCCGAAGGCAAGGAGCCTTTCAGCTTGGATTCTCAACGTATTAAGAAGGATCTTGAAAAGTTCTTGGAACGTGAAAACCACTTTTCTCAAATCGTTGCTCAAACTCCTGATGTTTCTCAAGTTCTTGTGAGCTCATTAGAAAAAGTAAGCATAGACAATATGATATTGATGTATCTCGATTTACTTATTCTTTTCTAATAGGATCTTCAAAAGAGACATGGTGAAATGAAGCGTAAGGCTCGTGAAGACTTTGCTAAATTGTTGTCTGGTTTGGGTGCTGCCAATGGTCCTCCTTTGACTGTTCTCTTTGGTTCTGACAATGGTAATGCTGAAGGTGTTGCCAAGAAGATTGCTAGCCGTGGTAAATCTAGAGGTCTCAAGGTCAAATTGATGGCTATGGATGACTATGAAGATGTTCAAGAACTTGCCAATGAAACCAATATTGTCTTTATTGTCTCTACTGCTGGTCAAGGTGAATTGCCTTCTAATGCTCGTGAATTCTGGAAGGCTATTAACAGTTTGAATGCTGGTGATGTTGACTTTTCTCAATTGAACTATGCTGTCTTTGGTATGGGTGATAGTCACTACTGGCCCCGTGAAGAAGATACCATCTTTTACAACCGTCCTGGTAAGCTTATTGATGCCAAGCTTGAAACTTTGGGTGCCAACCGCCTTATTGAATTGGGTTTGGGTGATGATCAAGACGCTGATGGCTTTGAAACTGGCTTGGGTCTCTGGCAACCTGAATTCTGGAAATCTCTTGGTGTCAAGGATGTTGGTGCTGAAGATGATGAGCCTAAGTTAACTGATGATCAAATGAAGATCAACTCCAATTATCTCCGTGGTACTATTGCTGAAGACCTTAAGGATGAATCTACTGGCGCTATCAGTGAAATCAACGGCAAGTTGCTCAAGTTCCATGGTTCTTATGGCCAGGATGATCGTGATATCAGAGAAGAACGCAAGAAGATGGGTCTCGAAAAGGCTTATAGTTTCATGATCCGTGTGCGTATGCCTGGTGGTGTTGCTACTCCTGCTCAATGGCTTGCTATGGATGAATTAGCTGACAAGTATGCTAATGGTGCTATCAAGTGTACTACTCGTCAAGCTTTCCAACTTCACGGTATCTTGAAGAAGAACCTTCGTTCTACTATCCGTGGTATCAATCACTCTCTTCTCTCTACTCTTGCTGCTTGTGGTGATGTTAACCGTAACATCATGATTACTCCTGTTACTGAAATTCCTGAAGTTCAACCTCAAGTGCAACAATTTGGTATGGATCTCATGCATCACTTGGCTCCCAAGACTACTGCTTATCATGAAATTTGGTTGGCTGATGAACAAGTTGCTGGTAATGCTGTTCAAGACTTTGAACCTCTCTATGGTCCTACTTACTTGCCTCGTAAATTCAAGATTGTCATTGCTGTTCCTCCCAACAATGATGTTGATATCTTTGCTCACGATTTGGGCTACATTGCTATCATTGAAGACAAGAAGGTTGTTGGTTATAACGTTACTATTGGTGGTGGTATGGGTATGACTCACGGTAACAAGAAGACTTATCCTCGTCCTGCTAATGTTGTTGGTTACGTTCCTGCTGAGTTGGGTGTCAAGTGTGCTGAAGCTGTCATGACTACCCAAAGAGACTATGGTGATCGTACCAACCGTAAGCATGCTCGTTTCAAGTACACTATCGATACCTATGGTTTGGACTTCATCAAGAACGAAATCGAAACTCGTATGGGTGTCAAGTTTGAAGAGCCTCGTCCTTATGAATTCATTGACAATGCTGATCGTTATGGCTGGACTAAGGGTTTGGATAACAAGTGGCATTTCTGTATGTTCATCGAAAACGGTAAGATCAAGGACTGGCCTGATTTCCAACCCAAAACTGGTCTCAAGGAACTTGCTCAATGGCACAAGGGCGACTTCCGCCTTTCTCCTAACCAACACTTGATTATTGGTAATGTCCCTGAAGAAGATCTCGAAAAGACAAAGGCTCTTTTGGCCAAGTACAAGATGGATAACCTTTCATTCACTGGTCTTCGCTTGAATGCTATGGCTTGTGTTGCTTTGCCTACTTGTGGTCTTGCTATGGCAGAATCCGAACGTTACTTACCTACTTTGGTTGGTCACCTTGAAAAGGCTATTGAAGAAGCTGGTCTTAAGGAAGATGCTATCACTATTCGTATGACTGGTTGTCCTAATGGTTGTGCTCGTCCCTACCTTGGTGAAATTGCCTTTGTTGGTAAGGCTCCTAATGCTTATAATGTCTATCTTGGTGGTGGCCACAAGGGTGAACGTTTGAACAAGTTATACAAGGAAAGTTTGCGTGAAGAAGAAATTTTGCAGGAAATCAACCCTATCATCAAGCGCTATGCTCTTGAACGTAACCCCGATGAACCTTTTGGTGACTTTGTTATTCGTGCTGGATATGTTAAGAAGACGATCACTGGTACTGATTTCCATGAACTTTAAGCTCTTTTTGCATTCAAAAAAAAACATTTAGATCTCCCATTGTTATTACTATTATTATTATTATTATTCACCTTTTCCTTTTATTTATAAAGCAAATACAGTTAAACTTATGTAATTTGACGTTTTTAAACATTTTTTTTTGGTAATGAGAGGATTGATTACTATCCTTATAATAACCCCAGCCATCATATTATGGTGGTACTTGTACTGTTGCTTTATGAGTGGTTGCTTCTTTTGCCAAATGAAAATCCAATCGATGTAACATCAAGTTAAACGCACTGTTTGAGATCGTTCATCATCGTCTATGCCGGCTTAAAAGAAACATAAATTCGCGAACAAGTTTCTTAGGGACCACCGTTTTTCTTAAGTACCGATAGTTATAACTTGCCTGATGACTCCCAAATAAAAAACGGTGGACTGCAAAAAAAAAAACAAAGTCTTGTGCTTTATTTATTTTCATAAATGATATCTTGGGCACAATGCTAAATTTAGCTAGAGCAAGAGTCCGGTTAAAAAAAAGGGGGGGGGATTCTTTGTTATGTGTTATGGATAGATTTGAGCACAAGAAACATCAAGCGAATCAAAAGAGAAATATGGTCACAGATGTGGCCAGCGTATATAAATACAAAGCAGTTTTCTCTGTTTCTTTCTCTCTCATTTTTTTTTATTGAAATCTTTTTCAAGTTATAATCGGTTGAGATAGACATTTTCGCATATAAAAAAAGTAACACTTGGCTATATTTTTCTCTTCTGTTGCCTTTACCTGTTAGACATGCGTTGTCTTCAATAAACTGAATCATGTTTGCTATTTTTATATCACTGTTGTGGTGTTGCTCAAAGAATTATATTACTGCTATCAATCAACTTTTGATATGAATCTGATAGTGTGAAGAAAGTATTATAAAATTTTTTCTAAAAAAATAAATAACCGACAGAAAAAAAGAAAAAACATTGTCGTTTTGAATTAATTGGTACAGGCTGCAGAAATGTAACAAGCCCGTATTACTTCAGAAGAAAAAAATTGAAGCTAATCTTGATCAATATCATTTTGAAAATAACATCTATGGTTTCTTTACGACTGTCTCATTGAAGCCAATGATAGGATGTTCGTTACTACCACTGACAAGACCAACAACGTTTTTACTGTTCATATATTAGAAATAAAGTGCGCAGACAGCGTTCCGCGCTGAGTCAATCTGTGTTACAGAGAATTAAAGATCAGGATTTGTTTTGGTGATTTCGTGGCTGTTTTTTTACAGAAGGGCTTTTGTTTAGAAAAGAGAAAGAAGACTTACTTGCGGCATTTCTATACAATAAGTGAATGACTCAAATGCAAGCCAGAATAGAATTATCATTAGACAAAAAGTCTAATTGTATGTCGTACCCAAAAAAAACTAAAAGCAGTAACATGCAAACGCTTGCTTCAAATTCATATACAAACAGTCTGCCTTTAATTGTTGTCTACCAGAAAAAAAACAAAAGCAGAAAAAATATAGATGTCTACAAACAATATATAAAAAATAAATATATCTGGAGTGACACGAAGCATAAAAATAAAATGTAGTACTAAAAAGCCTTGTTTTCAAAAAGAGTTTAGAGTCGAATAATAAAAATAAGGTACGCTCTTTTTTCGGCGTAATTTCTCATCTTTTTCCTTTTCTTTTTACACTAGACAATAGGAAGATGAATCTGTTAAAATCTGTTTTATTATTGTCCACGGCGGCGACCATAATTCAAGCCCAAGCATCCCCTAGATCTGATACAAGTAAAAATAAATTACAATAATGAGATGCTTATTGTATTGTAGGATGCGGGTTCTTGATGGGCAAAATCTATTGTTTTGGTGGTTTTTTATATACCAGCACTAAAGAGCGATCTTTAGATAATGTAATTAATGTTCTTGATCTTACAAATGCGACAGGCAAAACAGCTAGCGAATTGCAATCACAGTGGAGGGCTGTCAGTTCAAATACAAATGGTGTCGACATCACTGCTCGACAAGACCCTCAAGCAATGGAATTAGGAGATGGAAAGAGTATGTTTCTCAATGGCGGGTTTTATCCCTCTGGTGGCCACTTAGCAGATCAGACAATTGTCTATAACGCTGAAACAAATTCATGGTCTAAATATAATGCTTACACTGAAGATCCTTACGGTATCAGACAAATGTAAATCAATGGGAGTTGTACTACTATTTAAAAGCGTACATTGTGCGTCTAATCATTTATTGTGTATCCGTTAGATATTATGGTTCGATTCTTCAAGTCCCTGGTAAAGGTTTGGCTCTCTATGGTGGCTTTGAACAGTAATATCAAAACATTTGTATCAAATTATTTAGCTCTTTTTTTTTTTTTAGAACTATTAATGGTTCTTGGACCACGCCTAGCACAAACGTTACTGTATTCAACTTTTCTGGTAATTCATCCAGAACTATTGGGTTTACTGAAGTTACCTATTTTAACATTGCTAACACAAACCAAGTAAGAATTCGTCCTTTTGTCTTGATTTACTGATTTCTTATTTGTTAGATGTGGTCGCAATCTTTACCTTTAACAACTTGGGTGACGTCTTTTATTGCTCGACATGCATCTGTTTATGATTACATTAATAATCAAATCTTGTTTATTGGTGGCGAAACTCGTCCCAATACAGTTGACAATTATGCAATTTCTAGCACTAGATTTCCCCTATCAACAGCATGGGCTTTTAATACTACAGACAGTACCTGGAAAACCATCACTTTAACGGGAGATGTTCCAAGTGGTGGTAGATTCTATCATACTCTCACTTTGAGTACGTTGTTTGATGAAAAAGAAAAAATACTTATTTTATTCTAGTACCAAAAACAAGAAGAGATGTTGTTATGTATGGCGGTGAATCAAGCGATGGTGGTATGTAGTTCAAAACAAGTACATTTGTATCTTAACGGTTCTCTTTTTCTCGTTCTAGTCGCAAATGATTATTGCTTCACATTGAATTTGGATACCAAAGCATGGAAACGATTGACTATTGATGCACCAGCAGGTACAACATTGGCAAGAACCCAACACTCTGGTATGGAGTAATATATATTTTATCATGTGGCTTACTAATTACAAAAAAGCCGTCTTGACTACAAATGATACTTTGCTTATTATGTGGGGTGCTGATGGCAACCAAGCTGGTACTAGTTCTATATTGATCTTGAATGTCTCTGATCCATATGCAATTACGCTTTCTGATAAATACTACGACCCTAATGCTTCATCAACATCCTCTTCAGGATCATCAAATGCTACCACACCTTCTGGAAATGATTCTACTGGTGCCAGCAGCGGAGCTGGTCTTAGTAGTGGTGCAAAGGCTGGTATTGCTGTCGGTTGTATTGCTGTAAGCACTAAAAATATCAATGGCATAGGTCTAACTAGTTCTATAGGCTGCAGGTCTCATAGCTGCCTATTCGTTCCGTAGACATAGAGCAAAGGCAAAGAAAGAATTAAACAGTGAAGGTATCGCTTTAGGTCCTCAATCTCAAGGAGGTTCAAATGGCAACCATCAAGATGTTATTCCCATGGAGGTCGACTGGGATAGAATTGAAGAAAAATATGTTGAAATGCCTCCCAAAACCTTTGTAGAATACCATGCACCTAATACCATGTCGCCCGAAACAACCAAAAGCACTTTGAGTGGCCCAACCGCTACTGATAACAGAGCAAACTATTCACCTGGTTTGAATTATGATATAGTAGGTGCTCCTATTGTAAACCCAAGTAGTATAGAGACCAGCAATGTCTATACTGAAAGACAGCATGCTCCTATGATCCTTAAGCCTGATGGGGGAAACACTGCGTAATTTTACATTTCTATATCCTTATAATAAACATATATTTTGTATTTGTGCATATTTACAAGTAACTTTGTTTCAGACACTCTGAACTGAAACATCAATAAAATAATATCTCAATAACCTACTGCAGCTAAAGTTTTGTTTCGCCATATGGCAACACTCACAAAATACAATGTCAGACATCAAGTTTTGCATGAATAAATTAAAAAGGTTATTCAATTTTGGCTCTAACATCTTGAATCAGACAATTTAGCTCATTTGTGTATGTGAGTATGTGTATGTTGGCGTATAGCTCAAACAAATAGTAAATGTAAATGAGTGAATAATGACTTTCTTTTTTCACACGCACAGTAAGTTAGTTCTACCTCTTTTTTTACAAGGACCAATAGTCAAAAAAGGGGTTTCATAATTTTTTTTGTGAGCAGGTTTTTTTCAAGAATCACCCGAGAATTCTATGTATACTTTCAACAACCTTATTTGTAAAGAAACTGTGTTTCCTTGCAGTAAACAGATCGTTAGTTTATTTCTCAGAAACAAAAAAGAGAAAGCTACAAGTAAGTTTCTTTAGGATAATAATAATTATGAGAAAAAAAAAAGGACCACGGAACGTCATGAAATTCATGCAACACAATTTCTTTATTAATCACACCACCAAAATGCACACACACACACACACACACACACACACACACACACACACACACACACACACACACAAACACTCACACACTCTCTAAAATAATATAAATACAAGCAAGAAAAAAAGCTGTTTTCTTCATCATTTATATATAAACTTTTTAACATTTATCATGGATTCTCAATTCCCCGTTGAAGAAGACTACAACAATTCTGTTGACTCTTATTCTGTCACTATTAATGGCTTTATTTTCTGTACCCGCCATGGTCTTGAAGTCTGTGATAAATGTCCCACTGACAATCGTTCTGCTAACAACATGATGGTGGAGGATATGCTCCATGAAAGACTTACTGAAGAAGAATATAATACCAAATGGAAGGGAGATGATCGTGAACCTTTCTCAGTTGCCCACAAGTGGACCCGTGTATCAAAAGGCAAGCCCGGCTGCATGGCTCATAAGCAAGTGGCATGCGAAGAGTGTTTCAATTGGGGTGAACAACTGTATCGTGGCATTCACGGAGGTCGCAAGCCTAGAGTATCTCGCTTAGGACGCAAGAGTCGTGATCATACTGTTGATGAACGTATTGAATAAGCTAATCTTGTGCCCTTGTATAGTCCTTCTTTTTTTTTCTCCTCTTCTCTCTTTGTAATATTAAAATAAACAAATATTTTCACTTCTCCCAAAAAAAATCATCTGATTAGATGTTTTTATGCAGTTTATTTTTTGTGTCAAATAACCTTGAAAGTTTAGTTTGTATATGCTCTGCTAATTGAGTTTTTCCCATCGCTTTATAACAGGCATAAAGTTGTTTATATGCAATTTGGAGTTGCTTATTACTATGTTCTGCTTCTTCTGGTTCATGTTGCACAAGCTTCTCCCAAATTTTGACAGAAATCAAAAGAGAGCTCTCACATTGAACAAATTGTTGAGTTTTGAAATAAGCGTCTGCTAAATGAGCATAAGCTTCTGCCTTAATTTTTCGAAGTTCATTAAATTGCTTATAGTAGCCTTGTCTTTTTTCGGGCTCAGTTGGTTTCTCGCCTAATCGCTGACTCTCTACAATCTGTACAATCTTGGCCAAGTAGGGTATAGAATTTTGAATATCTCCTTGACTTTGTAGCTGAGACGTGATATTTGTTAGGACTTGAAGTTCAAGTAGGTTGGCAGGATTGATTGAGCTTGATATAATTGTTTGAGGAGCAGGCGGCATAGAAAGAAAAGAAAAACGATCGTGACGGTATTTTTCTACATAGCCAAAAGAGACCATACCCTTTGATTTCATTGCTTACACGAAAGTTTCAAATATGGTTACCGGAGGATGATCGGACGGTTCTATGGGCGCTCTTTATTTTCTGCCGGACTACAATTCACTGACATCTTCATGTATAATCAGTGACCGCATTTAAGCATTTTTTTCTTTCATAAATACTGTTTTCATATGGGTAGAGGTGACTATAACTTTTGGCCACCACCTATTGAAGGGCTGGACTATGACCTTGAAGGCCCTTCAGCAGACTATTTGATGGACGTGTCAGATATTTATGAACAAACAGTATATGAAGATATCCATGTTTCAACAAATGAATGGACGATTGTCGATAAAGAGTAAAATATGCAGCTTGATTTTACTTGATTTTAATGTCGAACCCTTTTATAGCGAAGCTGTTTTGTATTTACCAAAACGACAAGAATCATTGAGTGTAACACTTGGTATTGAGGAAAAGAAAACAGTTGATTTGCCCACTTTTGGATCTATCAAATTAGGTATATACAAAACACAGGCTTAAAGCGTGGACTGATATATAACATAGACGAGAATTTTCAATTCAAAAGAGGATTTGTGGTTAATTCAGGAATAAATGTATGGGGATTAGATTTCGTACCTAAATCAATTCAATGCGCTGATCCTTTGACTCAATATTTGGCAATTTCTGGCTATCGAGGGGCTGTAGAAGAGCATGTTGGTTTGGAAGAGATCCAGCCAGCAGGCAGTTATAGAAATTCAATCCAGATTTGGAAGATGAAGCTTTCAACTCAATTACCGTCAGAAACACCTATTCTGGATTTATGTTTATTGCATGATTTTGGTGTTATTCATGATCTCAAATGGTGCCCTTATGGAATATACAAGGAAGAGGTATGCTCTGGGGGTCAAATAATCCATTGATTGATTCAGCCTTTATAGGGAACAGAAGAAAATCCTGCAAGATTGGGTATTTTGGCATTTGTTTGTGGAGATGGTGCAGTACGTACTATCGTTGTTCCTCATCCAAACTATGTTCGAACCTCCATGTGTGCCAATGTATCAGAAACAGTTTATCGTAAGTGTCAATATATGTGGAAGCCATAGTCTTATTCATTTCAAGTGCGGATCAACTCATCGCGATGTGTATTTAACCTTGGTATATCAAAACCATTGACTTTTTCATGGGGAGGACACAAAAAGCTAGCTGTCGGATACACATCTGGTAAATATACAAGTGCAAATACACATATGTGTTTGATTCTCATACAACTTATGCTAGGAAATGTAGTGGTTTGGAATGTTGAAAAAGCACTTCATGATGAACAAAGTCGTACAGGAGAAAGCACACGTCGTTGTGTCATATTTTCTAGCAATGTTTTAGACGCTGGTATCCGAAGTTTGTGCTGGAATGGCGTAAGAGATCCTGAAAGAATGATAATAGGTGGACTTGATGGACGTTTAGTGCATTTGGACACAAATGATCCTCATATAAATTTACTTATTAACAGAGCTCGAGGTAAGATGTACGCTCCTTTCTTTTTAAATGAAAACCTTATGCTATTCAATATAGGTGTACAGTTGAACTGTGGTTGGCAAGGGCACGATACAATCATGCTGTATGTTGATGCTGATGGCTTAACAAGAGGATGTGCCTTTAATGCCGACGGAGGTCTTTCATTTAACAAGCTTGGTGATTGCACTGGTATGTGCTGGTCGATAGGAACATCAGAACATCACGGTCATTTTGCTTTAAGTACAGCTATAGGGTGGGTTAGAACAAGTAATATGTATCAAGTCAAGTTAAAAAAACTGGTAATATTTGATTTGATATAGACAGCAGTTTTTTTACATTTAATTTCAATAGTTAATTACCCAAAATACTGTTTACAAGTTACATTACAACCATGATACTGGCATATATCGATACATAGATGGTATAGGACCTCAAGTAAGTAAGTAATCTTTCAAGCAACCTTACTTATTCTTCTAGACTTTGGATGAAGCAAAAAAACTACCTGTATATTCGCAATATGGTGATTCACAAATGTCGATTCAAAAGGTATAGAAGTGAAGGTGTCACAAACATTTGTTTATTTATTTTTAGGTTGCTTGGAACCCCAACAAACCTACATGTGCATTTCTTGCTTCTGGTGGTGCAGCGGGTCTTTGTCGCATTGATTTTGAGGGAAGAGGCTCAAATTGGGAATAAAAAAAGGGGAAAAGGATGGATAAATCTTAAGGCATCGTGCCTTAACTATCGTGGGATTTCCTTAGTATTTTGATATCAGCTCCATCTTTATAAACCAATCGGTAATTCATTTATGACAAGCCCTTCTTTTTTTTTTCTCTTTCTTCTTTATACCAAATAAAAAAAAAAACCATAAAGATGACTGTTATTGATTCATCAATTCAAATTGAATGTCAAAAAAATGTACAGTCATCACCTCACAATAAAAACATCTTGGCAGATCGAGAAAATGATATTCAACTTGTAAAGAAGCTTCGTCAATCAAGTGATTGGGAAGAAGTGATAGCTTATCAGCATTTATCAGACTCTGCAAGATCTCATTCTTTGACTGCCACTACTTTGCGGGGAGAAGGTATGATTGCAAGACGCCCTGTCAAATTTTTTAATAAAGATAAGACTGCTTGTATCATGGCTATTCATTTTGGCGCTAACTTGTAAGTAAATAATAAAACATGTTATTGCTTGCTAACACTAGTGATAGGTGTGGCCATGATGGAGTTATTCATGGTGGTTTAGCTGCTACTATCCTAGACGAAATGCTGGCTTATGTCGTAAGTAGAGCATCCACATGTTACTAAATTGCTCAAGACACTTCAATTTAGACTATTCCTAGTTTACCAGGCTATTCAGGTTTTACTGCAAATCTGAATGTCAACTACCGTAAACCTATTCTTTCTAATCAATGGGTCATTGTTCGTGGTGAACTAGAAAAGCTGGAAGGTCGAAAGGCTTGGGGCAAAGCCCATATTGAGACGATTGACGAGACGCCAGTTATTTTGACAGAAGCTACTGCTTTGTATATCAGTCCTCGTACCCAAGGGCCTGTCACTGATTTTTAATTGCTAAGAATTAGATCACGTTTAATAAAGATTCATTCTATGATGCAATGAACATGCTCAGGCAGTTCATTCAATAGCCAAAGAGCTAGTCTGGAGAGGTTGGAGGGGTTTAAAGGTCCTAGTTATTTGGAAACCCAAAAGTTCAACAATGTTTACTGTGTCATCAGAGCTGCTTATTAATTGCCGAAGGATACTGCTGAATCAAAGTCATAACTAGATCTAGTAATAAAGTCAATTAAATTCACCTAATTTATGAATTTTAATCAAATACTTGTTGAGCAGTTCACTGTCACAAAAACCAAGTTAGCTCGACTAAGATTTGGTTCACTAACCTCAGCAGGCTCAATAAAATCAAATGTGTCTTGGTAAGATATTTTATGTAAACAGACAGGTTGGTAGTACATTGCTTATTCATGTAACAGGGACATCAGACAAACAAATGATGACAGCACAAAGCCTGTTTGTATACACATAAGTACTCTAAATGCCTGCAAACAACGTTTTATAACATACAGGGTACTTTTGGAGATGATTTGGACCGAAAAAAAAAGCAGCTTGTAAAAGATGGTTCTTTTGGTCTTTTGGACAAAGGGTACTAGTCATGAAAATCATCATTTTGAGAACTTTGGATTTTCTTTTTGATGTCAAACAACGAAAAATGGCGCTATCAGAAAGTTCAGATACTCAAAACATGCATCAAAGGCCCTAGTTTTTGGTCAAAGTATTTGCTTACCAATTGCACTATCAAGATGGTATAATATGAGTGAGAAACCTTGCAAATAGTTTTGTCTATTAGTTTTGTCTATTTGCTCAATATTTTAGCAGCAAAGCTACTAGGTTCTTAGCATAAAAAAAAACTCAGAAAGCAAATATCTACAACTTTTATTATCACGTCAAGGCAAAATAACTGCATAAAGATGCAGTTCTTAGCAAAAAGCTCAATTTTGGATGCTCACATGAGAAATCAAATTGTTTTCCATCTTTTGCTATTTTAATATCCACACACAGTCATCTGGTATGTCCTATGCTTATTTGCCCCCACATTTACATTACAAAATGTTTATTTTTCTATGTTTCTTGACACTATAGATAGCATATAGTAGCTTTAATAACTCCACTGCTAACAGTTTTCATACGACATATAAAGCAAAAACGCTCAAAACGCTGCTTAAACATGCCAATCTTTGATGGACCATTGCTCGACAACCAGATGACTGTGTGTGGATATTAAAATAGCAAAAGATGGAAAACAATTTGATTTCTCATGTGAGCATCCAAAATTGAGCTTTTTGCTAAGAACTGCATCTTTATGCAGTTATTTTGCCTTGACGTGATAATAAAAGTTGTAGATATTTGCTTTCTGAGTTTTTTTTTATGCTAAGAACCTAGTAGCTTTGCTGCTAAAATATTGAGCAAATAGACAAAACTAATAGACAAAACTATTTGCAAGGTTTCTCACTCATATTATACCATCTTGATAGTGCAATTGGTAAGCAAATACTTTGACCAAAAACTAGGGCCTTTGATGCATGTTTTGAGTATCTGAACTTTCTGATAGCGCCATTTTTCGTTGTTTGACATCAAAAAGAAAATCCAAAGTTCTCAAAATGATGATTTTCATGACTAGTACCCTTTGTCCAAAAGACCAAAAGAACCATCTTTTACAAGCTGCTTTTTTTTTCGGTCCAAATCATCTCCAAAAGTACCCTGTATGTTATAAAACGTTGTTTGCAGGCATTTAGAGTACTTATGTGTATACAAACAGGCTTTGTGCTGTCATCATTTGTTTGTCTGATGTCCCTGTTACATGAATAAGCAATGTACTACCAACCTGTCTGTTTACATAAAATATCTTACCAAGACACATTTGATTTTATTGAGCCTGCTGGGGCTGGTGAAATTCATAAATTAGGTATTTTAGCAAAAAAAAAAAAAAAAAAAAAGGTACAAGGCGACCTTTAAGAACCTTGTTCAAGTTTATCAATTCTTTTTTTCAGTGTTTGGACTTAATTTTGTTTCATCTAAGACACAAATTGATTACGAAACTTATATGAAAGAGCTTGAACATGAGGACCAACAGGGCTTTTAATGATCATTAGAAAGAAAGATCTGCTTTAATGTACGAGGGTGTTAATTGAAGTTCCTCTAAACCATCCTTGCTCAACTCATCATTGAATTAGGTATTGGTTACAAACTAAAAAAAAAATCTGATAATTTTTTTTTATCTATATTCAATTCTAACAAAACGATTGCTCTTTACAAACCAAACAGTAAGCAAACACGCATGCTTTTTTTTCTCTTTTTAATAAAGCGTAGCTAGTTGTAGTCCCCTAAAAAAACGAATAATCCATAAAGAGTTTCAAAATTTTAACAATAAAGTGATTGGCCTTGTTTAATCTACGTAGTACGAGAAAGTTATCTGATAGAAACCACACATACATTTAGCTAAAATTATATCTATTTAAACGTCAAACAAGAACCCTATATGAACACAAACTGTATTGAAATTTGGTACTATCTAGATGTTATCTTTCTCCTCTTTCTTTTTTTTTTTTTTTTTTTTTTTTTTTTTTTTTTTTTTTTTTTTTCAATCAACGTTCCGTTGTGACACTCGGAAACTTCTATTTTTCTTTCATTGCATAGTCGTATTACTATCGGAGTCGTTGATCTATAGATCAGTTTCGTTGTTTATAATCAGATCTTAATTAAAATATAAATAAACAGCAAGAAAAAGATATCAAAAGAAACGATTCACCTATCTTTTACAAATTTTTCTTATGAAATCGCATCAAGAAAGCATCAAACTATCTTTATTTTTTATTAAAAGAAAAAAAAAACATGATACAATATGTGTATGGATGATAAACTGCGTTGAACGGATCTTTAAAACGATCTGATAATTCAATACATCTACATCAGATATGGAACCCCGGGTCACCCGTGTCAGCGGTCACCTAAATGGAAAAAGAAGAAAAAAATGATCTTCAGTAATGTGCCTATATAAAAGGGTACCCATTTATCTAATTCAAAAAAAAGAAGTATTTCTCTTTTTCTACGTCTTATTCACAATGCGTTTCTTTACTACCGCTTCTTTTATCTTGGTTATTGTTGCTCTTTTAAGTGTTGCTTCTGCTGATGTATCCATGGTAAGTCTTGTTCATTGATTATTCATAATGTTTAACCCATTGTTTTAGTCTAGTCAAGACTTGGAAGGTCAAATGATTCGTCATTATTTAATGCGTCGCGCTGAACATGATCATTCTACAACAACTAATACCACAGCAGCCACCAGTACAGGTGCTACTACTACTACTACTACTACTACTACTACTACTACTACTACTAAAGCAACAAAAAAGAAGAATACCGGTCCTTTTGCTAGTCCTGATGTTCTTCAAGATGGTACTTTGTTCTATATCGGTATCTCTATTACTGTCTTACTTTGGACCACTGGTAAAATCATTGATGTCAAGACTGAACGTCAAGAAAGATACGCTGAAAGTCTTGTTCATAGCATTTAGATTCTTATACCACCTATTTTTTTTTTAATTCTTATTGCATTCCTATCCTTTCATGATTCCCCAACTCTTTGTGTACAATATAATATAAATAAATCAATACCTATCATCTTAAAAGACATTCACAAGGCTACCCCCGCTCTTCTCCACTTTCTCTTCTTTGGGTTTTTGGGGGGTTAAAAAAACTCATTATGCCAAATATAGCCATTTTACTTCCATAATGTTCTAAACCCTTTTTTTTTTCTTTTTCTTTTTGTTTTCTTTATTACTATGGTACTGTTGTCATTGACACAGATCTCGCATCAGATTCGCAGTACGTTTAAATCTCGTCCGTCTGTTACAGACAAGGTTGTTTATCCCAGTCGTAAGACAGTCAAGTCCAGTTTACATATACGCAACCAACATGATAGTAGTTCTGCCACTTCAGGCCTTCAGATGCCTGTGGCACCTCATTATGTCCCACCGCGAGCACCTATTGTCTTGTGCCATGGGCTTTATGGATTTGATAAAATTGGGCCAGATGCATTACCTTTGTTTCAGATCCAGTATTGGGGAGGCATTGAGAACGAGTTGGCCAAGTTAGGTGCTAAAGTGATTGTGACAAAAGTACCAGCTACAGGCAGTATTTGGGTGAGAGCACAAACATTGAATTCTATTCTGACATCAATCATGGAAGGTCAAGATGTGAATTTTGTAGCTCATTCAATGGTAAGCAATAATCCTGTCATCATGTCACTCAACATCCAAAAAAAAAAAAAAAAAAAAAGGGAGGACTGGATTGTCGCTATCTTATTTCACATATACCAAATCGACACTACAAAGTCAATTCATTAACTACCATATCAACACCTCACCGTGGATCCCCTGTGATGGACTGGTTTCGAGATCATGTAGGTGTAGGGATGGCTGGTGCATTGGCGGCTGCATTTGAGAAATACGAATCTGTTCCTCCTGCTCTTCTTTCACCATTAACACAGAAACAAACGAGCTGGTCTCTTTTACCGAGTATGAAGCAATTCATTCGATTGTTAGACACAGAAGCCTATCATAACCTGAGCACAGACTACTGCAAAAATTACTTTAATCCAAATACCCCTAATGATCCTCATGTTGCTTATTATTCTTATGGTGCAAAAGCCACATTTCCTTCTTGGTCTGTCTTTAATCTATCTTCACAATGGATTAAAGAAAAAGAAGGTATTAATGATGGACTGGTGAGTGTAGAAAGTGCTCAATGGGGTACGTATATCAAGACATTAGAAGCAGATCACTGGGATCTTAATGGACAAAGGTAAAGAAATACACTTTATAGCCTATCAAACTCATAAGAAACACACACTAGATATCGATGGCGATATGCAAAGCCTTTTATAGACAAGTCCAAGTTTGATACCATTGATTTCTATATGGAATTAGCTACTCGTTTGTACCAACAAGGGCATTAATACGGAGTTTATAAAGTGTATGCAACACGAGTCATTTATATTTCTCTCTCTCTTTTTTTTTTCCTCTTTTTCTTTTGAAGTATGTCTTTAAACTTCAAGAAGAAGCATGCTGGTAAAGAGCGTCAAGGCTCAAGTCCTGCTGGTTCACAGACATTTGAGGATGATGAATACTTCAGAGTCATTGAAGGCATCAAGAAAGTCTATAAACAAAAATAAAACCTTTAGAAGTCACTTATAATTTTGAAGGTAAAACAAGTCGATGCATTCTTTTGTTGTTCATCACACGCTTTAGGATTTCATTCTGCTCCTTTAACTGATTCGGATATTGAAGCAAAGCCTATTGTGCTTCTCATTGGCCAATATTCCACTGTAATGTTCATTATAGCTGTATATTATTTCTTATAGTCTTGATTAGGGTAAAACGACATTTATTCGTTATTTGTTAGACAAGTCCTATCCAGGAGAACATATCGGTGTTGAGCCAACAACAGATCGATTTGTGTCTGTCATGCATGGAACTGAAGAGCGGGTCATTCCAGGTAATGCTGCAGCTGTAAATCAAGAATTACCCTTTCGAGGTCTCAATCGATTTGGACAAGCCTTTTTATCTCGATTTCAGGTACATAAAGATAGGATCAAAAGCCAGTTTTGACTAATTTGTTTAGGTCTCTCAAACCAATTCACCTGTATTAGAGAATATGACTATCATTGACACACCTGGTATTTTAGCAGGCGATAAACAATTGATCGAGCGTGGTTATGACTTCACCCAAGTGATTGAATGGTTTGCTGAACGGGCAGACTTGATCTTGTTGATGTTTGATTCGCATAAACTGGATATCTCGAATGAATTCAAGATGGCTATCCATAGCTTACGTGGTCAAGAAGAAAAAGTGCGTGTGGTTCTGAACAAATCAGACATGGTCAGTCAACAACAATTGATGCGTGTCTATGGTGCCATGATGTGGTCTTTGGGTAAAGTTGTCCAGACACCTGAAGTCATGCGTGTCTATCTCAGCAGTTTCTGGACCGAGAAACCACCGAATTGCTTTGAGGATTGTCGAGAATTGATTGAGGCAGAATCCAAAGATCTGTTGCGAGACCTAAAAGAACTCAGGAGAAATGCTGCTATTCGTAAAATCAATGAGATTGTCAAGCGAGCTCGTTTAGCCCGTGTACATGCCTTGATTGTCTCGAGTCTCAAAAAAGAACTGCCGTCTATGTTTGGTAAGCGCAAGAAGCAAGAAGCACTCTTGAAGAACTTGGATCAAGAATTCATCAAGATTCAGAACAAATACCATCTTCCTGCTGGTGATTTCCCTAACCCAGAACGATTTAGACAAAACTTGGCCTTGTATGATATTGATAAATTCAAGAATTTAAAAGAAGATTTGATTAAATCTGTTGATGAGGTAAAGCAATGCGTTTAGAAAAGACAACTCAGTTTTTTTTTTTTTTTTTTTTTTTTTTTTTTTTTTTTTTGGGTTAGGCTTTAGGAACAGATTTGCCTCGTTTGATGTCTCAATTCCCTACAGGTAATCCTGAACTTCAACAGAGTGAGAGAAACCCATTCCAGGATGCCATGTTGCCTGGTCCTGGTGAAGTCCCTCCTTCTTACTGGCATTTTGATTCCATTGACAAGAATGCCTATCTTCATCGATTCCAACAATTAGGTCCTCGTGAGGGTAAAGTGTCTGGTGCTGATGTGAAACCAATTTTGATGGAAAGTGGGTTAGCTAATGAACAACTCGCTCAAATATGGCGACTCTCTGATTTTGATAATGATGGTTATATGGATTTAGATGAGTTTTGTATTGCCATGCATCTGATTAAAGCAGTGCAAAATGGAGCTCAATTACCAGAAAAACTACCTAGTACCTTATTGCCCAATCGAAAGTTTTAATAAATCAAGAAACAGCCACTAACCAGGCAATGATCAGATAAAACAAGAATAATGGGTATACAGCCAATGCACGTCGATTGGCTAAATGCGCCTTTGATTCTGATAAGAATCCTACAGAAGCTAATGATGATATGAGTGACTATGCCCTAGTAGCATCAATACGTACCATAAGTAGACCATGCAAATGCAATCAAAGAACTAGGCACACGAAACCAAACAGCTTCAATAAAGATACCAATGATGGCTACTACCACTAAAGGGAAAATACAATATCCAATCACACAAACAGACTGAAAGAATGAACTATGGTACAGAAATATCAGTCTATATGTATCAATCATGTCTCTCTTTACTTACACAGATCCACCAAGTAACTTGGCATTCATGGTGACCACAGCAGCACCTAACCAAACAATCACAAACACACCAGTGAAAATAGGCACAGACTGATCTGAAGGAACACTTGTACTCAATGTACTATAGACGATAAATGACCTTTGTTATATCTAAGCATACACTTACATGGCCAAGGCCAAACAAAGGATCAAAGGACCCCATAAATCCCAATCTTTTAGTACACTACGGTCGCCTTTTGGGTGTAATACTTGTTGCAGTTTTCTACCTACTTGTTTAACATCACGAAGCTGTCTCATTAGAAAACAGTTTGTTTTGAGGTGCTTACAATTGTCACAGAAACAGGTTCATCTAGCGTATCTTCTCCTGTGTAGTATTCTGTTGTTGCTTGCTGTTGTTGTTGTGGGGGTGGTTGAACACTGGAACCAATAGAACCACTTAGGTTAGCAAAGGGGTTAACTAATGAAGATGGTTTTGTAGAAGATTGACCCGTCAAATCAACATCAGGTTCAATACTTCTATCTTGTTCATAAAACCCAAAGTCATCACTTTGGCGCGCAAAAGGATTATCGTATTGTTCTTGTTGATGGGTATGTGACAACATAAAGAAAGAGAAAGAAGGTAGTACTTTTAAATAAGCGCATTCTCTTTATTTTTTTTTATTTTTATTTTATTTTATTTTATTTTTTTTTTTTTTTTTTGCATGTATCGATTGAAAGGTCTGTCAAGACTTCTTGTACAGCAAAAGAAGCTCCTGTTTCTCAGTAGTACTGCTTGTTTATCAGCAGCGACAGTAGGATTCACATGGCATGAATCAGACACACAAGCACGCCATATAGCACTTGCACTCCAAAGAGTCAGCGTAGCATCCGATATTGGTATTCGGGTAGCACTCGATTACAAATGGACAGAATTAAGATCGCATCGATCAGAGCAAGATCAGATAGAAGCCAAACAACAGTGTCATCAACGATGTGCCGATCGTGTCTTGATAGGTCTTCAAAAACTAGGTGGCATCTATGTCAAATTAGGTCAACATGTGTCTGCCATGACATACATCTTGCCTGATGAATGGACCCGTACATTGTCTGCTTTACAGGATCGATGTGAGCCTAGTTTGAAGCAAGACATTGAAGACATGTTTTTTCAGGACTATGGCTATCCCATGGACTATGTCTTTGAAGAATTTGATTGGCATCCATTGGGTGTGGCTAGTCTGGCCCAAGTCCACAAGGCAAAATTAAGGCATGGCAACAGGGACTGGGTGGCTGTCAAATTCCAACATCCTCGCTTAGATGAATTCTGTCGCATTGATCTACAAACAGTGTCATTTATTATCCATAGTATTAAGCGCATTTTTCCTGAATTTGGATTTGAATGGATCTTGCAAGAGATGCAAGAGAGTTTACCTCAAGAAATGAATTTCGAAAGAGAAGCCGCCAATGCAGCTCAATTAGAACAGAATTTTGCCCATTATCCAACTGCTTTGGTGGTGCCTAAAGTAATATGGGCCAAAAGACGTATCCTCTGCATGGAATGTAAAGTAATTCTCATCCACATTCAATACTGATCATGTATTTAGTTATTCAAGGAGCACGTATTGATGATCTTGAATTTATGCTGAAGCATGGCATTGATTCAAGTAATGTATCTACCGAGATTACAGAGATTTTCTCTAAAATGATGTTTATTGATGGGTAAATCATCCTTGCTTTGAGTCAATAAGCTTACTTTTTTCTCCTCTTTTTTTTTTTTAAAAAAAAAAAACTATGATAGATTTGTGCATTGTGATCCTCGTAAGTCTAGCAGAATAGATGCTTATTCACTTATTGAGTCGCATAGATCCAGGCAATATCTTGATTCGCCCAGCCAAGGATCCTCAATCTAAATTTAACTTTGATCTTGTCCTACTGGATCATGGTCTTTATCGTACATTACCAGACCAATTACGAACAGACTATGCTCACTTATGGACATCCCTTATTCGAGGGGATGAAGAAGGTATCCGCACTTATGCTCTTCGAGTAGGGTGCACAGACCATCGGTTGTTTGCTTCCTTATTAACAGGTCGAGAATGGTCTACTATCCAAGCTGCTGATTTATCCTCGGATCGAACAGAGACTGAAGTCAGTCGAGTCACGGGTAGAGCCAAGCATTTCGTGATCCGTATCTATGATATTTTAGAGACCTTGCCTCGGGTTGTCTTATTGCTGCTCAAAACAAGTGATTTACTACGAGGATTAGATGAAAGCCTAAGAAAGTCGGAGGATAAATACATGACTTATGCATTGACGGGCAAGTTTTGTGCAGAAGCAGTCTGGATGGATGCCAAAGCCAATCTGTTAGAGCGTATTCATACATCAGGTTGGTGGGATTGTTTGGTCTGGATTCGACATTTGATACGTGCTTGGTGGGAATATCAAAGCCTTGAGGTTGGTTTATGGGCCTATCGATTTCAATCAAACACAAGAGAGAAATGGGCTCTTATTTGGCATCGAGGTACCATGCTTCAAAATCAAAAAAAGAGACTAGAGGCACAAAAAGAGCTTTTTATAGAATAAAATATGATCAAAAACCATAAGCTTTCATAGCAGCAGCTAAGTTTGCCTTTGCTTGATCAAGAGCAACACTTTTAAATTGCATAATTGCATTCAAAGAGGCTTCATTATGTGTACCATCTATATCATTGTTTTAGTATTCATACTTTTTGTTATGATGATTGCATACCGAGAGCAGCAGGAGGGTCCATGACCTGCACACCAGTAGGAAGGGCAAGTAAAGTTTGAGCTAGATTTTAATTAGTTTGTTAATTGACAAAATAGTTGGCTTACTATTTCTTGTCTCATCTATGATTAAAGTCAAGAAGGCTTCAACTACTGTGTGAATAGGTGTCTTGGGTGAATGCTTGATGATATTAACAAATGAAGGCTCGTCTTTGTGCTTTTCTTCATCAGTGATATTAATCAACAATGGTGTTTCTATTCAAGTCAGTAGAGATGATAGTTATGCACGTATACTTTACCAACCCAATAAGGGCAAATAGCATTTACACGCACATTGCAAATCTGTGGCATCAAAGCAAATGAGCGTGTATAGCCAACCACAGCAAATTTAGATGCAGCATAACTTGAAATAAATCTAAAGAAATTGATATATGCACTCTCAAAACAATGTACTTACGGGGAAGAGTAGAAACCAGCAACAGAAGCTGTATTGACAATGACTCCACCTCCTCTTTTGGCCATATGCAAAAGAGCCACTTTTGTCCCTTTAATGATAGATATCGTATTGACATCAAAGATTCTTTCATCTTTTTCATCTACAAAACACCATATTAATCACCATTTTTTTCTTCCTTATGATAGCTTGCCATCTAAAGGACCAAACATAGAATTAGCACCTTCACCAATACCAGCATTTAAAAATGCAATCTAAGCCATGCATTAGGGGGTTTGTTTATATAGAACATAAACGTTACATCGACACCACCAAACGCTTGTTCAGCTAATTGAAATAACGCCTTATTGTCACTGTACTTTGTCACGTCTACACGCATGAATGCAGCGACTTGGGCACCTGCTCTGTCAGATGCTTTAATAAGAATTTCATGATAAATCCATGAACAGTTACTCTTTATTATAGGTATCTATGACTGATTGTCCTAGTTCTTGATTTAAATCACCTATAACAACCTTGGCACCAAGCTTCACAAGTGTATCAGCCACAGCTTTACCAATACCAGAAGCAGCACCAGTTAATACAGCCACTTTACCATGAACAGAGGAATATTGATCAAAAGTCATTTTATCAAAATAGAAGAAAAATAAAGAGAAAGAAAGAAAAAGGGGACGCAATTGTATGTTTATATAGTCTGTTGATTCTAATACAATCACGCATATGTAGCAATATAACCTTTTTTTATTTTGTTTTATGCAGAATTAGCTTGTTTAGTATTATTAAGCATATTCAGAGTGATACGAATTAAGTTCACAGACACAATGCAATCAAAATAGAAATCTAAGTAGCATGGTAAGGGTTATTTTGTGGTTGTTGTTGCTGATGTCCGATATACACATCCCAATCAGACCAATTCAGACTAGAAGGAGGTAGTGTTGTGTTTGATACATGTACATTAGAATCATAAGTAGCTGTATAGGCTTGTGGTGCCTGTGGTAAAGTATAGGTCGTAGGCTGATAGTTACTGGATGGTGGGACACCATAATGATGGGGCATGGTAAAATCAAAATGGTCGTGAGAAATGGATCGAGAATGAGATGATATGACGTGCTGTGAAGTAATACTATTCAACTGATCTAGGGAAATAGAGCGATGATGTGTAAAATGACCTGTAGAATGTGGGCGATAATTTTGAGAATAATTAGCAGTGTGTTGTTGTGGTTCAGTATAATTAATAGAATGCTGGTAATGTTCTTGTTGTTCTTGATTTTGATAATGCTCTTTTTGCTGCTCTTGATAATGCTGTTGTTGTTGTTCTTGACTGGAACATGGTCGATCCATAATAATCCCAATATCTGATTGAATATCTGGTGTAAGGCCACCAACAATGCTCGTATTTATCATTCGGTGATGAACATATTGTGCTTTAGGAATTTGAACAACAGGTTCCTGAATTGGCTGTACAGCAGGCTGATTAGACACAGATAAAGGTGATGCAATTGGTTGCAGATCGCCTTCAACTGGTTCACCGTCTTGGTCAAACAAACCATTGATAGAACCCAACATATTTAAGATTTCGGCTGCTCTCGGAGCAAGGCCTTTACCCGCTATGGATTGAATGAGTTCAATAGATCGTTTATAGGCTCGAATATTGCTTCCACTTTTATCACGTAATGCATTCGATAGATACACAAGCGATGCTTGAAACAAAGCATATACAAAATAGCCTGGTGCACAATAAAGATGGTAATAAGACGGTGTCCAATCTCTACCTTCTCGTTGCTGAAGAGTTCCATAAAGCATATCAGCCGCATCTGTACATGCTTTCACTGATGCATCCACAATCGATTTTAAACCTGGGTATTTCTTTGTACAAAGTTGAGTGAATGGTCGATGCAAAAGTATAAATACTGTATGATGATAGACTTGAAGGTTGTCTATAAGATATGATAAGCTCATGTTGCCATACTTGTCTATTTACTTACGTTTATCAATATCAGCCAAATAAACACCATCAAAAGGTTCGTCCAGCGAACTTCTCCAGTTTTTTAGACGACGTTCAAAGACTGCCAAGATAGTAGGATCATCAAGACCAGCATTTGAATTAGCAATCTTTGCGTTAGGAGCATACAATGCTTTCAGGATCCTTCCAAGAATTTCGCATAATTTGATCATCAAAATAAACGAGCGATATATGGGTTGGCCCGGTGGATCAGAACCATCCTCGTCTTCAATTTCATAAGGTGAAGGTAAATCTGTATCAAAATCTCGGTCCAAAATCGTCAAGGGTTTTCCTGCACGAGCACTGAGACATCGGTCAATCACATAACAAGAGTAAAAGACTCGGTGACGAATTTCAATCTCGGAGCGAGGAAGATTCCAATTGACACATGAACGATGAAGGCCTAAATCTTGTGCCATTCGGATTGCACTTCCTGCTGTACACCATTGCATAGACTCAACATCGCCTTCGTCCATGTCTAGATACAAAACCATCAAAAGAGATGCTTGAACGTAACAGAGTCTAGATCGGTCTGAATCTCTCAATCGTTTCATTACTTTTCTAAAATACATGTCACCAAATTCACTGGCGTCCTTGACTAGATCAGGCAAACGTTGGCTTGCAAAACGAAAGGTCAAGGCAAGCACAGCCTGCATCAGGAGAAAGGGCGAGTCATTGGATGACATGTTGTGGTACTGCTCCAAAAACTTCTTTTTGTGAACAACAGGTAAAATACAATGCATGTGTGTAAAATATCTATCCTTGTTAGACGCAGGTAAACAAGCAGTTGTACTTACAAGCCAATGATTTTATCCAATTGATGCTTAGCAGGCTTCTTGTTGTAAGCCGGTGTTTTTATCATAGATATTGGGGTTCGACTAGAAGGCCCCCGCATGCATAAGCCAACATCAAGCAATGTGTCTGATCTACCCTGTGTAGATTTTTCCGTACTAACAAACATAACCTCGTCTTGAGACATCATTTTGAGCATCACATCTTTTCTTCCAGGCCAAGGAATAGCTGACTGTGACTTAAAGATGTTTTGGTCAAATAGTTTTAAACCAGCAGAAGATTGGCCAACGTATTTGATTGAATCATAATCTCTTGGTTGCACAGGATCAAAATCACGTTCGTCTTCGTCTTCCGAAGAAGATTCGGTGTCATTGAGTGGAGAAGGGATTGCATGCCCATCATATTGAAAACCATTCTTTTCTAGTTCTTTAATAGAGCATTGGGTGAGAGCAATCAAAAGTGTTTCCATTTTTTTGCATTTTTTTTCCAAGTTATCTACGTATCTGAAGAGGAATTATGTTTAGATAAGCAAAACAAAATAAATCAGATACATACGCACTAGGAGGCCCTCGCTTTTTTCTAACTGTCTGAAATTCACAATTATAGCCCCACTATAGAATGCATTAGTTGATTTTTTTTCTCAAATGAAAAAAAAAGGAAGTCTTACAGCTCGACAGTTGGAACAAGGTGTTGAAACATCAGCATCACACCGAGATTTTCTTTTTCGACAAAAATCGCAACTTCGTTTAGCCCGAGTTCGTTTAAGAGGACCTTTTTTAGACAAATCGTATCCTTCATTCGATTGCTGTTGAGAAAAAGTGTGAAAAGCGTCCATTTATAGATTCATTTCTCAATATTGTAAAACAAAAACAAAAAGAAAAGAAAAGAAAAGATACAAGGTATTCTTTTTGTGTTCGACAATCTTAGTTTTAATTTTTTTTATTTTATTTTTCTATTGGCGATGTACAATCCAGATCAACGACAGTGTGCTTGCTGAGGAAGTTGAAGGGAATCGCGAAAAGGTATATTATGGAGCACTTTCGATTTTGGTATCAATACAGGCAGTTGATTTTCTTGTCTATAACGAACAAGTTGTTTAACAGAAACATCTTGCTCGATCTATAAGTTGGTATAGAAGAGAGGAATTGCGTTTAACTATTTAGTCCTACGTATAATTTAAATAGATGAAAGACGAGACCTCATTTTCACTCTTGCTGTCTAATATTTGTTGACTGGGGACTTGCTTATTTGATTTATATCTATAGATAAGCTCTTGAATTTCATTGTCTTTGTTGTCTAACAGATCTTGATATTCTTGTTTCAGGATACGGGTTTCCTTCATGTGTTGTTCAACGAGTTTTTGATGTGACACAGTAATCTAAATGCTGATAAGTCATGCTGTTATAGATGTCGAATTCACTTGCCTTGTTTGTATGTTCTAGGCTCTCTGTTATTCTTCTGAGTTCTTGTTTGTCTTGGACAGAATGTTCCTATTGTCTTTTTGTCCATTACCCTGTTCTCTTATACATTTTTTTTTACAACTAATTCTATTTTTATATTTGTATATGTGTATGTGTATTACCTGCATCTCATTTAGTTTTTCATGTAATACAATACAGTCAGCCATTTGCGATTCTAGTTGTGTCTCAAGATGTTGGTTTTGTCCACGTTGTGTGGCGAGTTCTGTTTCTAATGATTCAATTCTTTCTATGTATTCAGATTTCATCGCATGAATCAACACGTCTTGATTTTTTAGCTGAATGTTTGCATTGTCTATATCCTGTTTTAGACGAGATTCGTTAGACAATAAAGCTTGAATCTCGATTTGGAGGTGCTTGAATCTTGTAAATAAAACATTTTTTATTGTTATACAAATGCTGTCATTTACCTTTTTGGTAGTTTCATGCTCTGTTGCCAAGTCTGTGTATCTTATCTTTTCTGCTCTCATTTCATCCAACAATATCTGCTCCTAATAGTCAATAGAGTTGATTAAGTTTTGGCACAGTTTATAGCCTCTTTACCTTTTTCAGTGCTTCGTTTTCAAGTATTAGTTTGTTGATCTCTTCGTCCTTTGATTTTATAATGCCTGCATGTTCTTGTTCTATTCGCATGATTGCATTATTCAACTCAAGTCTAAACGATGCCTTTAATTCATCAGCCAAGCTATGTTTCTCTGCCTTTTAACAGAAAATGATCAGCAAGAATATACTTCAATGCTTAAAGCTTACCAATACAGTCTCTAATTCATGTCTGCAATCTTCAAGTTCAGCCTTTAAACTTGTCTAAAAAAAATTTTAATTCATGCAGGCAATTTCAGTCAGTTACCTCATTTTTCTTTTGGCTACATTCAAGCTGCTCGATTTCAAATCGATGAGACTTGACAAGAGTATCCATTTCATCCTATAGTTTAGTAAATAACCTCGTTTTCTGGCTACAGACACTACTTGCTTTTAAAATTTGCTTCAACTCTTCCTTTTCTTGTCTAGACTCGTTTTTTAATGATTCAATGGTCTCTCTGAACTGTGTTTCTGCAAGCTCAAATTCCTTGTAGATATAAGCTTTTGTTTAGTTTCATCCATGAACTTACTTTGACTTTTTGACTTAGAGTTTCTCGAAATTCTTGCTCCAAATCATTTGATGCCGCTATTTCTTTTAAACGTGTCTCATACTCTACTCGTAGTTGAGCTGTACTTTCAGTATGTTGAGCGTTCAATTGTTGCGTTAATGCTGTCAACCTGGTTTGATGTGATCGATGCATATCCTACAATTCAAATTGAATAAAACACATATAGTCAAACAAGTTGCTGACCTGAATATTGTCTCTCATCTCATCCATGTCTTTGATTAATTTCTGAATTGTTCTTTCTCTTTCAAACACCACTTGTTTTTCAGTTTCCATTCTCTCTTGCATCTTTTGCAATGTCTCTTCTGACTTTTCTTCAGCTGCGGCATGTTGTTGCATTAATGCAAGCTTTTCTTTAGCGAATTCTTCATGTGATTGTTTGATTTGTGCTTCATATCTTTCAATCAACAATAGTTCTTTTTCTTGAAATGCATTGATTCTTTCTTCCATATCATTCACAGATGTTGAAGATGAAGCATATTCAATATCACTTGTATTATTTTGAGTTGAACTACTTTCTTGCGATTGAGGGATGATGTTCATATGATAAAGCTTCTGGTTTTCATCCAGCTCATATTGCAACTGTTGTAATTTACTTTCCAACAGTTTAAGATTTGTTTCTTTTTCAGCTAATTGCTCCTCTTTTTCTTTAAGCACTATTTGCATTTTAGTATTCTATTGTAAGAAAAAGTAATGAGAACATATTATCATTGACTATAAAAGTAAAGTCACCTTGTCTTTCAGTGCCTCAACGCGTATCACAGATTCTGTCGATCTTTGTGTTGAGCTTGGTATACTAGAAGTAGAATTTCTTTTGCTGGCCGAAATAAGCTTTTTACTAGTTTGGTTGATTGGTTTATTTTCAGTACCATGTGTGGACAACAAAAGGCTATTTCGTTTGTTTGTGGGCGTTGTAGGGGTGTTTGACGTATTTGTTTGTGTCGTATGCTTCATTTTAGTTGCTACAGGTGATGATCGAGTAACATCATCTGTATGAGCTTGACTTGACTGAGAGCGACTTGTTTTCGAGGGTTTTTTGATTAGAGATGATGCAGGTGATATGAGGGAAGAGCGACGTGTTGTTTGTATAGTAGGATGCGTTGAAATAGGTGTGATGGGCGGGGTTCTTTTCTTTGCATTAGATGTGGTGGATGTGCTTTTTACACCTGCTGCTTCAAGTGAAGATAAACGTTTACTTGAGGCATTAATTGAAGCATTTTTCGAAGCAGTAGCAGTTGTCATCTTATGTGCTTATTATATATGCAAATATGTACAGTTAAATAACACTAGAAGAAAAGAGAAAAGGAAAAAGAAAGACAATGACACAAATTAAATTTGGCGCTAATTAAATTACTTTTTTCAGAACAAAGTTTACTAGCTACATTGTACCTTGCTTACTCCCTTTCTTTTCTTTTTTTTTTCTTGTTCGCTTTTCGCTTCTTCATTGGTAGTAATGTAGGGCTACGTGCTGCGTATGTGCTATGTAGAATGGTAGTTTTTCATTTGGTTTGAGTTCCACAAAAAAGAATCGAAGCACAGTCGAGGCATAGTGGAACTAATCTACTTGCGTTTATATATTTTTAAAAATAGAACATCTGGTTGTTATTCTGATACGGTGCCTCGGATATCAAACGCAAGTAAATGAAAAAGCCTCTTGTTTATGAAACTGGCTCATAAAATTTGTCTATTGCGTTGAAATAGCAAACAACGGTTACGCTTAGAGCAGAAAACTAGCTATGAACAAGTTACACAACAATGACAGAAAAACCGGTGCTGAGACAATTACCAAAGAGAGGATTTTACATGATCTGGAAGCTTGTTAGGAAAATATAGACATTATTTTTATAAAGTTACTAGTAACACCAAACGCATTGCAGAGCTCTTAATCCAACTCTAAGGCTTATACTATTCATTAGCATTTATATGCCATTTTAATAAAAAGAAGCAATACTTGTATCAGAACTTCTGCGAACCAAATAGAAAACACGCCTATAAACAATATCACAAACACACTTTTCAAACTTTTTACTAATGTATATCGGTATAGAATGCTATAAAATACTTAAAAAGTCAAAGGTCGATAAACAGCACGCATCTCTTTGTTTTTTCGCAATTTAAATGATTCATTTTATTGTCCCTTATTTCTCTAAGCCAAGTCCCCCCTTTTTTATAATTCATGTTCTCCTATGCATGAAGGCTCTAATAAGATCATGACTGAAAAGTCAACGTTACAAGAAGCAAAGCGGAATTTCATCCTCTGACTTTTTTTTCCTTCTTGCTTTTTTTTTCTCTCTCTCTGTACAATGTCCTTTGAAATAATAGCAGCACAACAGAGTAAGATTCCCTTACGAGCTCACCTTGCACTGGAAACAATGCAAAAACGCCAAATAAGTACAGGAGACCTTATAAAAATCAAAAAACAAGATCGGGTTTGTTGTGTTTGTGATCTATCTTGTACTAACGATCGACCTGCTAGATCGTGTTTGGTATTGCCTGGCCATCACTAACAGTGCCTACCCAAGGTAAATCAGACATGCGATCGCACATTTTTCCACAGGCTCACTCACTCGCTTTTCGAACAAAGGCGTTGAACTAAGCTCTACTTCGAGACTTAGTGGTGCTTTTGCATTGGGAGATATGGTCGATATTGAAGCAGTCGAGAACGCCTATATAGAAGCAACACATATCCAGATTGAATTTGTCTCTACACCTCATTTTGAAAAAGACCAGAGTTTGATGATCTATTTAAAAGAACTGTTGGGTAACTTGATTTGCCATCCAAAAAGCCGTCATTAAAAACAGAATAGTGGAACAAAAATATGTCACTGCATCCCAATGGATAGACTTTAATTATGCCGGGGAACATTGTAGGATCAAACTTGTCGATATTTCATCCACACATGCTTCAGATCTCTTGTTAGTCACACAAGACACAAAGTTGAGTCTGACATCAACACCTAGTATCAACACAAAACCAGTACATACTGTGGGTTATGAAAGCATTGGAGGACTCGAAAAACAGATTGAGATTGTTCGAGAAATGATTGAAACACCACTTAAACAGCCCGAGCTTTTTCTCAAGTATGGACTCAAACCACCAAAGGGCGTCTTGTTGTTTGGTCCTCCTGGTACTGGCAAGACATTGATTGCAAGAGCAGTTGCACATGAAACAGGCGCCCATGCTATCATTGTCAATGGTCCTGAAATTATCAGTAAATTTTATGGTGAGACAGAACAAAGGTTACGGGACTTGTTTGATCAAGCTCATCATCATGCACCTTGTATCATTTTTATTGATGAAATTGATGCTTTGTGTCCTAAACGAGATGAAGCACCAAGCGAGTTAGAGAAGCGTATTGTCACTACCTTACTGACATTGATGGATGGCGCTACAACGCAAAACAACCGTGTTATCGTGTTGGGAGCAACCAATCGACCCAATTCGTTGGATGAAGCATTGCGTCGTCCAGGTAGATTCGATAGAGAAGTGGAAATTGGTATACCTACAGCAGAAGCAAGATTGTCGATTTTCAAGACGATCATGAAAAAGATACCCAACACACTTCAGCCTGAAGAACTGGAAGCGCTGGCCAGTAAATCTCATGGTTATGTAGGTGCAGATATTGCTGCTGTATGTAGAGAAGCTGGCCTGAAATGCATCAAACGCTGTGCTGCTGCATCTGTGGCCACAGACCATCTTACTGTCAACATGGCAGACATGCAAGAAGCGATATCTGAAATTAGACCGAGTGCGATGCGTGAAATCATGCTTGAAGTACCCAAAGTATACTGGTCAGACGTAGGAGGCCAGGCAGATATCAAGCAACGACTGAAAGAGTCTGTGGAATGGCCATTACAACATCCTGAAGCATTCTTGAGACTTGGTATTCGTCCCCCTAAAGGCATACTGCTGTATGGCCCACCAGGTTGTAGTAAGACATTGATGGCAAAAGCACTTGCTACTGAAGCAGGCTCCAATTTTATTGCAGTCAAAGGCCCGGAGCTTTTCAGTAAATGGGTTGGTGAATCTGAGAAAGCAGTACATGAAGTATTTAGAAAAGCAAGGGCTGCTTCTCCTTCTATTGTATTCTTTGATGAAATTGATGCACTGACTGTCAAAAGAGGTTCTTCTGGTGATGGTGGTACTTCTGTAGCAGATCGAGTCTTGTCTCAGTTATTAAACGAGCTTGATGGTGTGGAAGCACTTGTAAATGTGACAGTGGTAGCAGCTACCAATAGACCTGATATTATTGATGATGCCCTGTTGCGTCCTGGCCGAATTGATCGTATTCTTTATGTAGGCCCTCCAGATATCCATTCACGCAAAGAAATCTTTAGAATTCAGACAAGTAAAATGACATGCGATGCAGATGTAGACATTGATTTGATTGCTGCTAAAGTAATGATATAGTCTGTCATAAAACAGTAAACTGATTTTTCTTTATTAGAGTGAAGGCTGCTCTGGTGCAGAAGCAGTGGCTATATGTCAAGAAGCAGCATTGTTCGCTATGGAAGAAGATATCCACATTGATTCAGTCAAGATGAGACATTTCCAAAAAGCGTTAGATACATTTACAAGACGTATTACACCTGAAATGCTTGCATTTTATCGAGACTTTCAAGAAAGGTCTGGATTGCAGAGTGTTTAGTGCTCGGTGTAACGATTTGGTATCTCCATTGTTTAATGGTTCAACAAGCTTTACTGTATACAAACAATTAAAGGGTATTCACATGTTTATTTATGCCTATTTGAACACTTTGCAAGCCATAATTTTTTTATTGTCTCTATAAGTTACACATTACGCCAAGATGCCATATTAAACATAATAATTTAGACTATTTTTGTCACAAATTAAGGCTGTTTTCAATTTTCTTTTTTTCCTCAATGGAGTTCAAAAACTCGACCAATTTTTTAGGTTCAAGTAACTCAATGGTTGTATTCTTTCTTTCTTTTTTTGTGCAATTGTTCATTAATAATGATAACGTATTTAACGAGTAAAGGCTCTTTGCTTGTCATAATACTTATCTCTTATTTCTTGTTTAAATACCAAACAAGTAACATAGCCAAAAGAACTTTCTTTCCTTTCAACCAAACTTTCTCTACTCGATCAGCTTTCCCGAAATCAACCTTGTTCAACTTTACTCCACCATCTCCCATAGATCCTCACGAAAAGTACTTGACATTCTTCACACATAGTGGCTTTCAAAATCAATTGATACAAGGTACGAAGCAAAATTTAGAAAGACAAATTTCGAGATTAATAAAAAAATATTAGTTGAAAATGGTATTTTGTTAGCTTGGTATCTTAATCGTACACTGATATTACCTAAAGCCATCTTGGGTGAAGCCTTTGGTTGGAATCAATTCGAGAAATTACAATTACATCATACTGTACGAGACAAGAACAATCACTACTGTAAACAATTCAAAGACAAAAAATCCAAAAAAAAAGCATCTTGTCCTGATCCTTTTAAATATGCACTTGCCTCATTTGATGAATTGATCGATTTAAGTTGGGCAAAGCAGCACGTTAAAATTGTCCAAAGAGAAAAAAGCGATTTTCTTTGGCTTCAACAACAATTTGACATCAAGAAAAGTCCCTTTTTATTAGACGAACAAACGACTGGCACGTATGTTGATGGGGACATTTTATTCTTTAAAGGTAAGACAAGATAATAAGTGCATTATCTGATCAACAACTAGACAAAACAAGATATGATTGGCGTATTTACGATGTACCTGTCAAACATAGATTTCTAGGTCGCTATGTCGATAGCTTAGATGCGACCCAGTTACGAAACCATACAGAACGATTGATTCATTTTACCAGTCTGTTTGGCACGGGCAAGTTTCCTATCAAGAAACCCGAGAATCAAGCCTTTTTCAAGGCACTGCAAAAAAGCATGGTCTATAAACATCCAGCTGTCTTGAAAATTGCAGACATTGTGATTGATGCACTCGGTGGACCGGGAAACTTTGTGGGTGCTCATCTTCGTACAGCGGATGGACTCTTTGTCAAAGCCATTCCTGAAAACATTCAACATTTGATCGATCGCATTCCAGTTCCTAACAGCGAAAGGCATGCGTTGTTTTCGCTCGATACTTGTGTTGAAATGGTAAAGGCAAATCAGACAGCGTTGGTCTTTTTAGCAACAGATGCAGTCCAGCCTAGAAAAGATAAACGGTTTCGAGATTTATGGCATCATTTACCTTGTACTTTTACGCTTGACGATATACTTTCCAAAGACCATCCTAGTTGGCGTCATATGGACCAATACCGTGTATCGCATACAGGTCAAAGTATGAGGAAATACTTGATTCCTTTAGTAGACGCACTCGTTGCAAGTCAAGGAACCTCGTTTGTAGGCACAAGAGGATCTACTTTTTCTGGTTATATTAAGCGGTTACATCAAAACCTATTAGAATGAGAGCTGGTTTCTACATATCTAGATGTAAATAAACATGTATATATATATATATATATAGTGCGTGTACTTTTGTAAAGACGGTTTTATTTTGTGTTGGTATAAAAACAAAGAGTATTACTTTGTTGCCTTTTGATACATGGCTAGAGGTATATCATCTCCCTCCTCTTCTTCTTCACTGTCAACTTGTTTTTTTTTTGACAACCATTTGTTTTTAGTCTTTAGAAAAGAACTCTTTTTTGTCTTGTTTTCTACTTGATTGTTTTCTTCTTGATCGCTGTCATCCAAGGCTTCATCTTCTGATTCATCTTCGTCTTCAGAACTTGAATTTAAATGTGCTGGATATTTTTTAGTAACAAGTCGCTTGTTTTGAGGTATGGGAAGAGGAGCTGGGTATCGATTCTTTTGTTTGCTTTTCTGTTGCTGTTGTTGTAGGCGATGATGTCTTTTTGTCATCGTAATCATTTGATGTACATTTGTGGAAGACTCAGTATGATTCGAAACAACAGAAAGATACCAAAACATATGATTGGATATCACCACTTGATCTCGAAGAGGTCTTTTTGGATTTGTTAGTTTGAGATGTGATAGACGATAAATGGCTCGTTCAGTATGGATTGGTAATCGTGTATAATTATAGTGGTTGACTTGTGTTTGTTTTTCTTGATTTTGTTGTTGTTGTTGTTGTTGCTGTTGCTGCTGTTGTTGCAGCTGCTTACTTTTCTTGGCAGCATTAGCAGATGACTTTCGAGAAAACAAGGAAGAAAAATGGAATCGTTCCTTGAGTTCAGCTGAGTCTACGGAATCAATACTATTCAGTGACGAAGAAGATGATTTTTTGTTGAGTTTCTTTTGGCTCGTGTCACTCGAAGACGAAAAGATCTTTCGGGGCGACCATGAAGAAACCTTCTTTTTTGTTTTTTTCACTAGAATAGGAGAAACTTCAGGAGAAAAAGGTGGGTCAAAGACTTGAGTATCTAGTGACAAGTCAATAGCCGAATCTTTTGGATGGATTACTTGTTTTGGACTGTCTTGGTGAGTAACCAAAGAAGAAAGTGTGTCTTGCTCAACATCGGGTTCTTCTTGATTCGTCTGGGTCTTTTCCTCGGTTGTAGAAGAAAAATGAACATCGTCTTGCACTGTTTAATAGAATTGGGATTAGTTTTGCTTGCTTGTTACATTTTGTAGGATGGTATTTACAGTTAAATGTCAGATTTTCTTGTAAATAAAGTTGGTTCTCTTGCTCCTTTTCAAGAACCTGTGTGTCTTCTTGTGGCTGTGTTGTCTTGTTCTCTTCTTCATCATGAACTGTAAAAGAAGATGATAGAACTGATTTTCTTCTCTTGACCATAGACCTTTTTCTATTGGCTAATACAAGTGTCGTATTGACATCAAACTCTGTATCATCTACATGATGAGCGGGAGTTATTGCTGTATTTGTCGCTGTTGTTGGCGGAGGAAGCCTTTTTTAAATTACGTTAATTAAGAGAAAAAGTTTTTTTTCTTTTTTTACCAATATTGATCCTTGAATAAATCACTTGAAACTGTTGTATCTAACAAATGAAGAGGTATTTCCAATATTCTAGAGAACTCTGTAGAATCCAGTGATTTTAATAGTGTTGTATCATTTTCTCCTTGACTTGGGAGAGGACAAATATAAAAAGTAGACATAATTGAAGAAGAAAAAAAATAAAAAAATGAGAGAAGAGAAAGAAAAGAGAATTATATATGCAGAATATGTGATATAGAGTTTTTGAACATGCATTTCTAATCTTTGATGTTACACAAAAGACAATAAAATATCAACGTGTAAAATGTGTATATAGCCTTCCCCTTTCAACCCCCCTCCCCTCGCTTCCCCTACTTTTTTTTTTGGCTTTGTTTTTGACTCTATATAAAATGCATAGGCTTCATGGTCACTCGTAGCGGTTCTCTAAATCTCAATAAACCCAATTTTATTAGCTCGTTGGTCTAAACAGACATTCTTGACAAGCGACAACAACAACAACAACAACAAGATTAGATCTGATCTCATCCTGGTTTAGATCAAGAGAAATTCTCCTTTTGTCTCCCTTAAAACTCGATCACAACGATGAAAAAGAAAATAAAGAAGCTCATTTTACATTGAAAATCTTAACTTTTTGTACAACACTGTAAAATAGAACTGTCTCCTTTGTTTTATTTATAAATCGCTGTTGTGGTTAAAAAAGAAAAAAAGTCTATATCTTGAAGCTATATGAACAGTAGTACAATATGTCAAAATTATATATTCAGTCAGTTTTTTTTTATGTAAGCACATCTATCATTTACAAACTATAGTAAAGAAAACCCTGCATGCCTAAACAGCCAATTCATTCTGACATAGTCCATTCATAAAGGACTCTTATTGAACCCCCTTTTTAATATGTTAAACTATGTCTAGATCCATCATCATGTTGACACACAGTTTAACAACAGTGCATGATTGATATTGATTGGTTCAAGTTGCTGACATCATTCTTTACCAAGTTTTTTTTTTTTTCTTTACATTTCTTTTTCTCTATATTGTAAACATTTCATCACTTTAACCATGGACGCTGACGTTGAAGCTATGCTTGATGCTCCCTATCAAGAAAAGAGGGTAACTCAATCTCTGTTTTGTTTCTTTAAGCTAATCATATATTTAGGACGAACCAATGCCTTCTCACAGAGAACACCACAGTTCTAGAGATCACAGTTCTAGAGATCACAGTTCTAGAGATCACAGTTCTAGAGATCACCAAAGTTCTAGAGATCATCGGGACTACTATAGAGACGAAGAACATCGGTACATCAATCACTTGATAAGCTAGCCTATACTTATCTCTCCTTTTTCTTAGTTCTCGACACTCTGAGCACAGACACTCTTCACGTTCACAATCAGGCCACCGCAGCTCACGCCACCGTTCTGACAGCAGTAGGAGATACCGTCGCTCTTCCCTCAGTAGAGAAAGAAGACACAGACGTTCTCCTTCTCGTGAGTATAAAAGAAGAAGTAGTAGTAGAAGACACTCTAGAAGCCCTACACGTAGAAGACGTAGTAGAACCCCACCATCTATTCACCATGATCCTCATGATAGGTTTAGAGACGGTAGAAGACGAGGACGTGGTCGATCACCTTCTCCACCTGTACCTGAAGAAATTCGAGACAGAAGAACAGTATTCGTGACCCAGCTGGCTGCTCGTTTGACTCGACGTGAATTAGAAGACTTCTTTAATCAAGCCGGTCGTGTTCGTGAAGCCACTATTATTACCGACCGAAACTCTCGAAAGTCAAAAGGGTAAGTTGATCTTGACACGCTCTTGTTGCTCATGCATCTGTAGTTGTGGATATGTCGAGTTTTATGAAGAGGTATCTGTACAAAACGCTTTAGCATTATCAGGACAAAAACTTTTAGGTATTCCAGTCATTGTTCAAATGTCAGAAGCCGAAAAGAACAGACTGGCTATGCAAGCACAAAGACACGCGTAAGTATATATATATATATATATAATATGTGATTCGTATTTACTCAACTGTTTTTGATTAGAATGGGATTGTCCCAAGAACCTGCTTATCAACGATTATATGTAGGCTCACTTCATTTTAGTTTAACAGAAGATGATGTACGTCAAATCTTTGAACCTTTTGGTCCTCTTGACTTTGTCAATCTTCATAAAGGTAATGGTCATTTTCTATTCTTTATGTACTTATCCATGCATTAGAAACGGGTCGTTCCAAGGGTTTTGGCTTTATTCAATACAAAAATGCTGCTGATGCTAAAAATGCTCTAGAGAAAATGAATGGATTTGAACTTGCTGGTAGAAATGTAAGTTCCTATTTTATTCACTGTGTTTTTATACTTATTCCTATTAGCTCAAAGTGGGTCTTGTTACTGAAAAGAACACACTTGCAAGTGGTCTTGACTTTAGTCTTGATGATGAAGGTAAAATACAATTGTATGTCACACACGAATCTCATCCATACAAATAATAGAAACTGAAGGTGTTGCTATGAATTCTCTTTCCAGAGCTGAATTGATGGCTAAATTGGCAGCCAGAGAATCTAATAATGACCATGATACATCACCTGTAGCAGCAACCCCTTCTGCTCCGTAAGTCAACCAGATACATATATGTATATATATATACTAAGTCTCTATAGACCCAAACCTTTTATTCCTGCAGCTGCATCACGCTATGTCATGTTAAGTAACATGTTTAATCCTGACGAGTAAGTTTCTATTGTGTATGCTTAGTCTCTTTACTCATCAATCATAACAGAGAAACGGATCCTGATTGGGTAAGCGACCTTGAGGCTGATATTAAATTAGAATGTGAGCGATACGGTGATGTTGAGCATATCAAAGTCAATGCAGATTCCATGGTAAATTATCTAATTTTGAGAGAAACATGACTTATATGTCTATAGGGTGAAGTCTTTTTGAAGTTTGATAGTGTTCGCTCTGCTGAAAATGCAATTGGAGCATTAAATGGAAGATGGTTTGGTGGTAGACAAATCACTGCTTCATGTATTTCTGAAGCCATTTATAAAGCCAATGCTCTTTAAGCATATTGTTTATATAATAAAATAATCTAGGAGAATACAGTTGTTCTCCTATATTTAATATCAGGAGATATGGTTATACCAAAAGTAAACCATGTGTACTTATTCATATTATTATCGTAAATTGACGAGTATCAAACTTGAATCCAACGTTCTTTATTCCCTATATCAAAACAAAAGGGAGGGGGTGAAACAAACCTTATTTCAAACCATGTATATATATCTTTGTCTTTTTTTTTACTGTTCTTTTCTTTATTGTTTATTAAATTAATAAGAAAAATACTAGGTTGATCCCATATTTTTCATTGTTTTATATATATATATATCAAAGAAATAAGGCGTGCCATTTTTCTTTATCCCTCTCTCTCTCCCTCTCTGTTGCTTCTTTACATTATCCGGCTTGCTGGTCTCTCTTTCTTTCTTTTCTTTCGTTTAATATGATTTCCATTTATTCTGACATGTTTAACAGCACACATCATTTTTTTGATCAAAGTATGGCCAAGAATAACGCATTCTATTCTTCTTCTTCTACTCCACCTCCACCTCCTCCACCTGCTCTTGTGCCTTCTCTTATGCCTACTTGGGACAATACCATGGTCCTTTCTCATCAAATGAACAATCTCGGTACTCAACATTTATCTGGCATGCCAGCATTAAATCATATATTACCCTTCTCAAACAATTCTCATCATCAAAGATTCTATTCTTCTCCAACAGCCCTTTATCAAGGTAAGTACATGCTATAGTCTGTATTTTATGTATTGACACTTTACTAGGCATGAATTCCTTGTATTCATTCAATGTACCTGATGAATCCATGTTGTATTATACTCCCGTCAAGCAGAACAACAGAAGAAATTCCCGCTCATCTTCACCGGGAGATCGATCCCCAGTCAATAAACGCTATTGTTGTAGATTATGCAACAAGAGATTCACACGCCCAAGTTCATTGACCACACATACTTATAGCCACACTGGCGAGGTAAATATGAATTGTAAAATGTAATACTCACAAGTTGATTTAGAAACCATTTAAATGTCCTGTAGAGGGCTGTGGAAGACACTTTTCTGTTGTAAGTAATCTTCGAAGACATGCAAAAATCCACAATAATCCCACTGCTAGTACATGATCTTTTTTTTTTTAAAAAAAATAATAATAACAATAAAATGGATGTTTGTATTTTATTTCATTTTATTTTATCATGTTTACACGTCGTTTTTCGAGTTATAAGAAATATGCTCAACAGTTCAAAAGTAAGCCTGGGTCTTACATGACTTCATTTGCCATCTTACATGAATTGACTGCGGTTGCTCCTTTTCCATTCATCTATTTTGCACTTGATAATTCTAATCTGAAGATTCCTTTTCCTGAATCTGTTGTTTCTGAAGGCAATCGATTTATTAACAAGGCACGCGTGTATTATAAATATGAACCATTAGAAGCAGATAACCGTGTCATGGTCAATTTGGTTACAACATATTGTATTGTGAAGGCAAGTTCTTGAGAAAACAAACAAGTATTCATTTTTAATAGGCATTATTACCTGTACGTTTAGCAGCATCTGTGGCCATGACACCTTTTTTTGCTGAAAAGTTGATTGGACCTATGTTCCAGTTTGTTCGCAAACAGTTTTGAGTTTATTATTATACCCTTGTAGTTTTTAGAATAATAAATCTTCTATTTTTTCATCACTTCCATTGGCTTTGGCTGCATCGGCATCCATACCAAACACAATCACATTCTTGAGTCGATCAAGACGATCTCTTTGAATATGTAGTAATTCCTCCATATCTTCTTCATCAATCGTCACTGGCTTTTGTTTGTTAGTGTCTACTTGTTCATCATCCATCGATAGATCGAGCTGAGTGGTACCGAATTCCATCTCTTGATCTACTTGCATGGGATCATGAGGTTCGTTGTCCATTTTTTCCATTTGATGTTGATTTTCCAATTCTTTTTGTTGAATGATCTTTTGTTGATAGTCTAGTTGTAAGACGCGTTTGGATTGTTCCTATATGGAAATATGAGCAACATGGATGTATACATCCACTGATTTACCAGAATATAGTAGATTTGATCACACACAGTCTCAAACTCTTCAGAGTTCTCCACCAGTTTATGAGTGAGTTGTGGTGGTGTCTCAGAGTAAGGTGCTTGAAGTTGACTGTTAGAGTTAGTGTCCATCAACTTTAATGAGGCTTTTACTTTTCTTTTGTGGTTGCAAAATGGTCCAAGATTCTGGCTGCTTGTTCTAAAATGTCCTACTTATCATAAACATACACGCAGTTTATGTCTTATGCTGCTTACATTGCCAAGTATTTTATGTAGTGTTAGTATCTCATTATGTAAAGGTCTTTGATTCGTTGTTTGTGTTGGTTGAAAGCGTGGTGGCATGATAAAATGTAAAAAAAAAAGATGAGAGGATTTAAACTCCCTTTTATTATTAGTATTAGTATTATTATTATTCTCTTGTAAAAGGGATATTAGATGTAGCTGTAGTAGATAGATGAGATAGTGGATTAGGTTCAATATCATAGACTTCTTCTGCAAATTTCCTTCTTGCAATATAACTCTTATTGTGTGGTCTACATAAAATATGATACATATTCTTCAATGGATTTCCAAAATCAAAAGGATGGCCTTCAAAGGGTGTTTGAGACAGATTGGCACGCAACTAGCAAGTTAATATACGACAATTAGCTTTCTCCTATTTACCTGTTCATGAGTAGTAACACCTCGCATCACAAGAAAACAATGATACGATGTCAAACAACCTATAGGTACAAGTAACAAGATACAAAACAAAGCAATAAAGAAACTCATCGGTGTTCTTAACAAAGACTGTTGAAAGGATACACTGTCTTGAGAAAACACACGAAATACATGCGATAACGAGAATGCAATCGCATAACAGCATAACAGCGTAGCAGAGACAATGAACGTAAAGAAAGTGGTATAGTTTCTCTTGCCAATACAGTTGTTGAGCCAAATACAATGATGGTCTTCATTCTCTATAAGTGTGTTGGTTTTGTATGTCTCATGGTGAGTAACCTGCCTACACAATTATCGCATTGTCTACAATGACTGGCTCGTGGAGGTCTATAGATGCAACATGTTTCGCAGTATTTTAATCGAGCAGGGATGCCTTTGATCATCACTTCTTTGGGTGATGGGTAGTCAGACATGGAAGAATAACGCAATCCATAGCCATCCCCTTGAGGCCATGGCTGCATATCTAAATGACGAGGTAGAATCTAATAGTCTATGAGCAAAAGGTAATATGTATAAAAGTTTCTACTTGCACCAGGATCTGTCCATGATGTTTTGAGCATAGCAGCTAATGTGAGTATGAACATGTATGCAAACACAATGGGCACTGCTGGTGATACATGATGCCATAACCATGGACATCTAACATTAATCAATCAGTCTGTTACAAAACGATGCATAGTTACGTAAATACAAGAAACAAAACAGAAGGCATGACAACCAAAAACAAAGACAGAGCAAATGCCCACCATGCTCGACTTGTCAAGAATCTGCCTTCACAGAAAAACAATGTGTTGCCATGATAGAGTTTATAATTGCGAATGTGTGTCTGACGTTTCGCCTGGAGAACAACTCGAGGTTTGGGTGGGGAGGTGGAAGGAAAATTAAAGTCTTCAAAGCTCTCTACCATGGATTGACGATGACTATGAAACAAGATCTCTCGATTCATAAAAAAAAAGACGTCTAAATTCGACCATATAGAAAACAAACTCGTCACTTTTCCATATTGGGAGATCAATCAAGTACGCTTTACTGTGTAAAGGAAAAAGTACTAAGCAGAGCATGAAATACATATATAATGTACATCATTAGGTCATAAGAAAGAGCAGAGAATAGAAGGGAGATATTAGTCAGCATATGTGAAATACTTACACGGATATGAGTAGGTAGTTAAATACCCCCTAGAACCACCATAGTCTCGACCGTGGCCATACATACATTGGTTTTTTTGTTAACCAATCAAAGTCTCAATGGCGACAGGTAAATATTTTTCGATTTGCGTATTCACGTCGGCGAGAATCTTGGCAGTAAAAGGGACAATATTAGAAGCAAAACGACCAATTTAAAGGCTAGAGCAATTGGTCATTCCTATATACGTAACTTCGATAAAGACCACTAATCTTGGCAGTAAAGACCGGTTCCGTAAAGGCTTATTCTTTTATGTTTCTCATTGGACATTATTAGTAGCATCATTATAAAATAAGCGTCTCTTTTGTTACACGCACATATATATATATATATATGTATTACATAATATATTGTATACACTTCCATGATTGGTGACATGGATTCAACCATACACTACTATGCTCATCACTAGAAGCATTGTTGAAAGACAAAAGAGAAAAACTGAAAAGAAATATATCCAATGCACACAGAAAAAGAACTGGAAGGAGAAGTATAACTGACATCGCCAGTGAAAAAAGGAGAAGGAAAGACAACAGAAGAAGGCGGTAAATAATTTGGTATATACTAGAAACTTGCAGCCATATAAAAGAAAAAAGAATTAAAGTCGAATTTAAATAATAGAAGATTGCTGCTTCATGGCTGAATTCATTCCGTTCAGTAAGTGCTTGGACAAGCTGGGTGATGCGCAAATAAATCTTTTGGCTACGTATTCTTTTTTTTTATCTGAAGGCTAGTTGGATTGACAGCGAAATAATAAAAAAAAGACTTGGTAAAGCAAAGATGACTTGTACGTAATAAAGAAAGGATCAATCGGTACGCAATAAAATCAGGCTCCTTATGCACCACTCCCTTTCAAACATGTTCGCAGAGTACCGAATAGAGAGGGGATGGTTCATATAGTTGTGGCTAAAGAAGAGGCAGTACTAAAAGAAATACAAAATGCATAAATGTATTAATGGCAAACACCCTGTCCACTCCAAAGAAAAGTATTTTAAGAATATAGCTGCTATTAGCTTTATAGTGTTTTTATTCTTTTTATGTTGTCCTATAATTTTCTTTCTTAACACAAGTAAATCATTTATCTTTAGATGTGCTTGATGAATGGCTGGTTTCTTCATGTGATAAACAACAAAAAGCCTCTTTATTGTGTGAAATGTAGTCAATTGATAAAATATCTTTTATAAATAAACAATTTTTTCTTTTTCATAAAATAACTACAATTACTTTCTCTTCTTCAAGAAACTGCATAATCATACGAATGTGGTTGCTTTTGGAATGAATGGGAGTGTTCTCTAGCCACCTCTTCTCTACCCGGTATTCTGCGAACATGTCCGATAGACGATGGTTCCTAAGAAAAAAAGTCTGAAAAAAAATATACTCTATTTTAGTAAGTGACTACAGTTGTCTGCTTTGCTCCCAAGATCAGCGGAAACAACAAGGTCAAAAAATTCAACTTAGCCTAAATGAACAAGATTGGCCTCTGTATTGGTCGTTTCTCTTACAGCCAGAAATTAATCAATCCTTTAACTTCCAATCTTGGCTGTATACGCCAATATTACTGGTACTTTATGAACAAGACTATCAGTTTAGGCCAATTTCTTCGCCATCATAATTTCCTTCACTCTTTTCTTCTCTTTGTAAAGAATGGTTTATATCAGTCAAAATCACGCACTTTGCATTTATTACCAACTAAAGTTTAATAAAGAAAGCGTTGTTAAAGTCCTAGAGATGTTTCAAGCATTAATTGTGCTATTTGACTGATCCTACAGTTCCCGTACTTGTGTTGAAATCAAGGGTATATGGCAATTTTTTTTGTTTAAGGAATATTTCACGGAAGAGGTACTAAAAGAGAACGTTTTAAATGAATCTTTCACAAAGCTAGGTATGATTTCAGTTTTTTAATTGTGATGATTTCACTAATTTGCCATTTAATTCATTAGAATCAAAATCCCAAGTCATAAAATTCATAAATGAGGTGTATTCTATTGAATCAGTTCTTGATGATATGTATAAGTTGAAAACAGTATTACTTTCAGCTATTTTTAGTAAAATGGTACAGCACTCAACATATTTCAACAAAAAAAAACATTGAACAGTTTCAGTGCATTTTGTGGAAAACACAAATTAAACTTTATCTCAGATGAATCATCACAAAAAAAGATCCAAAAACGAAAATGGTTCTTATAAACGGTAATGGAACCTTTATGTTTTACAAGATAAATATCAAGATAAAATGAAGGTGCTTTATTCTGACTTCCTTATTAATTGTTCATTTGTAGTGAATGTGCTGAGCAATATAGTGAAATACGATGAAAAATACAGAACCTTTTTAAAGACACAGAAAGAATTGGGTTTACAGGTAATTGGATACTCCCGAAAATCGCCTGGTGATAAAAATAAAGAAAACAGGACAAAACTGTTAAGAAGGATGATTGAAAGATTAAGAACTCAGTCTCCGGCAAATAAAGTCTTTGTCTCAAAAACTTCCACTGTTGATGAACCCTTTGATGAACGAGATGTTAATAAAGATAATGTAGATGAAGCAGATGGCTCTACAGTAGGTAATAGACGACACATGTTGAAAGCAAACTTGAATTAAAATATTCTGCTTTTTAGATCTTATAGAGCTCTTACACTCCACAAAAAAAAAGAAGTAATATTAATCGCCCTGGATTACGCAGATTTATCAATAAAGACTACAGACTTGAAAGAGTCTCTAGGTAAATAGCAAATAAATATTTGATTGACTGACATTTGATTGATTGATATGTTACCAAGCATCAAAACATTACAAAAATAATAACCGATCGGATGCCTATCACATCCGAAGTAGAGATTGACGAAACAATAGTGTTGTTTCAAGGCCAAACGCTATAAAGAAGTTCAATTGCAGAACACAACCGATACGAAGACCTTTGTGAAAATAAAGCAGTCCAATAAGTTATTTTATGATTATCCTCTTGAATTAATGCACTCCTTTTTTCAAAATCTGCAGTTTATATTTACTTACTATGTAATTGTTGTATATCAATCTGCAGCTCAATTAATATTTTATACTCTTGTTGTATACAGGCTCTGGCTTAGATACTACCAAGTGCTCCCAATTGGCTATCCGCAGCATACTTAGTCAATTGTGTTATGTTTCTACACTTTATCGAAAAAAAAATTCATTAGAAAAAAATAAAATATTAAATAGAAAGGTGTACATTTTTTTTGCAGAAATTAAAATAAGCCATCATTTCTACTATCAGATTCGCTTTTTTTGAGTTTTTTATGTTTGGGCATACATAAAGGAATATATTTATGCAAGTTTTGAAGAAGTTGTGATACTCTAAAGAAATATTCGAATTTCACTATTTTGCGATTTGTGATCGATAGAGTCTTATTACGAATTGTTTCTCTAAATCTATAGAACACATTCAAAGTGTTACATCTACAAAAGTAATATAAAAAGTGTACGCTGCAGCTCAAAAACAGATATTACATTTCTAAAGGTTAGCTCACTATCTTGATGTTAAACATGCTCAGTTTTCTTACATCATTCAATGAGCCATATTTATTTCTACCAGTTTTGCTAATACACTTTTGGTCTTGAATTTCTAGTTTTTGACATAAATAAAACTCTATTTGACAATACCATCCAATCCTATTTAAATATTGAAACTATTTCAAGTGAGCCTAAAAAAAATCACATTATTTTAAAATGAATATCTTAATAAGTCATCAACAAAAGACTGGTATGTCAAAGGACCTTTGGATTAAGATAACTTTGTTGCCGAATTTGAATGACAAAAAAACTAGACTAACTTTTATTCGGGGTCAATGTATAGATGACTTAAACTGTTTTATTTTACTAGCCAACATGGCTTCAGAGACTGTCCATAACTTCTTTGCAAGTTCTTGATCATTTGCAAGTGGATTCAAAAATCTTCGGTTGACTGCATTGTCTGCATAAGACTCACCCTTCACAACATCAGGAAAAACAGCACAATAGACATTGGTAGAGGCACCCATTTTAACATTTTTTATATGAAAAAGATGAATAAGAGCAGCCGCATAGTTCTTCATTCGATAAAGCATATCAACAACGGCAACAAAACCAGTGGTTCGGCCTAAATTAGTACGCACAACACCAGGATGAAGACTGGTGACAGTTACATCTACGTCTTCAGCATCAAAACGACATTGCAATTCCTTGGCATGAAGAATATTGGCGAGCTTCGATTGAGCATAATTACCAAGAGGAGCATAATATTTCTCTGCATTCAAGTTGTCAAAATCAATCCCTTCACGAGATGCCAGAAGATAATTTCCACTGGAACTCACATTCACGATACGAGCAGGAGCAGAGGCTTTGATTTTCTCAGTAAGCAGGCTAGTAAGATAAAAATGTCCCAAATGATTCACACCAAATTGAGTTTCGAAACCGTTTTTTGTAAATGATTTTGGACAGGCCATGATACCAGCATTGTTGATCAAAAGGTGAAGAGGTAGGTCAAGCGACAAGAAATCATCAGCAAATTTTTTAATGGTGGTCAGATCCCCTAAATCAAGTTGCATAGGAACCAGGTCAGCATGAGGCACTGTTGTTCGGATGTGTTCAATAGCACCTTTTGATTTTTCAAGAGAACGACAAGCAATGATGACTTTTGCACCTACAAGAGAAAGGACACGGGCAGTTTCTAAGCCTGTACCGGAATTGGCACCAGCGACAATCGCTACTTTGCCTTTCAAGTCGGTTTGGTAGAGTCTAACAATTTGTCCAGCAGTAGTTTTCCAGTTGATTTGATTCATTTTTCTTTGTTTAGCCATCGTTACTTATCATCACTCCATTATATATATATGCAAATACTGAGTTTGTATTTTAAGCATCTTACACATCTTGCCAAATAGAGAATATACCATGTTTAGTCATTACGTATACTTGTTAGTCAGTGCTTCTGCCAATCCAGTCAAGTATTGTAAATACTATTTACCAAATATACGGTATTTTTGGACCCCCCAAAAAAGGGAACTCGTAAAAACATGGCCAAGATATGCCTCTGATTCAAAGGATATTACCGATGAAAATCTTTTATTTGAAGATTCTTTAAGCTTCTTTTTGACGTTGCAAAACGAGAAATAGAACTATTGGCAAGCTTAACCACTCAAAATGAGCCTCAGGCGCTCTAGTTTTTTGGTGAATGCATTTGCTTGCCAATTGTGCTACGGAAATGGTAAGATATAAGCGAAAAGCCTCATGAACATTTTTGTCTATTTTCTCAATACTTTAGCAGCCATATATTGTATTTGGAATTAATTTCTTAACATTAGTCTTATGCTTTTGACAGAAGTATAAGGCAGAAACAACCGCCAGAACCTCTTGTCAAAGTCCGTCTGTCGACAAAAAAAAACCGTGACGTGAAATTTAACAAATGCTGCACTTTTTCTTTTTTTCATATTTTTCTTTTAATCATGTCGTCGTCTGAACAAGACTCCCCAAAATTCACTGATGCATTAAAGGTAAACACAAGAATACCTCCTTTTTTAGCATGTGCTTATGCAAGTCTTTAGACAGTCAAGCTGGAAGACTTCAAGGACGTCAACAAGATCCCTTGCGCTAGAAACGCTTTATTATACGGCATTGGTAATTATGCGCAGAGAATCGTCTGCATAGTTAATCATGTTGATAGGCGCTGGCGTTGCTATGGGTATGGTTCGTTTCGCCACTCGACGCTCCATTCCTACTGCAGCCAATTGGGCAGTAGGCTCGTTTTGCGGTGTATCTGTTGTTTCTTTTGAAGCATGCCAGTGGCAACGAAAGCAAAAGCTCGAAAAAATGCGATTGATTGTAAAGGCAACTGATTCTAGACAACAAAGACTTGATGAAAAGATGGTTGTGACTGAAAGAGGAAAAAACGGTGCTTTCAATGTAGTGATTGAAACTCCTGCTGATGCTTTAGAGAAGCAAGATGACCAACAGTAAAACTAGTGACATTCAAAAAAAAATCTTGTACATAAACAAAACATCATCTTGTTTGTATGTTTCTTTTATTTTTGTTTTTTCTTTTTTTTTTTTGAATCAAAGGATACTCACTGTGTCTTAATTTTTTGATGCATGCTTAAATGTCCTTGTGCTTTATCTTTAAGGAGAAGCACATAAGAACTAAGATTTTCAAGAAGAGGGACAACTTGATCTTGAATATGAGCAGTGACAAGCTTGAATTTCTCGACATGGCTAATATCAGTACGAGCAAACTCATTAAGGATCAAAGCAATTTGTTTGTTTGTAAGTTCAAGAAGAGCATTTATCTTTTGCTTCACCCATTCAGGTGTTTCAGCTGACTGAACTTTTAGCTTTTCAGTCAGTTGAACAACTTGATTTTGAACCATAGACATGACCTGATTAACATATTCTATTGTGGATCGAACACGAGATGTGGCAGAAGCAGGTAGACGATCTTGGGCAGCATTTGTATAGACAGTAACGGAATGAACCAGGGTTTCTTGTATGAGCTTCAGTTGTTCAAACATGTTTTGAACCGTTGGATTGCTTTCAGCCAACTGAGCCAAATCATGACGAGACTTGGGTAAGTGAGCTGTTGAGCGAGATACTTTTTGACTAATACGACGAGAAGCTTCATTTAATACACCGTATGCGCGCTTCACTTGATTATTTTCAGAGTTTCCTTTTTTGCTTTTATTATCTGATGTCTGTTCTTTATCATCACATGATGGTGGAAGATATCTATCAACAACATCCTCCAGGTTATCGACTACAATCGTACCAAATTGCTTGTTGACGGATTGGATAGCAATGTGAGCAGGATGAGCTACTGTCTGAAGAGTAGAATTCAGCTTTAGTTTGACACCATCTATGATATGGTAAGGAGTAACAGTCTGAATGATATCTGAGCTAGGCCTTGTTATCATGGGCACTTTTGATTCAATCGCGTCAAGCGATAGACAGCCTAATACGTTTGCTTTTTCAACATGAGGTTGAAGATATTGTTGATAACAGTCTTGAAGATATTTAGGCTGATTGTTGAGAGCGTAATGATAAGTGGAATTAACTGTTGATAAGGCATATCTACCCACAAAAGACTTATTGGCAATAGCCTGAGCAGTAGACATGCTATCTTTCACAAGTGGGATAGAAATAACACGCTCAACAAAATGCTCCTGATTCTTATTCTTTTCGTTTGGCAATGCTTCTGTGTGCTTTACGGCATGTCCATTTTGACCTTTTAAAGCAGATTAGCAACATAACAAATCTGTATATAATACACTCTACCATTTTCTGAAGGTTGATGTCTAACAATTCGACCCATATTATTTAAAGAGAAGAAGAAAAAAAAGAAGAAAGAGATAGCGTGAGAATGAGGTGGCTCGTATTTATTTTATATGGAAGAGATCATACTCTTTTCTAAACAATAACAGTTTTAAGTTCAATCCCTATTCAATTCTAAACCATGTGAATATCTCAACATAAAGAGCTAAAATGTTACTTGATTATCACATGCAATAAGGTGTTGGCCAGTGCCTTAATCTGAGTCTGAATAACTTCCTCTCTACTGTATGCACAACTGTTGAAAAAAGAGAGAAAAGAAAAGGCTATGGATATCTATCTTGATGTATTACATTAATAGTAACAAAGGTCATATATCAATAGAAAAAATAGGCTGACTTTTTTTTTTTTTAAAAAAAACCAACAGGAATAAAGCATGATGTATTTTTCTTTTTTTACAAAAGAATAAATGTTTCAAGTTAATAAGTAAAATATTTTCAAACACTTTATTCTTGTGTACATAGATAAAGCATAAAACTTGAACTCTCGAGTATCAACGGCTACAATATTGATTTCATTAGATAATACTATGTTTAGTTGGTACATTTTCTTATCACTTAATGTTGAAAATGAATAATATGACATGCGCAAGTTGCTAAATGAGTTTCGAAACCTGATAGTATTTCTTATTGAGAGTGTTTCTTTTGAACCAGCTTTGATAACAAGCAAATAAAAGAAAAGATTGGCATTATATGTTAACAAAGAAGACGACTTTTCTTGAGGCGGAAGATTCATAACATAGTTCTTTCGCCAAGGGCCATAAAGTTCTTTTGCAATTGTTTCGTATATCAAATCATGTCTATACATATATTTTTTGGTCCAGAGTTGAAAAGAAGTCTGACTTCTCTAAGAGTATTAAATGGCTTCATATGTCTTTCTTATTTAACAATGTCAAAATACAGGCTATTCTTGACATCATAGAGCCTTTATATCCATAGAATAAGGCTATACAAACTTATAAGTTCAATTTTTAAACTAGGGAGACATTTGTTGGTAATTTATCAAGGTTGCATTGACAATTTCGACTAATTAAAACCTTATAATGACAGTTCGTTTAGTAAAGAATTTGCAGTCATTCAATTCAAACGGGCTGAAAAGTCTAAAATAAGCTTTCTTTTATAAGAATAGAGATGATCTATAATCCTGCTGCTGTAAAGCATGTCTCTTTTTAGAAAAAAAAAAGGCCCCTTGAAATCGGTAATAAAGTGTTAATTTAAGCTTTCAAATTACATTTCTCAGTATTTAGTAAAAAAAAATGGTTAAAAATGCAATGGTTCAATACACACTAAAGAAAGGATCTTGAGGATCAACTTAAATTTTGGTTTGGATAGAATTATGATAGAACTAAAGATAATCCAGGTACACGATCAAGGTTAGTACTAGTTACACCGTTTGAATCGGCTTGTGAAAGAAGAGGCCCGACACTAAGCTCTTTCCATGATTGCCAGACTTGACGGACATCCCGTTTTGATTGATCTGATAAAACGATACAAAAGATGGCATCATATCCACCAGCTATTAAAATGTGTTAGTCATTTTTCTCATTTTCATTTTCCTCTTTCTTTTTTTTTTAATTGTTACCTCCAGGAACACCAGCCATAACAACACCAGGCACATTCATGCATTCATTTAAAAGTTGTGTTTGTTCTTGTGGTTCAATAGGGACTTCAGAAAGCTTGCTCATTTTTTGCAAAAGACTTCGAACGTTAGCAAAACCATTCACAAGACGGACCATTTCTTCAGCAATGAGTCCTGATACAGTATGCCATTCAGTTGTCTTTAATTGAGCACATGTCTCGATTGTTTGGTTGTATTGCTCAGTATTGTTGTCGTGCAAAGTTACTAGTTGGCGGAAATGTTGTTCGACAAGAGAGTTGTATTTGCCCAACTCATTCCAGAGAGATTCAGCTGACAATGATTGTAAGCTCAATGCGATTGTGTTCTTTACTTTACCTTCTTCAGGCTTAGACTTTTTCCATGCCAACACTTTGCCAACCAAAGTAGGTGTATGGCTACCAGCATCGATGTCAGCCAACATGAGATCAAAGCCAGGTGGTAATTTGAATGGAGCAACATCATTATCCCAACTAATAACAAGACCTGCGAGATAAGTATGCGTCTTTTTTTCCTATTTTTCTAATTTTTTTTTTTTTTTTTACCTTTTGTTATCAGCATCAAGTACTTCTGATAAAACTTTGGTATCAATTCGCTCATCCTGATATAAAAAAAAGACAGGGTGAACAAGGTTGTTTCTCCTTATTTTGTCCTACCATAATGGATGATAAAATTGAAGGATTGAATCTCTTGTAACGATGGCTACCCCAAACTGCAGAGGATACATCAAATCCACTTCCGACTTTTCCTTGAGCAAAGCAATGAACAAATTGAGCCACATTATGTATCAATGTCTTTTCTTTTTGATCAAGTGAATCCGTCACTACGTTGAAATGAAGCAAGAGAGCTGCAACTAGTGAAGTCGTAAGTGCAGCAGAACTACCAAGACCAGTTTTATGTACTGTTGATAATGTAGCATGTGTCTTGCAAAAGGGGTCAAGAGAAGCCAATGCTTCTGCAGTATTTGAAAGACCTTTAGACTCCAACTTTCATGATCATCAGTCGATATCTTTCAAAAATTGACAATCTTACCTGGGCACGTTGGGAGTAAAAATCATTATCACCAACAATAGTAATGACAATTCCCTTTTGCAACAATGCTTTGAATTTATTTAGAGCAATTCGTTGGTGAATCACAGCAAGAGTGAATTTTAAACATGTCTCTACAAACTTATTTTGTGTTTCCTTTGTGCTAAAGAAAGTATCAATAACATAAAATCAATAAAGAAGTATATTTACATTGTTTCAAACTTCAAGCTATCATTCTCTGAAAATGCTTTGTATTGCCAAGTAGCGTTTTCAAACTGAGGTGAAAGAACAGTGATTGTGCCTGAACTGAGTTGCTCATCAGATTTAATAACAGTATAGAAACGAGCAGAAGCACCAACAACCAAGCCACTAAAAGCTTGTTCTAACACTAAGTAACCACCAGCTAAAAGTACTTTTCCAGGTGCAGAAGCAATAGTACAAGTCATATTCTTGTATATTTTAAAAAAAAAAGAAATGACGCGAGAGAAAGAAAGCGTGCGCGGAGCAAGTTTTTTTTTCCTTTCCTTTCATTCGGGACACAAACTCTAATCATTTTGATGGGCAAAAGTACTTGTAATACAGCATATTCAAAAAAAAAAGTAGGGGCTTTTGATACTATAAAAGCAGTACTTTAGCTCTCTCTCTTTTCTTTTTTTTCCCTCTTTTACATATATATAATTTCCATTTTGCTCTTTTTTTTTTTTTTTTTTTTTTTTTTTTTTTTTTTTTTTTTTTTTTTTTACAAACATTGCTTCTTACGACTTCTCTTTTTTTCGTATCACATAATTTATATGTCCATTGTTGATAACTATAAAAATAAAAAGATGACAGCCGCAACAACTGCAAACTCATCGATATTCCTGAAAAAAGCCAATAAATCAAGTGCGACTGTCAGGACAAAAAAATCAGTTACTAATGATACTAGAAAGAACAGATCTTTTTCATTGGGCAGTAAAATTCAGTCAGCTACGTTATCTCTTGTTGCCTCAGTATCGAGAAAAAGACCAGCTGCAAACAAAAAGACAGCAAAGAAGATCATTGTGGAGCCTTCCTTGTCTACGTCTTTGACTACTTTATCAACAGAAGATCGTCCCAATAGAATAAAATGCACTACAAGGCCATTATCACAATTTTTCTTTCCAATTAAACAAAAGGAAGATGATGCCGAAGAAGACAATGAAGATGATTTCTTGATGAAAAATACAAGTTACATTGAAAATGGACTTTATCGACAGCAGCAACAAGAATATCATCCACAACAACAACAAACAAAGCGGCGGCAATTTAAAAGAATGAGTCTAGGAGTAGACTTTGATCGACAACAAAAGCAGACAAGTAGCAGTACTTGTTCAGAAAATGGTACTTACTCTAACAGTTCATCCCGATCTTCTTCTCTTAAAACAATCAGAACGAGTTACATAGAAGACGAACTAGCCAATGAACTTACGATACAGTCGGATATTACTCTTTCTTCTTATACATCACAAATAGCAACAAAAGAGCACCAATGTCTCTCTCGCTCCTTCTCATATGCCAAAGAAAAGCGCTTTTCCGGTGTAGCACGAGCACGTACTGTCCTTGGCTTTGATTCCCATAAATCTAGGGAAAGCCGAGCCGTTGGAGTGTGGCGAAACACTGTTTCTCAACTGTTATACGAATCAGGAACCATATGGACCGACAAAGTCATTCTAGAAGAGGGCACTCATCAAGACTTATACAAAATAATGGCGCATCCTGCATTAGCTGTATGTACTACCCAAAACTATATTTGTTTTTGTAATTCCTTCTCATGTCCTCTTTTTATACAGTCAGAAGCTACTTTAGAAAGCCAGCGGTTTGTACGACATTCTTCACCAAAGAACCTCTCCATGGTTAAATTTATCTTAAATGAATTATCGGAGACGGAAAGATCTTACAACCAATTGCTGAAGCTGATACAAGATGTAAACAAGATAATGGCTGATAAAATTGTCTTATCACTTACTCATATCTTGCCTACATAGCGTTACATGAAGCCAATGATTGCTGCTTCGCAGTCCAAGGACCCCTTAGTGAAATCAACAGATATTTTGTTCTTGTTTAGTCACTTGCCTGAACTTGTTGAACTATCAGATAAATTGCTAGATCAGTTTCAATCAACAAACAAGATCGGCCAAGTATTTAGATCTATGGAATCATATCTTGTCGTCTTTTTAAAATATGCTATGCACTACAGGGCAAACATCAAGACAATCAGAAAAGCATGTAATAATGTTCTTTTCGTGAAAATCAATCAAGTAAGCAACACATGCCTTTCCGCATCTTCTTATGTAATCTGTAGGAAAGTCTCGCACGAAGAGACACAAATCGTTTAGGTATGTCTGATTACTTGATTGCGCCTATACAAAGAATACCACGATATTGCTTATTACTTAAAGGTAAGAAAAACAAAAACAAGTTTTTTTTCCTTGTCTAATATACGCCAAATAGATTTACAAAAATACACACATCATTCAGAAAGCCATTGTGCCGATTTAGATTATGCACTTAAAATCTTGACTGGGTTGGCAGTGGCAATGGATCACGTACAAAGTAATAACAAATCAGCCTCATTGCAGCCCCGCACTTCCTTGAAAACACTTTAATCATTGCAGCATTTGTATCATATCTCATCCCATTTTTTTCTCTCTCTCTCTCTTATATGCATAAAGGGAACAGTTACTTATTTGTTTAAATATGAGTCTGTAATGTGTACGTTAAAAACAAATTTAAATAGGGGCATGTAATTTCTTTTTTTTATTGTTATTGAACGCAGATAAAAAAAACTTATATATGAATGCTGAGAAAAAAAAATGGGGGAGAAGTGGGGTTATATAATTGGTTAATTAGTGTCATCCTTTGGCCAGACATTCAAGGCTTTGTATTCATTGATAATCTCTGTCAATTTCTCTTGTGTCAAAAAGGGAACACTGTAAGTAAATCCTGTTTCCTTCTCAATCTTTGAACCATCAACTGAAAGTGCATTATTGTACAAGAGTTCTTCATCAAGGTAAGGAGATAATGGTGTAACAGAAATACCACTCTTTTGAGCCAATTCTGCCCAAGGCGCCAAATGCTTTTCATTAACAGCTTCAATAACAGCATCTTTGTTTAGCTATACTACCATGAGATGAACAGTCCCTTTTACAAAATACTATTACCTTTGCAAAAGTAGATACAACGGTGCCATGATAACCCGTCTTGATATTGAAAATAGATTGTAATTGCTTATTGATTGCTTCTTGATCTACTTTTTGTGTAAATATTTGATACTATGCACATTCGTTAGTCTACCTGTGTCTTGCTTATCTGCCAAGTTGAAAACGGGAGCTTCCTTAAAGGTACTTTGACTGCTAGTCTGAACATACCACTGTGCCAAGTGCCAGCAAGCTCTAGAAACATCGTCTACATGGACTGTGTTTAATTTCAAGTCTTTGGACCAGAGTAATTTCATTTCTTCGTTTAGATATTTGTATATTCTGCCGATAATTAAGCGGGGTGCTAATTATGATGAAGACGTATGTGATTAATATCACAACAGCACGTTTTATACAACTTACTTAATCCCAAATTCGCACCTGGACCATACACGACAGCAGGACGAAGAATAATCAAGTTGAGTCTATAAAATATAAATAAATCCCTTCTCTTTCTTGTCTTTGAATCACAAACCCTTCAATCTTCTTCAATGCTTCCTCGGCCTTGTATTTGTGTTTACCAATAACAGTCCAAGGATTGATTTTAGAAGTCTCGGCTGAAGCGCCCTAATGAAAATCTTGTTAACAAACTAGACCCTTTAAAGCCCTTACTTACCTGGTTACTGTCATAGACTTCAGCTGTAGACATTTCAACAAACACTTTAAGCTTTCTTTTGGCAGCTTCTTTTGCGCAATTGACAGACAAATTGAAGATGCGTTCTTGATATATTTCAGGAACCTGAGAGTATTTGGTCTCTGCAGCAAAGTTGAAGACATAATCAAACTCCTTTCCATCTTCTCTATCGAAACAAGCCGAGATAGAAGCTAAATAAACAAGGTGAATAGGTTTTCTTTTTCCATTCTTTTTTCGTACCTTGATGAATCAAATTAGCTTGTTTGAATTCGACTTTTTCAAAGTCTTTTTGAAAAGTTTCAGACAAGTAAGCAGTTTGAGGCAACATCTTGTCGGCAACGCGGATCTCGCCCACAAGATTGTTGGTCAATAAGTAGTGAACAAAATTTCTACCAATAAAACCTACACCACCCAATACAAGTACGTTTGGTTTTTCCATATCAACTATAAGCGAAATAAGAAGAAAAGAGCGTGAATGATAATAGACGCTGTAACCACTTTAAATATTTAATCTTGGGAGAGTCTGTACCACATTAAATCGAGAAATGCAAGTTGGGGTTGTAAACTCAGATAAAAGGACTTTTTCTCTCCCTTTTTTACAAAGCCAGTTTGCGACCAAATCATGCAATTCAATAACAATGAAATTTTATGTGTTGTATGACAGATTGATAAAGGACCATGAAGTGTTGGATTGATTTATCATCACTCTATAGTATGTAATTCATTTGATCAACTTTCAACACTCCTGATTTGTACTACAAGCTTAAACTCAACAATAAGACTCAATAATTAAGCTTTGAACATGTTACGACAAAAGCGTGGATTTAGCTTCTTTAAAAGAACAAATGTTACTTTTTCAAATAAAAGGGGATCGAAAAAACCAAGGCCCTTTTTAATTGTGGAAAGTTGGATCCAGTGATAGAATGGACATGTCGTATAAACATGGCACCAATAAATGGTTGTAATATGAGGTCAATCAATTTGGTGCAACTTGTATTTCGATACTCTTTCTTTCTCTCTTACTCTTCTGATTGACTGTAAATACTCTCTACTGCATTTAATCATATAGCAATTATACATATAACAAATGGATTATATTGATTCTACATCTATTTCTCCGCAAACTTTGCAAAGAAACAAATCAACATCATCGCAATTGAGCGACGGCAAGCCTCGCAGACAAAGATCATTAGTTCGTCCAGAGCGTGAAAGAAATGATCGAAACAGCCGATTGTACTATTATAGACAACGGGCAACTCAAGATACACCATCAGATCCAACAAGAAATCAACCTGTAAAAACAATCCCACAAGATCCAACGTTTAGGAGATCGACTGCAAGAGAGCAGTTTTTGCGACGTGGTAAAAGCATTCTCGGTAGAGAAGAAAAGGACGTAATTGAAAATACAACAAACCAAAAGACAAATTGGTTTTCAGGGTTTGACCCTTGGATGACTTATTGCAGACTGATTACATTCTGCATTCCAGGGCCAATTTTAAGATGTGCAGGTAAAAAAGACAAACAAGTGATAAAAGAAAGGAATTAATCATTTTAAAGGTATCCCAAATGGCCCTGCTCAGCTCGCTTGGCGAGAAAAAATAGGGCTTGTTTCATTTATCTTGTTCATCATGGGTTGTGTTGGTTTCCTGACATTCGGATTTACACAGACAGTTTGTCCTGTACCACCCTTGAGTGTTCATGGAGGACAAGTCAGTCCTGGTTACTTGATTATCAATGGCTGGGCATACATGCTGGCGGAATGGGAACATCCAGTTGGTCCTACCGACGAAACGACCAATATTCTTTATCCACCTATCAATGCTGGTGGCATGGATGCCTCTTTCTTGTTTCAAACACTTCATCCAGAATGCGATTCTGTATTTATACCCCTACAGCAAGACCAACCAATCTACTTTCCTTGTCAACTGTTCAATCCAAACAAAACTGAAGCACCTCTTTCTTCTCAATTTATGAATCGGACAGGTTGTCATTTCTCTACAGATGCACGCAATTTATACGATCGCTTTCAAATTCAAGGCATTCCCAAAAAGACTGGAGGTTTTGATAAAGCTGCTCGTGTATTTTATGATTGGGAAGATGTGAAAAGTGGTGATTCACTTGCTGTATACAATGGGTAAGGACAGACATAATTTTATTTCTTTAACAATAGCATAGCGATATTCTGAATCTCAAGCTATTGTTGTCACTGCCATCAACTTATTTTGGGACAAGACCAGGCGGATTAATCGAGAGTATTTTGTCCAATATTGATAACTATGTAGGAAAAGATTTGACAATGACCATCAATGCAAACAGAGCTAAAAGCAATTCATGGGAAGAAGAAGCTAAATGCATGTCTGCTACAATTAAAGTCGGTTCCATGGATACAATTAGCTTGGGCTGTATGGCTTCTAATATCGTCCTTTACGTCTCTCTCATTGTTATCTTGGGCGTCATTATTGTCAAGTTTGGGCTAGCTATAATCTTTGGTTGGTTTTTATCTTGGAGACTGGGAAATTTCAAAGAAGGCTCTTCCTATACTGCAAGAATGGAACGAGAGGCAGAAATTGAAAATTGGACAGAGAATATGCAAGCTACAGCACCCTTGCCAAAACTTCGAGTTCAGTCTACTATGCAAGGGAATTCAAAAAGAAAAAGTGTGTTTCCCCAAACTTCTCGATTTTCTCGACCTTTACATGGATCAACTCGATTCAATCATGAGAAAAACGCACCTTCGTTGTCATTATGGCCAACACCAAATAGGTAATATATTATATGCTTATGTCTTTGTTCACCATCTTTAGTGCTTTGGAAAGCCATATTAGTCGTCAAAATAACCTTGAAGGGATTGATACCAGTCGTGTTTCGCTTTTCAATGCTCCTTCTAGGCTAATGAAGACAGAAGGACATTATCGTCAGGCATCTGGATTCTCTTCTGATTTAACAAACTCTACAGACACAAGCTCTACAGGACCCATATGCCCTTTACTACTATCGGAGTATGCACTAAGACAGCCTTCCTCAAGTTATATGCCTTTCAATTTTCCTTTGGCTCATACTATATGTTTAGTTACTTGCTATTCTGAAGGAGAAGCAGGCATTCGAATCACACTTGATTCAATTGCTACGAGTGATTATCCAAATAGCCATAAACTCTTGCTTGTCATTTGTGATGGCCTCATAACTGGCTCAGGTGAAACTCAGTCCACACCAGATATCTGTGTTGACATGATGCGCGATCTAATTGTTCCAAAAGATCAAGTACAGCCCTTCTCTTATGTTGCTCTGGCTGATGGCTCTCGACAAAATAATATGGCAAAAGTATATGCAGGTTTCTATAAATACGACAACTCAACTGTAGCTCTTGAGTATCAACAACGTGTACCTATGGTTACTATAGTAAAGTGTGGTACTGAACAAGAAAGAGAGAAAGGAAATAAGCCAGGCAATAGAGGCAAACGAGACTCTCAAATCATCTTGATGCAATTTATGCAAAAAGTGATGTTTGATGAAAGAATGACAAGGATGGAATATGAATTTTTCAATCGCATTTGGCAAGTAACTGGCGTACCTCCTGATGCCTATGAAATTGTGTTGATGGTAGATGCTGACACAAAGCTATTTCCTGATGCTCTTTCGAGACTTATCTCTTGTGCTGTCAAAGATCCTGAGATTTCTGGGTTATGCGGTGAGACCAAAATTGCAAATAAGACGAGTAGTTGGGTGACAATGATCCAAGTTTTTGAGTACTACATCTCTCATCATCAGTCAAAAGCATTCGAATCTATATTTGGTGGTGTCACTTGTTTACCAGGCTGCTTTTGTATGTATCGAATCAAGGCACCCAAAGGACCTGATGGCTATTGGGTGCCCATCCTTGCCAACCCTGATATTGTTGAACGCTATTCAGAAAATGTAGTTGATACTCTCCACAAAAAGAACTTGCTGCTGTTAGGTGAGGATCGCTATTTATCTACATTGATGCTTCGTACTTTTCCCAATCGAAAGATGATGTTTGTTCCACAAGCTGTGTAAGTATCAAACAGGAATTTCACAATGAATAACAGCAATAATTAAATAGATGTAAAACTGTTGTACCAGAGACATTTCTAGTTCTGCTATCTCAGAGAAGAAGATGGATTAATTCGACTATTCATAATCTAATGGAGCTACTTTTCGTGCATGACTTGTGTGGCACTTTTTGTTTCTCAATGCAATTTGTTATATTTATGGAGCTAGTAGGTACCTTGGCTTTACCTGCAGCTATTTCGTTCACAGTCTATCTCGTCGTGATGGCTATCTTAGGGCAACCAGCTCTGATTCCACTGATTTTACTGGCACTTATTCTTGGCTTGCCAGCTGTTCTAATTGTCATGACAAGCAGAAAAGTTGTTTATGTTGGCTGGATGCTCATTTACTTGATCAGTTTGCCTATTTGGAATTTCGTGCTACCTAGTTACGCCTACTGGCATTTTGATGATTTTTCTTGGGGTGATACTAGGAAGGTTGCAGGTGCCGAAGCTGACAGAAAAGCAAATCATGGAGACAAAGAAGGTGAATTTGATAGTAGTATCATTGTCATGAAGAAATGGAGTGAATACGAGAAACAACGAAGAGTAAATGAAGCCATTGATCGAAATCTGCCAATTCCACGTTTTGCCAACAACAAGAAAAAAACTGTAGATGTGTTTCGCGATTCGGCTATACCCGTAAAGAAGCTCGGATCAGCTGGCTCCAGTGATAGTGATGTTCCGCTGACTCAAATGGGATATTTACCCGCAGGATCAGGCAGAAATAACGGTATGGAACAGTGTTCCAACTATAGAGAAAAACCAAGATTTGTTCAAGGAAGTCTCTGTTCCTCGGCTGAAATTGACATACCACTGTTTAGCTTGAAGAATGACCCTACACAAAAGTCACACTATTTGCCATCCCGTGCTGAGCATGAGATAGGATTGAATACTTCTATGGTTAATCAAGACAATCAAGATATCAGACAATTCCCATTAAACTCACCTAGCAGATCCAATTATCTTCAAGGCAGCTCCATATGGTCTGATCCTGCATCCCGTCATCATCAACAAGTCTTGGAATGGTCCGATAATCAAAAGCCTATTCCACCACTACATCGTAATAGTTAATTTGATTTCTTAACCCAAAAAAAAAAAACGAATGTTTCTATGTAAATATTTTATAAGTATTGAAGAAATAAAAAGCACGATTTTTTTCATAAATAAATTATGATAAAGGTATACATACAAAAGTGCATCGTATGCTCGTATTGGCATTGTTTGCCTTTATCTTTTCTCGCTCGGTTGACTGTTGTACATACACAATGTCTCTAACAAAAATGAGTGAATAAAATGAGTGAATAAAATGGTTCAACAAACAAAAAAGAGCAAAAAGTGCAACGTAGTACTGTCACTGCTTCTTTTTTTTATCTCGTGATTTTCTGATCCATCTTGCATTCTTTTGTTTGTTAAAGAGTGTGTATAATTTGTAAAATGATTTTGTCATTTTCCATGTGGCAAAAACAATCGTTCAAAAAAAAAAAGAAAAAAGGAAGAAATATGATTCGTCAAATTAAAAAAATCGTTGAACAAACACTCATCTTCCAAGCATTTAATAAAAATTCTCACCTCTTTTTTTTTTGTTTTCTGATTTTGTGTTACCTTGGTCCTAGGATTTCTAAAAAAAATTAAGAATTAGTCTGAAATAAAGCAAGTTTAAGTGTCTATTTTCATGTAGATCAATTCATAAACTGACATATAAACTGCCAAATAAGAAAAAATGTATGTCTTTTAGTGAAAAAAAAGGAAAACGAAAGAAACACGGGCCCACTCTGTTTTCTTTCTAGAGCTTCTTTTTGTGTATATTGATTACTTGTTAAAGAAACACTCTGTTTCATTAACAAGGCATGATGTATAATTCAGGCTAAAAAGAAAAAGATTCAAAAAGTCATGCAGTTTTGTGAAATGTTTTCTGTTTTAGGATAATAAAAACGGCCGTTTTCAGATTAACTTTTTCTCACCTTGTTATGCATAAGGTTTAAATGAATAAAGTCTTGTTGGACTATAGTCAAGAACAAAACAAAATACAATAATAACAAGAAAAATAGGCAATAGTAACTTTAAAAGACATGTACATATAGATGCACATGTGACTATAGCATATGCACACGCTGTAAACTATCCACGCTTTGGCAAACAAGAGTAAAGAAACAAGGTCTTTATAATAAACTACCTGAATTCTGGTTGATCTAACTTTGTTTTATTTGGTATTCGTTAGAAACAATTGTTTTTCCCATAAAGTTAAACGTAAAATAAATTGGACATCACACATATTAGTGTACCCAACCTAGACTCTTTTTAAAAATTCGGATTAAAACAAAAGGTGCTGTAGACATTTGTCTAAATTGTGTCTCGTCGTTTGATCATTTGCTTGTAGTATCTCCAATACTAATCAGACGATTTTGTGTTGACCAAAAAAGAAAAAATAAGATTTATTCAGCTATATAAATATTCCTTTTGCCTCTAAATTCTCCCTGTGTGTTTTTACCTTTTTTTTTTTTTTAAACTGTTCAATCAAGTACATCAACTATCAAGTTAATTTTCTTTTGGAGGCAAATAGAAAGGAGAAAAACCATCTTTTTATAGAATACACTAAAGATGCCACTTGAAGAAGAAAAAATAGAAATTCGATCCGACACTAAACCTGAGGACGAAAAGAAAGAAGAAGCTCAATTTGAAGAGCATGAACATGTTGAGCATGAAGATGAAATCTCGCCTGAATTAGAGCTATTGCTTCACACTGATCCTGCTACTGGTCTGACTTCTGCTGAGGTAGCTGAAAGAACTGAAAAGTTTGGTCTAAATGAATTGCCTGAAAGAAAAAGAAATCCTATCATCAAATTCTTGCTCTATTTTACTGGCCCTATTGCTTACTTGATTGAGATTGCCTGTATTATTGCCGCTGTTGTAGGTGACTGGCTTGATTTTGGTATCATTTTGGCTTTACTGTTTATCAATGCTTTAATTGGTTTTATTGAAGAAGCAAAGGCTGAATCCGCTTTGGATGCTCTCCGTCAAACATTGGCTTTAAAGACTCGTTGCTGGAGAAACGGTGAATTGGTTGAAATCAATGTAAAGGAATTGGTGCCTGGAGATATTATTGTACTTCGTATTGGTGATATTATTCCAGCTGATGCCAAGCTTCTTGGTCTTGGTGTAAATGGTGAAATCAATGAAACAGAACTTCAGATTGATCAAAGTGCTCTTACTGGTGAATCTCTTCCTGTGGCTAAGAAGAAGGGCTCCACGGTTTACTCTTCTAGTATTGTCAAGCAAGGTCAGAATCTAGCTATTGTTACCAAGACCGGTGTTCATACCTTTATTGGTCGTGCTGCCAACTTGATTGCTATCACAAATGAAGAAGGTCATTTCCAAAAGATCATCGCAAAGATTGGTAATGTCTTAATTTGGTCTACCATTGTTCTTGTTCTTATCATTTTGGTTTATCAATTGGTTGCTTTCCGAGGTACTCCTGATGGTGACTGGAAGAAAGTGCTTGAACAATGTCTGGTCTTGACAGTGGCTGCTATCCCTGTTGGTCTTCCTACTGTGATGTCTGTCACAATGGCTCTCGGTGCTAAGCAGTTGGCTGGTAAGAAAGTGATTGTCAAGCGCTTGACAGCTGTTGAAGAACTTGCCTCTGTTTCTGTTCTTTGTTCGGACAAGACTGGTACTCTTACCTTAAATGAATTGACTTTTGATGAACCTTGGTTGACAAATGGCTATACAGCAGATGATATTCTCCTCTACTCTTATCTAGCTGCAGAACAAGGTGCAAATGATCCTATTGAATTTGCTGTTCGTCGGGCTGCTGAAGGCTCTCTTGAAATCTTAAAAAACCGTCCTGCAAAGACTCTGGATGTTCCTGGTTACAAAGTCACTTCTTTCCAACCTTTCAATCCCAACACTAAAATGACTGAAGCTACTATTTTGGATTTGGCTACTAATCAATCTTTCCGTGTGGCCAAGGGTGCTCCTCAAGTAATCACTCGTCTTGCAGGTGGCAGTAATGATGCTGTCAATGCTGTAAACTCTTTGGCTCGTCGTGGTCTTCGTGCTCTTGGTGTTGCAAAGACTGTTCCTGGAGACTTGTCCAAGTTTGAATTGGTTGGCATGATCTCTCTTCTTGATCCTCCTCGTCCTGATTCTGCTGCTACCATTCGTGACTGTAACTTACTTGGTGTTGATGTCAAGATGATTACTGGTGATCAATTGATTATTGCCAAAGAAGTGAGTACTCGTCTTGGTATGGGTCGTGTTATTCTAGATGCCAATCATTTGGTTGATCCTACAAAATCAGAAGAAGAAGTAACTGAACACTGTCGTCGGGCTGATGGTTTTGCTCAAGTCATTCCTGAACACAAGTATCGTGTGGTTGAATTGCTCCAAAACAAGGGTTACTTGGTTGGTATGACTGGTGATGGTGTTAATGATGCTCCTGCTTTGAAGAAGGCCAATGTTGGTATTGCTGTTGAGGGATGTACTGATGCTGCTCGTTCTGCTGCTGATATTGTCTTGCTTGCTCCTGGTTTGTCCACTATTATTGATGGTGTCAAGACTTCTCGTGCTATCTTCCAACGTCTTCGTTCTTATGCTCTATATCGTATCACATCAACCATTCACTTTTTGTTATTCATGTTTATCATTACTTTGGTTGAAAACTGGAATATGCCTGCTATCTTGTTGATTATGATCTGTGTATTGGTAAGTCAGTTTTTTTTTATCTTGCACTTTTGAACTTATATCTTTTAATAGAACGATGCTGCTACCTTGGTAATTAGTGTTGACAATACTGAAATCTCTGAACGCCCTGACAAATGGAGAATTGGTCAATTACTCACTTTGTCTACTATTCTGGCTATTCTTCTTTCAGCTCTCTCTTTTGCTCATTTCTATATTGCTCGTGACGTCTTCCATGTTACTCCATATCAATTGCACTCTATCATGTACCTGCATATCTCCTCAGGTAAATGCTAAATAGAATTGAACTTTTTTGTTTACTTTTTTTTAGCTCCCCACTTTGTTATCTTCTCTACTCGTGTCCCTGGTTATTGGTACAAGAATATGCCTCATTGGATTTTTACTGTTTGTATTCTTGCTACTCAAGTGCTTGCTTTATTCTTCTCTGTTTATGGCGTATTTGGTGAAAATGAACGCGTTGCTCCTTGTGGATGGGGATGGGGTATGTCTGTTCTTGCTATCTCTCTTGTTTACTTTATGTTCCTTGATGTTGTCAAAGTATGGGTCTTTAGAAGATGGAACTTTGCTCTTACTGCCAAACTGGCTCCTACCCCTAAACGTCGTGCCAAATTGGAACATCGTGGTAAAGAACAACATCAAAGAGAACGCTTGGAAGGCGCTTGGGCAAACATTCAAGAGTAAGTTTTTAATATAAATATGTTCATTGACTCACTTTATTGATTTATAGTCCTGTGGATGCTTATCAAATTGTTGCTGCCTTCAAGAACGCTGCCAAATAATTCCTTTATACATAAGAAAGAAACACAAAGATTTACGTATTACATTTTACTATCTAATAAACATTAAAGCTGTACATTCCCCTTTTCTTCATGAAGATAAAAGAGATTATGAGAAAAGTTGTTAGAACTCGACATCAATTAAAAACTCAATAATAAAGATTTATTCTGACAATAAGGCCATCTTGGAATACACTACAAATCAAAGAAGCAAGGCTCCAAACGCTATAGTCCATAAAAAAAAGCTACTTGACCTTATGGCTAATGTTTTAGATGAAATGATTGATATACAAGAAAACTGTACTGAGGGTTCCGAGAGCAGACCATTTTTTAGTAACATTTTAAGCTGGTAGGCCAAGGATAACCTTGGGCAGACATGCCCAAAAAAAGTTTTTATTGACAAGTTCAAAAAATGCAAGCGAGAATAACATTATCATGCTGAATCAGTCTATGCCCATTTCTTTTCGTGGTGGAGTAATCATAGTAAAAGAAGTTTGTTGAATGTTGCTAAATAACGTAGTCCACATCTTTTTTCACGTAGTACATGCTTTCTTATAAATACTCTTGAATAAACCACAGACTTTTTGCTCATAACCTTACCTTGACTTCACATTTGGGTGCCATTCCCTAAGCATACTGTTGTTATTTCTTTTTTTATTTATTTATTTCATATAAATCCCTATTTGAACATTATCAAATAAGGCCTACTCTTGAATAGTATCTTTATTTCTGTAAGGAATATTATCAAGACAGGCCTATTTATGAACACTATTTTGTAATTGAACATTATCACATATTAAAGTCTATTTATTGTGAGAACACTATTAACTAAAGTATTATGAAGAAAATCATCCTCTTTTAATATTAATTGGGAGCATTATCTTTATAATCCTACAGACCTTACATTGAACATTATCAATACAAGTTAATATTGAACATCAGTATTTATTCTACAACAATGTCTTTTCTGCTATGAGAGCTGATAACTTGATCCATGACTATATTTTTATGCTTGTCTTCAACAAACAAATCAAGAGATGAATTGCGCACAATTGGAATACTAGATAGAAAAGAATAGGCGATCTTTGCTATAATTGGATCTGAGAGCTTTACTGTCAAACTTGCCAAATAGTAGAAACGGTTTAATTGTGTATATAACATGTTGTAATCAATACAGTGAATGTTCATATGAATGCTAACACTAATTGTTGTAGTGTGGAAAAAGCTTCCCGGCTGTTCAGTGAAGACTAAACCAAACACGTCGCCATTCTTAAAATGTCTACACTTTTCATGCATTGATCTTGACGTGAGGACTAAATTGAACTTGGCTATTTGATTCAGTTTTGAGTTAATAAGAATCAAAATATCATTTGGTGAATTGGCGATATGCATCTTATTTAGTTGTACGAGCGAGACAAAACAAGGATTGATACGTAATTCACCGTAGCCCTTTTATGCTAAAGAGTAAATAACCATGAAGCTTACACAAATTCTTGATATAGTCATTGATACTAGAGATGATGACTTTTAATCACTTCTTTTCGTTTTTCAAATGTTTGTTCAACCCAAATGCTCAACTGAAGACATTGAAGAGAAGCATGTAGGTTGTTTTTGCAAACCATAAATGTACTTGATGTTAATCTTTATCTTAGTTGTGATACAGCAAAGAAAACGTGTCGATTTTTAAAGCATACATGCTGCATTAACGAAGACTCTACCGATTAGCACGTAAGACCTCTATTAAGAGCTTCTAGTAGGAACGTCGCCTACGCAATGTCTCAAAGGTTCATAGAATGTTTGAAGATGGGAAGCACGGAGGCAAAATTAGTAATAATGGCTTTTGTTGGTGGTGTAAGGGTTAAATTCCCTGTAGCTACTTGTAGCTGCAAAAGTGGGTGTCTCTCAATGTTCTGCCTCCACGTGGTGCACCTGGTTTAAACTAAATGAACATTGATACAGTGCTAACGGTGCCAAATGGCAGTTTTGCTTATTTCATTCTTCACTTCTTCTATTGTGATCAATCACGAACCTCTCAGATTGCTATTACAGTCCCCATAAGTGGAGATCCATCCAAAAAGTGGAAGAAGCTGTCTCTCGTTTGATAAGGAACTTACATGTCTAATATTAAAGGATCTATTAGCTTAAAAATTTTTTATTAATATTTGATGGTGCCATCATGAGCTTCAATGACAGCTCGGCATCTGTCTCTCATGCTGGACACCAAACGTTCAGCAAGATCAAGGCTGATCTTCTTCTATTCATCAACAAGCACTGCCTTCAATTCGGCAGTGTTGTTGATGCCAGCCCTTCTGCTTTCTATCTGCTTCTCGAAAGCCCACCACAAGTGCTCAATGGGTTTCAAATCGGGACTTTGAGCTGGTCAGTACTCAAAGCCTTTGATAAGATGGGTCTCCTTCCAATGTCTTGAAGTAGAGACAGCTTGTAATACTTGATCATCAATTCCAAGTACCAGGGCTGGAATTCCTCTGCCAAAGTCTGAATGTGCTTGTCTTAGTTGACAAGGCCTTCCAAGACCACAAGAGGACCAACACCACCAGGCCAAAAACAGCCCCAAATTATCACACTAACCTTACCCCACTTGGTGGTAGGGATAATGTTGACATCCTCATACCTCTCACCAACCTTTCTAAGCACTCGGATGCCACTATCATTGCCCTTTACAGAGTAGCGAGACTCATCCGACCAAATCACGCTTCTCCACTGGTCTTCAGTCCAATTGACGTGATCCTTGGTCCGTTGAAGGCGAGTCTTCTTGTTTTTCTCACTTAAAGCTGGCTTGTGAACTGGTCCAAATAATGAATAATAATTGGGTAACTCACCTCGACTCCTTGAGTCTTTAATTCCATTTTTTACCTTGTCAATGATGAGGAATGGATTTCTCAATATCGTCAACTTTAGAAGAGCTAAGCCCTTCTTAGTTATCTTGGGCTTTGGGCCTGGTGCTGATCTTGGTAAAGGTGAACCAGTTTTCTTGATGATGGTCTGTACAGTCGATCTAGACAGATCAACCGTGGAACTGATCGCACTTTGAGGGAAACATACTTTGTTGAGGTAGTAAACACCCTAGTATTTTTTCTTTGCGTTCTTGGTAAGAGCGACGGCTAGTTGAGTTGTTGGAAGTGGACATTTTTTAATTCGTCTGTTGGTTGTGAAAAAGGAAAAGTCGAAGCAGTTTGGAAAGAACTGGTATGAATTTCAAGTTTGAAGAAACAAAGCCGTTTTTCTTGATTTCGATCATTTGTCATTAACATATGTCTATCAATAGATTGCAAATAATTCCATTAGTGCTTGAACGAATGTGCTAAATTTCAAGGATAAGACTGTTTTGTCAAAGATATGGAGACAAGGCCATCACCCTGCTTCCTGATGTGGTCAGATTTTTTTTACCGCACAAAAGAAAGTACTTCCAGAGCTCATTGATCAGTAAACAAGATACTGATGCTTTCTTCTTATATAGAAGCCAATCGAACAAAGTGTGGCAAGTCTTGTCAAAAAAAAAAAGATTGAAGACGAAAATTCATCCTGTGTGTCCTTGACACAACTGATCAAGCCTTCTGTAAGTTTTCCAGTGAAACGGCGCTCTTCGAATGGCCCAGTCTCATGTATATAAAAGCTTATTTATGCATTATAATGACATTGTCTATAATGTGTTCGATATGTTTATGCCACATTAGAAAAAATTGTGACTGCTAGAATTTCTTGGGCATTTATCAGTAAGCAGATTGAACCAACGAAAAGCCAGCATTGTCATCAATGAATCATTTAAAAGGCGGTTAGTAACACCCAAATATAAAAAAGATAACCTTTATCTCTCTTACTTTATTCTTCTTATTCCTTTCTTTTTTATGCCTCTTACATTGGAAAATTGCTTTACAAAGAAGGCTTGTATTTTATCATTCATTACGGCTTTGGCTGTAGCAAATGTTTCTGGTCCTCAATATGTCTATCCAACCTTCGGTACATCATTGATAACTCGTTTTCACTGGAATGGAATTGAGAACAGTATAGTCAGTACTGCAACATTCGTAGGCGTATCTTTCTCAGGTCCTTTATGTGCTTGGATGATTGAGAACTTGTCATTTAGAAGGTAAGCCCTATCACAGAATGCTTCCCCTCTTTTTTTTTCCAACAAGTTTTTTTTTTTTTTAGAACATTGATAATATCCTCCTTTACAGCATTTGCGGGGTTATTATTGCTAGCTCAGACTTATGCAGGACATTTATCTCACAACTACATCTTGTGTTCAGTATATTTAGCATGCATGGGTGCTGCTGGTGCTGCATCCTATCTTTGTGCTCTCGATTCACAGGTAAATTGAATGCGATGAAGATCCATCGCTCTAATAAGATTTGACGGTAGGCTCATAATTTTAAATCACACCGAGGAATGAGTATGGGTTTTACAAGTGCTTCTTTGGGCATCAGTGGTTTAGTATTCTCACAAATCAATGATAAATTCTTCAAGTCACAAGTAGAAAACGATGAACAAGACAGCAGCACCTATGATTATTTGATTTTTATTGCATGCTGTATATTATGTGTCACTTTGTTTGGATCATTTGTGTTGGGTCCTATTGATACTAGCGAACAAGTGGATATTGTTCAAGATTTAAGAGAACAAGAAGAAGAATTGGCACAGAACTTGAATAATCACAATTACACGCAAAGCATCAGCAGTTTCAGTACATCATCCACCCGATATGAGGACGATGAAACAGAAGGTGCAGGAGAAGAAAGACCACTTTTGATTAAAAATGTGATTATATCTGCTGATAATATATCCATGATCAAGAAAATCAATCAGGCACAAGAAGAAAATATTGAACAACCTTATATCACAGGTGTTGCGTTTTTTACTGACCCTGTTGGTTTTGCTCTATCAATTGCGCTTTTAGTTATTTTGGGGTTAGGATATGTTTATTTGGCTAACTTGGGCCAGTTAATTATCTCAGTTTCGCCCAAGGACATGAAGCCCAATGAAGCACAGCATTTACGTAACGTGCATGTTTCTATCTTTAGCCTTGCGAATTGTGCTTCAAGAGCCTTGTTCGGTGTACTAAGTGATATTCTTTTAAAAAGAGCTGGTGTTCATCGTCTTTGGTTCTTCTGGAGTGCCGCTGTTGGTCTGATGATGTCCCTGACGTATCTTGTCAGTATTGTCTCCACTGCTGATGAATTGATCTCATGTACTGTCATGGTCGCTATTGTCTATGGTATTACTTTTGGTATCGCACCTGCTACGATCAGTGAATTTGGAACAAAGGTAAGTATCACAGTGTAGTACAAGAGCTGATGATTTTTTTTTCTGCATAGGCATTTGCTCGTAATTGGGGCTGGTTATTATGTGCTCCAGCAATCGGTAGTCAATTATTCAATGTCTTGTTTGGTACAGTTTATGAAGCAGAATCAAAGCGTCAAGGAAGTTCTGGATCTTGCTTTGGATCGGCTTGTTATCAAATGACTTTTTTAGTTGGAATATTTTCTGCTTTTATTTGCACCTTGGTTTTGTCGCTGGCGATTTACAAAAAGGGTTTACACAAGCAAACGACCGTTTTTCACTAATCTATCGCTATTGATGCGGTTGATCATAATTCCCTTACTTAATCCCCCTTTCCCCAACCTTCCCCCTGTCAAAACACAATATTAATTGACATCTTTCTAAATCATAAAGTATTGAACTTGCCCCTATTAATGATTTTTGTTTGTTTGCTTAAGAGAATGCAGTTACTGCATTTATCAATGAAAGGTGTTATACACTGACCCCAAATAAAAAGTTGCCCAGTTTTTTGACATTCGAGCTCAACAACAAAGGTATCCTAATTCAAGAGCTTTTTAATATACCAAAATGATACTTAACGCACTCTATTCTTTATGGATGATTAGTTGAGATGCTTAACTCAAGAAAATATAGTTTAGTACTTGGTGGTGTCGCCTTTGATATCAATGACAGTTTGGTGTTGGCTGGTCAAGCGTGTGGTAGTATGCATGTAATGGGAGGATAGTAGGTAGGGTATTCAATTACCTCCTCATATCTGTGTCAATATTTTACATAAACTGGTTCATATTTATTACTAATTTATTTCTCTTTTATCTCCCTTCTATTCTCTGCTCTTCCTTATAATCTAATGTAAATAACAATATAAATATTATTTATGTATCTCATACTCTGCTTAATTTCTAGTACTTATTTTTTCCACACGATTTTTTTTAATAGTGTGTATTTTATGCTCAAAAATCAATTCAAGCTAAACTAATGTTTGTTGTTTTTATTGGGTGACACTCTAATGCAATGATTTTTTCCCTTGCTTCTTGATTGTTTGTTTGTTCGTAAAACTCTTGTTTTCTCGAGGAAGAGATCATTGACCCTGTTTCAAGAAGACAAGTAAAGATATTAAAGAAAACAAAGGCACATTCCTTTGTACTTTCTATTTTAAGGATAACCAACGTTTTGTGTGACTTGAGAATGCAGTAATCCTTCCTTTTTCCTTTGTTTCTTTTACCGCCCTTTTTTTCTTTTCTATAAGATGAAAGATGCTAAAATTCGCGAGTATACAACTGCAGATCACCAAAGGTTTAAACAATTTTACCTGAGCATGGAGAACAAAAAGAAGCAAGGCCAAGTTTTACACGCTTTAAGACAAAGAGCAAGTGCTAAACGAGTGTGGCACGCAGGACTTGTTGGTATCTTGGGAATACATTTATCACAATTCATGCAATCAATTTCAATCAAAAACACATTGTTTCTGGTCTCTGAACTTTTATTATGGAGTGCAGGCGTAGGCATAGTATGGTATAGGTGGATTAGTCAGGAATATGAAGCTAGATTAGCCAATATTTGTGAACACATGGCAACCGAGTTAAACGGTATTCAAAAGAACGAAAAAAGCTGTGCCTGGGTTATGGAGAAAGACGACCAGATTATTGGTACAGTAGCATTGAAATACGAAGGGGGGACAGAAGGCAAAATTGGATACCTGACAGGCTTAGATCCACAAATACGTCTAAAGTTGGTTCAAAATGCTATTCGTTTTGGTCGAACAAACAAGATTGACGTAATAAGCAAATGGCAAGATGACTTGAAATGGTCCGAAAGTGCACTATAAACTACACATTGATTTTTCCTTTTTCTTTTCTATGGCAAACAAACAATCTTTATTTTTAATTCTTTAAACTTGTATACCTATTCCCTCTCTTTCTTTTTTAAATCTAATCTCTTTTCTATTATCCATATTAATATTTTTATTATTGACATACTGCTTGTTGGTATAAAAGAAGAAGAAAAGACACAGAAAAAAAATACTCAAACAATAAAAAAGAATGAGTAGTACATTTGCTATTCGATCTTTAAGCAATTCAATAGACCAATTTCCTTTACACCAGCTATTTCCAACAGCAGAACTTGATCATGATCTAAAATATATCGACAAGACATATTACGATTCAACTCAAGGTTACAATAACGAATCCAAATTAGCCCATGAAAAGCAACTATCAGTCAGCCTTCAATCGTTGGTATTAAATAAAACTATGGATTTTGTGAGATCAATATCACACCTCGATCTGTAAATACATACTATAAAGAAAACTAAATCTAAATACTATTTCTAATAGACGCAACGTTGGCCTCTTTACTCTACCAAGTCAAGTAACATTGTTGACTCGTCTCACTCTACTTGATTTGTCACACAACAAACTTGTCAAACTACCTTCATCAATAGATCAGTTAAAGAATCTGAGGCATTTAAATCTATCCTATAATGAACTTACTCAATTGCCATCAAACATATACAATTTAGAACGACTCGACCATTTAAACATGTCGTTTAATCCTCTCAAGCAAATATCTGCCAGTCTAGCATGTCTATTTCATCTCACGTTTCTTGATCTATCCAACACGCATATTCCTTCTATTCCAGTAGAACTGCTTGGGCTATCCATGACAATAATCAAAACAGATGGCTGTAATGAATTAAAGGATCGCTCAATTGAATTTAACCAAAGGCTGATACATAACCCTGTTAGTCTTTTGGAGACATGTGCTAGGCAGCTTATTCAACCTATTCTACACGAATTAATTGCAAAAAAGAAGAAAAAGAAACAATACGACTTGAAAAAGAAGCAAGAAGAATTAAGGCATCTCCCAGAACATATTGTATCCTATTTATCACAGCCTAAAGCATGCTCTTCTTGTGGAGGACCTTATTTTCAATCCTGTGTGATTCGTTACCGTATAGTTCAAAGGCAAGATGACACATGGATACCAGCAGAATACAGGCTTTGTTCGGCTCATTGGAATACTGAAGACGATCGCTTATTGGCTTTATTTTCAAAAAAGCCTTCCTCTTATTTACCATCTTCAGCAGAACTTTGTCAATTAAGATTAACTTGCGCTGTTTAATCTTAAGATTTATGTAACAAATAAAATTATGCAATTTTCTTTTTGGAAATAAAGTTGTTCAGTTAAATAGCCGCTGAGGCACGGCACAGCGCATGTAACTTTCACACACACTAGTAATTTTAATGCATGCTTTTCTTTTTACTTGAAAATGAATTGAGTCTTAAAACAAGATATATTAATTCATGAAAAAGAGAGAGAGAGAGAGAGAGAGAGAGAGAGAGAAAAGGGGCATATAGTTTATTTTGGATCAAACAAACAGTATTCTCTTTTTTTATGGAATAAATAAGCTGTTATTAGAAGCTTATTGTTTCTTAAAAAAAAAGATAAATAAACATAATGCATCTCTGCCTCTAATCTTGAAGAGCATGCAACAAAAGAAAAAGCAACTGTAAAACAAGAGAGAACAAGGGGCCAAAAACAGATGCATATCGATTGTTACACTAAAGATGTTTTACTTTTTTTTCTTTATCTTTTTTAAACTTTTTTCTTCTTCGTCTTTTTCTTTCTTCGTTTTTTGATTTATTGTATGATGTATTTTGATAATAACATCTCTATCCAAAAGCAAACCAAGTCTTTTGTTTATGTACAATACCCTAATAACTCACATGTAAACAACAATAATAATAACAACAACAACAACAGCTATCAATATGATCATTTGAGACCACAACAAAAGAGTTTTCAGATAAACGTACCATCTTCAAACTTATCGTTTGAAAATCAAATCCCTGTTTTAGAAACAACGAATCAAGAACGACTTCAACAGTCACAGCCCAAACAACCAGAAGAACAGCCTAAAAAAAGAAAAGACAGCACATTGGCTATGCGTGTGACAAGTAAGAAATAAAGAAACAAAGAAACATCCCTATTAACCACATTCAAAGGTGTCGAGAAAGAAGAGTTGGATGTGATAGAGGAAAGCCTATATGTGGGCAATGCAAGGGCCGACATCACTGTCAATACAGCAACCATGCCCTTAGACTAGACAATGTATCTATGCGCCAGCGATTGGACGAACTAGAGAATCAGGTCAGTTGGCTCACTTCATTCGCCAAAAACCTCGAACAAGATTATCGAGCAACAGTACCCCGATCACAAACACAAGCATACCCGCATTCTTGTGTGGTACAGAAACCTATGATGGATGCTTCTGACGAGCTCACAGTTGCTTGTCGACAGGAGACAGATGGTCCTAGCGTGTATGACTGGGCTATTGAAACAGGTTGGCCTGTAATTGAAAATGCAGATGGAATGAAGTCTATATTCACCAAGATCACAAGTTTTGAAGACCTCAATAAAGCGCTTAGAACTGCAGTAGAGGCAATTTATAACACAAAAGGGAATCCACTTTATTATCAGCCCTCAGCAAAGCAATTCGATCTGCCAAGTCCAATCAATCAAACAATCCCAAACAAACGTCTATCAATCACTGGAAATGAAACTGACAGTGGGAAAGAACATACGTTTACGCTTTTTGAAAGCTTGAACCGATATACAACTGCAGCATCTGGCACGAAAAATTCTGTAGATGGAATGGGAAACAACTTCGATGATCATTATTTAGAGACAGATGTTATGGCCCGTCTTATTTATCAACATCATCAATGCGGTTTTCCAATACTTGTCAGTCCTTCACGGTTCGAAAATCATTATCGTCAAGGCCAATTGAAATCTCTTGTTTTATCCTCTGTATTCTCACATGCTGTACCTCACGCTTGCATCTACCATCCTCACCTTGCACAGATTCAGCAATTCCGCGAACTTGGTAACCGGTTCTACAACCATTCACATGACTTACTAGGCATTGATGAGCCTGCTAATCTATCGAATATTCACCAGCGCACATTGCTTATTACTTATGATTTGGATCTAGGTAGAGTTAGACGTGCCTTTCTACATATTGGAATTGCTATTCGGATGTGTTTTATGCTAAATCTACATCGCCCCGAGGGTTATGTATCATGTAAATCAGCTTTTGAAAGAGAGCAATCAAAAAGAGTATTTTGGACAGTATGGTTTTTTGATAGTATGGTAAGTCAAGTAAACTGATTCGCAATGAGGTTAACTTGATTCCCCTCTATCAAGGTCTCACACTTATTTCACGATCAGTTCTCAGCCATTAAACTTAACCAGATCTCAATTGAATTACCAACACCCTTGCCTGAATTCAATCAACTGGAAATGGATCAAACTAATTTTGCTATTCATTTGATTCAGGTTCGAAAGATAGCAGCTATCCTTTCTGAAGAGTCACGCAAACTGAAACCCCGTCCATTAGTGAAACGACTGAAAGAAAAACTAAAGCGTTTTTATCGAACGTTGCCTGAAACAGAACGATTTGGTCAAATAAATCAAATCACTTTCTCGCCTGGTACTTCTGTTTGGATTAGGCGCTCGTATTTTTGTGTCTTGTTAGATTATTGCCAATGCTGGATTACAATGTATAGAGGACTGTTACCGTCTGCTAATCATTTAGGTGACAAACCTTTGACTGAAGACGAACAAGAAGCTATCTTGCATACATCCCAAGCAGCTATTGCTATTGTACAGTTATTTCAAGCGTGGTTTCGCTGTTCTGAACAATCTGGGGATGGATTTGATTGCTTTTTTAGGCCCTATTTGTACCATTTTATGAGCGCAAAAAACATTTTCACTGTAAGTTTTGTATGTGTGTGTCAATGTGTATACTGAAAAGGTGAATAGTCTAATGTATCACAATTTGGAAGATCCTCCCCATTGGTTAATACTAGCCGTGCTTATCTTGTCTTATTATTGCGTTTGTATCAGACAACTCCAACACGAAGATCGTTTGATGAAAGTCAATTAGAGAAGTCCTTTGTTCATTTCATGACAACTTATCAAATTGGCGAAAACGAAGTAGCTTATCAAGACATAATTAATGAGGCGCTTATGGATGAACCAAATGCAGATAGTGGATGGAGCATTTTCTCGCTTCATTCAGATCCTATAGCTAAAGAAAAGCTAGAAAAAGATGACTATCTAACAGCACCTCCTATACCAGATGGCGTGGCTTCTAAATGCTCTTCTAATTCGTCTATTATGAGCGAGCCATGCACAACATCAGATGTAAATTTTGATTATTTTTAAAATAGAATTATGAGTGTATATCTTCTATTTTTTTTTCTGGACATTTATTATATATGCATGGACATTTTTAATCATTTTTAATGTTGACTAGGCCTGTCAAACCCCCTTTTTATATGTTTTGGAAATCATAAAACCCTTGAATGCAATCGTGTAAGAATTAGAAAAAGTGTTTCTTGATTTTTTTCTCTTTCTTTTTTTCTCATAAACAAAATGCACGTCAATTTGCTTTTGAGTTGGACATTCATTGGATCTCTTCTTGTCTTAACATCATTGGGTGATAAGTCCATTACTGTAAAGAACAACTGCAAAAAAGTCGTCTCAATCGGTGTTCTGACAAACGGCGTTAGTGCTGGATCTCCAGAACAAAGCTTTGATTTGACACCCGGTGCTAGTAATAGCTTCAACAAACCTGATCAATGGGGCGGTCGAGTTTGGGGACGCTATCAGTGTTCTGGTTCTTCTGGTAACGACACGAACAGTTGTGGTACACCTGGCGCTACCAATCCTGCTAGTTTGGCAGAATTCTTTTTTAAAGGATCAGGCGGTAAAGACTACTACGATATCAGTCTTGTAGATGGTTACAATATGCCTATGTCTATTCAACCCACGGGCGGTTCACAAGTAAGCGGGTATAGTTGCGGTTCGCCACAGTGTCAAATGGCTTCTTGTCCTCCTGAATTTGCTGTAAAAGATGCTACTGGCAATGTTGTTTCTTGTCAAAGTGCTTGTTCCAAAACAGGCTCTGATCAAGACTGTTGTAAAGGAGACTACAATAATCCTAATCTATGTAAGCCAAGTGGAAGTTCTTACAATATTAAACAAGCATGCCCCGACGCCTACAGCTTTGCTTATGATGATCAGACGTCTACTTATCAATGTGAAGCACAAGGTTATGATGTTTCATTTTGCTAAATACAATTAGTTTATTTTAATAAAGAGATAGTAAAGTATTTGTTGAAATCTATACTGCACTCATTCGAGAATTGACAACAGTGAGTGGTGGAAGACCTGTTTCTTCGTCTCCTTTAGCTTGCCCAGTGGCTTTTATTTTCATTTCAAAACGAGTTCTCCATTTTCTTCCTTGAAATCTAACAAGTAGTACAGTTATGATATTCAGCATGTTGATACCAGCAAGGATAGTGAATAGGATACCCGGACCAATAGCTTTTACACTGGAGCTTGAGAAAATAGTAGTAATGGCAGCAATAACACATCGAACGCAATTATTGATTGCAATGGCACTTGCTGATCTTCCTGGCTTTGAGTCTACAAGATAAACAGAAGTGGGTGTGGAAGCTGTCATTTGACCCACAGCATCTTGAGAAAAGAAAATGAGTTTAGATTTTCTTTTTTTTTTTTTTTTTTTTTTTTTTTTTTTTACAAGGTAAAGGTTTACTTACAAATAAAAAGGCCAATGAGAGGCGCATAAACAGCTACATGATACTGTGTAGTCCAAGCATAAATCAAGTAGCCAGCAGGAATCAAGGCGAAAGAAGGATAGGCGGCTTGAATTCTTAGTTCGGGATATATACCGTCAGGACCATTTTCTTCCTTGAGTTTCTTGAGAACATAATCAGAGTATCTTCCACTAGATATAGAGCCAACGATCAGACCAACGCCAAGAGCAAGATAGCATAGACCAATTTGTAAAGATGAATAGTGATACGCGTTCTCAAAAGTATCAGTAATAGTAGGATTCTATGGAGACATCATGAGTTGCCAAGAATAACCAGAGATATTAAGCTTACCAAAAAATAGAGAGATGCAAAAATGACTGTGTTGTAAATAGTGATCATTAGTACGGTAGGATCTCGCAGCATAAGTAGCATAGGTATAAATGCCTTCTTTATATTTTTGAGAACTTTGAAATGCTCACTTTTCTCCTTCAGGGACAATTGCTCACTATCAGATGAAATTGTTTTTTCTTCTTCTCGTTTTTTACGTAAGGTTTCAGGTAGAAAAAAGGTAACTAAAAATAACAAGACACCACCCAAAATAGCTAGAAAGTAAAACGTGGATTTCCACCCTAAGAATTGTGAAAGGATGCCTCCAACAACAGAAGATAAGACAGGAGCCAAGAGTGGTCCTAAATAAAAAATACTATAGGCTTTACCACGCTCTGACACATCGAACGTATCGGCAATGACACCGGCACCTAGCGTCTGTCCGGAACTTGATCCGCATGCTTGTATTGCACGAAATACAAGTAATGTTGGAATATTATGAGAAATAGCACATAGAATAGAAGCCACAATACCAATGACAAGGCTATATATATACATTGGTTTTCTTCCATAAAGATCACTCATACTTGCCCAAAACAAAGGCTGTTATACATATGAGTTAATACATTAATAGTATTGTCAAGTATTATCTTACAGCAATCCCCAGCAGAGCTAGGTATACAGCTACAGTGGCGTCAGTCTCAGGTAGAGAGGCGTGCAATTCGCTAGAGATTTGGGAAAGACCAGGCAAATAAATCATTGTTCCTAGAGGACCGCTCACACCACTTACTCCAACAATAAGCGTGATCATAGCTTTTTTCTTGATTGAGTACTGCCTTGGATCATCGTCTTTATAGATATCGCCTATCACAGTCTTGTGCCAATGTTGCATAAAATCAAATCGACTTTTGTTTTCTGGCTGAGCAACTGTAGAACAAATGGATGTGGGTTGATTGTCTTCTATAGTGTTTTCTTTGCTTTGATCTTGCATTGCTAACAGTTATGATTGAATTGAAATAAAGACAATCTATTGTTGATCTACAGCAATCATTTATATCTGGATCACAAAAGTGTATATAGAAAAGGAAAATCGGGAAAAACAAATACCCTCTCGCATAATGCAAGCAAGAATAATTTGGCTTGTCTGTGACAGTCAGGGATAATTCGGAACGCAGACTAGTTTTCTAGAATCTGATGAATCGATAGATAGTCCATCATGCTATTTTATTTTTATTTATAGTAGACTATAAGTCGTATAACAATGTCAAAAGCTTAAGCTAGCAAATGGATTAAGATCGCAATGAGAAGGCAAGATACGGAGAAATACGGTCTCATCAACTTTGCATCAGATTGGGTGACTTCACTACCAGGTAAAAGATTCTTGCTCATTATATCTATCGAGATGGTCAGCTCAGCACGCTCTTTCTTTGTATGTATGCATTACCTGAGATTTGACAAGGCGATTTGGATTTTTGACATGAAAGAGAATTTGTTGATTCTGAAGAATTGAAAAAGATATTTAATTGAGAGACATCCAAATCTGCATCTTCTGGAGGAGGTCCCCCACTGAAATTAGGGTTGCCATCTGTCCAGTGATTGAGTAGGACGCGACCGGGTGAATTTGGGACATTTGTTGTCATCTCACGAATAAGATTGCCATCAATATAGAACTTCACTGAACCAGGTACCCAATCAAATCTGTATTCATGATAGTCCTAAATACAGAGTCACTTACTAGATTCTTCATGATCATCTTACCTGAGTTGGATTAAATTCCAAATTATGCTTTTCATTTGTCAGTGGTGATGCTACACCATGTTCATATATCTGAGGTTGGATTGCAAAATATGACTTGTAAGGATTTTTGAAACGACTCAACGATTCAATATCAATTTCACTTGTATCGTTGCGATAAAAAAAGAAGGCAGCCACAGTACCAGGCACATCACTTATCTTTAATCGAGCGCGATATGTACCATACAAAAAGTCCTTTCTTTACACCAATAAATATATTGAAATACATTTCTCTTTTTTACCTTCTAGTGCCAATGGCTGCAGAAGAATACTTTCCATTCATTCCCTTTTTGACAGACAAGACAATACCACCATTTTGGTTCATTTTTACATTACCGGGAGAAAATACTCTTTCAAGAGTGTCGTTGTGTTTTGCATCCACGGTATAATCCATTACCAAATAATGGGGATCATATTGTAAATTAGACTTGTAGAGACTGTAGTCTGCATACCAAACACTAGACCATATATTATGGTTTTCATCTTCAAATCCACAGTCGCATACAACGGCCTCATTCAAATTGACAATCTTATCTTGTGTAGTTGGATCATTGTTTTGGTTTTCTATGCAAACTATATATGGTACACATAACAGTGCAACCAAAGACAGCTGTATGATCTGCATTTGTTACTATTAAAAAGGACCAACAATTGGCATTGACAGAAATATGAATTATTATTATGCTGGAGGTCATGTTTGTTTTGAACTTGAAACAAACAGATGTTAAATAATTTTCACTTGTTCTAGCTCGGCTTTATTAATTTTTTTCTAAGCACGAAATATTATTTTACATGATTCATTCAATCAAGAATTTCAGATTCTTTCAATAATGCAAGATGACCACTGAAGCGTTATAAAAAAGATTTGGGGAAAGAAGAATGCAAAATTCGTATATATAGACCTCTATTACACAAGTAGAACAATCATATCAACACTTATAATTAAATACAATACTTCAGAGTCAAGAATCATAAGTTGGCTTTAAAAGTGATCTTATGTTATATAGCCTACCATCTTAAAATTTTTCGAAGTCCTAACAAGAACTTTTATGTGAAAAAAAAAGAAAGACTCAGTATTGCAAATATTCCTATGAAAAATCATAAAAGCAAAATTCACGTAAAGACCTTCAGAAACTTGACATATGTGATTTTAATTCCGAGGTATATTGCAATTTTTTGTCTTTTTGCTGGGATTCTCACTAAGCATGAGGCTGGATTCTTTTTTGTGGTAATGTAGTCACATTAAAAGTCTTTATTTTAAAGCACGATGCACAAAAACTGTATAATATCACATTCACAATGATTTATACTTGAATAGCAGTTATATATTTGCCCTGGATCAAAAGCTCTTTCAGACCTAAATACTTTTTATAGTTCTTTCTATGAATTTGACTTTTTCCTATGTGTTTGAAATATAAAAGGCTGGTGGCTTTATTGGGTATTCAAATCTTATAATTAATATGGTAAAACAATTAAACGATGCTGCACCACATTATGTGTCACTTTCCAAAACTGCATGAGGCTAAGCTTTGTTCTGAATATGTATTGTACTATTAATACTTATCAAAGTTGATCTCTATACGTTTATCAGGTAAATAGGCACTAATAATTGGTTTATTTAACATTTACTACTGTGTTTTAGGAAGATGATATGATTGTCGGTCTTTTCTTTTTCTTTGATCCAGACGAAAAAAAAAAAAAAAAAAAACTGCTTTTTCAATTCCGCCTTGTTTTGATATAATAAATGCTATAGTCTCCATAATTTTCCCCTTCAGTTGGTTACGGTGTTGCGAGATGGGTCTCTGCTGTGATATTTTTCTTACTATTCTCTGTCCTCCTCTTGGTGTCTTCATAATGAGAGGTTGTGGCTCTGATTTCTGGATCAATTTGTAAGTAGTTTCATGAACAAAGCTATCAAAGTATTGAATCAACATTGACTATAGCTGTTTATCTCTCTTTGGTTATATTCCTGGTCACATCCATGCTTTCTACCTTATGGTTAGAGAAAACGAAGCAGGTCGATACAAAGACCCATACCATGATTCCGTTGCTCAACCATAATCATTTGAAAACTTACATTCATAATAAAATAATAAATTGTACTAATAGAAACTTTTGATCTTAGCTAAGCTACAATGGATGAGGTGCTTAATTAAGTGGGGTCAAATGGTTCATCCCAAAAAAAGTATAAATGTATATATTCTGAAAATATAATTGCTGTGAGCTTTAAAATGAGTCACCTTCAATCTACACAAGGTAATGAGATTTTAGAACACTCCTAAAATGCCTAGATGAAGCTTGAAGCTTGAAGCAAGAAAAGTTGATCAAAAAGATCAGTGATTGTTTGCTTTTTATTGAAAGTAAATTGATGTATGAAATACCCAACCATCCATTTGTATGACATTCATTGTTTATCCTATGTAAAACTGCTCTCCTTAGTCACAGAAGTGCCATGTGTTGTAAGAAACCTTGCTCTCAACATATTATATATGCAATCAAATTTGAATGCTGACTTGAAGGTGATGCTCATATTGACCCACCTTTTTTATCTTGGTAAATTCGTCTTCTTTTTGTCAGAAGTACTTAGTCATGGCCTCATCTGATTTCGGTTGGATCAGATTTTTTTTGTATAATATTTTTTTTATTCAAAATATGTTTTTTTAGTTACACATTATAGAAGGATGTAACGTGGATAGACTAAAAAAAAGGAGCGTATAAGAAGTAATCATTGAGAGACTTAGAAAACGTTTCCGAGTAAAGAATGCTGGTGTAATGAGATCAAAATCTGACTAATAATGTCGGAGATGATCCACTCAGGGTCAAAGGGTTGATTGTCCAATGCGAAACGCCAGTAAGCGGACCATATTTGCCATTGGCAGACAGATAGAACAGTAAAGAGAGGACTGTCAGGCGGTAGAAAAGGAGGACAGGATTTGAGACAGAGTAGGTGGTAGACCATATTGGCTGAAAAATACATCTGTGAATAGAAATAAGTGAGGACTTCAATCCAAATGGTCCATTTCCAAGGACAATAAAGAACGAAATGTTCAAAACAGTCGATACTCAAAGAACACAGGTGATAATTACTGTTGGGAACGCGATTGATTTTATATAGCTGTGCCTCTGTAGGTAGTTTCTTGTTGATAACTCTAAACCAAAGATTTCTGGAAGGTAAGGGCATTGAGGAAGACCAGAATAGACGCAGCAATTTAGATGGCAGATGCAGTCGAGCATTCGAAACATTGGGATAATTATGCATACTGTAAGCTTTGGATGTGTATTAGGGCCATAGAGGAGAACTGTGCAATTGGCACACTAGTATCAGATGCATCAACATTCCATTATCGCCAATAAATCTGCCATTGAGAAATCCTGTTTGATAACGATTAATAGTTTTTGCGTCAGTGGGCCAAAGCGTTTGGTCAATAGCCCTGTAAAGATCTTTGCATCGCAGTTAATTAACGAAATTGGTCTCCAATTCTTCAGATCATTCAAATCACCCTTCTTTGGCAGCAGTCTTACTCGAATTTCTTTCCAAGATGACGGAACAATATCATGAAAAAGAGCATCGTTGTATAATTGTTCCAGTAAAGGCTCCAAAACAGGTAGGTCAAACAGCAAACGCATATACGCATAACCTAGGCCATCACTACCAGGGCTGCTTTGTTTGGGACTATGTCTGTACATTTCCTGAAGTATATTGATAGTGATCGGATCAAGCAGGAGATCTTAATCGCCTTTGTCAAGCTTTCGCTCAAAATTGACTAGCCCGAAGTAGTTGTCGATGTCTGCAGGAGCAACAGTGTCAGGCGTGTATAGTCGTTGATAAAAGTCTTGAGCAATGCGATTCATGCTTGTCGTTTCATATATTACTATATCAGGCTGAGGACCATTAAGGTCTCGAAATCCAGACATATGCTGTTGTAACGTTCGTTTTTGATGCATTTGCTTCAGAAAAGGAATGTTGGTCTCACCATTTTCTTGCCAATAAATTCCAGATTTAAGGATCGCAATTTGAGCAATCTCTTCCTGAAGTTTGTGGATCTGAGTGTCCAGAGGTGAAATGAGTTGTAACTTGACGGCTAACGGTGGTTTAGTTCTTAAGATACGATTACGTTTCTTCTCTAAACGCCGCAACGTCTGTTCTCTCCAGCTGTTGTAACTGACTGAATAGGATTTGATTATTTTTCTAGTCGTCACCTTGACCTGTTCCCAGCGTTCTTGAGGTGAATCAATATCATTCCATTGAGTTGCCAAGTTGTTGATGCGCTTCTCTAATAGATTGCAAAGCCTTTTGTGTGTAGCAAAGGTTGAGTTTCCCCGCCATATACCTGGTCCAAATTTTGACATACCTAACACAAAATCAACATGCAGTATACTGTGATCAGTCCAAGAGGCTGGTAACGAAGAGATATTGGCCTGTACTAATCCTTGTCGCATATCTGCACCAACAAAGATGTAGTCGATTGTAGAAAAGGAGAAACTATCCCTTCGCCTGACTGTTTAAGAGTACCAATGACAGCATAGCCGGATCCCATAAAAAACCCGGTATTAGGTTCGGTCATAATAGCAACGTCAATGACTTGGCCCAAAGGATATAGACTGACCTTTAAGCCTTCCAAGACTTCGGAACGAGGCAACATTGGCAAGTGGGATAACTTGACATTTGTAATATTTCAATTGTCATCGGTGGCTTTGCAAGGAATTATTTTAAGTTTCGAATCCTTGAATTCAGCACCATTGGTGCCGAGATCATTAACATCGAGATGAGTTCTTACATAAATCTCGAGATATCGAATGGGGCCGTCGTTAAAGAAAGAGCAAGCATGAACTTTTGGGTGTTGGGCCTTGAATTCTTGCAGACACTGAAGATCAGTATACTGTGCTTTGACCTTCGTGATATCGAGCAGAAAGGCATTCTTAGATCTGGACGATCTGTAGATTTTAGACTGTACTTCACTTGATGAGTTCGAATCGTCAGGGTGGGGGTCATTTATGTCCTTGTGCATCAAGGACACTTGAATCAAATTGAGCTTTCGTGCGACAAATAAAATCATTAAAAATAAAAAAGAATTGAGCTTTTGCTTTGAACTGCATAAAGACGCAGTTATTGGGCTTTGGTATAGTGACAAAAGTTTTCGATCTTTGTTTTCTGAGTTTATTGATACTAAAAAAACAGCAACTTTGCTGCTAAACTTTTGAGATAATTGGTGAACGTTATCAAGGTTTTTCACTCATATCATATCATCTTCATAGTACGCTTGGCAAGCTAAACTTTGATAAGAAACCAGAGAATTTGGCGCACATTTTGGGTATTTAAGCTTGCAGATAGCTCCATTTTTTATCTTGTAATATTCAAAAAAAGAACAGAAGTTGTCAAACGAGCAATTTTCATGAGTAGCTCCCTTTGGATTAGAGGCCATTTTAGCCATTTTTTACAAGCCGCTTTTTTTTGTCCAAATCAACTCCAAATATACCATGAATATTAACAGACATAGTTTATGGGTATCTAGAATATTTATGCATATTTAAGCATATTTAAGCATGTGTTTTTGATACCTTTGTGTGGTTAGACAATGTCGTTGTGATGTTGGATCAATGACTAAATCAATACGACAACAATTTTCATACTTTTTTGATAGAAGACAAATCAATTCTAAGAGATGTAATGCTTTCTGTCTAATTTATTGAAATCAATGACGTTTTGCGATTAAAGAGAACTAATTTATCTTATGTATACCTCATAAGATAACGACTACTCTTGGTAATATCATTAGTAATATCACTAAATCAAGGCATGACGGGAGAACGTTTTCGATTGAAATCTTTATAGGAACTTGGAAATGATTTCTCTCTTGCTTGTCTTCGGACAAGGTACAGGTAATCTATAAACACACAGTCTATCCTTTGTCAAGGCATTTTTACGAGCTATCAAATAGAAGCAATACCATAGAGAGCAATCAGATGTCAATAAAGTCATGTCCAGAGTATACCGTACATTAGAGCAAGAGTATAGTCACGCTTGCTGGTATGAAATACCAATTCAGGATTCAGGTGTCTAAGACTACTTTTGCTCCAATCTACTTGGCTTCAACTCTGTTAAAAACTTTGATCTCGCACCTCGACAAAAGACATTTGAGACAACGGATTCCAGTTGTTCTTTCTACTCCACATTTGATTGATATTGATAAACTGCACCATAACTTAGTTGCACTCGACATTTAACAATAGATTCTGTCCGATTCTCCTTCCGAACTGATATCATTGATATCTTGTGCTATTCTGTTTTGTTCTCTAGATAGCTAAAACGTACGCAATACAACCGTCAAAGATATTTACTTTTTAGAATTTAGTTTATGTTCTCCGAGACAAGTCAGCCTAACTTTGCATTTTAGCTTGAAGCTGAAATAAAGGCATAGTATACAAATAAATCATAGTGTAACATTTAAAAGGCTTTATGAAAAGCCTCCCCACCTTTGTCCCTGAATTTCTTAATTAAAATATCCGATTGTTACATATCTTTTATCTTTTTTTTTCATTATTCAATAACATCAGGTTCTTATGGCTACAAGTGTACAAGAAGAAGAAATAAACTCTTGTTCACAATGTCAAAAGCCAGCTACCTTTATGTGCTCATCTTGCAGTCATGATGGACCGAGGTACTGCTCCATCGAGTGCCAAAAAGATCACTGGACAGCGATCCACTATAGACAGTGCAAAACCACAAAAAGGAAGCAGCAACGACACGAAACAAGTAAAAATGAATAAAGCAAATTAGACCTTCCATTTAATTCCCTTCTTGTCAACAGGTACTGGAGATATACTATTAAATGACTTGTCAGCACAACAAGTAGACGAAGAAACACAACAAGAACAAGAAGAAGCAGAAGAACTTAGGTTCTATACAAACCAAGTTTATCGAATTATTAAGCCTGTTGTTGTTTGTATCATATTAAGTATTTTTTGGGTCAAAGTAGCATTTAGTGGACAAAGTGATTATGGGTAATTAAGAGGAAAAGAAAAAAAGATAAACAAAGACTGACTATCTTTTAAAGTCCTACTCGCACCAACTATGTAAATATTTCACCTTCTGCGTCTTCCTCTTCAAGTAATAGCAGTAGTAATGATAGTGGTTCTAGCATTACATCTTCCTTTGTAAATGCTGCTATTATTATTGGTCAAATTATTGTTGTCACAATTTTGATTGTGTTTTTCTTTATCAAAGGCTGGATCAAGGTTCTTGTTGGATTTTTTATGCTGGTGGTGCTGTCTTTGTTAGGCTTCATGACCTATTTATTGTTACTGTAAGAGATCAAGAAACAGGCATGATCTAAAACACTTTTCTTTTAATAGTAACCTTGTACAAGTATTCTCAATTCCTCTTGATTATATTACACTCGCATTTGCCTTATGGAACTTTGCTGCTGTTGGACTAGTCTCTATTTTCTGGAAGGGTCCATTGTGGCTTCAACAAACTTACTTAACTATCATGAGTTCGCTAATGGCATTTTCATTAACAGGGCTAGAACAATGGACAACATGGATCTTACTAGGTTTACTTGCTGTCTGGGGTAAAAAAAAAAGGAGAGTAAATTCGATCGCTTACATTATAAAATAGATCTTGTAGCAGTGCTTTGTCCATTTGGCCCACTTCGCTTATTACTTGAAAGCTCAAAGAAACAACAGAAAGAAGTTCCTGCTTTGTTATATTCTGTCAATGCTGTATGGTTGATGATGGCATCCACAGACCAATTAAGACTATCGAGAAACTTACAGCAAGAAGCACAGCCAAGTAATATAGCGTCACCAGGAAGAATATTAGAGCGTTATTCTGCATCTTATTCCCCTTCCTCCTTTGCTCGAAAAAGCCATGATGGTTTTATGCGTTTACCAGATGATAGTCATGTTATTGTGAATAATAGTTCAAATGCAGATCAATCAGACACAACTCATTCGTGTGTAACTTCAACTTTATCACAAGGTAACATTAAGAACAATGAAGACGAAGATGATGATAGTAAGTTGTTTTTTTCTCAAAAAAAAAACTCATTTTATTAGCTGAAAAAAATGGGCTTAAGCTTGGTTTGGGAGATTTTGTGTTTTATAGTGTATTGATTGCCCGTGCAGGTAAGAAGACATAAAGAATTGAAAGTAGATTCATCTTTATGTAGCCATGTATGACTGGATCACCACTGTTTGCTGTACTATTGCTGTTTTGACAGGTCTAACAGCTACTATTTTTTTGCTGGCCATTTACAAAAAGGCATTGCCAGCTCTACCTATTTCCATCGCATTTGGTATCCTGTTTTATTTTGTAGCCAAGACAGTACTCGTACCTTATGTGGCTGCTCTTTGTGTATTTGATATGGTTGGATTATAAATCATTAGATATACCCTTTCTCCTAATATATTTATTTTTCTCCTTTATGATTAAACGCAAGGAGTGTACAAAGACATAATAAATAATTTATTATTGTGTGTAATCAAGAAGTTCCAGCTGCTGTAGGAGCAGAATTATTATTATTAGTATTATTAGCAATGATATCGTTTGGAAATCGAGCAGAAGAAATACGAAAGAACGCAGAGGATGAATTAGAAGTAGCAATATTAGGTAGTGGTGGTGATGATGATGACGATGATGATTCTACCTTACTAGAAGGATACCAGCGTGGCTTATGATTACCATTTTCTTCATTGTTCAACAAGTTTCGGATAGTAGGCGTATGATTGATTATTTTAATAGGTGCAAGCTGAAGCTTATCGCTGTTAAAATGGGATGATGAAGAACAATACCCGTGACCGAAATCATTCCGAGTCATCATTCTTTTACTCTTATTTTCTGTCCCACCTTCTTCATCTTCTTCATGCCGCTGCCTCTTTTCCCGTGGTATGAGCCTATTTTGGACATGAGGAGCATGTACTGGACGAGGAGAAGAATACATATCCCCGCATAAAGTAGTAGCAGTAGTAGTAGTAGCAGTAGTAGTAGTAGTAGTATCGGAATGAACCAGTAGAGAAGAGGAATGTGGTAGTTTACCGGAGTTGGCCGACGGTTCAAAATTAGGAGTAATAATGGGTTCCGATCTTTGTTGTTGTAATCCTTGCAATAAGTGCTTGTTTTTTCCGGAACCGAGTAGAGCCCGTAGAATGTTTTCAATTGCCCTAAGGCGCTCCTCAATAGATTCAATCGAGCTAAGCGTATTGTTATCCATATAGGTTGTAGGGCTGACAACAGAGGGTTTTAAAACAAGTTTGTTAAAATGGTCTTCAGTCACATTGCTGTTTGAGCTGACAGCCATTGCAGAATTGATGGTAGTGGTTGTCGTTGTCGTTGGTGTTGACTTGTTTGAGTTTACATATTTACACTCTACACGTGCCTTTAAACATCCAGCACAGGGCTTTTCTCCATTGCATTTAGTTTTTTTTCTGCGACATTCTCCACAGGCACTAACGACTTTGAGTCTTTTACGTCTCGTTTTATCACCTTCCATATTTTTCATTGTTGAGTTCATAAAGAAAGAAAAAGCAAAAAAATGTTGATATAGATTTACCTTTTTTTTAAGAAGAAGAAAAAAGAAATAAGGAGAGTTTTATGGGATACAAAAGAGGGGGCTAGGAAAAAGGAGAAAAAAGAAGAGAGAGAGAAAGAGAGAGAAAAGAAAGAGAGGGAATAATGTAGATTTGCCACTTATTGAAGGTCTCGTGCGAATGGCCCAAGTCTGGATTAAATCGGGTCAACTAACACGATGTCTCTTTCCCTGCATTTGCGCCACACTCAAGAAGCTTAGGGTCTTTACGCGAGAAATGAGGATTTTTGTTTATGGGACTCCAGATCGGCCCGGATCTCCATTAATGAAAATGTTTTTATTTATTTATTTATTTATGAAAAAGCTATTTCGGGACAAAGACGGAATGACACACAGTACATGTCTTTCTTGGGCGCTACTGTGCGAACCCAATGCAGATTGCAAGATGCAATATCGATCGAAGCTCCCATTACTTGACATACGCGCTAAAAAAGGAGAAACGAGTTGATCAAAACATAAAAAAGCATTTTTGTTTACCTGTTTTATATCTTGAATAGGATCCGAACTTCTTGTGAAACAATGGCAGTGAATCATCGGGAGGGACTCCGAAGACACTCTTTTATCCTGGTAAATTCCTCGAAACGCATCTGGTTTCTTTTTCAAGTTATCATTCCAATTGGTTAAGAATACAACAAAATACGCTACCTAGAAATTCAATGGCCGTGGCGGGCAGGTTCATGATGAAATGGTTGAAATGGTGTTGGCCATTGGTATCCACAGATAGATCATGGACTGCTTTAGCGATAAATGCGCGGCCATCCATATTGTAGGTCTTGATATTCTGGGTGATCTACAGGGCACGCGTGAGAATAGGAGCAAGATGCATAAATATGAACTTGCCTTGTTTAATTTAATATTTTCGCAGAGTGACTCATAAGAAGCAGGATTAAGGTCATTTGCATAAACAATTGCGCCCTTTTTGACTGCAGGAATGGAGAAGGGCCCTACACCTGCCATAACATCGCCTAGGAAAGGGCTGTTAATGTGCTTCATACCATCATCTTACTTACAGACATAGTCTCCTTTTTTAAACAAACCTACTAGACGATGATGCTCTGCTTGTAATCGAGAATTCCAATAAACCTTAGAGAAATCAAATTTGAATAGACAGTTGTTTTCTTTCTATAGGAAAAGGAAAAGGGGAGTTATTTTGATTTCATATGGGATTGCAGCTGTACCAATTCTGTCATCATGTTTGTATCGCCAGCTAATACTTCCATTTCAAAGTTACGATATGTATTGTCAATGTTATTTGTCTTGTTCACGACGCTCTTTATCTTTTTATTTTTCTAGCAACCCTATGTTAGCTAGGTTCATAAATAAATAAGGACTTACATCAAGAATAACTTGAGCAATCAAGTTTTTGTAAGGCTCATTTTCTTGTTTCAAATTGACGTGGGCTTGAATCAAAAGTTATTGATTGCTTTCAATTATGCTCAATTCTTTACCTATATGTCCTGTCGTCGTATAAGAAGAAGGCGTTTCAGCATCTCCTTCAGGCATAACAGAATACAAAATTTGTTCAGTTGTCCAATAATCATAACCAACTTCAAAACTATGGTTTATGATTTCATAATTCTTGATGAATTCATATTTTTCGGGTGACATATCATTTTGAACATCTTTTTTTTTTTAAAAAAAACTTTTGTTTATGCAACCACCATCTACCTTTTATATCAAGCCTTAATAAAATTAATTTCTTCTCATTTGAGCTTGGATCAGATACTACACTACGGATACGTGGCTGGTTTAATAACTCTCTAAAGTAGACATTAAGTATCCATGTACAATATTAGTCTTTATTTACTCTTCAAGCAAAGTCATGACTTGCTTCACTTGTGAGGCAGGTGTTTGGATTGCCAATGTATGAAACGTTGCTCGGAATGCATCTCTATCCAAGACTATCATACCCCTATTCCGAGGTGGTTTCAATAAACTCATATTCTATGCAAGAAAGAAGAATCACTCTTGAGTCCTTGTGACTTGATAATGTTGAAAAAGCAAAAATTTTCACAGTCACTTTTTTCCTCTGTTTATAAAAAGGTATACCGCCCTTGCTTCTTTCTTTTTCTTTCTTTAAGAGATTTAAAAAAAATAAGGTAAAGTATTCAAAAAAAGAAAAGAGAGAAAGAAGCAAAAAGACAGCGGTGACGACTAAAAGTATCACACACACACTGAAAATCCTGAAACCTCTGTACGAGAGGTTCTTGAAAACAAACCCAATCTTCTCTCTGAGCGTTTTCTTGCTTGCTTTCTTTTTTTTCTATATTATAACTGTAATTAGATTCTAATATTTCCCTTTAGGCACCTGTTCCTTTTTAATTTCTGATAAATAAAGCATACTTTTATAATTATTTTATTTTTCATGTACAGGGTGGCCATGAACTCTGACTCGATAAATATCTGTTTGGTTCGAGTTGCCCCAATTTGAATGAATTCTTAATAAGATCATATTGAATGCCTTTCCTTGAAGCATCTTTGGATCAATCTTGAATGTTTGGATTTGTGATTTACCATGGATATTATATGACACATTGCTCAGCGAATATAATTCCTGCTCATAGTAATCTATACCCATTATTTCAATGTCTTTAGGAGCTTTGTTGATCTCCTTGAGCAAGACAAGATTGGATGGATGTTCAATAGTGACACTCTGTATCCAAATAGACTCACTCAACTTGATGCCCAATGTACCTTGAGACCCTTCCATGGACCAACATTGATTGGGATACGTCTGAGGCAAAAGAGCCATTTCAGGTTGATTCCTGAAACCATAAAGACCGATAGCAAAACGAAACGCTTTGATCCAAGCAGGAAAGGGTGTCATAGTTCTGCTGGTGAATTCATCTAGGATACGTCCGCCACGATAGTACAAGGCAAAATCAGGCTTGTTCAATACATCTTGATGGTATCTTGTAATGGCACTCTGAATTGATTTTTCCAGAATATCTGTCAGGGCAATCACGAGATCTGAAGCTGGTTCAGCCATGGTCTTTGTTGGAGATTCAGTGATTAGCTGATGCATGGTTTCGCTTGAGAGTCGTTTGTTTTGGTCAAGAACATCCTTCAGTTCACTCTTGAGGTATTCATCATAAAACCATTTATCTTGGTAAAATGGTGCTTGATCTTTTTGATTTGCCACAATCGTGTTAAGATAAGAGTATATATTATCAAGCACTTGCTGCTCAAACAACTGATAGATTGCCTTGATGTCGTCTTCATGTTCTTGCAATGATGTGTGAATTTGCTGATAATCTTTTTTATAGTTGATCAATTCATCAAGCACCTGTTGTTGTAAACTGATTACTTGCTTGTAGATATCCATTGTCCATTTCTCTCGCTCAAACATTTTATCACTGATGCTCTTGATACGATCATCAAAAGAAGCTAAGCCCTGGCTTTGCAGAGTAGTCTGTGACCTGGAAAGAAAAGGGTACATGCTGAATAGACCCAAGCACAGCAAGAGATCCCGAGGCCGAACCCTGAAAGTCAATCGTTCGGTTATTTCACGCCATAGATCGGTCAGTTGATGGATAGAAGCATGTCCATATCGAATTGCTGGAAACAGATAGGAGCGATACACATGCCATATGCCTGATATGAACTGATCCAACTTGCGTTGAAAGAAGTCAACATAGTTGAATACGATTATATTACGTATACAAGTGTCCAAGAATCGTAAGGTGTTATGAACAAACGATAAAAAGCAATGATTGACACCTAATGAGTCATGATGAGACTCAATGATATCTTGTTCTTCCCAGCTAGAGTCTGAACAAGAATCAATTGCTGAATCAGAAGAGTACTCTTCTAGATAAAAATACAATATGGATTTAGTATATCATTGTCATCCTGTTTGACCTTACTGTATGTACTGCTTGTAGGGCAGCACTCATCAAATACAAATGTTTTTCTTTTTTTAGGATTTGGTCTTAGCCTTGGATCTCTTCTTGAACAAAGAGGAGGTTCTTTTGAATGTGGGCTCAACATGGATATTGTAAGGAGAAAAAAAAAGAACCTTTCTTTTTATACGCTTTCTTATTTCCTGTTTATAGGTTGTTAATGATGAAACGAAATAGATCATACGTATAAATGTGTGTTTGCCAAGTATGCCTTTATGCACCAAACAAAGCACACCATGATTGGCTCATGCTGGCTTTTAAACAAGTATGATTCATACTGAGACCTTTTTTTTTTTCTTTTTCTGTTTGATTTTCTTCAGTATTACAAATCAATAGAGTAAATTCTACCCCGGCCAAGTTATTTTCCTTGCCTTTTTTCAGTTACTTTTTACTATTTTATACATTAATATTGATTTGTCGAGTCGAAAAAAAAATGTCAGCTTCGGCAACAGAAAGCTTAAGACAAAGAGTCAGTAGAGCTTGGTAAACAATTTGCGATTGCAAAAAAAAAAAAAAGCGAGTATTGACTCTGTTGATAGCGACTTGTGTAGACGAAAGAAAGTCAAGTGCGATGGTGCAACACCTGTTTGTACTAACTGTAAACATGTTGGACTTGAATGTACCTTTAAAGATATGACAAAAAAGGTGATATCATAATAAGTGTGTATATGATGTACTTATATATTATATAGCGTGGACCACCGAAAGGATATATTGAAGCGATTGAAAATCGACTGTATAAACTGGAAAACTTTCTGGCCGAATTGGCCAAAGGTGGAGATGCAAAATCAAAACAACTATTATTAGAACTTAATTCACCATTGGAGACACCCACTGGGGAGCAAATTCGGGTTAGACCGGTTCGAAGAGCTCCACGATCTGAAAGAAATAAGGTTTTCTTTTGGCAACAAGATAAAGCGGGGAAACGCAAGCGAGACACTTTAATAGAAAATTCAGCGAATGAAGAAAACACAATCGATGATGAAGAGGAGGAAGAGGAAGAGATAGAGATAGGACAAGCCAATAAACGAAACCATTTGTCTCATTCAACAAGAGAAGAATCCAAAGACGAAGGTATTGGCCAACTTTCAATGGACGAGAATGGCCAAGTGCGCTACCTTGGCAAATCTTCAGGCTATTATCTTTTACAGAACAGTCGAACATATCAAAATGGTGCTTTTCATTTTGCAAATTACGGCAATCGACCTCGCCATCAAAAAACCAGTAGATCAAAGACCATTGACCCACTTGAATTACCCCCTAAAGATTTATCAGAGCATCTTATTCGCCTGTATTTTAAGCATTTTTACCCATTTTTACCACTGTTTTACAAGCGACAACTATATTCGACTGTAGATAGTCCAATAACAGAATCAGTAACGCCTCTTCTATTAAATGCTATCTATGCAATAGCATCTCGTATATCGCCTGATGCCCGTGTACGATCAGATCCTAAAGCATCTGATACTGCAGGCAATATCTTTTTTGAGAGAGCAGAGAAATTATTGGACGAATCGTATGACACACCAAGTATATCAACTGTACAGGCATTGTTGTTACTCGCGAGTCATCAACACGGTATCATGAAATCAGCCAGAGCTTGGTTGTATAGTGGCATGGTATGTAACAGGGCTTATAGAGGTCAATGGCTTGACAGGTCTTTAGGCTTTTCGAATGGCTCAAGATTTAGGTCTTCATAGAAACTGCGACCATTGGAATATTCCACCTGAAGAATGTGAGAGAAGAAAGCGAGTGTTTTGGTGTTGTTATATTGTAGATCGACTCTCGAGTGCTATGTATGGCAGAGCATCTACCTTTGAAGAAAGAGATTGTGATGTTCCTTTTCCTTCTGTAGACGACGATGCTTTGATTGAAGATGATGGTGAACCAGACGAGTCTAAGAGACCTTCGGCCAGTGTACGACTGCTTGAATCCTTTACTAATCTCATAAAAATATGCGATATTCTCGGTCATGTACTCAAGAATATTTACTATGTTCGCTCATTACAATATGCTGGCATTCGACAAGTAGACAATGTGCTAACAACATGGAATAAAAAACTACGTCAATGGTATGATCAGTTGCCAGACTCACTACAGATCAAGAAAGAAAATAACCATCAAGCCATGCCTTCCACAACTGTATGTCAACTGCATATGATTTATCATACAACGATGATTCTACTTCACCGACCATTTATTCCTGGACCAAATCAAAGCCTTATACCCACCATGTTACCATGCGCTTCTATCTGTTCAGCTGCTGCTGATGCTGTCTTGTCCATTACGGATTCCATGTTGGCTGAAAACAAACTAAGATATGTCATGAATTACAGTGTGTATTATATCTTTACTTCAGGCACTATCTTTATTGGCACAGCATGTCCTAGAAAGAAGGACGATCCGGCCTTATTGTCTTCAGACAACAAGTCCTTGGAAGCTAAACTTAAATTACGACAATGTATGTTAGCTCTGGATGAGATTGAAGGCACTTGGATTACAGCAAGTAAAAGCTGTCAGATTCTTGCTGAACTCTCTGGTTTCCGCGATATTGATTTTCAAGTGAGTGAACAACAAGAACAATACAATCATGGTCTATGGCAAACAACCAAACCTACTCCACAAATACATTTCCAACACCATGTTGATTCAAGCAGTAGTCATTCTTCTGTATTCAAATCACCTCAGTCATCAAGAACAGCATCACCTCAGCCTTATCATGAGCCATCTCATCGAACAAACAACAGCAATCTTCGCTTCCCTATTGTCCGTATAGACCCCAAGAATGGGCAAGAAGATGTAGCCAGTAGCAATCGACGAGCCCATTCAAACCCTCAGATTGAGTTTTCTTCTTCTCATAGTTTTCAAGCACAATCGCATGGTGCCATTAACAACACAACGACCAATGATCCCTTTGCAGCTCAAGGTGTTGTTTCTCTTGCACTCCCTCGGCACTATGACCCCTTAGGTAATACATTCTGGAATATGGCTTCTTCTTCTTTAGATGACTGGAATAATTTTATGAACTCAAACATAAATAATACACCTCCGTTTGTGTCAGAACAAGAAAGACAGCCCTTTGAGACAGCAAATAATGTAGTGGATGACTATGTTCAAGGACAAGAGAAACAACGATTGATTCATACAGATCAAAATGTAGATATGTTGTCTGGTGTCTCTGTTCCTCTTGAAGAGTCTAGTCCACAAAACTATCTACAGCATCTAAATGAAAAGAAAACTACTGCGTCTATGGATGGCAGGCCATCCGTCAGTGATTTAGCGAATGCTTATTATTGGTAAATAAATGAACAAAGTGATCAGCCAATCAGAATTGATCAACGGTCTGTTATATATATATATATAATGGGAGTTAATTCAACAGTCATTCTTTTTTTTTTTTTTTCTTTTGTTGGTATGGAGCATTATTCTGATATTTGTAAGATATGCTTAAACTCGCTTACTGTATTGACATTTGTAAAGTAGAAGACGGACAATATTCACCGATGGAAACAGATCGACCTACTTCAGTAAGCAACAGAACATATATTATATCGTACATACAATATTAAGCAAACACAAATAAACACACATTCACATACAACTATAGTGGATAAACTGGTTCTGTTCGAGAAAACGAAACAAGTATTACGTGGAAGTAGACGAAAGGTTCATTGAAGATCCATTTAACCTTATTGGTCTAAGCACGCATATTCCAATGTACAAAGAAACACTTGAAGTCATCTTGGATTTGGAACCAGACGATGCCATGTACAATCGAGTACCTGATTTGAGTTTACTTGAACCTTCGGCTGAATTGTTGTATGGACTCATTCATCAACGATATATTCTAACCAAAGACGGCATGCTTTCTATGGTAAGATGTAGGCTTTTTAGAATGCTTAGCTAATCATCAAGGATACTTTATAGCTAGATAAATATTTAGCTGGTGATTTTGGCAAATGTCCTCGCGTCTACTGCAATGATAACCACCTCTTGCCTTGTGGTCAACATGATATACCAAAACAAAGCTCAATTCGACTGTATTGTCCTAATTGTAAGGATATCTATATACCACAAAATCCAAAGCATCATGACATTGACGGTAAATGACAGCACCATACCTTCTTAATGCTTACCCTACGTCATTTATTTTAGGTGCTCATTTTGGAACAACATTTCCTCATTTATTTGTACAGGCATTTCCTGACTCGATGAAATACGTGGAACCCAACATTTATGTGGCCAAGATCTTTGGTTTTCGAGTAAGCGCACTATCTCAAGTGGGTCCTCGTATGCAATGGTTAAGAATGGTTTCTGAAGAACAAGACAGAGACAACAGGAATTTATTATTAACACAAGATGACGAGACAGACAGTGAAAAAGACATGATAACTTAGTCTAATAACTGTTTTAGCCTGTCTATTTCTTGTTGCATAGAGCGCATTCTATCATCTCTTTGCTTAGCGTCTGTTTTTAAGCGTACAATGTATTCATACGAATGTTGTATTAACAACACTTTGCTCATAAACTTGACTTCTTTTTCTTTTTCTTCACGTATCACTTCGTCTGTTTTGTCTGATGGAGACTGTTTGGCTTCTGTCACTAGTACTTCTGCAATTTCTTTTCGTAAAGAATCAAAACTCTGTTTGAGTGTGTCCCTCCTTCTTTGTTCAGCCACTTTGTGTGCTGATCGCCGATTTTCTATGCCTACATGGTTGATGCGTGCGTCGGGCTGTAAAAATGGAGAGATTAACGGCTTTAGTGTCATTGGTGATGGTGCAAGCTTTCTTTTTTTGGTTGCCGAGGTACTACTGGTAGGGGACGAAACAGAGCGTTTCATGGGCTCACTGGTAACAGCAGCAGGAGGCAATGACGGCATGAGATCCACCACGGTCTTGTCAGGCCCATGGTTGCTGGGTACGGTTGTACCTGATATCCCTGATGGATGACTCATTTTCATGAGTGATGCCGGTGTGGCGGGCATAGTCATAGGTAATGCAATGTGATGGTTCTGAGAAGAATGAAGCTGAGGACTTGCTAAAACAATCTTTTGTCTAAGACTCGGTCTCTTTTTACCATTGAACGGCATGGGTGAAGGTGGGGCTTGTTGGCGACTGGAAGAAGGGGCGAGTGAGCTCTTTCTGTAAGTAGGAGATATAGCAGGCGATGTCTTCATTTGGTCCCTTAAAAGTTGTTGCTTTGCTTCAATGTGAGCCAACTGTTGTTGTAATAGCACGGCATCCTGAGGAGATGAAGAGAGATCTGTAGTTTCAAATACATGATTACTGTCTGGAACAAGTGCTGGTGAAGACAAAGGAGTAAAGTAGTGAGTCTCGGTCATATTGGGTGTTATTGCTGGTGATACAAGAGGCGCTAAAAACTCCTATTGAATACAGAAATAAGGGCAAAATAACTAAATTAGGAATTTCTGCACTCTAAAAAAAAATTTTTTTCCTTACCTCTAGATCTTGTACATAAGGATGAATATGAGGAGCACAATAGTTGGGTGTATTCAAAGGTGTGGATAAAAAGCTCTGAGAAGGAAAAGAAACGGCAGCAAGAGGAGATATGGTATTGTCTACTGGTCCAGCAGAAGACACGACTTGTTCAGTAAAAAATGTTTCGTCAGTGCATAATGTTGCAAAATCGATTTTCTGATTGTTTTGATCCAAAGGTAGTGCAAGCGATAACAAATCAGGGTTTATGTGATGTGAATCGCTTGTGCTGTTAAAAAAGGGATTGAATTCCATTTGAATAAACAAAATAAAGAAGAAAAGAAGAAGAATATCTCGGAAGCATCTTTTTTATTATTAGTATTATTATACGTACTTTATGTAATCGTTCTTTTTTTAAGGTTCTATCAAGAACACAAAAAAAAAAAAGTTTAAAATATGGTTCCGTTGAGTGATTGGTTAAAATGACCAAGAAGGAAAGAAATGGGTATTTTTTGTTTGTAATAACTGTCATTGATTCAAAAGAGGCTGGCACCACGTTTGCTTTTAATAGGCGTTATTAGAGGAGGATCTGGAAAATTGCCTGTCAGCCTGTCTTTTAACAAGGTAGTTTAGTTTATCCATCACATCTTCTAATTTGGTTTTACGCTCTTGTAGATCAAGATGCTTCTGAATTGGCGGATTTTCTCGCGCGAATTGTTGAATCTGACGGCGATCCATTTGGTAGACCAATCTATTATCCACTTCGCGAGGGAACTGGAAGAAAAACTCGTTCAATAACTCGACTTGGATAAACATGACAGCCTATAGAAAATAGGGTTAGACAAGATGTATTAAAAAAAATGCGCATTACCGTATAAGTCAACTTTTCAGCAATCACATTCAAAAATGCCTCAGGGCAGTACTGTTTGTTCTCGGAAGACTTGCATTGTCTACTCTTTAAAGCTGCAATTCGATACTTGAGAATCATGGCTCGATCTCGAAGATAAATGGCTTCTTTTGCTTTTTCTAATAATTTAGGATTATAAAACGACTTGACTTCTTCCTCCTCTTCTTCCTCTTCGGTTGCATGGAGTCTTTCGGTTTTTTCTTGGCGACTTTCTGAGTCTAGGACATAGTTCACGGCACTCTTTAGTTTCTTTTTACCAACAGAACTCTTGATGGAATTCGCCATTTCATCGCACATATCAAGTTCTTTTTCAAGTAAAGCAATAGAGCGTTTGACACCTTCGTTCCATTCACTGTCTGTCACTTCAACCTACACTCGCCACATATAAATGTCGGATTTAGATTGAAATCAATAAATGTTACCTCAAACTTGTAGGGTTTAATAGTGTTTTCGACTTGATCACTTGTAGCCACAAACTTGGTTCGAAGGATTTCATTTGCAAAGTTCATGATCTGTTTGCGTGTTTCTGGGTGACGGACAAAAGATTCTGCATTGGCTAGCCTTTCCATATTGCTCATCAAGACATCAACCACCAATTGCGTGGTGGCTCTGCCTATGCCACTCTTTGTAAGAGCAGCAGCAGCAAAATCAACCTTGTAAAGCCAATAAATATCTTCCGAAGAAGCCTTAGGTAACTCGGCAATCTTAGGGTCACACCAATACTGTTCTGCACAAATATCCAATACTTTTTGTTCCAACATACTTCGTACTTCATGGCGAACTTGTGGCTTGCCAAAGTTATTTGCAAAGTCTTTGAAATCATGCTTTAAGCAATCCATTGTTTCAGCAACATAAGATTCAGCTGTCACTCTGCGGTCATTGTACTGAACTTTAAACTGATACTTGGCTTCTTCTAATTCGCGCTGAACAGCATCTACAATACTGTAGAGTGATTTACCCATACTTTGCTCCAAGACGTTCATGAGCTTATGTCGTAATGTGGCAGTGCCTACTTGAATATCACGTTGGTTGAACAACAAATGGGATCTAAAATAGGCTTCTTCGTTCTTTATCAGGGCATGTGTCATGTTTTCTTCTGAAAGATTGTCGGGCGCTTTACAAACAACGCCAATATAACCCAAATGAAGAGAGTAGTCAGTGTTACGAAGGATGGCAGCACCAACTTGAGGTGGTACCAAGTCCATCTTGGTAATCACTCCAATCGTACGAAGACCAAGGGGATCCCATTTTCGGCTCGCTTTTAAAGCAGGTGAATTAGCCAAATCGACATTGGCACTGCAGACAGCCAGAATGATATTAGGGCCACGAATATACTTTTCACATAAATCTTCAATTTTGTGCTTGAGGGTTTCGGGCTGATTGCGGTTAGCAATCTGGATATAGCCAGGCAAATCAATCAATGTCAAATCAGGCACATTGGGCGAATACACTCGCAGTTCAATGGGTTTATCAGACACACATTCTGAATCAGACACAGCCAAATTCATGTCAACCAATGTCTTTTGAATCTTTTTAAAATCATGAATTTTGCCTAACCCAAGTTGGGGAATTCACCATATTCTTCTTCTTGATTTGGTGTATGAATTAGTGTTAATTCAATAGGTCTGCGTGTCACCATATTGCTGCCTCTGGAATCAAGCGTTAGTGGATCTATATACACAAACAGAAAAACTTACTTGGGAAGGAATTCATGTCCTACGATGGCTTCGAGTACAGAACTTTTACCGGAACTTTGTGACCCGATGACAACAATACTAGGTAATTTGAGGGTTTCGTTATGATCAATCGACATGAGAATACTGCGAATTTCAATCAGTTTCTTAGTCAACATCATGAGTTGTTCATCTTGAGCAGTGATGCCATAGTCATGTCGCTTCTTCTTTTTCTTTTTGTTCTTCTTTTCATCCTCATCCTCACTCTCGTCTTCACTTTCTTCGTTCAAGTAGGCAGCTAACCCTGCCACAGTTGCTGCTGCTGCTGCTGTCTCATCATTGCCATTGTTATTGCCATTGCCTTCTCCTTCTGTTTTCTGTTGGTTGGATTCTGTCTTTTGAACAGAGTCACTCACCACTTTTGATTCTTCTGCTGGTTTAGACAACAATTGCCGTATACTTTCTGGTAATTGCAAGTTGATTTCAGGTATTGTGATGTGCATGCCTTCCACAGTAGACTGAGCCTTTTGAAAAAAAGAGCTGGCTGCGTCTATACTGTCTTGAACCATAGACTTGCTCTTATCCGCCATATCTAAAACCGATGTCAATACGATCCGTGGATGGAGTTCATTACCTTGAAGTTTATTAGTAGCAACTGTCGCTGTGGTTAATGTAGTGCCTGCTACGATAGCAGGAAAACGTACTGTTTTCAGCGCTGCTCTTGAGACAGACCATAAGCTGATAGACCGAGTTTGTGTTTGCAATACAAGGGGGGCAGCATGATAGGTGCGTAAACGAGTTGTTGGGTGAAGAAGAGGGGTTGTATGCACTCGAAACTGGTGCACGGAGGGACGTGGACGGGCAAGTGCTGCTTTTGTCTGAGAAGAGACAAGAAGTTTATTTGAACGTATATAATGAGATAGCATATCAAACACTTGAAAGAAGAAAAAACAAAAAAGACGCCATCTATGCCCACTTCTGAGCAGTCACTGCGTAGGGGGGTAGAAATGAAATTATGCAGCAAGACTATATACAACAAAGGGATTTCTTTTTTTTATTATTATTATTGCTATTATTACAAGAAATAATCGGGAGTACGACGGGTAACATGTGGCTCACCCTTTCTAGGTGCAGGATCAAATTGAAGGCTATAGACAATCATTAGTAGTTAGACAATATAAATAAACTTACAATGTGTATTTCATATGTTCATCAATTTCCATAATAGCAGCTTGATTACCACAACGATAACAGTAATTAGGAGCACTGAAAATAGTGACCGTGTTACGATCATGAGTCCAATTATAGCCCTAAAGAGATTAAATACGTGTAGTCTTGACTATAAACTTACCTCCATCACCAACTGATGAGCTCTTGCTACCAAAGTTAAGCCATTGTTATGATTAAAGGTTTCCGAGATATCTTGACCAAAAGTATAGCCTGCACCACGGGGAGAAATACCCCAACCACATCTGTCATCAGGATCAGACCAAAGCAAATCACACATAGGACCTTCATGAGGCACTTCTTGAATTCTATCTAGTGATCGAATTTGATCAAGTGTGTCAATCGAAGGCGATAAACCACCGTGTAAACAAAAGATTTGATCTTCAATCAATGCAGTCAAGGGCAAGAAATCAAACAGATCAGTAAACATCTTCCAGACATTAGCATTGCCATATTTTCTTAAGCATTCATCATAAAAACCATAGACTTGTGTGATTTGACGAGATTCATGGTTACCTCGAAGAATAGTGATACGATCTTTATATCTGACCTTTAGAGTGACTAATAAGGTCACAGTCTCTACTGAATAATAACCACGATCAACATAATCACCCATAAATAGATAGTTGGTATCAGGCGAGTTACCACCAATTCTGAACAGTTCTTGTAAATCATGAAATTGACCGTGAATATCACCTAAAAAAAAAGAAAGTAAATATACACTGTATACGCGTATGTTCAATAATTTACCACACACAGTGACTGGACAGCGAACAGGCTGTACATTGGATTCTTCTAAAAGAATTTCACGCGCCTAAGGGAAATAAGTTAAGAACTTGTTCTTGTTGATCTAGATGAAGTTACTTTATCACAAAGTTTCTTGATATCGCTTTCTGAAAGTTGTTTGCAATCTTGGAGTTGTGCAATCCAAGCATCTACGTCAGCCACTGAACTAGAAACAGACATAGTGTATCTTAAAAGACACAAGTATTAGTTTTGTTGGTGGCAAACTTTGTGTATGATTCCATTTACCAGTTTCTTTTATAAAAGAAGAGAAAGAAAAAAGTACTAAATGCACTGTTAGCTGGGGATAAAATGAATAAATTAATTTGCTCAGAGTGGGGAGGGAGGGGGTGTAGACATCACTTTTTTAAAAAAAAATAGGTTCAAGTAGAGAGTATGACATAGTAAGCTATGATATACAACAAAGATCTTTTTTGTTCATGATACAAAAAGGCTACTTTACATGTCTATAGTGCTATTGAGCTACTTTTTTTTGAAATTGTTCTAGAAATAAGGTCAATATGACGATTATTTTTGAGACCTGCAACTAAACCCGTTTCAAAGGTTGAGCCTATAAAACTTGACTTTCAAATTTATAAACAAATGAAACGCGTATTCTCTCAATGAGAACACATCATTCCATTTTACAGCTTTATTAAGTAAATATATAGATGTAAAAGTTAAAGATGATGATGGTGACTACCATCGCGAGACAGAGTCGATAGATCATGCTTGCCATCACAGCATTGTCTAATATTGACCAAGTCTTCAGAGTCATCTGAATCATATTGAGTCACTTCAATGTCCATCTGAGCATCAGAGGCCTTGGAATGAATAGTACCTTGTTGATGTCCTGCATTCTCAATTGTACTACTACTGTCACTTGTCAACCGACTAGGTTCTTCTGCTAATGGATAGCTACTTTCTTTTGATCTGCCAAGCAAGTAGGATAGTGACTAAATAACAGATTTAGAAAAAAGAGTTTTAATATAATCATCTTCACCTTAAACCATAAATCATGTCTTTCTAATGAGGTTGCTGTAATCTTGAGGTCTCTCTTAGGTGTATGGATCAATAAGCTGACAGGAGAAGCACCAGAATTGTCGTGACTAGGTATAACAGAGAGTGATTCAATGTATGCTAAAATGGAGGTCAATAAAGACAAGCATGTTGGTTGTTATCACTTACCACTCTTTGTCTTAACTTGATTTCCTTCAGCTCCTGGCTTTTCTGGGCTCCAGTAAAGAATCTTGGTGTAGGGGTGAACCCAAAAGTATCTTTGATGCTTCTTTTCAGAAATGCCACCACCAACATAACGACGCGTGTGCTTGGACATCCATTCACCAATCATGGTTTGTGTGATAGCAGAAATGACATACATATCAGTACCTCCAGCACTAGGGAATCCAGAGAAGGTCTCATCAGAATTCATAGGAGCATGGATCTGACTGCTATTAGGAGTTTGATCTTCACCTGAAGACATGGTAGAAACAGAAGTAGTAGAATGTTGCTTATTGGAAAGCTCTCGAAGACTAATAGATGATTTGGATTGGAGGCGATGGGATTGGTATTTTGAGCTATCCAAGATACGGAAACTGCCAAAAGAATGGGTACTATCAGTACTAGGTCTAGCGTTCTTTTGACTATCTTTCTTGCTTGATCCTATTCTTAAAGAAGAAACAGAGCTAGAGAGTCTTAATTTGCGACCTGTGTTTGTTGGGGTAGATACTGAAGGAGCAGGAGTCACATTGACAGAAGGAAGGTTCAATCTAGAGGTAGAAACAGAGCGCTCAAGAGAAGAAGGAGGAGGCGCCAATTCTTCTTTGCTTGCAGGAGCCACGGATTCACTAGGACCTTTACTCTTGCTGAATCTTGTAGGCTTGGGGGTTTCAGACGTAGAAGCAAGATTGGAGAGCGTTGTCTTTGGTGGTTCTTTAGACATCTTCTTTTGGTAATCTAATAGGGCTTGCTTGACTGCTTCCTTGGTGTTTTGTTCAGCTTGTTCCTTGGTAATCGTTTGTTCTTCTTTTTCTTTCAATGCCTTTCTTTCCTTGGCTAAAACTGCTGCTGCTTCATTACGCTCTTTCTCTAAAGCTTCGCGAATGGCAGTTTCGGTCATCACCTTCACTTCTTCCTTTGTCACTAATTCTGACTCACGGACAGCAGCGGCTTGACGTTCTTTGACAATAGCATCAGCAGCAGCTACCTTAGCCAATGCTTCGGCTTCAGCTTTAGAAATCATCTCCATGGATTCGGCAGCTTCTCTTTGTGCTACTTCTTTTCTTTCGGCCTCTAATGCTTTGGCAACTTCATCTTCTACCATACGCTTAGCATATTCTCTTGAGATCATACCAGCTAAAGCCTCAGCTTGACTCTTTTCTGCAGCCTCTTGAACTCCAGCAACAGCACGTTTGACAAGCACATCAACACTTTCTTTGGTTAACATGTTCTTCATGCGTTGATTGTTTTCTTCTTGCTCCTTCTTGTAAGATTCGATGCGTTTAGACAATGCTTCAATCTCTGTCTTTTTCGTTGTCTCCATTTCAGCCACCTTTTGTTCTAATTCTCTCATTCTGATCGCTTCTAACTCGATCTTTTGCTTTTCCAATTCGTTATCCTTAGCTTGTTCAATTTCGGCCTTTTGCTTTTGCAATTCAGACAATTTGGCAGCTTCAATTTCATTCTTTTGCTTGTCAAGTTCAGCTTGCATTGTGGCTTCAATATCTACCTTTTGTTTTTCTAGAGCAGTCTCGATCATGGACATGATTTCAAGACGCTGCGTCTCTAACTCTACCTTTTGTGCCATCTCAAACTCTCTCTTTTGTTCTTCGAGTTCTGCTTCTTTCATTGCGTCCATTTCCATTGCAAATTTCTCGAGCTCGGTCTTTTGAACTGTTTGCATTTCCAATTTCTGACTTTCCAAGTCAGTTACTCGATTGGCTTCTAATCTTTCAAGTTCGACTTGTTTAGCTGATTCTAATTCTGCTTTTTGCTTTTCTAATGCTTGGTTCATTTCAGCTTGCGCTTTGTCTCTCTCATCAAAGGCTGCCTTTTGTGCTAGTTTCTCTGCATCTTGCTTGGAAATCATGTCCTTTGCCTTTGTTTCAGCAGCAATGTTGCTCAGTTTGATACGCTCTTGCTCTTCTCTCTTTTTGTTTTCTTGATCGAATTCAGCTCTTAGCTTTTGAGTAGCTTCTTGCACCATAGACTCAGCCTTGACCTTGGTGACCATTGTACGCAATGTTTCTTCCTGCATCTTTTTCTTTTGATCATCAAATTCGGCTGCCAACTTCTCAGTAGTTGATACAACAGCTTCCTGCACCATGCTCTCTGCATTGGCTTTTGTCACCATGTCACGCAGCATTTGCTCTTCAGCCTCCTTGAGCTCAGCACGTGTCTTTTGCGTGGCCTCATGTAACATGGCGTCGAATTGCGTTCTGAGAATCATTTGCTCGCTCAATTCTTTCTCCACAATCGAACGTGTTTCCTCGGTGGCTTTGGTGACCATGGCCTCTGCTTCTGACTTGGGCAGCATGCTGTCTATAGCCTCTTGGATGAGCTTGTCAACATCGGACTTGGGAATCATCGCATGTGTGAATTCCTTTTCAGTCGTATGGATGGTATCTTGGGTATCTTGCATGTTTTGGGTGGGTAAAATCACCTTGATTTGTTCAGCAGAAAGAATAGGTTCTGCACGCTCAAAAATGGCACGTCTTTCCTTGACTAAAGCTTGACTGATTTGTTCTTGGACAAAGGTATCGTTAGCCTTCAAGCCGGAAGTAGCCGTCCTTTGGTTTATAGCACTGTTTTCAGGCAAAATCTCCTGATTCTCTGTTTGTGCCACAAAGGAGTCAAAACGTGTAGTGTTGTCTTGTTTCGAAATAGCTGATAACTCAATAGGTTCTGTATTGACACCAATGTCAATCACTTGGACCTTGTTGTCAGCCTCCAATTCAGAAGACAAAGGCTTCATGCTACTAGAACCAAAGGGTGCATTGTTGAACTCCATGAAGCTACCGAGTGTGTTTCCACTAGGCACAAAGGCAAATTCGGGATCAAGGGCATCTTCATCCACACTATCCTCGTCATGGGTTTCTTCGTTACTAAGCTCTTCATCTTCTGTTTCTTCATTTGCGCTACTTGATTTGAGTTCTGCATCTGAGTCATTGGCAACAAGGCCTCTTGGTTGTCTGCCCACGCCACCTCTTTTCTTTTTAGCAGCAGTAGCCTTACGCTTACCACCCGACTTAGATCGGTTTTGATTACCACCCATAGCAAGAGCATTGTTATTCCAACTGACCATTTCCTTACGCATTTGTTCAATGTTCTCTTGACTGTCAGACAACATCTTCTTGACTTCAAACTTTTCTAGTTTCTCCTTGTGCAATGAGCTTCTAAGGTTAGAGATGATTCTATGTGCATGAGCCAAGGATTGCTTTAATGTTTCAGCCTCCAGCACTTGGGTTCGGTTGGATTGGGAAGTTGAGGCAGTAAGAACAGGAGTATTAGCATTCGCTTGATCTGATTCAGTATCTTGGTCTTTATTAGCATCATTCGCTGTATCTTGAGCATGTGTTTCTTCTACTCGATTGATAGTAGCCATTTTGATAGCTAATTTAGCTTTGCAAATCTTCAATTCAGTATTTAGTGCCTCCATTTGTTTTTGAATCTGAGAGTTTTCACGTTGAGCTGTAGCTGCATGTTTTCTGATTTGGTATGTTTCCTGTTCATGACGTGCCTTCATGGCTTCAATGACAGAGGCAGATTTTTCTTCTTGCGCTTTCATGATATCGATTTGCTCAGATTGACTCTTGAGCTGCTTAGCCAGCTTACTATATTCAGTGTTATGCTTGGCTAATGCTTGATTTGTTTCAAGCAGGCTAGCACGCAATTCTTGGTTTGTCACTTCAAGGTTCCAATTCTCTTCTTTGAGTCTCTCTAGATGAAACACAGAAATTAGTGTTTTCCTTTTAAAGCAATGTGTCTTCCATTTTGTGTACCTTCAGTTTCCTCTCTTTGCTTCAGATATCGTTCGGCTGATTCCTGTGATCGTTCAGTATCTGCCTGCGACATCTCAAGTTGTTTGATGATCTCTTCTTTTTCTTGTAAAGCCGTCTGAAGCTTACGCACCTCAATCAACAATCCCTGTCCAATCTCGGTTGCAAATTCAATATCTGGGTTTCGTCTGTTTCCATTTACAGTCTTTGTGCGTTTCGTTGGTGACGAATTTGTTGGTGGAGGAGGTAGTAAAGGAGAAAAACTAGCAGAGGGTCCTCTTGGTATCGCATCGTCTACACCAGCAGACTAATCCAATCAGTAACTCATCTCTTTATAAATCAATTTACCTTCATTCCTTTCATATCCTGAAACTCATTTGCCAAGTTTTCTAATTTAGATCGAATATCTGTAGGCAATGGATCTTCATGTTTATATTGATCCAGAGACAAGATTTCTTTTCTTATCCTATCTGTTTGTTTCGTAAGCGCGTTTTTGCTGATTGGACTGGTGCTTGCTTTTTCAAGCACCTTTTCCTTGTTGTTCAGTTGGGCTGTCAGCTCTAACTTGACTTGGTTGGCAGTCATACCAGCAAAAGAGATGGGCCTCTTTTGTTTGAGATCAGTCCCAGACGGACTTTTTAATAGTTTTGACATGATTTAAGGTTCTTTCTATAAATATAATAGGCAAAGGAAAGGAAAGGGAAGGAAAGGAAAGGAAAAAAGAAAGAAAATAAAGAGAGAGAAAAAAAAACAAGAACCTTAAACAAAACGTGGTGACTTTAAAGTTACACAAAAGAGATGCACTTGGTTAGTGACTCAAAATAGAAAATGCCCTGCTGTTTGTCTCCTTCTGCCCCTCACTTTTCTCCTGCCTACATTTGCTTTAATCATAATGAATTCAAAATCGCCCCTGCTGCTTGAAAGAACATTTTAATTCAATTAATGAACGCATAGATAAAGGCGTGTTCATAAAAAAGAGAGAGAGATCATGATTACAATGGTTTATTTACAAAGTGGTAGTATCAATAGGTCTAACAGGAACACCAGCTTTCTTTACAAACTCTTTAACAGACTGAAGAGGTACTTCTTGGCGGTGGAAAATGCCTGCAGCTAAAGCAGCTTCAACGTCTGTCTTTTCAAACACATCCACAAAATGTTCAACACAACCAGCGCCACTTGAGGCAATGACAGGAATAGAAACAGCATTGCGCACAGCATTAATTAATTCGTGTTCAAAACCCGAATTGGTGCCATCACGATCCATACAATTTAATAAGATTTCACCAGCACCCAATTGTTCACAAGCAGTGACCAATTGGATGACATCTAAATCACGTCCTTCACGACCTCCCTTTACAGTACATTGATACCAACAGTATTCTTCACCATTGGGTCCAGGCTGAGAGTTCTTGACTGTGTGGTGAGTGGTATCTTGAGGATCCTTGACGTACACACGACGAGGATCAACAGAAATAACAACAGCTTGAGAACCATAGGCTTCAGCGATTGTTTCAATGGCAGTAAGACCAGTCTTCTTGCCACCACTAGCAATAAAAGCCTCAGCACAGTAAACAGCATCACTACCAATAGAAACCTTGTCAGCACCAGAGCGGAAGTATTCACCAGCAACTTCAAAAGCAGGATGGACAGTGCCATCGGGGTCAGTCACATCACGAATACCACCACCAATAGTCAAGGGAACAAACACTGTTTCTGAAGTACGCTTCAATACTTCAAGCATAGGTGTATCACCCAAAGGACAATTACGGAAACTTGTGATGTTTAAGAATGTGATTTCATCAGCGCCTTCTTCAAAGTAGCGCTTGGCCAATTCGACTGGCTTACCGAGGTTACGCACATCGTTACTGCCACTGGCTTCACGTACATCGTATTGATCGCCCTTTGTGACAACCAAATCACCTTGATCATTAGCACGTACATCTAAACAAGCAATGATTCTCTTGGTGAGTGTGTCGGCTTCTTTCATGGTAGGTGTCTTGTAAATAACTGTCTTTTCGTCCACAATGCCTGTGCCTGTCAAAAATGATTTGATTGTGTTGAGACCAGCGTAACCACTTTTTTCAGGGTGGAACTGGGTAGCAAAAACATTGCCTTTTTGAACAGAAGAAATGAACATTTCGTTGCCGTATTGTGTAGTAGACAAAGCCCAATCTTTGTTTGCTTCAGTATAGCGTGCAGCATAAGAGTGAACAAAGTAGTATACTTTTTCTTCGTCAATGTTGTAGTTAACAGATTGTCCGTTATCGTTGCTTTGTTGAGACTTGGCAAGTTGAGCGTGGTTCCAGCCCATGTGAGGTACAGCTTTGTCGGCATTGTCAAACTTGGATACTTTTCCGGGAATAACACCCAAACCAAGCTCTTCACTTTCGTCAGAGCCTTCAAAGAGAGACTGCATACCAACACAGATACCCATAAAAGGCTTGCCAGATTGAATATAGGCCTTTAATGGTTCAGCATAGCCCTTTGAGCGCAAGGCACGCATAGCAAATCCAAAATCACCTACACCGGGAAAAATAAGTTTCTATCAAGAAAAAAGAGAGAGTATAAGTATGGCTTGCGTAGTCGTATCTAATTAATATTTACATCGGCAAGGGCAATATCAGAAGGGTCTTTCACAAAAGTAATTTGGAAACCCAAATGGTTGATAGCATTGACTAAGCTGCGAACGTTACCAGCTCCATAGTCAAGCATATAAAGACCAGGCATTGTAAATAGTGTATATCTAATAAAGAAGAGTGTAACTAATGAAAAAAAAGTTACCGAATTTTAAGATCCAAGGTGGCTTGTATGACTCACCTTGAATCAACGCTGCATTTTGATTCGAAGATTACATTAGTAAGCAAAGTGTACTATGCGTATCACTATACAGTCTTTCCATATCAACTTGCCGTGTTTTAGAAAATCACTTGTCGCTTTAGTGCACATTATTGAAGGTTTACTCATATTTTTGACATTGTTGAATAAAAGTATATGAAGGTTATAAAACTATCTTGAGTAATAAAAGAGCTTTTATTTAAGCAACTTTCCAAGCGCATATGAGAGTGTTTAACAAAGCCATAAAAATGGCTTTGAGGGATTTGACTGCAAGCTTCAATGGCAAGATTTTGCAGAATTTCTTCATGAAGGATTTGGTGTATCTTGACTTTGCTCGTAACAACCGACCAGAGTTGCTCTATAGGTCTCAATTCAGGGGAATAAGGTGGCAGATATACACACTTGTATAACCTTCATATACTTTTATTCAACAATGTCAAAAATATGAGTAAACCTTCAATAATGTGCACTAAAGCGACAAGTGATTTTCTAAAACACGGCAAGTTGATATGGAAAGGCTGTATCAGTCATCATTTATAAAAAAAAAGCACTTTATGTAACCTACATAAAAATGTACACCCATGCAAACCTATATAGAATAAACCTCTTATTTTCATTGGCTCACACGAGAACATGCTTTTAAGAAATGCAAAGTAAACTTTTCAGTGATTTCCCGCATATTAGTAACTTTCTCAGATGATCTTTTGATAGCTCGTCCAACACCAATTGGTGGGCTTTTAGATATCCAGATGGATAAGAACAAGGATAAATGTGTTTTGGAATAGCCAAAGTACGCGACATGAATGGAAAACATTCAGAAAGCTAATTTCTTCTTTATCAATGTTTGCTTTCACCAAGACCATGTACGCTTATTTCGGGGCTGAATGTGTAACTTAAAACTAGTGATCAGATAGCATTTTGTCGGTAAGAAGAACTTGTTAAATACATTAGAATTTTAGAGAGACTCCACTCCATAAATAATGATCATTTTTACGTAAACATATTGCTTTTGAAAGGCTAGCTTCTAAAAAATATCTCAATAAGATTTAAGTCCTTTATTTTGCAATGATCTTTAAAAATAGAGTGTGACACTTTGATTTTAGTAAAAGGTGTACAAGCTTACAAATAGAAAGAGAGAATAGAATACTATTTACTTGTTGTTCCTGAAGACTCTTGTTTCTTGCTGGAACAGAATAGGGTATATGATATCATAGTTTATCCAGCTGAAATGGACTTGCCAAAAGATATAAAAAAGGTAGTTTCATTGGTGATTCATACGCATTTCTTCAAGGAAAAAATCGGAGTTTCCCAAGTTAGATTTTATCATTGGGGAAATATTAATCTCCATTTTTTTTCGTTCTTTCTTTTTCTTTTTTGTTATAAACCAATATGAGTAGTTCAGCAAGTAAAGAAGTGTATAGATACATGTTGATTTAACTAACACTTATATAAAATAGATCTGCGTATTGCCTGTGTGGTAAATAATAATAACACATGTATAGACTGTTTCTAAGCAACTGCATTATTATAGATGGTGGGCTTACCAGCACGCGGAAAGACATACATTTCCTGCAAAGGTAAGCATGTACAAATATATATACAATGAGCTTATTTTTTTTTCTTGTATATAGTCAGTCGTTATTTAACTTGGTTAGGCATCAAGACTCAAATATTTACTGTAAGCAACTACCGTAGAAAACTAGCAGGCCTCAATTTACCACACACATTTTTTGATCCTAAAAATGATGAAGCAATGAAAATAAGGCATGAAGCAGCTTCCATGGCCCTAAATGACATGATACGCTGGTTTGACAAGGAAGATGGTACAGTAGGTATTTTGGATGCTACCAATTCATCCAAGAAAGCAAGAGCCTGGATCAACCAAGAGTTGACATCACGCGATATTCAAGTCTTATTTATTGAATCTATCTGTGAAGACGAAAATGTTGTTATGTCTAATATCAAGGACGTCAAATTATCTTCTCCTGACTACTGCGAGCGTGATCCTGAAGAAGCCACAGAAGACTTTATTAAACGTATTCGTCACTACGAAGCAACTTATGAAACAATAACAGAAAAAAAATTGACTTGGATCAAACTAATTAATGTTGGCAGCCAATATATCATCAACATGATTCGCGGGTATTTGGAAAGCAGAATTGTGTATTACCTAATGAATTTACACACGCGCCCAAAACGAATTTGGTTTAGTAGAGTAAGTGATAAAAAGGAAAGAATTAGAGGAGAGAGAGAGAGAGAGAGAGAGAGTATTTAACGCGTTTCATAGCACGGTGAGTCACTGTTTAATTTGGAAGATAGAATTGGTGGAGATGCAGGGCTGTCACCTAGAGGGGAACAATATGCATTGAAATTACCAGAATTAGTAAGAGAGAATATCGGTGATCGCCCATTGACCGTCTGGACTTCTTCCATGACTCGTACTATCCAAACAGCGAGACATCTTCCGTTCCCCAAGAAACAGTGGAAAGCTCTTGATGAGCTTGATACAGGTGTCTGTGACGGTATGACATACGATGAAATTGCGGTAAGAGCGCTAAATCCATTTCATAACCCAAATTTGGTCTAACGTGTTTTTTTTCCTCTCTCTCTTTCTCTGTATTAGGCTAAATATCCCGACGACTTTGCCAGACGTGACGAAGACAAGTTTAACTACCGCTACCGAGGTGGAGAGGTAATTGATAAATCGCGATTAAGAGAAAATATTAAAACAGATCACATAGAGTTACAGAGACTTGGTGTTAAGACTAGAGCCTGTTATCATGGAGTTGGAAAGCCATGAAAATATCTTGATTATTTCTCATCAAGCAACGATTCGTTGTATGTATGCTTACTTTATGGGACTAAGTCATGAAGAACTGCCGTATGCACCTATTCCACTTCATACTATCATTGAGTTGAAGCCAAAAGCATTTTCTTGTGAAGAAAAGCTATACAAAGGTAAAGGAAATAACAATATAGACAAACCGCCTTACATATATTTTATTAGTTGATGTGGGTGCAGTGGATACCTTTAGACCTAAAGGGCAGTTAGGCCGTAGACTGACCAATGACAAATTCATTAGCGCAGTGCCAGCCTTGGCAGAGGGGGCTAGTGGAGAAATCGCAGATTCTAATAAGCCAATTTTGCCCATCACACCTATCAGTGTCACACCTTGTTAATGTATTATTTATTGTTCTTCATATTCCCCTTTTTTCTTTCTGTCTCTAGTCTATTCAATAAACAATATATTTTGAACCTCCAAAGGTGTGATCGAACAACAGGGATCAGGGGGTCTAAATCGTCTCCACAATATTAAAATATATCTTTTTTGGTTTTTTGAGACATTGAGTGCAACCATTCTACAAAGTGTAACTTAATTTATGTGTTAGAATTGAACACAAATTATCTCATGCAAATCATTTTCATGTCAAATCCTTCAACAATTAAAATTGAAAAATACAAAAGTCAATACCTATGTTTTAAAGTAGAAAAAAAAAGCTCATAGTGTATGATATATATATAAAAAAAAAAAAGAGAGAAAAAAGGACGCGATGCCTTTCATGGCGTCCGAGTAAGCCGAGAGTGACATGTGGTAAACTGTTCCTATAAAGTAGTACATACAAATGATTTCTTAGCTTTGAATGCACCTAGGCAACTATTTGTTTTTCTTTTGTTATCTTGTATTCATCGTCTTGGCCGAAATAAATAAAATAAAAAGCTGATTGAACACCACTATAATTACCATTATAGGATTGAAGCATGTTTCACCCGATCTCTATGAATTTGCTAAACACTTTTACTTCAATATTTGATTGTATAGTCTAAGCGAAAAGAAATAAGAAAAGAAAAATGAGTATTTGTCTGTAAATGTGTTTAAGTGTATTTTATATCTCAGTGAAATGCTTTCTAATAAAGTTCGTTACTGATAAAAATGAACAATTGGATTGAACGATTTGTCACACCCATTTTATACACAAATGCAAATGACTCGTCACTTCTTTAAAAAAAAAATCTCAAGTGATAACATAACGAGATGTCAATTAAAAAGTCAAGCTGTCTTTTGTTTTTGGCTACAACCAATGCCGTCATTGTGATCTTTCGACAATACATGTGTATTTCCGCTCATAAAAAAGAAAATGGTACCTGAATAAATTAGTTATTGTAACCAGGTAAACTTCAAATATTATCCTTTATCTCTTACCCTACCCTTGGTTTTCTTAGGCAACTACCGAAACGGGACTAAGCAGTTTACTAATTTTATTTTGAAACAGGGTAACTATAATACTAGTAAAACGACCTATTGGATAAATGAACGGCATGATATTCATGTGCGACATTGTTAAAAAAAGAACACATTGTGCGTCTGTGCGTTCCTTTTAAGGCGATTCAACAAAAGGTTTCATTTGACACAGTCATCATTTGGCTTCGTCTTGTTTCTTTTTTTTTAATTTCGCCATCTTTCTTATTTCTACTTTATTAGTGAAAAAGGCGATTACGTGGGAAGGTTGACAAAGTTGATAAAATGACAACAAGTATCACAACATAAGGGCACACACAATTAATATTTTAGAAGTTTAAAGAAGAAAAAATACAATTTGCCGCCAACTGATATGCATCTAGAAAATTTATCTTGGTTTACACAAATAAAAAAAAAAGGTATATAAACAGATATTCTTTTCTTTTCTTTACTTCTTATTTCTTTCATGTACCCTATTCAAAAAAACCTATATAGTCATACTCAGGCTCCGATGACTCATTTTGCAAAGCCTGGATATTCATTAGCCAATTACGACCCTTTCCCATTTACCAATGCAAATTTAACAGACTTGTCTCAGGGAAGCAATCTCATCCAACCAATTGATCATGACATGGCAAAAGAAAACATCAACATCAAAAAGTAAGACATTCTATAGAAATGAAAAGATGTTTAGCTTTGTTTATCATAGACCTCAAAGCCCAGCTGAACGTCGTGCAGAACACAATGCTATTGAAAGAGCACGCCGTGAGAATTTAAATGCTAAGTTTCAATCACTTGCTCAAGCATTGCCTAATCTTATGAACTACCGAAGACCTTCTAAAAGTCAGATTGTTGAAAAAGCTCTTGATTGGGTCAAACAAAGTATCTCAAGAGAAGACAAATATCGCTATCAAATCCTCCATCTCCAAAGAGAAAACAAAAAACTGCTGGTTCAGTTACTTCAACAACAACAAGAAAACGCTCAAGTTTCAGTGCCTGCTGTGTATTCTGAACCAGGTACAAATTATGATTGGCACACTCCTCATCTTTTGACTGTGACTCCCAAAACAACTCCATATACAAGTGTTGAAGATTTGTCAAAGCAAGATTATTTAAGCTCTAGAAGTGATGATGAAGATAATACCAGTAGTAGTAATGAAGACGATATTGAATATCAACTTTCTCCTTCCTATTGTACGTATTTTTTTTTCATTTTAAAAGTAAGATTTTTTGTCATACTCATATGATTCAGTTGATGACAAACAACATGGAAACCAATGTCTTTTACAACATAATGATTTTATGCCCAATAATCTTTACTGTAAGTCTACCGATATACATATAAAGAGAAAACTAACTGTCTGTCCTAGACAATATCAATCTTCATTAGAACAATACACAACTTTACTAAAACAAATGTCTTTGGTTCAAATGGACTAAATGTGTTCTATATTGCATATAATTTATACTTTAAAATATATACTTTGATAGGTATATTTTATTTGTCATGCTTCCTTTTTGGGCATCTTGTATACTTTAAACATTCTATCATGTTGACTATGATTCGACTAATAAAAAAAATAACTTCTTTTTCCTTCTATTATCGCGGTATGATTATGCTAAACTAATAGCCGCTTTATTGTTAGAAAATGTAGTGACACGAATACATGTGTAGAAAGATAAATATCCAGACCGAATGAACGGAGAACAAAAGGGGGTATATGTACAGTTCTAGTCTAATACAATGGTATTACTTTGCCTTTTTTGATAAACCTAATCTTGGTCTTCTTTGTTGTGTATTTCCTTTAAATCACATTAAAATTTCTTTTATTTTGAAGTATTGTTTACCTTGTTTCTCTTCAAGCGGTTCAGTATGAATAGAGGCCTTTCTTTTTTGTTGTAAAATAGTTTCAGTATGAGCAGCAATTTTTTCGATCTCTAATAGTTCTTCTGCAGTCAGTTCATCTAATTCGTCAAAAGAATCTTGTGTAGCTTCAACAGAAGCCTTATCGTCATGGGCACTATGAAAAGAAACAGGCCGGCTATAAAATAGCTCAGGTAAAGCATTTTGGCTGTCTAAAGGAGGAGAATTAGGTTGTGTATCGGTATCATGAGAAGGAATCTCTGGTAAATCGTCTGATGCATCGTTAAAATGAGTAGAAACAGATTCAATTTCTACTAGAGCATCTACCGCATCATTTGAATCAAACGAAAGGGACGAAATAGGATGTGTGTCATCAAAAGACTGGTTGTAAGAAGCTATTGGGTGAGACGACTCATAATCAGAGTTGAATGGGGCCGTATCATGAGAGAAATTATCATCATCTTGCTCTTCTTCGAAAACAGGTGCTACATGAGGTTGATAAAGCCATTCCTCATCTTCTTCATTCTTGCCAGGAGAAAAAGAAGTGCTGGCAGTGGTATAAGTAGTGGCCTTTTCTTCTTCTTCAATCAAATTGTTCATGATCGAGTATTCATCTACTAAAAGGGGAGAGTTGCTGAGTGGTGATTTATCATCATCTTTGTCTTCCTCAATATCGAACAAAAGTTTTTCATTCAATATCTTTGAATGTTCTGCTTTTTGAGGCTTAATAGGATGAGGAGACGCCCAGGGCGGCAGTGGTGGTCCATCGCCTTGGGATTCAACCGAGGACTCTAGCGAACGCTGACTCGTGTTTGTCTTCAGTATCCAATTTTCGATAAAAGAACGGTTGCTTCGAATTGAACTAATTGAACTGTTGCGTGTAATCTAATTGTAGTTTGTTAATTCATGTCTATTTGTTTATTTCTTTATGCCTCACCAAAGAGCTTGAGCCTAATTCTTCAGCAACCAAAAATATATATATATATTAGAAACATATTGAAGAAACACAATTACCTCCTGAACTTGATACTTGGTCCTGTGTTCGCGTTGTGCGAGATATTGAACTTGAAGCTTTGCTAGGAGGAACTTCGCTCACTGTTATTGGTGTCTCTGAACTATCCATATTATTCTATTTGAAAATCGTAGACAAAAAAAGAAAAAAAACCCCCAACTTCCACACATTTGGCTTGGGACTGCTTTTGATGTTTGTTTGGATCAGGTACAGTCAAACCTATGAAAATTGACGTTTAAGAAAAAAAAAACAAATTGATTGATTTGCTAGCTGAAAACGCCCCTATTCCGGTGAGAATCTTTTGAGTCTACGTAAGCTTCGGTAAAGAATCGTTTACTTGTATTTAGAAGGCTTCCAGCTAGCGGTTGAGACGAGTTGCTAACCCACTTTTGGTGTTTTAATGCACGCTTTTAATTTTTCTTAATATAAATCATAGAGCATGAAAAAAGGTCATAGTCTTCAATGCAGAAAGCGGACTATGTCAAGTGGTAATTACAGCAAAGAGTTTTATTGAACATCTTAAAGTTTTGATTTACATGCATTTGATAGATTGCAGGTTTCTTTATCTGATAAACAATTTATTAGTGTAAATGCAATCTACTGATAAAACATCTTTGATGAATAAACTATACACTGTGAAAAAAAGTCACTAAATGGATCGAATGGGTTGAAATAAAATTTAAAATTATTAAACAATTAATCTTGCCAATACCTTTTAAGATACTTTTCAGATATTTGGACACCTTAATAAATTTTAAAGTTAAACAAAGTGGTCCATAACATACTTCGCTTTTTTGTCCAAATCGACGACAAAGGCACCGTGTATATCATCAAACATTTTTTGTAGGTACCGAAGTATTTATACATGTATAAATAGACTTTATAATGCCTTTATATGTCTGGAAAAAAGAGTGAGATTTGTATGAATTGTCATCTTTTTTACTGCTAAAGCGTTTATTTGCCTAAAGTCTTTGTTGCATGAATAAGGTATGTATTATCAAGTAGCTTTTTTGGATAGAATGCCTTGATAGAAAAAACACTTGCTTCACCTAAACAAAAAAAAGGTAGCGTTTGCTCATAAAAGTGTCAAAGTATTGGAAAATTTTATGATGCATTAAATCTGGTTCAAATGACTATATATCACCATATATCCACAGTTTTAATCCAATTACTTGCTTTATCTATAGTCAAGATGCATCCAGCTCAAAAACTACTATTCTATTTGTATGGTTCAATACAATTACTTCAATAGACAAATATCTGACAATAAATGATTTACGTCTAATTATACAGCCATTGTCTTATTGATAGAATGTCTTGAAATGAATAAAAAATCTTAGATATCAACCTGTCAACCACACTGAGTTGGTTAAATATGGATTGGCTCATCTAATGCAGATACTTGTACAGTATTAATCAATAAAATATATGGAATGATTCTAATATCTAAAGTTCTGTATGGAATAAAGATCTTTGCAGGTCATGGTGAACCCTAATGCAAGCAATTATCTATTAAAATGCGAGTCTTTTGTTGAATCAGTTAAACGCACTCTTTGTTTGACCTTAATTTTCTCGCTCTTATTTTGACATTGATAAATCAGCAAGAAATATCATGGATGAGCATGGATGAGCATGGATGAGCATGGATGAGCATGGATGAGTAGAATAATAGAAGAAATGTATGTGTTTTGGATTTTCGAAATTAATTTGCACCTTAGCGTAATGGATTTTTGTAAAAAAAAAAAATTTTTTTGTTAGTTTTTTGAGCATTTTTGACTAAATTTTTAAAATTTAATTTAATTTAATTCTTTGAAATTGATGACATTACAGCATAAGCGATTGAAGAAATCTTTCATTGAATGCAGAAATGAAATTTTTTTGACTAAACCTCTACTCAAATATGAAAGAAAAATACAATCTCTTACGCTGTGGTGAGAGTGTGCTTTTTTAATCTAGAAATAATTATTTTCCAAGAATTTTTTTCTGTTGACGCAAATAGCATACTTGCGCATTGATATTAATTTTGTCAAATCCATATTTAAAGTTTATTAATTTATTAATTTATAGAAAAGGTTGTTTTAAACACATGGCCCAATATGGTCTTTGACTACTCGGACTTGATCAATTCATAAGAATGGCTATATTAAGCTAAAAAAATCTAAGAGAACAGCGGCAAAAAAGAAATAGAGAGGAGAGCGTTAGTCTAATGGTGTGTCTGGGCTTGAGTTTGTAACCAGAGAAGAAATGGCAACATCTGGTTGGATGTTGGAAGGAGTAGATTTTTTGCGACAGAATGTTACATAGATGTAATTTTGGGATAAAAACAAATGCACAGAGGTTCATTGGATATTCCAATAAAGTAGAGAGAATGTAACTTTGAGTATTTCTGTGGGGAAGTGAATTACAAATCTTTGAAAGACAAAGGGCATAGTCAAGGGCACTTTTACATTCTCTAAAGCCATCTTGAGTAGTGTTTAAGGACAATACTTGGCCTTGGAGAAGCTTCTTGATGCATGTTTCGAGCGTTTTTATGGAAGTAGTGATCTGGATAATTAGGCAGTAATTGACTAGATCCGTTGGGCTGCCTGTATTATTTTTTTTTGTAAGGGAGACTTGCTCCAATTTTATTTTAAGTCCTTTAGACGTCAAAAGAGTGGAAGAAAAGACTGTGGTATTATAAGAACTAGACTAAGGAAAGGGAAATGAGCCTATGGTAGAAGAAATTGAGAAAAGAATAAGAGTTAAGAGAGCTTGATAGATACTTGAAATGGAGAGAACATCATGAGTAGTGAGAGAGGCACTGGAAAGGAAAGCGGAGGAGAGAATTTACGGTTCATAATCAAGGCGGGATTCATCTTGCAGCTTATTTGCTAAGCGGAAAACCGCCTTGGTTATAGTTTTGGAGAGGAATGGGTTTTCAGAAAAAACAGATTGCCAGTGAGATTGCCAGAGGGCTAGAGCAGTGCATGCAAAGATTTGGAAGGTACTTAAGGAAGGAAAATGGAGGAGAGAAACACGAGGGATAACAACCCGAAGGAGGAGGACTTGACGTAGGAGATTGACCGAAGGTGCACGGATGTTGGGATTGATGTACTTGGAGAAGACATGAGACCAAACAGCATACTTGGTAGGGCAGAGGAAATAAAAGTGATCAAGGGTATCAATGGAAGTAATGAGATTTGAAGGACAGTGGATACAAAAGTTATTAGGAATTGTACGGGGCATAAGACGATGTAGGTGAAAACGGTTGTTGACTTTGTTGTGAAGCATCCTGTAGAGGACATTGCGAACAGGGAGAGGGATCTTGAGAGACCAAAAGCGTTTCCAGTTAGGCGATAGGCGGGGATCAGGCGGTATAGGAGGGGAGGAGCTATGGCATAATTTACGATAAGAATGAGTGGAAGATGTAATGGGAAATTGAGAGTATGTAAGGGTTGAAATGAATGTCTGTAAATCAGTGGAGCTAATGTGAGAGATTGAAGGAAGAATAGAAAAGGAAGAAATACGAGGAGCAGGAGAAAAGAGTGACAGGACAAAGGGATTGAGGAAGAGCTTTTTTTGACGAAAGTGTAGTAAAGCGCGGTAGGTGGCCGATTCAAAACGAGGGACTTCTTGCCGAGAGCGAAACCGAAGGCATTCACTAGAAGAATCAAAAACAAAAATGTGATTACCTGTTAAGACTAGCATACTGGGATTGTGTTTGAAGTATTTATCTTTAGAAATAGGAGGGTTGGATGGAGGTGGAGAAGGACAGATAGAATGTAGAAGTTCAGGAAGTGGAAGGCGAAGGCAAACGTGAAGGGGGACATGACAATTGGAGAAGTTATGGGGTAGATAATCTATAGCTAAGAAAATACGGTTGAAGTAAGGAATGTCAATAGAAAGCTTTTTTCGTATAAAGGGGAATAACAAAGGCCAGTGGTAAGTAGGGTATTGTGGGGAACAAAGGAAGAAAGAGAGGGTAAATTGGAGATAAGGAAGTGAAGGTAAAGAAATAGCAAAAGAGTGAGGAACTAATAAAGGGTAGACCCATCGCCATTGAAGAGCTCTCTGTTGTAGATGAGGATCAATGACGCTAAGTCCACCTTGAGAACGAGGTAAAATGAGTGTTGAGAAAGGAATGGTACCAAAGCGGCTGCTGCCTTTATTATGGATTAGGACTACTTGTGCGACTCGTCAACAGTGAGGCGTGTATGGCCAACACCAACGTAGACCAAAAATATAGAAATCAATAGACCACTAAAATTTGTGATGCTTACACAAAAATTAAGCTAAAGCCATAAAAGATTCACAGTAATAGCTGTAGGTGTCAGGAACTACTCATGAATGCAATGGATTCACAAAAATTGTTTAAACGCCGCTCGCATTTATGCCGATGTGCAAGTATGCCAGTTGTGTTCTCAAAAAAAAATTTCTAAAAAAAAATAAAACTCACTTTTGATATACATCGAAGATACTTTCTATAGTCATAAAAAATAAAAGAAAAGTAGAAATTCTTAATTTTTCTGTTTCAAATTAATAGAAGAAGCCAACCTTTCAATTTTCTAGTTTTAAATAAATAGACGAGTCTACCGGATGATGATTCTACTGTTTTAGTTTAAAAGACAAATTGCTACCTGGTAGATTCGTTTTTAATTCAAAACAGAAAAATTGAAAGACAAGGTTTTTTTTTATTAATTTGAAACAGAAAATTTAAAAATTTTCATCTTTTTTATTTTAAAGTAGCGGTTTTAATTTTAAAAAAGTGTTTTTTATTATTTTCAAAAAAAAATTTTGAGTACACAATTGGCATACTTGTAATTTCGGTATACCTGTTGATATTTTTATTATTTTTGAAAATATTTTTTTTCTTTTCTTTTTTTGTAAGCGTATTACACGGATCATGAAGGCCTAAGATCTACGAGTATTTTTATACTTTTTTTTATTGCTCTAGCTAACTTTTTCGTAGAGTTATTGCAATCTTTGGGAAGGGGCTTTGAACACTAAAATTTATGCTTGGACCAGAAAAATAGAATAAGAAAGGTATGGCTCAGCATCTAAGCTTACTCAGCCAACGGGCGACACTGCTCTCAAAGCTGTTAGTTCTTCCTTTTTCTATGAAATCGGGCTCTAGAGCCAACTATACCCTTCCCTTAAATAGATTTTAGCAAATTCTAGTCAAGCAAGTAGCAGTTAGAAACCTTATTTGGAAAGCAACTGTCAGCCATCTGTAACGTCTTCACCTCCCAAATGACAACACCAGTAATCTGAACTCTTTCTTAGATGCTTTTGATCATCAGTTTCTTGAACAAGTTCACTCTTACAGCAGAATGATTGCTACGACCATAGCAACCATAACAACCATAATAGCGGCCATAGCGATCAAAAAAAAAAAATATTCTCAAAATTAATAAAAATATCAACATGTATGCCGAAATTACAAGTATGCCATTTGCGTACTCAAAAAAAAATTTTTGAAAAATAATAAAAACCACTACTGTAAATTAAATCAAGAATATTTTCTGCAATGACAAAAAATAAAAAAGAAGTAAATTTTCCAATTTTTATGCTTAAAATTTTAAAAGAAGCTTGTTCTTCAATTTTTCTGTTTTGAAATAAAAACCGAATCTACCGGATGATAATCTTACTGTTTTAGTTTAAAGAAGAGATTACTGGTTGGTAGACTCGGTTTTTATTTCAAAACAGAAAAATTGAAGAACAAGCTTCTTTTAAAATTTTAAGCATAAAAATTGGAAAATTTACTTCTTTTTTATTTTTTGTCATTGCAGAAAATATTCTTGATTTAATTTACAGTAGTGGTTTTTATTATTTTTCAAAAATTTTTTTTTGAGTACGCAAATGGCATACTTGTAATTTCGGCATACATGTTGATATTTTTATTAATTTTGAGAATATTTTTTTTTTATTATTATTTTTTGTAAGTCCATCACACTAATTAGGTAGCTCTGAGATGTAAAATATTTTCTATCACTCTAGCTACCTTTCATGTAGATTTATCACAATCTTTCAAAAGAAGCTTTAAACACTAAAATTTATTAGAGAGATATGATTCAACATCCAAATCTAGGTAGCCAGCAGACGATACTGCTCTACAAGTTTTTAGTCCTTCTTTTTCTTTGAAATCGGGTTCAAAAGTTAACTACGCCCTTCCCTTCGACAAATTTTAGCAAGATGGAAAAAAAAAAAAAACTCGATCAGGAATTTTTAGAATGAGCCAATGTAGGTCCGATCCAACCGAAGTGAGGAAAGACCATCTCTAGATACTTCTGAAGAAAAGAAAACAAGTTTACTAAGATGAAAAAGGCGACTTAATTTGAGGATTGTCCTCAAATATGCGTTTAATGTTGATTGTATACTGTGAGTGATAGAAAAGAGACACATTTTAGTATATATTGAGTAGTAAACAATCACTTATACCTATACCATTCGATGCGCAAGAAATAGGCGAGCAAGACATACTATATTACTTGGTGTTTTTGAGGCCCAAAGAGTACAGATGAGTTAAATAACGTATTAGTTGCTTACAAGTTGTCGTGGTAGTGCCTTTAACACGTTTTTACGATCAGTACTTGTCCATTTTATGACTCTATCAGCTTTTTTTTCTTTTCAAATGATTTCTATTGATGTAGAGTAAAACGCGAATGCGAGTTGCAAGTAATGTCTTAGAGCAGAGAGGGAAAATCGCCGGCGTTTAAATGATCAGATCTTCCTTGGTATGCGTCTTCCATTGTTTGTCCTGTGCTCATCTGTACTCTTTGGGCCTCAAAAACACCAAGTAATATAGTATGTCTTGCTCGCCTATTTCTTGCGCATCGAATGGTATAGGTATAAGTGATTGTTTACTACTCAATATATACTAAAATGTGTCTCTTTTCTATCACTCACAGTATACAATCAACATTAAACGCATATTTGAGGACAATCCTCAAATTAAGTCGCCTTTTTCATCTTAGTAAACTTGTTTTCTTTTCTTCAGAAGTATCTAGAGATGGTCTTTCCTCACTTCGGTTGGATCGGACCTACATTGGCTCATTCTAAAAATTCCTGATCGAGTTTTTTTTTTTTCCATCTTTACGGACCTCCATGATCCTCCAGATAAAAAAAAATGAATTTCACAAAACAGTCAAACCAATGGTATCATTCGATTCCTGGGCTCGAAAGAACATGTTTTAAATGAAAAAACGGGCTGATTTGATAGTCTAGTTTTCGAGTAATGGTCCATCAAAGATTGGTGCATTTTTGCCCTAAATATTATACAGAACTCGTTGCAAAAGAACTTTCAAAACATACGACATGCTATATAGAGTGCTAAGAAACATGGAAGAATAAAAATATAAGCACTTTATAATGCAAACGTAGAGGGGAAGGGGAGGGCAAATGAGCATAGAACATACAGGATGGCTATGGCACGGAGATTGGAATAGAAAGCAGCTTCAATTCTTTTTGTCGCTGCATCTAAATAGGGCTTTAGGCTCATACCATGCAGAACCAACCATTCCATTATCTCTCTGTTTTTCACAGCACTCGCTATCAAATTAAGCGTATAGCTGCTGAGAATGACCTTTCATCTTGAGAGGTCTTTTCTCGCAATAACTGCTCTTCTTTCCTTTTATATTTTTCTACTTTCGTACTATCGTACCAATTTTGTTTTTTTTTTATATTTTCTTACAATAAATGATTGTCAAACACCTCTTTTAGTGGGTCCCTCCCAAGAGCACTAATACGTGCGGCAAATAAAATCATTAAAAAAATAGAGCTTTTAGCTGAGAACTCCATAAAGACCCAGCTATTGGGCGTTGGCGCAGTGACAAAAGTTGTAGATCTTTGCCTTCTGAGTTTGCTAATACAAAGAACACAGAAAATTTGCTGCTAAAATATTGAGCAAATATGCAAACATGGTTGTGAGATTTTTCGCTCATATCTCGTTATTTTCATAGTACTATTGGAAAGTAAACACATTTACCAAAAACTAGAGCTCTTGAAGTACATTTTGAGTATTTGAGTTTATCAATCATTTTATCTTTCGTTCCGAAGCGTCCAAAAGAAAATCAAAGTTGTCAAAACGAGAATTTTCCATGAGTACTCTTTGGTCGAATGGTCATTTTGGTCATTTTTCACAAGTCGTCCCTTTTTTTTTTTTTTTTTTTTTTTTTTTTTTTTGGTCCAAATCAACTCCAAAGACACCTTGGATGTTATCCAACATGAGTTAAAGGCATTTGGAGTATTTGCGCATGTATAAACAGGCTTTACAGTGCCTTCATATGCCAAAGAAAAAGACAACGATCTGTATCAATTGTTGTCTTTTTCACTGTTGCAACATCTATTTACCTAGCGTCCTTATTGCATAAGTCAATAGCTTACTACCTAGTAGATTATTTACATAAAAACACCTCATTAAAAAAACACTAAGTCCCCCCTCAACCAAAAAAAGCGGATGTTTGTTTTATGAAAAATATAGAAGCGCTGAGACAATTCACTTTAACTTTATGGTTGTCAACATTCATTTTATTTTGGGATCTAATTTGTTTCAAAAAAAAAAGTGAGATGTTCAAAGTGGCTTAAAACTGCACTCGTCAAAAGGCAACCATTTAAGAAAGAGCTTTTCAGACTCCATTTATCGAAGCTTTTTTAGACTTTAATGGTTAAATAATACAGCTATCGACATGCTTGAATACTCGGAAAAATCATTGGAAACTATTCTTCATGAAGGTCATAAAAATGTCACTGTAGGACGAAAAACCGCAAAAATGATTTTAGCAAAGCTATTGCGTTCTTGACATTATGGGCTCTTAGACTGACACACAAAATAACTCATACCACTCTCCACACATCGTGTACATTTTCTATTAGGTTTTTACGAATTTAACATTTGAAATGCATTTTTCCTATGCTAGACTATCGTTTTTTGCGTTTATATTGCTTCAATAAAAGCTGGTTGTCTGATGAACTACAGGTGATTTTTTGCTTTTAATGTAAATTCGTAAGAACATCATAAGGCATGACAGATCAGAAACTATTTTGATGTTTTAATAATTCAAACATGTCACTCCTGATTATTACTGATACTATAAAACATATCTTGCGGATCAGTGATAGCTTTTTTCTTTTGTTCAAGAATGGGCATAAATGTATCGTTCTCTGCCTTATAATTGATATTTTTTGATATTTCACTCAGTACTAAACCAATGCATTCCTGATCCGGCTCTTTGTTAAAAGTCACGCCACACTTTAATAATACGATATTGATTCCCCCTCCCCTTTACAGCTATAGTCGTATTCGGATCGAGTCATATAGTCACACAGAAAAAAATCGCATAATTTCTATCCTTGAGCAAGTTCCCCAAAGCAAAATAGATTGACACGGTAAATCGTGCAGAATAAAGGCCAATATTTGATGTGGCCACTATTTGTATCAATCACGACTTAGTATTGCTCAGTCCTATTGTCGATCAAGCATGTAGTCGTATAAATGCAATTATGCAATTGACAAAATAATTCAACTACCCCCTCGTATCCGTATCAATATTTTACATAGATTGGTTAATGTCTGTTACCCTTCTATTCTCTGCTCTTCCTTATAACTCAATATAAGTAAATATTACTTATGCATCGCATGCTCTGTTTAATTTCTAAAATTTAATTTTGTTTTATTTTTCCACAACAAAATTACTAGGTATGACTGAATACTGCTACCATTTACAATTCTAGTTTAGCTCAATAAAAAGAAAATATATGTTTTTCAATAAAATTATTTATCATTCAATACACTGCCTCTTGATCAAGGGCATCTGCTGAACATTTGGCTGCATTACATTTGGTCACCCACATTTTGGATCTTGCATTGGTTGCACAAGGAGGGCAACCATGTTTGATCAAATCAATATTGACCCATAAACTATTACAAGAAAAAAGTAAAAGAAATGCAAAATCCTTTCAAATAAGAAAGAGGAGTAGTGCTCAGCCATGTCATTTTGCTAAGAAAGATAAAAATAGGCTGCTATTTCAATTGATGAAAAAAATCAAATGATATATATATATATATATTTTGTTCCTGGATATCGGAGACCGCTTTTTTCCGCCAAGCCAAACGATGAAACACGATAGTTTCATCCATTTTTTTCTCTCTCTCTTTTTTTTTTTTAAAAGGGCAGATTTACTATGGCATTAAATTAATGCTATATTCTACCACGCGGTATTAATTGCATGTCAAGCAAAGATGGTCCAGGCATTCGTATTGGTCTGAGTTATGCGTGAGTAAATATGATGTGCGCCCCGCATTTAAATTAGAATGGCCAGTTCTTTTTTATATGATTTGTTCAAACTGTTCAGCTTACACGTGTGTCTTAATTTGCTGCATTTTTTTTTCTATTTTTTTGCACAGCACATTTCGCGTCTTGTCAGAATATATTTGTGGTACGATATTTTACTATTCTTTACGTGTCAGGCTACAACTTTTTCCTTCTTTTTTTTCACACTAAGAAGTCCATAGTCTGTTTTCTATAGGACTAAATGACATAACATCTCATTGTGATCACATAATAAACATCAAAAAAAAAAAAAAAATACGGTAATGATGAATTTTGGCTAGTTGTAGTCTGACGGTAAAAAGTCGGATCGGGTAAAAACGAACCATTGAGTCAAAGGAAATTGAAAGAAATCGTCATTTTTCGGAAAAAGAATACCTCTTTTTTTTTATGTCTCTGTTTTACATTCCTTATCCATCTGCGTTTTGTTCCTATTGCAAACAAAATAAAGAGATGATGATTATCAGCATTTGTCCAATCAGATAATCAGAAAAGAGCCATTTGAACAAATTATGAGTAATGAAATTGAGTTTCAATTGAGGTATGACTAATCTTGAATATGTGTCACTGGAACAAGCTGGTATAAATACAACAATCCGCATTAATTTCTTTCTTTCCTTTACCTCATATTTTTCATACAAAAAATGGATCTCTCTTGGTGTATTATCTGCGACCGCCATTGTATTGATAACAATCTCTACTGCTCAGAGGCATGTAAATTCCAAGATATGACTGGTCAAAAAGATTCCAAGCCTGATAACATCTTCAAGTCTCCTTCGCTTGTCTCACCACCTACTTCACCTGTCCTCTCTCCATTCTTATATTCGTTTCAACCTTCCCATGACCGTCTTCGATCAGCTGGTCATATAACACGCACTTCTCACCACTATCAATATACTCCTTATCAATTCGTACCCAGTTCTCCTTCTGAATCGTCTTTATACGGTGATGATACCTAAAACCAACTACGCTCCCTCTTTCAAGACTATATAATTTTTTCTATTATGGGAAATGATGCTCTCGACATTATGAACAAAGCAAGAGACCAAAAAAAAAGAGAGAGAAAAACCTCAGTTGAACCTTTCTCTCTTTCCTGCCACTGACAAAAAAGGCTTTTTAATTTATTTGTATGCTAGACTGTGTATTTATGTTTATTTATATGTAATTCAAAAGATGATTGGATATTTAATCTTAATAAATAGAAGAATATTTTTTTTTAATTCTCTTTCTCTTTTTCTTTTTCTTCACCGTGTTTAAACTTAATGGAGCAAGATAGCATTATTTTACATTATCATGATGTTGTTATTCGACAATCTGTAAGTCCATTTTGTCTATAGGCTATTGTTGACATGGCAACGATAGGATCTAAATACTTTGACACCGGGACAATGGTTAAATGATACCATGATAGCATTTCATATGGAGTTTTTAGAAAGAACATTTGTACCCAAAGACGCAAAGTATTTGTTTTTGAGACCTGGTATGGTTCATTTATTGACATTTGCAGAATGTAAGTATCAATTAGGATCACTTTTGGGTTGATCAAACTGATAATGAATTTAACAGGCGACGTGATGCAATTAGAGCATGTTTTGCCTGCTAATATCGATTCTTATGAAGTGATATTCATTCCCGTCAATGACGGGAAGCCTCATGAAGCCTACAGTGGAACACATTGGTCTCTTATGGTCTATATCAGAGCTGTCAATTCCTTTTTTTATTATGACACATTAAAATTCAATAACCTAAGAGATGGTGAATTGACAAGCAGGCGATTACAGCCCTTATTAAAAACAGACCAATCATTTCATTTTATACCCAGTAGTACACCTCAACAAGACAATGGCTCTGATTGTGGAGGTAAATAATGATGATAGTGCCTATATGACTAAACAAAATCTAGTGTCTGTCATTGCCATCATTGACTATACTTTACATCAACTACTCAAAAGTCGTGGAAAAGAGTCTGTTCAATACAACAAGATTATGATGCTGAAACCCAAAGATATGTCAACACCTAAACAAGTTCGAGATAACATCAATGGCATGATCAAACGACTTCAACAGCGTTCTATATCCTCTTCCTCTTCAACCTCATCAAACAAGTCATAATAAAACTCCTCCCGCCAATCATATCCTATACACGATAAATTTTTTTCTTTTCTCCCTCACAAAAAATTTTTTTGTTTAATTCTTTTCCTTCTCTCCCTCTTTTTTGTTGGAATAGGTAGCGTATATGTTGCAACAGCGTTCTTGTTTGTTCTCTCCCCCTTTTTTTCTTTCTTGCTTTGATTCACGGTTGATAAAGGGGGCCGTTTTCTACTATGAAGGCTGAAAAAAATATAAAAAAAGACAACAAGAGTATGGAGATAAGCCACCCAATGTGTTATACTCGTGTTTATACACAACTCGACAATTCAACAAACAAGGAAGAAGAAAGAAAGAAAGAAAAAAAAGGAGGGGGAGGGACAAAAAGAAAATAACGCGACGCGACTTTGATAGATGAGAATGGATACTAACCCTTCTAATAGCCTCTTAATAAAATGAACGCTGACAAACTCTCCAAGCTCCAAGCTCAAGTCCGTATTGGTGGTAAGGGTACTCCCCGTCGTAAGGTCAAGAGAACCACCGGTAACACCTCTTCTGGTGATGACCGTAAGCTCTCTGCTGCCCTCACCAAGTTGAATGTTCAACCTATCCCTGGTGTTGATGAAGTCAACATGTTCAAGGAAGATGGTTCCGTCATTCACTTTGCCAACCCTCGTGGTATGTATCATTCTTTTCTTTTTCTTTTACTGATGATCAATAGTTTCCGCTGCTGCCAATGCCAACACTTTCGCTATCCACGGTCGTTCTCAACAAAAGGAATTGACTGAACTCATTCCCAACATCTTGAACCAATTGGGTCCTGACTCCATGGCTGCCCTCAAGAAGCTCGCTGAAACTTTCCAACAAGCTCAAGGTGAAAACGCCGCTGGTGCTGATGATGATGAAATCCCTGACTTGGTTGAAAGCTTCGATAAGGCCGAAGTTGAAGACAAGAAGGAAGAAAAGAAGGAAGAATCTGCTTAAATTCTTTGAATGTTGTGTGTACATTTAAAAAATCCATTGACATTGAAAAAATAAACCATTGAACAAAAGCACGCCTTTTTCATTTTAAAAAGAGAGTTGTACCTGATTTTTTTTATGTAATTGAGATATGAAATCAATTCGAATTTAAACAAGGTTCGAGTATGTTCATTTTGACAAGGGTAATTAGTTTTTTCTCTCAAAATTACTCAAGACAACTTAAACATCGACTATATTTCTTTAACAAAAAGCCACAATTAAGATATAAACAAAAAATTTTTTATTAAACAAGATTATTTTAACAAAGCAAACCAAGAAGTCCTGTAGAAAATAGATTAGTATCAAGTCAATAATAGACATTGAGGAAATTGTTATACAAAATTGTATTTTTTCTTTTTTTGGTTCATTCAGCAAGTTTAAAATAGGTAGCTAGGGTTTTTTCGTCATAGTCATAACGACTAAAGTCAAATGCCTGAATCATCCTTTGAAACAAAAAAGAAAAAGATACAAGATTGAAAACAATCTTTTGTTTTTAACTTACCACTTGATAAAATAACTTGTTAATGTAATAAAAGAAGAAGAAAAAAAGTAAAGAAACAGAATTCGTTTGAAGCTTATTTATGGATGTTTCGAAAAATAAATTTTTTTTTGCGCGTCGTTCCTGCTAATTTTATTAAAAAGCAGTCTTGAAATAATTGTCACACTGTCCTCAAAGAAATTTTCACCAGTTCCCAGTTGTCTTGGTGGCCAATGACCGTTTAGCCTGTTTATTGACCTTGGTCATAATTCTTTCATAGATCAGAAAAACAAAAATCGACTATGAAGTCATTGAGATACTTGATTTAGAAACAACAATGCCATCATTTTGTTTAAAAAAAATGCATATATTGTTTCAATTACTGCTTCTTCTTTTTGCTTTATTTCACTCTTCTTTATTTGTATAGATAATGGAAAGCAACAATTTAAATAACCCTCCACCTCCTGCTTATCAACAAAACCAAAAGCCGGGTCAAACATATTACCAGCCCCCAGAAAATACAAACTACCCTCCTCCTCCTAATCCACCACCACCTCCACCAGCTAATAATATGGGTCAACGATTTACTCAGTTTTATGCACCTCCACAGAACAAACGACTTGGGATGAAAAGAAGATTGTGTTCTTTTCTTTGCTGTTGTATCATCATTGGTCTCATTATAGGCCTTTCAGCAGGTCTCACCAGAAGAAGTTACTACAACACACCTTGTAATTGGTAAGACGAGATATATACTATGTAAACATATACTCATAAACTTAGTCGAACAAACGCTGACTGTCTTTATCGATATGGTGCGGGAACATACTGCTATTCCAACTGCCAATGTGCACGCCGTTAATTTACTACTAATACTACCTAATAAATTTTAAATCGTTATTGGCGGTAAAAGGGCCATGCATATAATAATAATCGTAAAGGGGAAAGGCATACAAATGCACCGTAAATTAATAGTTTGAATTAGGAGTTGTTTTGAGTGCTTTAAACAATGGTCTCATGGTCATTTCGACGTCATGTAGTGATATGAGATAGTACAATGGAACTCAAATAACAATAAGAATGACTTGGTTATATCTCGAGATACGTTCATCATCTCGAAAGAGATCTGCAAGGGTTCTTTACTAACATCCAAAAAGCCGATCTATTGAATCAGATTTCGTTTGTCTAATAACTCGTTTGGGGTCAAATGAGAAGACGAACAAAAAAAACATACGATAGATGTAGCTGTCATTGGCCAAGACTCTCTTTTTTTTTCTGGGCGCCGAAAAAGTAATTATCTTTATGCGCCATGTACACCATATCTTTTGTTTGTATCACCTTTAGACAACAATCAACAGTGTAACAAGAGTTTTTACTTAACCCACGTAGGAGTGATAAACAAGTGAAAAATAAAGAAAAAAAGGAGAGCATCATTTATTATTCTAATACAAAAAGGGGCAAAGATTAGTTTTTTTTCTTTTTCTCTTTTTAAGAAAAGTGATATTGTATCGTCGTCATTCTTACTTGTTCTATCCCCAAACCTTATTACAATTTTTTTTCTTTCCATGCGTGCGCCCGCCTTGTATAAAAATAAACAGGAAAATCTTTTTCTTTTTTAACTCTCTCTTTCTCTTTCTCTTTCTCTTGTACTATTTCAACCATGGACCAAGTTCATATTCCCATCCTAAGTGAAGACGAAAAGATCTTTTTAAACACAACAGCAACATTTAGTCAAGCAAGAAGAATGTCAAACACAATAGACCATTCTGCCAGACCCAGTTTAGAAGATAATATCTCACATAGAAATCGTCGCCACCAAGTGGCATCTTCTGTTCCTTCATTATCGTTTCTATGGAAACGAAGAGGTTCTTCTGTTTCTGCACACACTACTTCATCTGCCGGTTCAGTTGAATATCGTATAGAAGAATCTCAATCACCTAAAGCAAGAGAATTAGAATCGCTGATATTTGATCAGCCACAAAGAACGGTTCGAATGAGCCTCACACCACGTTGCGCAGTCTAATTGTATATTCCTTTCTTGTCTTTTACCTTAATGCTTTCTTTCTCTATCTTTCTATTATAAACTGTATATATCCAAATAAAACCTCTTACTCTGTCAAAAACAAGTACATACCAAGAATTGTGTAACGCACTTTATGCATAGAATAGAGTTATTTTCAGTTGCTTTTCAGGGACTCTTTATAACTCCCTATTTGCTTATCACGTTTTACTTTTTTTGATGTTCATGAAGTCTTTAAAGAACTCTACTAAAATTTAAGGTCTTGGCTATTGCATCATCTACACTTCTGATGTTTACTAAACACACAAACAAGATCTACCTTTGATCAATGCATATACGCACAAAAAAAAAAAGTCAAGTCACAGCGGTGATTGAAACACTCATCATGAATGACACTTTTTTTCTTTCTTTTCTTGAACTCTATATCAATCATGTCGAGAAGTGACGACGAAGTCACCAATATGTATGGTGATCAAGACGAAGAAAACAGTTTGGTACAAAATTCTGATGAAGAAGGCGAGGATATTGGTTATTCCCGTAAAGGAAACATGATTAATGACGATGATGACGACGACGACGACGACGATGAAGAAGAGGAAGACGAAGACGAAGAAGAGGCTAGAAAAGTAAGCCAGTTTAACCAAACACCCATGTTCTTAATTCTGTCATAGATTGCCGAAGGATTCATTGTGGACGACGAAGAATCAGACGCGTCTGAACAAGTTGCTGTGCGTCGAAAGAAGAGAAAGAAGGTCGAAGACTGTAAATATATTATTTCTTAGAACAACAGTGGTCTAACATACCATTTACCTATAGACGATGATGACCTGGACGAAGAAGATCTGGAACTATTAGAAGAAAACACGGGTATCAAATTAAATCGCTCAACAGGTGTAAGCCATTTTATGGAACTCCATGGAACTCTTATTCACTCTTTCTTATGATAGCCTAAATTAAAGCGTCTTAAACGTGGACGCGAAGAACAATCATACGAGAAATCAAAAGGAACCGACAATATTTTTTCTGATGAGGAAGACAACGTTGCTGATGAAGCACAGGAAGCACATGCTCCTAATCGTCGTCATGACGACTATGCTCAAGATTACGACGATAGAGTAGGATATAGACACCGCGACACGTATGATGACATGGGCGACTTTATCGCTGATGAAGATGAAGAAGACGATCTCAATGAAGTATTGGGTGAACGCAACCAAGCTCGATATGACGAAGATCGTGGTAGACGTGGTAAGGCTAACAAGGACATGATGAATATCTTGCCTGCTGGTATCAGTGAAGATGTTCTTGTTGACATGTACGACATCTTTGGTGATGGTGGTGATTACGAATGGGCTTTATACGATGAAGAAGAACATGATCTAACAAAAGATCGTGAACCTCAGCTAGCAGACATTTTCGAACCAAGTGAATTAGCTGAACGTATGATGACAGAAGAAGATGAAGAGATTCGTTTACGTGATGTGCCTGAACGTGTTCAAATGCGCTATGAAGGTCTAAACAAGAATTTCGAGCCAGCAACAAATGAGCAAGTACAAGAAGAAGGTGCTTGGATTGCTCGTATGATGGCTCGTCACCGAGGCGAAGAACAACCCACAGATCAGTTTACATCGGCTGTTGCTTATGTAGTCAGTTTCTTTACCCGGGAATTTCTCGAAGTACCTCATATCAAAGACCACCGCCGTGATTACTTTACCGAAGTCGACAGAGACACTGGCATCAGCAAAGAAATCTTGACTGAAAAGGATCTTTGGGAAATATATGACTTGGACTTCAAATATCATAGTTTTATTGATCGTCGAAATGCATTAAGAGAGTTCATTGCTAAATGTCAAATTGAAGATGGCTATGTTGATACCATGTTGGACCGTGTTGAAAAAGTAGAAGAAATATCCGATTTGACAGACTACATCAATCTCAAATTTGCGGATAAGGTGAATGCCATGCAACAACAGACAAGAGGACCCAAGCGACCCACCAACAAATCACTGTATGAACTAAGCCAGCAATCCAGGATTCATGAATTCTTACCTCGGTTTGGTATTTCAGCAAGAGAATTCGGTACAAATTATATGGAAACCTATCAACGCTATCAACCTGAAGATCGCACAGCGGATCCTTTTGTCGAAGCAGATGATTACACGGACTCTAATTTCCCTGATACCGTCAAGGTATTAAAGGCAGTTCGATCTGTCCTTGCTCAAGAAATGGCGTTTGATCCGCAAGTCAGAAAAGCCATTCGTAAAGACTGGGAGCTCTTTGCTACAGTGACTGTGACCCCCACAGAAAAGGGCTATACTGTGATTGACGAATTACACCCCATGAAGCCATTTAAATACTTGACCGAGAAGCCTATCACAGAATTCAGAAATGGTCAATTCTTACACATCTTAAAGGGCGAGTCTGACAATTTGCTAAATGTCACTATTGGCATTACTGATTACCCTGCATGGTTTAACCGTATTGCTGAATTCTATATCTCAGATGGCTACAGTGATACAGTCCAACAATGGAATGATCAGCGTAAAGAGATTATTGAACAATCCTTAAAAGAACACTTGATACCTTTGATGAACAAGTATGTCCGTGAAAAACTTCGTGTTGAAGCACAAGAATACATTTGTCAAGAATCCTACAATAACCTTTACAATAAGATCAATGTTGGACCTTTCCGTGGCCCTGAATCTCATTTCAAGAGTCCTATGCCTCGTGTGGTCACTATCTCTTCCGGTAATGGTGGGCCTAAAGACGCTGTGGTGGCTGTGTTTGTGAACCAACGCGGTAAAGTACTAGACCATCTTGAAGTACCCAACCTGAGAGACGAACGCCACTGGAAAGAAATGGCTGATTATATCAAGTCTAAAAAAGCCAATGTACTTGGTATCGCTGGCTACAATGCAGAAACACGTCGTATTATCAAACATATGCAGACCATGTTGGCTGAAATCAACCAGTCTCATGAGTACAATAACCTCTCTAAAATGGACATGGTGGTAGTGGACGACGAAACTGCTCGTCTTTATAAAAACTCAAAGCGTGCTCAAGAAGAATTCAACGAACTCAGCGAAACTGCACGTTATTGTATCTCTCTTGCGCGTCGCCTCCAAAGCCCCGTAATGGAATACGTTGGCTTAGGCAAAGATCTCTTGGCTATTCGTCACCATGAACTTCAACATTTGATTCCTGAAGACACATTGTTGTTTTATCTTGAGCGTGCTCTAATTAGTGTTGTGAATGATCTAGGCTTTGATATCAATGCAGCTATCCAAAGCCCTTATCTTGCCAATGCACTTCAATATGTCTGTGGCTTTGGTCCTCGTAAATCTGCCAGTATCCTCAAAAAGATTGAAGCCTCTGGTGAACTTGAAAGTCGTGCTGCTCTTGTGCTTAGAAAGCTAACACCTGCTAATACATTCATGAACTGCGCTAGTTATCTTCGTATTCGCGATATTGATGGTGCAGACATCTTGGACGATACACGTATTCATCCTCAAGACTATGAATTGGCACGTAAAATGGCTGCAGATGCACTTGAAATTGATGAAGATGAAATGGACGATTATGACTCTAAAGTAGCTGTTGTGACTCGAGTGATCAAGGAATATCCTGATAAATTGAACGATTTGATCTTGGATGATTATGCTGTTGTGTTGCGCAAACAATACAATGCTCCTAAGCGACAGATTTTGGAACACATCAAATTGGAATTGCAAGGCCCTTATCATGACCGTCGTCATCGTTATGCTCGTCCAACTACAGAAGAAGCATTTGTCATGGTCACTGGAGAAACCCGCAGTACGTTAAGTGAGGGCTTCATTATTCCAGCCATGGTGGTTGCTATTCGAGGCAAGATTGCTAGCTGTGTATTGGATTCTGGACTGGAAGGCATGATTTACATTGATAATGCTTCTGATGACCGTATTATGAACATTGGCGATGCGTTACAAGTGGGACAAACTGTCAACTGCAAAGTGTTGCGTATTGACCGTGACAAATTCATGGTTGATTTGTCTTGTAAAGCTTCAGATGTCAAACCAGGTTCTGACTACACTCTTCGCAAATTGCCCGAAGATCCTTATTATGACCATGTAGAAGAAACAAAGGAAAAAGAACAGCGCCGCGCCAGTCGACGTAAACAAGCTCGTTCGACCCGTGTTATTAAACATCCTTTGTTTAGACCTTTCAACCATGTAGAAGCAGAAGAGTATCTCTCAACTCGTCAGCGTGGTGATTTGGTGATTCGTCCTTCTTCGCATGGTCCTGACCATATTGCCATCACTTGGAAAGTAGACGACAATGTGTATCAACATGTAGATGTAGTAGAAGTCAAGAACAAGAATGATGTCCATGGTCCTACTCGTCTCAAGATTGGTGATCAAACATTTGAAGACTTGGATGAATTGATTGTGACTTATATTGAAGCAGTGGCTCGTAAAGTAGAGGAATTGATGGCACATCCCAAATATCGTCCTGGTGGTACACAAGCCCTGAATGAACATTTGACAGCCTTGACACAAGCAAACCCTAAAATGTCAGCTTATGGGTTCTGTCAGAGTGAAAAACCAGGTTATTTTGACTTGGGATTCAAACTGAGTGTTCGTGGTCCTCCTATGCGTTGGGTAAGTTAAGCTCCGTTTACTTTATTCGCTAACAAGACTAGGTTGTTCGTGTTTTGCCTAATGGCTATCGTTTAAAAGATGTTTCATACCCTCAAGTGGACGACTTGATTAATGGTTTCAAGCACATTCAGCATGCAGAAGCACAGCGTCATAAAAAGAGAAGCATGAATAGATATTAATTATAAAGAGGAAAAAAATTGCGTTTTTTTTTATTGTGTGTATATCTAAATCTATCATTATCTACAATTCCTTTTTATCTTGTTCAATAATAGGCTTGTCAGAAGTAGGCTTGACACCAAGAGCCTTTAATCTTTCAACTAAACTAGGATGAGAATGATTCCAGGCAGAATACCAAGGATCAACATTGAATCCACCCAAGTTCTTGACACTCAATTTGATCAAAGCACTACGCAAAGTAGAAGCATAACCCAACTTGAGAGCATAAGCGTCTGCTTCATATTCATTCTTACGCTGATAGACATGCATCAAAAAACCAATAACACTTTCAACAGGTGAATAGATGAATTGGAACAACAAGAAACCAATCAAGGTAGGCATAGAGTGATGGAAACCAAAGTCTTGATAGACCTTTCTGTTATGGATAAAGAAAGAGAACAACCAAAAGATAGAAAGCAAATAGACTTGGTTGACTGCCAATAATTTCAATGTGTGGCCCATCTTCCAATGACCCAACTCGTGAGCCAAGACAGCGCAGATTTCATCATTGTTGGAGTGTTCAATCAATGTATCGTAAAGCACAATATGCTTGTTCTTACCAAAACCATAAAAATAGGCATTGGAATGACCAGAACGCTTGGATCCATCAATCACATACAATTTTTTCAAAGGAAACTTGATACGGGCAGCAAGTTCTTCAATACGAGTCCTTAACTCGCCTTGTTCCATAGGTGTCAATTTGTTGAAAAGAGGTTGGATATAAGTAGGATAGACAGTAATGATAAACAGTTGGAACATAATCCTAATTAATTTAAGTATACGTTACTCATCTATAAACTTAAACTTACACAATCAACCAAACATAAAAATAAAAGTTGTCGCCCGTTGATTGGATAATCCAGATAAATGCAGACATGAAAGGAAACATCAATACAGCCATGATAAGATGTGATTTCAAAAGATCCATAAAGAACAAGCCAATCGTTTGCTTGTTGAAACCATGACGTTGTTCAACAACAAATGTAGAGTAAAGACTGAAAGGTGTTGAAGTTACAGTCGACAAGAGACTAAAGAGCGTAAGAAAGACAAGGGATTGGGTGATCTATCATAAAGAAGATCAGTTTTGATATGATATCGACAACTCACAAACCTCATATTCAGGGCCATAACCAACAAACTTGTTCAGCAAATGACCAGCATAATTCCAAATAGCTGGAAGTGCATCATAATAAAGCATCAAGACAGTCTCAATTTGCTTATAAAAGCCTTCAATAAACCCAAAACGAGATTTATCCAAATTGTAAGCCTGTGCTTTCTTAAAGTCTTCTTCAGTCACAATATCCGCCAATTCAGAAGGACGATCACGCATCAAATAACGATTGTATTGGCGGTAGCTAGTGATAATTTATCAGCATAAAAAATAAAAATAATAAAATAATAAAATAACTTACTTTAAGTATTGCTCAAAACCATACACAGCACATGAGAATCCTAATACAAACTGTTTATAATCAAGTGTATCTAAATAAGCTAGAAAATCCATCTTAATTAACAAAAAGAAAAAGGATAAAAAAAGACTAAACGAACGCGTAGTATTTAAAGACTAAAATAAATGTGACTCGTTCAGGCACGTTTTCTTTTTCTCTCTCTCTCTTTCTCTTGTAATGACGGATAATTCGAGCGTGTTTGGTCTTGGGCACCAGGCAAGTTTATCACTAATTTTTTTTATGCATAAAAAGCTTACAGATATAGGCGAGGTGTTTAACAGCCGTAACACATAGTACAGAACAAAGCAAATTTCTTGCTGGTACTGTAGGTGCTAAAGACAACGTTGTATGCTTATTGGAATATGACGACGATAACACAACTATCAACTCTACTATGTTTGCACATCCTGAAGAAGTATGGGATATTGTCTCTTGTCCTGCAGACGAAAATTTATTATTCACAAGTCATAGCCCAGGTATGAAGCGGGTTTTAATCTATTTAATCACTTATTAGAATCAGTATCAGGAAATCCATCAGAAAAAAAAGCAACATTATGGAGAAAACCAACAAAAGAATCACTGACAGAAACCAACACTCTTTATGATCTTGAACCTGTTGTTACTTTGGAACATAGTGGCATTAAAAAGTGCGTACAATACAATATTAATGCAATAATTAATATATGTTATTAGAGTACTTGTAGATCCAAAGGAAGATGCTCAGAGAATTGTGTCTATTGACTCGAGCAAAATCTACTTTGCTACTTTGGACTCTTCATGTCAGGTATATATTATATATATATATATATATATCTAATTCTCATATCTTATATATCCATAGACCTTGCTTGAAATTGATGCATCGCCTGTGCTTGATACAGACTCAGTCTCGTTACACAGGATCCAAAATGCTGTATGGAACACACATCAACCAGAACTGATAGTAGTAGGCGGCCGAAACTTGTCAGGTTGGGATCTGCGATCAGGAAAGAATAGCTTTAGTCGATTTGATGCCCACAAAAGTACAATCCGTGCTGTAGATTATAACTCCAATAAGCCATACCATGTTTCAACAGGCGGTGATGACGCCCTTTTGCATATATGGGATACTCGAAGTCTTAAAGAGCCTTTAAAAACGATTGAAGGTCACTCGCATTGGGTATGGTCTGTAGCATTTAACCCTTTACAAGATCAATTACTATTGAGTTCGAGTTCAGATACACTTGTCAACCTTCACAACATAGTGTCCATTTCTTCTGCTTCCTATTTAGATGACTCAAGCGAAGACGAATTAGACAGCCCAAGCACGTATGTACCGAGTAAATTGTATTTTATTTATAAACGCATCTGTAGAACCAAACCTTCTGATGGACTTGTCTGTACTTATGATCAGCATGAAGATAGTGTCTATAAGGTTGTTTGGAGTCCTGCAGATACTTGGACATTTGCTTCTATCTCTTATGCTGGTAGAGTCGTCATTAGTCAAGTACCGACAAAAGAAAAGTTTAAGATACTTGGTGTGTGATCATAAAATAGATCAAAAGGCATGGTCTATCACTACTTTTTCAAGCTCATTTGGGACAATGATAGTATTCATACTGTTCTTTTTAGGCATGCCTTGTTGCTCTTGTTTTGCAATATCAGCAGCCAAAGTAATGCCCACACCAGCACGGGTACCCCAACCTACTTTGTGAAGTGTGAATAAAGCATACAGTTTCATGACTGCAAAATAATAATTGAATAAAAGCCAAGTAGGCAAATGAATGACATCTTGAGGTCGGCGATAAAAATGAGGAAGCAGCTTGAGTCCTCGAGTAAAGAGTAACCATCCTATATACGATAGAATCACATTCCATAGAGGCAGAGGACTACTTGAAGGGCCTGCTTTTGATGACTGTTCTATGGCAAAAAAGATCACAAGCACCGGCCCCGACAATAAAGAAAACGGATTGAAGATTTTATCAACCATGGAGAATGCAACATAAGGATGCCGATTCCATATTTGACGCTCCATAAACAATGATCGAAAGTCAGATCGCCATGTATTTCTAGTCCACCGAAGCACTTGTTTTATAAACCGCCAGTTGTTCTTGAATGTTGAGAACAGCTCTGCTTCAGGACATACTTGAATATATGTGTTCCAGCCATGCGATACCATCCACCGTGTCAAGAACTTGTCGTCACCTGAATTCAAAGGATACTTATTAAGCCAGAGATCATTTAAAAAACTATGTTGAAAAGCAGGATCATGTAGAATTAGTGTGCGATAGGCTGCAGTGCGTCCTGATAAACAGCATACGCCACCATCAATATGTGTGGATGCTGCAATCTCTATATTTCGAATCGACAGTCGAAACCCAGCAAGTACTTCCCATACAGTTTGATGACCATTCAAATCAACAGCATGCACTGCTTGACACGTACCGACACCTCCCATTTTGAGGTCTTCAAAACATGCTAGCATGTACTGTAACATAGTCGGCTTCCAAATGGCATCGTCGTCTGCAAACACAAGGATTTCTGTCGTGGTTGCATTGATACCTGCTACCATTTGTAGACGTTTGTTGGCTTTGCTTACTGTCAGGATACGAATTTTGTCGGGATCCACATCATTTGCCAGTGCTTGCAATGGTTCACGCATTCTTTCTTCTGTGATAATGATGATTTCTTTAGGATGACAAGCCAGCCAGCTACGAGCTGCAATTTTAAATTCATCCCCAGCGTCAATGGTAGGTACGACAATAGTAACATCCTCAGAGGGTGTATAGGTTGGATTTTCTTTAGGCTGAATAGGCTCATAAACATACCATGCTAATATCTTGATAAAGAACCACAAATAACGATAAAATCCAACGATACCAAGAGGTAGAAAGAAGGGCAATAAGCCCAGGTCATTTGTCAAATAAAGCATAAAGAGAGAGAAAAAAAAAGGGCTAACTCTATCTTTCTTTAATTATATATCTGTTTATGAATTATAGTTGTTAAGAAAGAGGGGAAAGTTTGGCTCATTTTCTTTAAGGTTTAGAATGTCATTCATAGTCATTAATTCCACAACAAATAGAAACAATCTATGCAAAGAAACCTAATAGTTACTGTTATTTAGACACAAGGTTTCATTTAAACATAGTTTATACATCTCCTTTTCTTCCTGCATATCCTTTATTTTCTTTTTAGGAAAAAAAAATAGGCAGTTCCGGCTTAAGCGAAGCCAATATAGTGAACTGCCGCATCAAAAAATTATGCGCTCGATATGTCTTGATTGCCATACCGCAAGAGTGAATCAAGACTCTTGCCACATTTTGTTTACAAGTAAACATTGTGGCGCGCCCTTTTTTAAGAAACTAGTCACGGCCGCAATCGATCCCCTTGATAAAAGAGAGCCATGTTGTATTGACAAATTATGGTCATCTTTTTTTTTTCTTTTTATTATGTCTGTTTCATTAAGCGCAGACGATGCTAAGGACTGGACCTATGTTGGTGAAGGGAACCAGAATCTGGTTGTGAGATATCATGGAGAACGTCTGTTTCTTGTATGTATATGCATATTTTACTTGGCTACGTTTTTTACTAACAGCAGAAAAGAAAAGAAGGATAAAGTGTTGAGGGTTTACAAAAGCAATCAAAAAGATGCAAAGGGACCTGATGAGCATGCAATTTTATTTAAGCAGCAGTTTGTTGAATACATCATTGGGCCACTATTAGGACATGAATACATTGTTGCCATGGTAAAACATAAATAGTAATATTATTGGTATGCTCATTACTTGTGCTAGACTCCTGTAAAGACATCAAGAGGATTTCTGGAACAGTTAGCGAGTCATGTTCAACCATTTAGACCTGATTCTCGACTTAAGAATAACATCGTCATTGATGCACCCTTCTCCATGTTGATGGATGATCTAATGTCTATGCTCACATTTGAACTCAAGGTAATCACTCAGTACAAGTCAGCATGGTATTCACCTTGAATCAGCCCAAATGGGGGTTTAAGCCTTCTTCCACACATCCCAAGAAGCGATTATATTGTCGCTATTGTATGCATTCACATATGAAGCAAATACCTATTCATGACTATTGTCCCTTGGACTTATATTCAGGGGATCAAGCACGTATTCAAAAAGCACTTGTGAGCCTGTTTACAGCACCATTAGAAAAAACACTTAGAACCTATGTGAATAATAGTCCTGTCTGTTTAGAACAGGCTATGTTTGAAGAAATACGAATGCAAGACATATTAGAACATATCCTTGTTCAAGACCCAATCTTATCTAGACTCAAATCCTTGCAATCTAGACTAGACGCGTTAGATGTGGAAAGCATATTGCCCCTATACCAACAATACCAATCTAGTATCTTTCATACGACTGACATTGCGGTGTGGCAGATAGTAGTCAAACGATTTTTCAATAGACAACCGTTGTTAGAAAAAGAACAGTCGTTACAAAAGATATATGAATATGTCCTTTCCATGACATTTAAAGACTGTTCTATTATGATTAATGTAAACAAGACCACTGAAAAAGACAAAAGGACAGTTGATGTGAATGGCTCTCTCTTTAGTTACGATGTCAAAGTCATAGATACTGATTTAAAAAACTTAGAAAAGATACCTTATTGGCATCAATTAGACCAAGCTATTGTACAGCATGCTGTGGATACATGTTTTGAGAAGCAGGAATGCAAATAAAAATGGTATACACTCATGTGAAATTAAACTCCGGGACTTTTTTACCCTATTTTTGTGAAGTGCATCACTCGATCAACACTTCCCTTCAGTTCTCGAGACCTTAGGAAGATGATCGCCTTTGGCATCAATAACTGCTTGGTATCGGCCGGTCATACTGTCAACCAAACGTTGAGCAAACTCAACATCCATTTTTCCCACTCATCACTAAGAAGAGCTTCCAAATCTTCTTTGTTGGAAGCCTTGAACCTCTTGTCCTTAGTCTTACGCTCAAAAGCGTCCCAGACGTGCTCAATAGGATTTAGATCAGGACTTTGAGCTGGCCAGTACTCAAAGCCCCTGATCTAGTGAGTCCCCTTCCACCACTTTGCATAGCCACCAGTGGCAGCTAGCCCCATCTTCTTGGAAGATAAACTCCCTGTCTTGCTCCTCGTTCAGCTTTTTGAACCAGGTATGGAACTCACCTACTAAAATTTTGATATAGGTATCTTGGTCTACACTACCACCAATAAATACCAAGGGTCCGAGACCACCCGCCCAAAAACAACTCCAAAGCATTACACCACCGCCTCAAAACTTGTGCGTAGGTATGATGTGAGCTGTTTCATACCTCTCGTCTTCTTTTCTGATCATTCTGGAAGCACCATCATGGCCTTTGACGGCAAATCACGACTCATCGGACCAGACAACACTTTTTCATTGATCTGGTGTCCAGTTTACGTGATCCTTAGCCCAGTGAAGTCTTCTTTTCATATGCTGCTTTGTTAAAGTAGGCTTCTTGGCTGCTGCACAAGATTTGAACTCAAGATCCTGAATCTCTCGCTTCACTGTCGCCAAACAAACATTGACACCAAAAGATTCCATCTGCTCTTGATGGTACTTGTAATCAGCGAAAGAGCTTTTGCGAATATTTCGTGTTACATGTCGCAAATTTCTTTCAGTGGGTTTTTTTTTGGGTCTCCAGTTGCCTCACCAGGAAGAGAAGAACCTGTTTTTTTGATGCGTTTGATGCAATCTTCGACTGTATTTCTATTCATGTTTACTAGCTTTTAGATGCGTTCAGCACACTTAACTTCTTTTTCAAGATAATAAACACCCCAATACTGGTGTTATTCGTACTTTCTGTAAGTTCCACGAGTGTGGCTTCCAGGATTAGTGGTTGTTGAGGTAGATTGTATGGTAAGAATTGAGAGAAATAGTTTCTTTCTGTAATGAGGTAACTTTGACTTCAAATTGCGTTATTCCGCACAGTCATGGAATTATTGAAGAAGCGAACCGAGAAAATAAATAAAAATGCCCTTGTCATTTGTTACTATAAACCATGGTATCATCAAAAGAAAGTGATAATGCAGCTGAATTGGACGTCATGCTTAGTCGTATGCAAGAGATGGTGATTGATTGTAAGTTGTATCCTGCTTTAATTATACAGAGACTGACGCTTGCAAGTTGTTCGACAAGGAGAAAGAGAGTCTAGGCCTGTTGTCCGTTATCATAGTCCTGAATCTTTATATGAAGCCATTGATTTGAGTCTACCAACTGATGGCTGTGGTATTGATGGTGAGTGAGTTTATCATTCGACCGAAATCTGACTAAAGCTTAGGTACCTTTGAGCTAATCAGCAAGACACTAGATTACAGTGTCAACTCTTGGAATCCGAGATTCATGGATAAACTGTATGCTGGCACGAACCCAATAGGTGTGATCTCTGAACTCTTGTTGGCTGTCCTGAACAGCAATGTTCATGTCTATCATGTCTCTCCTGTATTAACATTAATGGAAATCGAAGTGACAAAAGCCGCAGGCCAACTATTAAATATGGGAAAAGTAAGCAGAAAACAACAAGAGAGTTCGTAACTAAGAAAAAAGAAATATCTAAGAATGCAGGTGGCCTTCTCTGTCCAGGTGGTTCAGCCTCAAATTTATTGGCTCTTGTAACAGCTCGAAACAAATTGTTTCCAATGATCAAGACAGAAGGTTATTTTCCTCGCCCCATGAACCCCAAATCAAGTTACGGAAAACTCAAGATTTTCACTTCATTACATAGTCATTATAGCATTGACAAATCAGCTCAAGTCTTGGGCTTAGGTACTGATAATATTGTCAAAGTGCCTGTAGACCAGATTGGGAGAATGCAAGTGGATGAATTAGGCAAGTTGGTCAAATGATCAAAAACAAATATACTTATGGCCCTAAATATAGAAAAATTAATTGTAGCAAGTATCAATAAAGGTGAAACACCTTTTTTTATCAACACCACAGCAGGTACTACGGTTTTGGTAAGAACCACAAAAGAAAGGCTTAAATTATTCATTCAATTTTAGGGTGCATTTGATCCTATTCGAGCCATTGCAGCTGTAGCCAAGAAATACGATTGCTGGCTTCATGTTGATGGTTCCTGGGGTGGTACAGCTGTATTCTCAGACACAGTTAGAAAAGAAAAAGACTGGTTTGACGGATCTGAGTTAGCCGACACATTTACCTTGAACCCACATAAACTATTGGGTGTACCACTCCAATGTTCGATGCTCGTAACACCTCACGAAGGCCATTTACTTTTTGCCCGAGCCAACTCTTTGAAAGCAGACTACCTTTTCCATGGCAACCCATATGACTTGGGTGCTGGTACTATTGGTTGCGGTCGTCGTCCTGATGCCTGTAAGATGTTTTTGGCCTGGAAATTCTACGGACAAAAGGGGCTGGGTGCGCGTGTGGATCGTGCGTTACAATGTGCCTCTGAGTTCACAGAAATGGTCAAGGCAAGACGAGGATTTGAATTGGTCAAAGATCCTAGTCCATTTTTGCAGATATGTTTCTGGTTCGTGCCACCCGAGTTGCGGGGAGAAAAAGAACTGAATTTATCGAAAATTACAAGAGAACTGCATAAACGCGTCAATCAATTAGGCGAGTTTTTGGTGGACCATGCACCTCTTGTAGGACAACCAGATTTCTTTCGCGTGGTCGTGAATGCGCCTACAGTTGGCTTGCATCGTGACTTAGAACGACTCCTGGATACTATTGAAGGAGTGAGTGCAACAATTGACTGGAAAACGATATAATCAAATGATTATTCTGCATTAAAATGCCTAAAAAACAAAGCGGACTTTTATCTTTTTTTTCCTTTTTTTCTTTTCATTCTTTTGTTTCTCTTTTTGCTGATCGAGTCTTCTTTACGAATCTAAGCATGAGCTCGCCTTCACTTTTATGTAGAGTGAAAGCGCTCTATCCTTTCGAGTCAAACGACCCTTCTTCTCTTAGGTTCGAGGAAGGCGATTTTATTGATGTCTTGGCTAAACTGCCTTCTGGTTGGTGGGACGGGTGGTAACTATGAAAACGATTGCTATGCACAGAAGCTAATGCTGAATAGGTGCAATGGACAACGTGGTTGGTTTCCAAGCAATTATGTCAAGATCATTGAAGAGTATGCTGGTAGCACAGAGCCTGTAGTACGCATTAATTTTCGATGACAAACAATAAAAATTAACAAAATCTGTATAGAACCAAGTGAAGCAACAGCAGACGAATCTATTTGATGATAGCGTAGGAGAAAACTACAGTCTTGAAAACGCATTACCATCTCATTGGATAATACAAACTCGTCAAGATGGAAGAGCGAGTTATTTTCTAAATACATTGACTGGTGAAATGAGATCAACTTGGCCCTCTGAAAGCTCTGCTAATTATTTCTATGACGCATCAGATGATGAAGATTCAGGAAGCTCAACTATAGAAAGCAACCCACGATCAGATCCTGTATTTGTTACAGATGGGAAACAAAAAGTAAAGGTAAGGAGAGGAAAAAAGAAAGAGAGAGAGAGAGAGAGAGAGAGAAAGAAAGAAAGAAAAAGAGAAAGAACCCCTTTATAGAACTCCTGTTTTTATAGTGGAACCAGAGTTCAGAAAATACTTTTCAAAATGCACTTGACACCCCATGGCAGCCTAATACACAGGTAAGGGTCTCGAAATAAAGTATAAATATTTATTTTGTGAATAGGAATTTTTACCTAATAACCGAGAAACCATACAGTCAGTAAGCCCTTTGGACAGCTCGAGCCCATTGACTTGGCGCAAACTATCTATTCATGTCACACTCGCCATTAACAATCTAATTCTAGCTGTCAAAAATGGACAAAAAGCATTTTCTAGCAAACAAGCTGCTTCTGTTGTTGATGCTGTTCGATTCATGCTTGTTTCTTCAGGTACAATGAGTCGAGAATCTATTCATATAAAAACCAATTATGCCTTGCGATCACATCACCGAGCCATGATGGCATCTATGTCCAAACTTGTCTTGTCTGCACGACTCTGCACCTATGGCACAGCAAATGATGTAGGCAAATTACTGACAGATTGTCGTGAACTTCTAATTGCTGTACGCAACTTTATTAATACTTGTGAAAGTATTCCTGTTCAAGTTAGTCATGCTGAACCCATTATACTTTCTCCCGAAGATGAACACAATCCAGAATGGGAAGGCATTTTACAGCAGCAGCAGCCAATCAATTCAATATCTGGCTATACAATTGATCAAGGCATTCGTGCCAAGTATCAATTGAGACCAGAATTAAAAGAGAATCTGGACGCTTATGGTGCAAGTGTACAAGAGTCGATTGAATCACTTATGGCAAGCTTAAATCGACATAGCGATTCTCGTTGCTCGCTCGCCGTCTTGTTATTTACACAGTATAGAAATTTTAGCAACCAAAACGGTCAATTTCTTTCTATTGTTGAAGACACGGACTTTCAGAGTGTTGCGGGTTCTCCTTTGATTCACGGGATTAACTTGGCCAAACAGAAACTCTATGACGGCCTTGGCAAGTTGTTTTTCAGTATGCAGACCATGACAGATGAAAATATACCCATGGATAAAATAGAAAATGATATGCAAGAAGCTTCTGACAGTATTATTTCTTCAGTCAAATCTTTATGCAACCATATTGCCGAGTTAGTTATTGAACGCAATCAGTCTCGTATAGGCGGCATAGAGGAGGAAGAAGAAAAAGAAACATCTTCTCAAGAAGATCTGTTTGCTTGTTTCCTTCGAAACTCAACAGGGTCGTTTAATTTAAATCTATCTTCTGAATTACTCAAAAATACATCCTATTCTTATTCTCTTGATGAGCTCTTATTAAGAAATATGAGCTATACAAGCGATATATCAGTTACCAATGGTAAGCGAAGCAAGTCACTTACAATGGAGCTCAGGCAACCAGAGACAACCAACTTGAAATCCATTTACCGAGCATCAGCACCTATATCCGATTTAAGTTTGTTCTCGAGAACTAGTCTACATCGATCTACAACAGTTGATTCCAAGCACTCGAATGCTAAACTCAAACAATTTTTTGGAGACGAAGTACCCGAACCATCTACTGCTGCAGGCACACCTATCTCTAGTACTACTGATGTGCCTATGCACCCATTAGGAGGCTCAAAGTCACTTGATCCTTCTAGTGATGTTCTTGAAGGAGAAGAACGCTTTTTGCAATATGACTACAGTCCCAACGAAATTGTGTTTACTGTAGACGGCAGTGTCAAAGGAGGCACATTAAGAGCTCTAGTAGAACGTATGACATTGCATGATTATCTTGATATGAACTTTAACAGTACTTTCTTGCTTACTTATCGTTCATTTTGTACATCGCTTCAAATGCTGGAGTTACTTGAAGAAAGATACAATATACAACCACCACCCGGTTTGACAGCAAAAGAACTCGAAACTTGGGTTACCAAAAAGCAGAAACTAATTCGATTACGTGTGTTCAATCTACTCAAAATCTGGCTTGAGCAATACTATTATGAAGAAGACTCTGTGATACTTGATCGACTCTTGTTCTTTACAAATACCACCCTGAAAGAAACACTTAGTTTTTCAGCATATCAATTAGAACGACTGATTGAGAAACGCAAGAATGCGTGCAAGGACTTGAGAAAGCTTGTTATTACACAACAACAAGATATGCCAGACCCTATCTTGCCTCGTAACCTAAAGAAGTTTCGCTTACTTGATCTGGATCCTATTGAACTGGCGCGGCAGTTGACTTTAATGGATTTCAAGCTCTACAGTTCCATTAAACCTGTTGAGTGTCTTGATAAAGCATGGTCTCGAGACTCGAAGTATGAAGACGGTCGCACACCTGTGGCAGCTAATATACAAGCTTCGATTAATTATTGCAACCAAGTCACTACCTGGGTATCAGATGAAATCCTTAGCCAGTCAGAAGTCAAGAAGCGAAGTATTTTGATCAAATACTGGGTCAACGTAGCAGAACGTTGCCGACAACTCAATAACTTCAATACATGTATGGCCATTTTATCTGCCTTTGATAATAGCTCAATTGGCCGCTTAAAGCGTACATGGGAGTTGGTAGGTGCACGCACACATCATGTTGTGTCACAGATTCGAAAACTGATGGGTGCTAATCGAAATTTCACCCAATACCGAGCACTTATTCATTCAGTCAATCCGCCTTGTATTCCTTTTTTGGGCATTTATTTGCAAGATTTGACCTTTATTGAAGATGGTAACCCAAACTTCCTCAAGATCTCTAAAAACTTAATTAATTTCGCTAAACGGGTCAAGACAGCAGAAGTGATACGAGAAATTCAACAATACCAGACAATGGCTTATCACTTTAGACAGATTGATGAAATACAGGCATTTATAACTGAAAATCTACGCAGTTCAAGAGATGAAGATCAATTGTATAAAGAAAGTCTTCGATTGGAGCCCAAGTAAGTAATATATATATTTTTTATAGATTATCTAACTTGGCTTTAGGGAAAGAGACGACGAGAAAATTACACGGCTCTTGCAGGAATCTGGCTTTTTGTAAAAAAAAAAAAAAAAAAAAAAAAAAAAAAAAAAAAAAAAAAAAAAAAACTTTTTTATTATTTATTTAATAAATGGTATATTATGATGATGGAGATGATGATGATTGTGCTGGCAAGTTAAATAACTTGTCCAAGAATGCTGCAGCATTCCAAGGAAACCGACTTGTTTCTTGATGTTCTTCTGATGATAACTGTATTTGTGGTGGGTAAGCAGATTGTAAATTTTGCTGAGACTGACGAGACAAGGCAACTTCTTTCAAAAGATGATATCGATGTGCTATTTGCCTTTGTTCAAGATGAGGTATTGTAGAGAGAGAAGGTACGCTCGAAGATGTCGGGAGTTGTTCTAATTTTTGTCGGTTTCTTGGTTCTAATTTTTCTATACAGCGCATAAGACTCGCCCGTAATGGGTCTTCATAACGCTTTATGCATCGATATTGCCGCTTAATCGTGTCTAGTTCTTTGTTGAGTTTCTGGACGTTTTTTGGATGAAGAGGACTGTTTTCATCTTGTGCTGAACATTGTTGTTTCTGCAACATTAATTTCTGTTGTGTTCTTGACATATTTGGCTGCTGTTGAGTCTTAACTTGAGGGTCTTCATGTATGAATTGTGAGCGGAGTAATTGCTTTTTTTCTAGTTTTATCTCTTCTTTTGGTAGAGAAGGCGTAGAAATCAATTTAGGATAAATCTGAGCTTTTTTGGGAAAACTCAAATTGTTGGCAAGTGCATTAAATGTCTGCTGAACAGGTTCCGCGATAGCGGTGCAAGTAAGGGGTGCAATGCTTGGCTTCTTTTCACTAGAGCATAGTTGAGGGGTTGATGACGACATCGCAAGTTTATCAGTCGAAGGGTTTCTCTTGGTTAGAGTGCTTGTGAATGTTTTTCTGTCCATTTTGTTTAAAGAGCGCTGAGATTGAGAGCGTCTCATGGCTGGTCGCTGAGTGTCTTGTACAAAATCCGCTTCTGAGTCTGTATGAGAAGCATGATGTGCTCTCGCCATAGGCGCTAGTTTGGTTACGTGCACTTTGCCACTCGAACGCCGCTTAATATGGTGACGAACGGGCCTTTTTGATTGTGCAGGAGTCGTGCTCCGAACAGGAGTATTTTTCTTACTAATATTTTCTTCTTCTTCTCCTACCATAAATTTGTTTTCTTTCATGATTTTATTTAGAAAAAAAGGAAAGAAAAAGAAAGCAGCATTCAAAAGCCGCGCAAGTTTATGCACAAATAACAACAAATGCCCCCAAGAAATAAGTAGTCACAAGTAATTACTGCTTCCTAAGTACTTGAAGAGATACTTGTTCTGTTGTTCAGCATTGCTATCCATGAGATATAGATTGGATCAAAGATACATTGTTAATTAAAGAGGATATTGATTGTCTCGATTCTAATTGCCGAAGTCACCAGTTCTTTTGGTTCGTCTTTCACCAATGATATACTTTGAGTTCAGCAAACAAATGCATTTATCAATCGCTAACAGTAGAAAAGATTATTGTCACTTTGAGCAAATCGAGGCCTATATTGCTTAATAAAGAAAATGGAACTACATATATGTGTTTGTTTTTATGTAGATTTCTATAAAACTTTATTGATGTATACAAGCAGCCTTTTTACCGAATTCAATTAATTATTTCAGAATTACATCTATAGCCTAACTCAGGTGCGATTGAACTGTGACACAAGCTATTTTGTAGTGTGTGGTCATGACCTGTGTTAAACGTCTGATTCAACACATTTCTCTTCAATTGGCACTTGAGAAATTAAACTATTTTCTTGTTTAAAAAGCCGTGAATAGCAGTATTTCCCAGCTCGATAAAGATATCTCGGTTTTCATGAATGAAATGGTTACACTTTCAGTTTGAAAGCTTTCTAGTTAACTTTGCGAATCCTATATATATATTTATACCTCTATGTAATGAACACAAATGTAAATGTGTCTACATGAATTATGTTCTAATTACTCTCCAACGTATTGTTGCTATTCGTCAGTAGCAATAGCTAAAATCATACTTTAAGACTTTGCATGTTTTGTGTAACATGTCTCTCGTGACTTGTTTATACACTTATCCTAATGGAAAACTTTTTCTCTTTTTTGATCTACTCATCAATGGCACCCAAAAGAAAGAGCCAAGCAGTGTCAACAGAACGCTCCAAGAAAATAGCAAAAGGTAAAAGTGACGATAAAATAAAATAAAAACTTAGTTCTTGATAGAAACAACTGCCACAGTAGAACGAGTCGCCAAAGTTGTTATTGAACAAAGACCACCTGTCCCGCTGAGTGCTGTTGCAGCAAGACGTGCAGCTATGAACGCAGGTCTGTACAAGCCTGCTGTAGTTGAAGAAGAAAAGGAAAACAATGAGACAGAAGAACCCGAAGAAGTGGAGGAGCAAAATATTGAGGGCATTGAGCTTAAAAGTATTACTGACGAAGAAAAAGAGGTAGAAGAAGAAGAGGAAGACCAAGTGATAACTGAGCCCTCAACACCCTATGAAACACCTGCTAGCAATAGTAAGCCTTTGCCTAAGCTTAAGCAAACGTAAATTTTCTTGTCTATATATTTCAACATATCACTGACATGTCTTAGTCCTGCATTTATAGATTATAATTCTGTCAGTCGATTCACACCTACGAAACACAATAGCTGTATTATCAACCAGGAAGACGATACCTATTTGTTTCTAGGACTGAGAAAAGAAGAACATGTGTTGTTTATGGGCCAAGTGTTAGCAGCTCCTTTATTTGGATCTATTTCAATTGCCGGTGCTGTCTTGTCTTCTGGTAGACCAATCCCCACACACACCAAAGAGGATTTACATGTAGCATTTTATCCTGTCTTCTCACCACGCACACACTCGTTACTCAGTATTACATCTACATCACTTGAAGCACCCTCAATCTGCCCTCATATCTACACAACTGAATTAGACGAATTTTTGATGGAAGCAGTATTTGATGAACTTAAAGATTTACACGAATTTGAATCTGTTGTTGTTATTAAGAATATGGAAAACTCTGGTTTAGATACTATACGTGACGCTATTGGAACATTCAACAAAAACTTGACTCAATTCACCAAGAAAGAATACGACCCTAAACACAAATCACTTGCTGTTCATCTCTTGCCTAGATTTCAGCCTATTTTAAAGCCAACACCCGGTATGAAAGCTCTCAAGATTGAATCAAGTTGGTCAGAACGTACTACAATGGCATTAGAAGAAGCAACAAAGCGAGAGAACCCAGTCGTGAGCGTGGTGTGTGGAGCTAAAGATACAGGAAAGTCGTCTTACAGCCGATACTTGATCAACAGGTTGTTGTCCAAATACAAGCGTGTTGCTTATTTAGAAGCAGATGTGGGACAGAGCGAATTTACGCCATCAGGACTAATGTCTCTTCATTACATCAGTCAGCCAATTTTAGGCCCTCCTTATACACACCAGCAATTGGAGCCTGAGAGAAGCTTCTTTTTTGGCTCGACTTCACCTAGAAATAATCCAGATTACTATCTCTCTTGCATCAACACACTTGTGGATTGCTGGAGACATGACCAAGAACAAGTACGGGATCAACAGGAATCAGCATGGCTTCCTTTGGTGGTGAATACACAAGGCTGGGTATCTGGCGTAGGCTACCATTTACTTTTAAGCCAAATTCAGAAAGTAGAGCCTACTGATATTTTCACGATGCGCCACCACATGTATGAGTACAAGAATTTACCTCCTTCATTTTCTGTAGATATTATGCCAGTCTCAACAGAAGCATTTAAAGTTGCTAAGGAACCAGCCGTGTTACATTACCTGGATTGTGTATTACAAGATCCTAACGAGGTGACGTTGGCTGATAATTTTTCCTCGATCCAGCAACGTGAAATGACGCTTGCTTCTTATTTCCATCAGTCGGGTATGGGTATTGAACATTACTTGAGTCCTCAATGGGAATTTGAGGAGCATCTTATTGAACGAGTGCCTTGGACGATTGACTGGAGACAATTGAATGCTATTTGGGTGACATATGAAGAAGTCAAACTGAACGAACTGTTTTATGCACTGAATGGTAGTCTAGTTGGCTTAATAGGCCAAGTTGAAAACCACCAACATCTAAAGGGACCCAAACGTACCATAACTACCGATACTTTTGTATGTGATCATTATCTGATCGACAATTATTTATTAACTATCATTTCTAGACTCCACCAAACTATCTCAACACACAAGAACAACCTGCTCTTGAACCAGAGCATACGACATGTCATGGTTTAGGCATCATAAGAGCCATTGATCCTTCTCGTCATGCTATTCTGTTGTTGACACCACTCCCTCTTGATACACTTGAAAAAGTGTCTAGTATTGTTAAAGGCGAGCTTCAATTACCATTGTGGACAATGCTCGATCGCCGACTAGAAAAGAGTTCAGGGGTTGCTAACGTACCATGGACTAAAGTTCCTTATATAACCAAAGAAAGCACAGAAGGAGCAGGCGCTAATGCACTTCGAGTGAGACGTAATTTATTGCGTAGATCGCAAGCTTAATAAAAAGGAAATCATCTAGAAATTCATGTACAAAACAGGCGTTTCTCCGCTCCAACCTATTCTACATAGTATATTCTCAAAGACGGTTGCACATTATAGCATGACTGACAAGATGCAAACTTGGTCCCGAGTAATAAGAAAGGCAACAGGGTATAAACGTGGCGTATAGTTTCATTGTCATGTCAGACTAAAGTTCAGTTTCTCACTTTTTGTCTTCATTTACACTTATGACATCAAAAATATTCAAGAGCCGAAAGGAGGTGCGGATTTACATGATTTGTTTGCCCTTTTTATCATTCATTGGCCTTCAGCCTTCTTTTTTTATCTCAACAATGACATATTCCAGTTATTTCTTTCAGACTTAGGAAGACAAAACAAGTAAAAAGCAGAGCTTGACTAGTTTCTTTCAAATGTTAACGACCTGTACGACCATAAAGAGAAAAAAAAAACTAGATAAAAGCAACAACAACAAAAAAAAAGAGGGAGACAGTTTGATTGTAATACAAAAAAGTGTAACATAAAGAAAAAAAAAAAGGTGTGAAAGTCTTGTTGATTCAATTAATTTTGAAGAAAGATCGATCGTCAAAAAACATCAGTGAAGATTGACATACACACACCTATATATATACACATATATATATAATGTCTTGTCATCATTCCATATGAGCCTTACACGTGTGGTAACAAGTTCATTTGTCTACATCATCTTTAGTTTCCTTCCCCCCCTTTTTTTTTCCTTAACATACTACTTACACACACATATATGAAAGAATTACCAAAAACAATCACATTACTACATTTGAACAGTGCGCACAAACCCCCTTAAGACATATCGTCGATTGAATAAATGAGAAGCGATTTAAACACTTGTCATACAAATTTCATTGTTCACTTACAAAAACAATACTAGTGGACCCTGTCAGTGATTTGATCACTTTATTGCTCTCCCCCAAAAATCAATAAAATTAGCATTCAAGAAAAAAGGGAGGCAAGTTAAGAAGCCTGTTTTTTCCTTTTATGAACTTTTTCTACTTGCATATTAAATGCATTTTACATCAAGAAAAAAAAAGTTTCTTTTTTTATCTCTTTCTTCTCCATTCTTTCTTTCTTTTTCTCTCTTTTTTTTTAATATATATAGTTTTTTTTTTCTTCTTCTTCTCTTTAACAACAATTTCCTTCAATTTTTTTCTTCTCTTTTTCTTCTTTTTTTTTTGAGAAAGAGAGAAATAAAATACAACAATAACATACACCTCCCTCGCAGCATAAAACACCTCTTCTTTTTATTTCGACTATGGAAATACTTGAATTAATTGATAATGAATCTCAACTTGGTGAACGCAAAGCACATCCATGTACATTGCCTGGATGCACAAAGTCTTTTGGTAGATATTTGCTCTATTGACAACATTTTGCTCATGATTTGTTTAGGTAGACGCTCTGACTTGGCTAGGCATGTCAGAATCCACACCAATGAAAGGTAACTCCGCACTCTAAATTATCAAGTGTAGTTGTCTAACCTTCCTTTACCAGACCATATGTGTGCCACGAGCCAAAATGTGGAAAAAGCTTTATTCAGGTAAAGACGATGGATGATCAACAAGAAACAAGTATATTAATGCGATTTTGATGACAAAGTAGCGTTCAGCATTAAAGGTTCATCTACGTACACATTCAGGTGAAAGACCGCATCAATGTGAATACGAGGACTGTGGAAAATCATTTGGTGACAGTAGTTCATTAGCTAGGCACAGGTAAGCAGTAAAAAAAAAAAAAAAAAAAAAAAAAAAAAAAAAAAAAAAAGCAACAAGAGTGGAGCATAGATGACTTACAAAAAAGATAGACGTATACATACAGGAAAACGACCTTATAAATGTACTTTTGATGGATGCAATAAATATTTTGCTCGAAAAGTGATCATGACAAAACATCAAAAACAAGCTCATGATGCAAGTACAAAAAGATCCTGTTTGCAATGGAGGCCATTAAATGAAATTTTACTTTCTGGCAAAAAGAAGAAAGGAAGGGCTCTTTCTTGGAGACCTTTGGATGAAATTTTGCAAGATGGTACATTACTTCAACAAAAGCTGAATGAAACTGCCAACACACCTGCACCAGACAGTCCTAAACATGATTATGTAGATCACTCACCTGCTTCCCCTGTACTTTCAGAACAAAGTTCAGCAACGCTAGATGAAGACATGATCTACAGTCCAATTGATTTTCATCATCATCATCATCATCATCATCAGCATCCCTCCCCTCCTACGTCTGTAAAGACAGAAGATCATTGGTATTCTTACCAACAACCTCAACTCACTCACCCTCATCAATGGTTACCACCTCTATGCAAAGAACGCACTTACTATCCATCCTTTCGAGACAACACAATCTTCTTAAATTGTCAACCCTATGATTTCATCTAACACCATACACATCCATTTACATTCCTTATTTTCTTTTCAAATACTTCATCCTATGCTTAAGACTACACACATACACACATACACATTCGTTACTTTGTTGATACTTTCCTTTATATACTTGTATGCATATGATTTCCTTATTTTTTCTTTTATATAAATATATTATGTAATTCGGCTTATACGGAAGACTCCAAGTAATACAAAAAAAAAAAAACTGTTTTATACATGAAAAAAGTCACTGGAATTATTATTATTGTTGTTATTTTTTTACAATAAAATTTATGCAAGAATATTAGGCTCCCTTTCTTCTCCTTAGTTATTACAAAATTCCTTTTTGTTCATTTGTTTTTCTCTCTCTCTTCTTCTTCTTTTTTTTTTTTTACACTTTCATTAAATTATGGAGGGCGACATTTGTGCTCGAGTCAATAAGCTGTCATCCATTGAGTATCAAAAGCAACTTGTTCAAGAACTGAAATCTGTAAAAGACAGAGAAAGATACATCAAAGTGATCGAAATGTCAAAAGTAATTCAATCAAAAATAGAGTGCTTACAAGAAGAAAAGCCGAGTCGCCCTTCATTTAAGAAAAATCCAACCTGGTGCTTATCTCTAAATGATTCAGTCAAGAAGCCAAGCCAAGACACTCGGTTTCATACATTTCATAGTCACACCTATCGTATGATTGATAGAGCTACATCACTACAGTTTCAAACAGACTCTGCATACAACAGTAGAAGACCTAGTGTAGACACTGTATTGGTCGATTTAATAAAAGAAAAGAGCCAAGTTGTATACACTATTAAGCAAAGACCTCTTCAGCGGAAATCTATCACTATCTCACTGGAAGACGATAGTAGTGATGAAGAGGTACTTCCCACTTCTACTATACATGTGGCTGTAAGAAAAAATGCTTCATTGTTTAAATTGGAAAAAGACAATAATACAAAGAACACCATTATACAACAAAATATCATTACTCCGCCTGATTCTCCTCAAGCAGATACTTCTTTGAACTTACCTCCTATCATACATGTCCATAAGGTAAGATGTCTATTGTTAGCTACAGACCAATTGATAGTTGTAGCGACCGCGCTCAAGTTTAAAAGGTCTTTTGAAAAGAACTTTTCAGCTAAACCAATATACAGTAACAAAGACAAATTCTATCCCGTTTTCAGCGTCTGGACTCTTGCTCAAGACAATCAATCCATCAACTAAACAACCCAAGTTATTGTTGAAGCTAGTCATCGTGTTCTTGGACAGTCGCTCTCCCGAAGAACAAAGGCGGTTTGGATTTACGTTCTGGTGGCAAAAAGTCCCGCTCCAACAGAACCAGCAAGACGATGCAAAATTTGCTCTCGCGCCAGATTCTCTAGTGAAAGAAGCATTAGACACTTGGATCAATACTCAGAATCGAGAATTGATTCATCATGTAGTAAGTATTCGATAAAGACAGAGAAAGAATCTCATCTATGTCTAGCCTGATTTAAAAAAAGCAGATGAACTCCTGAGAGATGGCAGAAAAATTTATTTAGTCTATGATACCCATTTGTTTTCAGTGTAACATTTAAAGTTTGGCGTTTTCTTTGCTGTGCAAATCAAGACCCGTTAATGTCTCCAACTGCTTCACTGCGTCTATTGAATGTCCCATCTTTACTTCTGAAACAGTTTGTGTAAATAAAGAAATCAATGTATTTAAACTTACGAATAGTCTTAATGCCAAGCTTATTAGCAGCACGGAGGTTCATGCCAATATCGTCCAGAAAGATAGCTTCATGGGGCTGAATGCCGATCATTTCACAGGCAAGCTGATATATTTTTGGATCAGGTTTTCTAAACAATTAGTTTTTGTGTGTGTGCTTGGGGTAAAGATTTTTACCTCAAGCCAACTAATCTGGACTCTATAAAATAATCAAACATTGAACGAAGCTTATCTGCCGCTGCAGAGCCCATAGCTTCAGCTTCTTTTAAATCATCTTCAGGTAATTCAAAGTTGTTTGTCAGAGCAGCAAGAATAAACTTGCCACTTGCTATTAACTATTAAAAATAGAGCATAATCAATGATGTTTACCCTTTAGTTTTTCAAGAGCAAGAAAGACATGAGGGTCAATTCTGGCAGTTTCAGCCATCATAGTGGTAAACAGCGCTTTGCCATCTATGGTAATATCAGGAATCATGCCAGGAACAACTATTATATTGTTGTTAAGAGCTTGGTAAGACACGTTTGTGTTTACCTTTTCCAGATTTTTCAAGATAAGCTTTATAATGTTCCTTATTCAATGGATGCGACAGTTGCTCACTAAAATCTTTATAAAATTCATGTAACTTAATTTCACCTCTCTCGAGTCTCTAAAATGATATTAAAAACGCATATCATTCAATTCATACACTTTACTTGGAAAGCGCCTTGATCACCTTGTTTCACGCTACAATGTTGTTTAGTTGTCTTTTGTTCTTTAGAGATGAATGTGATTTACATAGCAACATTAATATAATTTCTAGGCAACCCGTGTTGCTCCTCGAATCGATGAATACCAGCCATTGGAGAGCCAACACAAACTCCACCTACATAACCATGTTTAGAAAATAAGCCGCTGGATATTCTCCTTTTTTTTTTCTAAAGTTTATACCAATATCGAAAATAACTGCTTTAGAGGACATGTTGATGGTTTAAGAAAAAAGAAAAGAAAAATGGCCGGTTTCCCCACATCATTTTGATTGACTAATACAGTATCAAATTGTCGCGAATTGAAATTTCACTTGTTGTGATTCTAAATTTAGCTTATGATTCGATAATTTCATAAAGCAATGAGCACAGAAGCACAATTCATTTTTGAAGATGATCAAGGTGGACAAAGAGATGAGACTAGAGCTGAACTGATGAAAGTTGATCAGTATGCTCCTCAGATCAAGATTTTGACAACCCTTGGTCAGTATTTACAATACCAAGTTGATCACCAGCAAGCCTCTGATGAGATTAACGAGGAATCCAGTATTCAGAGAAGGGAAAAAAATAAGAAGAAAAAAGCGTATACATTATATTCACATATTGATAAGTTCAACTTCATTCACCATATGATTGTGAAGTGTCTCAAAACAATTGCTCTAGTTGCTAGGTTATATAATATTAATCCTCGAAAAGATCAGCGCTGGTGGGCTAAGTATAAGGAAAACACGGACACTTTTTTGAAATTAAACCAAGAGGATATGTCAAAAAGCTAAATATCGAGCACAAAGACTTTCTGGTGGAGCTATTCGATAAAGGTCCAGCTGCAACCATCGAGGACGCTATTGAGGAGTTGTCGGCTAATTTTGAAGGAATTGAAATTGGTTCAACCACGGTTCATGATTTCTTGAAAATTGATATGAATTTCACTTTTAGAAGAGCTACATTTCATGCTGAATAGAGGAATAATGAAAAAAACGTGGAGGAGAGATACAAATGGGCTACTGAGATTGCCAATTCAGATGTCAATTTCCTTAGAAATTGCATCTTTATCAACGAATATGGTTTCCACGTTAATTTGAAGCGTACTGGTGCTTGGGGACCTAAGGGGACCTAAGGGGAAAACACCTGTAATAGAAGTTGAGAATTCTTATGCTGTGTCTCATACCATTTTAGGGGCTATTTCTATCTATGGTGTGATTCATACTAGCGTAAGAATGCCTAGTCTTCCCATCTCTCAGCTTGTGCCTGTCTCAGTAGGCAAAAAAAAAAAAAAAAAAAAAAAAAAAAAAGAACGATACCAGAGTAGCAAAGAAACAGCAAAAACCAAAGGGTACTACTGCCGACCATTTTTATGTTTTTATAAAAGAAACTCTAGATGTCATGGATCAATTTCAACATTTAAAAGAGGCATATTTAATTGTGAACAACGCCCCTATTCATAAAAGACCTGACATAACTGATCTGATCACAAAAAGGGGCTACAATTATATTTTCTTGCCCCTTTACTCACCAGAGCTCAATCCAATTAAGCAATTTTAGTCTATAACAAAAAGTAAGATCAGAAGAGCTAAAATGCTTAATGGAGAAATCTTGCAAGATCGGATTACAGAAGCTTGCAACCAAGTTCCTCAAAACCATCTTTATAATATTATCAAACATTTTGATGATCGCTTATACGACTGTTTAAATAAAAAAAAAACATATTTAATCTTTTTTCTCCTTCTATATAATCCTTTTTATTAGCATTGTTGTAGAGTTTAGTAAAAATGCGACAAGTGAAATTATCACTAAATATCCAGAATTTCCCAATTACAAAGTTTTAACAGAAATATCAATATTCTGAGATTTCAGGCGCATTTTTATTTTCTGAGTGTTAACCTTTCTTTGGTTGCTCTGAACGACATTTAAAAATCTTTTTATTCTATATCATATGCAAAGTTAGTTAATGGCAATATGAGGTTGCATTATTCCTTGTACTGTCTAACAGGCAATTCAGGCTACTTGTCTTTTAATGGTTTAAGAGGTAAAATAAAATGTGTTCACTTTCATTTGGTGCTTTAGAGTTTCAGATCTCTTTATTCAGATGAGTGGCTTTAAATGTTTGGGTGCCTTTAAAAATTGGATACCTTTGAGTAAATGGATTCTTTTAAGTAATTGTATTGTTTTAACCAAATGGGTGCCCTTAACCAAACGAGTGCCTTTACATTTTGAAATTGGATCACCTATTCAGTAGTTTGAGTTGTTTAGTCAGCTATTGTGTCTTACACTCAACTTTTTGTTTTTATTTTATTTTCACACTTGTTACCTAGATGAAATCTGTATAAATCAATACACTGGGTAGATATACATAATAGCACCTATTTGGTTCTTGCCACATTTCACCCATGATGGTTTGAACATGTATAAATCTGATACTCGATGCAAAAATTATATAAGAGCAAAGCTTTCTACTTCAGAAAGTCATCATGCATTGTACTCGTTTCAATATTGGCATTATTCGGTTAAAGATACTCTAATTAATGATTCTAACACATAATTGCTAGATAGAATACGGCTTAACTTTTGTTTTTTTACAACCAAAAAAAAAAAACGAAATTTAACAAAAAGAAAACCGCCCTTTGGAAATATTTATTAACCGCCTTTTGGCGTTGGAACGACTGAACAGTGCTTCCACTCTCAAACACAGCCAGCCAATAAAAAGTCTCAGGTAGCCTACTCAAGTAGCCTACTCAAAAAAAGTCCAACCAAAAGATTCATGTTAATCCTTTTTTATTGAAGTGAAAAATATCTAGGTTTTATACTCGGTTTTAAAGTAATTCCAAATGTTTTCAACTATATGTCGATTTCCGTGCTTTAGACTTGCTGTTGTACTGTCAGCTATATTCCTTAAAACGCTTGCCAAATTTGTATTTCCAATAACTTGCAATGTTTCTAAATCATTTTCAAACAAACTAATTATTGAATCCAACGCTTGGTGCATTGATGTCGTCTTTTTCTTTTCTGGTGCAAGCTTTGTAAAATTCCCCTTTTTGATTTGTGGGTTCAGAGGTTGCGTATGGACAGCATCAGCAATAACTATCATGATTTTGGATCCCAAAACAGCATCATTTGTATCTTTACAGTTGCTATTAACAAACGTATATATTGTATATGGTTGTAAATTGCTAGACGCAGCAAAATCGCTGAAATATCTGGCAAGACAAAACGTGCTAATGTGACAGAATTTGGATCTAAGTTGCCGGATGTGATTGATTGGATCCATATCTATTGGTAGTTTGTAGTCGTCTCCTTTGGCAATGATTGTGCTACATTTTTTTTATTGAGTTGGTATCTAAGTAAATCGATGTTTTGTTTGTTGGAATAAAATTCATTGTCGTAGGACCAACTTCAGGTTTCATTTGTTCATCAATCCTTATGCTTGAAATGACTAGAAAGTTTGCTGACCGTGAACTGATTATTAATTTTTTCGAATTATCTTCATGCACTGCTGTGAATCTTAGTTCGTTTGGATAAGATGATGTAAGATTTGGCATAGAGGAATGAAGACCAAAACCAATGAATTTTTCACAATGTGCATCGACGGATGGAAATTGAGAGTATGATTCGATCCCATTAATTAGCAGTGCTTCGTTTTGATTAGCAAGGATAGATCCAGCCAACAATTGCGATAACGCCAAGGATAGATAGGGTTTCGAGCGCCAAGACGTATTTAGCAACATTAACTGTTCTTCATTTACTTCCATATATTTTTTAAATGAGAGTAATTCACAATATGGGCTTGTTCTGATTATCTTGTCAATAGCCGTATACTTTTTTGGTGTATGAACGCACTCGCTCGTATTAGATGTTGAAGCTGAAGTTGATGATGGTCCAATCAATTTCAGTCTTTTGTTATTGTTCTTAAACATATGAATGCGTTGTGAATCAGGAATAAAGCAAAGCATTCTTTGCTTGTCTTCATCTTCATCCTGCAAAATTAGCGGCTTCAGATTCAAACATTCAATAATTTTTTTTGAGCGTTCATCTATTTTGCATTCATTAAATAAATCCGTTGGATTTATGTTGTTGTCTTCTTCATCTGTTACTTTGTGATTCAATGTTTTTTCTGTCTGATCACTCAAACTAGACTGGTTTCCTACTAAGCCACCGTTGCCTTGAAACACGTTTGTTTCATTTGGAACTGTAAAAAGGGATCAGCCTTGGTGGAAGTGTTTTTTTTTATAGAAAAACGCGTGTGTACCTTCTGTGTGGTTTTCCGAAATATGAACTGAAAGCAACTCCTTTGAATTAAATGAGAGAAGGCATCCAGGGCAAGCGTACACATACACACATGTCTAAATTACTGTCAGTGTAAGTTTTGAATTTTAACGTGATTTACCTGTTTATTGTTTGAAGATGATTCTTTATCAATGGCAATCACTATGGCGGATTAGTTGTTTGACTTTACTAATATTGTTCGCAAAACAAACAAGAAAAAGTAACTTTTTTGCTAATGTTGTTCGAAATGTCAACAACTTTAATTTTATTTTTCTAAAAAGCAAGTCATATTGATTTTCTTGTTTGTGGGGAACAAAGTTGTTCGTTTTGTCAACAATAAAAGCTATGAGGCGACAAGTACTGCGACAATAATAGTAGCTTTATGAGCAAGAAAAATTCTTTATTTGTTTTTTACAAGTACAATAATACTAATAATGTTTCTTATAAAAAACAAAAAAAAAAAGGTTTGCACAATGCAATACGTTGATGCACTCCTAAGAGTTTGACATGAGACTCATCTACCTGAGACTTTTTATTGGCTGGCTGTGTTTGAGTAGGCTGCTTGAGTAGGCTACCTGACACTTTTTATTGGCTGGCTGTGTTTGAGAGTGGAAGCACTGTTCAGTCGTTCCAACGCCAAAAGGCGATGAAAAAATATTTCCAAAGGGCGGTTTTCTTTTTGTTAAACTTCGTTTTTTTTTTTTTTTCAAATGAATATGATGACGATGCGATGGACTGGGTTGAGGAAGCTACTCCTTTTCACTTAAGAACTCTGACTCGTATTACAGAGTATTGTAGAAAGCAAGAGGAAGAAGGGGTTTCCTCCGAAAATTCCTTGAGAAATCTTGATGCTGATATGGAGGAAGTCATAGCTATAGTTAAGAAGCAGAAAAGAGTTCACCACAAATACTCAAACGAGCAAAAGCTCGCTTTTGTGTATTATAACCGAATTAAATTATTTAACGCAGCTAAGTCCGGGCGCTTAGCAGGCGGCATAGCCGAAAGAACAGCACAGAAATGGGCCAAAAAACTCAAAGAGGATAAGGATTGGAACATATTTGAGAAACAAACTTTTTTTTTTAAAAAAAATGTGTTTATTGATTGAGAAACAAACCAATTTGGTCAATAGACCAAAACCACAATTGGATGAAAGACATAAGGTTCACCTGTTAGAGTTTTACGATAATTGGCCACAAGCACGAGTGCTTGATGCAATGGAATCACTCACTCAAAAATTCTCTGATCTGACTGTGAAGAAAAGTACTGTTCACAACTTCCTTAAGGATGAGTGCAACCTTTCTTTTAAGAAGTTAACACGCTTACCGGTTGCTAGAAATAATTCAGATAAGATCCAAGCTCGTAAAGATTGGGTCATCAAGTGGACTGCTACTGATATGAATTACTTAGAAAACTGTGTGTTCGTAGACGAGTCTGCATTTAATATAAACATGAGACCTCCTAGCGGATGGTCTGTAAAAGGAACACTCACTATTACGACCACTCCAACCACTAGAGCTGTATCTCATACTGTATTAGGCGCCATATCAACAAAGTTTGTTGTTACTATGGAACTTCGTAATCCTCAAGAAGAACGCTCTAAGCGAATTAAAATTGTTCACAGTGGTCGTAAAAGAAAAGCACCTACTGAAAAAAAAAAAAAATCTGGGGGGGGGGGGTACAGAAACTGGCCACTACGTTAGGTTTCTCGAGAAGTGCATGGATGAAATGGATTTATATCCAGCGCTAAAAGGCCATTATATTGTGATGGACAACACGCCCATTCATACTGCTGACCGAATTAATGAAATGATTACTGAAAGAGGTTACAGGAGCATCTACCTTCCTCCTTATTCTCCTGAGCGCAACCCAATAGAGAATTTTTGGTCCATTGTCAAAAATAAGGTAAAACGACTTTTTGGTAGCAATCAACGCAACGTTGTCTGTATAAAATAAGCAATCAACAAAAGCAATGGACTCGTTGGCAGACACATCATTGATCATGGATGTAGCACGCAGTAGTTGAGAAAGACTATTAATATGGTGGGCGTATAGATACAGTGAAAGAATAGATCTCTATAGCACCCATCCTATTCAGTGGTGCAAAAGAGCTTAAATTACAATACTGTTGAACATGTTTTGTAGCAAGGCTAACAAATCAGGAGACATAATGGTTTGGAATTGACGCCAGATGACATTGCAATCTACTGTGTCATAATCGGATTTGATGTCCAAAAAAGCAAGTACTGGAACTGTTTTGTGGTGACAGCGTAACAGAACACAAGTCTTGATAAGGCAAAGGACTTGTTCAAGGGCGCTTTTGGATTCTCTAAAGCCACCTCGAGTAGTGTCTAGGGGCAGCTCTTGGTTTTAGAGGAATCCGACGATGCATTTTCTGAGTGCTTTCCTGAAAACAGATGTCAGAGTAATTTGGTGGTAGTTGGCTAGATCAGCTGATTACCTTTCTTATGGATTGAGAGCGATTCACCAGCAGTAGAATATATATGACTAATGCCAGTACTAATCAAAAAAATGTATTAACCGGAATTCTCTAAAAATCAGAATAGCTTCAGTGACAGAAAAAAGACTGTTGTAGAATCTCTCAATTAGTGTAATGAATTTACAGAAAAATAAACAAATAAATAAATAAAATATATTCAAAAATAATAAAGGTATTAACAGGTATGCCGAAATTACATGTATGCCATGTCGGCATGAATGTCTGTGAAGTTTGAAAATAATTTTTTGAGAGTGATTCTTCTTAACCCATTATGTTCAAGAGGTTCCTTACATTTGCAACCTTTACTATAATTTCCTTTATCGCTTTAACTTTTTTTTTGTTAGAATATCATGATTTCAAGATATCTCTCTGATACTCTGTTTTTTTTCGGTCTGTACATACTCCACTGTTGGTGAATCGTATAAGTGGTTCCAGTTCATAAGAAAGGCAATCTAACTAAGACATTCAATCACTATCCAATCTATCTGACATATGATTTCAAGAAAATAATCAAAAAATGCTTCGAGGAACCTCTCCAAGGTTAGGCGCTGCCCTTAGACACTGCTTAAGATGGTTTCAAAGAATGCAAAAATGTCCCTTCACCAAGCATTTTGTCTTGTCAAGACTTGTGATTTATTTCTATGTGACGCGCTATCACAAACACTGCGCCTCTTCCAATAATTAACCAACCGTCTCTTACTACTTGTCTTGACACAATTAAAAGCACATATTTGAGATGTAGAGATTGACATCCGTGGTATTCTCAGTATTTCTATCGAAACACAATTAGGCTTAGCATTCTGTGTTCAAGTGACTTTACAACATATCTATCAGTCTTGCACTGATATGAGTATTTCATTAGCAGTGTATCAATCTTTACATCCTGTCGAAAAAGGCACTCAATGATATGTAGGAATTTCATTGGACCGATTTGTGCTACAAAAACAAGGCACAGACTGACTTCTGTTTGTTATTTATAAAGTGATACAGAATGATGTGCTATAAACCGCGGCATAGAGAAAGTCCGACGAACAATCATGGAAACAAAAACTTGTGCTTTAAAAGTTTAAAAGGAAAATTTAGTTGTGGCAAATGCCAAGTTTAACAATAATGATGATAAAGTATGAAAAAAAGGTGAGAAATGATTCTTTTTTTTTCTTTCTCTTTTCTTCTTTCTTTGAAAATTTATGATGTTTTTAATAAATCTTATAACTTTGCAGAGATACAAAATTAAACATTACAAGATTCATTAAATGGCAAGTAGAAAAAAGACAACTGGTTTATTGTATTCAGTTGCTGAAGAACCAGAAGAAGAGCAGGTAAACTGAGCACTGATGCTGTTTTTCTTGCTTATGCCTCATAGTCGGAACAAAATCTGAAGCACGATACATCCCTTATACATGCAAGCGTCACCTTAGAAACTGGCTATCATCATCTTACAAATCCTCCTTCTTTTCTCTCTCATTACTATGCTAGTGATTATTGTAAGCATCTTTCCCTTTTTTTTGTCTTTAACTTTTCTTATCATGTTTCTTCTCATAGACCACAGCCCTACTCTTGACTCGTATATTGATAAATTCGAAATAGCCAAAGCAAAGCTGAATAGCATCACACAGCAATATATGTCGCTATCTTCACCATTCATAAGCTCAGCTAGTTCAAGTACTCTATCCAGCTTTACTTTACCAGACACCATAACTACTGAGAAAGACTGGCAAAACCAGTTTCTTGAACTCATGTCTACCTTGATCCATTGTGCAGAGCAACTTGAATCTATCTCTACAGAATTACTAAACACAGAACGTCAAGTACGTGAGCTCGTATTGCTTCAAAAGTCTATGCTCGAAACATATCAGGAACAAGAAAATTTATATCTTTCTCGAATTGAAGAATGTCATCAAGTTTCGCAATACCAAACAAATCTGATGGAGTTTTTGGATGAATTGAGCCATGAAATCCCAGTTTCTCGGTCTTCTTTTGATTCCTCTTGCACTACATTATGCTCAAAAAGAAACAGAGAGAGTTGCAGTACAACGGGTACTACGAGGGTCAATGAACCATCAGAATCAACATTAGAGCACATAATACATCGTGTACGATGCGAACTGAGTCTGATGATTGGTGGAAGTGCAAGTACAGGCCGTGTCATGCATTCTTTTATTCGCAAGAATGCAACAGAATGGATTGTAGCTGGTGTAGGAGCAACCGCTAGTTTTGATCGTTGTCTTTATATAATTCATATTAGGTCACACGACAATAAGTTTCGACTATTGCCGAAGAAAGAGTGGGTGCCCGATCATCAAGTGGATCATTGTCAGTCTGAATTATGTTCCACTCGGTTCTCATTGTTTCAGCGAAGGCATCATTGTAGAAAGTAAGCAAAGTTTCTACGTACATACACAATGTACTGATTGCTTGTTTTTAGGTGTGGCATTATTGTCTGTCAACGACACAGTCTCAATCGTATCCCATTAATCAGTCATTCAAGGCTACTTGCATGGTATCGCGTATGTGATACATGTTTTCATGGTCTTACTGAAAATCACTTTCATACAACGGATTCTGCAAAAGATTTTTCTAGTCCATTGTAAATAGTTTATGTAAAAAAATAATCTTTTTTTTTGTGTATGTGTGTAAATAATTATATAAAAGGAGTTTATAAACATGAAGGCAATGAAGTGGTATCGAGATTAGCAGTCGCTTCAATCAAGCTAGAAACACTATTGTTTTCTGAGGAAGAAGAAGCTTGTTCTTTGATCATGTCTGTAGAAGGCAGCTCTGTATGGTTGTCCAAAGTTGAAATGTTAGAAGATGATGATGAGGAAGATGGAGAAGGGGAAATGTTATCTTCTTCTTCAGTGACTGATAATGATTGTGGTTCTTCAATATGTTTTTGTGCTTCCACTTTTCGTAGCATATTGGTTGTACAGACAGCAACAATATCATTCTGCAAATTGGCTAAATCTTCGTCTGAAGGCTATTTTGAGTTAGTTGTCAAGCAAGATATAGCATGCATTTACTTTTTTACCGGTATATTGATATCCAAAAAGGTCAGGGTATGATTCATTTTGATAGAAATAGAGAGTGCTAAGACACCTGCCATTTCAATCTGCGGATTTTTAGATAGGTCAAGTCGAGTGAGTGATTTGTTTTCGGGTAATGCTTCAGCAAGTGTGATAGCTGAGCTTGAGTCTAGTTGGGTATCTGATAAATTGAGGCTCTGTAAACAAGTGTTGCGCGCTAAAGCACTTTTGAGAGCAAGAATCTAATAGGATTATGAGTTCTTTTTTCCCCTTACACTTGTGATGTCTTACTCCTTCATCAGTGCCTTGGTTCAATGGATTTCTTGATAGATCGAGTGATTCCAATGTTTTGTTTTCAGATAATGCGTTTGACAGGACAGATAAGCCTTCAAAACTGATCTGACTGTTGGACAAGTTCAAGTGTAAAAGCGTGGTATTGTCACGTAACACAGAAGCAAGGGGAGCAATCATAAAACCAAGGTTATTACCTGATAAGTCAAGTTCGCTCAGACCATGTAATGGCACATCTTGATTAAAAGCAACCAGATTAGAGATCCAGGTACCATGAGGCGGTGCAAGTTGATTGTTGCGTAAAGAAAGTGATTTGATTGATATTGAGTGATAGACGCCTTCAGAAAAGATTTCACATGCTTCAGGTACAGGTCTAATCTGGCAATCATCCAAAATAAGCTTATAAAGCGATTTGGAATACTGAAAGCCTTGAGAGAGATACTGCATACCTTTTCTTTCAATCACGCATTTTGACAAGTCAAGTGTTTCAAGTGTTTTTGACTGTTTTGAATAAGTAACGATATGCAAAACAATATAAAACATACCTCTTTTATAAACAAAGCAATGTATCTGTACCCCTTTGACCTGAAGTTGTTTTGTGAAATGTTCAAGTGTGTAATTGTGTTACTAACAAGTAAACTACAAAGAATAATGCGGATTGTCTGCAAACAGGAATGAATAAAAATGGGATGATTTGCAATAAAATAATGCTTACCTCGTCTTCTAGCTTACAACCAGACAAGTTGAGATAATTCAGGCCAAATTTTAGTAACAAGATATCAGAAAATGGACCTGCTTGAAGTCTCGTAATCGCTTGTTTAGATAAATCGATTGCTTTTAGCTCTGAAGACGCTCTATTTTACTTGTTAAGTCATGCTTTTAGCGCAACATAACAGTATGTTACCTGCTCTCTTTCAAGATGTTTCGAAACCTATCAATGCATACTTGTTCTCGTTGTATACAGGCATGTTCATATTGGCTTGTTAGCTCAGAAACAACCACTGCAGGTTCAACAAGAGGTTGTTGTTCTCGTTGCTTCTTGAACTTTTCAAAGGTCTCATCCCTAGGTGAATCATCTGAATAAAAAGGAAACTCAGTCGCTAGGTTACCGATCGGGAAGGTCACTCGCTTCAGATCCTGTTTAATAAACAATAAAGGGTTTTCAAGGTCTGGTTCGTTGGTGTCTTCACTGTTGTTATGGTTAATAAACTGTTGAGAATAAAGTTTGGACTGTAAGCGACTAAGCCAGTTTGTTCCACTTGCAGGTCTTGTGGGTGATACTATGGTTGGTTTTGATGTATTGTTATTTATTTCTGGTCTAAGCTTTAGTATGCTTTTGGGCTTGCTCATCGTGTTTATGAAGAAAGGGTTTTGTGCTGAGAACAAGAAGAGAGAAAGAGAGAGGGAGAGGGGGGGAGAAAGAATTGAGAAAAAAATTAGGATGTCCGATATTCCCTTTTTTTACTATTAACCAGCTGCCAATAGCCCACTTCTGGCACAACAGCAGCGTTCTGCCTCAAGCATACATGTACGTATGCATTTATTAAACACCGCGTGACCTTCTATAAGCAATATTATACTTTTTTTCTTTGATAAATTTCAAATTATTTGGTCATAAATAACCACTATAAAATCAACACATTGTAGCATAAAGCTCTTTGTTTAAACACAATGAAACTATGATTGAAGTCCACATATACTTCGAGTCGGACAACAGGGTACCGGACAAGCGTGCATTGACTACCAGCTTGCGTGATACAGCGGTAAAAAGGGAAATGGCTTATAAAAAGCAATATTGTCTAATTTTATATGAGAAATATTCAAGAGTGCTTAATCGCATCAAGCTTTTTATTCTCACCAGACTAAAAATACAAGTCGAATTCTATGAAGTCAAAAAAATGTAAAAATCAGTTGATAATCTTGTGTTTGTCACACAATGGACGTGCTAGAAACAAAAGAAAGACATTTTTAGATGTTTACCCATGTAACCCTATAATCACCAAAAAGTACTTTATAAAGTCACTTTTTTTGGACTAACAAGTGGTCATTTTCCACACAAATGCTCCCTATCTTTCTATGTGCCATAGAGTAAAAAGAAATTAAACTAACAAGACACACTTGACACTATAGAAGTTCTTAATGCTTTAGTAAACCTGATTTTAAATTCTGTCACACCTTCTAAATATATATGAAAGGATTCAAAACGTAATTTATTAAATTTGGATATCATTACTATTTTGTGCACGGAATGCATGAGGTAAAAGATGATTGATAAAGGAAGCGGGGGTTTTTGTCTCGCTTTGAGGGAAAAAGTAGAAAAAGATAAATGTGACAAAATAGCAAGCAAGAATGTAATAAATCCATTGTCTTTCCGTTTCCTTGGGTTGTTCAGGAGCATATTGTCTTTGCGTATCTTCAATCTTTCTAGGTAAAGACGTCTGACCAAAACGCTTACAGACTTGATCAGATGTAAGTTTACTACCAGCAAGAACAATAGGAACACCAGTACCAGGATGTGTACTACCATACATTGTTATGGCTGAATTCAATGAAGCTAAAAAAAACTTACCTAGCTCCTACAAAGAAAAGGTTGTCATAACGACCTGTTGAATCTAATGTACTAGGACGGAACCATAATACTTGAAACACGTCATGAGAAAGACCAAGAATAGAACCTCTCCAAAGATTGAATTTGCTCTGCCAAACGCTAGGATCATTCACTTCTTCATGCTCAATCAATTCACCAAAATTGTCCATACCAAGTCGACGTTCAATGACTTCCAAAACCATCTTACGTGCACGGGCAACCAATTCAGGATAATTCTCTTCAGCACCATTACCTGTCTTGCTTCTCATATGGCCAATAGGGACCAACACAATTACTGAATCCTTATTGGGTGGAGCAGCAGAAGGATCAATTCTTGAGGGCACATTGACATAAAAAGAGGCTTCAGAGGGCAAACCAAAGTCTTTGAAGATCTCATCAAAACTGTCCTTGTATGCTTCTGCCAAAAATATATTGTGGACGTCCAATTGCTTGACCTGCTTGGATAAAGACCAGTAAAAGGAGATGGAGGAAGAAGTAAGTTTCTTGGAGCTCAAGGTCTTGGTTGTCCAGCGACAAGGGGGCAAAAGATGGTGGTATGCATAAACAAGATCTGCATTACAGACGACTGCATCTGCCTCAATAACCTCTCCACTTTCCAAGGTGACACCGGTTACTCTCTTATCTTGATCAGCTGTGTTGATCTTGGCCACAGGTGAATTGTACTTGAATTCAGCACCATACTTGTTACTAGCAATAGATTCCAGCTTTTGAACCACCATATTGAAACCACCACGAGGATACCAAATACCTTCCGCAAATTCAGTGTATTGCAACAAACTATAAACTGCTGGAGCATCATAGGGGGACATGCTAACAATGACAATGAATATAAACACCCCTTTTAATTTTACCCCACACTGCACAAACTTACCCCATATACATTGTTTGAAAAGTGAATGCCATGCGCATTTTTTTAGTCTTAAAATACTTGCTTGCACGGTTATAGATCTTACCAAACAAATGGAGGCGGAAGATCTCAGGCACATATTGAAGACGAACCAAGTCCCAGATAGATTCAAAGTTACGCTTAATAGCAATAAATGTACCTTCTTCATAATGAATATGAGTTTCCTTCATGAAATCCAAGAAGCGACCAAAACCAAGAGGACCTTCGACGCGATCCAATTCGGTCTTCATGCGAGTCAAGTCAGAGGAGAGTTGAATAGAATCGCCATCATCAAAATGGACCTTATAGTTATTGTCGCATCGAAGTAATTCCAAATGGTCTTCAATGCGTTCATCCAGGTCTGCAAACGCGTCTTCAAAAAGCTTAGGCATCAAATAAAGTGAGGGACCTTGATCGAAGCGGTGTCCATTATGATGAATTAAAGAGCAACGACCACCGGAGAAATCGTTCTTTTCAACCACAGTAACTCGGAAACCTTGGCGGGCAAGACGGGCAGCAGTTGCAGTGCCACCTACACCAGCACCGATAACGACGATATGTTTCTTCTGTTCGGACATGACAAAGATGAAGAATGAAGAAGAAAAGTTAAGAAGAAGAGAAAAAAAAAGAAGAAAAATAAAAAATTATTATATATAGACTTCTGTCTGGATCGATGCGATATAAGCGCATGTTTGATATGTAAACACACAACTCATTTTCATGTCAAGGAGTTTTAACCCATAGAGTTCAGGAGGAGTCTTTTTTGGTTACAAGACAACAAGTATCCCTACATACAATGCAAGTCTAAATATGACACCAATTTCGTTGTTCTTTTGCCTTTAGCCTTTTTTTTTCTCTTGAAAGACATGGTGATGATCATTCAGGAGAATAAGAGGAGATTGCGTGTGCATACAAATCCGGCAAATGGCTAATTATAGGAATCCTTTGTGCAACTCCCACAATTTGATGTAATCTATGATTGCTTCTCAAATCTCGATGAAATTCCCCCTTTCTGATCTCCCCTTTGTCGGCAAGGAAATATTTTATCCTCGATTATGAACAAAGAAATGCTTGTACTTTTAGAAAATGATGGAATAATTTTTTTTAGATTGACCTGTCTTACTATAAAAAGTGTTTACATGTACATAATGCTTCTTTATTAGCATATTATATAAACAGTCCTTTTTGTTTTATTTCCTTTTTATTTTCTTTATCTTTTCCTTTTAATTTTTTTGCGTTATGCTTACATACTTAGAAGTTCATCTTTATTATACATTACCAGTCCTTGGTATCTTGTTTTGGTTGTTGAAACCATTTCATTCACAACAAGACAGTCTCAAATATAAATTCTTGTTGGTTATGGCCTTGACTACCGCGTCTATATGGGACAATTATATTGTCTATCATCGTGCCTGGTGGTACTGTCCCACTTGTGTTGTCGCTGTCATTGGATATGTACCTCTGGAAGAATACATGTTCTTTGTGGTTCAGACCTTATTGACTGTTGCCTTTACTAATTTCGTTATGCGTTGGCACTTGCATTGCTTTTTTATTAAGCCAAACACGTCTCTGAAACAAACCCTTATTGTACGCCTTATACCAGTTGCAGGTTTATTGACAATTACTTATCATGTTTGGGTACGCAAAATTTAATTTAATTATTGTTTATGTTGTAAAAAAAAATTTTGCTCATTTTTCTTTATTTAGCATTTAGCATTACCAAACAAGCCTTTGTTTTATGGCTCGTGTATACTTTGGTATGTTTGCCCTGTTTTAGCTTTGCTTTGGTTAGGCGCCGGTGAATATATTATGCGTCGGTTCTTGGCTGTGTTCATTTCTGTCGCATTGCCTAGCGTGTTTCTATGCTGGGTTGATGTCATTGCTATTAGTGCTGGCACTTGGCATATTTCACTCAAGACAAGTACTGGCAAGATGATCGTACCTAATTTGCCTATAGAAGAATGTCTGTTCTTTACCATGATCAATGTCGTCCTGGTTTTTGCTACATGTGCCATTGACCGCGCTCAAGCCATTTTGCATCTTTACAAAACTTCCAAGGGTACACAAGATATGACAGCAACAACACCTTTTTTACAGCAAGTCAAGGAATTAGCTTGGGCTTTCTGTATTCCTGATCAAATGTTGAACAATGAAATGTTTGAGGATCTTTCTGTCAGTTGGGATATTTTACGTAAAGCCTCTAAATCATTTTATACTGCTTCTGCTGTCTTCCCTGGTCATGTACGTCAAGACTTGGGTGTACTCTATGCTTTCTGTAGAGCTACTGACGATCTTTGTGACGATGAATCTAAATCTGTGCAAGAGAGAAAAGACCAGTTGAACTTAACTCGTCAGTTTATTCGAGAGCTGTTTAGCCAAAAGACCAATGCGCCCACTGTGATTGACTGGGACTTGTACCGTCACCAATTACCTGATGATTGCCTCTCAGCCTTTAAATCATTTACTCGTCTTCGTCATGTACTTGAAGTAGATGCTATTGAAGAGCTCTTGGATGGCTATAAATGGGATCTTGAGCGCCGCCCTGTCCTTACTGAAGAAGACCTTAAAGAGTACTCTGCTTGTGTGGCTAGTAGTGTTGGTGAAATGTGCACTCGTATTATTCTTTCCTATCACCCAAAGCAAACAAGAAATGATGCTTGGATTATCGATCGTGCGCGTGAGATGGGGCTTGTGCTCCAATATACAAATATTGCTCGAGATATTGTGACAGACAGTGAGACTTTGGGAAGATGTTATTTACCACATCAATGGCTTAGCCAACAAGAGCTAGATCGAATTCAGCAAGGACATGCTCGAGGCTTGGGTGATCAACGCCTAATGGGTCTATCTTTGAAATTGATTGGTAAAGCAGATGATATTATGTCAAGAGCCATCAAGGGAATTGACAAACTACCGTCAAACTGTCAAGGTGGTGTTCGTGCAGCATGTCAAGTCTATGCTGCTATTGGTTCTGTTCTGAAACAACACAAAGCTTATCCTACAAGAGCACACGTCAAAAGCAAAGAAAGAGCTAAAATTGCCTTATTAAGTGTTTATAATCTGCCTACTCAAGAATCAATACCATTGCGCCAGAAAAGAAAGATTAAGAGTTTTTTTGTTGAATAAAGAGTTATGATACCATTTTAGGTTTTTTTTTTCCAGTCACATGTAGGCAAATAATGTAACAATCGGATTCGAGAAGTACGAGAAGATACAGAAATGGCATTTAAGCTTATGATTGGATTCCGAATGATTCTTTCTCGAGTTTCTCTTTTTACCCTGGAACTGAAAAAAATATTTTCGTCTTTTTTGGATAATATTATAAAAAAGGGAATTTAGTAAAGACACCTTTTTTCCTTTTCTTTTTATCTTTTTATAACAAAATGAATAAGCATCGTCACCCAAACTTGCCTTCCATATCTACCTTATTAAAAGGACCACCTTCTCCTCCTCCGCCTATTATTGTCATAAATGAAGAACAAACGTCCTCTTGTTCGCCAAAAAGATATCAGCTTTCACCTATTTTATCACCTATTGACTCGTATACTTCATCACCCAACTCAAGCTCATTTCAATCACCTCTTTCGCCCCTTCCTTCACCCTCGCTACTCTCATTACCTACTCAAAATAGTTCACTCCCTCCACTTCAAGGTGATGATCCGCCTCGAAGACTAAGACATCCTTCAGTATCTTCTGTTGGCTCTATCTCAAGTATCACCTCACCCAAGCCATCTTCTTTTAATCTTCCTTTATGGACTAACATGTTAAGTCCAATATCCCAAGCGCAAAAACCCTATACACATACATCACCTCCATCTTACTGTTCTTCTCCACAACAACAAGACAAAGGTATGATGCTATCAGATCAATCAAGGTCTCCTTCTCCTATCATGGAGTCTTTGCCTCCTACTACACAAATCATCATGTCTGAATCTGGCCAACCTATCCTTAAACGAAGAAGAGGTCGTCCTCCAAGTTTAAGAGAACCTGCACTTGAAGGTGGCTGGACATTTTTGACACCTACTGTTTGGGACGTAAAGAACAATTTATCTGAAGAAGAAGACCAGGAAGACCAAGAAAACCTCTCATCAGATCCATTGCGCCAGCGACAGCAAGGTCAAACAAAAACCCCAAACAACACTGATTTGGTCATGAATGGATCTATGGCGGCCTTTACCAGTTCAAATATGGATATGGTGCTACAAATGCCACGTAAGAAAAGAGGCCGAAAGCCCAAAACACATATTGTAGGCAATTCATGTTTTGTCTGGAAAGACATTACTGCTTCAAAGAGAGCTTCCAAAGTAGCTAAACAACAAAAGCAACAACAACAAAAACCGAATCTCAGACGATTGGAACCAACAGTCTAAACTAAAGATTCTCGATTTTCCTTTATTGTAATTTATTTTACATGTACAGCAATTCTTTTTATGTGTATTTTTAGCTGAAAAAAAACTTTGTGTATAAAAATAATATATGCCTTAATAACCCACATTCTTTTTTCTTAATATATATTTATTTTCACCTCAAACCATCTCTTTTTGCCATTTATATTTTACTATTAAAGGTGCGCTTGTTTATTTTGGTGTGACCCCAGCCAAAAAAAAAACTTTTTTTCTCATTGTTGCTCTTTTTTTTTACTGTAAAAAGACATGTTGCGTTCTAGTCTTTGCTTCAAGCCTTTTGTTGCCCATCGAGGCTATAGTACAGTCACAAAGGCACTTAATTTGTCATTCGATAAACATTCAATAAAGTCCTCAGAAGAATCACCCCTTCTAATTTGTCATGGCTTATTCGGCTCCAAACAAAATTGGAGTTCACTTGCCAAAGCCATAAGCGCCCGTCTAAACCGAGACGTGTATACTCTTGTAAAGTAAATATGAACATATAAAGTATGAAATTAACGATAATTATGAAGGACCTTCGTAACCATGGTGACAGTCCTCACTCTGAAGAGCACACGTATGAAGCAATGACTTCAGACTTGGTCAACTTTGTTTCGCAACACAATCTAAAGAATCCTATCTTGCTCGGACATTCTATGGGCGGAAAAGCTGTCATGGCAACAGCCTTGCAACATCCTGACCTGGCTTCCAAATTAGTAGTAGTTGACATGCCACCTCTTGCATTAACACTCTCACGTAGTTTCGCGACCTATGTTGATGCCATGAGAGAGATTGAAGCTTCCAAACCATCTAAGCAAAGCGATGCAGACAAGATTCTAGCTAAATATGAATCCAATATAGGCGTGCGCATGTTTCTCTTGACTAATTTGAAGCGCACTCAAGATAATTCACTCCGTTTCCGTGTACCCTATGATATTTTGGGACGTTCTTTGAGCTCCATTGGGGCTTTTAATATTCCTGACCATCTTTCGTACGATAAGCCTACTTTGTTTATTGCTGGAGGAAAGAGTCCTTATCGCCCTCCTTTTGATAAACACTCTGAAAAGATAACAAATATGTTTCCTAACTCTCAATTAGAAGTTGTCGAAGGTGCTGGGCATTGGGGTAAGAATTTATATGAATCTAAAATTGTATATAAACTAATGTTTTTTAATTTAGTTCATGCTGAAAAACCAGATACTGTATTAGGTTTAATTACTTCTTTTATAAACAAGTAATTACCAAAAAGGGTTGATTTTTTAATGTTGTACGAGTGCACTCTAAAATAAATGTATCAAATTTTGACTAAACAATTTGTCACGATTACGGTAGATGGCAAACAGGATTACGACTTTATTGATATAGAAGACAACGTTCTAAACTACGTATAGGAGTTTCTTTAAAGGACTTGACTTGCGTAACTTGAAAAATCTCAGTTGAAAAAAATAAGCAGATCCAAACAACTTGTGTTTATCTCGTTGTTTGAATAGCAAGAGTAAACAAGACTTGACAATTTCTCTAAAAATAAACACACACGCATATCTTCTCATAAAATCACCAAAGTATATCACCACCAATAAAATATAACCAAAGAAAAAACCATCAAAAAAATAAACACCAACATGTCGAAAAGAGGGAGCAATAGGAAAAGAAACAGAGACAGTTTGAAAGAGTTGCTGACAGGAAAAAAAGAAAATATAAGGCTTGAAGACTTCCCCTCAGTGATTCCAATCTTCTCAACGCAAGTTTCCCAATAGATGAGAATCTAACAAAACTAAAGTCAGAGATTAATTCATACTTTGTGAAACTCCCTATTTCTCCATCGCAATGAAAGAAATAATAGAAAAAATGAGACAAGTTGGACGAATGAGATAGGAGGCATAACCAAGATCGGAGACTATAACCAGAAAGGAAATGAACCAGTCAGTATCATGAGAACCGTGTCAGCTGTTAGACATTTACATTCAGTCAAACCGAGCCAAGCCAAACCAAACTAAGTCAATAAATCATGTGCTTGCAAATTTCTTTTTCATTTGCTTCTGCCTATATAGAGGGCCTGCTTGAAGGAAGGAAGAGAGGGAATGCAATCAGTGCAAAACATGTGTTGTAACTTAGCAAAATTAAAACCAAAGTGCTATGGAAGGAGTAAACCAGTTTGCTTTTCTTGAATTTGACTTGCTGCGGCCAGCATAAATCACTGCTTTGTAAAAAAAAGAAAAAGGTGAAATCAGCAGAACACAAGCCGTGTTCTGCAGACAAACATGAATGTGTTTTGAATATACCGCTTAGTATCTTGTCGACTAAGGATGACACCTTGAATGGAGTATACGCATTATAATAGAGAAAAAAAATAATAATAAGAGAAAAGTACGAAAGAAACGAATATTTTATTGTCTCCCTCTTTTTATAAGGAGAAGGGAATTTATTTTTAAATCTAGCAGGTGATTAAATCAATGAACAAACGGAATTTGATGCATGATTACTCGATTAAGAACTGATATCCTCCCTAACAATCAACCAATCAGAGCAGGTACATGGTCTTTACACCTCTATGGAGCCTACTGATTGGCTATATTTTAGATTGAAGAGGTTTTTTCCATGATAAACAATTGGAAAACTGATGTCTTTACGAAGGATAATAAAATCAGAAATGTTTATCAATACATACTCGTGCAAAAGCTTTTGCGACCTAAAATTGAAATACAAATAGTGGAAAAAACAGCGTATATTTACCTCAGTGTTCGCAAAGGCAGTCATCTCTTAAAATGATTTGATTGATAGTAGTCACAAGTAAAAATTTGAAAGCATTCATTTTTGATCAAGGTTAAGTGTATGCAAGTTGATAAATTTCTGTAGAACTACAAACATATCAATAAAAACAGTATATTACATATTGATCGATAATGGCGTCTCTTAAAGGTTTCAGGTTTAATCAAGAGTCGTATGGTTCACTTCTACAAAACAATACTATTTAAACTTGAATTGCCAATAGAAATTTGATTACAAATAGAAATATACTATGCAACTCAGGCTCGGAAATAGTTTACCCGCCATAAGTTCATTTAAAAATGACATTTCATTATTACTTCCTTTTTTTTTTACTTTTCTTTGCTGTAATCCATAACATGTCTTCTTTTCCTGCCACTCAGATTGTTTATCGTATTAACGAATTCAAGGGTCGGCAAGGTCTCAAGCGATTTGAAGAACCATTGCCTAAGTTAGACAAAACTGAAGTACTTGTTAAGATCAAAGCTGTTTCTCTCAACTTTCGAGACTTGTTAATTCTCAATGATAATTACGGCTTTGGAGCCAATGACCTTGTCATTCCTTGCTCTGATGGCGCTGGTGAGATCGTAGCTGTAGGCGAAAATGTAAGCGATCTTCAAATCGGTGATCGTGTCACATCCAACTTTGGCATCAAGCATTTATATGGCATCCTTAAATTGACTGACGGTTGCTTGGGTGCTAATGTTGATGGCGTTCTTTGTCAATACAGAGCATTTCCTCAAGAAAGCGTTAACAAGTTACCACAAGATTCTCATTTAACTGACGAAGAAGCTGCTTCTTTGGTCTGCACTGGTGCAACTGCTTGGAACTCGCTTTATGGATCTAACAACCCTTTTATTGCTGGTCAATCTGTTTTGATGTTAGGTACAGGTGGTCTTTCCATTACTACTTTGATTTTGGCTAAGGCCGCTGGTGCTGTCACGATTATCACTTCTAGCTCTGATGAAAAACTCAAGTACGTTAAGGAAACATATGGAGTTGATTATACCATTAATTACAAGACTTATCCTGACTGGGAAAAGGAAGTATTAAAAATCACTCAGGGAGAAGGGGTTGACTTTATTCTTGAAACAGGCGGCAACGGTACTATTGTCAAATCTTTGACAGCTGCAAAGGCTGGCGGTCAAGTAAACATCATTGGTATGTTCACTCAGCCCGAAACAACCCCCGACCTTTTGCCTCTTATTCTGAGCAAGGCTCTTAATGTCAGAGGTATTATGGTCGGTTCCAAACAACAATTTGGGGAATTAGTCCGATTTGTTCATAGCAAGAAGCTTCGTATGCCTGTAGAAAAGGTCTTTGGTTTCTCTGAAGAAGAAGTGCAAGCCGCCTTTAGTAAACTTGAATCTCAAACACATATTGGAAAGACTGTCATTCGAGTTGATTGATTTATACAATAAATAAAAGGTGTTTGCTTCTTGAATGGAATTCAGGTACAGTTGGCATGGTAATGACAAGACCAAAATTCATATCTTCTTTTCCGAAATTTGTTTTTCCGCAAGATATGCAGAACTTTCTGGAAAGTGTCGATAAGTGCTAATGAAATTGGCATGACTATATCAAACAATAATGGCATACAAAATCATGACAACTATATGCTTGTGCTCAACAGGTAAGAGACAGAAAGAAAGAACGAAAGAAAGGGGAAGGGACAAAAATATTTTTTTTTCAAGAGAATCTATAAATATACTTGGTGGTGAGAAATTCAGTGTACTCGAAACTATCGCCTTTAGTTTCCGCTCAGGCCATGTCAATTCTTAGACACGACAAGTAAATGATGGCTTAATTACCAGTTTCGATTGTTTATCAGCTTCATGCACGCTTGCTGGATCAAACACATCTTAAGCCTCTTTAAATGGCTCCTTTGGCTGTAAGCTTTTTATGATGGAGCTCAAGTAATACTTGTGGAGTAAAAACCTTTATTCTCAATCCATGTTTGAGCTGGTACATTGATCAAAATAAGCAAGTTCGTGATATTTGTTACACGAAGGGAGCTATAATGATTGAACGCAAATGTTTGTGAATCACAAGTAAAGAAAAATTTGAATTTTATCTATGGTAAGTACTCTCTTGTGACAGAATAAACTAGACAGTAGATTGAACGGCGTGTTCTCTATGACTAAAATCATACATGACGAAGTTGTCGAAATTTCAAAAGCCGCCTCTGAGTACTTTCCTCTTTTTACTGTAAAGAGACGTTCGACCAAGTGCTGTTTGCTATTTGAGTGGTGCTTCGCCCTTTGAATATTTGTATATTAATAATTCCAGCTATTTTACACAACGTTCAAATGACGTGTCATTCAATATTATGAGACATCATCAGCATGAATTTATTATTTTTTCACCAAAAAAGATAAAGGTGCAGTTAATCAATTCTCTTCTTTTTTTTCTTTTTTTTTAATCTTTATTTTTTTCCTTAAAAAGAATTCGAGTAAGTACCATAACACAAGGTTGAACATGACTCTTATTCCTTCTAGAAACAAACAAAACATGTCTGCTGCTACTCCCACTGAAGAAAAGCAAATTATTACCCCTTCCACTGAGGAAGACTCACACAAGGTAAGTGCTTTTATTTGAGACGCATCAAGAGTTCTGATGACCTGTTGCCAGGTTTTTGTTGGCAATTTGAGCTATAGTACAACTAAGGATTCTTTGAAGGCCTTCTTTGAAAGTACTGGTAAAGTGTAAGTATCATTTTTCGAGAAAGTACGCGTTTTCTTCTGGTTTCTTACATAGCTTTTTCTTGTTAGTGTGGATGCTATTGTGGTGAAAAAATATAATCGACCCAAAGGCTTTGGTTTCGTCGCTTTTGCTACTTTAGCTGAAGCTGAAAAGGCTATCAAGGATCTCGACAAAAAGGAACTGGACGGACGCGAGATTAGCATCCAAATAGCCAAGCCTAGAAAGCCAAAATCCGAAACAACCGAAAAGAAAAAGAAGACTAGCAAAAAGTCTCGTAAGCCTGTAAGTATATTACGTCTTTATAAAAAGAGAGAAAAAAGGGGGTTGTCTGACAAGATTACCAAATTTGTAGTCTCAATCTAAAGAAGACAGTATAGAAGACATAAAAGAGGACAAGGAAGAAGCTAAGAAAGAAGTTAAGAAAGCAGACAAGAGGGAAGATAAAAAGACTCAAGAACCTGCTATCGATCCTGTTTCTTCTGTCGATGCTGTCAAAGAAGATGAATCCAAAGAACCTAAGCCAAAGACCACTGTCTTTGTTGCAAATCTTCCCCGTAACTTTAAGGTAAAGCAATTGACCGAATTATTCAAGGACTATGAGGTTGAGTCTGCTTTAGTTGCTATCAAAAGAAAGTAAGTTACAATTAGAGAAGAAAAAATAAGCTAACACGTAATTAGTGGTATTTCCAAACGTTATGGTTTTGTCGAACTAAAGACAGTCGAGGAAATGAAGCGAGTCTTGACAGAATTTATTGATGTTGAAGTAGAAGGTAGCCTTATCCATGTGTCCGCTGCTACTTCTGAAAAGAATGCTCCAAGAAAGAGAAAGAGCCCCAAGAAGCCCACTTCTTCAGCCTCTGCCTCAGAAACAGAACCCGAAGCAAAAAAGACATCTAAACCTAGCAAGAGATCCAACAGAAACAAAAAGTCCGCCAACAAAAAGAAGGTCAGCGAAGGACTCGAAGCTGCTCATGAAGCTCAAGATGCTGTCAAGGAATTAAAGAAGGAAGATGGCATTGAAGCTGCAAAAGAAGCTCAAGGCGCTGTTAAAGAATTGAAGAAGGAAGATGGTACCGAAGCTGCCAAGGAAGCTCAAAACGCTGTAAAGGAATTGAAGAAGGAAGATGGTATCGAAGCTGCCAAGGAAGCTCAAGGTGCCGTGAAAGAATTAAAGAAGGAAGATGGCGTTGAGGCCGCTAAGGAAGCAAAGGAAGCTGTTAAAGATTTAAAGAAAGAAGACGGTGCCAAGTCTGCTGCTGCTGCCAACAAGGGAACCAGCAAAGAATAGGCACACTTATTTTTGTAAGAAATTAACTAGAAAGCATAATAAACACACACACATGTATTACTATTATCCTTTTTTTTTCGCATGCTAGAAAAAAAAATGACATGTCAAAATTTGGAATCATACGATTTTATTTTCGCTTAAAATATGTTACAAGAAATGATTCGTTTGTGCTAACAAAAAAATAATAAGACTGGTATAGCGTTAGTTTTTTTCAAAAAAGCCTTTGCGTTTTCTTAGTCTTCTAATCTTTTTCCTTGATATCAAACTCTTTGCTGCTGTTCGTTCGTCGTACAATATATCTAGCTTCTCCTGCATTGCAGTCAAATAATCTGCAATTTCATCATGATTGTTGTTGTGATTTAAAAAGTATGAAGGATCGATTTCCACTGTAAGTGTGGTTGTTGAGCTTTTTTCTTCTTTGTTTGGTGAATCCAATCCTGGAGGTTCAAATGGTCGAAGAGTCATCATGTATTGTAAAAGGGCCTCTTTAGCTACATCAATATAAGCTATTTGCTCTCATACTAAACAATCATTACTTACAAGAAGAGTCGCTTTCTTCTTTTTTAATTTGACCGACCATATTACCGGCCAAGAATGGACGAGGCGTGGAAAGACCAAACAAAGGTCTATGTAAAGAATAAAAAGCACTGTGTGCTAATTCTGTAACTGGAATGTTTACAACTGGCATAAATGAGGGCACATTGGGAGGAATACGATTCTTTTTTCGTTCGTCTGATTTAGTTGAAGGTTCTTGTTGTAATTTCTTTTCTTTGCTATCATTATATGAAGAATAAAACTTTTTTGTGCTAATTATCTTATTAAATATTGTTTTGCTCTTCAATGATTTGAAGCTTGTACGGGCAATCATAATTTGTGAGATAAAAAAAAAAGGGAAGGAAAGAAAAGAAAAGAAAAAAAATTACGAATTAAATGGTCTTGGGTTTAGACGGCGGCGAACTAATACTAAATATGATGAAAAAAAAAGGAAATAACTTTATTACAAAATATGATATTTTTTAGCATATAGATTATTATAGATTTTCTTTTAGAAACCACCGAATTGGTTGTTGGGTGAGAAAGATGCGCCAGTCATCATGGGGATTGTTGAGGCATCATACCTCCAGGAGCTGTCAACATAAGGGGATGACCCATTCCACCACCAAGAGGGACAGCGGGAGCTAAATTAAAAGATAGTTAGAATTGTCGTTATCAGATCTTTTATGTATCACCACGAACCATTTTCATTAGTTGATTCTTGCTTTGCGACTTTCTCTTTAAGTTCATTTACTTCCTTGTCCAACACAGAAATCTATTTAAAGATATCAATACACGATTTGTAAGAATAAATCAATTTACTTTGGAGAAGTTGTCTTTCATAATATTAATCATGTAAGGCATAGCAAAGTCGTTCAGACCGTTTCTCCATGCTAATTCCATGACAAAATCGGGTCTCATCAAGTCGTAACATGTATAGAGCATGGCAGCGAAACATTCGCGCTTACCGACTTCAATAAAGTATTGTAAGAGTTCTTCAGCAACTTCACGGTCTTTGGATTCAGCAGCAGTTTCCATAGCATCTTTGAACAAACGATCTTCTTTGGAAAGAGCAATAGATTGTCTCCATCTTCTGTTGCGCTTGTAGAGATGTGCAGCAATACGACGGAATTCGAGTAATTCATGCTTTTCCAAACGCTTTGCAAGATCAACGGGATCAACATTATCATGGCGATCAAGGGAGTCACGCAATGCTTCATAATCTTCTTCTTCGATATAGAGTTCATTCAATGCTGTGTTAACGTCCTTGTTGTTGATGTCCTGAATGGAAATCAAGTATTGCTTGATCAAAGGAATATTATCAGACTTTTCAAATATTTGAACGACACGGCTATGCTTGATGCGAGGAACAAGAACAGAAAGCAAGTCATTCAACAACATGGGCTGTTCAGCAAGGTAGAACTTGAGTGCCTTGTAGTAGAGTTCAACATTGGACACCTTGACAATGATTTCCTTGAAAGCACCATGTTCAAATGAGTCAACAGAATGTTCCATCATAGCAGTGACAGCGTTATCGTATTCATCATAGTTTACATAAAGGAAAACCAATTCACGCCACAAATGAACTTCAGAACAAGCACGAATGACCTTGGGCATATTGATACGAGACACATAGAGTTTAAGGTGTTCCATCATATTGTCGGGGGCATATTTGGAGTAAAGAATAGCAAGTTCAGTGAACATGCCCATATGAGCTCTTTCAAGGTTCAATCCAGCTTCTAATAAACGGATAATTTCATCAAAGAAGCCATTCTTTTCATAGGTCTTGACAAGTTCGTCTAATTCTTCAGCGTGAACAACAATGTGAAGACCACAGATTTGAGCCAAACGGAATTCACGTTGAAGAATACATTCAGCATTAACTTCCTTCCAAACCTTGGTGGAATTGGCCTTACGGGCACAGTCAACAGCGCCTTGGTAGTCCTTCAAGTGAACCAAAGTTTGAGCCAAACTGGCGTGGTTGGAAATGCTGGTATACAAAATCTTGGCAGCTTCAAACATACCACTACGGAAACAACGGTCACCTACTTCTTGAATTTGAGCAATGTTAGGGCTGGCCAAGAAGTCTTCCAAATCAGCTAAACGATCAGTTTTTGCATAGGCAAACAACAATTCGGTTTCAATATAGGGTTCACGAGATTGCTTACGAGCCATTTGCAAGTAACGAACAAGGTCGTCGTACTTGTTGTCCATAGATGCACAACGAGTGACTTCCATGTAGTTGGACATATCACCAGCACGAATATAAGAATCAATAGCTTCCTTGACACGCATTTGATCCAATTGAGCCTTGGCAAGCTTACTCCACACTTCAGGCTTATCAGAGCGTTCAGCGAATTCATAAGCACGATCAAGATCGCCAATCTTTTCAATCAAGACATCAATAGCATTAGCATCAACGTTGTGTTTCTTGTAAATAGCAAAAGCTTCTTCAAACAAGTTTTCGCCAACACAGACGCCAGCAACATCAGCTGCATCAAAGTTATCAAGACGATTAAGATAGTCCATGACGCGAGAAGGATCAGCCTTAACAGCAGTAAAGATCAACAAGTTTTGCAAGGTCTTGTTGTCATTGAAAGCACTGCTTTCCAAGACAATCTTCTCTAAAAGTTCAATTAATTCATTGGGCAAATCGGCAGTCATGAAAGCCTTGACAGTGTTTGAAACATCATCAGGATCGGTACATTCAGGAAGAGCAGTAGCTACGATTTGATCAATCAATTCACGGCGGTGTTCATTAGTTTCGACAAGAACAGAGGCCCAAAGAGCGGGATCACGACGGTGAACGAGATAACGGGCCTGGTGCTTGAACATGGAGTTTTCAGTGGTGATATGGATCAATTCGTAATCACATTGACCCTTTTCGTAACAAATAAAGGCCAAGTAAGGATCTCTCTTTTCACAGTATTTACCAATGATGCGAGGATTGTAGAATTCGTTTTCCTTGAGGAAAGGCTCTGGGTTGTTGTTGGTGTCGATATAGATCTTAGCCAAAGCATTGTAGACTTCAGGATCTTGGCTACCAGCAGTAACACGCATATTCAACCAAGGCAAGAGAAGTTTCAAGCGGTTTCTTTGTTCAACTTCTTCACACAACTTATCAACAGGGAGTTCACCTTGAACAGAAAGAAGCAAGTTCTTGATAGTATTTTCATCACAACCAACATCTAAAAGACCACCAATGACTTCAGGAGTACGGGAGGGGTTGACCTTTTGAACATATGTTTCGATAAAGTTCTGCAAGTTGTTGTGATAGAGATAGAGAACAAGATCATGAACAAAGTTAAAACGGTCACAGACAATGATGAGAGGCAATTGATCACTCAACTTGGCTTCCTTTAAGAAGTTCTTGACCTTTTCAGGATCATAGTAGGTACTTTCACGACAGATGCGCTCTGCTTCACGCACATTGCCAGTACGACAGGCGGCTTGGATATATTTGAAGTGAACAAGTCCATCTTGACTGACATTAACAATAGAACCAAGATAGTAGTAAAGACCTTCATTGCTCTTGTAGGATTCAAAGAGATCAATCAAATTGTGAGGTTGAAGTTGTTCAGAATATTTGATGGCAACTTGAACAACAATCTGAAGGTTTTGACGAAGGTTATTGTTGAGCATTTCTTTCAAACAATCCAAGCTTTGGTCAACAGAAAGGTTACCAAAGTAATTGACGAGCCATTCAGCTTGCATCAAGTGAGTGTGAGGAATAATACGCTTAATATCATGAATGTCGGTATAGTGTTCAAGGGCCTAAAGAGCAATAGACTTGTTAGCTTCTTGTTTTGCCTTTATGTCTTTAAAATAAACTTACACGTTGGTACAAACCGGCTTTTTCACACAAGTTACCAATGACAACCTTATCATAATGGTTGAGCATGCCTGTACCCATAATAGCGTCTGCTACTTGAGGAGCATGCACCAAGTTCATCTCAAGAACACGGGTTTGAAGAGCAGCATCTTGTTCTCTATCACCCTTCAAGTAATCCAACAAATAAGTTGTAGCTTGAGGAATCATGTTTTGAGACTGGAAGACGTCAACCACCTTCTCAGGTTCAATCAAGGGACCATTTTCATCATTTGTAAGGGTCACGGCAAATTCAGCAGCCTTTTCGGGTTCAGTACGAGCAATGTTATAAAGCAAGGAGGCATAATCAGGAGTATAGCCAACAGTTTTAGCATAAGCCAAAATCTTGTCATATTGGCGGTTTTCAGCCATACACAAGACAACCTTGTTGGGCACTTCAGCACGCAAATAGACAGACAAGGCCAAAAGAGAATCGTATTGCTTGACAAAATCACCGAGTTCTTCACTGCATTGCAATTTATCTTCCTTCAACCACTTTTCTAAAAGAGGTTTACGGTTTTGAGTTAAAATGGGTTTAGCAAGTTCAAGTGATTCAAATTTGTTGAGAACACCCTTTTCAAGAAGTGTACCAAAGTATTGTAAAATAGGTGGAAGTGAATTGGGTTGAGCAGGAATTTGTCTGAATTTTTCGATGGTTTCTGTAGTACGGAGGATGCCCTACGTGGTACGATATACAGGTGAGCATGATAAATAGACATAAAATACACTTACTCTAGGAGAATTGGCAGCAACCTTGGCAGCTTCACCAAAGTTACCAGTAGCAAACAATTGGTTAAAACGAGCAAGATATAAATCATCAGCACCCGAAAGACCGCCACGGGAAGCCAATTTAAGAGCCAATTCAGTGTTGTTCAAGTTGTTGATGATGTAGGGAATAATGTTGTTTTCGTCAAGAGAGACAGAAAGAACCTAGATTAAGAGTCATATTAGCTTTAGTTATAGATCCAGCTATTTTGTACTTACTTGACCCTTTTTGTTGACACCAATAATACCTGAAGTAGGATCATATTCAGCTGTGACAAAGATAGTTTCACTGCTAATTCTGTTCATATAGATACAAGTACCAGATTCAAGATCATAAAGATGAATGAAACCCATCTTGGTGACCAAAAAAATAACACCATACTTATGACTGATTTGCATGGCTACGGGGAAATCAGTAGCAGCTTCGGGAGGGAAAAAGACTTCAACAGCCTTCTTTTGGAAAGGAGGGTTGCCATCAACATGGTCAACCTCGATGATTTGGAGCTAAAACCAAGTTAGTTTTAGCCTAACCTAGCCATTTTTTGTCTCTCTCTATCTCCTTACCTTGGCACTCATATTAGCTGTACGAACAGCAAATGTAAAGAGTTTAGTAGGGCTAGGAGCATCTTGAAGAGTAATTTCAGCAAAGGCAGCAGCATGACCTTCGATAGCTTGACTGACACCACGCTCTCTAGAATAGAGTTGCATGGAACCAGCAATACGACCTTCTTTAGCAGAAATACCAACCAGAACAAACCATTTTTCGTCAGAAGAAGCGCGCAAATTGATAATTTGACAACCGCTGAGAGTAGCATGTCGATCAAAGACCTTTTGAGGAGCGGATTCACCTTCAATAGACCAGCGATACACACACTGGTCTGTAACAAGACCAATTGTCTTAAGATCCAACCACTTCCAGAAAACAACATCTTCATTCATCATATGCGACTTGAGTTTTGTCTTTGTTTCAAGGTTGAATACTTGAAGTTGTCTTTGAGCTAATAACCAGTCAATGTTTATTGGTACACACACAAACACACACAAACATCATACCTTTAAGGGCCATAATCTTAGTTTTAGGATGCATAATGACAGAGTCAGCTGTGATAGGGCGACGAGTGATTTCGTTGTTGTTGGACAAGTCAATAATAACAACTTGGTTTTGGTTGTTCACTTGTTCCCTAACACAGATAAATCTGTCCGACTCCATAGTTAAGGTGTTGAAGCCAATACTGGCTGCGTTTACACCAAGGTTTTGTAGCTAGCAGACAGTTTTAGTTGACGCCATCTTGTGTTGTATAGCTTTACCTGTGCGTGTTCTTGAAATTTGATGGGAAGTTGTTCACTCATCTTGTTCTTTATTTTCGGGATAATAAGATGAGTCTTTTCGTGTATACAAAATAACTAGCTCACCTTGTTTTCTTCTTTATTGCCTTTTTATGCAAGTTTATGTTACAAATAGAGAAAAAAGAGAGTGGAAATTACAAGACAAAAAGAAAGAAAGAGAGAGAGAGAGAAAGGGAAGAGGACTTGAGAGCGAGTTTCAATATGATAAAAGTATACACAAGACGTCATCCCGCTTGCGGGAATTGTAATTCTCAGCACACAATGGTGTAACGCGCATACAAGTTCAATTAAGCCACATATCTACAGTCATCTATTTATTTATATTCATTGGAAACCAACTTTGCAATTGTTTGAAGTTGAATATTACTCGTGCCTTCATAAATAGCACCAATCTTTGCGTCTCTGTAGAACTTTTCTACACCCAGTTCACGGGTAAATCCAACACCACCACACCATTCAATTGCCTTACTGGCAGCGTGTTCAGCAACTTGAGAAGCATATAATTTAGCCATAGCAGCTTCCTTGACAAATGTTCTGCCTTCTTCTTTCATACGAGCAGCATTGTATGTCAAAAGACGAGCAGCTTCAATTTCAACAGCAATTTGAGCATATTGATGTTGCATGGCTTGGAAATCACCAATAAATTGACCAAATTGCTTACGTTGGAAAAGATAGGGTAAGGCAATGTCATAGGCACCTTGAGCGGTACCCACCATTTGAGCAGCAATACCAATACGACCTTCGTTTAAGATTTCGATGGCATATTTGTAACCTTTGCCAATTTCACCCAAAATGTTCTCTTTAGGGACACGAACCTCATCGAAATTGAGAACACAAGTAGAAGAAGCACGAATACCCAACTTGCTTTCTTTCTTTGCTACTTGAACACCCATTTCTTTTTCAACGATAAAGCAAGTAATGCCCTTGTAGCCCTTTGAAGGATCACTAGCAGATAATTGTTATTTATCAGAATAAAATAAGATACACTTACACATTAGCAAAGACCAAGAAAATATCTGCTTCACCAGAGTTAGTGATCCACATCTTGGAGCCACTGATAACATAGTGATCATCCTTTTCAATAGCGCGGGTTTGAAGAGCAAAAGCATCAGAACCAGAGCCTGATTCAGACAGACAGAAACAACCAACAGATTCAGTGGCTAACTTGGGCAAGAATCTTTTCTTCACATCCTCATTACCGTATTTACGAACAAGTGTACCAACCAATGTATTCTAAAAAGACGGCTTTAATTTTCGTCTTGATTTTTTTTTCCTTTCTTTACCTGGACATCACAAATAACACTGACAGAAGGATCCACTTTAGCGAGTTCTAAAACAACATGTATTTAGATAACTGTACAAAAATAGGAAAATTACCTTCAATAGCAATAATGGCAGAAGTAAAAGAGCAATTAGCACCATCATAATCAGCATCTGTTTCAATGCCCATAAGCTAAGGTAGAATGACTCAATATTTGGTCTGTAGAGCAGTGATACTTACACCTTGATCAAAAAGACCCTTCAAGATACTGGCATCTAACTTTTCAGTCTCGTCCATTTGTTGAACCTTTGGCTTAACCACTTCTTGAGCAAACTTGGCAACTATATACTGTATCAATACATGCTCATTTACTCAAAAGCTTTTTTTTTACCTGTATCCTTGAGCATTAACTCTTCTTCAGTGAAGGACTGAAGAGAAGTGGGAAGACCAACGGCGTTGCGGATAATAGCAGAGTGAGCAAAAGTTCTAAAGTGTGTCAGGATCAAGTATGAGCGCGTATAAAAGCCTACCTCTTAGGAAGAGAACGGGTAACTAGGCTGAATGAACGAGAGGCTGAGCGCAACATGGTAGATAAACAAGAGAGACGGGAAAAAGAAAAGAAGGGGAAAAAAGCTGTGCTTATTTTTATAGGCAATCAATTTCACATGCCTCATCGACATTGAGCAGCCGATAATCATTCTCCCCACAATTTATCTGAATAATGCGTTTTATATGTTTGATTCTCCGCACTCGCTTGTATCTTTCACTTTTCTCAAGATTTCTACAGAAGAAAAAGAAGTTTTTGAGTAGCTAGAGCACATTTTAGCAGTAAACGACCTTTATTGCAAAGTATTTACTCAATTTTTTTTATATATCATGATAAAACATGATTTGATTACGGATATTAAATTAAGCTCTCTTGCTTAGATAACTGAATTTCATTCGCTCAAATCTTCAAATTAATTCGCACACTAACAAAATACAGTGTAAAGGCAATGACAGATTTTAGGCTAAACTTTCAGCATATATTAGGATCTCGAATGAGATATTTGATAACCGCTTATCCTTTCCCAAGCTTTATTTTAATAAGTCCAGCATGAACATTGTTGCTCTTTTGTTCTGTGTCCTTCGCTTTTTTATATATACATAGTCTGCTTGTCTTTTTGTTTCAATGTTTTCTTTTGTGATTGTAGACGAGCAAAAAGAAAACATCCTTATGTTTGCATGCACATATATTATAATTCAAAGTGACATTCTGGTTCCACAAAACCATTGCCACGTACACTTTATTGAAGAAAAGATTCGTGTTAAATAAGCAAAAATCAAGTTCTAGAAATCAAACAGAGCATGAGATACATAAGTAATATTTATATTGTTACTTACATTAGATTATAAGAAAGAGCAGAGAATAGAAGGGAGATGAATTAGTAACAGATATGAGCCAGTATATGTAAAATACTTGCACGGATACGAGGAGGTAGTTGAATACCTCCCCTACTATCTTCCGATTACATTCATACTACTACACAATATGACCAACCAATACCAAGCTGTCATTGATGCCAAAGGCGGTCATACTCATTATTGATTTCTTTCGGTTTATATTATCTTGAAATAAACATCTCAACAAATCATCAACACAAAACTGAGTGCGTTTAAATATCATCTTGGCTCTTGGGTCATGATACCTTTGTTGCTAAGTTTGATTGACAAAAAACTGCGCTATTTTTTATTGGGGTAAGACATATACCAATTCATTAGACAAGCTATCGCGTATTTGGTCGCGTACATTATAAACAAATGCTCAAGAGCCTCAAAAATTATTTCCTACTGTTTTCATATTTATCATCACCTTTTTCTCTCGATTTTATATTTATTACATTTAAAACTTGTAACCTAGATACACTCATCTGTAATGATTGTTACTTTAAGCATTTGAAAGCTGTTTGGAACTGGGAAACACCCCTAAATAATTTTTTGGACAATAGTGCTCTGTTATAAACATAATTGGATCACATAGCAATTTCACTTGTCAAATGGTTTCAGTCTCAACGAAAATTCTCGTTGCCACACGATGTAGTATATCAATTCGATATAGACTAGTTTGAATTAAATTTGACGTGAAATGAACAAATTACGTTGAATACAAGAAATCAATTCTTATCTAAAATTACTTATTAATTTATCGAGGCACAGTCTTTAGCAAAAAATCCCTTCAATAGTCAACAGAACCAGGAATAGAATTTCTTCTTACTAAGGCATAAGAAAATAGAAGACGTGTTGTTACAATTTCTTAAACTTCCAAATTTAGTAAAAAAAAATGTACATAAAATTGGGTGCTCTCAAGAAGTGTTCTCAAATTCAAGTCTGGACGTCATGCTTTTTTTTAAGCAAGAAATGCACCTATGTTTTTAAAACCTCCTTAATAGAAAAAGAGCGAAAGTCCAGTTCAGCGGAACCCTTTAGATCTGAGGGTTTCGTAACGACTCATCTGGACTTGGACTTGAGAAATCCTCTTGAGAAATCCTCTAAAGCCATCTCTTTTTTCTTTTGGCTCAGTTATGCCTAAAAAAAGATACTATCGCTACTAAACACAGCATTTGTTACACTAGTACTTGTACATTTCTATTGATCATGTGTAAATTACTTCAAGTTTGTCTCAATTGCTGAGTTAAACTCATGATCCATGGAGAATCGTGATCTTTTAAGAGGTTAAACATTATATCATAAAACACAAAATGAAGCGAGGTTATCATCAACGATCACGATTCTTTCGAAATACTTCTTTTCAATCAATTTTTTTCTCCGTTCAAAGACTGCTCATATTTACCACAACCTTCTTAATCTTGCGCTTGCTTTTGGATTTTTTTGCATCTCTGAAGATTTCAATTACAGTAGTTCCATGATTAAACCTTATAAACCTTAAAACTCGACACTTCCGTTATCAGGAGAGACAATTATTTGTCTATTGAGACACAGCATTACTATGTGCCTTTACTTTTCTGTGTTATAAGGTATGAGAAACTTTATCAGAATTACGTCTCTTGAGTCCATTTCTGGTTCAGAATTTTTAAAGTCTTAGAAAAGTGCAGAGTCTGATCTACCTCATCAAATTTGGACAAAATTAATTATTTCTGGATTGCTCATATATCTATTCTCATTTACGGATCAATAGAGGTTTATTAAGAAGTAAAGATTAGTCCAATCGGCCCATTGGGCTGATCTTTACGATCATAATTACCCATAAAAAAGTCTTTTTTTGTCTTGCTTTTGACAACGTGTTATTTGACTTTTCATTAGTGTTCTGTATAATTTATAGATTGAACAGATAATCTTCGCCTCACAAATATTTCTTTGTAAGTCAAGCGGTTTATGAAAAAATCACTCGGTCCCTTTATGCTGATTTTTGTATTCAAATTATGTAGGGTTAAATTTAGTAACATTTTGTTTCCTTTTAGTTATTGCAGGTTGGACATTGAAAATAAATATGCTTGCATAAATCATGGAATATATAAAGGACTTTTTGATCTTTCATTCTTTTTTTTATCATCAAATCTTTTTATCTCAAGATGAAGTTCTCTACTGTTGCTTTACTCCTTGCTGCTGTCGCTGGTATTCAAGCTGCCGCTATTACTAACCCTGAATGTAAGGCTTTAGGCGACAAGTGCATCCACAAAGCTTGCGGCACCAAGAGCGGTACTGGCTACAAGGGCTACTGCTGCCTTACTGATGATGACTGTATCAGATCCTGTGTTAACAACCAATGTACTGGTATCAAGAACCCCAAGTTTAGCAATCCTATTCCTGACAGCTGTAAGAATGATAGTATCGATTACTTTGGATCCAATGTCAAGAATGGCCCTGCTGGTGTCTGCTGTGACAGCGATGAAGACTGTCAAAACAAGTGCGTTAAAGACCACTGCACTGCTAGCTCTTAGTTTATACTCAATGACATACCCATTTAAACAATAAAACTCACTGTTTAAATTATGGCGTATACAATGACGTAAGAGCTAATATATTGTACGTTTCAGACACTAAATACCATTCTGAATGTGAACTTGAATTTCCATAACCAATATCTTTCTATTACAGTAAGCCTATTAAGCAATTTCTTCAATAAACTGTATTGGCGGCTTCTCATCGTTATGCGTGTGCATATGTCAACATCTTGAGTGATACTGTATACTAAATTTTACAGGTAATTTATGACGCTACACGAGCTTAGTTACAGTCAGGCTTGGATCTCGGGATATAGCCGGTCAGATCCAAAATGTGTAACTAAATTCAGACTATTGCTTGATTCAGGTATAATAGAAGAATAGCTTCCATGACACGCTTTGTATTAGGTTTTATTACTTATAGTGTTATCCATATTCTGTATCTATATTAAAGGAATTGATAAATACAACAACTCAAATCACCACCATTACATAAAGAGCCAGCAGAAAACATCATTTCTGATATATCTTTCGGGTCAATGATGCGATTGTACCTCTTTGAAAAACAGACAGAATACAAGATTGCGTAACCAAATAAACAAAATATAAAGTGCAGTAGTGCATCTCCAAGCTATTTAAATGTTTAAAACAGTGCCCAATAACATCCAGGGTACATTTAGATGCGATTTGGATCAAAAAAAGCGTTTTGTAAAGTCCTAAAGGTGTCGTAATGAGTGATGAATAAGGCTGAAGGGGGTATGTTGTGCAAGAAGAGGAAGAAATGAAAAAGTGCATGAATTTTACTAGGAAGGAAAGTAAGTTCAATCAAAAATGATTAGTTCTTGTTCATCGGATTGCTTCGTCAACATGCGTTTGACTGTATAGAGTATGGAAGGAAAGGTGAAATGTGTTGAATCAGAAACGGAACGCTAATGGCTGGACCATAGACCTTCCAATGTGCTAGCACATATTTGTTGAGTGGAGAGGGTTGGTAACACAGACTTGTTGATGCGGTTGATGGTGGCGCGTAAATTGAGGAGTTGTCTTAAGAGTTGAATTGAAGGATTGGTAAGGGAAGGATCGACGTATGTTGAAAGAACGTAGCCCTAGATCTTGTATTTTGTTGGGCAAAGAAAGTTGAAGTGATCTAGTGTGTCAACAGTGTTTCGTCGGAAGTATGGGCAGTGAATGCATTGAGGATGGGTGATGAGTTGAGGCAATTTTTGGTGAAGGCAAAATCGAGTATTGATGATTTTGTGCAAGAAGTGGAGCCAGATGTTACGAGAGCGATGGGTGATGTGAAGTGAACAAAAGACTTTCCAGTTGGGGACAATGTCAAATGATGAAATAGATGTAGGAATATGTAAAGGAAGTAATGCTTTATAGCCGGAAATAGTTGGAGGTGCAGGTTTGAAAACAAGTGATGGGGAAGCAGTTTGAAAGAATGTAAGAGTAGTGATAAAAGATTGTAGGCAGGAAGGATGAAGAGTGATGTATGTGTTGGGGGAGGGAGAGGAGTAATCGTAATAAGCTCAAAGTGGCGGAAGGACAAAAAGTTTGAGTAAAAGTTTTTGATTGAGGATATGTTTGAATATTCGAAGAGGGACACAACGATGTTGAGTCAGTGTATCGCGAGTGCGGTATTTTAGGGAGCGAGATTGATTATCGTTAAAGAAAAAATCATGACCAATGAGGCGAGAGAAACCAGAAGTTTTGTGTAAAAGAGAGTCAAGCGGCTCAAAGGAAGGGAGAGAAGATGGACCAGAGTTGGCCCCAAATCCAAAGGGTACTACTCATAGAAAATCCTCATTTTACTAACTCTTGATCTTGCTTTTGAGCCACAAGATGAAAAATTGAGCTATTGAAAAGCTTAAATACCCAAAATATGCGTGAAAAGCTCTAATTTTTGTTGAATGTGCCTGATTGTTTATTGTATTACAAAAATGACATGATATGAATGAAAAACCTTGAAAACGTTTTAATAATTTTCTCAAAAGTTTGGAAGCAGAGTTGCTGTGTTATTTATAGCAATAGACTCAAAAAGCAAAGATCTACAACTTTTGTCACTTTGACAAGCCGAGATAACTGCATCTTTAGATAGTTTTCATCAAAAGCTTGGTTTTTAATGCACTGCGTGAAAAAGATGAGCAGAGCGTTGAGAGCCCCTTATTTAATCATGCTGGATAGAGTTTAGTCGAATGATCGTCCTCAGTGGCTTATCACTTTCTATCATACTTATAAATCCATTATGTTCACGAAAAGCTCCTGGCGTTTACGAGTTTTTTTTTTACAAGTCTTTAATTGCTTTAGGTCATTTCAAACTGTCTCTCACTTCTGAAAAACATAGAAATTTAAAATTCTGTGTATAATAATGAGGCATTGAGCAGCTAGCCTTTTTCAATTTGAAACCAACTTCTGGCACATTGAATACTGCACTTGATCTTAGCCAAAAGGCCTGAGAGGATACACATTGAACACCGCAGGAATAAGCTTGGTACTTCCTTTTATGATTCTCCCAAAAGAGTGCATTTTCGTCTCTCCAGACCCCTTCCCCTCCCCATTCACTTATGGGAATGTCCTAGTGCTACTATTACTTTAGATGGCATCTCCCCGAACTTGAGGAAACAGCTTGAAAAAGGCCTAAGTTATAAGAAATGAATAAGTCATTGAGGACGATCCTTTGGCTACATTTTATCCGGCGTGATTAAGTAAGGAGTTTGCAAATTCTATGTATCATCAAATTATTGTTTATTTCAGTCTCCACCAGCATTTATGCCGACATGGCAAGTATGCCATTTGCGTACCTAAAAAAATATTTTTTAGAGAAAAATAAAAACTGCTATTTAGAATACAACAAAAATATTTTCTGCAATGATAAAAAAAATAAAAATAAAATAGAAAATTTCTGATTCTTTTGTTTAAAATTAAAAAAAAAAAACTTGTTTTTCAATCTTTCGTTTTAAATTAATAAACAAATCTATTAGGCAGTAATCTTCTCTAAACTAAAAAACTGGAATTATTATTTGGTAGATTTGTTTATTAATTTAAAACGAAAGATTGAAAAACAAGTTTTTTTTTTTTAATTTTAAACAAAAGAATCAGAAATTTTCTATTTTATTTTTATTTTTTTTATCATTGCAGAAAATATTTTTGTTGTATTCTAAATAGCAGTTTTTATTTTTCTCTAAAAAATATTTTTTTAGGTACGCAAATGGCATACTTGCCATGTCGGCATAAATGCTGGTGGAGACTGAAATAAACAATAATTTGATGATACATAGAATTTGCAAACTCCTTACTTAATCACGCCGGATAAAATGTAGCCAAAGGATCGTCCTCAATGACTTATTCATTTCTTATAACTTAGGCCTTTTTCAAGCTGTTTCCTCAAGTTCGGGGAGATGCCATCTAAAGTAATAGTAGCACTAGGACATTCCCATAAGTGAATGGGGAGGGGAAGGGGTCTGGAGAGACGAAAATGCACTCTTTTGGGAGAATCATAAAAGGAAGTACCAAGCTTATTCCTGCGGTGTTCAATGTGTATCCTCTCAGGCCTTTTGGCTAAGATCAAGTGCAGTATTCAATGTGCCAGAAGTTGGTTTCAAATTGAAAAAGGCTAGCTGCTCAATGCCTCATTATTATACACAGAATTTTAAATTTCTATGTTTTTCAGAAGTGAGAGACAGTTTGAAATGACCTAAAGCAATTAAAGACTTGTAAAAAAAAAACTCGTAAACGCCAGGAGCTTTTCGTGAACATAATGGATTTATAAGTATGATAGAAAGTGATAAGCCACTGAGGACGATCATTCGACTAAACTCTATCCAGCATGATTAAATAAGGGGCTCTCAACGCTGAGGGCGGCTTCAAAAGTGTTAAAATTTTAGCAGTCCTTAACTACATCACAAAGCATCTAGCAATGTTTAGAGAGATTGAAATATAACATTTCGACATAAAGTATACGAAGCACGAATTTTGATTTATGCCGTAAGGACTTACAAATAAGGCTAAATATAGTTACGATGCATTCATTTATGCAAAAGATTAATCAATTGAGGAGGAAACAAAGAGAAATTGAGTTTTCACAAAGGTATTCATAGTTATCGTGGCAAGAGTCGAGCTGTTGCCTTTGAAACAGCCAATTCTCTCTTCTCTTGAAAGCCTGTGTCTGTCTGTTTCATAGTTCGTTCAAATTACCTGTTGTTATATACTGACCCGAAATAAAAAATAGCGCAGTTTTTTGTCAATCAAACTTAGCAACAAAGGTATCATGACCCAAGAGCCAAGATGATATTTAAACGCACTCAGTTTTGTGTTGATGATTTGTTGAGATGTTTATTTCAAGATAATATAAACCGAAAGAAATCAATAATGAGTATGACCGCCTTTGGCATCAATGACAGCTTGGTATTGGTTGGTCATATTGTGTAGTAGTATGAATGTAATCGGAAGATAGTAGGGGAGGTATTCAACTACCTCCTCGTATCCGTGCAAGTATTTTACATATACTGGCTCATATCTGTTACTAATTCATCTCCCTTCTATTCTCTGCTCTTTCTTATAATCTAATGTAAGTAACAATATAAATATTACTTATGTATCTCATGCTCTGTTTGATTTCTAGAACTTGATTTTTGCTTATTTAACACGAATCTTTTCTTCAATAAAGTGTATGTCTCACCCACAGCAAAAATAACTAGCTTAGATAACCAATAGGTTCATTAGCTTATTTATGCTATACATACTGAATAGTTTGTTATATGAACCGATCATGTTTAAAAGTTATCTGTTTAAAGCTTTTGATGACAAAAAAAAAAACGAGTCTCGATAATTGTTTATAAAGGTTTGAAAAATGTACATTGAGGCTCGGTTTCTGTCTCTGTCTCCAAAATTTTTGAGCAGATAGCTTTCAAAAACCTCGCTATTTAAAAATGGAAGCACTATAACTTGATTTTCATAACAATAAGCCGCTCGATTGAAATCCATAGCACAGGTCTTATCTAGAAAACAAATGACAGAATTGTGCACTTTTCCAAAAATTCGTCCTGCAAGAGTTGTTCATGGGACTAGATTGACTTGTTGGTATTAGTCATATCAATAGACTGTTTTGACATGCATTATGATGCGATTGTAGTTAATACACGCTAGATCCAGTAATAGAGTCATTTTTAATGCATAGTTCATAAGCAAATGTGAGAAGAAACCTTGATCAAAAATACGTCAAGTATGAAGCTTCTGTAAGTCACAATTATAGATGCTATTTTTCTCAGCCCTTATCTCTTCCAATGTAGTGAAACGATGAACAATATACTTTCTTTGATTGAATGAAACAAGAAAAAGACTTTTATCTCAATATGGACTATACTTGTTTATTTCTTTAGCAGGATTATATATGTCAATGGAACACTTCTTTCCAATTAATCAAAGACAAATAATAGTAAGATAGGAAATCCAGTTATGGCATTGTCGTTTTATTAGTTTATTCTCAGGCACTATTGGTTCATGCGAAGAACACAAAGTCTTTTATTTACAAGCAAATCAAGCACTTGTTTATTTGTTTGTTGAAAAGTGTGGGAAGTTGAATGCATTTTCAGAAAATAACCAGGCAAAAAGCGGGAAGAAAAACGTGACTACTGTTTCTTTTTTTTTTTTCATATAAAGTAGCCCTTAATTGCAAATTCTTTTTTGTTTTCTTGTCTTATCAATCACCTTTTATCTAATTTTTTTATTGAAATGCCATTCAATAAAAGACCAGCTGATGGGATTGATATTCCAGAAGACGAAGGTATCAATAGCTTTGATGATACCCCATACTTTGATTATCATCATATGAAGGCTATTGAGAATGTAAGTTGATTTGACGAACAAAATTTTTTATATTCATTTTATCAGCATGATAGCAAATACCTTTGTCAAAGCCTTTCCGTGTCCCCCGCAGCACATCATTTATCTGAGTTACACTTGAATGATCAAGAATTCACTTTACCTCAAGTTCCTGAGGATTCCGACCTTGGCAAGGCATCTATTCCTCATGCAGCAGATCCAAAAGCCAAGTTTGAAGTAAGAGGTAAGAGAGTATTGTTTGTTTCAATAGCTAATGTTGGCCTCAGATGATGCTATTACTGCTGAGCTTCGCGAGCTCTATGGGGCACTTCAAAAATGTCTTGATTTGCGTGAAAAGTACATTGAGTTCTCTAGTCAACGCTTAATGGATGATCCTCGTAATCAAGATGATTGGGAAATCTACCCTGCCCCTCCTCCCAGATCGTGGCCCTTACCTCCACCTGAAGAACTTGAGCGTCGCAAGGCTAAGGAAAAGGCACGTGAAGCAGATCCTGTTGCTGCTGTAGGATCTGACTTTGACTTTGCTCAATGCAAGATTCCTGGTCCTCATGTATACCAGTATGGCATTGGAGCAGATGGCTACTATCAAGTGTATAGAAACGAGTTGGATCAAACTGTAAACCAGCCCATTCACCAATTCCCTTCGCCTAGAGATTTTTATAATGATATGGAGTTTGTTTTGGGTGTCATTAGTGATGGCCCTGCCAAGAGTTTTGCATTCCGTCGTCTTCGTTACTTGGATAGTAAATGGCAAATGTACATCTTGCTGAACGAATTCCAAGAGTTGGCTGACTCCAAGTGTACACCTCATCGTGATTTCTACAACGTCAGAAAAGTCGATACCCACGTTCACCATTCCAGCAGCATGAATCAAAAGCACTTGTTACGTTTCATCAAATCCAAAATGAAGAAAAATCCTGACGATGTTGTTATTTATCGTGATAGCCACCACTTGACACTGAAGGGTGTATTCGAAAGTTTGGGATTGACTGCTTATGACCTTAGTATTGATACTTTGGACATGCATGCACACAAAGACTCTTTCCATAGATTTGACAAGTTCAACTTGAAGTACAATCCTATTGGTGAAAGTAGATTGAGAGAAATTTTTATGAAAACCGATAACTACATTCAGGGCAGATACCTCGCTGAAATTACAAAGGAAGTTGTTTCTGATTTGGAATCATCGAAGTACCAAATGGTAGAATACCGTGTCTCAATTTATGGTAGATCTATTGATGAATGGGACAAGTTGGCTAAGTGGGTTGTCAACAACAAGTTGTTTTCTTCTAACGTGCGCTGGCTGGTTCAAGTGCCTCGTCTTTACAACATCTACAAGGCATCCAACGCTGTTTCTAACTTTCAGGATCTTATTACCAACATTTTCCAACCTTTATTTGATGTTACTCAAGATCCTTCCCGTCATCCTGAACTCCACGTCTTCCTTCAGCGCGTGATTGGTTTTGATACTGTCGATGATGAATCGAAGCCCGAAAAGCCCATTTATAAGGACTTCCCTCTTCCTAAAGATTGGACTTCTAACGCCAACCCACCTTACAGTTACTATTTGTACTACTTGTACGTCAATATTGCTTCTCTCAACAAATGGAGAAAGACACGTGGGTTTAACACTTTGGTTTTGAGACCTCACTGTGGTGAGGCTGGTGATACTGACCACTTGACGGCTGCTTTCTTGACCTCTTATGGTATTAGTCACGGTATTTTGCTTCGTAAGGTGCCTGCTCTCCAATACCTATACTATCTTGCTCAAATAGGTATTGCCATGTCACCACTCTCTAACAATGCCTTGTTTTTGACATACGAGCGTAATCCTTTGCCTCAGTTCTTCCAACGTGGTCTCAACATTTCTTTATCCACTGATGATCCATTACAATTCCACTTTACTAAGGAACCTTTGATCGAAGAATACAGTGTGGCTGCCCAAATCTGGAAATTCTCTGCTACTGATATGTGTGAATTGGCTCGTAACTCTGTCATTCAATCTGGTTGGGAAAACAAGATCAAGAAGCACTGGATTGGCGAGGAATGGTACAAATCTGGTATTAATGGCAATGATATGCAAAGAACTAACGTGCCTGATATTCGTGTTGGCTTCCGTTACGAGACATTGAAAGAAGAACTAGATGCTCTTCGCCGTTATGGAAATGAAGCTCAAGAAGAGCCTGTCAGCAAACAGGACTTTGTAGGTGTTGCTGGACTCGCTGAAAACCCAACTGTTCAACACCATTTGAATAATGGTTTTAAGGGCAACTCCGATAATCAAATGGTTTCCTTCCCTGGCGCTGCTCTTGTTGCCGAGCGCGCCAAACTTAGATCTGGTCATTAATGTAAATACAAACATGAAATAAAAATTGGTCTTGCAATGATATTCTATTTAAACCTGAGAAAGTATTTAGAGGCAGGACAATACACGCTAAAGCAAGTGACAATAAAACAGAGTGGATATTAAAGCAGACGGAGTGTTTTCTCTCCCTCCCCCCTTTTTTCCCTTTTTTCGTTGTAATATTTAAATGCCACCAGCCTCAAAACCACTTGCAACAGCACCACCGCCAAGTGGTATACCTGACACCTTTATAATAGATGAACAAAAGATCCAGCCTAGCGAGAATATCGAAAAACAAGAGCTGTATGTCTTGCAGTGGTTAGCCCAAGTTGAACGCGAAAGTAAAACTATTCAAGTTGTGAGTGAGAAGCACCCACCTTTATAAACACTTCTGACTATCCTGCTTTTTTAGGATATTTTAAAGAAGGCACAGCCAGTTATTGAGAAGACTTTATTCCGTCTCATATCACTTGCTACAGCTAAGCCGCGAAGACCTATTCGTTTTCTGATCGGAAGATGTTATGTTATACTTTATACTCGAGGCGATACACGATCACTATTTGATACAGTCACCGCACTACATAGTCTGATAAGTGCAAACAAGAACATTGACAAGGAGACTAGAATGTAAGAAAAAAAGAGAAAAGAGTAATAGTTTTTGATTTATTTATATTTCTCGGCATAGTGCTGCTATAGCAACAACAGGCGCTATCATGGGCACTTCCGGAGGAAAGGTAACTTGGCCATTTTGAAAAACAAAGCTTATTGATTGGTTAGATTTTGTCATTGTTTGCGGAAACAGCTACGCTTTTTCTAAAAGTCATTAAAAGCAGCAGTGTAAGTGAGATAGAGGACATATAACTATGCTGATCCACCACTAGAATCCACTTTTACTAAGATTAGAGACAATTACCGCATGTACTTTATTGTTAAAAGGGGCAGGAAAGGCAGCTACGGATCAGATTTTGAAGGATTTGATGAAACAGTTGAAGAACGGCTTAACAGATAAAGCATTGGTGATGAGGATCACTTGTGCACAAGTGAGTAATGCAAAAAAAAAAAAAAAAAAAAAAAAAAAAAAAACAAAGGCGAGCACGTGCTCATATCCATATAGTGTTTACAAGCTGTCATTCAGCATGCTACGCAAACATTTTCGCAACATGATGTAGAGGGCTTATTACAAAACTGTTTTAAAGCATTTGAAAACTCGACTTTTCCAGTTCGTAAAGCAATTGCATCTGTCTGCGCAACATTACTCGTATTCACTCAATCACAAGCAACTGTGGATCCCAACAAACCCAACCTGAGACATGCAGTGACAGGAGAGACAACAAAGAAATCAGACGATCCAAAAAGTGTAACACTCATGTTGATAGAAGAAATGCTCTCACAACTTTCAACTTGTTACAATAGACTCAATGCTTCACGAGAACTCAAAACAGGCATTATCGAAACATATGCTACTTTATTCGTTTTACTGGGTACCGAATTTGTCGAAGCCAACTATAGCACTATTTCCAAGCATGTTTTATGCGAAATTTTAGATATAGGAAAGCCAGCTACTGCTTCAGACGGAGCCTTTTTAAGGTCTCAAGTGAACTTTTTATTGCATAATACTATTGGAAAGCAGCTATTAAGTGAACAGGGTCAATCAAATGCGATTCGGTTGTTGGTTAACAATTGGATCAAGAAATGGCCACCGCTTATGGCAAATCAAAGTGCACCCAACAAAGATATTTTGATTTGTGTTACAAACTTGGTGTCTGAGTTGCTCACCGAACTGGAAGGAGCTGCCAATTCAGTGCAGGTAAAAACCCGCCATACAACTTTATTTTTCTTTTCCTAATGCAGTTTTTTTAGGACATATTAGTAGAACCGTTATTCGTTTTATTGACACATTCCAGCTTTTCAGTTCAAATGGCAGCAGTATGGGCTATCCGTTGCCTGTGCAACTCTGTACCAACCAACCTGCTTTACCTTTTGCCCAAATCTTTGAATTTGTTGGAGAAAAATCTAAGCAATCTAACAAATCAAACTACCACTGCCAAAGTCTTTCAAAGAACAATTGCCTACTCATACACTGTTGCAGCTATCATGAGCGTCTTTCCGTCGCATCCTATCTACACTTCCTTCGAATTGAGTGCAAGAGCCATGTCATTGGCAAGCCAACTCGTCAAGAATGCCAATAAAGATCCTAAGATTGCCAGTGTTCAAATTCAAGCTGCTTGGACACTGGTTGGATCTGTCATGTGTCTCGGTCCCAATCTCGTTAAAATACACTTACCACAACTACTATTGTTATGGAAAAGCACACTACCAAAACCTACTGGAAAAGAAGCAAACACTATCCGCTCAGAACAGGAGTGGTCCTTCTTATTTCATACTCGAGAATGTATCATTGGCTCCATCTATAGTTTTTTGGTACACAACAATCAATCGCTTGTTACTCTTGATATTGCCAAAAGAATTACAGCTTTACTCAACAACACATTGGCCTTTTTGGCTACTGCGCCCAACAATTTTGCTTCTACTATCAGTTCGCCTTGTACGCCTTATGAGACCAGACTAGTTGATCAATTCTATTGCTTAAGAAGACGCATCTTTCAATGCTTTATTACTATCCGACCCCTTCTATCTACTTATGAGTCTTCTCTTAGTAGTTTGTTAAGAGGCTCCTTGTCTGTGTTTACTGAACCTGAAAAAATATCCCCTTCTTCTGGTGCACCTCAGCAAGTGACAGCTACTATTCCTGGACAGTTTGTAAGTGTATGGAATACTGCTGACGGACATGGTTATGGTGTAACAAGCAAAATGCAAGGCTATCGTGTTGAAGTGGCTTCTGAGAGCGACGATAGCGAAGAACCAAGAGGCAAAGAATGGATGACAAAAGATCGATTTGAACGCATTGAAGAGCTTTTAGAACGGCCCATTATTGGGTCTTTGGAATTAGATCCATTCCATGCTTATACAAACTTTATAGAGCAAAAATCGCTAAAACGACAACAATCACAGCCAAAGAGAAAAACATTCATACCTCGACCTGTTTCGCCATCCACTTCATATATTGATGCAAGTATTGAACTATTTGCTACCCTCTTTACAAATCAACCTGCTCCTGTTCAAGAGTCAACGTTTGAGCTTATGCTCAAGATTGTCAGGGATCCAAAACTGGAAAAAAACTCTCCCAAACGCGCTGCAGTACTTGTAAACATTGTTGTTGCTTTACTAGGCGCATTTAAAAATATCATGGCTTTTGATAAAAAGAGAAAAGGTGAAATAATTCCATTTAGCCCTCGAGCAACACAGCTTGTTCAGGAGATTTTAATGGAAGTTGTTATTCATCCTGATCCCTATCTAAGAAACGCTGCTAGCGAAACTATTGGCCGTCTCACCTCAATTGTTGGTGGCTCATTTGTTGCCGCACAAATGCAGCTTTTAGTTGACCTTGTTGTTTCCAATCGTGATCCTGACGTGCGTGCTGGTTCTGCTTTAGCTATTGGCTATATCTATAGCCATGTAGGCGGTATGGCTGCTGCTGCTCATTTGAAGACTATTGTAGGCATTCTCTTGTCGTTGAGTAGTGACCCGCATCCTGTTGTTCATGCATGGGCTTTAGAAGCTATGGCCATGACTGTCAGCGCTGCTGGTCTCATGTTTTCGGGCTATGTCAACAGCACGCTTGGTATGGTTGCCAAGCTCTATTTGAGTGAGACACATGAGCCTGGTAGTGGTTCTATTGCTGTGACGAATGCAGGCATGTCTGTTGGCTTCACTGCTTATCAAGAATTTGGACGTATTATCTATGAATTGATTGGTACGCTAGGCCCTGAACTCCAAGCTTCCTCCAAAGTAAGAGAGCTTTGTCTAAACATGGTAGAAGAACTCAAATTGGAGCCTGATGAACGTGTTAATGTGGAAGCCATTCGATGTATTCAGCACTTTCTGATGTTCGCACCTAGATATCTAGACATAAAAGAATTAGTTCCCTACCTTCAAAACCAAATAACTAGTATCCATTTACCACTTAAAAAGGCTGCAGTAACATGCCTTTATCAACTCGTACAGCGCGATTCAGAGCTCGTCTTCAAGGCAGCTCAACCAGGTCTTGATAGCGAATTGTTTAAGATGCTTGATACTGACCCTCAGCTATCGGATGTCAAGAATGTTATCAAGAACTGGTTACAAGAAACAGCAATAGCCGAACCGTCTATTTGGGTCAATATTACAAAGAGAATTGTCACCGGTGCAAGTGGGAAGATAAGCGACCAAGCTGTTCCTGTAGCTCTTGCACAAAGTGAAGAGGACGAAGAGGAAGACTTTGGTGACGATGATGCTGATGGTTTTGTTGATGAAGATAATGCTGATATCACAACAACAGTAGCTGATGCATCTGGTATGACATCCAAATTGTCTGTTACCGTTGAAATACCTCCACGTTGGCGCACTCAATTGTTTGCACTCGAATGCCTTCAGCAAACCATCAAGATGATTTCTGCTAGTGGTACAAGAGAGCATTTTGATTTGATTTTAGCGCGCCGTCGTAGACAGCAAGCAGGTATTGGTGATTTTTTGGTTTTTCGTGTACCTGATTTAATTCGATTGTCTTTCACTGCTGCTACTGCTCATGTCAATGAGTTAAGGTTGGCCGGTATCTATTTATTGCAAATGGTTATTGAAAAATTCTCCAATACGCTGGATGCAGATTTAGAAGACATGTTATTATTAGAACAGTATTCAGCACAAATTGGTGCCGCTCTTACACCTGCATTTGGCGCTGACTCTTCGTCTGAAATTGTCTCTGCTGCTGTTAAAGTGTGTGCCATCTATGTAGGTAGTGGTATTGTTAAGGATCTGTACCAGTTAGGGCGTGTTTTGAAATTATTGACTTCTGCCTTGGACCGATGCAAAGGAGAATCTAAATTGACTGGTGTTGGTGAAGTCAAGGACCTTAGTTCCCATGCCTCTGTCATGGTCAAACTATCTGTCTTGAATGCTTGGGCAGAACTTCAAGTGGCTAGCCAAAAACAAACCTACTTGAAGCAAGTGCTTCAACCCAATTTGGCTGTATTGAGTCCTATGTGGCTCCGAGCCCTTCAAGACTATGCTCGCATTCGTCTTGAATCTGATATTGTTGCTCTGTCCAGCCGTACAACAGATCGTATTCAAGCTTCATCCAATAGTGGTATTGATTCTATGTATTCTGCTGCTACAAAAGATGTCACCTTGCCTTATTACAAAAAATCTTGGTTAAAAATCATGGAAGCTGTAGCTACATTGATTGAAACACAGGCGCCTTCCATGTTGGAGGCTATCAATAGTAATCCAGATTCAGAAAAATCAAGTGACCACCCATCTAACTTGTTTTATGTCTTGTTTGGTCTCTGTATTGAAAGCCTTTCACGCATCTCAAGTTCGAGTAGCAGCAAGTATGACAACACAGCAATCCCCATTTGTTTACATGCGCTCAAAACGTTCATTCATCCTTATTTGGGAGGAAAACAATTTGTTCCAAAAGCAGTATTCCTTGAGTTGATGAATGTTTTCGATAGATTAGTACAGACAGAAGGATATCATATTCAGCTTATCATTATCGAGATCATTCAAAAACTCATTCAAAGCTATGGTTCTCATTATCTTTGTAATGATTTAGAAGAAGAAACAGATTATCATATCATGGATGTTACACTTGATCCAGATGCTTTTCCTGCTACTGCCAAACTGTATTACATGTTACGATTATTGACTAATGTGTTTCTTCAAAACATTCCAAGATTATCTAACAAGCCTATCTCAGCCCGTCGATCAGGCCAAGGTTCTCAAGAAAGCCTTTTTTCACTTCTAGGCCTCTCATTAGATACATTGGCACTTGTTGTAGGCATCACACCTAAAAGCTATAAGGTAGACTTGTTAGCCATTTGTTTTTATGTATTTAGTCAAATTCTGATCGAGAAAAAATACGAAACAACTTTGGCTCCGCATGTTTTGATCTCTCTCAAAACGGTCTTTCATAACTTTGAGAAGAATTTGACTCCGGATGACATTCATTCTCTGGCAAGGATTATTTGTGCGACTATCCATATTCTTTTAGATGATTTTTATAGGCAAGTATTAGGAAAAGCATTCAAAAGACAGTTTCTGACGTATTTCATAGTGATAGCATTTCTGTTGCCTTACAAAAGAATAGGCTTCTTGCTGTCGTTTTGATCATGACAGGTTGCCCTCAAGCCGTTTTAAGAGATCAAGAGGGTAGAATCACTTTTGAGAAAGTTTTGTTAAAGTCTTTAGACTCAGATGATATTGAGGTATGTCTCAAAAGATACATTAACATGCACTTTCTTACTTAATTTGCATAGCTCTCTATGACAGCCCATCAATGCCTCCGCAGTTTTATCAGTCTTCCAGAAAAAAAGAATACCGTGCCCGCACTTGCTAGCTTGGGTCAAACTATTGTCAATTCAACTCTTTCTTTTGTTATACCTCGAATCCTTCAAGTCAAAAACAAAAAGAATCATATGCCCGAAAGTGAGCTGAGTTCCCTTAATGAAGATACCATTACTCTACTCTCTTTGACAAGCGGGGTTCAGGAAGAACAAAGTAAGTCATAGTTTATTTCTTTGTTCATTACTCAATATTTTGTAGAGCATATGGTGCTTGGCATTGTACTGCCTACACTGACACATTTACTCGACGAACCACCTTATAGTGGATATGAGACTAAGGTTCATGAGGCAACTTTGGTGCATTTGTTAGCAATTGCAACAAGTATGCCAGCTGTCTTTCGGGAAACTGTTGCAAAGCTTCCGAATAATGTGAGAGATAAATTGGAATCCGCTATGCGTTACAGCATTTTAGCAGCTCAAGAGAAACAACAAAGGCAACAGCAAAAGGAGCAGCAACAAAGAGCTGCTTATGAAGATAGCAAACAACCTACCATTACTCTCAAAATGGATTTTAGCAATTTTGGGTAATATTTTTTTGTATTATATAAAGGCTCTTTTTTCTACACAGAAATGATTATGTAAGTTTGTGCCTGAATGCAAGCAAGTCTAGATTATGTCTTATAGAAATAAAAAGAAAAAAAAGGGGGGGAATATATTTTGTTGCACAAGCAAGTGCTCATATGAACAAAACGGCGTTAATTTTAAACGAAGAGGATTGTTTCGCTTCTTCAAAAATCTGATACGATAATAAAGTATCCACCCCTGAATTAACATGTTTCAACATTTATTGGTTTTAATAACGAAAGCTTTTTGATATTCATCTTGTTTTTTGTTGAAAAAGATTGCGTCTCTATCGGAAAAGAGAAAATTCTTTTGTACCGATAAAGAACAAAAAAGAAAACTTCTCTCGGCATATCTGATCCATCAGTAAACATTTCACAAGCAAAATGATTGGTTAACGTGGATGTCATGATTTGATAATAAGATTGGTACCTGAAATCCCGCCTATTTTTTTATAATCGAGGCCACAAACTCCTGGAAAAAAGTCAATCATATTCTTCCTTTTAAACTCCCCTCACCATTTTCGAGTTTAAAAAAAAACGCCTTCATTCAGGTGAGAACCTCTAGTCTATGCAAGCTTCGGTAAAGAATTCTTAGCTTTCATTAAGGAGCTTCCAGCTAGCGCCTACTACAAGCTGCTAATCTGATACTGATATTTTAATTCACACTTTCATATGAACTAGAACACCTTGATCAATAGCCTTCTATGTAGAAAACGAGTCGAGTTTAGTACTGGCAACAGCAAGAAGTATTGCTATCCATCTCAAAGCTTTAATTCATTTGTAGTTGATAAATTACAGGTTTCTTTGTGATGATAAACAAACCCGTTTATTGTTTCAAATGTAGTCAATTGATAAAACACTTTTAATGTATAAATACTGTTTATTTCTTCTCTACTTATTTTTTTTCCTTTAATATTTCCCTCGATAGCTATTCTCAATACGGCAAGTCCCTAAAAATGGACATTTTTTGGAGTGGATAGAGTGTTTCTTTGAAACAATAACTGAAGAAGAATATGACTGCGAAGTTAATAGAAAGCGTGTAGGAAAAAAGTTACGGCGACTATTTTTTTTTTTAAAAAAAATTATATAGATGCCATTTTCTTCAACTCCCCCTTTTTTTTTCTTCTTTCAAATTATAAACAAAAAAAAATCAAAATAAAAAGAATCTGAAAAAATGCCTACAGTGCCTGCTACAACACATATATTAAAGAAAGTACGCTCAACAAGACCGAAAGTATTTCAATGTACTGGTTATGGAGATTGTCGAATGGTATTCACCCGTTCAGAACATTTAGCAAGACACACTCGGTAAGCATATACATTTGTACAATCATGAAGTCACCATGAACTAATCATTATAATTCTTTTGTTTAGTAAACATACAGGAGAGGTAAAATATACAATTATATCATTGAGCGTATCAACTCATATTTTCTATAGAAACCTTACTTGTGCATAATGCCTGGTTGCACTCGCAAGTTCAGTAGGTTCGATAATATGATGCAACATACGCAAACTCATAAATTGGCGCGTACCAAGACAAAGGGGTCCAAATATGAGCCAGAAAGTACACCGGAATTCGCCTCTTTGAATGACTCAAGCGATGAAGGATCACAAAAATGTGAAAAGATGTCGTTGAGTCAATTATGCCAAACATCTATTTCTTCACCACCATTACTCAAAGAACTTCATTTGACTCAAGATGAATTTGAAGCTTTACAAGGATTTGGAAGATTTAAACACACGCCAATCTTCATCGATTCTTTTCGAGATTTAGCCTCTGTTGTTTACATTGAGCCTAATCCAATTCGAAACTAGTCAGCTCTTTTTTTTTTTGCCTTTTTACTTTGACAGTAAAGGAAATTTCAACACATCCATACGCATTTTCTCACCCATGCTACGCACCTATGAAACTTTGTTTCCTCATACAAAAACCCCTTGGAGGGCTATATGATTCATTTTTCACATAACTACATTCAATACTTTTTTCTCTTTTCATTTGTAATCTTTTAATAAAAAAATTTTCCTGTCATTATGATATATCTAAAAAAAATTTTTTTTTTTCTTTTCATGATCCAGACCCCGAACAATGTACATCTTTGTCACTTATGAAAATTACAATCCCATCATGAAAAAGTCGCATCTTATTGTTTTCGTAAAAACAAGATCTTTTTGCCATTTGTAGTAACTGTCGTTTTTTTTTTTTTTTTTTTTTTGTTCCTGAATTTAATTGTATCAAAACAATGCGTTCATTTACCGCTCACGTTATTTAGCACACACAAAAAAGGTTCCAAGAAAATGATTAAATCACCGACTAAAAAACCCTAAAAATGCATTGATAATTTTCAATGACGTTTCGGACTTGTTCTTTTTCAGAGCTTCTTTATAGTTTACCCCTGAATTATTTTAAATTTCATTCGCCATTGAAAAATAGAAAATGAAATTCTAACGTCATTTAGCGTGTGCATCAAGAGGAGATAGAAACATTGTTTTTTGGACCTGCTAAACAAAGAAATTTGCTGTGCACCTACACTCGATATCATATGAGCCATTCTTTTCTATCGTGCTATAAAACACTCGATTGTCCTCCCGCCACCTTTCCCTCTGTCAAGGTCTAGTTCCTGGAAGAAAGACGGCTGATCTATATACTCTAGACTACGGCTCTTTTAGTGCACGTACATATCTTTTGAACTTTAATTGCTGCTTTTGATGTTACTGCTACACGAATAAGCTGCCCCTTCCGCTCCTCCCCTTTCTTTCTCTTTTTGGTTTACCTACACACCTAAAAGAAAAGTTTCAGGCAGACATTATTTTGCAAGGCCAATGCTTTTTTATTTTCATTAAATAAATGATTTTTGCTACAAATGCAATGCAAAGAAATAGATCTAAGCCAATATACATTTAGAATTAATTCGAAAAAAAATTCATTTCAACTACTCCGTTATCGTGGTTACGCAAATCGTCATGACACCGTGATTTTTACGTACAGTCAATCGAACGATTTTGTCATGTTGTAACAAACAACAAAGAAATACAATAATTTACTTACCTAGTAGGCAACAAGTTAATTGACTAAAGTTTCATGTGCCAAGGTTTTCCCTTGATCACTCAAAAGCATTAAGATTGATTCCCAATGGCGATGTGAGGTTGCTCCTCATTTCTGCTCATAATAGTTGTATGTGAATAGTTCGATTTCGATGATTATTTTTTTATTTTCGGATACAAACGTCTGCATATATACTAAGGCAATTTATACTATCTATACATTATCAAAGGTACAAATGATAAGGTTAATATTTCTTATGCATGAATTTCTTCCAGGGGCGCAGTTGTGAACCTAAAACAGAGAGAATGAGGAGGCGGAATGAACAATTTACTCGTGTAGCAGTAACATCAAAAGATATGTACGTGCACTAAAAGAGCCGTAGTCTAGAGTATATAGATCAGCCGTCTTTCTTCCAGGAACTAGACCTTGACAGAGGGAAAGGTGGCGGGAGGACAATCGAGTGTTTTATAGCACGATAGAAAAGAATGGCTCATATGATATCGAGTGTAGGTGCACAGCAAATTTCTTTGTTTAGCAGGCCTAAAGAGGAAATCTAAACGTGGTGGGGCCCTTAGGATATTAAGAGCCATTTTATGATGATTGGATAGACCCATGTATTCGTGTTACATCTTACATCTTACAATCTGTAATTGACAACTCATTACATGAAAGAAAGTGGATATATTGTCTTACAAAACATTCATTAACAGAAAACATTTAATTGTAAAATAAATGAATACAAAGTCTTTTTATTTTAGATTCTACAGGTATATTTCAGATTAAAAGTGATACAGTAACAACTTAAAAAGAAGAGCACAGTTTGAAGAAGGCTTGAAGCATAAATAAAAAAAAGTACTAAAGACTTTCTGCTATGCTAAATATACTAAAGTAGTCGCTCCTATAGAACAAGCTTTTTCTTTTGCCAATTAATGAGTCATCCGTTACTTATTAGTTTCTTGAAATGCTGATTTCCAATATATTCAACTATTTAAATATCTCTAATCAGCATATGAAAAAAACGTTTACTTCTCTTGACCCACTTCCTTTTGTTGCTTCATCCTTAACCACAGTTCATTTTTGACTTTGATTCAAAAAATCATCTTGTTTCTATTTGTGAATAGAATAGTGTACTAAGCTGTCCAACAAATCTCTCCTTAGCTTCTTTAAAAGACAACTTGTTTATAAATAGTAGAAGTTACACTTCTGAGGATGACACTTCTTTCCATCTTTGGGTTAATTTTCCTCTTGATACGAATCTCTACTCTATTTAATATCATGAATATATTGCAACATTTGAGTAGCAGAGACCATGTACCTAGATAATGAAAAAGAGAAATAAAGGACATATCATAGAACTGCAATTCTGACAACGATAACTCTGGTATATAGACCGTTTAATACTGCCAAGTTGAATAAAGTATCTTATTTTTTTTTACCGGTACAAAGGATATAAAAGATTTATTTTATTAAGGTTTTGTAAAATGGAAAATATTAAAATGTAAAGAGATAATTTATAAATGATTTTAAAAGTATTAAGTTAATAAGTTCCCTTGATTTGTTCGCTAACATTGGCTTCTTTGGGAGGAAGTTCACCAGATAATTCTTCCAAGGATTTGCCCTTAGTTTCAGGAATCAATAAGGATGATGCGAGACCAGTCAACATGAAAAGGGCGAAGATTTCCAACAAGTGGTCGATCCAAGCATTAGAACCACCAATATCTTTCAAAAGGCCAAAACCGACTTGGGCAATGATAGAGCCAACCTTACCAGAGGCGGCAGAGATACCGTGAGCAGTTGATCTGTAACGAGTAGGGAAACATTCACCAGGAACAATGAAAGTAGTTGTGTTGGGACCAAAATTGAAGAACAATTGAGTGATGGTGTACAAGACAATGAAGAGAGCATAAGAGGTTTCTAAAATCTTGTGGTAACCAAAACCAAGAATGACAAACATGATTGTAAGCATAGCGAAACCCATGATTTGAATGGTTTTACGACCGAGCTTATCGATAGTGAAGACAGAAATCCAGTAACCAGGAACAGAACCAAGCAAATTGATAATGATGTTACCAACACAGACACGAAAAATAGCTTGGTAAGCATCAGAACCACCACCGAAACCAATGTTGGACAAGATGATAGAGTTGTTCAAACCAAGACCGTACCAGGCAACATCAAGAGCGAACCAAGAGTAAGCAGTACCAATCAAGATTTTGGCGTTTTCCCACTTGCCAAAGTGTCTGCAGAAATCAGACCAAGAAGCCTTGGGAGAGGCTTCAGTACGGGCAATAGCAATGTTGTCGGTGTAGTCACCAGCAGAAGCACCATTTTCGATAAAGGCCTTGGCATCTCGAATACCCTTTTCAACCTTTTGTTCAATGTCAATAGTGAAGCGAGGAGTTTCAGGGATAGTCAAACGGTAGTAAAGAGCACATAAACCGGGAATGGCACCAACACCAATAACAATACGCCAAACGTAGTCCAACTTGGTTTGATCGTCCTTGATGGCGTTTTGGAAAGCAGCAGTAGCGATCAAGCCAACAATACCAGCGGTCAATTGACCAATACCTTGCATGGCAAAGACAGCAGCCATCATGGCACCACGGCGTTTAGTAGTAGCAAATTCAGAAGTAATAACAGAAGAGAGAGGATAGTCACCACCAATACCAATACCGACAATCACACGCCAGAAGGTAATGACACCCCAGAAGGAAGCAGCAGGACCATTACCAGCAAGAGCTTGGCCGACAGTACCAATGATAATAATCATCAATTCAACACCATACATTCTCTTACGACCAACACGATCAGCAAGATAACCGAAACCAAGCTGACCAATGACAGTACCAACAGAACAAGAGACTTTGATGGCAGTATCTACATTGTAAGGGGTCTTATTGCCGTTGCTTTGGAAGTAAACCCAGCCAATCATGGAAGAAACCAAATTGATGGCAAAGATATCATAAGCATCAGTAAAGAAACCAATACCAGAGACAATACAAGCACGAATATGGAACCAGCCAAACTTGGCATTGTCAATCTGAAAAGAATAAGTAAATTGTGTCGATCACTATTAGTGTCATACCTCTTCTAAAGTAAGACGACGGCGCTCAAGAGCATCTAAAGCAAGTTGGTCGTGGCTAGCAGCCTCTTCCATATTAATGGTTTTATGTTCTGTATCAAAAGACATAAGAACAAGGATTAAGATGAAAAAGTGATGGGTAAATATGAGATGTTTGTATTCTATATATTTATACTTTTTTTTATATATACACAACAGGTTGTACAAATGTCTTTGGTGTGATTTGATATGCCATGCTTCCTCTAAAAAAACAGCCAATCGTTTGAAGCATGTGGTGTAGTTTATTGTTGATGTAAAAAGAAGGCGTATACAGAGCAAAACGAATGAGAGATCATGAGTAAGTTAAGGTGTCACAAACATGAATAGATCTAGCCAATCATAGTCAACATCAAGTCCACGCTTGGTTTTGTTTTGGTGTCTTTGTTGACTCATTGCATCGTGAAGCTTCTTTACATTCTATTTTGCTTTTTTGTCAAATGATTTCTTGTTACCAAAATCATAAAAAGATTCAAATAAATAGAAATTACCTACTTTTAAAGACATTTTCCTACAAACAGTAAAACGAAGATCAATAGAACAATGAGAAAAGACCTTTAGATCTGACAACGACCTAAAAGAACTATTTTCCTAAAAAAGTGCTATTTTATAAAGTTGTTTCTTATTGACAAAAAAGAAAACGGAACTCTTCGCGCTATAAAACCACATGTTAAAATTCTTTGGTTTATGAACACTGTTAATTCGCATTTGGTTCAATAATTTCGATCTTGTAGGCCAGAAAGTGCCTTTTTTGTCCTTTTTGATAGTATATCGCTTTATTTGTTGATGGGATTTGCTCTGTTGTAGCATAGACCATGCCTCTTTTTTTGTATACGTACAAATAAGTTACACAACCAAAATACCATATTTAGAACAATTCTAGCGCAGTTATTTCATTGCACAGACCTACTATAATACTGCATTTGAAGGCGTTGTTGCTTCTTACTTGATTATTTGTTTGTTTACAAAACAAACTCAATTTCAAAAAAAAAATAAAAGTCTTTCAAACATGCCATACAGTCATTGGTATGATTTCTATGACCCTGATAATTGTATTTTTATGGTTCACTAGTCATACAACTAAGAAGTTGCTTACTTTTGCCATTTCTGAGCATGCACAACTTTTTAAATAAGCACACGTATAAGTGGGTATACAGTACCCATCTTAATGAGGTCAACAGAATCAACACATTTTGGTAATTTTCCTGTATGACATCCATGAGTGTCACAACTCAAGATAAATTTTTCCTTTTCTTTTTACATACAACATTACGAGATACTTCAAGTGTTTCTTTGTTTTTTTTTTATTTATCTTGCAATCCAACACCTCAAAAGTGCAAAAAAGCAATGAAAACTGTTACACTGTTTAGTAGAAAGTGGTAGGACGCTTAGCAACGAAGAGAGCACGGTGCTTCTTGTCGACGTTGGCAATACGGTGAGGCAAGGGGAAGCTGAGCTTGGGGGTCAAGAGTTGCTTGATGTATTGACGACGGACATCAGCGTTGTTAACTTCGGCAACACGAATGATTTGAACAGATCTGAAACGAGCACGGTGACGAGCAGCCATGTCTTGGTCTATATAAAGCATGTAAGCTACACCTTCCTTTATATCCATCTCTCAACTTACAGCATTGTTCAACTGCTTCAACACGACGCAAGGCACGGTATTCTTTGTACATGTTGTGAGTACCGGAACGAGAATCGTAACGGATCCAGATACCGAAGTTCTTGATTTGTTCAGGACGCTTTTCGTGAATCTACAGAATGTATGTGAGTATCAATGCAACGCCTGTACTTTTTAGTCAGATACATACGACGTTGACAGAAACAATTTCACCAGCGGCCTTCTTGACCTTACGAAGCTTCTTCAAAAAGTACCAGAAACGGGACTTAGCGACAACAACGTTGGGGGCGAAAATGCGCATACGGAAGAGCTTGGGAGCGGCTTCCTGAGCGGAGGGGAGCTTGCGTCCAACCACCTGATATTCGGTGTACTATAGATGATTGAGTCTCTCTTATTCTCATTTTTATGCAAGCTGATTCAATAAAAGACGCGGAAATTGGAAGAGACATAATTTTGAAATATGTCGTATCTGAGTTCATCATATTTATCTTTTCATGAATGTTGATAGTAAACCATACTATCTGCTAGTGATGTTGTTGAATGATGAGATGGATGGATGTAAGTGGGTGGGTGGATGGATGGATGGAGATGTATACATCCATTTTGTATCATTGTCTTTTTTGTTTTTTGTTGTTGTTGTTGTATACTGTTATGTGTCTCAACCAATATCCACTTTTCTTCGATTGAATCACCTATGATTTTGTGCTCTTCAACTTACTCTAGCCATGTGCCTTGAAGGAAAGAAAGGAGGATTCTCGTATACACATCTCGCACTCTCTGATGACAGGCTTACCGGATCCACTTTGCGGCAATAGAATTAATCTCTCACTATAGACCAATCATTTCTCTATATTTCCGGATCATGTCCGGTCATTTAAGACATGCCATATATATATATATATATATTTATTATTCATTACGACAATCATGGAAGATTCTTTGTGAACCTCCTCTAGGATGATAGTATTCATATTCTTCATAGTCTTCATAATTGTCCTCTTCGTCAAAGTCCTTGTCTTTTTCAATGACCCAGCGGAACTTTTCATCGCTAAGCTTCACATAATTAAACTTGTCACAATCATCAGCATACTCATTGCCAATGCCCAAATACAGACCACCCACAGTAGAAATAGTAAAATCAAGATTGAGCTTGTAAATATTGTTATCATAACCAGTGCAACTTTGAGATTCGGGTCTTTCTTGACCACCGAGACAATAGCCTTTATAGTCACCATCCGTAATATATAAATGACAGTAGCCTTCATCTGTGCATCCTGTCAATTTAAAGTGAACGCCTTCACCCGAACTTTGAACTTTCAAATACTTGTCATAAGTCTCACTACATTTTCCTCCAAAAAATGGCTTCTTGTCATACTTGAAACCTAAAAGACCTGAAGTAGAAGGACTGCGAACTTGGAAACGAGCTGATGCTGAGCAAATGCCAGCAAGAGTCAAGGCAGATAATATGAGATTGGAGAAAAGCATGTTGATAAATAAATATATAAAAAAACACCTTTGCTTCAGATTGTATTTATAGTCAAGTTATAGCGAGGGTTTCGTAATGATGATTCGCATGAAAGTAATTTTTATTGGCTATACTGTCTTTTTCTCACGTATAGAATCTGTATATCGTACACACTATAAATGACGCCATGGATACTTAATCCCTCCCTCCACACATGATTTATTAAGATGTACAAAAGTTGATGACTGCAGCAGGCGCAATTCTAAATTCGCCATTCAAGACACTGTTTGATCTCGATAAAAGGTAAGCATACAAGTCCTTTAATGTCTTTGCATTCTATAGAATAGTGTGAATATCATAGTAAGGCTAGCCTACTTTACCTTGTCATCCTTGAAACCATGTGTCACAATAATATCGGCCCATTCGACCAGAATAGCGACTTGTGGGCCTAGTTTCAAGAGGACTTTAGGATCCATAAAGAATTCTGCCAAAAAGCGAATCATTTGTTCATGTATACGGCCATCCCAAGCAACTACTTTCAGCAAGAAACCTTCCATAATAACTTGTCTCCATTGCACTTCTGCTACACAGTTGATTAAATAACGTTTGATGATCATGTCAATCATGGTCTTGACAAAACTCAGATAGGTTTGTCGATAAATAGTAACATCCTCCTCTAGATCAGTAGGCCATGTTTGAAGCAGCAAGGGTAAGCATCGATGCAGTGTTCCAATATCGCCTTCAAATACACGTTCCACTAAATAATGCACAAACACTTTGCGAGCAATGTCTGTACGCTTTAATAAAGATAGAATGACATTGGATGTCTTTTCAGCCATAGGGTGTGTTCGATCGTGTCCTTCTTCCAGCATGACTTTGCAAATGGCATTCCAAAAGTTCTCTTTTAAGTCCTTATCTAGTTTGGGAACCTTTGCGTTGTTGGCTACTGCTTTAGGTGCATTTTCAGCCAGGTTGAGTAATTTGGCATTGTAGTTTGTAAGTTCTTCTAAATTGTCTCGTTGTAAATTATTCTCGACATTGTTTCTTAGCCATTTAATGATGGTGGATGCTAAAAAGTTCGAAATCATAGGGTCCATCAACACCATAGCAAAATCACTACAAAACATGGATTGAGTAACATGAAAAGAACCATGTTGCCTTACGCATAAAGTGGTGAACCATTTCTGACATTGTCAAAGCATTCCTTGATTTTTTCAATGATTGTCTCATCCATATTTTGGTTGCGAACACAGCTATCTAATGACCAAATAAGTTGATGACATCGATCAATATCTAGAATCTAAAGAAGAGAAAAATCAACATTGACTAACCAACATCCACAATATACCTGAAGGCTTTCCATATCATGAAAATTCATCAATACATCTACACGCAAAGAACACAGGCTAGAATAAGGTGTAGCCTCAAATACAACACGGATCATATCAATAAACATGCGATAGATTTGAGGATCTTTGCCAATTGTACTCATGACTTTATGAACAATAGGATGTGTTCGTCTAGGCAAGGCGGAATAAGCATAGGATGGTAACACGCAACGTACCTTTCTTCAATCATTTCTTGATAACTGTCAGGCTTTAAATTAAGTGCTAGTAACTGCAGAGATTCATCATGATGATAATCATTCAATAAAGAAATCATAGTCTGTTGAAAAAATGATTCATCTTGCTTCCAAACACGCTGTTTGATATTCATAGGACAGTTGTCAAATACAGTCATATCACTCTTGAGCTTCTCAATGATGTCTTCTTCAATGTGTCTTTCAAATTTCTTTAAAAGTGCCATAGGAATAGGCTGCATAAGTGGGATGTGAATATAAGGAAACGTTTTGTTGAATAAATCATAAAAACTATCGATATTAAAAACACTTGTCACTCGCAAATTTTGGGACCTACTTTTCGAGTTGAAAACTAGGTTTCTCGATATGCTCAACAATAGCCTTATTGAGGGCATTTAAGCAAGCACTATGAATTTCCAAGCGGCTACAACCGCACAAGTCAAGCAAGGGATACATATCGTCGATACCGACAAGATCAAGTCCATAGTCTCTTTGAATAGCTCGAATAGCCTCTAAAGGGTCTCCTGACTGTGACAATAGTGTTCTTATCTCTTCTTCTACAGGACCAATAAGCTGCTTTTTGTTTCCAGACATAGTATATGAATTGCAGGGAAAAAAAAAGGTTCGCGTCTATCCATTCGCGAAAAAGGTTGAGTGGCAAAAGAATGTGACGGTTTCTTCTTTAATTTATGCATCTGAAAGACTCTCCTACAAGCGTTTCTTTAAGCAAATGGGTATCATAAATATTTAGTTTTATTTTGAACAAAAAAGCTTAAAAGAACTGTAAAGGGTATGATGCAGAATGAAACATTTGCTGTCTAAGTCTAACTTTATGAACGAGTCTACAATATTCTGGTTCATGCTCTATTTTTTCTATTAACTAATATTAATTCAAATAATGCCAGTTTGATGATTTACCTATCGATAGTATTCGACTGTCTTTATGTAAACCATAAATGCGTTCTATATACCAGCGTGTTATGTTTGCAATCAATTCAAAATCTTGTCCCAAACAAAGTGTTGGATCTAAAGTGCCATCTAATCTTAAAAGCTTATCATTTGTCAGTGGACCAGGCGATTGAGACGTTTTTCCTGATAAAATATCAATAAGGCATTTTTTTTTTTTGAAAAATTACCAGAAATGAAATCCAACCAAGAACAAAACCAATTCCTTTCAATGATATGCGGTGTTGGCTGACTTGATTGATAACGGAGTAAATGTGATTCGACAAACTGACGACCACGAATGACCAATGTACGTAAATCTGTAGAATCCGTGCTTGAAATCATCGTCAAGTCCTCCACAAAGCGGTTCATGATATACTTTTCTGATCTCAGTCCCGGTCTGTCCTTGTCAGAAAACGCATCAAGTCCAATCTAGTGTGTGTGTATAAATGAAATGAATACATCACATCAAAGACTTACTGTTTTACGACAAGAGTTGCACCATATGTCCAAAGTGTGTAACCTGGTTAATTTTAGTACAAGAGCATGCTTTGTTTGACCATAGTGTTCATGGCAAGTATCGGAACTTCCTACATGGATATTAATATAGGCATCGTCTATTTGCCAATAACTTACCATAGAAATCGCAAGATGGGTGTAAGCACATTACATGGTTATTTGCTGATTGAAGATGTGTCCAGAGCAACCGTTTCTTTTTTTGCACAGATTGTAAGATAGAATAGTCCAAATGAGAACACATTTTGTCCAATGTACCAGAGCTATAAAGAGCTTTCCAAGTTGTATCAGGAGCACAATAATGAATGCCATGTATGCGACAAATATCAGACCAAAAGCTGTCTTGACAGGCTCGTTGGTATAGAAAAATATTGGATTGAACAAACGACTCTATGTCAATTGTACTTAAGTTGGCAATAATCAAAGTCAACACTTCGTAAGGTAAATCAAATATCTGCATTATGTTAAATTATAGGAGAGGGAGGAAAGAAGCGAAAACACAAGTTCTTTTATAATGTCTGTTATCTAATCAATATCACTATTCATTTAATTAGTGTAAATGCAAAATAATAAGGTGATCCTTCGGAATCGATACGCAATTTCTTTTATGCGCTATCGACAAGTTTCATTTATGATAGGCCGTGTTTTGCAAGTCAGCTGTTATTGTGACCTGTTTGCTATGATTATCGAAAGCCGTTTTGTCATAAATACGTGCGACAAATGAATTGCATTCAGAAAATAACGTCTCAATTATGACTGTGACTTACATGATATCTCCTTTTTTTTAAGGAAGAAAGCTTATCTGCTTTAACATACCATAAGCGTATTGAGCATCAAAGTCATTTTGACTATACTGAATCGAGTTGCATTCATTGAATTTAAATTTATCCATGCATGGCAAGTTTTGAATGAATTGAGGAAAAAAAAAGTTAAAGAGATAATTTTTATGTGTAAAATGTATTTGGTAAACATGTTGATCAGCAATCACTTGAAGAAGTAACAACAGCTTTTTAACATATAAAAAAAAAACCAAACCAAAGCCTTACCTTGAAGTGTTCGCTTGCGAGTAAGATTATTTGATAGATTTTTTTTTGGAATGATAATCAAGAATCGCGAAGCATTCATGATCAATGACATATGCAAGCTTGTTCATCAATCAAATAAACAAAAACGCATTATCCATACCTACGGTCACTTTAGTTTATCCATTTCATTCATTATAGAGTTGATCTGCAGAAAAGAAAAGATTTATTATAGTAATGTAGTGAAATGATCTAAGTTTTATAATGCATATATTTACAATTATGACACAAGTTAGTTGTGGAAAGCGTCTCTCCAAGACTTCATGTTGGAAGGAATACGCTTCCAAGTACTAGGTTTAAACATACTGACGCCTTCAAGAGGATCTGATTTTTTGCCTTCATCTGACTCTAATGAATGTCTATAGATGTGTAAATAACATAAGCATATAGCTCCAAACAATAACTTACTCAATGTTTTCACGACCGGTAATCAAGTCGACTTCCATCAAAGGAATAACCTTGGATTTCCTGATGAGCTTGTATCCCAAATAAAACACTATCACGACAGGGACACCAATATAAGCAGCAATAATGTCAGAAGCAACTACAGGAGTTGCAGACCAAGCACTGTAGCCTTGACCGACAATGACAAACAAACAAACAAAGAAGGCAAAGATAGGACCCAAGGGGAAAAGTCTGGCTTTGAAGGGAAGATCAGACACTTTGTATCCTTGAGCAACATAAGCACGACGGAATCGCCAATGAGCAGCAGCAATACCCAACCAAGCAATGAAGCCAGCAATACCTGAAATATTCATCAGCCAGTTGTAGACCACACCATTGCCGAAAAGAGAGGTCAAGAAAGCAAGCATGCCAACAGCAGCAGTCAAAAGAACACAGTAGATGGGAATACCATTCTTGGTGATCTTTCTAAAGACCTTGGGGGCTTTACCTTCATTGGCCAAATCTAAAAGGGTACGACTAGAAGCATACAATCCTGAGTTACCAGCAGATAAAACAGTGGTCAAGATAACAGCGTTCATGAGATGAGCAGCAGGGGGGATACCGGCCCTGACAAAGACGAGAGTAAAAGGAGAGACGGAAATATCAGAAACATCACTTCTCAAAAGACTAGGATCATCGTAAGGAATAATCAAACCAATCATCAAGATGGAAAGAATATAGAACAAAATGATACGCCAAAAGACTTGCTTGATGGCTCTAGGGACGTTCTTACGAGGGTTTTCACTTTCACCAGCAGCAACACCAATCAATTCTGTGCCTTGGAAAGAGAAACCTGCAGTTAAGAAGGTAGTCAAGACACCTAAGCCTTGAACACCACCGTAATTGAAAGTAGAGACACCATAATAAACACCACCCAAAACTGCAGTATCAACAAGAATACCGAGAATAATGAATACAATGACAGTCAATACCTTGATCAAGGCAAACCAATATTCGGCCTCACCTAAAAAAAATTAGAAAAAAAAAGATTCCATTTTCGATATTTACCATAACCCTTGACAGAAAATAAGTTTAATGCCAAGATAATGACAAGGAAACAAATGGACCAAACATAACCGGGAACCCAAGGTGCCCAATAAGCCATCACCATGGAACCAGCAGTCTATCGAGATGTAAGATATGCAAATTTTAAATCTTTCTGATTCTTACCAATTCGACAGCAACAGTGACAGCCCAGTTGTACCTAACAAAAAAAAATCTGTCAACAACTATTCTAGTTACAATCATGAAGTTCATTACCAATAATTCCAACCCAAAGCAAAACCAAGAGCAGGGTCAATAAATCTACCTGCGTAATTGTTGAAACTGCCTGAAATAGGAAGAAATGTAGCCTATAAAGTGTAAGTTATATGTCGTCTTTTTCTTATGTCTTACCATTTCACCAAGACATTCCATCATGAAAAAGACCATGATACCAATTAATGCGTAGGCGATCAAAGCACCACCAGGACCTGCTTCGGACACTGATGAGCCGGATGCTAAAAAAAGACCTGTACCGATTGTACCACCCAATGAAATCATTGTCAACTACAGAAAAACATTAATGAGATTGTGTGCAAATAGCATTTATAGTTACATGTCGAGCTTTTAATCCTCGTTGTAATTGAGGCTTGTCGTCTATGATATCTCCAATAGAACCTGATTGACCTCGACTGTAAACTCTGTCTACATCTTCAGCATATTCAGCGCCTTTGTGTTCGGAAGATGAAGAGCGCGATCGCATAGCTTTGCCAACGTCGTTCATATCAATTTCTTCCACCACTTCAATCCTATTATTGTTTTGCTCTTCTGCTGATTTGTTTTTTCTTCTTCCGTTAAACATGGTACAAAAAGATATAGAAATACAAAAGAAGAAAAAAAAGAAAAGAAAAGAAAAAAATTGAATTTTACTACAGCAAATGAAAAAAAATTTTCCTTTCATTTCTCAATTAAGTTAAAATGCATAGATTATCAGTAATTCATGTCCGAAACTAACCAAAGTAAAAACAAGAGAAAAGAATAAAAGCTTATTGGTGACAATGGTAACGACCACAGATTAAGTTAAAGTTTATCTGTGCTTTTTTTTTATCTCTATTGTTCATTTATGCTACATGTTGCCTCACTTTTTCTTGTAAACACAAATCAACATCACTTGGCATCATTTTATCCTGAGTTTCTATTCGTTCATTCCATCAGTAGCGGAGTTTTAACTTTTTTTTCCTACACGTTTACAGCAACAACAGAGGGCCCTTTTCATGATCTTTGTACAACGGATGATATGTTTGGTAAACATCAAAAGTTATTCTCACGGTCCTGAAAAGGAATAAAAGCTTCAAGGGATAACTTGTACCTGGTTTTTCTCGGAAAATTACATTCTCTTGTTGTCTTTATCAATTTGACAAGCAAAAGAAAATGTCTTTATGACTTGAGTTTCTCCGCCAGAACAATCTTTTATTAAGAGACTTGTGGGACATCGCAATAAATTGCTTGACAGCACTACAAAAACATTTAGTCATTGAAGAAAAAGAAACGCTAATATGCAAACCAAGTCTAACTCAAGAAGCGATGGCTACTTTATGCAGCAAATTATAACTTCGATTATTATGTAGACTTGTTTAAGCGCATGCTTTTTTATACAGTAGGTTTCGTCTTGATAAAAATGTCAAGTGCTTGCATCTAGAGGCTCTTCAGACTACCAAAATTAGTGAAAAGCTACTCTTAAGATAGATATTACTCTCAGCTGTAATCATGCTCGCTTTTTTTCTAGGTACTTTTTCATCTTAGCCAAGCGTCGGGTTTTTAATGCGATTTGAATTTCTCAAGTTCATTTTTTGTTCAAGACAAAACTTACATCAAACAATCGTCCAAAAGTTAATAAAATCAAAGAGATATCAGAGAGCTTTATAGACAAAGTTTGCACTTCCTAGCAAAACGTATTCAATGATGTAAGAAAGTTGGTATGCTTATTATCAGGATTTCGAGCAATCCTTCAAAAACCTGTTTTTAGCATTTCTAGTTCTAGCGTACATTTTTCATTCTGTTCTTATAGATACAATACTTTCATCGTATTTTACAGGCTCATACGAGTATTTCTTACCCAAGATACTTCATAAAAAAATCGTTATATCTCTCGCAAATCGTATTTTCATGAAAAATGAAGAAACCCCTCGAGGTACTCAATCGTTCACCATGCACATTACTGAACCGTGCAAAGCGCCACTCTCTAAACCTTGGATATCGTTGGAATCCATTAACATGTGTGATTGTTACCGGTCTCTCTGCTCCTAGTCAGCCATACTCGATCTATGATACGCCAATACCAATAGCATCTTCTTTCGAATATTTGGGAATCCCGTTCAATACCAAGGCTCAAGTTGATGTTTCCCTTCTGATTCGTCAAAATGTAAAGTCTGCTCTTTCAGCTATGCGTGCTGGGTTTTCTTCTCTAGGATTCTTCAAACAAATCCGCGTCTCTAGACTGACCGCTGCTCGTCTCTACAGTACCTTCATCCGTCCAAAATTGGAGTATGGTATCTGCCTCGGCCTTTATCAAAAATCTGATTTTGCAAATTTAGAACATGCACAAGATACTTGCCTACGACTCTGTATCAATAGCCACACAAAAGGAACAATCGGATTGTTTAAACTGATGGCAAACCTTCCCTCCTTAGCTGAACGCAAAGAACACCTTGTCTTTAAGATGATGATCCGCTTTGAAACGCTCCCAGAAGACACACTGATAATGCAAATAATGGAACGCATTGATACTTATCCCTTTGCTCGGTAAATGCAGATCTTTCTCTGGCTACAAATATCAAACAAGAATCACATCTGGTTGCATCTCAGCGATAGCTATAATACGCTTTCCGACTGGATTCAAGCCAATGGAAACGCCAAAAAGCAACTCTTGGGACTTCTTCAGCGTAATCTGGATGCTCTCCGTGCACAAGCAAATGTCCTCATCCTTCTTTCTGCTTGTAGGTCCTTTGTTGGTCTGATTGACCCCATCTTGCTGTTGCCTATGTCAATCTATGACCGTCAAAGAATTCTTCGTTGGCGTCTTGGGTGGACTCCAAAGTACACCTCTACCTGCTCATGTGGTACATCACCTATTAGCCGAAGACATGTACTCCGTTGCATGCGCTTGCGATTACCAGCGGATATACAGCTTAACCCAATTGATTATGTCCTGAATCAATTGCCTAAAATACCACGTCCACCGTGTTTACAAGCCCAAAGACTTGACCGCTACACACGATGGTCAAATTGGTGGCCAACCATTTGTCGACTCTTGCTTGAAATTGAACTCGTGGATCTTCCCGACAAAACTTTCTCAAACAAAGAAAAAGATACCTCTGGTATGACTTTCCTCCTTTGGCTAATACCCTCGCTTTATTCAGTACAGATAAGCAGCTGATTCTCTCCTTCATCCGGTCACGTTTCTACGCCTATTATGCATCTTTTTTTTTCCTATTTTTCCTATTTTTCCTATTTTTTCTTTTTTATCTTTTACACTATAGTACTTCATCGTCTATGTTTCCTGTCCTTTTTTCTATATTTTTTTTTTTTTTTTTTTTTTTGCACTCTCCTCTCTCTGAACTGATGTTTAGGCATTTACCCTATAGGGCCCAGTCTTCATAACCATATAAATAAAACATAAACTTTTTACCGAGGTACTCGAAATGACTTTTTCAAAATTTGTTATTTTTTTGCATGAAATGTCTTCATATACATGCTTTTGCATAGGACATTCGGAAAAAGTGCATTAGAGGTCATTTCAAGACGCTTCTTAGGGGTAAATTAAGGACAAAGATGGTAGAATTTATGTGTTTTTCTAATGGCTTACTGGTATAGTCATTGTGGAATCATTTTTAAACCCAAATCTTTTTAAATAAACCTCCAAGATAAACTACTTTTCTCTTTTGAATTAATTTGGAAAACAGTCTATTGGTATAGTAACATTAACGGCGGATTGGCGGCCCGCTGCAGGCGCGAGTGTTTTTCAAAGTAAATGATTATTTTTGCCTTCTAATTCTTTTTTTTTTTTTTTTGAGTTTCCTATGTTTGAGCATACACCAAAGAACATATTCATGTAAAAATAGAGCATGTTTTGAAAAAGTCAAAAAATCGTCATTTTGTCTTTATTGATAACCTTTACGAAATCTTCGATTTTCATTATTCTGCGACTGATGAGCGATAGAGGTATTTCTGATGTAACATGTCTTAGTACGAATCAATTCTCTAGGTCTATGAAACACACTCAAAATGTTATATCTGCAAAAGTACTCATAAAATTGCATGCTAAGGCTCAAAAACAAAAATAACGTTTTTCAAGGATAGCTCAATATCTCACGAACAGATATACTATATTCTTTACATTATTTAACAATCCGTATCCATATATACTCTTAGTTTTCGACAGGAGAATATTAATTTAAACTCCGTTTTTTTTTTTCATTTAAAGCATGTCAACTTTAAGAATTCGTTCTACAATGCTCTTTCTTGTAAATCAATAATGAAAGAAACAACGTTGAATGATAAAGACAAATCATCTTTATTTTGAGTATATATTATTTTTAATTTTTTTTTTCTACAGAAAATGATTTAATCATCAAAAGGGTACTCGAAGGGTTCAAAAGGTGCTGCTTCTTCTTCAGCTGCAGCTCTTGTTGTTGCGTCTATTCCAAGTTTTTAATACAGATCTATGACAGTAAATGTAACTTACCTCCTGATGGTACGCGAGGTTGAATTAAATCTTCTTCTTCTTCGGGCTTCTTGTCCATCAACATGATAATGCCACCCACATTTTCTTGCTTGACAGGACTATAACGAGATTCTGTCTTGAATTGAATATGCTTCAATTGAGCAGGAACCACACGAGCCATGTTCTCGAGAATTTCAAAGTTTTCTTCCTTCTTTTTCTTCTTGCGTTCTTCCTTCTTTTCGTCTTCGTTACCTTCTTCTTTGGTGGGTTCATCTACATCCATTTGATCACCCTTTTCCTTTTCAATCTTTTTAGCACGAGCCTTGGCCTTGGCTGTAGTGGACAAGACAGCTGTAGCCACCTTTTCAACCACAGTAGCAGATGGAGGCTTTAAGGCAGGAGGATAAGCAAACAAAGAAGCCTTGGCATTCGACACAAACTCAAAGCGAGGCGTTTCCAAATTTTTGTTGAGACCAATGATGGCAGTAGGTGTGAATGCTAAACTAAGCATGTGTGTTAAGGGATACCAGTACCAGAATTGTGTGAATACGGCCATACCAACAATAGCAGGCATGTTGGCATGACCTGTACGAGAAAAGAGAGAGATAGTCACGTTTCTTCCACCAGCATCAATGATACCTTGGGCAAGAACAGCACCAAACTTGGCCATGGGGTCTTCGTGCTTATCGCCAATGATCTTTTCGTACAATTTACGGACACCAGCTACCTTGGGGTTTGTGTTCTCAGTTTGTTGGATCAAGATCATGGCTTGAGACATAAAAGCACCTTGACGGACAAAGTCGACAGGATCCTTGGTCATGGGCTCAAGTAATTCAAGGGCATCCAAATCGCCTGTGCCAGCACATGAAATACCCAAGGCCAAAGTAGCACCATAACGCACATGAGGGTTATAACTCTCAGCCAACAATTGGACAATGCGAGGAACTTGCTTGGGGTTACGCAAAAGCACAAAACCTAAAGCAGTAACAGCAGCACGACGAACATCGTCATTCACATCACTGACAGCAACATGCAACAAGCGACGAATGGCCTTATTGTTACCTGTGCCACTGTAAGCCATGGCAATGGTATAGATACCACCGTAACGGAGAACAGGATCCTTGTCTTCAAGTAATTCTTGGATCAAGGTATCGGCCTTTTCTTCTTTACCATACATGATGAATGGAATACCAATAGCCAGACCACGAATGATCTTTTCATGCTGTGTTTCATGAGCATATTGAAGCATTTCTTCAACAGCTTCCATGTTGCCTGTACCAAGCATGATGAGACCCATAGACAAACCAGCGGCTTCACCAGCTACAGCATTGTCACCAAAGAGCACGTTCTTGAGGTCTTCGTAGATAGGTCCATTGGCAGTAGCCATACCAGCAACACCAAGACCCAAGCAAGCACCGTGTTGAATCACATCATCCGAGGTATCCTTGAGTGCTGATTTCAAGTAATTCAAGACTTCAGCACCATGATTAGCATTGATGAGACCAAGAGCATACAGGGAACCACCTTCAGAATAAGAGCTGTTACCACTGACACCTTCTTGAGGTAAATAAGGTGCCAATAAATTCATGGATTGTGCCAATTGACCCTATATTCTACTGTAAGCCATGATAAGGCCCTCTATGTATGGATTGGCTTACCTTGTGAATCACACCAAGAGCTGCGGTAGCACTGAATTTAGACCAGTTGGTTGCTCTGGATAACCAATCAAGATTTTGACGCAAGAACTCATCACTTGTTGTACCTGCTTGCATAAAAGCATTAGCAAAAGTAACAGCAGAGTGATAAATGGAGTTTCTGGATTCTAATGCATTCTACAGACTGTTTAGTTTATAGTCGTTTATGCTGCTTTCCTTACCTTTGTGTTCTTTAAAATTAATAAGTCAGTGTGGTTATTACGATACAGGAATTCAAGATGAAGACGAATGGATTCTTCACCAGATAAGATGGACTTAATTTTTTTGAAGGGTGTATCATGTTTGGGCTATTCTCTGTAAGAAAAAAAAAGAAATACATCTATAATAAATAGTTACCTTTTCTTCTTGAGTAGCATCTGTAGATTCTTCTTGAGGTAATTCAGCAGCTACTTTAGACAAAAATTCCTGTGTAGCATTTTCTTCTAAATCAAAAGAAACTTGATAGGCCATAAGCTATAAAGAATACAGGATGAGCTCTCTTTTTCTCTCTCTCCCTTTGTTGTCTATAATGCACTTTACCTCATTGTCCTTTTCCACTAAATGCTTCAACATGTCAGCACAAGCTGAGAAATCATTCAAATGAACCAAACATTGGCTGATAGAGATATAATCAGGATTTTCGAGTGTTTTGTACAAATTCACCAATAATCGCAATACTTGGTTACGGAACTCCAAGTTTTGCACTAATGTCATGCAGACCTCAAGGACATAGGCCAATAATTCCTGTCCGCCTTGCTTTTGAATGATGGATTGAATGACATCCAAACGTCTTGATTCGAGTGCGATACCAATAGCCTGCTCGTATTCGTGATCCTCAGCACAGCGTTGAAACATTCTCTCTACAATATCTTGTAATCGAGGGTCGATGGTTTCACTAAGAGCTTCTACGCTTGTTCTAAGGTGGATGTACTTGTCAATGCACTTGGCTAAATAAAGACATAAGTACAACATAGATATACGTATGACATACTTACAGATAATTGTAGTAACATATTCAGAGGATTCAGAAAGATCAAAGGATTGGCCTGCACCAAGAGCAAAAGTAAGAGAATCATCCAATTCACCCAAGTTATAATAGACCTATCATATAATCAATAAACAAGATAGATGTCTAGATACACGTACTTTGGAAGCAACTAAAGCAGCAAGTTCTCTTTGAGCAAATGAAGTATCTTCATAAAGAATTTCACTAGAGATAAGTCAGTACAAAATACGCTTGTGTTATCTATCTAGCTTACATTTTAGCAATCGAATCAGATATCTCTGCCCAGAATTCATCCACAAGTGTGTTGAGTTGTTCAAGAGCATAAACCTTCAACTCTGGTTGTTGTTCATCGAGCAAGGCAATGATACCGTCTATTAAAAATAAGTAGCTACTCTTCTTATATATGTGTGTACTTACTAGCAGATGTAAGAGCTGTCATGAAGTAAATATATAAAAAAAAAAAGATAGAAAAGAAAGAGAGAGAGAGAAAAGGGAAAACGTAACTCAAATACACATCTTGGCCGCGACGCGTCAAATAGGAGTGACGCAAGTCCTTTGCGGAGTTAAAATAGCTATAATATCCTCTTTTTTTTTTTCTTAGTGCGCATCAATCAGTCTCTTTTCATCCAATCCATATGTCTTCATCAGGGTTTGGGACCAGTTATGGTGCTCGTTCCAAGACAATAGAAGTACCATTGCAACATGAACAAGTGTTAGAAGTAGTCTGTAATGATCTCCCTTCAAATCCTACTGAATTAACCGATATTTTTCGACAAGAATCAGTGGGTTTACCCTATTATCGCATGTTGGCTGTAAGTAACATGCCATCCTGTCTGTGTTATACTCATAGAATAGATTGAATATTATGAACAAAACAAAATTGAGCAAAGTATTAATGTTGTTCAAGCTGGTTTAACTACAGGTAAAAAGTCAATCAAATACGCGTTGATGACATACTGATGATCATGTAGCAAGTCAATCACCACATACAGTACCTCGACAAAAACTGCCATTGTTGACTCTGATTGCCACCTTACATATGCGTCTTGCTAAAAAGGAAACCAACGATACCCAACGTCAGCGCTACCTTGAAGAAGCTACACAGTTTATTAACGAAGCAGATCGTATTCACAATCAATACGAACCCACATTTGTCGTCAAAGGCAACTTGTACATTTTGCTTAAGAAAGTCGATGAAGCTTCTCGCTCATTCAACATGGTCCTTGAAAAGAGACCCAATTGTATTCCAGCACTTTTAGGTCGAGCCAAGATTCAATATCACTTGCAACAATACAAAGCATCACTCAAGACGTATCAGACAGCACTCAAGTACTCGCGTGGCAAATTCAGTGGTGTCGAAATTCGACTCGGTATTGCACAATGCTTTGCTCAGCTCAAAATGTACACAGAAGCCAAAGCTGCTCTTAAGCGATGTATTGATATTGGCGGCCATGCCACTGCACTGATCATGCTGGCTATCATTGAACTCAACGAGTCAAAACAAGTCGAGAATGGCCTTGTTCAACAAGAAACAGCACTTAAACATGGCCTTGTACATATGCAGAAAGCACATATGGTCAACAAGACACACCCTGCTGTCCTCAACATGATGGCAAACCATTTCTTCTTGACGCGTGATTTTGAAAAAACCATGGCAGCTGCTTCGAGAGCATTGAAATATGCATCCAATAACCATACAAAAGCAGAAGCATCTTATCAAATTGCGAGAGCACATCATCAAATGCAAGAATATGATAATGCTTACAAGTTTTATTCACAAGCACTTGAGCTACAGCCCGACCATTTGTTGGCTCAGTTTGGTATGGGACAAATGCAACTGAAACGAGGTGCACACAACACAGCCATTGAAATATTCGAAAAACTATACAAGTCTGAACCAGAATGTGTGGAGATCATTAAAGTATTAGGGTCTTTGTATGGATTAGCTGGCAAGAAGGAAAAGTCATTACAACTGTTCAGTAAACTATTAGAGAATGCAGGTGATGACCCATTATTGGCTATGGAGATAGCTGAAATGTATGAAGAAAAAGATAGTTCAAATGCACTTAAATGTAAGAAAGAATGGACATGGTGTCTTTTTCTTATGACTATATTCCCATAGATTATGAGCAATCTCTAGTATCTCTCGAGAATTTATCCAAAGAAGACACAGTAGCACAAGATCGCGTTAAAGAAATCAAGCCTGAATTACTGAATAACATTGCTGTGATGCACCAGAAACTCGGTAATTTTACAGACGCTGAACACTATTATGGTCTTGCCATTAAAGAGACAGAAGCAAGCAATGAAAAAGACCTGCAACTCACGATGAGTTACAACCTTGCACGTCTCTATGAAGAACGTCTAGAGACCGAAAAGGCCATTGCTATCTATCGCAAAATCATTCAAGATCATCCAGGCTATACAGATGCTCATTTACGTATGGGTGTGATTGAATACTCTCTGGGTCGTCCTTCTGAAGCAATTGAATACTACAAGGAAGTATTTGACACAGATCCTGTGAATGCTAAAGCATGGATTATGATTGGGCAAGCACAAGTCAATGACAGTGAAAAACTCAGTAAACGTTCATTTGAGAAAGTATTACGAGACTGTGATAAAAATGATCTTTATACACATATCTTGTTGGGTAACTATCATGCTTCTGCTGCCCGTGAATTCAAGACAGAGAAACAAAAGCAAATGCGCAATGACTCCTATAAATTGGCTGTCAATTTCTATTCACAAGCACTTAGGCGTGATCCAAACAATGCTTATGCAGCGAATGGTTTGGCCATTACGATTGCCGAAACAGGTCATGTTGAACAAGCAAGAGACTTGTTTAACCAAGTTCGTGAAGCTGCTGTCAACAATGCAAGTGTCTGGGTCAATTTGGCACACACTTATGTCGAACTAAAGAAATACAAGCAAGCAATTGTGATGGTAAGCATAATTCTAGGCTGAACACAGTACTTATTCTTTACAGTATGAAAATGCTTTAAAGAAGTTCTTTTGCAACAAAGATGCCAATCTACTCTTGTGTCTTGCACGTACACAATATATTCTCAGTAAAAACGACAAAGATCCTGATATTATGTACCAAGCACTCAAGAACACGGAAAGAGCACTTCACATCTGTCCCTCTGATAAAACTACACATTACAATCTAGCATTGGTCCAACAATCGTATGCACAACAGATTTCAGATTTACCTCAAGATCAACGTACTTCTCAACACATTCGTCGTGCACTTCATTACCTTGAATGTGGCCAACGTATCTTCCGTATGTTGATCAATGTAGAAGAACACACTCTCTATGATAAAAAGATTACAGAACAGCGTGAACGTTATGGTGAAACACTTCGTATTCAACTAGACCGTAAATTGACAGAACAAATCTCTTTTGAACAAGAACGAGAGGAGAAACTGAATTTGGCACGCAAGAAGCGAGAAGAAGAACAAAACAAAGTTAAGCAGGCACAAGAAGAAAAGAAACGATTAGAACGATTGGAGAATGAACGCATTGAAGAGACCAGAAGAAGATTGATGGAGAAAGTGCGTGAAGATAACTTGTTAATGGCAAGTCAACAAGACGATGATGATGGATTAGATGATGAAAAGAAACAAAAGAAGAGAAGTGGAAGAAAAAGAAAAGATCGTCAACAAGACGATGAAGAAGAAGAAGAAGATGAAGAAGAATATGAAAAGCTGCTCAAAAAGAAAGATAAAAAAGTAAGTAAAAATCTGTACAAACTGTTTATGCTTATTCTGTTGAACAGCAATACCGAAGTAAACGCATTATTGAAGATTCAGATGAAGATGTATAAAGATATAAATATAAAATTACTACTATATTACTTTTGTTGTTGTTGTTCGTTAAATATATACATGTATAATTTACAAGGGATAAGATGAAGGTGGTTCTAGAGAGATATCCCTCCAAGGTACTTTACGAATAATACCATCTTGTAGTATAACACGACACATTTTTTGGCTTGGAATACATTCTTTGATTTTGCCTTGATAAAAGCCTCCTCCTCTCCATTTCGTGTAGATGTCAAGGTTCATTTGAAACTTTTTTGACATTTCCTTAATGTATTTCTCTTGAAGTGCCTTTTTCTCGACAAGACGTTTCTATAAAGACTAAGTAAAGCCATACACACATAAAATACTTACAGGATCATGTTGAGGACAATAAGCACTGTATTGTGAATAAGGTTGTTTTGGATCAAATTCAGTGACTTTGTTTATGGTGGCATTGTTCTTTGCGGCACAAGTGACATGAAATGATTTCCAGCATTTGCCATGGCAACATTGCATACAGGCACCTGTTTTTTCTTTACAATAGATACATACCTGACATTGCTTTAGTACAAGAATTTTAGACAGTAACAACTTACTAGCTTCCAACGTGAAGATGGGATATGATTGATTCCATAAACAAGGTTCTTTACGATGTATGTCTCATCTACACCTTCAGCACATAATTGATGAATACCATCATATTTGCCGCAATTGGATTTCAATAAGGCAGAATGATAAGGTATCGAACACAATATACACTGAGTAGGTTTATCTTCTGTCTTGCGTTTCTTTTTGGGATGCTGTTCTTGAAATAAACTATTGACATCAATAGTAACACTATCACTGATACAATGACATGATTTTGCTTTTCTTCCTATCTCTATCCATGAATCCAAGGCAAAATTCACACTTTCAGCACAATTGAAATCGAGGTTATATCCAGAATGATAACCGAATGGAAAAGTAATCATGAATTCGCCTGGTTGTTGCACACAACGTTGAACTGGAATGTTATTGTCTTGTAAGACTTTGGGTGACACAATGAATGTTTTGTGCCGCAGGAATTCATGGCATGATTTGTACTGGGTAAAAAACGTGGCTATGAGCATATATATATATATTTATATATATATACATTAGTAACACATGTGTAAGAGCAGTCAATACTTGCTTTGCATGAAATTCTCGAATTTTCTTTGATGACATGGTTCAATCGCATACCATTGCTTGGGAGCACCAAAGTGTATATAGTTGATAGAATAGAGATCCATGTCCTATTTCAAAATGAGTAAGAAAACACAAACTTATGGTCAAATTACCTCGACATGCCAAGCAAAAGTTGCTTTCCACATACCAAAATAAAGATAAGGTTGATTGACACCGGGAAGTGACACATTTAACTTATTTAGTGAATTATCAAGTGTGTTTGGATTCCAATGTTGAACCGAATCATCAAATAAAGCTATGAAAATTATGAGTTGATAGGTATGTAATAAGGTGATCTTACTTCCAAGCATATCAGCACCATACTTGGGTTGATTGAAAGTGATGTTTCGCCAATAATGTCTTTCGATTTCCTTGTATTGATCTATACTTAAATGACTTTGATCTGATTCAAGTAAAAGTGATGCAGATGTGTCTTCCTAAGAACGAAATCAATATACACATGTAAAACAATACTGAATAGTCATGATTACTTGTTTCTCTAAGCTAGGACTGTTGTCAGTACAAGATTTACGATGAACATTAGGTGGGCGATGGTCTGATTGCTGACAAAGTTGATGCCAATCTTGTATTGAATATTCTTTTCTATCCTCAATATTTGTTTGAGTGAAAACACCTCTTCCTCCTAAAATATGCTGTGTCTATTTGTATAGCATTAGCCTCAACTAGTCTACTATTACAATCTTGGTATTACAATGGGTTTAGAGACTCGTATATGGCTCAAATTCTCTTGAACATCGGGTAATTGCTTTTTCCTATGCCAAAAAAAAAAAAAGAACGAAAGGTTTAAGAGAAAATAACTCATAAAGAAGTTCGTGTACCATTCTTTGGGCGGGATGATCTTTACAATACCCGCTTTCCTGCCATACTCTTCAATGCTTGTCATAAATGCTTTAAAATCTTTAAATTCGTCCCAAGTTGGTTCAAATATCGGAATAGCACCCTAGAATGATAGAAATGAGATCAAAATCACTCAAGCTAGACATGTTTACATTGTCGTAATAGTCTTTAGGTTCGGTCGTCATTTTTTATTCTTATTAGAAAAAGAAAGAAAGAAAGCGAAAAAAAAAAATTTAGAACAGAAGAGAGGCTTTTCTTGCAAAAAGTCCGCAGTAGTGGAACTTCAGACCCAAGAAAAAAAAAATATTGATGTATAAGCTACATGCTCTATCATCTAAAGCTCAATGACAACCATCTTTGCTGTGCTATAGAGCCACTTTTGCCTGATAAGTTGCTTTGAGGGAAACATGTCTAAACTGTCTTAAGGCGATGTGATATTTATTGTCTTTCTTAACAAAGAGAATCAAGCAGAATTTATAATGATAATGTGTACAACATTAACTGATTAGTTTATTTATTCTCTGATCTGGCTAGTAGTTACTATTTCAGTATTAAATAAATACACAGTTTACTGCTGCATTAGACAACCCTGCTTCCTCAATAGTTTGATCAAGTACATCAATCAATTGTGTACGATTAAAGACAAGCTATATACAATGTCTAAGTATTTCCTTCCTTTCTTTTTTTGGGGGGTCAAATTACCTCAAATGGTTGATTGGCCGCTTCTGGCACTTCTGCCTTGATGAATTCAAACAAATAACGCACAGGATCTGATTTTAGGAAACGTCGAATGATTCTACTTCCATCTCCCATTCTCAACTGAATTCGCGTTGAATTAGTCATGTCTGTTGTTTCCTCTCTTTCAACTGCTTTTATGCCATCAAAAGCAGACCCTGCTTTCTCTTCGACTTCTTCCTCATGCTTCTCTTTTTCTTTTGAGTCAACTTCCATTGTTTGTGGTGATGTGGACTGAGTTGATTCAGTACTTCCATTCAATGAAGCTGCAATAGCCGCATTCAACTGTTCTTCTTCTGTCATGTCGGATATGTTCTTTTGTACTCTCGGTCTTTTCATGGTCGCCATTGCTCGTGTAGAAGAGTTTTGTTCCAAGAATTCAGTGATATCCATCATAAAGTCAGTAGCACTCAATTGTTTCTCCCAGACTTTGACACGTTCTCCCGTACGCGCATCAATGATAGCCAAATGAGGGAATCCACTTATTGAATAATATGTATGATAGCGTTTGCCATCAGCACTGTCTTTGGCATATTGCAAGAAAACAAATGATTCTCTGATGATATCCTTGACAAACGAATCACTCCATAAATCTCTATTCATCACTTGACATGCAAATTCTGTTGGATCTTGCACATTAATCATCAACCACTTGTTTTTTTCTTTTGCACTTTCTCTTGCCTATCAAGTAATGAATAAATAGAGAATTGGTTGTCTTCTATACCTCTTCGAAATTGCCTTTAAACATGATATCAAAAGGTGGTCTAAAGAGATCAGCTAATCGTTTGGCTTTTGAAGTAACTGGGCTAACACCTTCAGGTGATCCAGTGGAAGATCGACTGGGGCCTAAAAAGGAAGATAAATATTCATCTTTGAAGACGTATAGACTACCTTCTGGATTTAATCGCTCAAAAAAATCTGGCATAGATCCAGTAGTGGAATCGCCTTGGTTGAATATAGAAGGGCGACCTATGATCATTTGAGTATGCATGCATATATAAACGACTACTTACTTTGTTCTCTTTGCGGGTTCCACATAAAAGAAGATGAAGGCTGGTGAAACATGTCGCTGCTTGGGCCAGCCAAAATGTCTGTTTTGGGCGCAATAGGCGCTCTTACTTCATGACTATTCTCACTTTCTTGAATTTGTCTAGCAAGCTCCTCGTCTGCCAGAAGAGGCTCTTGTTTATCAGAGTGGATAGACACTGGCCGTGAGTGTGTAGTACCACCACCGTTTTCGAGAAAGAGTGTCACTGCTGTTTCAAAGTTGTTATCTGCAATCTAATAAAAGTCAAAAAGAGAGATAGTTAAAGTATGGCTGCTTACTTCTAGAAACTGTTGTGCTATTTCTGCTGAAGCACCTGTGATATCACAAAATTTGGAGATATTAGTATCACTCATATTTTAAAAAAGGAAAAGAAAGAAGAGAGTGTGTGATGCTACAAAAATGTCATTACGCAAACATTTATACGTGAAAAAACGCGTCGCATTTCCCAGACTATTTAAAAAACTAGGATTGATCACAACTGCTTTTTGATTTATAGATAATATCTGAGTATGTTATTTGTGGAGAGATGTAAACTAGAGTATTTACTTTGGAAAATAGAAGGTGTTGAATTCAATGAGAATTGACAAATGGATAACAGCAAGAATTTGCTAAAGCGCAGGTTCGGGCCGTAGATAGATAAACTATAATGTTTGGGCTTTTTTTTTTTTTTTTTTTTTTTTTTTGAAGACATGCCCTTTTCAAAATAAAGCGAACCAAACCTTAGTTGTAAGCCGAGAAAATTCTCGATCTGCATTTTTGAGGCTTCCAGCTAGTGCTTGTGGCGGCCTACTAATCCGCCTCTGATGTTCTTATGTATTCTCAATTGCACATTTTCAAATGAAAAAGTAGAGCTGGAATTAAAATGCTATAATAAAGAACAAAAATGATTTTGCCATCCTCTATGCAGAGAACGAATTGAGCTGAGTAAGAGTTTAGTGGTAGTTGCGGCCGTTACATAAGATACTAATAGAAGTTACAGAAGGATAGACTACGCACACCACAAGTTAAGAGAAAAAGTAAAAAGTAATTCCCCAACGGGGAATCGAACCCCGGCCGTGTCGGTGAAAGCGACAAATCCTAGCCACTGGACCATTGAGGACTTGTATATTTTGACAGGTTTGTTGGTAAGTGTCAAAATGTTGAAATTTTTATTTTCCAAGTCAGCAGGAAGCAATATAATTGGTACGCCTTTTAAAATGAAAACTCACAATCACTCTCAGAAGATCATTAAACCACATGAAGCAATCAATCTCAAAATGGAATCAAGACGAATCTTAATTGTTATTCCTTTAAGCGAAATATTATCATCCCAGAAAACAAATCAAACAAAATCACCCTATCTCTTCTTTACACTTTGGATAATATCAATCGACTGACATTTTTCTTATTTCTTATTTTTATCGAATCATATATTTTAGTCAAAAAATAGTATAAATATCACATCACATATTTTTCAATAAAAGGAAAGGATCATCTAAAATATAAAAAAAAAAGAAAGGTTATTTTTCTGACTACTTAATTGAAGAAGAAATCTGGAAAATCTTGGGAAGATTGGATTTATCTGTCTGTCAATTGAAGTATACAAGAAAAAGGAAAGAAACAAATAAGAAAGAAGAAAGCTACTATACAATATTGTTAATTGGGGTCTGTCCTTGGTAAAACTCCTGTCTTAGTAACTGGTTGCTCTGGGAAAGAACATACTTGGTAGTTATCTGAAGAAGGATGCTTTTGGGAACATTTATTAACATTATCATGTACCTTAGTTATTTTTATCTTATATTCTTTTTGTTTTGTTGTCAATTGTATTTTGAATTATTTGTACTGGATTTGCTTTTCTGTTGATCCGCATTTGATCCGACAACATCAAGACTCGTACTCGCAAACAATAAAGAACACCTTCAAAATATCGACTGAATTATCATTATACCTTGACATTTTTTTGGTGCGGCTAAAGTGGAAAAACAAGAAATCCATCATCCTGGTATTTTGACACTATTACAACTATATTTCAGTCATAACACAAAAGAAAGCAATTACAATTAAAATTATCAACATGTCAAACAACTCGAACGAAAGCAACTCCCGTACTGCAAGTTCGACAACAAATCATATGAACATGCATTCACCTTATCTCATGAAGTTCATGAGTGATCCTGTTGATTTTACTGGTGACATTAAGCGCATCAATCCCATCAATTGGATAAAAAAATTGGATCGTATAAAAAGTTTTGGAAATTTGGACGATGAAAACATCATACTTATTGCTGTCGACCATCTGGTAGACCAGGCCAACAGCTGGTTCAACTTGACTCATCCAGACCCTGAAACTCTCACATGGAAGGAATTCAAGACTTCGTTCAAGGCTGTTGTGAGATGAAGAGAGAGTAGATATTCAATAAGAGAAAAGGTAAGAACACAGAGAAAGTCCGTTAGAACTTGTATAGGTTTTTATTTCTCCAAGAAAAATGTTATCGTTCAATTGCTATAAAATGTCAAGGTATTTATACTTTTTCTTCTCGGTCAAAATATTGTTTTGGGTTAGCTTCTTGACTACGGATTGATTTGTTAGATCAGGAGCAATTAAGAGAAATGCCTTTAGAGGAAGTTGTCATCTCAGCCAATAGTACATGATCTGACCTGAACTTGAATAAACTATTACATATTTGTTAAATGCCAATGCTAATGTATTTGTCAGCTCTAACTGTCACTTTATAAGGGCCATTAATAATAACAGAGTCAATAGTGTTGTGAACATATATGAATTCATATGCATAGATCAATAAATGATGATCATGGCAAAAGACCAGATCACATCTATGGCAATTGCAATGGATCTATAGTCACTGACATTCACTCATTCTACTAGAAGTACTACATCATCCTCATAGACAGAGATTATGAACCTATTGACTCTGTTATTATTAATGGCCCTTATAAAGTGACAGTTAGAGCTGACAAATACATTGGCATTGGCATTTGACAAATATGTAATAGTTTATTCAAGTTCAGGTCAGATCATGTACTATTGGCTGAGCTGACAACTTCCTCTAAAGGCATTTCTCTTAATTGCTCCTGATCTAACAAATCAATCCGTAGTCAAGAAGCTAACCCAAAACAATATTTTGACCGAGAAGAAAAAGTATAAATACCTTGACATTTTATAGCAATTGAAGGATAACATTTTTCTTGGAGAAATAAAAACCTATACAAGTTCTAACGGACTTTCTCTGTGTTCTTACCTTTTCTCTTATTGAATATCTACTCTCTCTTCATCTCACAACAAATAGGTTTATAGTCTCTGTCTATGAGGATGATGTAGTACTTCTAGTAGAATGAGTGAATGTCAGTGACTATAGATCCATTGCAATTGCCATAGATGTGATCTGGTTTTTTGCCATGATCATCATGTATTGATCTATGCATATGAATTCATATATGTTCACAACATTACCCTCCTCCAGAGTCAACTCATCTTTGATAGTTGTAAACGGCTTCTTACAATGTGAACATCTAGGCTTGATATAACGTTACTTGACATAAAAATGGTTTAGAGTCTATGCAATTTGTGTTCTTCAAAAGGAAAATAGTTTTTCTTCTCTTTCATGTCACTTAGCATTTAATTCTTTTGCCAGCTCTTCCATTTGTGGATAATTTCTCTCTACTTTGTCTAGTAGGATGGTTTCTTCTCTTTGTTCCTGTCTTGTGTAGCACATCATTCTTATTCTCTTTGTTAGATGCAGATTTATCGCTTGATTTTGATTCAATGCGTTCATGCTCTAATCTTTTTAGTTTTTCAACTTTATCCCAGTAGCGATTGATGATTGTAGGATCTTGGAAACTAGATGCAGGCTCCCAAGTGTTAGCTCTTTCACCAAATCCAGTCCATTTAACCAAGTACTCTCGTCTTCCTGGCTTGCCACGATGATCACGAATATCTTCTACTTCAAAGTATTCTTCTTCAATGGTTGATTCATCAATGGTCACAATCTTCAGTTCTGATGGTGTATAATTACGATGCAATAATTCATTTTGCTCGTCTTTTAATTCATATGAGCCCCTTTGTTTCTTCTTACAACAGTATAGGGGCCTTCATATAATGGAGACAGTTTACTCGGTCTCTTTTGCAGTCTTACCATAACATATGTTCCGGGTTCAATATCGACAAGCATTTCTTGTATCAACCTCTTTGTATTCCTCATTTATTTTTGAGTTCTTTCAAAGATAGCGGGAAAGACAATCTTCTCCATGTGATCAATGCGCTGCTCAAGGTCATCGCGCGTCATCATATCTTTGGGAAGTGGATATTTGTTCTTTTCTTCATAGTTTTTAGGTAAGCCGACTCTGCGTGCAAACATCAATGAGAAGGGTGAACTCAACGTCTTATTCTTGATAGCGTTGTTGATAGAAAGCTGGACTACTGGTAAGTAGTAATCCCAGTCTTTGCTATTCGATTGACACATCTTTCTCAGCGTGTTTTCAACAATTTTTACACTGGATTCAGCACTTCCATTTCCCTAGGATGGTAGGGAGTGGAGTACCTTCGATCAATGCCGAGCTTTTTCGAAATAGATTCAAGTAACAAGTTATGGTATGCTCTGCCATTGTCGGATTGTAGGATACGAGGAAATCCATAGTCTCCAAAGATCTGCATCAATGTATGAGCAATGGTATCTGATTGTTGGTTCTTAAGTGCTCTGACAATAATATATTTTGAACAAATATCAGTCAAGACCAAGATTTCAGTATTCCCATTTTCAGTTACAGGAAAAGGACCTGCAGAATCAACAGATACATGATCAAAGGGTCGCAATGCAATAATGCTTGTCAGTGGATGGTAACCTCTTTTTGCTATATTATGCTTTTGGCACTCAGGACATGAACTTACTAGTTCCTTGGCTTCTTGATACATATTTGTCCAATGAAGTCCTTGAGAGTGTAGTTCACGCACAATAGCATGGCTGCCAAAGTGTCCAAAAGTATGTGCATCACGCAAGAGCTTTTCTCTTTCAGTCTCAGGCGGTGTAAAATAATCAAGTGGTTCTTTAGTCTGCTCAACCAGCTGCGTGGTAAGAACATGCAGGTTTTTATCTCTGCTATATTTCTTCCTGCAAATAGCAACTCTTTTTATTTTGGCAGCTTGTACATTTCGCTTTCGATTGCCAGTGCTACCCCCTACCAGTTTGTGATCACCTTCGAATTGGTCGAGAGGGGAATACAAACGACTCAACAAATCTGGCAATTTAAGAAGGATACCAGGAATATGCACAGCATCAAAGTCATAAGTCAGAATTTCTTCGTACCAATTCAACATCATATTGTTGCAATCTCGTTGAGTATGCATATAAATCAATGCTTTGTGATCTGTGTGCAATGTAAATCTGCGTCCCCAAATATATTGATGGAAGCGACGAAAAGCCATCAGAACACCATATAACTCACGACGAGTAGCACTCCATCTGCGTTGTGAGGGTGATAGAGCATTGGACACAAAACTAATATATTTGTCTCTACCCTTATCATCTCTCTGAAATAATACAGCGGATATACCATACTGAGAAGCATCAGAGGCAACAAAGAATTCTTTGGTGAAATCAGGATAATGCAAAAGCATATTGAGTGCAAGATGGCTTTCAAGGCATTAAAGCTCTTAGTTTGCTCATCAGACCACAGCTCTTCTACGTTCTTTGCATGGCTTAATCTAGTCAAAGGCTCAGCAACAGTAGAGATCATCGGTACAAATTCTCTAAAATAATTGATTAACCCCATGAACTGTTGAATGTGTTTCGCTGTCTTTGGTACTGGCCATGATTCAACGTTAGTGAGTTTGGCTTTATCAACCATAATCCCATCTGCATTGACCACAAATCCAAGCATCCTAACTGACTGCTGAAACCAAACACATTTCTTTGGATTCAAAATCAATTTGGCTTGTATCAATCTGTCTATCACCATTTTGACATCTTTGGCATGTTGCTCGGGTGTTTCACTGGCCACGATACAATCATCAACAAAAGATTGAACGCAATCCATACCCTCAAACAAAATGGCCATAACCTTACAGAATTGAGAAGTTAGGCTCTTTAGTCCAAAGCATCCCTTGATGAAGCAGTATTGCTGTCCATTATGAGAAAATGTTAATTTATGCGCATCTGGAGGATGGATTTTAAAGCGATGATATGCATTAGAGAGATCAAGAGTTGAGAAAATCTTCTTGCCTCTTAAGTTTTCAAAAATGTTTCTCACCAGTGGCACTTCAAAGTTATATGTTGGTGGTAAGATCTTATTTAAAAGTCTAACATCCAAACAAGCTCGATGGCTGACAATTTCACCCTGTTTGTTCTTTTTAGGTACAAGTAACACCGGGCTATTAAAAGAAGTATTGACACCACACTTCTCTATTGTTTTTGTTCTAAGCCATTCATTTATCTGTTCATCTAGGACAGGCCTCAATGTATGCGGGATGCTGTACTGACGACGATAAGCGGTTGCTCCTTCAGGTGTGGGCAACTTGATAATGGATTCTGGAATAGGACAAAATGACTCTACTGGTATCTTTTGATTTTCATCAATAGCATCTTGGATGGAAGCCATAAACTGTGCAACCTCCTCAGCAGATCCAGCAGGTGAATTATCAGGTTCAGGTGTATCAGTTGTTACGATGTTTGCATTAGAAAAAATAGAGTCTTTATCATTTGGATCAACACTATCATTTTCTAAATTGTATGCAACACCTGTAAGTGCAATACCCAGTTTACTCATAATGTCCGTACCAAGAAGAATGTCAAAGTCAAAGCTATCATTGAAATCTATGACTTCAAATTGGTGCTTAAAAATGATTCCATTTGTATATTTTACAGTCAAAGGATCTGTAATACCAATACGAGAAATTTTATTGTCTTTAGACAAGCAATTAAAGAAACCACTAATATTTTTGTTTATTTTGTTTATATTTAATTTAGCTCTAAGCGAGTCTAACTTTATAAAAGTATGTGTGCTTCCGGTATCAACCTTTGCCATCATCTTGTGGTTTTCTATAATAATAGGTGTCAATAAGTCAAAAGTGTCTTTATGTAAAGCATCTTTCGCTTTGATCTCGTTTGTGTACTTACAGTCAAAGCAATCATCCGTGATCATTTCAGTATCATCGTCTGTTTCTTTTTTGTCATTGTCATTGTCTTTATTTTTATCATCATTGGTCTTTGCAGCTGTCAAAGCCAAGACATTTCTTCTTGTACAACTGTGACCGGGAATCCAAGGTTCATCGCAAAATCTGCAAGGATTGTCACGTTGTCGAGAGATAGTTGCCTTCTCCTTTTCTTTGTTTTTATTCTTGCTTATGGTATAGCACTTATCCGTGGTATGAGTGCTATTTTGCCC